TTATTAAGTAGCTATTATAATATATTATATAGTAATTACTAGTAGCTAGATAGGCTAGTTAGTTTATATTAGTATTTTAATATAATTTCTATAGAGATATTATATTATATTACTTTTTATCTTTTAAAGCTAGAAGTATTAAATAGCCTACTTATTTATATTCTATTAAAGACTTTTAATTTTATATACTAAAAGAGGGTTTTAAATATAACTAAACTTACTTTAGCCTTAATTAATTAGCTTATAAATATTATTAAGTAGAGCTTTATATTCTATAAAAGGCTCTTTTAATAGTTATATCTTCTAGTATTTTATTAGCTTTTTATAATATTACTATAATAATATTAAGCCTATTCTAGCTATTTAGCTACTCTACTTAAGTTAAAAGTAACTAAGTTTCTTTTTTAATATAAGAGAATTTAAAGTTTATAATCTTTTAGATTTAGCTAACTATAAATAGAAGCTTTAAGATATTACTATAGATTCTATTTATTCTTAAATTATCTAGGTTATATAAATAGACTTAAATTATCTATTACTAATAGCTACTTATTATAGATATTATTTAAATTATATTAAGTAGTTACTTAATATTCTAGATATTTTATAACTTTATTAGATATTAATAAGTAGTTTTTTTCTCTTTTAAATAAATTATAATATTATAATATCTATATTAAGCTTTCTTTTTATAAAATCTAGTAATATAGCTTATCTTATAATAATTAAATATTATTTTAGCTATAGTAACTTCTTAAAAATTTATAGTTTATTATTATTAAGTTATATATTAGTTTTTATTATATATTTAATTAGTAGCTATTATACTATTTACTATAAAATTATTTTAATTCTTATTATAATATTCTTTTAACTTTATATTAAGGTAATTTTAATAATTATAATATTATTCTTTTTATCTATTTTCTTATAGAAATTATTATAGTTAACTCTTTAATATTTAGCTAATATACTTTTTATTATAATATTATATATTCTCTTTAATATTAATATATTATTCCTAAAAGCCTTAAAATCTAGTTATCTACTATAATATATTTAGCTACTAAACTATAAAAATAATAATTATATTACTACTTTAAAAATAATAGCTATTACTATAACTTTTAGCTTTTTAATAGCTAGATTAATTACTATTATAATTTTAATAAAATATATATATATATTTTATTAGAAGGGTTATTTTATTTTACTATAATTTTATAATTATATTAAGTAAAAATAAACTTTAAAAAAATAATAAGTATTATATCTAATTACTATAACTTTAACTTATAATTACTATAATTATATATTAAAAATAGCTTAAATATCTTAAATAATATCTTATATAACTTTATAAATTATTTCTTTAAATTTATAATATATTAAGATAATCTTAATAATATTACTATAATAATATAAAATCTTTATATTAGTAAGAGTATAGATAATTCTCTATATTTTATTAAGAATTTCCCCTAAATAAGGCCGGATAATTCTTTAAGTACTTCTTTTTATTAGTATTTCTAGTAGTTACTTCTTTATTAGGCGGGCTATTATAATATTATTTTATTAATACTACCTATACTAAAAGGCGCCTATATTAAAGTAGAAGCTGCTATTTTTAAGGCTAGTATAATCTAAATTTACTACTATTAGCTTCTCTATCTTAGTAGTATTTTATAGCTGCTACTATAATATTATAACCTGGGTAGATTTTTATATTAATTTTAATTTTAATATTTAATTGGATTTTAGGTAAGAGACTGTTAAAATCTTAATAATCTTAGTTTTATATATAAAGTTTAATTTAATTTCTTTATAAAATAATTTTTATTTATATCTTAATTTATTAAAATAATTACCTATATATTATTATTAAAATCTTATTTATTTTTTATTTATTTTTTATATTTTTTTTTTTATAAAATTTTTACTAGTTTAAATTATATAAATTAAATTATCTTACTATATTAAATTACTACTATAAATACTATATATTTATTATTAAGATAATATCTTATATTTCTATAATTTTAAAATTTAAACTTTAAAAAAAGAATCTTATTATAAAATATATAGTAGGTAAATATATACTTAATAATTTACCTACTATTACTATAGAAATATTATATTAATATTATCTTAAGAACTTTTCTATTAAAAAAAAAAGCTTAAAAGCTAATATAATCTATATATAATTAGATAATTAAGCTGTTAATATATCTTAATTAGCTTCTATATAATATTTTATAATCTATTTTTAAAAAAGATTTATCTAAAATATTAATATTATTATAGTCTTTTTATATTTTCTATTTTACTACCTTAGCTACTTATTGTATTTTCTAGTTTTTATTTATAGTATTAGCTGCTATTTTCTTATTCTTAAGTTACCTTAATAGCTATTTAATATTTACTTTATTAGAGTATTTCTATAGGCCTCTATATTTTAGCTTTTATATTATATAATAGCTAAAAATAAGTAATTATACTAAATATTTATTATTAAAGTTATATATTTAGATTTATATAATATTTTTTAATTTAAAATTTTATACTATAATTTATAATTTTATAATAAAAGCTATATTAATTTCTATTAAATCTATTAAATTAAATTAGAAGTTATAAAAATACTAATAATTTAAATATAGCTTATTAATTTATATTATAAGATAAAAAAAGCAAGTAGATATTCTTAGTTAAATTATTAATTAAGTTATTAAATAGATTATTAATTAAGTTATTACTTAAAATAGAAAAATAGAAGAATAATTAAAATAGAAAAGTAAGGCCTATAGAGTATTTATATCTATTAGAATTTTACTTTTTTAAAATTTAGCTTTTTTAGTAAATCTAGCTTTTTTAAGGTATAGCTTATTATAGCCTAAGTTAAGATTAGATAGTTATAACTAGCAGAATTATAATATACCCACTTTTTTATATTACCTATAAAATATAATTAGAAACCTACTATAGTTAATTACTAGCAATTCTAATAAATTACTAGTAATTATAACTATAATCCCTTTAATTACTTTATTAAATAAAACTATATAAATAAGAATCTTAAGTTTCTAAATTAGAGTTTTAAGCTTCTTAGCTATTAATATACTTAGTTATATTAAATCTATTATTTTACTATTACTAGACTGTAATTTATATTACTTATTATAATATTTTAATTTACTTAATTATATATCTTATACCCAGACTTACTCTATACTTTTAGGTTAGATCTAACTGTTATATAGCTATTATCTATAGCTTATAAAAGTATTAGAAAAGATAACTAGTTAGATTAGAAATTTTAGTTTATCTAAGTATATTATTAATCTTTAAATAGACTGGGTATATAGTTTGTATTATTAATATAATTATTAGTATTTTTTATTATTATTAAGCTTCTAGTCCTCCCTCTAGGTATATATATACTAGGGTACTATACCTCTTGAAATAATTCTTAGTATAATATACTGAGAATAATTAGATAGAAAAAGTGGATATTTATTAAGTTACTATTAGAATTAACTGCCTGGCTAATTTAACCTATTATACCTTAGTTAGAGCTTGTATATTCCGATTTCCAAGCAACCCACTAACTTTTATTAGTAATAACATTATATACCTCGCAGTCTCTTCTGCTAAGCTCTATCGATCTTCTATATTATAGATGCCATAAGTATAAAGCGGAAATGCCTGTAGGGAATTAGACTGAATATTCATCCCGGCGGATTGTAATTTGCATTTAGCGATAAACATCTCGCGGTATTATAGAATAGTTGCTCCTTCTAACTTAGACAAGCAGCCTGATTAGTCCTTTCGTATTTTCTATTCTTTTAGTGAGAGTTTTATCCAAGACTCTAACTCTAGCGAAACCTGGAATAAAGTCCTTTCACGAGCTCATACTTAGCCCGTGATCGTAACCAGGGTGTCACGGCCCGGGTTGAGACCAGGCGGTCACAACCGGCAGAACCATAACATACCCACTTCTTCACGTTGCCTGCGAAACACAATCAGAGACCCACTGCGGTCGATCACCAGTGATCCCGACGGATCACCGGCGATCGCAACCGCGGTACCTCTGATCGCCTCACCAGATAAGACTATATAGACAAGGACCTTAAGTCCCCAGATCCGAGCCTTAAGCTCCTTAGCTCTCAACACACTTGGTTACATTAAATCTACTATTCTACCATTACCAGACCGTGACCTACATTGCTCACTACGACGTCCTGATCCACTCGATCATACACCTCACGCCCGGACCTACCTTACACCCCTAGGTTAGACCCGACCGTCACACAGGGCCACAGTACCAAAGATGGAACTGAACATCGGAGCAGTGCAAACTGCCTCCAATGTCAGGCATAACTTGTTCCCCCTGCGACTGTATTCTCACCAGGGCTATGGTAATACCCTGGTTGACTTGTTTCTTTTTGTGTCCTGGCGGCAGCCGCCCAACGGGAACACTGGCAGCAGTAGCATCTTCATCCTGCTCGACGATAGTGGTGGGTGAGTGATTATTATGCTAGGCAGTCATATCCTACCCGAAAATGTCCAAGACTTTTGCTTTTTGGCCCTTGTTGTTTACGTCGCCTTGGAGTTCAACCCGATTCACTTGCGAGTAACCTTCCATCTAGCATCTACTCTAAATCTACTTGGTAGTAATCTAGCTAGAAACTCCAGGAGCAGCGCTTCAGAAGTCGCGGACCAGGCCTTGTAACGGGATGCTTGTCGCTCCCATATACGGGATTGATTGTCACAGGCACAGTCACGCCTCTGCCATTCTGGCATGACCCACGGGGCAAACACACAATTATTCAGCTTTGGTATGGTGATTGACTAATCTTAATTGAATATTGACTTCAATCCGACAAGAAAATATCGCTAAATTGATTTCTGCTTAGAAATAAAAATGATCTTACTAAAGCTGGTGCGGGAAAAGCAACATGTTGCTCCGTTTGCCGGCTCAATGGCGTCTCAGGGGTCGCTAACAGCCGATATGCTTCGGATGTTAACGAACTTGTTGTGAGGTGGTCGCAAAACTGCGGGGCCCGAAGCACTATCCTATCGCCTTGAGTGACATCAGTAGCATGTAGTACGATGAGATCTAACTATAAAGTGCGTACGGTCAACTCCTGTCATGGATTTTCAGTGGCAGCTCAAACACTTCATTCCACCTTGGCTCTTATCATTCCTGTACCAAAAAGGCAAACCGAAACTGCAATCATGTCTCGCATCCAAGTCGGCACCTTGATCTACGACTTTCAAGCCATTGACGTCGTCGGACCCTTTGATCTCCTCAACAGCATCCGCCAAGACTTTCTCAAAGGTCTCACGCTCTTTGGCCCTATTGCTAAAGCTACACTCGCTCGAGCGCCGGAATTCGACTTCCACCATATCGGCTTAACGCGAGACCCCGTGCCTCTTCTGAGCAGTTCGCTGAGAATCTCTCCGACCACGACCCTTGCGGAATGTCCGGAACTGGACTATCTCTTGATTGGCGGGCCCGATCAAGAATTTAAGCTGGCGCCCGAGTTCGCAGAGTTTATCCGTCGCCACGTAGCCGCCGGAAAGCTTCTGTTTACGACTTGCACTGGGGCTTCTGTCATCGCTTCTACGGGGGTTCTCGATGGGAAGAATGCAACGATCAATAACGTCGAGTATGAATACTTCAAGAAGCGCTATCCCCAGGTCAAATGGACTAGAGAGAAGAAATGGGTTGTTGATGGGAACATTTGGACTGGGTCAGGCGCTGTTGCGAGTATGGACATGATTGCCCATTGGATCAAGGAAAGCTATGGCCTCGACGTTCTTATTGAGGCATGCAAGTCCCTTGACTATGAGCCGAGGGACATTGATGGACTGTTCACTGTGATTCCAAAGCGCTACGACTCCCAAGGAAACCAGGTTTCCACTCTTGAATTCTTCTACCACTAGGCTCGATAAGTGGGTGCTCAATGTCGGTATCGAAGAATAGCACCTCGGCAGCAAGGTGATTGCGGTTTTCTCTATCTCCCCTCACTTAGTTACAAGCCTACTATCATTATCATTATTCTCACTCTCTTTAACCAGAACTCATTATATAGAATATCAATAGTATACAGGGTAGGAACTGTGTAGGTCTAGTCGACATCGAGTCGATGTCGCCTATCCCCAGTCAGATAAAACCTCCCTCCTCCAGAACCTCCTCCAGAACTTCGCGTGCCTTCGGACCAAGATCGGCTCCTCAGCCGACTCATGCATCACGAGCTGATAGAATGTACTAATGAACGCATTTGATGAACATAACAAAAGAGCCTCGGTTTGAATAATAGAGAGGTTTCGCGGTGCGTCATTTTGTACGTAATAGTGGGCTTCCTCGTAGACAGAGCAATGATGGTCGGGCTGGGTCGCTAGGACGCTGGGTCGCCGGGACGCTGGTTTTCTCTGGCTGCTTCAATCCTAGCCTTCGCATCGTCGAGGGAACGCTTGACATTGGGCTGTCTCCACAACCCGTCCCATCTTTTGCCAGCCGGGCTTCCTGCAAGAAGGGTAGATCCTGCACCAACTTCGATGGCTCAGTACCGGATTGGGTCCAGTGGACATTTCGCGGCGAGGCGACTTGACGGAGTGGGCGCGGCGTCGTCTTTCAAAAGTTCCCTGTTTTTGTTAATATCAGTAACAGGCGTTGGGTGGGATAATGTTATCATACCAATCTCGAAGATCCTGGGCAGCACGCGCGATCGACTCTGGATGAGGGGCATCGATCCTGTCAAAGTCGATGACTTTTCTGTAGCCGGCAGTCACCAACTGCAGAGTTACTGGTTCGACTGACACGCAGCGGATGGCAGGCTCGGTCTGTATGCTGCCTCGCTGATGCCTGGGAGATTTCCTGTACCTCAAGCATGTTCCGGCGGAGACGGGGGGTCTAGATTAACTGTCTCGGCAATCCAGTGTCGATGACGAAGACGACGTTATCAATCCTGCGCATTTCCGGTGAGTGGGTTTTGAGCTGCGTCTGCAAGACGCTGGACTTGGGGCGCGGTGGCCTGGTTGCGCACAATAGACTCTATTCAGAAGTGACAGCGGAGTTGCCCGGAGTTTCTTGATTACTAGAAGTTTCGGAGAACGATGTGTGAGGATGTGGTTGATGGTGTTAAAAGTGCCGGGCCAGGATATGACCAAAGGAGGAAAACTAACAAAGTATCACTGGGGCCTTGCTGAACTGCAGCTTACGGCCTCCTTTATTCTGACGGTGGTGGCTAATCCTTAAGGCACGGTGGCAGTAGAATGGCAGCAACAGCTCTCCTCAATGCGCACCTTCGCGAGACCGCCGTGTAACATTGGAGAGAGGTACATCAATTGCCGCCATAATTACTAGCGAGTTCAAGTCACTTTCTCCAGATAACCACTGGCCAAATAATGTCACTCGCATCAAATTCTTTCCCTGAGGCCGCAGTTTGGATCCTCACGAAGATGCATGAAAAGTAGCCAATCAAAGTACATCATTCTTCTCATACCCCACTATTTCAAACATTCAGATCTCAGTATGGGTTCAGATCCCTTCCGTGTGTGCTCAGGTCTAGTTGATCAATCAGATGCAGCTTACTTTTTTATTGGAACGCTTGACACCAGGGCACTGCTACCTACCTACTTATTCAAGACCTCTCCCGCATTTTCGAGCACACCTCTCTCCAGCATCATTCAACAACACTGCCATTCAACAACAAACTACAACGAGTTTGCAACCACCGCTCTACTCTCTTCAAGCATCAACCAGAGTCAAGACCCTTGTGAAGCAGGCAACAAAGTAAGTATCACTCAGTTCGGCGCGTTGTCCCTCCCAGAGCTGGCAAAACCTCACGGTGACTGACTCATTCTATAGAATGGCACCTCACAACTCGCAGTGGGAGGCCCAGATCGAGGACTACCGCAGGAATCGCCGCCTTCTCGTCGCCCGCAACATTGACTTCAAGGCATCTCGGGCTACATTCGAGGCCGACGTCCGGGCCAAGCTCACCAAGCCCGGCTCCGTCATCTTCCTCTGGCCACCCCCGTCTTCCGCTCAGTACAGCAACCCGAATCGCCATAGAGGTTGGGTGATGCTTGCATTCAACCAGCGGCCCGATGCCAGGACAGCTGAGGTTGACCTGAAGGACTACGTGTTCCGCAACCGTCCGATCAGAGTCGATCGAGCAATGAGGGTGAGTCTACGGATCTACTCATCCCTGTCCTTGCCTCTTGCTAATGCAAACCACAGCATACCCAGGCTCCTCGAGGGCGCGGACAGCCGCCTCTGCCACCACCACTTCTGTCACTGCCACTCCCGCCATAGCTCCCGCCATCGCGGCTCCTACGACAACCGCTCCCACCACCGCTCCCACCACCGCTCCCGCAACCGCTGCCAGAAACCTCGCCGCCCAACCCACCCCGGCTTATGGCACCGCCACCGACAACTCCTCCGACTCTCTTGAGGGGGCTCTCTTGATGTCATGGGAAAGTTTGCCCTCGAAGCGCCATGACGATCCCGAAGACGAGGACGAGAACTATAGCAACCGAGACATTGACGACGAAGTATTTTGGGACGACTAAGGGAAGCATGGGCCATAGTAGGCGATGCTCGAGCCGCCGATAGAAGCCGACTCCCTTCACGCAAACATACGCCGCCTCCGACCAAACCCCATGGCAAGATCCCTTCTCCAGAACGACAACCCTGAATGAGTTGATGGGCGAAAGCCCACACTCTTTTTATTCCTTGCTAGGTGAAAACCTGATTCCTTGAGGTGAAAACCTGATTCCTCTGGTCGAAAGTCCTGGGCATTCGCCCGAAGGTCGCTCTGGCAGCCCTGCGGTCCTGCGGGGTGTGGGTTCGATTCCCACGGCGATCCTTTGACCACTCTGGGGAATAAATCAAGGCGGGGATGCATGAGGTCTTGGCTAACAGTGTTAGGTAAATGGTCTTGGGTTGCTAACGGACCGCAGAGTTGGGTGTAAGCCGACTCACCCATCAACCGATAGGGGATGTGAAGTTTTCATCCTAGACTATTCATACTTGGGCAATTAGTTAACTTTGGTGAGCTTCAGTTTCAAAGGGATACTGCTCGTGTTACTATCCAAGACAGCACAATGAATCAAAATATCGATAACGCAAGTTCGCTTCAGTCACTTCCTTGGTCATCCTCATTAGAGGTTCGCATATCCTCATTCGAGACTGTAATCCAATCGGACTGCCCACTACAACATGTTCATCAATCGGCACCGATTTATTGTCCCCGGGACCAAGCGCCATTGCCCGTTACACGACACATCAAGCGTGACAGACGACTTTTCCTCCTGCAAGGTGGGCACAAGAAATGATTGAGGACACGTCGCCGCCCCTGAAGTTTGCAGCCCGATGTGATATGGGGGCGTAAGATTGAATTATTAACGCTAGGGTTGATTGTAATCTTCCGAGTGAAGCTCTCTTTCAGTCTCCTCCCCTTGGCATTATTTGGTGCGTTTCTGGGGAGGTGCTTAGGCACAGGCGGGAGATGGTCCTTTACCCTCAAGTGAACAGGTGACGTCGCGCAGCCATTTCGCGGCCCAGCTCAAAGCAGAGGAAGGTCACAGTGTAGTAGAAGGGACTAAGGATGAAAATGTTTGAGGCGCTACTCAGGCAACTTAGGTATCTTCACCGTTTTGTCAAGTGCGCGTCCCGACATCCTCGCCCGTGATTTCATCATTTCATAACCCACCCAGTGCAATGTCGCCCAAGGACAGAGACCAATCCAGTTCAAAGGAAATCCAGATCAATGGTTGGTTGTTGGAGAATCTGTCCACTAAGAAACATGTTGCCTACAAGTTGACGCTTTTTACATCTCAACACTCTGATCATGAAACCCGCCAGAGGAAGAGAGTATTTTGCTCTTCTCCGCTTAGGCGTAAACTGGCCCCACTGATCTTTATGCAAAGGCTCCGACGATGGACATGCTCATTGCTGTGTGGTGTTAGGATCGACATCAACGGAGCTATGGATGGAACGCGAGTACTTACCTCCAAGAAGCACCCAACAGAAGGCAGAAATTTTGGCCTTCTTATTCATCAAACGGTTTGCCTCTTCCGAGAGAAAGTCTTCGACCAATAAATCAACCAAAGCGGCGTAGATCAACAAGCCAGATGAACTGTGGATGCGTAAGCAAATGACCCAGCCGATTTGCGAAGAGAAATGGAGTACGGAAACACTCACATTGCGTTGAAGATTCCAACGATGATCAAACCAAAAGCACTCTCAGGGTCGTATGTGTTTCTAGTTAGCAGCCCAATGGCCTGACCGATAGGTGCAGTAGTTCCAAAGGCTACAACAAGCAGCCATGGACGAGCGCTCTGCTTTGGGTATGGCACAGCAGCAATCCGGGCCCCGAGTCCTAGGCCTTCAAACATTTGGTGGAACAAGATTGCGACCAGGAGAATGACAAATCCGTCGGAGGTGATTGAAACAGTCATGCCGACGAAGACGGAGTGAAAGAGGATACCGCCCTCAAGAAGTGTAATGTTAGCCGACATCTTCTTAAGAACCTGAGGATCAACTTGTTGTCCTTCCTCGTCGAAGATTGCCTCAGTAACTTCCATGGCGGGCTTGCCATGGTGCTCAACCGGTGGCGAATACCGATTGGAATTGATCATTTCAATCATCTCTGTACGCTGACGAACATACTGCTCATAGAAGACGACGAACCACGCCGGCATGGTTGAGCCATTGATGTCTTTGTCACTCGAGTCAGTGTCGTTCCACCTGCCGTTTTCCTCATACATGTTTTGTGCCATGGCCTTCTCGTACGCAACCTTGTCGTCTATGTCAAAGTCAAACTCCTCATCCGGATGAGGTTGTGTTTGTCGCACTGACTGAGGCCGCTTCGGTCGTCTCGGTGGTTGAGGAGCCGTAATTTCTGTGCCAGTCGGCCCCCCGTGAGAGTGGCCTCCAGTCTTGGCGTTGAGGTACATTTCGATGACGAAGAGAATGAACATGGAGCCCATCATGATGACTCCAGGCATAGCGGGATAATTGGTCGTGAAAAGATCGGGAAGGCATGGATTCGTGAGGCTTCCGAATGCCGTCGGAAGAAGCTGCTAATGTCAGTACTGGTATATGATCTGGATCAACGCGAAACTTACATGTACAAAGGCAGTGGCGACTAGAACTCCAGTTCCAAAGTGCTTGCAAGCAAAAAATAACTTTGGAGGAACGTTCAAGGCCTTTATCTTCTTGGCGGCAACTGGAAAACCAGCACCTATTGTCACAGTGTTAGGGTATTTCCAAATCTTGGTGGAGCTAGAGACCATTCACATACCGAAGATAGAAGCGGCCAAAACCATAACTGTGTGCACCCTAGTTAGCAACCTTGAACACATAACAAGAGACTTGAGACTTACAAACACCGGCAACATGCAGCGGGAGGTCATACTCCTCTGTGCCGGCCTCGCTCCCACATTGTGGCTTTTCCATCGTTCAGTCTTGTAGAGAACTGTTCCTGAAGTGACGACTCAATGTGGCTGAATCGGTCCTTGAAGGAATCGAATGGAAAATTATAAGACGGCGAGAGTTTGATCTGATAATGAAAATGAAAGAAACAAGAAAGGAAAAATGGAAATAAGATAAAGAGAACTTGAAAAGAGCCACTCCGTTCCAGCCGAAAGTGACAAGATGGGTACAGAAAGACGGAGAATGCGAGTGGTGCTCTTGGTTTGGTTTTAATGTTACTTGAGCGAGGTGAATATCAGGTAGCACTGTGTGTAAAGTGGGACGCATCTGGAGGCAAAAGGTTGACACGCTCGAGGCTCCAGATGAAACATGCATCTCACAACCTTATTCTTCGAAAGGAGGTGGGATTAGGGTATGAAAGGCTAGGGTAACAGTGGATGAAAATAGCACTGCTGCTTGAGGTGGCTGGTGATGTGCTTTTTGCATGCATTTAGAGCCCGTGCTGGTTACGATCTGCGACACTCGTAGCATCACGGCTCGGAAGGAGCCTGCATGACTGCCGATTGGCTGCTCCAGATATAATAATATTTAACAGATCGTTTCTGATTTTAACATTAGAGCTCTACCCTAGCGTGACTAGGTCTCGGGGTCGAGCTGTAACCCAAGATGAGGCAGCGTACGCCAACGGCGTTGTAGACAAGCCAAGACGAGCCGGAAACACGAGAAACGAGAAGGATTATTAGAGTCGCGTGCTGCTCGCGCTGACGAAGACATTAGCCAGACGGGAGTAGGGGTAGCCGTGGCGATGAAACACGAAGATGGCCCAATCGGAGGCGAGGATTGCGAGATTGATCGACGGCTAGGCAATGCAATCGAAAGCAAAACAATCCCCGCGGTCTCCCCATGGGTACATTCTAGCTATCTCGGAAACAGTAAGGGTGGCAAGACGGGCGTAGTGCAACAGCAGGGCTCTTGGCAATAATAGCAACCTCATCGTTGCGCAGTCCGAGAGCCACTTGCAAGGTAGTAATTGTTAGGTTATCAAAACGACAACGGCCGTGACGGCATGTTACCATGTTGGCGGTCAGTGCACAGCTAAACCGAACCGGAGCTGATGGCTTCTATATGTCATGTCCTTTGCTACTCGCCATGACGCCTCATTCATGTCACACATGCGGTGAAAGTGGTGGGCTCGCCAAGATGCCTCCATACACTCGGTTGAGCCATTCCAAATATCCCAGCAATTTCTCGGGGCAATTTTATGGCAACCTTTATGCTTAATTGGAATACGTAGGTGATCTACAACAAAAGGCCCCGGGAAGCTCACGGCGCCGAGTTCTTGGCAGTCTCACGGGCGGGGCCACGGGGTTCGGACACGGGGATTCCGGTATCCGCGCCTGACACACGGGCTGTAGATCGTTACGGGACGCGCAATCACAGGTTTGGCATTGCCGCAGGTAGCGATGCGAGTATGGTTCGATGTCGTGGATTTGCATGCTCGGGGTGGATTATTATTGACCGTTATACAGCCCTGACAGTCTCTCCCGGCCCAGGTTCCTTCGTGCTTATACATACATGCTCTTAGAGCGTGAACAAGTTGGTGGCATCTCCGGAATCTCTCAGCTTGCGATTTGCCCTGCGCAGCATACCCTTCATGACAATGCATGTCACGATAGAGAGCAATGAGAATGCCATCATGAGAAGATTGGCCTTGATATACCGCGGTCCATCGCTGGAGGGGAAGAAGTACGGGCTCCAGATATTTCCCAGCTGACTCAACAGGTTGATGATGGCTGTTGCGCACGCTCGCTTCTCTGCAGTCTGATTGAGCGTCGAGCTCGCCCAACTAAAGACCATAGCGTTTGACGAAAAGCAACCGCAGATGTACAGGAAAGCTGTGGCATATCGGGCGGCATTGTTGATGGTGGCAACGGAAATGATAAAGCCGATGCAGGCGATGGCTTGTGGGACCGCAATGTGGTATCCTCGGTCCTGGCGTCGATCGCTAGACCACGCGGTGAGAAATGCCGTTCCAGTAGCAATCAGGTATGGCGGTGCCGTGAGGACGAGCGTGAGCGTAGTGTTGCCCAGGTTGAAGCCCTTGACAATCGTTGGAAAGAAGCTATTGAATCCGTAGGCACTGTGGTTGGCAGTGAGCATGACCACCTGGGCGTAGTTTGTCAGTTGCCGTACAAAAAAGGTACGAGGTGCGAATCACTCACAAAGACCCAGGTGCGAATATCCTTGACCGCCAACTTGAGGCCATTCCAAACACTTGGATTCTCCGTAGGCAGTGAGACACGGTCTCTCGCGATGCGCTCGACGGCAACTTTCTGTTCGGCATCTGTCAGAAGCCACTTGGCGACGCCCGACTTCATGCCTGGGAAGTCGGGGAGAAAAACGACTGCAACCATTGCGGCCACGAAGCTGCCAGCGCCTTCAATGATGAAGAGCCACTGCCAGCCGGCAATGCCCCGGGCCCCCTCAAGACCTGACAAGACCCCTGCAGCAATTAGGCCGGAGAAGGCGGTCGCGAGGAGAACACCGGAATAGAGAATAGCCGTTCTCAAGGCCAGCTCTTTGCGCGGGTACCAGCAGCTCAGAAGGTACATGGCGCCAGGGAAGAATGGAGCCTCAGCAATGCCAAGGAAGAAGCGGATCACAATGAGGTGCTGGTAGTTTTTTGCAGCGGCGGTCGCGGCGGAAGCGCATGACCAGAGAGCTGTCCAGGCTGGAATGTAGAGAGAAGGCCGAGTTCGGGTAAGCATCATGTTGCTGTTTCATCGTCAGTGTGGAAGACGACAGCTGGGAGGAAGCAAACCTGGGGAGTTGCATCAACATGTAGCCCACGTTGAGAATCGAGACGGCAACATTGAACTGCGAGCCGACAAGTCCAAGATCCTCTTCAAAGGTACTCAGGCGAGCTTGGCTATTATGAAGATATGGTCAGTTCCTTAAAAGAATCGCTTTAGACCTGATGCACATACGCAATGTTGTTCCGGTCCAGGTAGTTGAAGAGGTAGAGGACCCAGACCATGGGCAACAGGGTAAAGTCGAGCTTCCTCACGAGGCTCTTCTCGTTGGCAAGCCACTCATCATCGGTCATGTCGATTTGGGATTCCTTGGTCTTCAATTCAAAGCAATCCTCCCCATCACCGAGTTGGTTGGTGTCGATGTGGTCGGCCGTGGCCTTCAGTGTGTCCTGATGGACATTGAGCTGGTCTTTGGCCATTTCAAAGCGCACCTTGAATCTGATTGAAAGCAGGAATCGATAAAGAAAGATGATGAAGAGAGGAAGGAGGTTGAGAGCAGCCTGGTCAAATGCGTTGGGGAGCCGTGCCGGGTCACTTAAATGTCCTGATCGCCAGAGTTTAGAGCCACGACCCCAAAACTACACAGTTCTCCACGCTATGGACCGATTGATCCCCCACCCCGCACGCTGGGGCCAATTCCCCGGACTTGCGCGTGCTTTCGCCGTGTTGGGCTTGCAGAGATTGGCTCTGGGCTCTGGCGTGCCGTGGTCCCTGTTGACGCGGAGGCGACGAGGATGCAAAGTGGCCAAGACGTGTCGCAACCAACGAGATTGCGCTGGACTTGTCCGCTCCGCGCTACCCCACGGGGCACTAGCGGGTCTCCAACATGAGGGAATGCTCCGTGGTATCATGACCAGAGTGAATTGGTTTTAGGAGCGATTTTATTGGACGTGGACTACTCCGTGATTTAGCTTCCGTTCTTCCTCGTACCATGCCCTCGACCGCCATCGTGCGGGGGACGTGGGGAAGAGGTTGAAGCGGAATGCCCTGAGAGCCGGTGACATCCAACGCAGCGAGGAGCATGAGACCGGATCTCCACTGTGGTTCCCGGCGGTGCATAGTGCGGACCATACGCATCTGACATTCTTGATTACGCTCTTAATAATTGACGGGCATTGACAAGATATCGAGGGAGGCAATTTTGATGCGAGTATGGTAGACCTCTGGACCTTCGAGGTATAAAATAATGCTATTCGCACACACACTAATTGCTACTTGCGCGCTGCACACATAGCTACATCCTCAAGCTTGCTGATAATTATCTTAGTAATTTTTAGAAGATTAATTCTTAGTATTTATGCCCTAATAATTTTTTATTTTATTTTTATTGTTTCATTTTATTTACAAGCCCAAGCTCTGAGAATTCCAACGCGCATACTGGATACATTGGATGCTTTGGGAAAGAGCCTCATATCTGCATGCGAACACAATGTTTTCGTATGCAAATAGCAATCCTCTTAAATATACACCTCAAGCCCTGCTGGACTTTTTAACCATATACAAGACTAAAATACCTGGCCCAATGTCACTCGCTTGATGTAGTTGAGCGCACTCCCGGCTCTTAACCACTCAATCTGGTGCTCGTGATACGAGTGATTCAGCGTCGAAGTCCACTGCGGACCGTCCCTTGAAACCACCACCATTGTGACTTGCTTCCCAGGTTGCAGTTCCCCATTGTCAACACCGAAAAGGCTAACAGTGTCACCCTCTTTGATCTTGTCATAGTCATCCAGATCATTGAAAGTCAGAGGCAGCATGCCTTGCTTTTTCAGATTCGTCTCATGGATGCGGGCGAAGCTCCTCGCAATCACGGCCACGCCGCCTAAGAACCGGGGCTCGAGCGCGGCGTGCTCTCGTGAACTGCCCTCGCCATAGTTGTTGTCTCCAATGATACACCATCGGCGCCCTTCACGCTGCAGGCTTTTGGCAGCTTGGGGTACAGGCTTGATCTCTCCGTCAATTGGGTCCAGGGCCTTGCCAATCATCTCAAGTGAGCTGGCGTCGGGCAGAAAGCTGTTGGTTGCGCCGAGAAGCATGTTGTTGCTGATGTTTTCCAAGTGACCCCGGTACTTGTACCAGGGACCGGCTGGGGAAATGTGATCTGTCGTACACTTGCCGCTGACTTTGATCAAGATCTCCATGCCGCTTGCCTTTCCATCCTCCCACGACTCGAAGGGTGTTAGGAGTTGCAATCGATCGCTGCTTGCATGGATGTCGACTTTCAGGGCGCTAGTGTCGGACAGAACCGGAGCCTGGAAGCGATCATCGCCAGGAGAGAAGGAAACGGGTAGTTCCCTAGACTTGGGAGGCGAGAAGCGGAACTCAGTCGCAGCTCCTGTGCCGTCGACGCTCACGCCGTCCGTGGTAGGGTCAAAGTTGAGATCTCCGTTAAAGGCAAACATAGTAGCGAGCTCGGGAGAGGTAACAAACGAATGAGTCGCTGGATTGCTATCGTGACGGCCTGTGAAATTGCGGTTGAAGCTTGAAATGACCGAGTTCCTCTCCGCTCCCGCGACATCGACGTCTTTTCGGTCCCATTGACCGACACATGGCCCACATGAGTTGCTCAGCACAGTTGCCCCTGCTTGTCGTAGCGTCTCCAAGATGCCATTCTCCTCTGCCGTGGCTCTGATCTGCTCGCTTCCCGGGCTGACGAGAAAAGGCGTCTTGACCTTTTCCAGACCGGCGGTCTTGGCTTGGATAACGAGATCACGGACCTTGTCGAGGTCCTCGTAGGAACTATTTGTGCAGCTCCCAACCATGCTCACGCTTAGTTTGGAGGGCCACGAGCTTGCACTCATGTGTTCCTTGAATTGGGACAGCGGATGAGATAGGTCTGGCGTGAACGGGCCGTTGATGTGTGGCTCTAGTCGAGACAGGTCTATCTCAATGATATCGTCGTAGTACTTTTCGCTTCCTGGATCGGCCGTAAGGAGCTGCCCCTTGAATAAATCGGCTTGAGCGGCAATATTGCTTCTTTTGGTCGCAGAGAGATAGCGAGACATGGCAGCAGAGTAGGGGAAAATACACGACGTCGAGCCTATCTCGGCCGACATGTTGCACACAGTCGACATAGCCGTTGCCCCAAGAGTATCGCACCCAGGCCCGAAGAACTCAATGACCTTTCCCTTGCCGCCTGACACAGTAAGAATACCCGCGAGTTTGCAGATGATGTCTTTGGAAGAACTCCAACCCTGGAGTTTCCCGGTGAGGCGAACGCCTAGGACTTTTGGGCACGAGAGCTCCCAAGGCATACCGGCCATGGCATCCACCGCGTCTGAACCTCCAACACCAATCCCTAGCATTCCCATTCCACCGGCGTTGGGTGTGTGGGAGTCTGTTCCGATTATGAGGCCGCCGGGGAAAGCGTAGTTTTCGAAAATGGTGATGTGGATAATGCCTGCGCCGGCTTTCCAGTATCCAATGCCATACTTCTTTGCTGCGCTGCTCAGAAAGGCATACACCTCCTGATGATCGCCAGCCGCTCGGCGAAGGTCTGCCTCAGCGCCATACTCGGCAACAATCAAGTGGTCGCTATGGATTGAAGTCGGGATCTTGACTCTGGGGAGCCCAGCACTGATGAATTGCAGCAGGGCCATGGTAGCAGTGGCATCGTGGCACGCAACGCGATCTGGCTGGAGCTGCAGGATTGTTTTGCCCCTCTCAATTTCGTCCAGCGACCACTCTTTCACGTCGAGAATTAAATGGCTGTAGAGCAGCTTTTCTGATAGCGTCAACGGCCGCGGGTTCGATCTTTTGACATCGTGGAGTATTTTGAGTCGAGAGCCGTAGTCCAGTGGGTTGTACTGCAATCGCGGTCATTGATTAGCATGATGCTCTCGAAGCAATAATGAGGTTTGGAATACCGGCTCCAATGGGCTGAGTGCAACATGCTCTGCAGCGACAGCAAATGTTCGAGTCTGTAGGATGGTTGGACTTCGTCGCAATGCCGAGCGTGGGCTCAGCCTGGCATTTCGAAACATGGCTGCAAAGTACTTGCTGCAGTCGACTGGCGGCGGGTTAGACAGGGTTCATGACATAATTCACCGTTTAATAAAGCTCAGGACAAGGCGGAACGGGAATGGTCGTCATAGTCGCCAGGTCTCAATTTGTTCAATGGGGCTTGTTCGAGACCCAAAAGGATTGCTCCGTGCTAGGACGAGGCGCGTGACGGGCTAGTCCGCTTCCTCAGGGGACATCGGACTACTCCGCCTGGTCGAACGGACCACGGAATTGGTTTCCATCGATGGGGAGTGACCCGTCAGCTTTAATTGGATGCTTGCGACGGGGATTAAGCATCGAAGGTACCGCCATTTCGACTCAGCTGTAGTCGGGTATGTCCGTGTTGTATGGATCCCCGGTGGCGTTCAAGGGGAAGCTCCAGATAAAATCGGATCGATCAAATTCGGCGAGGAAATTCTCAATTTCTGGGAAAAGATCGGTGGATTCGTCGGCGATTCCCAAAGAGTCCTGCCAAGCCTCCTGGCCCGACGATAGACCCAAGCTGGAGCTGTGTGATTGATATACAGCAACGCCATCACCCTCCAGCCCAGCTTGCCCCTCGGATACATCGAGCCCCAGTGCCGTATCCGTAAGGTTCTCATCGGGTGTTGGCATCTGACTGCGTTGTGTTTGGTTCCGAAGATGCAATGCGTTTTGATGCATGAGTCGGGGGTGCTTGGAAGGGGCGCTGTCGGTGTAGAGCTTCTGTATTGTAAGATCCGCCAGTGATCCAAAGCTGGCCTGACCCTTCTTGACTGAAGGCCACCACTCTCCTCCAACAGTCAGAAGACTGGAACAGGTCCTTAGGTTTTTGGACAAGTCAGTGGTCGACGCATTGCCTCGAACAGCAGCGGACGTCCAGAATGAATAGATGAGAGTCGCGCCCGCTGCAAAGATGTTTTGCACTGTCCGCCACCCGTGATGAAGCCCGTGGAGGTCGTACAGTAGTTGATATTCGTGCAGGATGCAGGATGCATTGTTGAAACAGGTCTGAAGAGAGTCTTCTCCTGGGTTTCGCAGTATCTGGGATGGCTGAAACAGCATGACCATCGCCGAATGATACTTTATCTTCAACTTGAGACGCCATATTTGGCGTTGCCGGCTGTCAAGGCCAGTAGACGAGAAGTTGTCTGTCGATGCGCGCTCCCACCAACTTGCAAGCATTTCCCGGATTCTGATCTGCTGCGACGGCGGGTCCATTGGCCGTGAGCACCAAAGTGAGGTCCCTGGCAGATGGTAGAAGAGCAACTTGATGTCCGAGATGATTCGATCCAGCTCCCAGTGATGTATCGAGTACCGAGTGACTGCTGAAGCGAATGAAACGGCAATGTGATTGTCCACCAAGGTCGTAGGCGTTTCAGGGTCAGGCATCTTGATGTCGAATGTTTCGTCTCGAAAACCGAGCGGTCGTCCCTGGATGGACGATATGGACCTATCCTGGTTTAGCTGCGTCCTGGTGGATGAAAAGGGCGACTTACCGATCGAGAGAATAAATGGTGAAAAAGGTGAATCTCCTAATTTGCTGATACGCCAAGTCTTCACTTTCCGCGAGGGGCTCTTCGCGATGAATGCCAAGTTCAACGCAGTGAGCTAGCGCAACATGAATCAAAGTCCAAAGATTTACATCCGCAGGCGTCAACATACTGTGCGTGATGAGGCAGACGAGTGCTTGGATCGATGGAAGTGAGGTTTGGGAAAATGCATCTTTGGAGAAGTGCGAAGCAGCGCGATAGAACCTCTCGGGAGGGTACTCATAGATGCGCGATCGCACCTTGACGATTGCAGCAATGTTGAACACCATGAAGACAATGAAGGCAATTACCGGCATGGGTATGACCTGTGCGTCGGGATGATGTGGAGACATGAGCCGTCCATTCCATCGAAATGCCTCGAATTGACTTGGCCAGCCGCGAGGAAAGGTGTCATTCTCAAGGGAATATCCTACACATGAGTACAGCGCATCCAGGGCACTCAGAAGAGACGACGGTTCAAGCACGGGGTAGTCAGGGTGAATCCAGCGTATGTACGTGTGAGACAAGACCAGCGCGTCTTCTTTCCGTGGAAGTTCCTGGGGTCATGTTAAGCTTGGGTAAGTGGGTTTAGCGAAAGGGGGCGAACCTGTTTCAAAAAGAGATATAACGAGCGGTAGTACTGGTGTGACATATTACCCAGTGCTCCCTCTGCGAGCCATTCATCTCTTTCTACTTCACCAGCTTCTGCACCGGTTACAGAGGGAGATCCCGTACTCGAAGGCGTTGCGCCAATGAGGTGGGTGAACAAAAGACCCGAACTGGAACCTATATAGTGTCTCTGTGACGAGTCCGAGTTGAGAGAAAGCACGCCCAGGTTGAGAGCAATCGAGTGAGCACGCTCGAGAAAGGAGACATCGGGCCCGTCAGACAATGGACCTTCGGCAAGTCGCTTCAGAGACTGCCTTGAGTGCAAAACCTGGTTTGTGATATCATCAGTCCTCGAGGGGTTCGAGGTGATGGGCGGGCTTGGGCCATCATCGTCAACATGCTCTCGGTCGCTTGAGGTCGAGGTGTTGGGATCCGGGTAAGCGCCAACCTGAGGGCCTGAGGCGAGATCGACATCAGGGAGTTGCTCTTTAATGATATCCTCGAGCCATTGGATCCTAGCTCTTGCAGCGCCAGCGAAACTAGAGGCCAGCGTTATTCAACGTCCACACAACGGGCTTCCAAGGGCAAGACACACTTTCGGGGAACCAGCAAGCCGGAGTTTTGATTATCTACATCCAGGCAAACCTGGCCGGCCTTTGCACAATTGGTGCATGCTGGAACTTGGCCGTCGCACTGTAGCCGGGGAGTCGCGGATCGTCAGAAGGCTGATGGTTGTCAAATGATGCGGGACGCCAAGAACCAACCTTGATTCGTCTGGCCCGACAGCGGCGACAGGCCAAGCGGACCTTTTTGGGAGGATTCGCACGCGTCGCCATTTGCGATGCGCGACGGTGATGATGTGAGCGGTGGTCGATCAATGTTGTCCCCGCGTCATGGTGAATGGATTGGAGGTGCAAGTTTAGACGTGGAGGTGGTGAACTGTCGAGCCACTAAAAGTTGGCTCATTGTAGGCGCGAGTTGGGGTAATGGTGTGCTATGCCCAAAGCGGCCCACTCCCTAGACACACCTGCACGACTATCATCTGCGACCATCATCTTGCATTCACGTGAATGTTTACAAGAGCAGAAATATTTGTATTGGCTGAAGAAGGGGACGTTTATTCTCGTACATGGCTAGGATTTCTAATTACGATCCCATCCCATCCCGTTACAATGTCGTCAACCGCTCCTCTCGAGTCCATTCATTCCTCGGCATCATTTCAACCACCTCCTGGTAAATGCTGAAGCTCAAAGCCCCCGAAACCTAGATTCAATTCACCAATTAGTCAATGGTGCTCTCTCAGCTTGAGACATTTTCTTACGCTAAGCCTGGCAAGGCGGGGCGTTGTCCCTTTCCAGAGACCCACGAGGCCTGACTCTTGCACCGTCATCACGAAGCATTGCCATGTTCCCCTTTGCGAGCCAGGCGTCGCTAACCTCTGCATCTTGGTCTTGACGACATCGAATGGCATCGTGGCGTAGACCGTCACGACTCCTGCCATTGCGCCCGCCAGCGCTGGAGCGAGCATCTCATAGTCCACTTGTTTCATGGCCGGGTGGATTGCATCTAGGAACGAGTTGTAACACGTGAACCTCACCAGGGCATTTGATCCTTGCTTCATTGTCACCGGTAGCACCCCGCGGAACAGACCCCGCGCGCCTCCCGTGTTGACAATGGTACGGATTGCATGAGAAGTTGATTTGTACTGCCGTGCGCCAGCTCTGTCTTCGACAATTTTGGTCTTGATGTTTTCGCCCGGCGTCACAACCGTGATACTTTCCGCTACTCCAGCTGCGACGCCCGCAAGCATGTTTGATACCTTGGTAGGCCTCCCAGTCTCGGGATTCCTAGGTAACCTGTCTCTTACTGCGTCAAATGTGAGAAAACGCACGCTAGACTTGGCTGCATTCGAGACGCAGAAGGCACTGGCCCCAGTGTATAGTATACCGGGGCCGGACTCCCTGACTGCTGTGGCGAGGAGGCGTATTGTCGAGACGGGCGTACTTAGGAGCTGTTTTCTAGTCTTGATGTACTCTGTAGGATACTCTAGGATTGTTAGGTTTTGGGCCGCGGGCAAATATTACATTGTGCTTACAGTGACCAAGGACTCAACGCCTCCTGCAGCTGCACCAGCCACAACTGACTGGAAAGGGCTGGGGACTCGAGGATCGTGACCCATGATAAAGGATCTTCTCTTAATGATACCAAGTTACAGATATTTTCTAGGTGGAAATTGCTGGTATCTGTTCTCATATTCTGACCTCTCCGCTTGACCATAGATATATCTTATGGCTAGGCCGTTCCCGAGGAATCCTCCACGATAGGCGATGTCACCAAAGGCGCTTCATTTCCCGTTGACCATCCCGGAAATCAGCTGCCGAAAACATGACGCTTCGTCAATCTGCAGTGGAGATAGCGGATCGGAGTGATCCTCTTGGAATAACCCAAGTAAGCGGATTACTCCGGCTCCACTCAGGCTCGGAATGGTCCTCAGAGTCAGCGTCGTTGGTCTCCGGCAGAGGAAATATCCGCAATAGGAGCTAGGATCCCGGTAATGAGGTTGAACAAACATGATTATAACCGAAGGTGCAGTCAGGTCCCGGATTTGACAAGTACAATTAACAACAGACCCAGCATCACCGCAATGGCTCCAGCAACGATAATTGAAACAGAACCGTCGTCTCTCTTCCCCCACGGAGGGTGGGACACCCATCACCATATTTTCGACCGTAAGAATTGTTAAAATTCGTCATGGAATACTCAGAAAGCTAATTCGAATGAACCGGAAGCCGAAACGTTCCCCTATAGCCCGAACCGACATCTCACGCCGCCCGCTGCCACAGTCCAGGACTTTGATGATTTCAGGAAGAAATTGGGAATTACGAAATCAGTTCTCACCCATGGATTGTCATATGGAGATGATTGCACTTCGCTAAAAGCCTTTGTCCCACAGCTGGGCAAAAAGGTGACCAAGGCGATTGGTGTCATTGACCCCGAGGAGACGAGCGATGAGGAAATCTACGCCATGCATGCCGCTGGAACCCGAGGGATTAGAGTGAATCTCTATCGATACAGCGCCATGGAGGATGTAAGTCTTCAAAAGAAGGCACTCGCGGCCCATTTGAGGAGAATCACCAGCCTCTCACTCCCATGGAGTCTCACGATGACCACGATCCGGACCGAGTTTTGGTCTGAGTTGGAGCCTTTCGTTCGGGAGAATGTGGTCAAGGAGGGTGTATCATTGATCACCGATCACTTTGCCCTCCTCAAGGCCCCGAGCATGTTACCGCTTGAGTTCAAGGATGACCCCACCAAACAGCCTGGCTTCGAGCCCATAATGAGACTCGTGCGCAGCGGCCATCTGTGGGTAAAATTGAGTGCTCCATATCGGGTGAGCGAGTTGAAACCCGGGTATGAAGACCTCGAATTTCTCGTCCGAGCATTCGTCGACGCCAACAAACATCGCGTTTTGTGGGGTAGCGATTGGCCTCATACTCCGCGCATGAAAGTCCGTACTCATGATGAAGCAATGAGAGAGACGCCCAATATGGATGTCGACGACGAGGCATGGCTACGAAGCTTGAGGCTTTGGCTGTCTGACGAGGAATGGGATTTGTTAATGGTTCAGAATCCTAGCCAGCTATTCGGCAACTAAATTAGAGATGTACTTCGTTAGACTAGAAAGACAGCAATTTCTGCGATATCTAGTTTTAAATTTGTACGAAGCGTAGAGATGTGCACAGCGATTGCTACATACGGCAGATAACTATGTGCTAGTGAGCTCAACATGAACAACTCAAGCCGCATCGGATTCCGCATCGGGCTAGTTACGGAATTCTAAGCGCACCATTACTTGTCTTTTCGTATACTCTTGATTAACGGACCCATAGCAGCGCCCTTTCGCAGCTCAACAAACATCTTCTCATCAACTTCAGCCCGTTCCTGACAGAGGGCAACCACCTGCTCAATCAATGATGGTGGCGTCACTACAACACCATCCGCATCGCCTATGAGTATGTCACCAGGATTAATCCATAGATCGCCTTTAAACTGCAGCGGAATATTGACCCGTGAGGCTCTTGTGAAGGTATTTGAGCCCAGGATAGAAGTGTCCTTGGCGAAAACCTGCGAGGGTCAGCAAGCTGAGCAGCGATGAATGCCACGCAGACATTGTGCATCATACGGACGACTTACCGGAAACCCCATCGCTTTGTGCTCATTGATGTCTCTCATGCGTCCATCAATCATCACCGCCTGAGCGCCAAGCCACTTCGCTCGTGTGGACATCAAACCTCCCCAGCAGGCCGAGTACAGTCCCTTTGGCTGCTGAACATACATGATGCCGCCGTCTTCGTTGTGATCGACAAAATGCTTCTCGAGCTTTGGAGATGCCGTGTCGCTCATTTCAACCATTTGCACCGTCACCGCGTGTCCCATGACCCTGGTTTCGGCGCTTGGCGAGAACATCCGGATTCCATCCAGGAAGCCGCCAAACGGATGCTTGAGCTTAACGAGAGCATCGCCGATCTTGTTTCCGTGTTAGAATGAACATGGGATGGCGTGACGTCAGAGGAAATCACTCACATCACATGATGTGAACTGGCGCAATTGTGCCAGTGCTTGTTTGGAGGCCATGGCGGATGCCGCAATTGTGTCGGTGTTGTGGCACGGGTGCACTTTAGGAGGATTTGGGGCTAAATATCATCGATCCTCGGAGACATCCCGAAACCAAAGCCCGTTGTCGGAGTAGTCCGGCTACGAATCGGGTCCTTCCGAAAGACAGGTGGTTGGGATGTATCCAGTAATAATCGGTCTTCGCGACTGTCTGCTGTGGGCCAAGGGTGGGCCAGAAATCATGTCACGAGGCAAGGCTTCCCTGAAGAAGGGCTTCCGAGCTGATGATATGCGAGCTTGCCGGGTGACCTTGATCACTTAAACGAGCTGGGTGTTGAGGCGCCTGGAGTCGGGCACAACTTCAACACTCTCTCGTAGACCAGGGGCGTTTTGGGAGCACCCACAAACACCGCGTCTTCAGTATGCTTTTTGAGATGCTTAGCTTGCTGTTCCATGTGCTTGACTAATTATTTTGTAACGATATTTGGCAACATTTTTGAAGGTAAATCGATATTGGAGGATCCATGTCGGAGTGGGAGAAAATGCGACACGACGCTAACAAGGTGGTTATGAAGATGATCTATAGCCACCGCCATCATGCGATCAATTATCGAGCTTGCGTGGTAATCATGTAACTCAATTGTATAACTTTTATGACCCGTCTACGCCTGTTAATTGTCATTTAACCCCCCAGCCTGCCGTGTCCACAGATCCCGATATCTTCCTCCAATCTTCAGTAGTTCGCCATGTGTCCCCTTTTCTACAATCATTCCATCATCCACGACCAAAATTTGATCTGCGCCAACAACCGTCGAGAGGCGATGAGCAATCAAAAAGGTCGTTCGTTTCTTTTTCAACACATCCAACGCGCCTTGTATGTCGGACTCAGTGCCCGTGTCCACAGCACTCGTCGCTTCGTCTAATATTAGAATAGGCGGATTCTTCAAGAACACTCGTGCAATGGCCAGACGTTGGATCTCGCCACCAGAGAGTTTGACGCCCTGCTCTCCTACTCGGCTGTTGTACCCATCGGCAAAGGTGAGTATTTTGTCGTGAATGGCAGCAGAGCGACAAGCCTCAAATACTTGCTCGTCCGTGGCAGATGGACGAGCATAGCGGAGGTTTTCCATGATCGACGCGTTGAATAGGAGCGGATCCTGAGGGACAACACCGAGAGCATCTCGTAATGAGCTCAACGTAACATCTTGGATATTGTGACCGTCGACGGTGATTTTGCCAGAGGTAACGTCGTAGAAGCGGAGAAGAAGCTTGAAAATTGTCGACTTGCCAGCGCCAGTTGCACCAACAAGAGCAACCGTCTCCCCTGGCCGAGCAGAAATATTGAGGCCTTGAATGGAAGGTTTCCTTGGATCGTAAGAGAAGAAAACCTCTTCATAACTAACGTGACCCTGGATTTGACCCAAAGTTTTGGCCCCTTCCTTGTCAACGATGGTTGGCTTGGCTTGTAGCAAGTTCAGAAGTCGTTCCGCGTCAACCAAATCCGACATCAAATAGCGATAGTTGTGAGAAAGGTATTTGAGTGGATAAATCAGATAGTCCCAGTACTGCATGAGGAAGACAAAATCTCCAGCAGTGGCCTGGCCTTGCGAGATCTCGTAAAGAACAAGACTGGCGAGGGTGAAAAAGGTAATGGGCACCATGGCCTCGAGGAGGGCCTGGATATAAGAGTCTCGTTTTCCCCAGATCCAGCTTGCGTCAAGTTGCGAGTCCACTGCGTTGCCAAAGCGACGCTTCTCAAAGTTAAACATGTTGAAATAGGCCACGCTCTGCCAACCCTGGACGGCTTGGTGCATGACTCGGGCTTCTTCTCGCTGTGCCTTTGCAGATTGACGCCGATTGTCGACATTCCAATTGGACGTAAAGACCTCGAGAGTAACAAAAGCGACCGAGGCAACTAGCATGACGAGCATGGCGAAGATGTTGAACTTCCAATAAAGGAGTGCGAATGCGATGATTAGGTCAACAAAGGTCGGGAGAATTATGAGAATAGCCGTATCGAGGATATTGGTGAGGGCTCCACCCTGCTCGATAGCCTTCATCACCTCAGCAGAGTCTCGATCTGAGTGAAAGTCCATCGACAGGCTCATGACGTGACTGAATGCGGCGTTGGAAATCTGGCGGTAAGAAAATTGCGTGATGGGAATTTTGACCAGTGCTTGGATCAAGCCGAGTCCAGCCTCATCATTCAGCAAACTCAGGAGCAACCATATTGCGAGAGATCCGTAGGGTGCTTCACTCCCCAATAGCTTGTCGGTCACGATACCAAGCTGACGAGGAATCAAGACATTCAGCGCTCTGTTCCCGGCCAAACACAAAATGCTTACAGCAATGCATGCTTGAACTTTCCGGTCCCGGCGAGGAATTAGGTATGGGATGAAGATGGAGAAGTCTTTGAGGTATCCCCACCAGCCACCCGTTTGCTCGAGTCTCTCGGCACGAAGGCGCTTGATCTCGGCGTCATCCTCCGAGCCACTGTCGTCTTCACCGTAGTCGGTAATGGTTTCGGAGTCGGAACCAGAACGCCGGGTTGAACATTGAGTGCCGTAATTGACGTGTTCTCGGGAAGATTCCTCTGGTTGGCCTCGAAGAAAGGGGCGCGCCTCCTCTGCCATTGCTTCACTTCCCTTGACCTGAGCTTGGGCTCTGTTGACCAAAAGCCAGAGTAGAACAAGACCTCGAATACCTTGGCAGATGATTTGGATGATTGGTCGGAAATTGTCCCGTAGGTTGGAAGATGATATAATCAACAATGGGACTTCAAACAGAGCCGTTACAAGAGCTGTTCCCCAAAGTGTATTCCATCCATCAGTTCGCTGCAGTCCAAGGGCCGACCACACGAATGCGAGTAGAAGCAAATGGACGATTTGCGGGTTGTAACAAAGCAATACCTCTGGCTGGGTGACGATAGAGATGGCCTCTACTAGATATGAGATGACGAGAAGGCAGATGAGAAGAGTGTGTCGCCGAGGGCGCGGCTGAGCTGGTGCTCGATGGGCTTGGCAGTGCTTGGCGAGTGTCGAGACGGTGACGAACAAGGCAGATGCAAATGCGCAGCTGTAGTGGAGTAAGTTCCAAACCGCCTGTGTGATCATCTTGACAGCCGGGCGCGGATGAGAAATCGATGTTGTCTGAATATTCAGGAAGAATACTCCTGGGAAATTGAGCTTTAAATAAGGCTTCATCTAACACCCATCCAGGCTACGCTCGGAGTAGTGCTACAGTGTCTCGCAGTCCGTGTCTCCGTGGTAATACCCGGGTGGGTTTAGTGACTCATGCCGGCACAGGCAGCATACGGTACGCCCAATCAGTACGCGGGGCTCGTATTCGTCGCACCCGCCTATTTCTTTGTAGTTGTAAGATGCAAACCCAGTGTGAATCATAGCTGTGGCGCAACCAATGTCAGTTACGATGCAGTGAAACCGTAAGACATGATTTGGACTGTCCACGAATCAGGCGGCGAATTTGAAGTATGCAGTAAATGCTGCGGCTGAATGGTGACTCAGGTCGGACATGACCGACTAAATCCAGACACACTGTCTGTTTAAGTCTCCGAGCAAGAAACATATGCAAGTAAGACATCAATCTCATTCAAAGCATCTGTGTCCAAACAAAGTCCGTGGCAATATTTAACAGAACAGCCATTTTATCACTGCCAGCTTCCCAAGTCTGCAACTTTTGAGCACTCAACGGGTCGGTTTGGTTCTTTCTAACCTTGACGAGCTCACCTAAGGTGACCATGGGACCGCTCACATCGTAAAATGCCTTTTCCACGTGAAATTCTTCTCGGCTTCGCGCCTCCCAGAGCGTTTTGTTTGATATAAGGGGCAGGTCCTCTAAGAGACCACACCCGGAACAGGGAATCTCAACATCGATGGCAATGACACAGCTGATTATGAACCAGAGACATGCCACACTAGAGAGGTCAGCAATCCGACACGTCATTGGTGAAAGCAACATCATACCGTCTACGTGATTCGGCAAACACCCAATCTTCCCACATCAAACTTGGCTCGGCTTGTTCGGTCTTTGAGTAGCCATCCACAAGCCCACGAAATCGCGAGCTGAGAATCTAGCTCGTTGGTCAGCTTCGAGCGCCTGGATTTAGATTCAATCACTCACTTCAACTGTCTCAAGCATTCTTGCCCCACGTTCCTGAGTCTCAGCATCTTGATCAATGATTGCCATGATCATGTAAATAATCATGGCTTGAACAGCAGGCTGAATCTCGCGAGCAGATAGTCCCATCACCTGCCCATATTGGGTGAGCTCAATGAATTTCAAGGGTACTCAGTTGTTGGTTATACCTCATCTCGGAATCGCTGCTCTTCTGCCTCGATTATACGCCAAAGAAAAAGCCGGGTCTCGGGTGTTCTCGCCACAAAAAGTTGAGCAATGCTCATGCAACTTGCCAATTTCTCTGGAAGACATGGTTTATGCCAATGAGGATGAATGAATGGCGGAAAAGTCTGTCGGCGAAGCATCATCTGTGGGAAGGCATAGAGTGTGTGCACGATAAGCGTTGCGGCTTGTTTTAATGTAGGATTTTTATAGGGAAGGTGATTGAGATCTCTTACGGCTACTTGCTGGAATGCCGTGTTGTCGAAGGGGTAATTTTGTGCTGTTCGGGAAACGAAGTTCAGTGGCTGGTCGCTGACGTCGACAGCTCCTTTCAATTTCCTTATCTCTGTGAGATTATTGAAAGGAGCAAGCATTCCGATACTGTTGTCAATTACCAAGCCACCCTGCTCAATCGGTGGGTCACAGGGATTGGCCGACCAAGCCACGGTTGACAGCGTGTCTGGAGTAAGAGGATGTTCAATATTCATTGCCCTCGGCGGCTGCTGCGGTCGCTCGCTGTTTCGCCTTGGCTGGGCATAGGTGCATTCTAAGCCTTTCATCTCACAGCGAGAGCACGGGTTGGAAAAACTGCATTTGGTCTTGGCTGTACTGCAAGCAATGCAGGATTTTGGCCGGCCTTTGCGATTAGCCTGGGCACGATGACAGTACTTGACGTGACGGTTGTATGAGTGCTCTATGCACGGTCAGAACAGAACTCAAATATCAGGCGTAATTGAGCAAACCCTGCGAGTAAACTTTTTCACAGATCGGGCAACTGCTGAGGAAAAGTGAATTCATGGTGAAGCCTCATTAGCTATATCGAATGATGTAAGTGGATGGTATTTGAGAGGTTGGGAAACTGGCCATTGCAGCTAAAAATGCTCATTGGAGGGGAAATCACGTGGTTCGAGCGTGGATGTGACGGAGTTAGACACGTATCTCCATGGAATGACGCTACATAGAATTCCATTAATAAACTCTCGTCTCATCTAAACTGCATCATCGTATCACGATTGAGGACATTACTCGAGCCAGGTGATGCACTAATGTTCAAACTCTAAAGAAGCTTAACTACACAGGATTACTTTCTATAGACCTTGTTTACCAGGGCAACGGTCCGTTTCGGTCACTAACGGTTCCTGTTGGTCCATTCTCATCCAAGGTGGCCATCTCGATGATACGTTCCGCACCGATTTCCGTGCTATGACCGTACTCGCTAAAGTTGTTCAACGCAGTCTTCACCAGTCCGGGACAGACCGAATTGACTTTAGCTCCAACCCCGTCCAACTCCCGGACGTAATTGATCATGAGCATGTTGACTGCCGCCTTGCTCGCATCGTAAGCCTTGTAGTCGATGTTGTAGTATGGAGTCGTCTTATCGGTCGCTCTCTCTAGGCTACCCATGATGCTTGTGACAAAGACGACTCGTGGCGGCCCAGCCTTTGCTTTCCGCAGCAGTGGAAGCAGGCCCTCAGTCAAGGTAGCAGTGCCGATGATATTGGTCGTGAAGGTCTTGCTGAAAAGATCCCAAGTGTTGAGAGAAGGGTTATGATCTAGCAAAATGCCGGCATTATTGACGAGAACATCAAGATATCCAAACTCTTTCTCGATGCTGGCAATGGTGCCTTGGATTGAATCAGGCAAGCTCAGGTCCAGCTGGACAACTGACGCCTTGTGGCCTGCTTCGCGGAGGTCGGTCGCCACCTCTTCTCCATCTTGAGGATTGCGAGCAGCAATGATTGCATGATAAGAGTGCTTGCTGGCGAGGATTTGGGCAACAGTCCTTCCAATACCCTGGGTCGCACCAGTGATGAGCGCAAGGGGAGCGTGAGGAGACATGGTTGCAGGAGACAGAATTTGAATTGAGAGTAATGGTTCAGTGTTGAAAATGAGCTGTATGGATGCTTGTACTTTTCTACCATCGGATCTGTACGCCTTCTTATATTCGGTAGAGAATTGGCGGCGTGATACAAGATTTATCGACCGGCAAATGTAGCCGTCTGCGGTCTCCACAGGTATGTAAGTCGCGACCACAAGTAACCATCTGGCATTATTGGAACCTGAACAATCTGTTTCAGCCATAGGCCAACTTGGCCGTGCTTACGACATTTGATTGTCTTTAGTTGGGCCGGCGTGTACAGTATCGGCCAAGTTGGCCGGCACTTGTCTGGCCCCGTAATTTATTGTTGGGAAACAGGATTGATTGGCCGATGTACGCCAACGTTTTGTCCAGGCTTTTACTCGACGGCTGTTACCCCCCGGATAATCGGATGGCGGGCTGCATGAGTGATATGAGAGGGGTAGACTGGTTGGGTTGCACTGCTGCCGGTCAGTTTCGCCGCAGTGCCGATACGGGATGTTTGAGGTTGCCTCGCCAGTAAAGCTATTTCTTAATTCCTAAATCCGTGCCAATCCAAAGCGTTTATGGCTGTTCCTTAAGCTAGTGAGCGGAATAAGAAAATTTTGACTTTGTGGACTCCGAGGATGACAGCATAGAAGTCTAGATACCGGACAGTGATCATTGATCATTAAACCTTTCACGTGCATAACAATCCCAAATCTACGTGTAGCGCATTAATAATATTCCCGTACCTGTCGATGAGTGAAAACATCATAGAAAGTTGGTTCGGGGGCACTTTAATTGCACAGGTTGATTCTGCCCTTTTAAAACGCCGATTACGTGTCGCTAGATGTGTTGAACGAATTGCTTTAAAAAGGGAAGGACTCAATTGAACTTGCACTCTAAGCCGACAACTGTACCTGCACTTCCTTTAGATGTGTTGGCTCACCATGATTTCTCACGTAATGAGGGTTGCAGGCAAGACCTGCAGTCTTGCTGATGAAAAAGCCGTTGAAATCATGTAGTGGAACGATTCAATCTAGGGAAAGGACTCAAGACTGTTGCAAAGGGTAGTCTTATGAGAGGAGCTTGCTGGATGAACGAATATTATGGCGCGCTGGGAACAATTGCGTCAGTTCGACTTTCGAACTCGGCGACTCTCTAAATTCCTCACTCATCCTGGTCCATATCTCTTCGAGATGGTGAGATAATACATGTATTATTATACCTCAAGGAGACCCCAGAAAGTATTAATGAATCGCGACGACGTAGAGACTAGCTACTTTTATCAACATAATGACAGAAACCGCGTCAATATAGATCAGAGAACCTGAGAAACCAGCACATACGACCATAGCTCTTAGAAAATACGGGATCCCGTCCGCTCTCCCTTAGTCAAGCTGAGAAGCGGCGAATTAGTACTCGGGTCGGTGACGACCGGGGAATCCTCGCTGTTGTATGTTTTTTGCCCTTCTGGGCGTTTTCTTTTTTTTATTCCGTCATGACGTCTCATGTTAAGTTGATGTTATGTAGCTTTGATCTAGGTTTGTAGTGTGGAACTAACGTGGTGTGAACCAGCAGGTTGAAGATAATGCCCCACGCGTTTGAGACAGAATAGACCAAAATAAGCTCAGATTAGCATATGGCTATGTACATGGTCATTCACGATCTCTCCCCTATCCATCTCATATATCTTGGTGTCATGTGTATCACTGCACAGCAGGTTAACGCCCTCGTTATGCAATAGAAAGGGTTTGGAATGTCTGCGTTCATCATTGCTAATATCTTGCTGATAATCCTATTCCGGCCAGTGCGAAATTTCTATTCATGAACACTGGTAGGCTAGTTGTCCTCGCCGGGCTGAACCAAGAAATACGTGGCATCGTGGGCAGTCCAGTTTTAGGCTAGAATCTAGTACAAATGGACCTCGCGAGCTTCTTGTCCCTCCATCTCCGCTTACGTTATTGACTACTCGTTACAGGTGGAGGGTCGTGGCGGACTTGCAAATCATCTGGATACCGAGTAGCGAAAGTTGAAGGCATGACGGATTTGCACGTATCTTGCAAGAGTAGTAATAGTACTGGGTTAGAAATCAAGTATATACTTCAATGAAATGGGCCATGTCTATTTAGACTATCATACAATAAGTGGCCTTCAATGCAATCAGGCTTGCTGAATTCACAACAACTTAAGGAAGAGGAATTGATTGGGCATGGTTGATGAACAATCCTTCGGGGTCAAACTTGGCCTTGATCTTCTTGAGGCGGTCGTAGTTTGCTCCATAGAGACGTGAGCTCCACTCCTCCTCGGTAAGCTCCGTATCGGCGTAGTTGACAAAGCCCCGAAGAGAAGCACCAGAATCCGTCAGAGCCTGCTCGAACGGCTTAATCAGACCCTTCATGTACGAGGGCCCGTCAGCGGGATAGTTAGTGGGATCAACTGAGTTGGCCTCCCAGCGGATGAGCCAGAGGTTCTTGCCGTGAGCGTAACTGGTGTCGGAGTCGGAAATGTCCCGGGAGACACCACCCCAGAGGTCAAAGAATCCCGACTTTCGTAGGTCAGTGCGGTTAAAGGCCAGAGTCGTGCTGGTGTAGAGAGTGCGGACTTGTTCAAACGTCAGGGGGTGATCGGTGGTCGTCGTTAGAGCCTGGGTATAAAAGGCACGGCCTCCAAGAGCGCCACCGTTGGCTGCGTTCATACCGGCACCGGCCACGGCGACTTCCATATCCCAGAAACCCAGCTCGCTCTTCTGGATGACAGTGTCGTTGCTGATGGCCTTCAGGTTCTTGAACAGGGGCTCGATGACCTTGTCAAACTTCTTGGGGTTTCCGTAGAAGTAGCCAGTGCCGCTGTAGGGGGGTGCGCTGAGGCTCCAGCGAAGAGCAAGCTCATCCGGGCAACTAGAGCTGGTGGCAAAGTCCTGGATAGCAATAAGAGCCTTGGCACCAGCGTCTACGTCGACGTTGCCGATGGAGAGTGTAAAGTTGACGGCCTTCTCATACTTTGGCTTGTGAGTCTTGGTAGTCATGGACAAAATGATGCCGTATGAAGCGCCGGCGCCTTGAGCAGCCCAAAAGAGGTCAGATCCCTTCTTGGCGTTGACAATGGTGCCATTGTAGAGCATGTACTCCACGGACACAAGGTTGTCCATGGGTGTGCCATAATGACGGGATGTGCTTCCGAAGCCGCCTCCAATGCTGGAGCCTGGGACACCGACGTGAGCGCCACGGACGTGGGGAATGTGACGTCCCGCCGTGTCCCAAAGATACTTCAGCACAGGGCCAACATGAGTGCCGCCTCCAAACTTCATCAGCTTGGTGGACTTGTCATAGCTGACAGAGTCAAAGGCTGCCATGCTGATGACTAAGTTTCCGCTGTCGCCAAAGCCATAGCCCTGGAAGGAATGAGCAGCTCCAAGAGCGGAGGCTTTGACGGAAGCATTGCGAGCGCAATCGAGAGAGAGGGCAATCTCGTCATTGGTCTCTGGGAAGGCAATGCAGGCCGGGTTGGGCGTGATTCGCTTCTGGAACTGAACCACTTCGGTGGCCCAGGTGCTGTCAGAGTTGATGATGTTGCGCACACCAGCATTGGTCAAGCAAGACTGGAGCGCTGAATCCGTAGCCCCATTCTGGGCAGCAGAAAAGGAGGGTGCAAGACAAACGAGTGAAGCAACGGCAAGGCGCTTGAAAGAGAGTAGGGAATCCATGGCTGCTGACCACCAGAGAAGAAAGGTAAAGAGAAGGGAACGTAGTCTTGGACCGTCTGGATCAACCACGTGTCACCATGTTTATATATTCCAGCATCCCACTCGGCATCTGAGCCACTGTCTCCATGTCCGAAAGCGTTCGTTTCCGTACATGACAAATGACGATCAACGCGATTTACAGTTGGAACATAAAACATTCTCATTTAGAACCTGATACGCGTACTTTTCTAGGCTCAATCCTTCTGTGTTCGTATTAATTAAAATGTCGCATTTAAAGCTGCTCCGCCTTCTTCATCTATGCTAGTACGACTAAGCTTAAACCTTAACCGACTTGGCAGACGTAAACAAATGAGTTGTGCCCATATTTTAGGCTTCCGATCGTACCGAAATCCCAAATAGAGGCTGCATTATTCAACCGCAAATTAGCCCCTTTCATCCAGGATACTGAATCCGTTTTTTATACTCCCGGGCGTACCGACAGAAATTAAGCTTGTGTCGTTTCGTCCTAGATGTAACCTTCTATCCCTGGCCCAAGAGTCTGGGCGTTGCGATCCCTGTCAATGGTCCATTGGTGGATCATTGAAACTAATGCTTCGGGAGCTTGTAATTTCCCGTCGCCTCGCCAGCTCACTTTTCCGCAATGTAACACACAGGTGAAGGAAAAGGGTATATCAATTGGTCTTGGCCCTCACGCATTGATGGAATCTCAAGGCACTGCATCTCCGCTTTCCGGTTATCTTTGTGGGTTTATTTGGTGGCCGGACCTGAGACTTCCACTCCGCATACAACGACTTGCATATCAACACCCCCACGTGAGACTCACTCATCGCCTCTACAATGCGTCGAAATGGTCTGAACCTCTTCGCGGGCTTGGGTCTTTGCGCCAGCTCCTGCAGCGCCGTGACTCTTTTCGCAGCCGACTCAGGCGGCAATGTGACGACTCTTGCCTTGACTGGATCCGGCAAAAACTACACTCTCGCCGTCACTTCCAAATCAGCTGAGTGTGAGGTTAACCCTGCATGGCTGGGCATCGACAAGACCAGCCATATCCTCTACTGTCTGGATCGCGGTGGCAGCTCGTCCACTTCAGGCTCGCTTAACTCCTTCTCCATCGACGGAGATGGAGCTCTTGCCCGTTTGGACCGCGTGGATGCGCCCTTAAGCGGCGTTGCTGGTGGAATAATCACTACCGACACAGGAGCAAAGGCGTGTGTGAGTGCTTCATAGTAAGTAACCAGCTTCATTGGAGGGACTTTTTGAATACAAGGAAACTGACCCTCCACAGCAACCGAAGCGCAGCTGCCGTCTACGCTCTAGGCGAGAACGGAGATTTGCCTGGAACCGGGCCCTTGCAGCAATTCTTCCCCACGCTGAACCAGACTGGGCCAGTTGCGTCTCGCCAAGACCGGAGTTATCTTCACGACGTTATTGTGGACCCTACGAATAAGTATGTGGTTCTCATGGACCTTGGTGGTGACCTTGGTCGGGTGTACACCTACGATGAGGATACCGTTGCCCCCATCACTGAGGTGGACGGACTGGTCACCGAGCCTGGAACCGGCCCGCGTCACGGCGTTTTCCACACCATGAAAAACGGCAAGGTCTATTTCTTCTTCAACGGAGAGCTGAGCCAAAAGGTGTACTCTTACCGCGTGAAGTACACGGAAACTGGTCTGTCATTCAAGAAGGTGTTTGAGATTCCCGCCATTGACGCCAGTCTGCCTGCAACACAGGCTCCCACCAGCGAGATTGCATTGAGCGTAAGGATGCCGAATAAAACTCGTGGTAATTAGATCAAATTACTGACATGCTTATAGCCCGATAAGCGATTCCTCGTTGTGTCGAACCGTGAGAAGTCATTCCGCGACTCGCCAATCCTGGGATCTGGACCTTCAGACACACTGTCTACTTTCCGTATCAACAGCGACGGTACTCTGAAACTCGTGCAGCTTGCTCCTTCAGGTGGTTGGTCCCCGCGCCAGTTTTCTTTCAACAAAAATGGCGACATGATTGCCGTGGGTCACCAAAACAACAGGACGGTGGTCATCTGGAAGCGTGATATCAAATCTGGCAAGATTATCCTCGAGGAAGATGGTGGCAAGCTCGGTCAAGTGACCCTTACTGGCGCTGTTGTAGCTACTATCTGGGATGAATAGTCTGTACACTATGTCAAAGATGTAGATATTTGCATGGTTTCTTAACGGCGTTTGGTTACAAAAGAAACCACCTCAATATGACATGTACGGTGTACAATTAGGATGCTCCAAATTATCGAGTGACTGAGGTGAGGGCCCAATGAACAGCTGATGATCAAGTCTAATTGTGGTGGCTTGTTATGCCAATTGGGAACCGCCCGAACGGGCAACTGGCTCCGTGGTTGAAACGGGCGAGCGGAGTTATTAAACGGAGACCGGCCGTGGTTCCTGCATGAATTACTCCTTCGTGCATTAAACACCCGGAACTATAATTGCTAATTATCCTATTTGTCCGGCTAAAACAGGACTGCTATCCAACTAAAACGTTGACATGGCAGCTAAGTAGGCAATTACCATGTACAACTGTAAACATATTTATGCACATATCATGATTTGCACGGATGTCAATTATTAGCAGGTGATGTACTAAGTCCAAAGCTTTTAGTATTCTCTATCCTGAGTCCTATCTTTAGTATCCTGCAATGTGTATGTCGTTGACGTGCTTTACTCCAACTTAAATGACCTTTTCAAAGCCTCTCCCAAACGTGTAACTGCCTCCTCAATCTTATCTAATGGGGCGGCTGCAAACGTAATTCTGTAGAAAACGTCAGGATACTCCTTGTTCGCGGTTGCTTCAAACCAGCTTCCCCGAGCAACGAGTACTCCCTCCCCAATGCTTTCAAGCCATATTTCCTCCTCAATTTCCGCCGCAGATTTTGTTTCTGCATCGGGGTGTTTTCGCCAATCTACTTTTAGCCATTGCTAAAGAAGGGTTAGATCGCGAGCCCAGGACTATATAGGGTAGGTGCACTTACAAACATGCCCGCTTCTGCCACATTCCAGCTAACTATATCCTTTGGCAAGTGGCGATCGCAAGCATTAGCAAGAAAGGTTCGGCGAGCGGAATATTCTTGACGGATATGCAATAGCCATTGCAGAAAACCAGAATGACCCCAATGTTCGTCTAGCAATTTGAAGAGTGCCAGTTGGCTGAAACCACTGGGGCCTTGCGTTGAAACATCGGCATGAATTTTGTATCGCTCGATGATTTGCTCCGAGGCAGTCACCCATCCGACACGGAGTCCAGGACTGACGACCTTGCTGAAAGAATCCATACGAACAACTCGCCCATCTGTATCGATGCTGAGGTAGGTGGGAATTAACATTCCAAGCAATGATTCCGGTGAGTTGAATCTGGTTTCGATTTGAGAATTTTCGGCGGAAGCAAACTTATCCATTTGGATGTAGTAGTATGGATCATCTTCCAAAATGATCAAATCATGTTTTTGGGCCACGCGATAGATGTCTTTGCGACGTTGCAGACTTTGAGTAGCGCCTGTAGGATTCTGGCCTGTTGGAACAGTGTAGAGCAGGAATGGTTTCCTTGAGCCACCGTGAGCAGCAGGATCCCAGTTCTGGAGCGTGTCATGAAGACTCTGAGGGATCAAGCCTTCGGCATCCATTTTCACGCCCATGAAGCGAACTCCCATTGGCAAAGCAGTCTCAACTGCGGATGAAAATGTGTAGTCATCGGACAAGACGTAGTCCCCCCGCTCTGCAAACATTCGCAAAGCAATGTCGAGTGCGGAGGTATTGCCGATACTCATGCTGCACTGCCAGTCTGCATACGGGGGATTGTGGACTAGCTCTGCATGTTCAGTGATCCAGCGGAGCAACTGCGCAGAGCCGCTTCCTTGGCAGTAGTTTAATGCTACTGTGAGGTCATAGATGCTTTTGCCAGAAGACATGTCACCCTTGTTGGAATGCAACTCGACGGGTTTCGCAGCACCTTCGCTGTTGTCTAACGGCACCACTGAATGCCCTAAAGACTCGAATGGAATATACTCGCTGAGTGGTATGCCGCCTCCCAGGGAGATGATACCCGGCTTCTGGAGATGCTTGAAGGCAGCTTTAAGGGTGCATCCCTCGCGACTGGCCGACTCAGTGCTAAGTCGATCTACGATAATTAGTAGCCATGCGTGTTAGGTTAAACTTCAACTTACGATCCCATCTTAGAGCCGCGGGCTTATGCTTGTGATTTTGCGTCTTGAACGGTTCACTCACAGCCAGAGCAGCCACACCCCATTGGGAAGGGTTGACATCGGAGCGGTGTGGTTGAAGACGCTTGACATTGGCATCTTTCCCAACCGAAGTCTTCCCAACCGAATCGGGGACATCGGATGCAGAAGGTGACATGGTTCAAAGAAGAAATGTGATGACTCTAGATGTTTGCTAAGATGTGAGCGTGTCTGAGATGACTTAAATGGGTTTGTTATATAGCGAACGATGTCTACTTGCAACTCGAGAATCGGCTAAATCGGAGTGCGGCGTAACATGTGAGTCAAGGCTGGGATCGGAGTAAGAAGTTCTCCGAGTGGACCGCAGTCCGCACTAGTAACCCACTGAATGACGGCTTTGCCCGATGCTTATCAACGTCCCAGTATTTGTAGAACCAATATTATTGAGTCCAGTGGAGATATCAGAAACTTATGTGGGCTAAACGTGCAGTCAATTGTTCTGGCTGTGACTGTTATCCGGTGCCGCCGGGATCGGAATCCACATCACGCCGATTCACGTTTCTACTCCTCTCCGATCCGCGATAGCATTGTAAGGGGGTCCCAACGATCGACTATTTAATAACAACTTATCTACGTAATATATTGTGACTAATAAGCCGATACCGCAAGCTAAATCATTTCTCAAGGAATAAAAGTAGCTGCACCTGCGCTGCCATGTTCGTGCTTGCTTTGTCAGTATTACAACAGACTGGGAAGTGTTTCGAGGTTTTGTTACTGCAAAAAACAGCAACAGCGTGCTTTCATTATACTCTTATGTCTAAAGGTAACTGTGCTGGGTATTATCCATGGTTGTTGAGAGTGTCCTGGCTGCTATTGAATGTTCCTTGTGGGTGCTACAGAAGGTGCTATATGCGCTACGGGGATGCTCTATAACCACTACGGGATGCCCTATAAATTTTTCAGAAAGTGCCTTGGCCGCGGCGCATCCTTGCTGTTTCTGGTCCGACTATTGTTCCAGCCGCAGCAGAGCTATCGATAAAGGGTCGCACTTTGGTAATCCGGCTTAAAGCCGGTCACCAGCAAAAGTCCGCCAAGAGTCCGAGGTGTGTCTAAGCGGGTGCCACATTGGAGCGTATTCGTAAACGAGCTTGTTCTTTTTATCAGCATACCCCACTTAACACTCGCGCCATCTCGCATCCCTAGCATCTCAGCAACATCTCTTTCTTACAAGCATCAATGCGATTTACGTACAATTGGACCATCTTTGCTATCGGAAATGCGCGCGACCCTTCGTAGGTCCTGTGACGCCTGTGCCAAGGCGAAGCATGGGTGTGACCTTCGAACTCCCAGGTGCTCTCGATGCATCAAGAGAAAGACAAATTGCGTTTACACTAACGAGCCCCTGACCTCGTCGCCGGAAACGTCTGGAAATAGTACGCTTGCTGTTAGAGACAATGAGGAAGTGACCTCTTTAACTTTGAGGGAGAGGAGGAGCGCGCCGGTGCATTCCGAGAGCTCGACATGGGTGTTGAACACAACAGATGCCTCTTTCGATCCTTTTGATTCATATCCACCCACGAGGCTTCCTCGGGTACATGTTCAACGTCTGATCTACCATTGTAATTGCTCTTGCTCCATTAATAAAAATTCTCGGAAAATGACTAACTTGCCTAGTTCTTTCCAGTATAGCTTTCCAGTACTACCCTTTGGACCTCAGTATGGAGTCAAATCCATTTGTCGTCTCGTGGTGGCCTCTTTGCCTCGCGGACCCCGCATTGTTCCACGTCTCATTACAGACGGCGTCCTTGGATGAGGAATTGAGGGCTCAGAAAGGATTTCCACTTTCAGAAATGCTCATGATGGACTCGGTGGCTCTGGTGAGACGAAAAATTGAGGATTCATCAGAGGCGTTTCATGATGAGACTTTAAATTCTGTCGTTACTTTGGCAGCAATTGAGGTGAGTCTCATCCCGACTGTCATTTACATTACTAATCGACTATATGTAGCATGGCAAGGGAAATATTGAGGCTAGCGGAATGCACATCGATGGCGTAAAACGAATGGTCAGTGTCAGGGGCGGAATCAACGACCTGAAGAGCACAAGCCCACTTACCGCGAGAATGGTTTCCTGGTAAGACTTCGACCTGAAGTGCAATATCAAGTGCTAAACATATCTAGGGTATCCATGTTGGTTACAGGAACTCCGCAGTTCCAGACCCAAGACGACTTTGGCTTTGGAAATGGAATTGGCCCAATACTGCAATGGCAGCTGGCCTCGACGCCTTCGGAAAAGATTTTCGATGACCTCGACATTGACCCTGCTGTTCTCGACATTTTAATCCGGCTTCGCAACATTCTTCACCAACCACAGCTTTCACGCTTAACAACCACCGAGCTCCACGATCTAACATGCTTCGTCGTCCATAAGCTGCTCCTGTTGCCTCCGCTTTCACCTGCCATGCCCAAGCGAGCAGCCATTTCAGAATGCCTTCGGTATGCGATGACACTATACATGCTGGTGATTCACGGAACGACATATTATTCCCACGCGGCACTAGCGAGTGTCATCGTTTTCCAACTCAAGAGTCATCTGACGACCTTGGCTGGGACGGACTACATTTACGGCCCATTAGGGATCTGGGTTCTATCCATTGGTATGGCAGCTACGATTGGCACAATGGACCACCAATGCTTTAAAGAACTGGCTGGATCGGCTGCGACTAGCGTCGGTTTGCACTCTTGGGAGGATATTCTCGTCCGTCTGGAGAGCATACTCTGGATGAGAACACGGCGGGATGAGGTCTTTCGGCAAGGGTGGGAAGAAATCCTCACGTCATGATGACATAAGCCTAGCAAGACTCACGTCTTTTCACAATCCTAATTAAAGAAATTATTAAGCTTCGCTACAACGATACGTGGTGTTCCTGTTGTCTGACATTGCTTGCAGCTCGAATCGCCTGATCGTGATTCGGAGTCTAGACCTATATAGGACTAGACTCCGCAGTAGTTATGGGTCTCCGAGATAGCGCGATAGATTCCCCCTTGTCTCCATCGGAGTCTAGTACAGAATCGGCTACGCCTGCCGAGTACGTCTCTGTTATTAATCGAGTTCAACACATTGGGGACGAATGTGATCCAATGATATGTCCTTGTTCCAACCACTCTCCGCCGGGCAATACCGGCGAGTGTCAGATATCCCATCTGACCACAGTTACGGCCCATTATAGTGGCTGACCCGTCAAGCCGTCGGACGGTACGAATACGCATTGTAATCTTCCATCGTATAAAGGTCTCGCCGTCCAGGTATTCCTCGATTTCAGAAGACGTACCTTCTTGTATGAGCTGAAAACCATGGCTACAGTTATTGAAGGCAGTATTATGCCCTCCGTTGAGAACGGAACCAATCTCGGACAGCATGGCACTACCAGCCAGGGCAATGGCCTCCTGGCCAGCTATCTTGCAGACCTGAGTGGCTTCCAGTTATTCGTCACAGTCTTGTTCATGCTTATTGTCTACGATCAAGGTATGCCGCGGCGATCTGGAATTGCTTTAACTTGCTGACACTTCAAGTTCTTTACATTGTACGGAAGGGATCAATAGCTGGTCCCAGGTTCAAAATTCCGTTCATGGGGCCTTTTATCCAAGCCCTCCACCCAAATTTCGAAGAGTATCTCGCTCAATGGGCTAGCGGTCCCCTCAGCTGCGTTTCTGTATTCCACAAGTAGGTTGTCTCTATATCTACACCATCCATTCTGACTCGTTGTAGATTTGTTGTTCTAGCTTCCGACCGTGACCTCGCACACAAAGTCTTCAGATCGCCGACATACGCCAAGCCATGTATTGTACCGATCGCGACCGAAATTATGGGCTCATCTGCATGGGTGTTCCTCATGGGCAAGGCCCATACCGAGTACCGCAGAGGATTGACTGGTCTCTTCACAAACAAAGCTCTCAGCACCTACCTACCTGTTCAGGAGAAGGTCTATGCTGATTATTTCGACAAGTTCGTCGCCGCTAGCGAAGCCAACGGAGGAAAGCCCATGCCATTTATGGGTTTCTTCAGAGAGATCAACTGCGCCTTGTCGTGCCGGACATTCTTCGGCGATTACATCTCCCAGGACGCTGTCAAGAAAATCGCCGACGATTTCTACCTCGTCACGGCCGCTCTCGAACTTGTCAACGTTCCCTTTTCCATCTATGTCCCATTCACCAAGTGCTGGCATGGAAAACGCATCGCAGATGCCGTCCAAGCCGAATTCACAAAGTGTGCTGCCGCATGCAAGGCCAACATGGCCTCTGGCGCTGAGCCAACCTGCATCGTCGACCAGTGGGTTCAACACATGATGGAGTCCAAGAAGTACCGAGAAAGAATCGAAGCTGGGGAGGTGGGAGTAGAGAAGCCGAGTAATCTCATTCGTGAATTCACAAATGAGGAGATTGGCAAGACCCTGTTCACGTTTCTCTTTGCGTCTCAGGATGCATCCAGCAGTTCTACCACCTGGCTTTTCCAAGTTCTTGCCCAGAGACCCGATGTCCTTGATCGTCTCCGAGAAGAGAACCTTGCTGCGCGTGGTGGTGACAAGAACCGTCCGTTCGAGCTGCCCATGATGGAGTCGCTCACTTACACCAACGCGGTGGTAAAGGAGATTTTGCGCCATCGTCCACCAGTCATCTTTGTGCCATACCAAACCACCAAGCCATTTCCAGTCACACCAAACTATACCGTTCCAAAGGGTGCCATGGTTATCCCGTCCTGCTATCCCGCTCTCCACGATCCGGAGGCGTACCCGAACCCCGATGTTTTCGACCCAGACCGGTGGATCACCGGTGATGCCGAGACGAAGACCAAGAACTGGCTCGTTTTCGGCTCTGGCGCACACGATTGTCTTGCACGAACGTATGTGCCACTTACGATGGCAGCCATGATTGGCAAGGCTGCGTTGGAAGTGGATTGGGTGCACCACGCTACGAGCCGTTCCGAGGAGATTCGAGTTTTTGCCACGCTATTCCCTATGGTATGTTCATGATTGCGTTCAGTATGAGGTGATGTGAAGCGTGTACTAATTAATTTTAGGACGAATGCCCGCTTGTTTTTACTAGACGGTCATAAATGAAATTGCTTTATCAGGAAGACATCCCGCCAGGAGGCGAAAAACAACAATCAAGAATCCACCTCAAATAACGAGCGAGATAAATATCTTTAAAATAAAAATAAAATAATTTAATTTACTTATTTGTTGAGGCATCTTTGGGTGACTTGACATTTAATAAAGGGTGATTTTTCTTATCTTCAGGTAGAAAGTTATCAAATGGGTACCCATGGGCACCTCGCAATTCGGCTTGGGTACCCATGGTCACAACTAACTAGATCCACGATAGACGATGGGCCTTAGTCAGGAGAAGCATCATCAATTAACCCAACTCAAGGTTGTGTCACTGATGCGACCAGCCCGGGATTTATACCAGAGACCGGAGTGCAAGGACGACGGATGCTTGAAATGAATAGACAGGCTTAGAAAACCATGGAAGAGTTCAGAAAGATGACCTTTGAATAAAAGTATTATCGCATTTATTTCGTTACTCGTATCTGTTCCCCCGGTAATATAATAATACGTAAAGATCGCATCGTCTAATCAAGACATGAACGCCTAAATCACTCCCAAGTTCCCGTCCTGTGTTCCATCTATCAAAACTCCTGGATCTATTTTGCCTTGAAAACCGCCATGGCAGTTGCCGCTGACGCATTCTTTTGAAGTGTGTGATGACCCTCCATCTGTGTCGGTTTCTCCCAACTCATCTGCCTCTCGTGATTCTCCCAGTGAGAATATCTCGTCCGGACCAGCCACAAGATCACCAATTTCGTCTGACATGGACATGTCCGTATCTTGGAACTCCATTGAGGGCCAGTGTACATAAAAATTATCCTGAGCGGTTTGTACAATTTGATGTGGTTGGTTTATTTGGTCTGTTTCGGGGTTGAAAGGAAGGCGCATTCTCTGAGTCGGCTCCATACCATACACTCCAGGGACGTCGATTCCTCGGTAGAAATTAGGATTCATCTGGTTACTGCTGATGTGATAGATTGGAAACCTAGGCTGGACTAACTCCTTGATGGGGCTAATGCCGACAGCGAAAATCCCTCTGAGGCTCATAGGAAAGTCCTTGTCTTGCGGTATTCGTCCTTTGCTGAGACCAAGGTCAAGCGCCAGTGCCAACCGCAGATACGAGCTGGGTTGGAGAGCAAAAATATGTGTCCAATCAATAGTAGACTTTTGATGATGAGGGCTAAGGTTGTCGAGCTGGGCAAGGTTGACAACGTGTCGCACAATTTCGCTGACCCAATCTACCCCGTCATATTGGGGTTGGTACGTCTTCATGACCTCAATGAGAGTGTTGAGCTCACGCTGTTTGTGAGCCGGGTTTGGGTTGGATCCGGGCTTTGGCAATGGTGCCGATAATTTGATATCCAAAATGTTGAGAATCAGAGGAAGCAAGGTGCAGCCAATTGCTGGCAGGGGAAGCCAGCGTGCAAGGTTGAGGCCGACTAGTTGCTTGTGACACTCGATGAGTGACCTGGAGGCGGCTTGTAGCTCGCGCTGATTGTCCAAGATGACCGACATGTCTTTGGTCATGGTGTTTCTAACCCCTCCTTGAAGAGTCTCGAGAGAAAGAACTTCGTGGTGACACAAGGCAATTTGTGAAGTGTAGTAGTGCATCAGCATCAGATTTCTGTACAGCGTGATAGATTCGTGGCTGTTTTCGTCGTCAAGAAGGCTCCGTGGGCCATTGTCGCCTGGAACAATGGCGAGCCTCAAGGTTGCCTGCTCATACCATCCATTCAATGCGCGCTTGCATTGCATGGAACGGGCCGCATTATCGGACTTTGCTGCTTGGTTCCAGCCTTGCAGCGGAAAGCATAGCATCAGAATGTCAGTGACGACAACATTGAGCTGAATGGACTGGGCAAAAACTTCGGCCAGTGCCTTCTTGGTTTCTGGATTGTAGACCCTGGACCGTTGAAACTCGTCGTCAAGGTCTGCAACTCCAAGAGGAGATGCGTTGTAGTCGAATTGATCCATTGTGATTTGGATAGGCCGTCTCATGAGAAGCCCAACGGAGTGATCTCGGAGGACACAGCACCACCAGAGCCTTCGTAATATCGCCTGTTGCTTGGAGCAATGTGAAGCAGGCATTGCTGCATAGAGATGCGCATCGGCGCTCTTTGCGTAGTTGATGGCTAAACTTAGCCACGATGTGTTGACTTTCTTGGCGGATGAGAGAGAGGTGTAGGAGAGGAGGACAGCCGCTTGGGAGAGAGCCAGGTCTGAGGTTTCTGTTCCCATATCGAACAGAAGTTTGGCGCGTCGCTGAAATGATGCCCTCATCTCTCGAATAGTCGCATAGGCAAGTGCTTCCATGGTCGAAGGGGAGACAAAATTGCAGGACGCGAAGAGTATTGCCTGAAACACCAGCAACGAGATGCGTCCGGTAGGTATCTCGTCCACCTCATGACAGTACATGTCCCAAAAATCGCCTTCATTGATCAAGGGTAGTATCGGGTGGACGTGGAGAAAGTATTGCCGCATGAAATCGTCCAGAAGTGGTCGGATCGGCACTCGTAGACAGCCCTGGAGCTCCAGGAAATTGACGTCTTGATGGGGGACATTGTGGAGATTCGAGACGGCGAGGAACGGGTAGAAGCAGTGGACGACTTCGGAGTTTGATCCAGTATTCGCCTTGGGCTGGGAATCGGCTTTGCTCGTGAGGCTGTTCAGCCAGGTCAGGGGTTCGGGTTGAACGTATTGTGAAGCTGCGTGTGTTAGTGAGATCGCGACAAGACCGATGGCAAGACCGGGCTAATTACCAGTGGGATTCGCCACTCCGCCTCCGACCGGGACGGCATTCTCCGGTCGACTCGTCGGGTCCGGGCGCATGCCGTCTGTGATATCATGGTGGATGGTGTCGTCATTGTGTTCGGGTCGTTCTTCGTCGATAATTCGTGGTTCTTGGGTGCCATGAATCTGATTGTTCAGTACAGGTCCTGGGACACTTGGGCCGGCACTTGAGCCTTCGTGGGCTTCGTCGGATTGTTGGTCGATCGCCGCATACGGGGGATATGATGCCTGGACACTGTCTCTGGGATCAAGCAGGGCACTTGATTGACAATTAGAACACGTCCAGTGATTGGATTGTGATGCTTACAATTTGGATGCTCTGCCCGTGACAACGCAAGTGTCATTGTCGAGGTAGCAGTTCATGCATGGGCGGCCGCGTTGAGACACGTCGCAGCGGACCTTTCGGGAGCGACAAGACAGGCAAGCCTTCCTTGCTCGCTTGCGCATCCTGGTCCGCGGCTTGGCCTTTTCTTCTGCATCCTTGTCACTGGCAACGGGGTCGGTGTTGGCCATGGTGGGAGTTGGAAGTTGGTTCGTGGAGAAGGTCGCGCCGCGTGCACTCAGTGGAGGAAAGATGTTTTTAGGAGAGAGAGTGGCAATCTACGGGGCATGATTGTAGGTACCCACAGACCTTAACAGGAGCGAACTAATTATTGGCTGTGCATTCCAACTTAATGCACCTTCGGATTCCTTTCGGGATCAACATGATTCATTCTGGGGAAAAGGGCGGGGAGAATGTGGAGGGAGAGCCAGACATGCTGTGATTCTGGTTGCTTATGAGACATTCGCCTCGGTAAAGTTGACGTCATGGATCCCGAGTGTTCGTCCAAGTAGTGGAGAAACTATTGACCGAACACGAAGCTTGGTGCCTGATATTTCAGGTCCAAAATAGCGTGGTATTAGCTTATAGAGGAACTTTGACGGTCGACCTATTCCAGCATCCGTCAGTCCTAAGTTCGCTGGGAAGCGGGTTGTCTGAGATGGAGCACCACAGAAATTTAGGACGGCTGGTATTTCTTGTAGAGGAATGGACACAAATGAAGCGATTGAGGCACATGCATGCCGTTTCCCACGTGATGCAGCCTGACTGGGCCGTTGTGGCTTCGCGCAGCCTGATTTTCGATCTCGACCAGTTCTTGCTTGCCCAACAACCACAGCTTCATACCACAGCCGTTTCGTTTGCACGATGACCCCAAGCCAACCATCTTCCTCAGCCCTCGTACTGGCAACGCCCGGGCAAACATTGCAGGACGCAATCAATGATTTCCAAGGCATTCTTACCGTTGACCAGCGTCGCGAGCTCCAAGCCATCAAAACAGTACCGGACGCCGATGCGGTCCTTGTGTTCACAGCTGAGCTTGACGCCAAGACTAGCAAGAGGAGGGGCCCCAGTCTTGCCAGCCGGGTCTATTCGGTCCTTCAGTCGGTTCGAGACTTCTCTACCATCGTCGACACCTACGTTTCGTCACATCCAGAGATCGCTGCTCTCGTGTGGGGAAGCGTGAGGCTGACAATGCTTGTAAGTTCATATCTTGTTGACTTGAGTTTCACGTACTTAAAAACGACCAGGTCGTCTCCAATTTCGTTTCCTACTACGATGCCGTTTCCGATCTTTTTATGGACCTCGGTCGCCTCTGTCCACGATTCGCAGAATACCAGATACTGTATCCAAACTCGGCGCGCCTTCAGAAATCGCTCAGTAACTTCCATGCGTCCATTGTCAATTGCTGTAAGCACGTGGTCGAGGCTGCCCGACGTCCGTGTAAGCTTAATGCCTACGTTTTGAGACTCAATAATTCCTGACTGGGCAAAAGGGTCAACGAAGCTCCTTAAAGCTCTCTGGGAGTCATTTGAGCAGGAATTCAAGCCTGATGTGGCCGCGATACAAAGACTCAGTAAAGATGTTCGAGATGAGCTGGGTCTGGCCAAGGCACAGGCTGATCGTCAAGACCAAAAACTCCAGGACATTGAAAGGAAAGAATCAGCCGGTAGTAGATGGGAGCTGAATAAGTTCTTCAAACGGGCGGATGATAAACTCGACAAACTCTCGGGGCATTTACAACGGGATGAGCGACGAGCGAGTAAGTGCGCCTGGAATGAACTAGATGCACTGCTGATGTCAGTCTAGGGAAAAGGAGACAAGAGTTGCTTGACTCACTCTCAACACATGATTATCTCACACCACTCAAACTAAGCCGCCGGAAACGACATAGTGAGACGGGGAAGTGGCTATTCCAGACACCGGAATTTGATCGATGGATCAATGGCACCGGCTCTCCCATACTTTGGTATTCCGGCAAGAGTACGTCTCTCCCAGAGTCGCCTGAATATTCTGACAATGGATAGTCGGATCTGGTAAAACGATCCTCACGTCAGTGACCCCCGCTGAGTTCCTCTTGGGTATACTGATATAGACATAGCGCGAGCGTGATTGACCATATTCTGACAACAAAGCGTGCCTCGGATGTCTTCGTCTTATTCTTCTTCCCGCGGTTTGACGAAATGGAGTCCCTAAGAGCAGAAACAATTCTCAGATCGATTGTACGACAAGTCCTGGAGCCGAATGATCTCTCGGAACAAATTGAGACTGCTTTGGGAAGTATGGGGCAGAGCTCTTCGACTGAGTCTGAAGAAGTCCTTGAACTCCTCCAGATGGGAATCGCGCCACTAAGAACATTCTATATCATTATTGATGGGCTGGATGAGTGTGAAAGAAATGACCGCCGCGATATCTTACAGGTTCTCTCTTCTCTAATCTCCAGCAGCTCAAAAGTCAAGGTTTTTATGGCTAGTCGAGAAAACATCAATCGCGAAATAACGAAGACATTCCGTGTGATCGAGCACATATCAATGGGCTGCCCGTCTGGACAGTCCGAGATTGCAGCCTTCGTTGAGGATACACTCCAAGAGCGGTTGGAAACAGAGGATCTCGTTGTCGGAGATCCAACTCTCATCAATGACGTAAAGCAAGCACTGATTGAGGGTGCAGAGGGAATGTAAGTAAACCATGTCTTGGTTTCCCTGTAATATGCTTATTGTCTAGGTTTCTATGGGTCATATTCCAGATTGATGAAATTTGTATGCAACACTGCGATGATGACATCCGAAACTGCATCAAAGATCTTCCAAAGGACTTGACGGACACTTTTAACCGCTGCCTTTCCCGAATAAGTGCTCGAGGCAAAGCGAAGCTCGCGCAACAAACCTTTCCATGGATTGCTGCTGCGAAACGACCCTTATGCCTGGATGAGCTTCGCGAGGCTATCCTTATAGAGGTCGGGCAGCCTTATTCGAAGCCAGACCGGTTCATCAATGACATACAGTCTATTAATTCCTGGTGTGAAAATCTCGTGGAGATTGACGAAGAACATAAATCTGTTCGTTTTGCGCATCACACTATCTTACAATTCTTCCTGGAGCAGTCTTTGAGCCCGAATTCGACAAGTTTCATTTCAACCTTGAAGAAGCTGACCACCATCTTGGCGAGATATGTGTCACCTATCTCAATTTCAACGACTTCAAGACTGCCCTAGCTCGACGACATCAACCACTACCACCCATCACGCCTGTAAATATGGCTTGGTCAACCCTGCCACGTCGATGGAGGCCGACCGCTGCCATCCCTCTGCTTGGAAAGTCCAGCTCTCAGACTAAATCCGAGTTTGCGACGGTGACTGCCATAGAGACTCTCCAACTCGCAAACCCTTTCCTGAGATACGCGTCCATACACTGGATTTTCCACACAAGAAATTTCGAGAAGGAGAGTTCCAAAATGTGGCATACATGGAAGCAAATGATAATTCACGGGCACGCCCTCGCCGTGAGTCCATGGGGAGCGGGTTTGCTAACCCTAGATGACTGTGAAGTTGAAGAATAGAGCATCAAAGAACGCCACTATGCGCTAATCCGCCTGATTACCACAGAGGGAACAGTCAAGCAAAGGAAAATAACGTCAGTCTCCGTAAGAGAAGGTGACATTACAATGCTCAACATCGCACTGGAAGTTGAAACCAGCTTTTACGACCTCAACGATGTACTTGTGCAAGTCACTAAGCTTGGCTACCCGGATCTCGTTGAGAGGCTGATACAGGCGGGGGCTGAGGTAAATCATTTGATTCGACCACATACCCGCACCGCACTGGAGGTAGCTGCTGATGCTGGCTACCTGGATATTGTTGAGATCCTGCTGCAGGCTGGAGCTGATGTAAACCTGGGGCAGAGCTCACTGCATGCAGCTGCCAAAGGTGGCCATCTGGATATTGCTGAGAGGTTACTACAGGCAGGAGCTGAGAGGTTACTACAGGCAGGAGCTGAGAGGTTACTACAGGCAGGAGCTGAGAGGTTACTACAGGCAGGAGCTGAGAGGTTACTACAGGCAGGAGCTGAGAGGTTACTACAGGCAGGAGCTGATCCAAATCTTGGAAATCGAGGGAGCCCACTACAAGAAGCTGCCGACAGTGGCAACCTGGTTATTGTGGAGAGGTTGCTACAGGCAGGAGCTGATCCAAACCTTGGAAATGGATGGAGCCCACTACAAATAGCTGCTAATAGCGGCCACCTATATATTGTGGAGAGGTTACTACAGGCAGGAGCTCATGTAAACCCTGGAGAGGGACAGAGCCCACTGCAAGCAGCTGCTGGATGTGGCCACCTGGATATTGTTGAGGTTGCTACAGGCAGGAGCTGATGTGAACCCTAGCGAAATATGGACACCACTGCAATCAGCTGCTGAAGGTGGCTATCTGGATATTGTGGAGAGGTTGCTACAGGTGGGAGCTGATCCAAATCCTGGAAATAGACGGAGCCCGCTACAAGCAGCTGCTGGATGTGGCCACCTGGATGTCGTTGACAGGCTGTTACTGGCAGGAGCTGAGGTTAATCTTGCTACTGATGAACAGGAAGGACTAAGTGCACTTGAAGTAGCTAGTGCAGGCGGTCACATGGATATTGTTGAGAGACTGATCGCGGCGGGAGCTTCCAGGCGCGAAAAGCCTGTCACTAACACTAAAAAATCTCAAGTTGATTGGCGAAGGTAGACTGAGATATGAGAAAGCCCTCTGCCAATTCGAATGGCGAATGGAAAGAATATATTTCGGCAAGGGACGGTCTGCACGGCGCAGGTTATGACCTTTTTTGGACCTGGAGTTCTGGAAGAAATCAAAGAGTTTGCTATTCGCATATATACCTATGGCTCTTTGGAAATATAACTTTATTCTTGATCCTAAAAATAATTATATAATATCTTCTTTAAGCAATTTAGAATATAATATTTCTAAAGACTAATATTTAGTATTTATTTTCTATTATAATAATATCAATTTTTATTTATTAAGTTTAATTTAATTAAGAAAGATATATATATAGTACTCCCTCGATAAGGGAACCTAGTATTTGAATTTACTGTATTTTCGTTGCGCGCACGTCACAGTTGCCAAGGCCCAAGTTTTGGGTTTCAAGCTGCTTTTTTCTTCTCTGCCGGAATCCTATCTAACTTTTTCGACCCAGTCTAACCTTAATGAATACACTAAAAACTCCCACGACCCGACCTAACGCCCCGAGATCCCCAATGCCCATAATAACCCAAGTCATTTAAATCCCCCCTCTAGCTAGCACCCTATATAGCTAGTATCTATACCAATCTAATATAATATAATAGCTTCTAGAACTAGAAGTTATATTAGGCTCTAGTAATATCTTAGAGAAAGATTTAACTCTTTAAATTAATATTATTAATATTTTTTATTAAGTTATAAAATATAGCTATTTTTATTTAAATATAACGTATCTGATAAGCGAGCGCGCCAGACAAGCGAGCGCGCCATCCAGTTTTACACCTTAAATCACGATTTTTAAAAAGCCTCTAAAATTTCAAACTAAGCCTAAAACAGCCAATATTTTAAAAATAAGTTAGTTATATTAAAATCTATTTAGAAAATAATCCTTAAAAATCCTAGGCAGCTAGAACCTATATAGATATGAAAAGTGGGTCTAAAAGGACCTACTTTTCCAATCTGCCTAGGTTCCTAAGGGGTAGAATTTTTAGGAATTATTTTCTATATAGTCTTTATATTAGATAGCTCTTTTTAAAAATCTTAGCTGTTTTACGTATAGTTTGAAATTTTTAAAAAAGTTTAAAAATCGTGATTTAAGGTGTAAAACTGGATGGCGCGCTCGCTTGTCTGGCGCGCTCGCTTATCAGATACGTTATAAAATAAAATTATTATTAAAAATTTAATTTTCTTATTTATTAATTTAATTTTTATTATAAAAAAATAAAAAAAATTTAAAAATAATTAATATAATTTATTATTTTTTATTTAGATATTATAAATAGTATAATAATAATTTAAATAGATTTTTTTTTAAAAAAGATTTAAAATTTTTTATTTTTTTATTTTTTAAATTTTAAAAGAATTTAAAATTATATTAAATATTATTTATATAATATAAATATAATAAATTACTAATAATAAGAATTTTTTAAATAAAAATTATTATATTTAAAATTAATTATTATAAAATAAAAAATAAATATTAAATAAAATTTAATTTTTTAATAATAAAAAATATTAATTTTTTTTATATTTTTTTTACTTAAAATAAAATAATTATTTTAAAGTTATTAATTATAAATAATAAAATTAAAATTAAAAAAATTAAATAAAAACTTTAAGTAGAGATTAATAGGTAATAATCTTATTATTTAGCTACTATTTCTTCTAGTATTAGATATAGCTTTTATTATTTATTTTTATTATTTAAGATTACTATATAGCTTTAATCTATCTAATAATATTAAGTAAGACTACAAAAAAAACCAAATATATATAGTACTGCCTTTAACTACCTGATATGTAAGGTAGATAGGTATCTTAGTCAAGCTGCTCTTTAGTAAAGAAGCTTGCTACCTGTGTGCGAATAGTAACACTTAACTCAAATGGCGGCTGAACTCGATCCAACTGAATCCGTTAATCTGGTGACTACGCAAGTTTCGCGGCAACTATTGATATTTGTTCCATGAGCCTTATCAACAAGTTTAGCAATATTATTACGACTAGCGGGTTGTATGAAGTACTAATCTTCTTGTCTGAGCGCGTTGTGTCAGATGTGTTGACGGGTTTCCGGTGGAACCTATGGTAATCGTGTGAACGACCGGAAGGATGATTAATTAACAATGAATGATGAGGGATTTATAGCACTGTCACTCGTCTAGGATTGGTAGTTCAAAAACTGTACACCCGCACCGTGACAATAATTGAATTGACTCTTTAGGAGTCGGACATTAGCTCGCATCTTAGCGACCAGAACCTCCACCTCCTCGAAACTCCATCCCAAGATCTAGCCGATTGGATAAACGGCGAAACAATCTGAACTGAGGCTTACGTAAAACGCTGTATACTGGCCCAAATCCCTGAGCTCCTTGTCCTTGGGCCAAGTGCCGTATGTAACCTTGAACTTCTTATGGGTAAGGCTAGTGAACTGTATCTTTTACGCATTGTTTCACGATGCCGTCGTCAACTTTGAAGCTGCGACCTATCTTATCTCCGACATCGCAGAACAATTGGGCCCACTGCTTGAAGATACCATGTGCATATGAGTTGGCTTGGAAATATGAAAGCTTGGATAAGAACCAAGCGCCCTTAAGAGATTTGACTTACTCATCTTTATCGATTTTGACCGTGGGGTTGTCGCTTTGAAGCTCAATCTCAGGCTCTACATACTGGAACCGCCATCTGGCTTCAGAAACTTGTACATTTGCTTGCACAATTTGGGCCAGTCATCAATAGAGCCTTGCATATAACAAACATAAAAGAAGTCAAAGGACTCAGACTCAAAGGTCCAATCTTGCTGTGCATCATCAACCTAAAACCTGAGGTTTGGAGGTACCCAGTTGGGTTGCGTGGGTGAAATATCGGTAGTAATGACTTCAACGCTTGCATGTTGTTGAAACGAAGGCTTACAATAGGTGTACTGCTTGTCTTGACGAAATGGCGTCTTTTTATCACTCTTGATCTCATCATTCTTTGATCCAAACGTGATTCCCCACTATTATTGATGCTATGGCCCTGCTGACGATCAGAGATGTGATGATCTGTCGGTGGCAACCGGTGAACTAAGAATATCAGGCATAAATCGCGTTGGTTGCTACTATATAAGCACATGCAGTGGGGTTTTAGCCACGATCGAAATGGCTCACTGCTCGAAGGCCGTGGGAAACGAGATCCATGATACCAACAAGTCGTCACCTTTCACATATGCAGCAAGTATGTATTTACTAGAAATGTATTGGAATAACATTTCTTCCGATACGGACTTATTTTAATGCTATAAGTAAGTTACTACTCACCTGGTTGCAATTTGGGCTCGTGCTTCTCGGGGTATCCCTGCATCATCGTGCAGGGTCATCGTAGTGAGCACCATCCGTTAATCAGGAAACCAAGGTCAATGATGGCAGCATGGCGCTACGATTGACAGCTGTATGATCTTAAAAAAGGCTGCATATTAGTTGGCACCGATATAGCATCAGCCATCGTGAGGCTTAGCGCTGTTGGCCCGGAACAACCTTCAATGCCTACAACGTGCGATCCCAATCGATGCTGCGTTGTACAACTTCCTGGGGTCAGGGGTCCTCCATCGCATCAATTCACCAATGAGAAATTAAGAATCCTCTGCCAGCATCGGAACTTCAATCAGCCGTCCTAAGCCAGCAACGTGTCAGTGGCTGCATGCTGGCTGAAACATCCACTCAGGGCTGTGCCGCTGCGAGCTCCCAACAGGAGCTATTCTCGGATATGGTGGTGAGAGTTTCGGTGCCATTCTGATTATCGGTGTCACGATTGGCTTCGTTGGTGGGTTAGTTGGGCACTCACATTGCGTATACGAGGCAGATGGGGCAGCGAGTTGGCAGGAAATATGTTGTGGAGCGGAGGCGCGGCAGTGAACATAGCCGTGGAGAGGTGGCAGAATCTATCTGACTCTGCATTAGATCAGAAATGAATGATATAAAGAGGAATTCCTTCGACGAGCTTTAATTATTATTATCAGGATCACCAGCATTCACCACCACTATCCAGTATTACTCACTACATCATCTCCTTCTCCACCAAACCTACTCAGACACCATGAAGGCTAGTGTCGTTCTCAAACTTTTTTGTGCCGCACTAGTATCCGCCTCGGTGAGTGCATCTGGACGGATTCAACTTGCAAATGCATCTGTATCATGTATTAACACCACCAGGTTCTTCCTCGAGGAGTTAAGAGCGCTAGGGAGGTTAAAGTTGTGGAGATAGACGGACTAGCGAAGGTTAGCGATTGTGTCTCGGGCTATAAATAGAGCGAAACTGATATAACTAGGATCTCTGGTCCGAGGGCAACGTCAAGCGCGACTCTGGTGCTGAGGAATTTGACGATAAGAATGAGGTTGGACTGGTTAAACATGACGACGATGTCGAGGTCGACGAACACGACGGGCTTGACAAGCGCGAAGTAAAAACCTTGAACCAAATAACTAGTTCTATGCTGACAGATATCAGGAAAAGAGTGTTTGTCGATGGGGTGGAAAAGGGCCCGCAAGTGCCCCTGCCATCCGTGATGGCATTAGCTACATCAAAGACAACTGGGATGGTTATGACTGCCAGGTCGAAGCCGGTCCCAGCAAATGCAAGCGTTTCACATGTTCATGGAACTCTGCCATCTGGCTCTGCAACGACACCAACGAAACGCTCAAGGTTCCGTGCCGCGATATCGCCTCCATGGCCGGAAAGATTATTGACACGTGTGGTTGGTATGATTGGGAGCCCATGGTTCAGGGTAAGTTGATGAGCTGAGTTTACTGGATTAAGTCTAACGATGGATAGGCCAGAGATTCACCGGTAACAAGGAATGGAACGTCATCGTTGGTAAAGATAGCTGCTAGAGCGACGATGTTTATGAGATGAATGACCAGGGACACGCCAGGATGAATTAACGAAGGAAGATGGATATGGGTAGTATGGCGATTTTTATTACGTGTTTGGCATCATTTTTGAAGGACAGGGATTGAATTTGACTCGAGACATCACGATCACTAGCAACATCGCCAGGCACATTGCAATATTTATTTCAGTATCGTAGCACCACGTACGCTTGTTTGCATGTTATTCTCGGAGTTACTACAAATGCATCGTTTGACCCGTTTCCCTTCATTCTCAGGGTTTAAACAATATATGCAGGCTGTTGGTAGACGTGAGAAGCTGACATGAGGACTTGCTAGAAGCTCGTGATGTCGTCAAGATAGTGGCCAATGACATCTGGCAATAGATCTGCGCCTCGTTACAGCCACATTTGCGCGAAGTGGTTCGCCCGTTTGAGGCGGCGGTCACGAGGCAACCAGGCTTTACCTGCGCGCTTTTTGAAGCTCAGAGGAGATTGGGCTGCGCGTTGATCCAGACTTCTGTCATCCAATTCATCACAAACACTCTAAAAACACCTAAAAACGCTATTAATCACAGAGAGCTGTAATAATCACGCCTGGACCTTTCGTAACCATGGGAAGCCCCAATAAAGACGCCAGTCTCAACGAGGCTGCCAACCCTTTCCGACCAGCTGATGCGAACGTACCCCGACAACGCAAGCCATTCTCAACAATATTTTTCCCTCCTAATCCCCATTTCATTGATCGTCCGAAAATTTCAGACTGGCTCCATACGAAATGTGCCCAGCCGGCTGCTCGAGTCGCGCTTGTTGGCCCGGGTGGTATAGGGTGAGTACAGATACGCCCAAAGATATACTCGTCTCACAACATCAGGAAATCGCAGCTTGCCATCAACTTTGCTCGTCAAACTCTAGATCTGTCGTCTGATGCCTCGGTATTTTGGGTACCTTGTAGCAATCGAGATCGATTTGAAGAGGCATACTACGTCCTGGCGCACGAACTAAAGCGACGGGGACAAAAAAGCTCTACAAAAGTCGTCCCATCAGTTGCAAAGTGTCTTGACGAGGAGGAGAATGGGCCATGGATCATGATCCTCGACAACATGGAAGACGATAATGCCTTCTTCACGAGCCAACAGTTTGCGGCATCCCTCCCGCAGAGCCGAAATGGGTCGATCATCCTCACGTCTCGCAGCATAGACGTAGCAAGGCGAATAGTAGGCGGTGTTGAGAATGTCCTCCAGGTGCCCGCAATGGAGGGCAACGAATCACATCAACTCTTGCAACAGAATCTTGGAGATGAATATAACCAAGAAGCAGCGACCGACTTAGCATCGACTCTCCAGCATATTCCCCTCGCTATCATACAGGCAGCCGCTTTCATCAGACGACAGAAACCACCAATTTCAATACCCACATACCAAAAGGAGTTCCGAGCTCGCGTTCACAATCCGAATCCTCTTTACCCTGATGTGAGCCGACTCCATCATGCTAGAAGTGCCCCATCTTCTGTTGCCACCACTCTTCAGATCTCATTCGAACAGATTAGTCGCGAGAGACCATCCGCCGCTGATCTACTATCATTCATGAGCTTTTGTAGCCCACATGGAATTCCTAAGTCTGTGCTTCAGGATTATATCCACAGTAGAAAAGACAGAGCAGGCGACCCCGATGTGAACCTTGATGAGGATCTTGAAGTCCTTGATGGATACTCGTTGGTAACAAGAGCAGGCCAAAGTGGATTTTCCGGAATTCAGCCGTTGGTGCAGTTTTACAAACGGGCCTGGCTCTCAACATCTGATTATCAGCGATGGAGGCGAGAGGTCTTACGGTTAGTGTCGCATGAGCACCCACTAGATGTCTACGAGAACTGGGGAGAGTGGCGGATACTGCAACTTGACATCGACGCGATTATAGACGAAGAGCCAGGGGACAAGGAATACGCTTCGACGTGGATAAAACTAATTTCTAATGTGGGATGGCATCGATACCGAAGAGGAAATGATACTGAGGCGGGGGTATTCATCCAGCGAGCCCTCGAGGTTTGGGAGCGAGAACTTGGAAAAGACGACCGGCATATTATTACCAGCATTGGGGGCCTCGTATCATCATTGCAAAATCGGGGCAAGCATGAAGAAGCTGTAAAGATATGCCGAAAAGCTGTCGAATCAAGCAGGAGGGTGCTTGGTACAGATGACGCAGACGCGGTTGCTATGACCAGGAGACTTGCATCAGTGTTGCGCGATCAAGGCCAATACGAGGAAGCAGAGACAATCTATCGACAAGCTTGGGGGACGATGGAGAGGGTCTATGGGAGCTCTGACCGGGACACGCTGTCTACTCTCAGTAATGTTGCTATGGTCTTGTATGGCCAAGGGAAGCACAATGAGGCAGAGAAGCTCTACAGACAAGCCTATGAGGCGATGGAGAGGCACCTTGGTAAAGATGATCGAGATACCCTCGAGAGCATCTACAATCTGGCTTCGGCGTTGTATGCCCAGGGCAAGTACGAGGAGGCAGAAAAAATGTATAGACAAGCTGGAGAGGCGATGAAAAAGGTCCTCGGAAAAACCCATCCAGACACGCTCAGGACCATCAACAATCTCGCATCCACAATCCGGGCTCTCGGGAGATGGAAAGAATCCGAGGCGCTTTTCAAGCAAGTGATGGAGACACGAGCGATGGTACTGGGATCTGAACACCCCCATACGCTAACTACCATGGCCAATCTAGCCTTGACCTACGGACGTCAAAGACGATGGAGAGAAGCCGCAGGGTTGGGTAAAAAAGTGATGGAATCAAGGAGGCAAGTATTAGGTGAGGATCATCCGGACACGATCACGAGCATGGTTAACTTAGCGGCTACATTTGGAAACGAGGGCCGATGGAAGGAAGCTGGGGAATTATTCTCTCGTGTAATGGAGGCGAGAAAGCGAGTCTTGGGAGAAGAACACCCTGATACGGTAACCAGCATTGCCAACGTAGCCTCAACCTATCAAGATCAAGGAAGATGGGAAGAGGCCGAGCAGCTGGGAGTCCAGGTTTTGGAAGTGAGAAAGCGAGTGCTTGGAGCGGATCACCCTGATACTCTTTCCAGTATGGCTTCCCTTGCCTTTTTTAGGAAGGGCCATGGCGATGAGACGAATGCGATAAACTTGCTGGAAAAATGCCTGATGAGCCGCCAACGAATACTGGGTCCTAATAATCCCGACACGATATTCACTCGTTCAACTCTCAAGAAGTGGAAAGGTATCAGGATCTGGGCTCAGGTCTCCGAAACTGACGACTCTGATATCGAAACTTCAGCCGCTTCGTACTCTTGGCCGCGACCGAACTCAACAAACCCGTCTTCGCTTCCATACGCTGGTACCGCAGATTGGGACCAAGTGGCCAAGAGTCGTCCACCTACGACCTTTTTCAACTACAAGATGCCTGAAATCGAACGGAAGCCAGACAAGAGAGATGAGAGCGATATCCAATCAGTTGAGTCTATATCAGACGATATCGAGTCCTTGGCCGAATCTCAGTCGGCCATGGCGGATTACCGACAAGCTGCGGTGAACTACATTGTGAGCAAGTTTGCTGCCAATTCCAGCCTACTAGTCCTCTACCAAGAAGCGGCTCAGAGTATGGGCGAGGCAAAGTTTGTGAGAAATCACCGCCGTTTGTTAAAGAAACTGTTGCTGGACCTACGCTATGAAGGGACATCGCCGTCTCAAAAGTTGGCGGTCGAGTTTTTGCGATCGCGAAGCAAGCGAACTCACATCTCACTCGGGATCCGCAACCTTGTTACGCCGTCGGATAATACCATTCGAGAGGAAGTGACTCTGATGCTGAAACAAGAAAAGGACAATCTATTCCTTCTCAACCGACTTCTCGGAGAAAAGGACTCGGAACTACGGCCCGCGCCTATCGACACTGCTTCTCATGGTGAGCCAAGCGTACGGTTTCCTGACCTAGATGGAGACACTGCTAGCGAAGGAAGCGAGAGTGACAGCAGTAGTATCGATGGCCATGGAAGTGACAATGAGATTGAGATTGGAGTAGATGATGCGCTTTCCAATCTGGAGGCGACGGCAGAGTTCCTGACCTCTGGACGACCATTCAATCTATACATGGAAAATCTCCGCAGATTTTTGCGTTCCTTGCCTATGGCAACCGACTTCAAAGACGACCTAGGATCAGATTCCGTAGCCACTTGTCTAGTGTCGGGGCAATTATCGCACGAGAAGATTGAAAATGGCCCGATGGAAGATTTCTCATCGAGTCAAGCAGAGCTCAATCCAAAGACACCCTCATCGCTGTGGCTTTGGTTTATGAGTATCTACTCTCCACCACCGGTTGGCTATCAACGCCTATCTTACACATGCGTAAGTTTCTTGTTGCTTCATGACGAATCGCGATTGACATGTTCCAGGGCTGTGGAGAAGTTTCCTACGTCGACGTTCGGGAGCTATCACCAGGTGGAATCGATCGATTTCGGAGGAGACTAATCAACAGTGTCTCTGCTGCCAGTACCGGGAAAGAAAACCCACCGTCTCCAAATCACCCAACCCCTCCACCTCAAGCTCATCTGAAGACATCAGTGAACACGCCACAGTTAAGCATCTTGCATATTCCGCATCCGACCCCGCCAATTGTTGCCCAACCCGGAAACATCTCCCCCGAGAAGACGGCCGTTGAAATCTGCGGCGATCCCGAATACATTCTTCTTTGCATCAACACGAAGAATTCAACGGCTCTTGCCCATATTGAAACGAGTCTTCTCAGCAGCGATCAGTATCTATTTCGGCAGATTTTTGATGAATATCAAAGAGTTAGGAGGGTGAATGAGTGGAGGATCTCATCCATTATTCCATCCTGGGTCAAGACTTCACTCCATTCGATTTCAGAACGGGTACCAAGCCCTCCGTCGCGAATAGGCTGGCTTATTTACCCCTTGTCCCTCCGAAATATCTGGCGGGGATTCCACCTGCACAAGATTACATCTGGAGACTTTGTCCGAGTACGTATAGGTCTACTTGGGGCACTAATAATATCTGACTTTTATTAGTTTCGTTTGATCCCTATACGAGAGGAATGTTGTCCTAGGTGGTTCAAGAAGCGAGAACTTCCCCCAGAGACAGAAGTAAAAGCAGGGAGATATCGCTATGAACCTGTCCCAATGGACGATGTCGAGCTTGCCGAAATTCCATTATCGCACTTGCTTAAGCCTGGCCCTCACACTGACAGGTTCTGGATAACGACGTTTCCCAAAAAGCTCCGTGAGCAGTTGGTCCGGCGACCAGGTGCTGATGGGCAGCGGGTTATAGGATGGGGTATACGCATTAACGAGGGGTTAAACTGGAGCTATATTCTGCTTCTAACGCTGATGTCACTAATTGTGATTGGGATTATTGTAATTGTTTATGCGATGGCCACCTCTGATGGATCCGCGGCTTTTGGTTTGGGGGCATTCTTGGTTGCGGTGTTTACGGTCTATAGTACGTATCAATATTTAGCATGGAAGGAGGAGTAACCGGGAAGGTATATGATATTCAATGGCAATGAACAATAATCACTCTTATTCGTACTGGCATGCAAATAGCCCTCTATAACAGAGTAGGGCTCACCGATGTGACGTCCTCTCCTGAGAACAAGCTCATGTTCACCAAGTCAGCAGCCATAGCCGCTCGTATCAACCAAACGTGAAATTTAGGGTACTTCGGGTATGCTATCCTAAATAAATATGCTGGCTATGCGTGGATTGATGCTAATAGCGATTGGGCAAGCCTGCAGGTGTTCAAGGCTGCAAGATTAATAACGAAACTACCGCGCCACTAATTATTAAGCATTGTCACTCACAGAACCATTCGGACTAATTAAATGACTCTGGTTTACTTCCCTGTCACAATGAAAAGAGACAATAGTTATGTGGTAATAGTAATAGAATGGGTATGGTATATAGTCCTAAGGCTAAACTGATAGGGATAAAGAGCGGGTTTTAGGCTTTAGGCTTTATATCTTAGCTGAGGTTATCTTAAATTATCATAGAAGCTTACAAGCTTAGCTAAGGCTTATACCTCTTACTGTTAAGTATATACTCAAGGCAGTCTTTGCTGCTATTCCCATCTATAGAAGATGGGCTAATTTACTCTATTTACCCAATTCCTATTGTAACTCTAATGTGATATTGCTCGAACAGGAAACCGTACACCTTACGGTCCTTTCGGTGTCTACTCTTTCGAGACAAGTCTACCAGCTGCCCTGCGCACCACCATGAAATGGCAGCTCAAGATATGAGATCGAACATCACATCGCAGCACCCGCGATGATGACCATGATGCACGCTTCACGGTCCGCTGAAACTGATTGCTAACCGTATGGAAACACACCTTGCACCTTACTACGTGAACAACAGGTCTCTCCAGGGAAGGACTGGTGAATAGGTCTGAGACATTACTCGCTATTTTAATGCATTCTTATTTTGACTAAAACTCATCAACATAATCGACAACCTGACCTTTGGCTAGCTGGCTAATTAATCCAGAGCGGATAGAGCAGAGACCACTTTTAACCTGTTGATTTGTTGTTGTTTCAATCCGAAGCTCCAACTCGTCAATTCTGGCTTGTAGTTCCTGTCGTTGAACCTCCTCTGGATCAAGTTCCTCGTCTTCCTCGGCTTCATCAATTTCAGGCGTCTCTTGCAAAAGACCATCGCCGAATGCCGCCCCGAAAGACTCAGCCATACCCGCATCCTTGATGGCGAATACAACGTCGTCCAGGCCGTCCCACGTCTCTTTTTTGTTCTTATTCTTGCCCTCCTTTCGAGGCAGAAGCACCTTCTTCCAAGCTGCCGCTATTTCGCCCACGGGATTTCCATATGCTCCGCATCCCCAAGCTCCAAGCACCACCTTTGTCACACCTTTTGCTTGGCAAATCCGCAGTACCATCTTCATTTTCTGCACGACCAGCTCACGGTCTTTTTCATTTGCATAAGCTCCCCTTCCAGCGTCGTTGCGGTCTGTCTCTGGACCTCGCAGCATTGCCGCAGTGATGCAGTCGACGAACCAGCGATCTTTCTTCTCCAGCAGTTCGTCGGCTGCTTCGTCTCTGAAGACCAACACGTCAGGCGTGTAGACTGCTCCCAGCTCCGGCAACCGGTAATATTCATCTTTCAAAGATGCAAGCAATGTGGTACGCATACACAGGGACTCCTCCTGGCTGCTGGCGCCGTTGAGGAACCCTCCACCAGGCGATAGAGGCGAAGCCATGTTCAAAATGGCGACTTTGGGCACCTTGCGACCGTGACTGGCTGGATCCCTCGGAGATGCGGTTTCATTGAGAAGCAAATGAGCCGCAGTCAGAGTATCGGCTACTCGAAGCGTAAGACGAGGCCCAGCTCTGATGTCTGACGATTGCTCTGGTTTTTGCAGCGGCGGGTTGACAATCAGCTCTGCAGCCTCGATGCCGCGACGTGCGCGGGGATGCGTTGGCAGCAGCGATGGGATTAACTGGTTGATTGTGACCTTGGCCTTTTTCGACCGAGCATCACGGCGGAAGCTCGCGGGCGGTTGGCCAACTGAGGGTTCGGTTCTTCCCATTTTGATGTGAAAAGTGATGAGTTTGGTGAGATGTTTGGTGATGATTTGTAGCGGATGACGCTATGAGTACGGCCTCTATTGTACAGCGGGGTTCTGTGGTACAGTGGGGCGGTAGTGCTGAGGACCCTGATAACCTCGATGGAGTTGACCAACAACCCTTGTGGACAAGTTCGAAGTAGATGATCGTATTAGAATATCTTGAATCATTATATAATGGATATAGACTGGAAAGCTTATCGCGCTTTAGTGCCCAAGTGTTTGCTTCCCGATTAATTTCAGGAGTCAGTATGTCATGCAAAGTGACTCTGTCCTAAATATTGGATCGAAATTAATTGACTTGGGCTGTCTAGAGCCTGAGTCTGACTTGGCCCGGAAGTAAACGCAACCTGGATCCCACTATGCGCAGCTATCAGAAGTATGGGCGACTCAGAACGTCCAGGTATTTAATTTTGTATATCCAAGAATTACACGCCTTTTAGGTCACAATTAATTAAGCCCAGCCACCACCCTCTAGCCGTCTAACAAACTCTTCAACATGATGTTATCCCTTTGAACAACAGTTCCAACCACAAAATCATGGTGTCCAACCCTGCGGTAACCCCATTTCTCGTATGCACTGAGCGCCCTGAAATTCTCTTCCCAAACTCCAAGCCAGATGTTTTTATATCCTCTTTCCCTGGCCATTTCGTGTATTTCTGAAGAAAGTAGCCCACCGATGCCTTTCCCGTGTCCTGATGGATGGACGTAGATTCTCTGGAGCTCAACTGTGTCCTCCACGTGAGCAATGCAAGGCTCAGAGCTGCCGGTGTTGAGGTATGAGAAACCAAGGATCTCGCCTTCTGAACCAGTCGCAACTATAATATGTTTGTTCTCATCTTGAATGTCTTGAGTAATGGCGGCGACTGTGTATGTTTCGTCGAGAAATGCTTGAAGCTCATGAGCTTCTACCGAGTGTCCAAACGTGGCGGTGAAAACGTACGCGCCAAGCTTTGCGATACTTGGAGCGTCCGCAAGCTGCACTTTTCTGATCGTAACAGGCATCCCAGGGGAGCCTGACTTCTTTTTTAACGCGGTCATTGTAGTTGAACAGAATGCAGAGAGGTGGATGCTTGACTGAAGGCAACTGCTCGTTGGATCCGTAAGTAACAAACAAATGAACAATGGCCTATTGAATATTTAGACGGAAAAAAAGCAATCGAATCGAATTGTCACTGAAACCTGATTTTTGGCTGGGGGAAACTGGCTTCGAGGTGTTTACCATTTATGCGAAATCCAGACCACCGCTTATCTCTGAGCTAGGCTGGGGTAGCCTGACGGGTGGATTGACCTGGAATGTTCTGTGATTCGTTCCACTGTAAATATTCTCAGTCTAGCTGGTTTTTGACAATGGTGCGCGCCCTGAAAATGACAAGCGCTAAGATCCTTCACGAGGGATCCTGGGCTCGAGGTCCGGATCGGTATCTCCGTGCTAGCGATTCAGTGCCCTGATTGGATGAGCTACGGTTGAGGAAAAGGGTGACATGTCCAGATTTTCGGGTTAAAGATAGGTTAAGGGAAACGTGGACGACAAAGGAAAACAAGAGAAATTTATGGAATTGCGGGTGGATATGTATATTGTAAGTATTTTTTTGCATTGATTCCGGTGCGTCGAACTGTCGCAAATGCGGAAGATTTCAAGACCCAAACGAAATGCTCTTCTAAAGTTAGACATTCATATTTCTGGATCGCCGCTTCAACTGAGTGATTGACAGCATCCCTTGGTGAATTCTAAATTGTCCACGGCGGCATCAGATTTGGCATCTCGCAGGTGTCGCCGTGTAGCTCTTCCTAGCAGCTGGGATCTTGACACGGAGGAAGCACCATCTAAGACTCCCAATTCTTTTAGGTATCGCGACCCATGGACATTGAATATCGCAAACCACAACTTACCTGCCACATATCAATTATGACATATTTCCCCTTGTCCTCGCCTGTAGGCCGTTGTAGCACTCCAGTAGCAACAACATAGTTGAGCCACTCATAGTGAGGATGTCCAGTCTGGAAGATGCCCCTTAGCAGAGTTTGGTAGTTGGGTTGTGTTGGGCCAGCCGTTTGGATAAAGATATCCGCACCGTCATCGGTCCGCAGGTTATACCGAGTGTCGGGGAAGAAGACGCCCTTTGTGTCGGTGACGCCCCAGTCGGCGCCAAGATTGGTGATAGTACCGGACATGCGCGGGCCAGAAAAGGTGCCTCCTACGATTGGAATTACCACTCGGCTTCCTTGGCCGTAGTCTCCGATTTGCCACCGTTCACCGAGAGTACAATTGGCGGTATAGAGGAATTCCAATGACGGCGTACCGAGGCGCTGACCAGTGGTGATGGCCGTTAACGCCAGGGTCAAGAAAGAGGAGAGTCTCATATTGAATGTACTGTCGTAGTACAAGAATGCAGAACCAATTTAGATTTCAGGATCATTTATAATTATATATCATCCCTTGATTCTAAGATCTGCCCGCGGCTGAGATTGTTGCGGAGTTCACCCCGCAACTTGCAAGCGGGGATTGTGGCATTTGTCGTGGCATCTAGTCTTGGCTATGACAGAATTTTTTTGATGGTACCCAATATTCATTCATATTGAATGGGCAGAGGTTTGGGGAACGAAATTCGGACATGGTGGTGCTCAACCACAGATCATCCAAGGTGGCGTCATTCAAGTACCCACAACCCCAACCTGATCAATGGCCTAGGATATCTAGTAATACTAATAGCTGTCAAATTACAGAATCAATGACCCTTCGAGCTCGGCAAAGAATCCAAACGCCTTCCAACCAATTAGCATGAACTGGGGAGAGCCACAGGCCAACCAATACTTACTGAAGAGTCCAAGTCTAGCCAATCAGTAGCTTGCCATTGGCTTAGAGGGTTCAGCATTGATTGGAAATGAGCTTCGCCTTGATCCTCAAACATGGACCCGAGATCGTCTGCCATTGATTCCAGAACTCGCTGGTCACCGTCATCAGTCATTGTAGACTCTTGTGGCTGATCTATCATCTGGTGCCGCATGAGCACTGGTGCGGAACTGTGTCTGGCCTCAACCCTGAGCTCCTCAATGATGATGCTGTATCTTCGGCTTGCGGATTCGGAGGAAATTGCCTTGGCCAGATGGCATTGGCATTGCTCAGCGAGAGTGAACAGTGAGGGATCCTCAATTTCTGTCATGCCGTTTGCTTTTTGTTTAATTTCCCACACGTAAACAATTGCCAACGCGCAGAATGTGACATATGGCGTCCACCAGAGCGCATAGAATAGCACGGTTCCGTCTGAAAACATGCGATCGACAGTCTCCAAGGCCATTTTGGCTGCGCTTATGCACTCGGCAACACACTCGCGCATCGCCGTTTCACCAGGATCTCCGGAATGATCCAGTAGAAAGGGTCTATTGGCGTGCATGATTGCGTGGCAATAAGCCAGCTTCAAAGCTGTAGCCTGTCTACCGAAACTTGGGATGAGGCTTGAGGGACGGACGGTTCCAAGGTATGGTGGCAGTTCTTCACGCCACTCGTGCAGTTGGCGAGTAAACCGTTGCGCTGCGGCCAGTCGTTCGTTGTTGGTCATCGGTTTTAGGGAGTAGACTTCTCGAGAGGTGTTTTCGATAATCCTAGCCACCCTGTTGCGTGTTAGAGTGACCACAAAATTACATCTCAGCCTTACCTAGCGTGAAAGATCAACGAGTCAATATGACAATCCATCCTGGGCTCAGAAAGTGATGGCCCCTGAGGCGTCATGTCCTCGTCATTGACTCTGTCCGGGTAGTCTTGATCCACATCGTCGTCGTGGTAGAATCTGGGCCTGCCAAAAACCACAGCAAGATACTTGTCTATGGTATACACAACCCAGAAAGTTCTCTTGCAGCACTCTGACATTATGTAGTCCATGGTTGGACTTCGGCTTCCTCCAACTCGATGCCGGGCTGTTTTGCGGTGCAGGCCAAGTGCGGAAACAATGGGAACAGTGTTGCCAAACACATACCACGCCTGATTCATCCGCGACGTCTGGAGAAGATACAACACCTGTAAGACTCTAGCCTGGGCGGATTCTACCCTAGGCAAGCCAGTCTCTCCAGCTGTGAGATTTATAGACGTGGTAAAGTATTGCTCGCTTTGCCGAAGTGCAAAAGATTCTCCCGTGTCCAGGGGTACCGGTGCGGAAATTTTGTGCTGCCTGAGACTGGCGATGGCCAAGATACTGACCACTATTGCCGCCTTGGCATGGCTGAGGCCGGTATGCAGAGGGAGACCGTTTTGAACATTGTGAAGAATTGTTCCCAGCCATGAGAAGCAGTTTTGCTGGTTGAGGACGCGGTACGTGACGACGCAATTGTCAAAATAAAATTTGAATAGCTCCACTGACGTCTCCTGGTCTAGGAACATCAAGTCCTGGCCTTGTGGGGTCATGAATGGCTTATCACCTGCCGACATAAGCGGCTGAGAGTGTTCTGATCCAGTTAGGACATTAGGCCCCGTATCTCGTTTTTGCAGGGCCAGTCTTTTCCAGGCACGGTGGATAAAGGTAAGATTTGAAGTAGGGTCAACTATTTGCCCTTCAATCTCGGCGGTTTCAAGTCCGGGTGAGCCGCGAGATGTCGCTCGCGACGTGTAATTGTCTTGGGGTTTGGCTGCGCTGGATGCTAGCCGGTCACTTCAAAAGTTAGCTTCATATTGAGACTTGATGTGTGAGCTCACGTTTCAGTTGTGCAAGACTGCCTCGTATGGTTTTCTGGTGACGCTGCAGCTGGGGGAGTCGGAGGTCGGCCACGTCGATATTGGGCATCGTATTGACAAGAGAGGCCCTTCTTGGTGCACAGAGAACACGGAATTGTCCCGGTGCACTTGAGTTTCTTGAGCTTACAGTGATCGCAAGCACGGCTGACCTTGGCAGCTTTTCGACGGTTCGAATCCGAGCCTTTTGGAGACGACTCCGAGGGCCGCTTTGTTCTGCTGGAGGCTGTCCCTGAGGACACATCCGACATGGGCGTCGATGCTTGGATCGACCCATGGGTTCTCATTGGGCTCATTGGACTCTCCATGGCGATGTTTCCGACGGGAGAGTGTGGATCCAATATCGGAGGACTCGACCAGGTGGATAAAGTTGCCAGAATGAATCTCGGAAATGCTGGCGGCGCTCGGATTTATACCATGCTGAAAACACAACTGCGGGGAATGCGGAGCTAAATCCGTGGCGCACTCTTGTAGGGTAAGTTCACAAGACGGTCGAGATGATCAATGCAAGGAATTATGTCACGGCGTAGGTTGAGACATGTTTATGAGAATATTTATAATTAATTAGTTCTTATGCAGGTCTTAGGGATAGATTATGATGATTTTACATTAGGGTAGCCTAAGTGAAAACCCTTGGCTACTTGGAAGTCATAACATGTCAAGAGAGAGTAATTTTAATCTTTAACTGATTGGAGATCTATGTATTCTGTCTCAAGGTTATGCTACTAGTCTGTCCCATCCACGGGATTACTACTGACAGGATGTGTCATGCGAGATCTACATAACCTTGCTAAGGGAAGCCGAGGAAATTGCCGCGTGGATCTCCTCCTCAGCACTATCTTGCAGGGGCAGAAGAGGCGACCGAACAGTAGCATGTGACAAAATACCCCGGGCAACAAGCGCATGCTTCAACGCGACCGTACCCTCCATATGAGACCCACGGTGATACACTGCCTTGGTCACAGGGAGGAGTTGGTCGTGGATCTCACGAGCCCTCTTGTAGTCCTTGGCCTTTCCAGCCGCAATGAGCTGAATCAATGGCTCAGGGGCAATGTTTCCGTATCCAACAAGCATGCCGTCCACGTCAAAGGCGGTGTGCAGGAGATATTCGTCGTGGCAGGTGAGCACGGGAACATTGGGTCGCTCCCTTCGGAAAACGGGAATCTCGGTATCCCATCGTCGCATGTTGCGCACGCCGTTCTTCATGGCAATGACACCAGGAAGGGCGGCAATGTCCAGGAGGGTCTGGAGGTTGTAGTTGGCCTTGGTGTTATCCGGGTACTGGAAAAGGATCAGAGGCAGCTTCGACACCTCGTACACGACCTTGTACCGGTCCTGGGGAGCACCAGGCTGGTATCCGAATCGCAGCCAGCCATGGGAAGGGTACAAGAGACCAGCCTGGGCGCCAGCTTCCTTAGCGCGCTTAGCCTCGAGAGCGGCGACCTCTGTGCCTTCTCCGGTGATGCCAGCAATAATGGGAATGCGGTTGTTGACAGACTTGACAAAGGCCCGGATGACATCGAGTTGTTCCTCGGGGGTCAAAAAGGTGCCTTCGCCTGCATGGCCTAGAACAACAAGGCCCTTGACGCCATCAATGCTGCCAAGCCAGGAGCCCAGGCGCTGGATGGCCTCGTAGTCAACCCGCCCGTCCTCAGTGAAGGGAGTGACGGGAGCGGGGACAAGGCCTTTGAGATCGATAGACATTTTGATGAGTTGAGTTGTAGATTTTGAATTGATATTGTTGTTTGGGTTGATATTGTTGTTTGGGTTGATATTGTTGTTTGAGTTGAAGGTTGTGGTGAGTATTGAGTAGCATATCTTGTGTTGTCTCGTCCTCTTTATAAGGGCGACATTGATCTCGCCTCTCGCCATCATCACCCGAGGACAACCCTCAAGTGGACCAAAGCTCCGAGACCCTCGGATATCCAAGCGATGTCAACGAGACAAGAGAATAATCCGGAGTTTTTTGCCCATGTTTGGGAGTCGCCATCCACGTCGTCACAAGTCCGAGATGAGAATCCGGAAAAGTGGCTCGGATTCCCGGATTCGCCCTCCGGACTAACGTCACGACCACGCCACCGACGCCAGAGCCTCCTAATGTCTCCAGACGACGAGATACTAGCTATCCTGGGAGTAGCTCCGCATTCGTGCTGAAATTTGCTCCTAGAACTTTTCCGAGTCAGGCTCCCCGCATCTCCAGTGTGAGCTGGACGCCTCCGCATTTCCCCAGAAACCTGGGGAAAGTCGGCCAGTTGAGATTGAAGTGGCTTCATGATCCCTTGCAAGCGAGCATTAGGATGGAGTGGTAATCGCAGCTGTGTGTATAAGTATCCGGGTCTCCGCACTCCAGTGGACTGAATTCCACACACTCTGCAACGGACACAATGGCACACAACAGAGCTTCCATGGAGGTTGGTGATCTCGAGGCCGTCGCGCAAGAGAAGACTGGAGCCATCCACAATGAAAACCAGCGCGGAGGTTTGTCTTCTGAGGACTGGGAGTTTCTCAATGCGTTTCCTGAAGACCACAAGAAGAAAATCCTTCGCAAAGTTGATGTGAGTCGGTCGTATTTGTTCTTGACGTCACTAACCTTTGTAGCTGCGATTGATACCCATGCTGGTGCTCCTGTACCTGATTGCGTACCTCGACAAAACAAACATTGGTATGGATTGAAACATGTGGTGGTGATGAAGCTAACAGTTGTAGGAAATGCAAAGATTGAAGGTCTGACTGTCGACCTAAAACTCAAGGGCATTCAATACAACGTTGTCGTCGCCATCTTCTTCATCCCCTTTGTCCTTTTTGGTAAGTCATCGCCCATCCAAAGGTGCATTGCTAATCATCGCAGAGGTCCCCTCGAACATGATCCTCCATCGCTTCAAGAGACCGTCCTGGTACATGGGCGGAATTGTCTGCGCCTGGGGCATCGTCATGACCATGACGGGAATTGTCCAAAACTACGGAGGACTCCTGACCATCAGATTTCTCCTGGGAATATTTGAGTGAGTGCTTCACCCTCTGTGAGAACGCGACTAACCTTTCAGGGCCGGTTTTCTCCCCGGTGCAATCCTAATCATCTCCAACTGGTACCTCCCGAACGAAACCCAAGTCCGAATCGCCATCCTCTACACATCGGCTGCGACCGGCGGCGCTTTCTCCGGACTTCTTGCTTTTGCCATTGCCAAGATGGACGGCGTGGCTGGACTGGAAGGCTGGCGCTGGATCTTTATCATCGAGGGCATCTTCACCGTCATTGTCGGCGTCATGTGTGTCTTTCTGCTCTGCGACACGCCGGCCCTGTCTACGCGATGGCTCAACGGCGAGGAGATTCGATATCTTGAGCTTCGACAGCTCAGTCGTCGCGCAACAGCTCCCAACGAGTACAAAGACAGCACCAACGCCAATCTCGCCATCTTCAAGGATATCCTTTTCGACTACAAGATCTACCTCTTGACATTTGCCAACTGGTCGAATGCGGTGCCCAACTACGCCATGAAGTTTACCATGCCTAGTATCCTCACCGGCATGGGGTACACATCTTCGATGGCCCAACTCATGACCATCCCTCCGTACGCAGTGGGAGCGATGTCGGCATTCGGGTTCGCTATTTTTGCCGACAAGTATTCGTGGCGGTATCCGTTCATCCTGGGACCGCAAATCTGTCTCGTCACGTCGTTCATCATCCTCTTTGTCAAGTCCGGAAACATCGAGCAGAACATTGCCGTGTGCTACTTTGCAGTCTGCCTGGCGTGCTTTGGGTATGTTTTCCAAATATCAGTCCACTACTTGTCTAATTTGTCCAGCATGTATCCCATTCTGCCCGGCGTCAACGCCTGGAACGTCGCCAACACGCCCGACCCGGCGAAGCGATCCATCAACATCGGCCTGCTGGTTTGCATAGGTAACATAGGAGGCCTGATCGGATCGTACATTTACCTCGACAGCGAAGCGCCTCGCTACCCGACCGGTTACGGCACGTCGCTGGCCTTTGGCTTGGCTGGGATTGTCGCCGCCACGCTGCTGGAGTTTCTGCTGAAGCGGGACAACGCCAAGAAGGCTCGGATGACGGAGGTGGATATCAGAGAGCGATACACGGAGGAGGAGCTGCAGCGACTGGGCGAGAAGAGTCCTTTGTTCAAGTATGCACTGTGATTTAGGTCACATTTCAAGACAATTTCATGGCAAGCACGTCATCAAGCGCTCAAAGGAGAATCATCAACCATTTCTTTAATTTCGTTGCATCGTAAACCCAACTTCATTCCTTGCTCAGTCCTGTGCCTTCGTCCAACAGCGGGCGCGTTCCATACACCACCATTCCGTGCTCTCCCTCCACCTGGAGTCCAAAACGAGCATCAAGTGTTGCCAGTGTTCATGCCATCATCGGGGTTAGGTTGCTGTAGAGTTCGTCGCCGAAAATACCCAGGTGCACCAACAACTCAATTCCCCCACGAGCAATGGTGACGTTAGGTTTCTGGGTCGCGCGATCGAAATACGCTTTTCCAGTGGGAAAAACAATCCCTTGGACTAGGCCGCTGCTCGAGTGCTTCTGCACCATGGCGAAGGCGGTCCGCAAGTGTTCATCGTCGTTGCAAGCAACGGCAATGGAGCCAGCAACCTCGGGAATCTTGGCGAGGACGTTGCCATCAGTAGAATCGCCTCCACGGATGAGTATCGCCTCGATAATTTGAGTTTCATTGTTTCGAACAATCTCGAGGTCAAGCTTGTCGACGTATGAAATGGTCGACGAAGGGCTGGCCCAGTCGGCAGGGTTGATGACAGAAGCCTCGCGAGGGCGGGACGTGTAGGGTTCCAGTGGGGCGAAGAGAATGGCTCCGACAGGTGCCTTGGTGTTTGTAGGGCTCAGTTTGGGAAAAGTCATCGTGAGGAGGGAGATGGTTGACGCGCAAGAGAAGTGTGAATTGTGGTGTTGGTCTTGGCCTTGGTCGAAGATGACGATGAAAAAGAGATGTGGGAGTGATATGGAGGCGCGAGGGATGGAAACTGAGAAAAGGAGCACAAGGCTATTGTTATTTAGTCGGACAAGCTTGAATGTGAATCACTGCAGGCACCCGTGTAGCACGCTACAACTCACCTTTGCCTTGGCAGCCGATGACATGCATTCATCGAATTTTTTTAATATTGAGTGTTATATTTTGCCATTTAGTAACGGATCTTGGCCTTAATTTCTTAAAACACCGGCGTTTGGCAACAATACTACGAACGGTAGTCACCATGAATAATCGCGAGTCGAAACACAAATCGAATTCACACACATCGCACTCGCAAACGTGAAATAAGAACCACCAGACATGGCACCCATTATTCACCCCGCTAAGTGCGATTCCCCATCGACCAAGTCCATTCGGTAAAACCTTTTTATCATGGCAATAAGCCACGAGCATCCAGAGATGCGACCCGTTCCCTGCACACCCAATCGTACACTTCCCGTCAGGCTGCTCTGGATCATGATGTCTTGGGTCCATGGCGATCATTGTCGCGTCGACGTACCGATTATTTGCCCGACTAATTTGAAGTTATGTACAGGGAGGGTACCATGGATAACCACGCCTGGGTCGAGCCAAACATCACCTCTGTCCGAGCTGGTAAATTCGCTACCTCCGCTAACGCCGCCGTCGTTACTAGCACCGAAAGTCACTGACATTATTCCGTAGATCATCCTCTCGGGGAGACATTCCACGGGTCTTGGACGCTTCCTTCGTCCAGGTGCTAAAGAATTCGTCGAAGACCTGAGCATCGGAGTCGAACACGGCGTCGAGATCCAGCTCGTTGATGTCGAATTTCTTGGTGTTGATGTCTGGGGAGGCTAGCAAGATGGACCGCTTCATTCTCTCCTCAGAAATTTCGACCAGCCTTCACCAGTCTTCATCATAATTATTGGTCTAACTTTGGGGAGCTTCATGGACCTCCCTCGGGGTCGCAGCGCGGGTGCTTCCTCTCCGTCAACCACGGGACGCAACGCTACCTACATCACAAAAACCACTCTCGTTTATCAAATACAGACGAGTGATAACAGTCTTACCTTTGCATTATTGATCAACTTGTTTGCTTTGAATCAATCACTCCTCCTCCCTCCGGTCTGTTGATCCTGTGCCGCATTGGACTCGGTTGTTTCAACGAGGTCGATGAATTCGGCGTGTGAGTCTCTTCAGGCCCTTGGTCCTATCCAAGCCTGGGACGGAACCGAGGCCACTGATGGCCTCTTTCTCTAGCCTAGTGGTGATTTTGATGAAGGATCTGAAAGTGACTGGAGTGTTGTTGAACTGACTGAATAGCTGGGATGAAGATGAGATGTGGTGTTTGACAACTCGCCAGCTGTCAACACTCGGGGAGTCCGCCTGGCAATGGGCAACTCCCATTAGGTAAGAGTAAGAACGTTCGTTTACCTTTTTATAAAGGCCACAGTCTGATATCTCTCACTTGCATTCCCGCGCCTGTCACATTTTCAGCTTCACAACTGCACATTCACACCTTCGCACGCCTACGCCCACACATCGATTCACACACACACACACACACACACACACACACCATATTTCTCTTCCGTCTCCCCTTTTTTTCGTCATGGCCCCTGGATACGAAAACAACCGCGATGGGCTGTACCCCGACAGGTACGTGCCAGAGTATCGTGAGGGCTCCCGAAACCACCGCGAGGAAGTTCGAGACACGCGTGAGGGAATGGCACCCACCCAGGATGGAGGTGCTCAACGACGACGCCGCCGCAACCGCCAACGACGACTCCGCCGAAACCGCCGACGCAACCGCAACCGCAATCGTGGCGTCCCAGTCCCCAGTCCAGTCCCCAGTCGAGTCCCCAGTCGAGTCCCCAGTCCAGACCTCAGGATCACCGAAATTGATGGCCAGTTGTTCGTCACCATCCCTGGTCCAAGTGGTGACGACCGACATCCACTCTTCGGGCCAATGGGCCGTATCATCCGCGGTACGAGCAACGTGGCCCATGAGGCGGAGATGGATCGGGTCCAAACGGCTTCTGGTAACATGAGGGTCAATTCCCTACTTTGGACCAGCTCTCTGGATGTTCCCATGCGAGCTAGCCCCATGCTGCGCGACCTCGCGATACACTTTGGATGGCCTGCATGGCCTGGTCAGGACGAAGAACGAGATGAAGGACAGTGAGGGCACTGAGATGGACGTCGATATCCAGGCCGGTGGTTTAGCGGTGGAAAGCATACTAGCTTGAGGACATGGATAGAGGAACAGGATATTGCTGCTGCTGTTGTTGTACTCGAGATGGGAGACCTGGCTGCTTGCCTCGGCCTTCTGGCGTTCGGCTTCTTGAGCGATGCTGATCACGGCGTCACAGATCCGGCTGAGGACGTCTGAGCCATGGGAGCCGGAAGCAATTTCGTACAGTAACATCGCAAGACCGCTTATAGAGTACATCGGTGGTAAATACAATTGCGTTGTTAGTCAAGTCAATAGAATTTGTGAAAAGGATTCCAAAGGGGTGCGAGAGGATGGGCCGTAAAATGAAGTGATTGACGCACATGCATGCGGTTTCCCACGCGATGGAGGCTGACTGGGCCGTTGTGGCTTCGCGCAGCCTGATTTTCGATCGCGACAAGTTCTTGCTTGCCCAAATAATCACAGCTTCATTCCACAACTTATTACCGTATCGACTGCCCTAAACCTCAGTGTATTCCAATGCCTAGCCACCATATTATTTCTTCCGGAACTCCAAGGCCAAGAAGAGTTAGTGACCGGCTTTCCGCGTCTTCTAAGGCTTGATGATGGGGTTGCCTTAATTGTGATATCACGGTGCATAGTTGAACAAAGGACTCTTTTTGGTCGTCTAACATACGTATAACGTCGGTAGACTGTTAGCTCTATCCAACCGAATCCGTCAGCGTGGACAACGTCAAGATGGCTCGAATGACGGAGGCGGAGATTAGAGAGCGATACACAGAAGAGGAGCTGCAGCGACTGGGGACCCAAAGACTGATTATTTAATTGCGTATCTTAGTAGGTTTTAAGCTGCATTGTTCTCACAAAATAAAAACCAAATGCACAAGGACAATAATTCTTGACAACTCCTCTGTTGCACTGTCTGTGTCTAGGTATCGAAGGCTCACCCATTTGTATTTTTAGAAGTTCTCATGAGTTTCTGTCCAACATGTGATTTATCTTGGTGGAGCGAACGGATAGTGAAAAGAAACCAAACGCCACTGGTCGTTCGATCGAACAAGCGCTCGAATTTTGACAGCTGCAAACGGGCGCCACAACCCACCTTTGGTTCAGTAGCCTGACATGCACTTGGTGGACTAAGCATCCTCTCGCCTTAGCATCCTCTCGCCTTAGCATCCTCTCGCCTTAGCATCACGCAAATCACTTTTTTGTTTCCTTCGATAACTCTCACTTCCACCATACGCACGAAAGATGGATACCACCAACTCGACCATGCCCGACACCCCATTGTCTTTCGCATGGGAAAAGATTGATCCAGCGAATGTCAGCGAACGCCGCCTCTACTTGAAGGCGTTTTATGTGTTAGTGTGGCAGGTGAGCGAAGAAGATCTTGCCTCCTACACAGAGAAGAACGTGGTGAAAGCCTGCGGACGTATCTTCCACAAGGGGCATGCTCGTGTTGGCACCCGGTTCTTCGACTGGTTCGCCGACATGACTCTGTGGAGTATGTTGTGTAAGTTCAATAGCCATACTAGAGAAAGCATCAAGCTAATACCGTGAAACAGTCTTCGCCCACCATGTCGGAAACGCCAAAATGCCACCGTTTCCGTGGCCGGAATTTACCCTTGGCTCCCAAGATGTGGATGACCCGGACTCGCCTGTATACGCCCGTTTTGTGGCGTCAGAGAATGGCAAGATTGCTGCGCAAACGACTCAATCTGCCCCCGCGGCTGCTCAGATGACGGATCCTCTCATCATCGACCTCGAGAAGCGACAGGCCGCCTGGAGTTTGTTTTTCGGCGAGGTCAATCACCGTCTGCCAACATGCGGCCCCTTCGAGGTTCTACTCCCCCGGTGGCTCAACTTCGAGACGAAAGTTTGGGGCCCCGAAGGCCAACAGCTCGAGCGCATCAACGAGCATCTCATTGTGTCTGGCCTGGCGGTTTCTTGGGCCTTCGACAAGGAGGACGACGCCAAACCCGAGAAGTTGATTGTGGGTTTCTCGGAGGGCAACCGCCTTTGCAACTGGGCAATGCTGCAGAGCGTCTGGTCCGCTGTCTTTCTCTGGGCCAAGGACCTTTACGAGGGTAAGGTCAGAACCTTGGCTGACCACTTGGAAATGAACCTCTTGTTGAGAATGGACATGGACATGCAAATGTATCTGAGCGCTGTTGAACCGGCCGAGCTTGCCTTCAATAAGGCCCAGGAAAACATGTTGGCCGTCAAGGAGAGATCTGACAGGCACGATGCCGCCGTGACAACGCTGCGGGATGAGGTTATCGAGCTCGGGAAGAACGGATACGCCTTTGTGTCATTAATGGCTTGGATTTTCAAGGAACAGATCGATCGTGAGGGCGCACTCGCTCGTATCCAAGTGGCTGAGCAAATCTGGACGTCGGTTTGCCACCGAGACGATATGGCGACGGTTCTTAAGGCCACAGGTGATGCCCGCAAGGCCCTTGGATATGAATAAAGCTTCTTGGACATCAAGAGGGATGGGAGGAAGATTCTAAATAGTGGACTAGAGTGCTATGTGAGGAAATGTATGATGTCATGGAATGCAAGGGCCAGTTGGGCAAATATAACTTGTGTTATTACCATACATAATTAATGCCCAGTGTACTAATCCCGTACCAACCAATACTAAGGACATCCCATATGCTGAGCGACCGTGAATTGATAGGCATTACTGCGGCTTATACTCTATTTTTGTGTGACGGATGAACCACCGAAGTGTGTCGGGGTCACCAATCGGAAACGACAATTTTTGCCCCGTAGCAGACTGGCAATGGGCTTCTCTGAGGTTATTGATGACTTCGTCCACCCAAAACAACCCATGTTTCTGGACGTCAACCGCTAGAATACTGCGGCCGTTGCCGAAGCCAACAAGGACAAGTCCTTGATCCGGGTACTCCAAGCACTTGTCCAGCGGGAAAGGTGAGATTCCGTTCCAAGCACGTAGCGTATGGCTCAGGCTTGCAATTCGAGGATCAACTGCGAGAGCGGCTTGCTCTACAGCAACCAGCCGGTCGTCGTTTGCCGGGTACACAACAGCTGCGATCTGGCACATGGCCGGGCGGTGCATTGCGTGTAGACGAGGATCCGCCATGGAGTCTGCGAAACGCCCAATTACCATCTCGAGAACGGCGACAAAAAGCTGGTGAGCCTTCAAGGCCTCCTGTAGGGCGTTCAGGCGACGCAGAAGAAAGGTGACGCTGCATCCTGGCTGGAGGATGGCTATGATGTCTGTGATGGTGGCATAAATTGAATGGCCATCAGACTCAACTGCTAGTACCAGATCGGTAGACCATGAAGGCAGAATCTTCCAAGGGCGAATTTTCAACTGGGTCGCCATCGTGGGGTTTTGGGAAACTCGGTCAACCATCATTCCCCAAATTTCGGATTCCTCCTTGTGTTCGGCGGAGACGAGACGAATAAGCATGTCCGATGCTCGGGCCTGGTGAGAGGCGGTCTCGTGGAGTCGTTGAGTCTCGGAACTCAAAGAATTGGCTTGCAGGAGCAGGCCATCCCTCTCCTTTTCTAGGTTGATCCTCGCAGTGTCCAAAGCCGCGTTCTGTTTCTCGAGGCCGGCGACTTTATCTTCTTGGTCAGTTTTGCATTCCCTCAATACTTTGTTCTCCTGCCGAAGCTCTGCCAAGAGATCTTCGTTTGCTTCCATCGAGCGGTAGCGAGCGAGCTGTCGTCCCTGGTGCTTGATTTGATCGTGGAGATTCGCCTCGCGGTCTTCAGATGCGGCTCGGTGAGACGTGATATTGGCCACGTCAGCTTTCAAATCAATGCACTCCTTCCGTTTGGCATCCCGCTCGTGCGACATGAGCTGGTGTGTGCCTTCGTTGAGCCTAGCCTCCAACTCCAACTCCTGGACCATTCCCTTGAGCTTTTCGACCTCTTCGTTGAGCGCGGCTTGACTGGACTGCGACTCCGGAGACGCCTGACGGGGGAGGGCCAACTGGCTGTTGGGATCGCATCGGATGGTGTCAGCGGCCTGCTGGACGGCGGCCTTGATTTCGGGGGATACATCAGTACCCAGGGCTCGAACGAGGTGGAAGAACTCCGGGATATTTTCAAGAAGCCACGCAAAGACAACCTTTGCCCTTTCACGGGCATTGCTCGCGAGGGGTTGGAGAGAAGGGAGACCTTGCAGATCTGCCTGGACGGCGTCTAATCGTTCCGCGGAATCGAGAGCACATTGGGCTTGCTCGGTTTTGTTATTGACCTCGTCGCGAAGAGCCTGGCATTTTTCGACCCAGTCGCCCAAAAGCGTCACGTTCTCAGGCGTGTATCCAGCAATGTCGGCCTTGTCATGCTCGTCTCGTAGCTTATCCGTGCCATCCTTCATTTCTGAAATCAAGGCGGTAACCTCATGGATGGTCGCGTCGATTTTCTGGCGGTTGAAGAGGGTGAGGGCCCTGGTGGCATTTGATCCAAGGGCTGTCTGGATGTTCATTGTAAAATCGACGTGATTCGCGTAAATGAGGATGTGAAGTCGTGAATGTGCAGTTGTGAAGCCGAAAAGTAAAAGGCGTGGGAGAAGCCAGATTGTGATCTTCATATGAACTTGCTCTACCATTGGAGGTTGCCAAAAACCAGAGGGACCGTTGGCAGCTGTCGAGTTTCTAAAAAGTCACCAAATCTCACATTCATCTCACATTCATCTCAACCATCATGTCTGACATCTGACATTTGCACGACCGAGGAGGCTTTCACTCGACCACGACACTCCAGTCCCTTTAAAGTTCCGTCACCTGGCCTACCTACTGAGCCCTCATCCGCCACTCACCGTCAAGTACATGCTCCTCTCCCCCGGGCAAGAAGCTTATGCTGACCGATCAAGCAACATGTCGTTCCCACCACTGCCACCGGACGCCAAGGACGAAATGAAGAGGCTGAAGTTATGGCTTGACGCAGCGCCAGATCTTCGGGGGCCCTACTTCGGCAATATGCGCGACTTCCATGAGCATTTCATGCAAACCTGGGTGTTGGCCAAGCTCACGAGCACCGTGGCGCCTCACGATATTCCCGTCATTCTCGTCACCACAAGGCTAAAGAAGGAGGCCATCAGTGATCTCGAGTCCCTCCCGGGGTTGAATGGAACCAAGACGCCAAAGATACTCACTCACGCTGAATTCATCAGCTTCGTCGAGTCCCGATCTCATCGTGAGAGACGACGGTCACGATCTCCCCGCGAGGATAGGCGACGATAGATTGGATTGCTGGAGGTTCATGGATATGTACGCACGGCATGGAGTTTGATAGAACTGTAGGAATTCATTGTTGAGATCATCAATCTGCCTTAAAGCCGCCACTGTCCCCGCGAATATTTATGAAATCAATCCGCGTCGTATATTTGATTCAGGACAACACTACTATTGCAAGCGATCCTGGAAGTCTAACATCCTCGTGCCGAGTCGATCAACTGACTTCACAAATATACACTTGTGGTGCCCGGATATCGTACATACCAGATCATCCTTAGCCGGAGATTTCATTCCGCGCCGACACACATCCCGCAGGCAATGCCATTTGGACGAATCATTCCCCAGAAATTCTTCCATATGCTTCTTTGATAGCAAGCTGGCAAACATTGGCGCAATCTCCATCGCAAGGCTCTTGACGTCTAACCGGATGCTAGGACTGGGCACCACTGAGAGCTCGCGCATTTGTTCGCTGATATCGAGGTATGCCTGAGAAAGATTGCTAGTGACGTCTCCGCCAATTGACTCTTGCAATCTGTGTCGTTTGCGAGTACTAGGATGTTGCGGAGGCTGTGTTGTCTGCGGAGTTGGGTCCGGTGCGTTTCGCATAGCATCAAGCTCAGCGAGGGCTTTGTCACGATCTGCGAGGGCCTCCTTGCGCTCCATGATAGCCACCTTGCGTTCTTCAATGGCCTCATTGCGTTCTGTGATGGCATCGTCGCGCTCATCGAGGGCGTTATCAAGTTCCCCGAATGCGTTATTGCGATCCGCGACGGCGTCATCGCGCGCCATAAGGGCATCATTGCGCTGGACCAAAGCGTCGTCGCGTTCCATATATGCCATGTCGCGTTTCGTGAGGGCTCTGTCGCACTCATACTCAGCGCGATCGATTTGGTCTCGGAGAACTCGGATACGGTTGGTTTGGTCCTCTTGAAATTGGCTGTCCCTTTTGCTTGCACTCGATAGCGTATTGAGGGCGGTTTCAGCTTGTTCCTCGAGCTCTTGAATGCGCCTGTCTCCAGCCAACCGAGCTTGCTCACTCTGTTCATGAACCTTGGACAGTTCATCCCGTAGACCGCGTATCTCCTTCTCCATCTGGCTCGCATTTTGGGCTGCCTCTGACTGAACATTGCGAATCTCAAACTCCTTCTGAGCCAACTCGGTTGCAGAAGCCTCCAGCTCGCGCTCTTTTATGGTAATGGTGTCCTCAAGTTCCCGAATCGTCTCGTCGCGTCGACTAACCAGAGTTGCATTGATCTCGTTGGCCGCTTGCTCCACTGAGAGCTTGATCTGCAGCTCCTGTGACCTTGAACCATCCAGCTCCTGCCATGATCGGGCTACGGCGTTGATCACAGCTTCAGTGAGAGTGTGGGCCTGGGCGTCAAAGTCTTCGTGGTTGCGGAGAGAGAGGTCGTCAACTCGGTTCCTCAACCGATCTAATTCCTGGGCCACTGTCTTGTGTTGCTTGGTCGATGCGCCTTGCAAATTGGCGAACCCGGAATCCATTGCCGCTTCCAAGTGTCTCGTCATGGCCTTGACTCCCTGGCGGCTGGTCTCGAATTCGGTCTTTGCGTCGCCCAGCTTGAGGATGGTATTGGTGGACTGTTTGGCCGTCTCCTCACCCTGCTTCGACGAGAGGATCTGGTCAAGTCGTTCCGAGAGAAGCTCTCTTAAATGCTGAGTGTTCGGTAGTTGAGCGACTTTTGAATCAAGCCCATCTAGCCGAGATGCGATGCTCTCTTTCAGTTTCTTCAGGTCCATACTGATGGACTCGTTCCTAGGCACGCCAACTTTGGCGGCAAGCGCTTCGCTTGTCGGGGTGTTGTCAGAGCTGGCAGCGGCAACTTTGCCGAGGGGATTGGATACGCCTTCAATCGCATGGCAATGGGGCCCGGGGGCGTCCCTGGCAATGGTCAGCGAAGGAAAGTATGCCAGCTTGAGGATACTCACTGCGATGCCTGGTGGACAGCAGACCCAGCGCTTGCTGGATCTGTAATTTGCTGGGCTAGGGTACCGAGGCCCTGGATAGAGGAAAGGAGGTTCCGCTGGTGCTGTTGCGCGTGAGTATGCTCGTTCTGGACGTGGGCTTCTTCAGCGATACTAATCACGATGTCACGAATCTGGCTGAGAACGTCTGGGCCATGGGAACCGGAAGCAATTTCGAACAGTAAGATCGCAAGAACGCTCATGGAGTCCATCATGGGTGAAGAAAATTGCGTTGTTGGTCAAGTGAATGGGATTTGTAAAAAGGATTCCAAAGGGGTGCGAGAGGACGAACCGGAACATTTGATTTACGGTGAATCTGGGTACCCTGAATTTAACGCTTAACCCCCAAAATTTAGCATACCTGGCCACTAATTTCCAGCGCATCCACAGCGTTGTAACGGATCTTTTTAGCACTCTCAGCCCCTGATCTTGAGCACATTGGCTCCTAATTTTTCTACCATATTAGGATCTAACACACAGTTCACGTAATGCAATCACATCAGTCAAAGGCGAGATCAGAATTCCTTGTAGGAATCCAACCCTGCCCGTGCAATCCACAAGACAACTTTTCGAACTGCTTCTCCAGACCTCCATCTACTGCTCGTACCTGCACAGTGCCCAGAATCGATTCGTACCAAGGTACAAGAGAGTCATCGAAACTCGATCCAATGATGTCCTGGAAAAATACAAGCTTCTTGAGAATGAATGCGACGTGGACATTTTGTATCGGCAAACCCTTGGATACCCGACTTCTGCACGCTGGACGTTGTTTATCGTTATCACATGGAATGATAAATTATTCGCGATATGGTCACAAGCCGTACGAGAGATGGTGGATTTTGTCGACGAGACGTTCCAAAGCTCTGTCTTCTGCAAGCCAAACTTGAGGTAGAAATGATTGCCCCAGAAAGGATGATGAATAAAGTTCTTTCCTTGTCATTACCACCCGGCTTGGGTAATTCGATCTATTAGAAACGTCTACTAATTGTGTTTGTTTGGTCGCGCTCGGAATGGAAAAAGGGACACTGGGTCTTGGAGGCTTGGTATAACCGTATTTCTCTTTCATCAGAGTAGACAAAGGGTGAATAGGCAGACTGTAGTACAAGAATAAAATTAAAAAATGGCAGTCTATAGTTTCGACAGCTTGTTTGCGATACCCTAGTACAATGCACTCCTGGTCAAACAGTGATTTCGTGGGTTGTCCTCTGGACTTTGGCAAGTCGCCAGCTGGCAGCACCTGATGCCAGCGCAATTACGGCAGCTGTTTTGGTAGAGTGGCAGCCGTTTGTCTTTTCGGAGAGACGAAAATCGTCAGGTACTTGCTTATTTTCTTTGGGCTCGGGAGATGTTCCGAACCTCCCAGGTGCACACACGTTCACGACCACGCCAACATGACGTCTAGCAAAGACAACCATTCGCACCATCGCACCGAGTACCCAGACAGTTACGTGCCAGTTCGCCGTCGTCGCAGCACGTGGGGAACACGCTCCCGCTTCGCCACACATGCCCCGGCCATGCCGCCGGCTCATGGAGGAGGCACTCGACGCCGACGAGAAGCCATCGCCAACCATGGTGGGCAGCCCCCCAGTCTCAGCAACCCTCCAGCCGCTGCCCACAGTTTGGAGCAAGGCGCGAAAGACGTCCCAAGCAACCTCATCGACCTCACCAACCTCGATGACCGCGAGATCACGGGACACCTCACACCCTCCGTACGAGCAAACCCCCTAAAACGAAAATCTTTCCGAAGCCAGCAGCATAGGTGTCTCTGGGGGCTAAAGGAATTCGATGAAGAACCGTCGGATAAGAAGGAGGAAAGGAAGGGCGGGGAGAAGGCTCCACTGGCATCTCAAGCCCAGACAGGGGACAAGGAAACGGACGTCGATGTCCATGCCGAAGACATCAACATCGACACTCTCCATTGCTGTCTGTGCAAATCCTCGCGTCACAACGTGCTAGGCTGCCTGTCCACCGACGAGGACGGCTACACTCGCGCTTGTCCCTGGTGCATGGACACCACCCACGCGGCAGACGGATGCGCTGGGTTCTTGGCCGCCACTATCGAGGAGAGGGTCGATCGACTGGTATCCGAGCGTGGCAACATGCCTCCATTCTTCACCTTTCAGCCTTGGTTCAGCCTGATCCAGCAGTGCCAGGCCGTTAAACCCGACGCAGCGCTGCCTAGCTTTTACCCCTGGAGTAGGCCGTTTGTGATGAGCTGTGCACCCGTCATGAGCAGAATACAAGACGAGTTGGATGCGGCCCATGACTTCCACACGCTGCCTGTTGACCCGTCGACCCAGGACTGGGCTGCTGTTTGCGCGACCTACGGACTGTGAAGCCTGGGAGGGGAAATACGGACTGTGCTATCTGAGAATATGGAAATGTTTGTTGGACTACAGAGATGGACGTGTACATGGAGATCGAGATAAATGATTGTGCCCATTGATCCAGACATTCCTTCTTTGATGGACCCAAGTGTGTGATTCTCAGAGCGACCAACAAAAGCATTTGGCATCGAATGCATGTCAACATGCCACTTAAAATGAGAACAAACAAGCTCAAAGATGATTGCTGAGATGCAATAACTAACGTGGTTGTCTAAGCAAGTCGGTTAGCTGCTTGCAACTCGCACGCTGCCGACGCTGCTTGCCTGCCCCTGACGGCTGGCCACATTCAACGTCTACCTTAGGTCTTAGGTATAAACTTGGCGGTTGTGACCAAGCTCAAGTTCCCCAACTGATCTCGCTCAGAGCATCTTTCTCAACAATCCTCTCTCACCCACCACATTCCCTCGCCACCACTTTCTCAAGACGACTCTCGTGCCACACGACTCTCTTCCGAGCCACGCACCTACGAACACACAAACGCACACACTGAAGGATGGGCTGGTGGTACAGATTTCACCGTCCAAGACGGCGTATTGACCGATACATTCCGCCGCACCGCCGCATGTATCCAGACAGATACGTCCCAGACTATGACCATGGCCCAGAAATTACTGGCAATCGCTCTGGCTCTGGCGTCCATCGCATCGCGCCCTCTGGGGGCATTCGACGCAGCAACTTCCGCCGCGACCGCCGCCGCACCATGGATCATGGTCGTCTTTCTCCATATTTCCCCGACGAACCGGTCATCTACGAGAACCAGCGTGTGGCCGCGGCTACCAGAGAGCCAACTCGACGCAACGACCAATATGCCATGCCTCGGCTCACGATCACGGAAGAAGGAGCAGTCACCGTCACCAGCACCCGCACAAAAGACATTCTTGCTGCTGTCGACTGCGTTCAAGCCGACTCTACCGACACAGAATACACGGCCGTCGTGTTTCGCTCCGACGTCCCATACACCACGCTTGTTTTATCCACCGGAGACAAAAGTGACAAGGTCGGCGATGACGGTTTGGCGGGCAACTTCTGGAACTTCGTCCAACCAAAGGCCGCTAAGCAACACACCGAAGAGCCCCAGAGCATGGAAGTTGATCCCAAGAGCACGGAGGGTGATCCCAAGAGCACGGCGGATGATCCCAACCCTCTACTCTTTTGTGGGTCGTGTAACTCACTAGAGCATACCATCCAGGAGTGTATGAAAATCGACACCGACGGCCTCAACCACAGCTGCCCTTGGTGCTGGCTGGACTACCCCCGCCCATCCAACCCCTGTACCTGTGCCTCGGAGCAATCTCTCGACGATCAATTCACTTGCCTAGTGGTCAAACGAGCCAACATGCCCGCCTTCTACTCCGACCCACCATGGTTCGAGATTCTCAGACAGTACAGAACAGCCAACTCCGACGCCCCGGTCCCTGAGCACTTCCCGTGGACCAAGGAATACGCTCTAGATCAAAAAGACATCATGGAAGATCTCCAGGACCTGTTTGATGAGACGCACGACCCGAAATCCCTCCCTATTGATCCAGCGACCCGAGACTGGGCGGCTGTTTGCGCAACCTACGGAGTGCGCGACCCTTGGAGCCTTATGTACGGACCCATACCGGGTTTTTGATGGACGTTTATAAGAAGAAACTTGAGGTGCATGGAAATTGTTTGATGGGCTCTCGTTACTTTGTTATAGTGTCTAATTGCACAGATCATAGATGTCGGGTTGTGATGTGTACGGGCTTGGTCTTTCACGCTCAGTCAAGGAATTAGCCTGTCGTCCATATTCCACCATGATTAACTCGTTATATGCAATCAAGACACCCCAGAAATGAACCATGTCTAAACCATAAATTGTGTGTGACCGGTGCGCGGTCATTCTCGTTGACATCTAGATTCGCTCCCGAGTTGCACAACGCCAAACCAGCGAAGTCATCGTCGCCTGTGGACTACATGCTATTACTCTTCTCGGTTCTTGTTCTTTTTCGTCAACTAGAACGATCTCCCTATTCGTAACTAACTTCCGGGATGGGTCAGCGACTGGAATTTTCTCTTCGGCGGTTCGTCTGATGGGAGTCTCCGTGGAGCAATCAAGCGCCTGGGTGGAACAAAACACTGGACTGCTGAGGTTGACCGTCCTAGATTAGCTTTGCATGGCTCACGGGAATATTGAAGGAGCAGGTATCCGGTATCGGGCTCGTACCCGACGAGGTGCGCCCGTCTCTCTCCATGTTGAAGCTCGGCGCTGCAACTTCTCAGTTATCTCGAGGATGGCCGAAATCACAGCTCCCGCCCGCATCCATGCCCAGCCACCAACACCAGGGTCCTGTGACTTGTATCCCGTCTATTACTGCTAAATTTAGGTTCCCTATCGCTACTCTCTACAGCGGGGTAACTTATCTGAACAACTGGCGGCCACGTTGACGCGTCCTGCAAGCCATAAGCTGACCGCTTCGGACATATGCCATGCGTACATAAATGTCTCTCGGCAATAGGTTGTGGTGCATCATTTCCCGCTCTGGACCGAGACATGGCCTGCTTTTTTAGAGTTTTTACGCGGAGCGGCCGCGAGTTTAAACCAGGCTACCCTTGCCAATTTTCGTATAATTCGTCTGTCGCAGATGAGATTTGGCTTGGCTTCTCCATCAGACCAAACCATGTCAAGATGCGCTGTATGTTTTGCCCCTTGCTCATCAGAGCCTTGCTCATCAGAGGATGCGCTAGCTCTCCGTTGCAGCGTCGTAATTGAGCTGTCACGCTCCCGCAACGGCTGTTGGTGGTTGATCCACGACGTGCAGGGGAGGATTGGAAATGCAGCTAGCTTGGATTGAGCAAGCCTGTCTCATCAAACCTCTCTACGGCCAATAACAACTCCATCAACGGGTAGATCGGCGAGACCAATGCAGCCCGTGTCTGTCCAGAGGCCCATTCATGCGGGGCGTTTGGTGCGCCCGCTCACTGCTGAAGGATTGCCGGTACATAACTGACCAAAGTCCCGGCGCAATTCTCGTCACGCCTCACGCCTGAAGGTTTGTCCGCGCGACCGAGGTTGAAAACTTTGTCATGACCTCAGTCAACAACTGAACAAAAGCGCGCGCCACTCTCCAACCTCAATCGCCATCATGTCCGGCTCCGACCAGACGAATCCCCCGAGCGCAAATGGGGAGGAGGAGAAGCCGAAAACCGACGCCATCGACGATGCACCGGAAATCATCCACAATCCCTACTTCACCAACGCGGCCAAGACGTCGGTCCGAAAACTCCCACCATGGCTCGACCATTTCAACCCCAAGGACCTCAAGAAGCTGTTCAGATGCTGTCTCGCCGTTTGGATCATGACGCTCCTGATTCTCATCCACCCGACCCTCAAAGTGCTCGGCCAGGCGGCTTTTCTTGGATGGTAGGTCCGCCCGTCGCCGCATGCCACTCTGCTCACTCTCTAGCATCGTCTTGTTCATCGCACCGCCATCTGGCATCGTCTTCTTCCACCTGATATCGGCCGTCATGGTTCTGCTGGGTATGACGTCCGCCTGGGCCTGGGGCGTCATTAGCATGAAGGCCGCCCTGGCGACTCGCGCGGGTGCACAAACAAAAGCACGATATGGCGAGCTTCTGCAATTAGCTCAAAACGCCACCAACCCGACCCAATTTGTCAAGGTCGAGATCTACAACGGCTGGATGTTGGATGCGAGAGTGTCACTGACCTATTTCTTCATGATTGGTTTGTATTTGTACATGGTAGTAAGTATTCTCTTCATGACGAAAGGCCAAGCTGACAACCAGGCCCGCCTTCGAGTCAGGGCACCCAAGCTCATGCTTCTGCAAATCATGGCTTGCATCGTCAGCACCATCTTCCTCACGCAAGCGCCTCTATTGCCCGCATTCAGAGGAATCATTGGCAAGATTTTGGTCTTGCCCTGCGCCATTGCAGAAGGCATTGCCATCGTGTGCAACATCTTCATCTTCCCGACGTCGTCCGCAACCGAAGCACTCGACGGAATGAGAAACCTTCTCTCCCCGATGCCGACCTTTCTGGATGCTTGCCTCCTTGGATTGAAGCACCCTAGCTTGGATATGAGCGCCGACGTGCTGAATGGAGCCAGAATGAAAATCCTGACGACATACAAGCAATTGGAACCCATCACCCGGTTCCTCCCAATTGACTTTTCCATCGGGAGGTGGAATTCAGATGACCTGGGTACACTAAATGACCCGTTTCGACAACTCATTGTTGTGTTTACCAGTCTGGTTGAAGTCCACAGACAAAAGGAAGTACGAAAAGGCAAGGCCAAGCAGGCACTGGAAATTGCACAGGCGGTGGAGGATGGTGTCGATACTCGTGAAACAGGGCGACATCAGATTAACCGAGCAGTCGACTATCACGTAAAGTCGAACCATCCTGAACGAGCTGAATTGGTGCGGAACAGTCTGAAGGCGCTGTCGAGCCCGGCAGAGGTCTTAATTGAAGCATGCAAAGAGTCGATCGAAGCTGTCAGCGAGGGTTTGCTGCACTCGAACGCGTTCAAGGCAGCTGGCCACGCCGAGAGGCTGCAGAAGCACACTGCCACCCTCGAAAAGCTCCGAGAATGTCGCGAGGAATTCATCAACTCCACCGCTCAATATCTCTTCGATCCCTCCCACCACATCTTCGATGACAAGGGCATCCTGCAGGTCGACGATGGTGCCGCTCCAGTATTGACTGGCCTGATGCTGGGACTGCTCATCAAGGAGAGACTATCTCAGCTAGCAGATGCACTGGAAGAGATCCTCTCGAGAATCATCGAATTAGAGACTGCTAGATCGAGGCTGCGAATCTGGCTCCCTACCCGGTTAATGTCCCTCTTCGGGTGGATGGGCACAACCGACTTGTCAGAAAACGACACGCCTGGCGCAGATATTGGCGACACGGTCATCACTCGCATCTCAACCGTCGCTTCGAACGCTCGTCTGCCCAAGGAGTCAGTTGATCCAAATGCCAAATCGGCGCAAGCTGAACTGGCCGCGATGAAAACCCCAAACAGCCGCAAACGCAGCGGACGGGGTCACTTTGTGCTGAACACTACCAGGTGGCTGGGGAGTGCCGAGGGCATTTACGGACTTCGCATGGTGATTGTCTCTCTCGCCCTTTCCATCCCAGCCATCATCCCTTCCACTGCGGGCTTCTTTTACCGGGAGAAGGGGATGTGGGCTGTCATTATGGCGCAGCTTGCTCTTGTCCCGTACACGGCCGACCTTGTGTATGGAATCATTGTTCGAGCCGTTGGAACCATCATCGGTGGCATTGTGGGTATGGCAGCATGGTATATTGGTGCTGGCAACGGGCGAGGAAACCCGTACGGCGAAGCTGCCATCATGGCCGTTGTGATTGTCATCTTCATGTGGTGGCGTCTCTTCAGCTCGCCCGCCTTGATGCCTGCAGGACTCATGATGGCTGTCACGGCATATCTCGTCCAGGCCTACAGCTGGATCGACACTCACAACCCAATCTATGGTAACCCTGGCGTAGGCTACGAAGTGTTCTGGAGACGTGTTGTCCTTGTCTTCGTCGGCTTTGGCGGGACAGTCGTTGTCAACTTTCTCCCGAAACCACCCTCTGCGAACCGACATTATCGCCATCTTCTTGCCGACAGCCTCGTTAGTGTGCGAGATCTGTATGCCCTTTTTGCATCCAACTGGAAGGACGCTGCGCCAGATCTGCGCGAAGTTGTCGAGGCGGAGGGCCTAGCAGTGGCCGAGGTTCTCTTGTCCATTGCGGGGCCTATCAAGCTGACAATGTTCGAATTTTCATCATCCAACTTTGATTCGGATACGCTCAGCAAGGTCTGCCAGCTGTGTATGCTCCTCAACCAAAACGTCACCCAGCTACTGCTCTACACAGCTCGGTTGACAGAGGAGCAGAGGGCGTGGATCATTCCATCCACCGGTACCATCAAAGAGAGCTTTATCGCCGAGCTCATGGCGGTGCTTTCACTGGTGCAGCAAGCATTAAAGACCGGCGATCCTCTCCCCGCTGTCCTGCCTACGCCACTATTCGCCAAGGCAGTAGAGGCTGCAAGGGAGCATTTCCACGAGGGAATTCGCGGATCCAGCGGTGTCTACCACAAGGATAACTTTGACGACGAGGGTTCAAGGAGATATGCAGTCGTTTTGAATGCGCTGTTGCAAATGCTTGCGGCTCTGGATGAGCTGGTTTTGGTTTTGAAAAAGGCAGTTGGCGAGACAAGTAACATAGCTTTTCTGGAGACTGTATAGGCATGGCAGCTTTGTGCAATCCCCTGCTCATTCAAAATGACAAAATCCATTATTGCAATGTGCAGTCAGGCGTCTACAATACACTCGATTACTCCTACAGGCAGGCGGTTCTATCTTAAATCTCCAACAGTCGTTCCAAAACAGAATCCTCGTTTCCAGTTCCAAAAGCTGCTGCCTCAAATGCTGCCAGACCAACTCCCCATGGACCTGGGCTCATGGACAAGGAGCAGCCTGCGGATTCCCTCCTTTCGTGACCAAATAATCCGGCATCGACTGGTGAAGAAAACATGACTGATTCATAGTCCAATTGCATAACTGGGTTGTGGCCCTCGATAGTCGTGGATTCCGTTCTTTTCGTTGTCGTTGGGGTGCCACCCTCCCACATCGTCTCGTCAAAATCAAGCATGGAATCGTTTCTCACCACACTCTCGTCGGGGAGAGAAATTGTAGAGTCGCTCCGATTGCTCTCAGCTTGATGTGGCCAGGCCCGGTCTTCCTCGGGACTCTCTGTCTCGAATAATGCAGCTTCTACCCTTGATGGGTTTGCTGGGCTGTTGACATTTGGGAGACCCAAATTCCCCAGTGGAGAAGGCATCAAGAGCTTGTCCTGGAAAATTCCCCGTAGGCTTTGAGGAAAGTCGCTTTCTAGTGGCAATTTCCCGTTTCGGATGCTGAGGTCCATGGTCACGGCCAAGCGCAAATAGTACTTTGGTTGCAGCTGCAGTATTTCTGTCCAGCTCGATACCGGACTCCCGTTTCGAGTTCGTATCGCGGGAAGATGTTGTTGCGCCAGATCGACAATGTAGCGAACCGCTCTAGCCACCCAGTCGACGCCGTCGTATCGTGGCCTGTAGGTTTTCATTGCTTCGATGAGAACATTGAGTTGCTGCTGTTTGTGTTGCGCAAACGTCGGTGAACTGGCCCCGCTGTTTGGCGCTCGCGAATTAAACAGCTTCACGTCGAGGATCTGCAGGGCAAGAGGAAAGGCGGTACAACCAACACTAAAGGCATTAGAAGGGTTGGATTACGGGGGAAGATACTTACGCGCTTATTGGAAGCCAGCGGGCAAGACGGAAACGAACAAGCTTCCTCAGGCATTGTGTGACTTGTGAAACTGCACCTTGCAGCTCATGGCTGCTTTCATAGGCTTCGGTATCCACGTGGCCCAGACGTCGAGGTGCGAGGCTGCAGTAAAGTATTTCGTAGTGGCAGAGGGCCATTCTCGCGGAGCTGAAAATTAGCGAGGAATCAGAAAGCGTACAAAGTACTTACTGATAGTACATTTCCAACAGATTCATAAACAAAACGGGGGAGCTATTAGGAGACCCGGAAGTGTCGACATTCTTGAGAATATCTCCGCTCGGAGTTGACTGGATGCGCAGCACCGTGCTGTACCACCGCCTCAAAGCCATTCTGCAATCTCCAATGCGGCTTTCTTCGGTGGCGGGATGTGACGGAGCCCGTGAAGGATCATCGTGCATGGGAAATGTCAGGGTAAGAACCTCGGTCAGGATGACGCAGAGCTCGACGAGTTTTGCCAGGATCTCAGCTAGGAATCGCTTCGTAGCGGGGTCGTAAACGCTAGACTTGTGGAATTCGTCGGCAAGATCTGCAACTCCAAGCAGTGGGTTTCCGGTAAAGTTAAAGTTGGAGTGCGTAATCTTGATGGTGCGACGTGATGTCAACGGCATGAGGCGGTCGCGGATGATGCAGCACCACCAAAGACGCTTCAGAACTGCACTGAGTTTTCGTTGCTCGTCAGATACTGGAGATCCATCTGTTGGGATCGATTGATAGCGATGGGCTCCAGCGTCACGGGCGTAGTGCATTGCAATGCCAAGCCACATTGGACCAAGGTGCTTGCATCCTCCGTGTGGAAGTGGGATTAAGTGTGAGTGTGAAAGGAGGAGCGCAGCTTGAGCGATGGATATTGAAGAAGTTTCAAGGCCGAAGTCGTAAATCAGCTGTAGGGGTTAGTCATAATGTCAAGAGTACAAGAGTGATTGGTTACCTTGGCCCGTTTGTAGAAAGACGACTTGGCATCATGGACCGATTTGAACCCAAGTTTCTCGATGGTCTCCGCGGAGACAAACTATGAAAATTAATACGTCTCTTTGATAAACCCAAGAAGAACTTACGCTGCAAGATGTAAATAGAATCCCTTGGATGACGATAAGAGGCATCCTATCTGCAGAAGCATTGTCCAAGTGCTGCGGGTGGTAGAGTGCCCAGAAGTCGGCTTCGTTTAACATCGGAAGCATCGGATGGATGTGCAAAAAGTACTGCTGGATGAATTCGTTGAGGATACTCCTCTGCGGTACGACAAAGCATCCTTGCTTGTACAGATAGTCGAGGTCTTCTGAGGACAGGGTGTGAACCCTGGGGGCTTCCAGGATTGAATAGTCCGGGTTCGTGGGGTCGAACAGCAGCCGCTGTGCCCCTTCTTGGGGGACCCACGGACATTCCGGGAAGAGAGAGTCTGGAAAGGCGGTTGAGAGTTGTGGGAGGTCCAGAGCGTCGAGAGATTCTGTCAGGTTAGTTGATGTTGGATAGAGTATGGATAGGACGATGCTTACCATAGGACCCTAAGTCATGGGGGAGTGACGGCAAGGCATCTAGTGATACGGGATCCACCACCAATGACTGCTCATCGCCAGGGAGATCATTTCCAAAGACGTCAAAGTCGTCGGCAGGTGGTGCAGTAGACGAGTCGTCCTTCACCGCAACCGGAGCATGACGCGAGGTTCCCCTCCTGCTTCAGTTAGCCAGATAACGCAGCGGCCACGACTCGACGTACGAAAACTTGGACCTGGCAATAAAGACACACTCCTTCTCGTCCAGTCGGCAGTTGATGCAGGGCTCCGCCGAACTAGTGAGGATGCACCTCACCTTGCGCGAGCGACACGGCAGACAGGCGCGCGATGCCCGCTTCTTGGCCTTTGCCGAGGGTATTTTCTGGACGCGGTTGGCGGCGTCGACGTCGGGGCCCAGATCAACGTCGTAGTGCGGGTCTTGGGCGGGGGCAGGATCCTCCATGCTGCAGGGAGAAGAAAAGATACAAACGAATTCAGCGAGGGGAATTCGGCGAGGGGAATTCAGCGACGACAGAACGAACAACCTCGCTGCGGGAAACGAGGATGAGTCTGGAGCATTTGCAAGGCCTGGCGAGAAAACACAGGGGCAACGTCGTGATGCAACAGCCGCGCTCATCTGCCGGCCTCCTACCCGACCCTGTTAGGGGGGTTTCTCAGGTGGGTCGGGGAGGCGGAATCTGGGGTACGTGAGCTTTCTATTGGATCCCCCACAGAGGTGTGACTTGTGAGATGGAGATGACCCCGCAGAAAGGAGACGCTATGCAGCATCGTCGGCTTGTTCGGTTTGTGGGCTTTGATCGAACGCGGGGTGAATCTGGATGGAGTCTGGGGATCTAGGTCTGGGGAGATGGAGTCTGGGGAGATGGAGCTGGGGGTCAAGAGTCTGGGGGTCAAGAATCTGGGAGTCCGGGGATGGCATGATTCCATCGTCAATAAGGAGCTGAGCCAAGAGCTGGTCAACTAGATCCACAGCATCCCCGGTTGAGTCTCTCACCACTCACAACACATTCCCATTCTGGCACTCCAACCGCGTCAAGACAAACATTACGAGTCAGACTCCACATGAACAGACAATGAAGACAACAAGCAGTTTCAAATCATCACTCGTTACTCGTACAAATAAATCCGGCTCATCCGGAGTACGTACCGCAACGTCTGACGCAGCGGAAGCTCTCTTAAGCATAACAACGTCGCATGCGCCACGCCACGCAGATGCCATGTCTTCCCGTGGCCGTACTAGACTAGCTACTACCTCTGTCAGCAGTAAATCTATGTCATTGTTTCCACTACCTCAAGCCTGCGTGAGCCTTCTTTCAACCTCAAGACGAGCCTTCTTCGTAGCTAAATCTTGAGGCAATTTCGTGTGGACAGGGCAGACTACCTCGGCGAATTGCTAGCGGAATTATGCCGCGTGGCTTGACATGTGGCTGAGCTTCCAGCCTCGAATACATTACCTCAGCAACTTGTTCAAACCTGCTTATCGTGTGACCGATTTCTGCATGACTCAGCTGCATCATATTCCGCATCTGATAGGTGCTTCTGCTTCGAGTGGGGCATTCTAACACCGCGAGAAACGCTAAAATTGCAGTGTAATGGGGGCTGACAGCCCCCCCCCCCCCGGACTCTCGCAGGAGGAACGAGTTACATGGGGGGGGCTTTTGAGGTCCCCCTATGGAGTAGTACTGTATCGACTCGATAAATTGGCCCTGTTTATAGACTAAAGCTAAGATTTACAATGTTTAGACTTTCTAAATCATTTATTATCATTAGGTACAAAAAACTCGGAAGGCAATAAGTGGGGGAAGGATTCAGGGCCAATTTACTGAGTCGATACGGAGCACGGTATCGTAGCCTCTGTTTTTCTGTATCCCTGTCGTATTTTCGTATTGAGCGTCTCCGTCGCATTTTCGTGCTGACTCTTTATTAAGCCCGGATTATCATCACTTTGCTCAATGCAGTCTCTGGTTCCTTCATCTCAATTATTCGAATTTCGTTACTTGCCTCATTGCAAACTCTCTCAACGTCAATATGCGCTCTGTCAACAGCCTCCTACGCGGGCGGGTTGCCCACCGGCTGTCTCAAGCTACAAAGCACTCACGCCAAATTATTATTCAACGACCCTTCTCCACGCAAAGTCATCGATTTCTCCAGCACAAGTCCCAACCAGGAAAGACAAAGGATGAACTCGGCCAAAACCCGTCGTACCCGGCTTTCAGTTTTGAGGCCCTCGGGGTAAGCAAGAACATGAAGATTGTTCTGCTCGGAATTCTGACCATCTTCGGCACCATTGAAACGTGGGTTTGGTGCAAGGCTATCTGGTATTGGTGGAAGAGCGACAGCGATGTGGAAAAAGAGTAAAGGATTGGCAGGCGCGTCGTTTGTAACATCTCATGTCCAACAATGTAATTATTAAGCTGAAATATAATTCTTCTCTTGTCTTATAGCCTGCCCAAATTGTACCAGCTCTCATCACTCTCTAACAAGTTTGGCGCATGGAAAGTTCTAAACAGATCTGGCTTATTCCCTCTCATAACCTAAGACGACGAAATTGCATTCCCTCCCGGAATCATCAATATTGAACAGATACCTGCATCTATTCCCAGTCGTTGGTGAGAATGAGGTATCGTCATCTCTTCAAATCCCTCTCCGCATAGCACCCCCAAGTTCACTGATATTCCTCCCTCCGATCGACGGACGTCCTGGAACACGATGTGCCATCCTCGAGGCGTCGACACGTTCATGAGCACGCATGCTCGACGTCAAAGCACGACTGTTCCCATCGGTAGTGAAGCAGACTTTGGATACGCGCTGGTCTTCTTGTTCTCGAAGAATTTCCATCAAAGCCTTCAGATAAGGAAGGGTTGCCTGATCCTCAGCCAGTTGGAGACCGTCAAGGACCCAAATTAGCGACGGCGGGGCATGACTTAGGAGAGCTCGGATGATCCGCAAAGCAACAGAAACACTCTCCATGCTCCCATCAAGAAGGCGGAATTGATCACCGTCGAGATCTTTGGTCGCAGGAAACGTGGCCGGCAGGAGGTACGTCAACTGCGTGATAACAGAATACAGCAGCGCTATCAGGCCGGCCTGTCTTCCAGAAACATGGGATGTCTTGGCGAAAGCATAGCGTGGCTTGCAATAGAAGGACACGCATGGTAGACCTGCCTCCATGCTCACAGTGCTGAGGCGCATCGCTGCTTGGGAGAGACCAGACCCGTATGGTGCTACCGGGACACCTCCAACCCAAAGCATCTTTGACTTTGGAGCCTGGATCCATATCTGCATCTGCATCATAACCTCCTCTGGGATACTAGACGATGGAGATGCCATCACACGCGAAATATCTTCTCGGCCGTCTTCAAGGTAGATGGCGATTAACTTCGAGAGTTGTTCAATCTCATGTCGGGAACACAGCTCATCAGAGTCTATGAGGTCAGCCGGGTTACCTTGCCAATGACAGAGTTCTTACCGTCTTCAGAAACCGAATCTTCCTCATTAAAAATGTCCGCTTCATTTGACGTGGTGACTTTGGACCGTTGGACTGCGTCGGGAGTCCGCTTTTCTAAGCGATGGTCTACGTTTGTTAAATCGATTCGTTCGTAAGCACAATACGTACCATGTACCAGCTGCTCCTCGACAGATACCAAAGTCCGAACTGATGAATAACCCAAACTCTCTTTGGCAAATGCGAGTTTTCGCTGGGTTGTTTCGATATCGTCGTTGCGACTTTCGCTCCCCACCATTCGGAGAGAGAGAGCATGACTGACCATGCCCTCAATCCGTTCAACCCGACCGTTTGCAATGAACTGGGATTCGTCTCTTACTCTCTGGACTGTTTTTTGTATTCCCCGCACCAGTCCCTGGACTGTTTCGTCGTAAAAGTTCTTATTCAGAGCTGAAAGAAACCGGTTCTTCTTCCGTTTGAACCAATCCATGGTGTGGCAGAGCAATTTGAAGACTCCTACATAGAGCTCGACCACAAGCCTTCTCATTTCTTGACTGTCTGCAATCTCAACACTCTTGGTAACAAAGTGCAGGTCACTTGAGATGTCGATAAGAGCCATGGAGAACCCTTCGGCGATTTTCTTGTAGTTTGTAGAGGCCTGAAATAATTAGCGACTGCATAGACTCCAAGAGTTGGCGATTACCGTGACAACTGAAGACACGACCCCAGTGATCAATGAAATGTACTTATCCCCACTGGGAATAACGTTGAAGAGGTATGAATGATCATTCATCGTGTCCAAGAAATCGAAAAACCGATCCTTTGCTTTCCCGAATCCCTTGGTTTTCTTGGCAAGCCATGCATCTTGAGATTGTTCAATTGCCCTGCGTAGGGTCTCGATCGTGGGAATGCTGTTGGCCGGCCGAATAGACTCTTGGTCATCATGAAAGAGGTGTTGAAAGTTTTGCCACGTTTCTACTAATTCTTTGCGCTGATTCTCCAACGGGCCGAGGACATCGTCACTTTATGGTTTAGTGTACTGGCCGAGTTGCAAGAGTTGTATTCACCTTTGGCTCTCCCCAAACTGGAGCCACTTGTTCCATTCAATAGCTTGCTGCTTGAATCTTGGTTCTTCGTCATCGTGCTTCCTCACTACTGCCCCTAAGGCTTGAGAAAGTGAATCGTCTGGTTCTGCTTTCTCCACCTCAAGACTGTACTGGCGGACCATGGACGTGATTTTGGGTGTCTCATCTGCCATTTGCATGACCACAGCGATGCTCGTGAAGCATTCAGATCGGCGATTGTATCTGTATGAGGGCTTTTTGAGGCTCATTGCATTGGGTAATTGCTCACTCGGTTGGAGACAGCCATTCAACGCGTTGCTGACGTGGGCAAGTCTATTCCTAGCTTATTACAGGCGGGGTTACGACAGATATGAAACCAAAAGTCGCCTAAAGCTACCCAGATGAGGCTGGGATGTCAGACTGCAGGAGCTGAAAAAATGTCGCCCGAGGATTGGACGACATGGCGCTTACCAAGATAATGGATTGGCTCATGGGACCATTTCGCAGGGGTTTCCAAGCACTGCATATGCAGCCCGAATCTGGAGCCTGATTCTTGACAGGGGTAATAGGATGCATGTCAGACAAGTATCTGATGAATCGCCCGCTCTGCGACATTTTCGTTTTTAGCCTCAACTTCGTTGGTACGAGACAAAACAAAGATAACTCGCCTCCATTCTTGTTTGATCGGCAGTTCACTCAGCTGCGACCTCTCATGACGGAGGTGTATATTTGCGAAGAACCCATCGCCGTGCATTCCATGCACACTGACCAAGGAAAGATGGCCTTGGAAGAACCAGACCATTCGTCTGATGCCAAAACTCCAACAGAGCATCTCAAAGATGATACCGATGGCTCAGTCGAGCCCGGTGAAAAGACCCCCGCGGCGGACACGGACAAGGGTGAGCAAGGGTCCGAACCAGAGGACATAGTCGGAACCTCGGCAACGCTATATTGCAAGATAAATGGGCGAGCTCACTTTCTCCTCCTTGACTTCGGTGTCTGGGTCTGCCCGCTATGCGAAGAAGATCTGGAACTGGGTCGATCGCGCCGACGGTTGCCAAGGTCCGGCCCGGAGGAGGCTGCGAAAAACGACGAACCCATACCGGACGTTTCATACTCAATTGAGTACACTGATTGCGCAAATTACAAGATCGCGAGGGAGAACTGGGAGGGAAAATTCGATCTGGCTGTTGCTAGAAAAGATGTTCGAACCGCCGATCGCTCCGTTTTTGAAGTCGTCACCGTGTTGGAGACGTCGTTACCCGACAGACGACTCGCGCCTTTTGAAGTCGACGAACTTTTGAAAAAAGGAATCTTGACCGATCCCAACATAAGGATCACAGTCAGCAATACGCTGGTGACCATTTATTCGACTGCGCTGATTCAGACGATCCGTAACATCGTTCAGTATTACCCAGAAAACCTCGGGGGTGATGTTATTGAGCTGAAGGCGCCATATATGCTGTTGGGTCATCATCTCAACGACCTAGAGGCTTACTTGGAAGCTCATCGCGTCGTGGGTCCTTCAGGGTCTGATTCGTCGGTTGACAAAACCACCTCAGTCCCTACCAAGCATGCATATGCAAACGTTGGAGCAGAACATCTTTCAATCCTTGTGGAATACTTCAAGGAAAAAATGTACAAGGACATGATGGAAGAGAAATCTCGCCATGATCGAAACGTCTGCACCTTCAAGATGCTGTGGCTTCTCTACAGACCTGGGGTCACAGTGTATCTTGAATCCGGTGGGAAGCTGTTTGCATTTGTTGTCAATTCTCTCGAAACCTCTGACGTCAAAGGTACCGCTGGGGTACGACGGGTCAAATCTTATACCATCAACATGTGGAATTTGGATTTCGACAGTCGCTTTGTTGGACGGCGAGCCAGAACAGTCACGATTCCGCACTTTGATGGGGAACGACGAATCAATTCCCTCAAGCTCTTCCCGTGCGAGTTCAAGGACAAAGAAGACGGCGGAGAGATGCGACGGAGCCTTGAAGAACATGGAAAGAAATGGTACGAGCTTCTTCGTGGAGGGCAAGTTATTTATTCGGGTCGGTTATTGGATGCTAGCAAGAAACAGGTGAGTGACATGTTTCAGCCTTGCACTGATTCTGACGAATTCTAGTTCCAAGGCCGAGTCGTCGTCGACATGCCGTCCTACTACGCCCAAGAACCCTCTCATACACCAGAAATTTGCAGTATCAATGACCTGGGTGAAGAGCTCGCCAAGTGCTACTGCGAGGATTGTAAAGGTTACAGACCGCACCCTCCGGAAGACTTTCCATGGACGCGCTACGATCTCATCGATCCCCTCGTCGACCAGGATCTCGAAATACCGGGCTCAATCAATGGGTCCCGTCATCGATATGCTCTTTGCGCCCGGTTGCTTCATGGCTTCGATTTGAAGTCGAGATCGTGGGGTAAGCGGACCCGACATGGTGTTTGTTCTTGCTAACGCAGATTAGTGATGCTTGACGTTGAATGTTGTCAACCGCCAAAGATGAACGTGGGAGCCATTGAAACTTTGGTCATGCCTTCTGAGAGGAAGGAAATGATCAAAGCCCTCATTCACAAGTTCACAGATTCCAATGCTTCCACAGGACCTGGTTCGTGGAGGGCCGATTTCCTTGAAAACAAGGGCGAGGGACAAATCTTCCTGCTCCACGGAAGCCCTGGTGTTGGAAAGACCTATGTGAGTCCACAATTTAAGCTGCTTGAGTTGATGCTAACTGAATCAGACTGCAGGTAAGTTGATGTTGGGTGATAGTACAACTGATAGTGACACGAGTAGAATGCATCGCCGAGTACACCGGTCGCCCAATGTTGTCTTTGACCGTGGCAGATATCGGAACCGATGAAGTCATAATGGAGAAGCAACTTGTGAAATGGTTTCAACTCGCAGAGAAATGGGGAGCAGTCATGCTCATCGACGAAGCTGATGTCTTTCTTGAGAAACGCCAGGTTTCTGATCTCAAGCGAAACAGCTTGGTCTCTGGTAAGATCAATGATGGAAAAAAGGTTCTCGCTGACAGCCAATAGTCTTTCTGCGATGCATCGAGTATTATCGTGGTGTCCTATTCCTCACAACTAACCGAGTTGGCCAATTTGATGATGCCTTCATGTCACGAATTCATGTCGTCATCTACTATGACAAACTGAGAATGGAGGACCGGAGACAGATTTGGTCGCAATTTTTCAACAAGCTCGAAGATGAACGAGAGGACTTTTTCATAACTCGGCGAGCAAAGGCATTTGTTCTGGAAGATGACACCATCTGTGAAATCGAGTGGAATGGAAGAGAGATTCGCAATGGTAATAACCTATCCATCCACGCAAGCGTAACTAACGCAGTCGACAGCTTTCCAGACGGCCGTGTCCCTTGCCGAGTATAGGTTCCTGCAGAAACCTGACAAGACCAAAAATGATTGCCCAACTCTCGATCAAAAGGACTTTGAACAAGTCTGCAAAATGGTCCGGCAGTTCAAGGAGTACCTTGTCGATGTCCATGGAGTTGATGAGGATGGTCGAGCTTTCATGCGTAATGAAAGAGGTTAGCCGACAGCTCACAGAAATCCAGTCGCATCGTTAATATGGCATGCTCAACTACACGTCTAAGCTCCGGAATTTTTCTTGATTCCGCTAGGTCTACATGGAACTATGCATAAACTTCAGACTGCGGCGGTGGACGTACTGACAATGTGAATAAACCTGTGCCAATTTTGACTAATTTGCATCTATTCCCAATCAAAGTGAAAATTCGAAAAACTGCCATGTACGACTGAATCATCCAATAAACTATTAACATGTTCTCGCATTATTGAACCCCCTGGAAATTGATCCGAAGAGTCTTGGAACGCTGAGAATAGTTGGTCAAACGACAGGACGTCGTTTGGAGGAAGAAAGTTGTCGGATTCTTGAGCCGGGTTAGCAAGTTTTGTTTGAAGCTCTTGCAAACCTTGAAGGCGTTTCCACAACCGCATCAACGGGCTTGATCGAGTGCTCAGCAGTTTGATTAGATTTAAAGCAATGTCAAACTCTGCTCTTACGCTGTCCCAAAACGTAGAGCTAGCGTTTACGATTGCCAACAAAAGGTTGCCAAAAGCAGTGAGCAATGGATGTTTAAAGAATATTGCATGAGTTCGAATAGAGGCAGTATTGTCGTTGAGATCTGCAAGCATCTGCAGTGTCTCTTTTGCTACTTTCATAGCCGTATGAGCATACTTTTTGTGCTGGTTGATTTGCCCTGCTGACTGCAAGACTGGTCGATAGATTAAATTGCGGACATGACTTTTGCGGAAGAACAGGACGGCTTGGATGTAATTTGGCTTTTCCAGCTCACTGCTGAGATGTAGTGAAGTTTCGTTTAAAGTTAGATGTTCAGGAAGCTGCTCATACCAGTGGATGGTTTGATAATCCAGGTAATCCAGATCGTCAGTGTTGATTTTGGCTCCATTTTCGCCTTGACAATTCAGTGCCTGCCAGGTTTTCCCAGCCAGCTTGGTCCAATCAAGCAGACAAGACAAGATGGGATTAGAATTGTCCTAAGGTGGTTAGCATAGTTTGCAAGGGGCAATACTCCCAAGGGTCAATACTCACAAGTGTAAATAGTGACGGATCAACGTAAGAATCTTGAATGGAAAAGGGGATTCCTTGGCCAAGACTGGTTCTCCTTTCAAGCATATACACAGACCAGAATGTTCTCAAAGCGTCTGATCGCTCTTCAAGATTTGGAAAGGCATTCTCCACCATCAATCGACGGTGCAATCCCATTTCGAGACAGAGTCTTGCTGCAAACCCAATAATCCGGCCTGTTCGCACTTCTTCATCAAGGTGATAGTGGTATAGCGCCTATTCTTGTTAACACCGCCTCGCTGGCAATAGGTTCTACTCACCACAAGAACGAGAAGCTGAATACCATGAATTCCGTTGGAGTTCCAGATCAAACCCTCTACTGCTTCTGTAGTGCTTTCAAACAACCTCTGCGCTTGGTCGTTTCTGCCTCCACTTGCAAGTGTACGCCCGATGGCTAGGACAATTTTCATCTTGTTTGTCTCATCATTGAAAAGAGTCTCAACCAAAGAACCTTTTGCCAACTTGACTCCGTCCCTCGAAGCGGATTCCAGAGATGCAAACACATTATTGGCTGTCTGCATCATTCTGTCGCGGTCTACCACGGGGTATAATGAGCCTACCCCATTGCACCATTGATCAATCAGATCAACTGCATCATCTCCTTTTATATCCCACAATGGATCCATAGTCAAGACCTTCATAAATGGCCCATATTGTGCCAGGCGAGACGATGATGGACATCCAGGCGCGGACGTGGATTTGCTCAATATGGCTGCTGGCATCCCCATTGCTTTGAGGTTTCCACTGACCACATTCAATGTGAATTCAGAACTCGAAGGACCGCAGAATTCAGGAGACGTTATACTGGAGTCACTTTGTGGTTGGAAGCTTTGAGACGTTTGTGCTGGGGATGCTTCATTGGACGTGGATTGAAGACTCCCCGGCACGATTCCGGCTGCTTCGGCTACCATTTGAGAGCCGTCATCAGGCGCCATCACACTATGAGGTTTGTCAGGAGTTCTTAACATGGCGATCAAAACTCACCCTCGGTCGGGTAACTGGTCAGGTAGGTAATGATACCTGTGTCCAAGGTAGATGCATGGTGCGGACTTTGCCACGCACTTCACGCAAGGCTTCCCGCCATCGCACTTGATCTTTCGTCGCTTGCATCGATTGCTAGGCTGTTTAGTAAAGAATTTAAAGAGCCCATTATATCTTACCATGCCTGATTCACATACTGTGATCTCCGAGAGCGTGTTTGGTTGGATTTCTGTTGCCTCGTCTCCATTTCAATTTGTCCTTAATTGACAACAGCAGAACGCATTTCCAGCGAGGCACTGGTGTACTTATGTGATTGCGGGGTAACTTGTTGCGGGGAAATTACTGCATTAGTGGCCATTAGACCTCGGAGAAGGCATTGGTGCGGTCGCGAGCAGAAAGTAAATTAGATCTGAATTGTTTGACAGATTCTGAATAATATTATTTAAAAGGCAGAAACATCGTAGGCGCCATAGAGTAGTCCATGGTTCAAGGATTTTGGGGAGCCGTATTGCCTGGCCGTGTGATTGAGTAGGTATCATTCCATGATGCCTGAGGTGACGAGATGAGCATTGTTAGACCCAAAATCAGTGCCATGGACTTGAGAAAGGATCAGACAACTGAATTATGTAACTTGAGCCCCGTACTGGGTTCAAGATTCCCTGCGTAATATAAAGGCTTATGACCCGAATTTGACGAGACTCGAGATGACGGCTAAATTCGACTTGCGAACAGTGGGTGGACAAAACCACCTAAAAGGGGGAGAAATCTCTCCACCATCGACCTGAATTGACGTAATAATATACCCGTCACAGTAACAGGGCATCTACGGCAGAATCCATATCGGAGCTTCGTGTGCAGATCTCGGTGTCGGAGGCCGAGTCCGTTCGGAACGGAGGCGCGGAATTTAGTGTCTGAAATTAGCCCTCTCCTCGGAATAAATACCTGTTCAAGTGCATCGAATTGAACGGGCATTGCTTCAAGATACTACTCATACGTTCAATCATGAACTCATTCCCGCCCACTGGTGATGCATATGTCTCCAAGACATTCATCTTCAAAACGACCAAAGACGGCGATATCCATGTTGACGTTGCGTACCCAGAGGTCACAGATGGGACAAGCACGGTTCTAATCCACTATCACGGAGGATTTCTGGTAAGAATTAAACCGGTGTAAAAGACTCGATATTAACTAGTATAGGTCGTTGGAGACCGATATTCCTTCTTCCCATACTGGCTTCTCCATGCCTGCACCTCTCGGAACTGGATTTTTGTAACTCCAGACTACCGGCTGCTGCCAGAAACTACAGCCCATAGCTCACTTCAAGATGCTGTAGATACGTATTCTTGGGTTTTGCAGTCTCTTCCGCAGCTACTCGGTCGTACAATCAACTCGGTCATGTTGGCAGGATCAAGCGCAGGGGCATATCTCGCTCTTGCAACAGCTGCGACCGTCGAAAGACAGCCTAGTGCCCTTTTATTGATCTATGGTATGCTGGATCCTACATTTCATCGATACACAAACCCCGGAACCAACATTTTTAATCGGCCGATGATTGAGACATCTCCCATTTTGGGGAGTTGGCCAAAATGGGGAGCAGGTGATGACAGACAGGTGCTATCTACGTATCCTTTGCCAGAAAACCCTACTGGTGACCCTAGGTTCGCCTTGGTCGCGGCTCTTCATATTGACGGCTTGTTTCCGGACTACATGACTGGTACTACAGGGATGGGGCGCATGATTGCCGAGGAAGGGAATGACGCAATTCCACAACATCACCAAAGTCTGTTCCCTCTGGCATTTGGCAACCTCGAAAAATTGCCTCGCACAATGCTTCTTCACGGTAAAAACGATTCAGCTGTTCCAGTGGAGCTTAGTGTACGAGCTATGGATAACTTGAGAGCGGCAGGAGTCGATGTTTGTGCAGAGTTTCCGGAGGATGCAGAGCATGGTTTTGATGCAAGAGCTGGGGATGTAAATATCGAGACATCGAGCGGAGAAGATGTTGCAGCTTTCCAGAGCTTGAGGAATGCAATCAACTTCTTGGCTAGATGAGGGGGTTTGTAATATGAATACTAGAAAGCTTTCCCTTGGAAGCTATATATTTAGTGTGAATAACAAGAATACCTTATCCTGGGAGAAGCCTTGATTAACATGCAGCGTATCTGGAACCAAGATGTTGTCCGCCGTGTTTTAACATAAGCGCCGAGACTGAATGAATCGAGATTATAACTTACCAAGCCAACGAAACTTCTTCATTCGCATGTCCTCCGAGGTAACGACGGTACAACTGCCGGCGGAGGGGATTCGCGCTAGTTCCGCGAGACGCTAGTTCCGCGCTGATCTCTTCCGAAGATTCCGCACGGCACTTCCTCTCGGCAGCCAATTCAATCGGGGTTTCTTTAATATTGACCGAACTACAGCGGCTTCTAATGGCCATGATAGATATATAACCTCTTAGAATAATGTCTGAATTCTGTACTCAAAGCAAAGATGCCAAAGTCAATGCAGCCCATGATTGGCTTAACAGCCATGATGCCAACAGTTACGTTGCTGGCCCTGACCTTCTTTCTACTTGTGATTTCACAAATCGTCTACTACACCTTCTTTCATCCCCTTGCAAAATACCCTGGGCCTGCTATTTCAAAGTTCACCAATTTGTGGAAGGCTTATCAGCTATGGAGCTTGCACATGCCTGAAACTCTGACACAGCTACACGACAAGTACGGCGAGGTTGTACGTGTTGGTCCAAATGATTTATCCTTCAACGGTGGCAAAGCAAGCGCCCAGATTTATAAAGCTGGGCGTGGCTTACCAAAAACTAAATTCTACAATGGATTCACTACATTTAATCCAAACCTATTTGGGACGCAAGATGAAGAGGTAAGCCAAGATTCTAGTTGAGTGTCGACGGAGCTCATGTCGATCGGTAGATTCATAGCATACGCCGTCGACAAATGGCCCATGCATTCTCCTTGCAATCCATTCGAGGAATGGAAAGCTACATCGACACACACTTGTTGCAATTGCGCAAAAACCTCGATCATTATGTGAAGACGGAAGAGGTTTTCGATCTCAAAGAGTTGATTGCATTTTACGTCCTCGACGTATTGGGTGAGCTTGCTTTCAGCAGAAGCTTTAATTCCCAGGTTGAACAAGATTCGGAAAAGCTGCCGCCAATCAACGACCACATCTACCTCAGTTGTTTACTGGGTATGATGCCTGAGATGATGCCTTTCCTCAAAGTAGTGGCTGCTTGGACACCACTGCCATGGTTTCAAGGACTCTTTCGAGCTCGAAAGCTGTTGAAGAATTTGACTGCAGAGTGTGTCAGCCACCGAATGAGGGAGAAGATTAGCAACCGAAAAGATCTTCTCACATGCCTCATCAACGCAGTCGACCCAGAGACTGGAGCTATTTTGACAGAGCTTGACATCCATACCGAAGCTTTTGCGATGATGTAAGTGAGTGCTTGAAACAAAGTTCTTGGCTTACATATTGTAGAGTTGCAGGTTCCCACACTACATCGGGTACCCTCACACTCCTGTTTTCGCACATTCTTCAAAATCAAAAGGTCTTGGAAAAGGTCGTCGCTGAGATTGATCAAAATCTATCGCATATTACTGATGAAATAAACCCAAGTGATGATTTGGAGCAAAGTTTGCCCTATGTCATGGCTTGCATTCAAGAAAATTTCAGAATTGCGCCAGTTTTTACTATGCCTTTGGCACGCAAGGTCATTACGGAAGGAGGCATTGAGATAGACGGACACATCATTCCAAGAAATGTAAGGCTTCCAGAATCGTCTGCTACAAAGCTGACTGGCATAGACGACTGTTTTCAGCTTGAATCATGTTGTTCACCATAACCCGTCTATCTGGGGATCAGATCATGACAAATTTGACCCGTCAAGATTTCTTGGGCCCAAAGCAGATTTCTTCAAGCGCCATTTGACTCCCTTTAGCATTGGCCATCGCATGTGCATTGGGAAAAATATGGCCATGACGAATATTCTCAAAGTGCTGACTACCGTTTTGAAGCACTACCAATTAGAAATGATGGACCCGAAACAGAAAATATCCACGATTAGTGTGGGAATTTCTGAAAAGGACGTCCCTTTGGAGTGTCGTGTAAGGAGACGTATTCTATCCGATGCGAGCTAGGTACACAGGCGTATGCACAAGGGTATGATGGCATGTAGCGATATGAAAGCACGGCTAGTAGCTGGATTTAGTCTAAAGGCTAAATATCTTATTATTTAACTTTGATCTATTGTTCATACCAGGTTGGCTATTGAACACTAAATGCTAAGAACGCTTGTCAAATAAGAATTTAGGTACTGCCTTGGCAAATACATCTCCATCATGCTTGGTATCAATCTTTGACAACGCCTCTTCATACTGCCGAGCCTCAATCAAGCCTTTCTCGAAACGGGATTCCAGATACTTCTTGATGATGAAACCATTTGCCTCAGGATGACCTTGAACGCCCAGTACTCTCCCTGGCTCGTAGATAAACTGAACTTCTGATATCGCACTGGAGCCGATAATTTCCATCCCAGGCGGAATACCCACGACAGTGTCCAGGTGCATTTGATGAAGATTCTAACATGTTAGAAGCATTCAATTAAAATCTTGAGGACTCACCAAATGGTCGGTCCCAAACAGATCGATGCCGGATGGTGTGAGGTCGACTTTGGTAACAGATAATTCGCAGCCTTTTGGATTCTTGATGACTCTGCCGCCCAAAGACCTTGCAAGAATCTGATGCCCGTAACAAATGGCCAAGATGGGAATGCATTTTTTATACGATTCCTTGAGAAAGTCCATGAGCTTAAACGCCCATGGATAATCATCATAGGCGGCGTATTCTATTCATGTTAATTTCTGATGGTCTGTGGATTGGGCAACATACTTCCTGCAGTCAAGAATAGCCCATCAATCTCATTCAGCTGAGGATAAGACTGCGCCCGTACAACATCCCATTTTGTAACCTGAAGCTCCGGAACAGGTCCCTCAGCTTGCTCGAAACCACGGCGCAAAAGTCTCTCCACAATGTCCCCGTATGAGCCTTGGGTATCTGAAATGGAGCTGGGAGTCTTGTCGGTTTCCAAAATGGCCATGCGAAATACGGAAGCCATTGTAACTGTTGGTATAAGCAATCGGCAATGCTTACCAGACAACATCGAGGGAAATTCTCGCATGGGACAGGGACTTTTATGCCAATGATGACTCATCCTGTTCTGCTTAGAGGCTCCATCTTGCATCATTCGTCGTGGGTCTCGGCAATGATCCGAACGATTGCGACACAAGCCGTGAAGGATACAAGACCGAAGGGCTAACCTGGTTGACCAGAATTGACATCTTGGACATGGTTGAGATTTAAGAAGAAAAAATGTTAAAATTGCTCTTAGTACGTCTGGGTATAGTTAAAATTGGCGATGGCCTGTATCTCTAAAAGCTCCCACAAAAGTCCTCAAATAATTGACTAGGCTGCCTGGTGTTCTCTTTTAATGCGGCTGATTAAGTGAACATAAAGGTGAATATTTTCTTTATTTTCTGGTGCATTTTCGACAAGCCAGAACTTCCGAACGGACTCGGGTCGTAAGCCGCGCTCGGCACATAGCCGAGCAACTACGGCACCAGTAGTACTAATGAGTAAGGCAGATTAATGTGGGAAGCTTTCGATCAGTGCGTAATTTATACTCCTTGGCTCCAAGGATGAAATCAATTTGACGCCGAACAGCATCAAACAAGTTGACCTGGCCTTGGAGGACATTGTTCCAGGCTGGAGTAAGTGAATCTCCATCAATCAGCCGTGTTAAAATGCGCAAATCAAATTCCATACCTTCAAAATCGGCCATGTAGGCGTAAACATTTGAGTTGAGGGCATTCACAATCATCTTTCGATCAGTAGGGCCGGTGATTTCCACTCTTCGGTCAGCCAAGACTGGCGCAGGTGAAGCACCTCGCCATTTGCCATCATCTCGGATGTCTTTTGTTCCGGACAAAAACTCGGGAAGCTCTCCGGCGTCAAACTTCTTTTCGCGAATTTCTCTGGTGAGAAGTATTTGTTTGCGGGTTCCTTCAACAGAACGGTGCAGGATGTTGAAGAACTGGCATGCTTCATCTGGTAGAATCTTGCGGCATCATCGACTTCTCCGGGTACAGAAAATTGGTGCGACTTGTGGGGAATGAGAACCATGGTGATTAAGAAACAAAAATTCAATAAATTAGGATGACTTTTTATACCGTCAGTTGTCAGTGGAAACATACTCTTATTATACTTCTTTTGCTATTCTTGATGCCCTCCGAATTTCGGTCCCGGGTAGCCCGGAGGTATCTGTCGGAGCTTTTTCCCGTGCTCGGAAGCCGCCGAGGCCACCCCGAAGCCACTACGAAATGTTCCAACCCGACTCGCGACAATCATCGGCAAGGAACTCGATGATTTGGCTTGTGGCTAAGTCGGTTAAGTAGTCCGAATAATTGAACGCCGCTTTCAATGTCGGGTGACCTGATGCATCAAGGCCCTGCTCTCCGAAGCCGACGATGTTCCTCAACTTACTACTTCTCCAGATATCCGACTCTCTGAGTATTTATCACCTGGATAACTTTTATGCTTATGAACCCAAAATTTCCTCAAAATTTCTTTGGATGACGTATTCTTTGCATTTTCTTCCGCTGGGCATGATATTATGGTCACAGACTGGTGACTGAATACCATGGCTCATTTCCCATTACCTAGTGGGAAGACATTTTATTGGCAACAATGCAAATTGAATCGGTAATTTCTTGAGGCTGTTTCGCCGATCAAATGTTTTAGAACCCATCTATTGGCCACGAGGTCTGTTTCAACACGTATGGCTGACCAATCGTGGAATGTTGTTTCATCATTGAAACGACATGGGTAAGGCTCCTGATTTACTGATCGCCCCAAATTCCGGGAAATACGTTGATTGACAATAAAAATTGAGAGACAAAATGTTAGGCCGGAGAAGTAAAAGTCGACTTACTATAGAAGCTGACGAGGAAAGTCAAGATTGAGGCTCCAAGTTCCGTTCATCTCGCTTGTAGGGTTCCCAAGTGGGAGCGACATCCTGTAAGCTGTTGGTTCCAGTTGTGAATCCTTCTATGGGGCCGTTACAGAACTTTGACAGGAGGAGCGTTGTTGCACCATGATGTAATAAATATGAAACACCAGCTGACAATCAGTTCATGCTTTGCCTGCCCTGCCATCTTGAGAATATTATTTATCCAGCTCTCGCGCTGGTTTCGCATCTCACTCTTCAGTCCAACCAATATTGACAGCATGGCTCGTCTGTTCGCCTTCCTCGCTCTCTGCGGCGCATTCGCCACCGTGGCCGCAGATGCTGTCACGGAGACCAACCTCAAGATCTACCCCTCTGGATACTACTTCTACCAGTACAGATCCATGGACGCGTCTATCGTCGATGTCAACAATGACCTGACTACATTTGCGCTCCGTTGCCCCCCGGCCGATGCCACCGAGCTCTATTGCGACTTTGACGAAAAGACCCTCACCTATGGACCTACAGTCATGGAGTTTACCACGATTGAAAGTGCAGAAACTATGATTGCGGAATTTGACTCTACTTTGTGCGTCTAATGTCGCACTCACCTGCGACTCCAAGTGCTAATCCGCTGCAGTATTTACAATCCCCATTGTACGAGGGTCAAGACGGAGGGTAGTCCGGACACTGTAACTTGTACAGTTGAAATGACTGGAGAGAGTTCAGGAGTTCTAGTGGAATCGACAATAAGTACGGTTTATAGCAAATTCTTGACCTCATCGATGAACATCGCCGTCACGGCCGGGGCCAGTAAGCTCAAAGGACAGGAAACGGCAACCCCCGGCGCCTCTGCCACTAAGACTGCCACCGATACTGAAACCACTGTCGCCTCATCATCTTCAGATAACTCTACGGTATCGAAAACTGCCGACGCCAGTGCCGGTTCTAGTTTCTTGACTTCTGCTTCCAAGGTGGAATCGACTGGTTCTGAAGCGGCATGGACTTCTGGATTGACATCGGCTGGTTCTGAAGCAGAATCGACTGGCTCTGAGGGTACACCGACTGGATCCGAGGCGACACCGACTACCAGCAACACGGACAATGCAGCTGGGCCAATCAATACACACAACGCCGCCCTTATGGGGATGGCCGTGATGGGTGTCGCTCTGCTGCTATAGCACCACCCTGCTAAGAGTGATCAAGTGCTCAGTTATGGAGCGGGTAGAAAGTGTTTAATTATGTATGTAGAGTGCTTGTAAGCATAGAATGCAAATATCATCGTGGGATCAGTCTCAGAGTCAAGCACATTATGAATGAAAGTAATTTGAGGCACTGAATCAGCTGTTAAACCACGATTGCCAACCAGCTCAACAAATCGCATCAGTCACCCCTCAGTCAAAAATCGCATCAATCACCGTCCAGTCAACAAATCGCATATCACCCCTCCTTTGTCAAAGCATCTTCGCCCTCAGCGTAAGCGTCAACCTTGTACTTGGCAAACTCCCGAGTCTTGACATTCCGAGCAAAGAGAATATCTAGCTCCTCAAAAGTCTTGTCCTTAGTCTCGGGAAGTCGGAAAAAAGTCCAGATAAAGAAGACAAAGGCACATCCACCCCAGAAAAATCCAGTCTTGCCCTTCCAGTCTCCTGCCGTCGGGTTGAGCATGTACGGGTTGATGACGTTGCAAATGATCTGAGCAATGTAGTATGTAATTCGGCTAAGACAGATGCTCTTGTTTCGCAGGCGTGTCGAAGATACTTCGGCGATGACGGCGTAACAAACTGGCCCAACCGTCATGTAGTAGACACCCAGCCACACCAGCATCAAGCTAGCCTGCGCATAGTTGCTACCATTAGAGTCACCAGCACCGACACTGATAAAGCCAACGGTCAACAAGATGGCTGTCAAGAGCCCAAGGCCCCAGAGGTACAATGTGCGGCGGCCAAAGGGGCTCAGTAGATACCAAGACACGATTGTGCCGACGGATGCGATCCCAAGGCCGCCAACAGACATCCGGAATGAGATGGATTCGGGGAGGCCGGCCTGGACAAAGAAATATGTAGGAGTTCCACCCATTGCTGAGCCACAAAATGGCTGGGCAGCAAACGCCATGCAAGCAATCTCGGTGCGGCGTCGGTCGACTCCGCGGAAGCAGTCTAGGTAGGAGGTGCCCTGGTCAATGGACATTTCGATTTCATTCGTATGAACCATCATGGCCACCGTCTGCTTCGCTTGGTTTTGGTTCAAGTTGGAACCAAGCCGAGTGACGGACCTTTCTGCTTCCTCATAGTTGCCAACACGGATAAAGTACCACGGTGACTCTGGGGCGAACCACAATACTGCGAACAGAGGGAGAGGCCACGCCCACTGGATCGCAAAAGGAACGCGGTACGACCACTGCCCTGGCTTGTCGGAGAAACCAGACTGAACACCAGCCGAGATGAGTTGACCAAGCGCCCAGCAGAGGTTGACGTAAACGGTGAGATAGCCACGCAGGGCCATCGGGCACACCTCGGAGGCATAAGCTGGAGCCATGGTTGCAAACACGCCCCAGGGAATACCGCAGAGGAATTGGCCAACAAGAAGAACAGGGAGGTTTGGGGAGAAGAACGAGATGAAGATGCAGCCGCAAATTGCAGCCAGGGAAGCTAGGAGCACCTTGCGATAGCCGAATTTGTGGGTAAAGTAGCCGTTGGCGAATGCGCCAATGATGGTGCCGACGCTTACTGCATTGCTCAGACCGTTTTGCCAGGATGCAGTGATTTGGTAGCTATCCGACTTGGGGACGTATTCGCCGTAGTGTTCTCTGAAGGATGGCTGGGCGAAGAAGGAGGAGATCAGGACAATGTCATAACCCTCCATGATGATAGACGTCGACAGCAAAACGGACCACATGACGGCCTTTGGATAGCGGCGGATGGCGTCGGTAAACTTGAGGTTGTGCTCGTCCTCAGCAGCCTGCTTGGCAATGGCCAGGTCTTTGGTGGCGTTGTAGTCAGTGGCATGGTCTTCTTCACTGACCCTGGCCACCTTGTCGTCTAGATGGGGAGACATTGTTTCGGAGCCAGTCATTCGTAGTAGAGGATTGAGAGTGGATGCCCTGTTGAGTTGAAAGTACGAGGGTTCACATGAGCGGAGAGGAAGCCTTATGTATGTTGTGCGATGAATATCGGAAGAAGCTCAGGCTAGGTCTAGACTCCATGCACTGATCTTCACTACAATTACTCCGTACAGAACCCGGGGTAGTAACAGCAGAATGTGGAGAAATCCTCGAACCTGGAGTGCTGCAATACCCGATGACCCTGGTCTACCCCGCCGGAGACGATTTGTGAAGCATCGCGACCACTCCGGTGGGGGATATTGAGCTATTCTTGATGAATTTACCCTCTACTCCCGATTCGCTCCGTGATGAGACGAGACGGCTAATGAGAAATGGGACGGGTAAATTTGGCTGAACAAGGTACCAGGAGGCGATACAGTGCATAGTGAAGCTGCTTGTAGCAACAACTGCCGGTTGAAGTAGTATTCACAGTCATTGCATGGTATCAATAACACGATTGTGGGCTGAGGCGAAATCCCCAGAAGCAGTCCGATGGGGATAAACGAATATGGGGCCACTAATTCGGTCACTAACTCAGTCACTAACCCAGTCACTAACTCGGTATCTGAGATGGCTAACAATTGCTCACACGACTGTCTACCCCGCATGATTCTGTTGCACAATCATGATCATCATCTTCCCCGCAAACAACTCGGCACTGGCTCTTCGGCACGCAACGACTCCACGCGTCGATTCATTCGCACTCCAAGTCGGATCCTGGGCGGCTCCCTACGATAATCCGCTGGACTGTGCAATGCTGCTGTGCGCCGGGCGGCAAGACTGCCTTGTTCCCGTGAAATGGCCGAGAGCCAGGACGAAGGCTCAGCCATCAAATGCCACATCTGCCAGAGCGTCTTTGCGCGCCAGGAACACTTGACGCGCCATATTCGAAGCCATACGCGCGAGAAGCCCTTCAAGTGCGTGCAATGCGGAAAATGCTTCTCGCGGCCGGACGTGCTGAGTCGACACACGTCGTCGCATGCCCAAGATGCTACGGAATACCGTGGTGTTTCTGCGAGAGCGTGCCAGGAGTGCGCAACGAGCCGGGTTCGCTGTTCCAAGGGCATGCCGTGCAAGCGATGCCACGATAGAGGCCTGGGATGCAACTATCCAGTCGCCAGGAAGCGCAAAGCTACTTCATCCGGCTCGGGCAACACATTACTGAAGAGGGCTTCTACCGTACAGGTGGAATTGGAAGAGGCGCCGCAAGTGGACATGGATGGCAGTCCACAGGGTCAGGCAGAGCCGAATACAGCCATCTGGGCTCAGCCAGTCAACCCGATTGATGCCGATATACACCAAAACACTGGCGAATTTACCGTTGACAACCTCGACGCCTTCAACCCCGACCCGGCATTCGGCGGTGAGGTCATGGGCATGTCGGCTGTGAACTGGCTCTCTCCCCAATACCAAAATGTACTCGAGTGGGATAACCAGCTTGCAGCGGTGTCATACGGCATTGGATCTGCCGACATGGGATTTTATTTCCCTTTCAATGCGGTTGAACCTGCACGAAACTTGCCCGACGTGAATGGAGACGCGCAGCCTCTGGACCCGGCCATGATGTTTCCGCCCCAAGATCCGCGCAGTGGACCAATGGAAATGGAAAAGACGGGGTCGTCTTCTGTCAGAAGTTCCACTGGATCCGTTGCGTCAAAGATGACAGAGGGGCGGTTCTATGTCGATGGGAATGCCGCGAGAGCTCCTTTCGGAGGTCAGCTAACTCACCGACACTCCATCATCACCTCTTCCGAGGATGGCGTTGAGGGGAATACTCCATTGAGCGAGGGTGCGGCAGTGAGTAGCTCCAGAGACTCGAATGCATCTCAAGCACAGTTGGTATCGGACTACGCCTACCAAAATATGATCCGAGGAGTACAAGCAGATGTCCAAAGACACTCACTAGACTGTGAATCGATTTCAATCCCATCGTTAGCCCACATCAGAGCCTTTACTCGTCTTTACTTTGAGAATTTCCATCCTACATACCCATTTCTACGGAAGAGCTCGGATTTGTTCGATAGTTGGAGGCTGCTGCTTGCTGTGTCGGCTGTTGGAGCTGGTTGCTCCCGGGAAGCACAGACTATCAACGCAAGAAACGCGATGCTTGAGCTGATAAAAAGGCATGCAGTGTTTGGGAATTCGGGCTCTCAGATTAACAAGGAAGATATCTGGACACCAGGACTCGAGCCTACACCAGACCATCCTGACCTGCCCAGTCTGCAGGCCGGGATTCTTAGTATCCTCTGCATGGTCCACAGCGGGAAAAAGACAATGATGGAGTGGGCTATGGAGAATCGACATTGTATTGTTCAGCAGTGCAAAGCGATGCAGCTTCTTTCTGGTTCAGAGTCGCAGGTCGATCCGGACACCAGACGTGAAGCCCACTGGCTTGAGATGGAGGGCAGAATTAGGACTGGGATGATGATATGGGTGAGTTTCCATTTCCAGATATTCGAGCGGCTTCTAATCATACAGTTGCTCGACTCAATTTTTGTATTCGAATTCAACTGCCCGCCTTTGTTGCAGCTCGGCGATGCCACCTCTCCTCTCCCATGCTCAGACGACTTGTGGGATCACGGAACCGAACACACTGATAAGAGACAAAAGACCGGTTGGTGTTCCTGTTAGGAACTGTAATTGTAGATGCTAACACAAAACAGTCACACTGATAGAAGCAACTGAGATCCTGTACATGGAGAAGCGCCTACCACCGAACCTCGGCGACTTTAGCAACATTTTACTCATCTACGCGATCCTTCGAAGAACCAAAGACGTATTGCATCACAACCAGAGCCGATTGTCGAATTGGACGCCAAATGCCAAGATCCAATCACGGACTGTCGCCCAGCCCACCTCCGAGACTTGGCCGCCGTCTCTCCCCATCATCTCCAAATGGCGGAACAGCGCCTGCGATTGTCTGGATATCCTCCACTGGAACGCGAACAGCGCGGCTGCAAGGGCTGGAGGCTGGGAACATCCCACGATACTGCATCTACACCTTTCTCGTTTGCTCTTACTCACACCGACCAGACACATGCAGTATGTCGCTGCAGCGTCGTCACCAATCGCACCCCGCCGAGGGCAAGATGATGCCAAGTATAGAGAAGCGTGCAGCCATCTTCAACAATGGGCTATCCGTGATCAATTCAAGGCAAGGCTCTCCATGGTCCACGCTGGAGCGTTATTGTGGCACGTTCGCCGATATAGCAGTGATGGCTTCCTGGAGCCTTTTGCGATTTATGTTGCGACTCTAGCGATTTGGGCATACAGCGTATCCACGCAATCCATCAGAGGTCAAGGGCCAGATCCTGCAATGCCAAATTCAGGACCCTCGCCCACGCAACAAACGCCCCAGAATGCGACCAGCACAGATTCAGACGAGGAACCCGAACCTGCTTTTATTCACCTAGACCGACCGTGTGATGACGAAATGGTGCAGATATACGTACGGCTGGGGCATAAAATCTCAGGCTACATGCTCAGAGTAGGCAATATTTGCAGCCCAGGCGCGCCTAGAAAAATCTTGAAAGAAGGTGTACGGTTGCTCTCCAGCAGATTACGGATTCTGCCTGAAGACAGCCTTGTTGATAGATCAGATGTCACAAACACATGGGGAATCGCGGAATCGTTTAAACAGACATTGGGATATTTGATCCAGGCAACAGCCACCGACAATCCTTGACCAGATCAAGTCGTCTTTTCGTGGGCAAGTCGGATGATCATCTTATCTGACTGGCTTGGTGAACAAAGTCAGATGCATCTATCTTAAACCAGACATCTAGTAGCGAGTAACAAATACTAAATCCCTTCAACCCTGACCTTGGCCTGATTCACTTGACAAACACAGGCATCTCACTGAGAGGGCAAGACACTAGAACAGCTTGTCCCCCGTCGTATGTCTCATTGCCCGAAAAAGCAGTCCATCTCTTCCCAGTTTCCAGAGGGGGCAAGTATACCTCCATGTTTTTCACCTCTGGGCCGAGTACCGGGCACACGAGATACTTGTCCCCATACATGTACTGCGTGGAAATCTCCCAGCACTTGTTGTCGTTTGGGAATTCGTAAAACAACGGCCTCATGATTGGGCTTCCCTTTTCATGAGCCTCCCTCATCAACGTCCGCGTATAGCCTCGGAGTTGTTCTCGAATCTGGATATATCTTCGGCATATATCGTAAACGTCAGGCCCGTATGACCACACTTCGTTGGCGGCTCCGCTGCGGCACGTAGCGCCACCGGAAATCCCAACTTGTGGCTGTCTCGGTTCTCTGTCACCATGGAGTCGCATCACAGGACAAAAGGTACCCCATTGGAACCATCTAACGAAGAGCTCACGGAACTTGTCGTCGTCGGGATCTCCGCCGTGGAAACCGCCGATATCTGTCGTCCACCATGGCAGCCCTGCAATTCCCATATTCAGACCTGCGGTCAACTGGTTTCTCAAGCTTGACCACGACGAGGCAATGTCGCCGCTCCAAACGAGAGCTCCGTACTTTTGACTTCCAGCCCATGCGCAGCGGAGCAAGTTGACGACATCAGTTTGGCCCTCGCTGACCATTCCCTCGTAGAATGCTTTGGCGTAGTCGACGGGGTAGATGTTGCCAATCGTCAGGTTGGATCCAAGAAAGTATCGATAGTTGTCAAAGTCGTAGGCAGTGTACTCCGGTTCCGCTTCATCTAACCAGAAAGTCTTGATACCCTTGGAGTAATAGTTTTCTTTGACTGTCCTCCAAAGATATTTCCTCGCCTCCGGATTGGTTACATCGATATGAATCGTCTCACCTTCAAAATCTAGTCCAGTCCGCACCCCTCGATCTGTCCGGATGAGGTAGCCATGCTCAAGCATGTGCTGATAGTTTTCAGACTTTTTATCAACAGTAGGCCAGATCGATACCATAAGATCAACTTTCATCTCTTTGAGCTCCTTCACCATGGCATCTAACTCTGTTAGTGTTGTCTGGTTATACCGAGAGGCGCTTACCAGGATCAGGCCAATAGAGCGGGTCAAACTTCCATTCTCCCTGCTTTGGCCAATGGAAAAAGTCGATGACGATAAGGTCAAGAGGAATACTCCGACGTTGATATTCTCGGGCAACCTCTAGCAGCTCTTCTTGCGTTTGGTACCGCAGCTTGCACTGCCAGAAGCCTAGTCCGTACTCCGGCATCATAGGGACTTTGCCAGTAGCATTTGCGTAGGCCTCTTCGATCTCTGCCGGAGTATCACCAAGCACAATCCAGTAGTCTAGAGCATTGGTCGAGTAGGCTTCGAAGCTCATAATGTTCGTTCCAAAGACTGCACGGCCGATGGAGGGGTTGTTCCAGAGCAGTCCATAACCAAGTGACGAGAGTGCAAATGGGACACTAGCCTGTGAATTGCGGTGGGCAAGTTCAATATCCTGACCTTTGAGGTTCATTTGATGCTGCTGATACTGGCCCATGCCAAAGATCTTTTCGTTTGGATCGATGCTTTCGAGACGCATCGTCAAATGGTAGTTGTCGGTGCCTGGAATTGGCCGAAGCTCACGAGCCTCGACCTCAATGGCGCTGCACTTGGGATCAAGAATATCCCGGCGGTTGCGTGTATACTCTTCGAGGATTATTTGTCCCTTTGCATTCTCGATGGTCACTTTGCCAAGTCTGGAAATAACAGCCTTGGCTTTTCCGTTACTGATGCTTGACGACTCATCAGAGATGGAAATGTGTGACTCGGTTGGCAAAGGTTGCTCAAGGGCCCAGTCCTGTGTTGGCATCACGCCAGATTTAGTGGCGCGCACACGGAATGCATTCGGTCCCCATGGTTGGATCCAAAGTTGTTCAGCATCGTACTTGTAAACTAGAATGCCGTCTCGGTTGAAAAACATTTCGAAGCGGTCAAAGTTGCTGGACGTATGCGACAGCTGGACTTGGTTGACGAGGTTTTCACAGCTTATGGTAGGATTTGGATGTTATGAGCTATTTAAAGTGATGTTGAGTAAACGATCCTTTATTCCTCCATCGGACATGATGACTGATCAATGCTTTCATTGTCATTTGAAGCCTATCGTGATGTAACGCTACGCCACCGGAGCGATGAGATCTACATCTCACCCCGCCGGAGTTGTGATCCCCAACCCCGCTGGAGTCAGCCGATGCTCTGATTTTCCACGTCCTGAAGAACGTGAGCATGTGAGTTGCATGAAATTGCACGGAACGGAAACAAAGCACCTGAGCGACGCACAGCAAGGCCTTGGTCCGATGGGAAATTCCCCGCCGGAACTATGAGCATCAGGAATTCCCAAATTCGAAAGTCCGCGTCATAAATCGCAGCACCCAAATTTTAGCCTGCCGCCAGGTTGACTGCTGAGTGGGCGCTGTTATTAGGGCGCTGTTATTAGGGCGCTGTAGGTGTCGTGCCCCGGCTGACAGCGGAAAATTGGCTTCATTGACGCTGTTTTGCCTGATATGACGTGAGACGGATTGCTCGTGACGAAAAAAAGCTCTACAGCACACAACAGCTTCGTCTGGAACATTATTTACTGCTTCAGAGTCTGGATCATTTTGCGGCTTGAAGCGGGATGCGGCCTAGATCCCACCGGACGCGTGTCTCAAGGGTGTCTGACCCAGGAAGGAGAGCCAACATCGAGGCAGCCATGTCTAGACTAGGTAGGCATCCTCAGACAAGAAGGTCATGTCCGACATGCCTATGCAACCGGGATGCAGTCCTTATTCTCAGTCTCACAGTGACATGGAGCTAACTTCTCTTTCTTCGTATCCACCGGAAAAGCAGCTTTCTTGCCCCATCGGGAGCCACCACATACTACCAAACCTCCACATTGATGCATGAAACCCTCCCGTCTCTAATATCCACTAGGCTGAAGCAAAATCCTGGGGTAAGTCTGGGGGAACAAGGAGAACCAATCTAACTTCTGTCTGCTCCCTCAAAGTGAGCGAGTTGCCGGCACAAGATCATGAAAAAGGTTTCTTCCACAATTCAAGCATTTCCTACCCAATGCTTCCACGATGACCAAATATTGAGCTTTTCAGCTTGGAAAAGTAGACCTGTATGAATATGTAAGTAGTCGGCCCAAGGAGCCGAGCTCTGACTCTTTCCCTCCCCACGCATCACCTTTCACCGAAGCAACGATGCCTTCTTCTGCAGTGACGGGAGCCACAGTTTCCATCAGCAACATCCTGCACCCCGGGTTCTTCGTCGCCATCGCCATCCTCGAATGCGTCGTATTCTTCTATTTGGCGCACAAATCTTGGTCGGGCAAAAAGTCATGAAACAATCACAGATCAACACAAGCTTGTTCCACTACATTATACGCAGCACCGAGTTCGGGCCCATTCTAATCGACTTGATGCCAGAATTCCATCGCCGTGAGGATGTCGCTGGAGTGCGTATGACCCGAGATGGCAGTGATGGTGGGTCGGCCGGGAACATACTCGTGATCCAACCTATGAGGACAAAGGTTCATCCCGAGAGGTATTAATAGAGTAAAAGAACGGATAGTAATGAGGGGTAGGTATGTAAATATCGAGCCCAAGTCCTACGAATATTTCGAAAACCGCCTTGCTCGGGAATGCATGCATAATTTGCATCACACCGTGGAGGTGTGTAGATAGACATACCACGATAAGAACAGTCATGTGCTCGTTCTCCCTACATCAGGTGAAACGGGCGTATCTGTTAAACCCTATCCAGCCTTTTCTTTCTTTTTGTACCCCAGGATTATGCAGACGGGTGGAGAGTTGAGCCTATGGGATGCTTCGGCCCTCACCGACAGTCAGCGGCAAGCTCCGATCCGGCATTCCAACCCAACTATCGACGTCACGCAGCAACGACGGGAGGAGTCATTCTTGTCAACACGGATATTCAATTGATACCTGCTCAAATTCAATTGAGATTTGCTCATACAAAATGCAGACCGACAGGGACTATCTGCTCTCGCTCCAGGCGGTCCGCGCCAACGCCGCCAAGGTCCTGGACGCCGCCAAGAAGGGCGAGCTCAACCACTTCGACTACGACCCCTCGCGCATGGGTGACGTGTCCGACTTTGTCATGGGCGTCATCAAGGTCAGTGAAGCAGCTGCTCCTTCGCCGACTGCTCTAACTGCTTCCCGCAGCGCGACTTTGGCCCCGACAAGTTCGACACGATCCCGCCCCACGGTCGCTGGCAGCACTTTGACGTTGGCGGCGTCCCGCGAGTGCAGTCGCTGATTTCTGCATGGGCCGACGATGGATGCAAGGACATGACCGAGGTCACCCGACGGCTGATTGATCTCTTCTTCGTCTCCGTCCTCCTCGATGCTGGTGCTGGCGATCACTGGCGCTTCAAGGAGCCGGGGACGGAAGAATACTACGTCAGAAGCGAGGGCATCGCTGTTGCATCGCTCCACATGTTCAAAGCCGGAGCCTTTGTCTCCAAGGGCTCAAAGCCGGACCAAGTTGACGGTAAGCTGACCCAAGCTGCCAAGCATCTCTGCTAACCATCGTAGGCCAAGGTCTCTTGTCTCTGACCGAAGAAGCGTTCAACGGCTTCTTCCAAATCTCGCCCGAGAACCCCATGGTTGGCGTCGCTTCTCGCGTGCGCTTGCTCAACGACGTGGGCGCATCTCTGCTGAAGCTGTCTGACATTTTTGGCGAGGCTGGTCGACCAGGGAACATGGTTGGTGAGTAGACCTGTCATGCGTGAAGCAAAGATGCTAACTCGGCCAGACTACCTAACCAAGCGAGCTGGTACTCCTGGCACCCTTGACTACGAAGATCTTTGGTCTTGCCTTCAGCGCGTGTTGATTCCGTCCTGGCCCCAGGATCGCACATCGATCGACAGTCAGCCCATCGGAGACGCATGGCCTCTAGCTGTCCTGGCTAAAAGGGCCGAGGAAGACAACGCCACGACATCAAGGAACACCATTCAACCGTTTCACAAGCTCACGCAGTGGCTGGCCTACTCTTTGATGGTCCCCTTTGTGAGGCTGCTCAAGTTCGAGTGGAAGAACGCCGAGCTGGGGACAGGCCTTCCGGAGTATCGCAACGGGGGCCTCTTTGTTGACCTCAAAGTCTTGCTCCTCAAGGAAAAAGACTTGGCGGAAGGTCTCCAGACGTCTGGAGAAAAGCTTCCCGGGTACGATGCTGCATCTGATGTGATTGTAGAGTGGCGCGCCATGACGGTGGCGTTGCTGGATGAATTGTATCAGGTCGTGTCGGCCAAGTTCGCCGAGGAGGGCGTTACATTGACCATGGCTCAGATGCTGGAGGCTGGGAGTTGGAAGTCGGGACGCGAGTTGGCTGCCAAGTACAGGCCGGACACAAAGTCGAGCCCAATTCTCGTCCGAGGCGATGGAACTCTGTATTAGTTATTCATCATAGTCTCAGTCAAACTAAATGAAGTGCCATGTCTCAAGGTGTTATTCAGCTACGGTATGCTACTTATTGATGAGTCGGCTACACTTATTGATGAGTTGGCATCGCCACATCAGCCCTTGTCGAGATGGCATCCGACTCGGCCCACTTCGCTGTAACCGTCTTCTGCTGCGTGTAGAAGCTCACACCGGGACGGCCGTAGAAGGTACTGGCGCCTCCACCAGCGATACTCTTCTTGTTGCCGGTGAAGGAGAACATGGGCAGAGGAACGGGAATCGGCACGTTGATGCCAACCTGGCCGGCCTCGATCCGGCGACGGAACGACTCTGCAGTGGGCCCGGAGCTGGTGAAGATGGCGACGCCGTTTCCATACTCGTTGGCGTTAATCTGCTCGATGGCTTCGTCCAATGTGGCCACATTGACACACAACAACACAGGACCGAAAATCTCCTCCTTGTAGCAGCGCATCGACGGGGTGACGTCGGTGATGATGGTGGGACCAACCCAGTTGCCGTTGGTGTACAGCTCGTTGGCGGGCTTGAAGCCACGTCCGTCCAAGACCACCTTTGCGCCCTCCTCTTCGGCCGAGGCGATCAACGACTCGATGCGACTCTTGCTCTGAGGCGAAATAACGGGACCGAGGTCAGCGCCATCTTCAAAGCCACCGTTGACCTGCAACTCCTTGGCGCTCTCCACCAGTTCTAGTAGCCAGTCCTTGGTGTTTCCAACAAAGACCACAGTGCTCAGGGCCATGCATCGTTGACCTGCGGCTCCGAAAGCTGCACCCACCACACTCTTGATAAAGTTGTTCTTGTTGCAGTCCGGTAGTACAGCGGCGTGGTTCTTGGCGCCCAGATTGGCCTGCACCCGCTTACCCTTGGCAGAGCCGCGAGCAAAGACGTATTCGCCGGCTTGGTTGCTGCCGACGAAGCTGATGGCCTTGATCCGCGGCTCGTCGAGGATAAAGTTGACCGTCTTCCTCGCTCCGTGGATGACATTGATGACTCCATCGGGAAAGCCTGCCTTTTGGCATAGCTCGGCGATGATCATGGCGGCGCCGGGGTCCCTTTCTGAGGGCTTCAGGATCAAAGTATTGCCTGTGATGGTGGCAATAGGGAGAGACCAAAGCGGGATCATGGCGGGGAAGTCTACCAGGTCAGCATATCGCTTTGCTCTGGACGGAATAACTCACTGAAGGGACAGATGGCGGCCACGACACCCAGAGGCTCCTTGTACGTCCTCGTCTCCATGTCCTTTGCAACCTCGAGCACCTCGCCCTTGAGCAACTCGGGAGCCCCGCACGCGGCCTCGGCGACCTGCAGCCCACGTAACACATCGCCCTTTGCATCGGCGATCGTCTTGCCCTGTTCCAGGGTGATGTTGGCGGCGAGACGGTCCCAGTTCTCGCGGATAAGGGCAACCAGGCGGAACATGATCTGCTGGCGATGCAGAACAGACGTGGCCCTCCACGCAGGAAACGCACGCTGGGCCGAGTCGACGGCGGCACGCATCTCGCTGTCGGTGCTCTGCGGCACGCGCGTCACCAGGTTGTTGGTGGACGGGTCATGGAGCTCGATGAACTCGATGGCCTCCGAGGGCTTGAACTTGTTGTCGATGAACAGTAGCGTATCGACCACGTTTTCGATCTTCTCGTGGGTGGTGGGATAGCTCATGATGGAATCCAGGAATGCTGCTGATACTCGAGCGGGGTATCAATTGTTGAGATGCTATGATGATGAGTTCACCGCGGTCTAAAGGTCAAGTAGGATGATCTGCGAAGACGGAGCCAACGCAGTCGGGCGGTGAAGATGCCAGGTGACTTGTTCCACGGGCGGTAAGTATCAATTGCAGCAAGTCGCCTTTCTGCCGCTTCTCCCTTCGCCCTTTCCTCTGCCGACTGCGGTGTGATTGATTCGGGTGAGACTCCGTGGAGTGTACCGATAAGAGCCGTATTCTGGGCGTGGATGGATAAAGATGTGCAAGGCCCACATTCTAAAATGCATAATTATGTACATTGTGAATGAGCTAGTTGGTTGCGTGGAAGTTCAAGTAGCATTGTTTAACGTGACAATTGTCATAAAGCGTAGTAATAACGGTGGCAGAGCGGTGCAGCGTGGTGGTCGATCGGAATTGACGAGGCCCAGCCAACAGACCTGGCCAGAGTCAACTCGATTCGCCTGATCGGAGGCCGACCTTCTGGAAATACTACGAAATTCATCGATAGATAGACATCTCGGTTCTAATCGTTCACGCAGAGTCAACTCAGAAAGCCACCATTTTGGACCCTAACAGGTTCATGCCACTCTCAGACCTGACACATGGTGATGATCCAGCCAGGATGTCTCGTTCCCATACCCGCCTTCTCGACTCCCCGTATTAATCGAACAAGTCCAAACGTCAACTCCGATCTCCACCCAGCCTTATATACCCAGCACACACAACAACACCGTACCCTACTCAAAGCTACTGATGGCTGAATACACGATTGAACTGGAACAAACAGGCTCGACCGATACCTTGCGTTATGGAGATAATTACGAGTACTCTTCATCACTCGAAACACCCAGTGTTCCAAACAATGAGGCATGGCCAAGATTATCATTTGATGGTCTCGAGGACATGGCTGATCATATCAAAAACGTCGCAATACACCTAATCAGCCAATCTCAAATGGCAAAAAACCCAAACCACTACACCTCAAAATTATCATTGCGGGATACGATGAAGCTGAAAAGTCAGAGAAAGCTGGACGATGAGTCGGATCACATAACCCAATCGACGACGCAGAGTTCATTCGGGAAATGTGCGAAAATGTACAATTCCAAGGAAATGCGACACTGGAGATTCAAGGTGTCTTTCCAATGCACTATACAGTACAAATGAGTGCCTGTTTGCTTTATTTCAATATGGAGCAGACCCTAACGCATGGGTCCGAAGTGAACTTGATTGGAGAGACAAAGGAATGAGGCATTGGCCTACGCTGCGGCGACAACCAACGAAGCTGCCACCCGAGTATTAGGATTGCTGGTGCAGCTTGCTCAGAAGCATGGAAATGTGTTGAGATTCTGATGAGAAAACTACGACCAGGCCGATGATTTGGACTAGGCTATTCATTCACTTATGAGCGCGGAACCTGATGCTGACGAAGGGCGCTTATCCTGGCCGACTTTCTTTCAGGTTGCGCGGACTCCTCAAACATCACACTGGACCATCAGATAGTTCTTGAGTACAGAAAGCATCCCATTGGCCGGCCTCTGGTGACTGAGCTAGTCTCGGCTTCTGATCTTGTTGCCAGCATTGTAACAAAAGAGGCACGTTTTCCTGTTGCTGAGTTCTTATCAGAGCAAGTGGCTAGATATTTATTAGTAGGGTTAGAAGACGCGGATTATGTCAATACACACATATTAGAGCTGAATCTACAGAGTAGAAGCTACTTCTATCATTTCAAGCCACCTTTAAAATGAGAGGATAAATAAGCCATCTTGCAATAATTAACTACCTTTGTGCGTCATGCTGTATATTATGACTTCTCTGCCATCAACCCCTCGCATTCGGTTTCGCTCACATGAACCCTGGCCTCCAGCGGACTTCGGAGATAACAATGTCGCAACCCCGCAGTAATTACTGACTTGGGATGAGGTGAGCCCTCAAATTCCCTCATTGAGATACTACAGACAGTGATCGAATTATCGACAACGTTCACTTCAACTTGCGGACCGTCAACTTGCGGACCATCAACATGTCCATCAAACAGTGCTGTCTCGAAGGCTTCAAATGGGAGGGGGAACCTGTCGGCCGCATCGAAAAGCTCGAGGGTGCGGATGTGTATGTCACTGGCGAAAACAACAAGGCTGCGATCCTCGTCGTTCCCGATCTCTACGGCTGGTCATTTCCCAACGTCCGGCTGCTTGCGGACCACTACGCCCAGGAGGCCAATGTGACCGTCTACGTTCCCGACTTTTTTGCCGGCGAGGTCTTGCCCCTTGATCTTCTCTTGGCTGAGCGATATGCCGAAATTGATTTTGCGGGTTTCATGGCCCGGAATTCCCGAGATATCCGCGAGCCGCTCATCTTTGCCTGTGCGAAAACTCTCCGCGAGAGGCACGGCAAGCTCGGGGCCGTCGGCTTCTGCTATGGAGGGTGGGCAGCCTTCCGGCTCGGGGCGCGAGAGCATCAGCCGCCTCTGGTAGATTTCATCACAGTAGGCCATCCATCGCTCCTGACGACAGCGGATATCGACGGGGTCGGCGTGCCTGTGCAGGTGCTTGCGCCAGAGATGGATCATGTGTACACGGCGGAACTGAAGCTGCATACTTTCCAGACTCTACAGTCGTCTGGCTTGCCATTTGACTATCAGCATTTTCCAGGCGTCGCGCATGCGTGTCTCGTGAGAGGAGATGGGAAGAAAGATGGCGAACGAGCCGCGATGGCCAGAGGCAAGAATGCAGCAGTAGCATGGATGGGACAGTTTTTACGCGACGAGTGAGAGTACACCAATACTCCAGCGTGTTGACAAGTGCTGCAATGTCTCGCTTGGCCTTTTCTCTACTGGTAGATCAATAATGACATATATTTATTGCCATCACTCCACAGCCCACAAGAATCCCAATGTTAGCTTGAGACTATCTCCAGTTGTAGAGATACATGATCATTGATACTGACATGCCTTGAGTAAGGTGCCTCGATAACAAAGTGTGGCAAAATATGATGTATCTATTGATCAGACTGACGAACAAGGTCATCTCACGAGTTCGAGAGCCTGTTAGTATTCACTATTATGACCCGCGATACTGTACACGAGCTAACATCTGTAATCCTGCTGTATGCCTAATACACCACAAACCCACCACATATCAACTTCTTGAACGGCAGTTCATACCGGCAAGCATCGGGCGGCGGAAGACGGAACTAGCGTACAATACTCTGAGGCCGGTTTCATTCCGCATTGGAGATGGAGAGAGCGGAATTTACAACCCAGAGCATCTAACTGGCCACCCCGCATTCTACAACTCCGCTCACCCAAGACAGTAGAGGTGGTATAATGACGTCCGAGGCGTCCTTCAACGCCAAACCATCTCGTCTATTCTTGACCAAGTCACTTGTTTCGCAAAAATGAATAGCCTTCTTTTCATCCCAGCAGCCGGTGCTGTCTTTCTCGCCGTGCATCTATTCATCTTCATTATCCACCTGATCCGGTCCCCACTCAAGAATGTTCCTGGACCATTCCTTGCACGGTTTAGCGACTTTTGGTATTTTTGGACGGTTCGAAAAGGCCACTTTGAGAAGAGGAACCGAGAAATTCACCAGAAATATGGTCAGTTGCGATTTGACATTTCAACGTGAAGGATACTGACAACGACAGGCCCGGTTGTGCGCTACGGACCAAACCGATACAGTCTCAATGACCCCGATGCTACCAAGATCATCTACGGTTTAGGAGCCCAGTTTGCGAAATCGTCATGGTACTCGACCTGGGGCGCCCCTGGACAGTGGACCATCTTTAGCGATCAATCCATCAAGCATCATTCTCAAACCAGACGACTTTACCAAGCCACGTACTCAATGACCTCGCTTGTCAACTACGAGCCTTACGTGGACGAATGCAACAATCTCTTTGCGCAGCGCCTGACGGAAATGGCCTTGGCAAATGTCCCAATCGATATGGGCCATTGGTTCCAGTGCTACGCTTTTGATGTCATCGGAATGATTACTTATGGCAAACGTCTCGGTTTCCTGGACCGAGGAGACGACATTGGCGGTGTGATGGGTGCTCTGGAAGACCACATGAAATATGCAACCCTCATTGGCATATTCCCCAGCTTGCACCGCTACCTCTACTCGATCAAGAACTATTGGGCCGGCGCCAAGGGTGCTGGCAGGGCATACATTCTGAGCTTCACCAAGGAGAGAATCCGCGAGCACCAGACAACTCCCAAGGCCGTCCCTGAGACACCAGAGAGCTCTACAGCAATGGTCGATTTTTTGTCCAAATTTTGGCCAAGCATTCCGACAACCCTGATGCTTTTACGTCCTACCACGTCCTCACAGGCTGTTCTGCGAACATGGTTGCAGGCTCCGACACTACAGCAATTAGCTTATCAGCTATTCTATACTATCTACTCACAAACTCTGAGTGCCTGCAAAAACTACGAGCTGAGATTAAGAGCTGCGAGGAACAAGGAAACCTGTCAGAATTCCCAACCTTTCAAGAGAGCCAGCAAATGCCATACTTGCAGGCCATTGTTAAAGAAACACTGCGAATGCATCCTGCCACCGGCCTACCTCTGGAGCGCGTTGTTCCGGAAGGAGGTGCTACAATCGCTGGTCATTACTTTCCAGAAAGAGTAAGTTTACTCATTTTCCATTTATTCCTCTGCTGACCGGGTACAGACTGTGGTTGGGATAAACACCTGGGTCGAGCATCGGGATCCCCGATATTTCGGCGATGACGCGGATGTTTTCAGCCCAGAACGATGGCTTGATGAAGACAGCCAGAAGATATCGTTAATGAATCGCCACTGGATGCCGGTTAGTGTCTTCCAACCTATGCATCAACCAGTCTAACATCAAATCTAGTTTGGGCTTGGCTCTCGAAGTTGCATTGGCAGGCACGTGTCCATGCTTGAGATATCAAAACTCGTTCCCAGACTCATTCGCGATTTCGAGTTTTCTCTTGACAAATCTGCCTATACAGACGGAAATTGGAAGACGGAAGGGCTTTGGTTTGTCAAGCCGAAAGGGTTTAAAGTTCGCGCAGAGGTACGCAAGTATTCACGAAGCGGCTAGCTCAAGCGGCTTAAGTCACGTAGCAGACCGTCAAACAATATGTCAAGGTAAATTGATTAAAAGAAGTGCAATATGGTGTATAGCTTGGTCTCGCCGTATCAATAACTAAAGAACCGCATCTCGAAAATTTAGATCAAGCAACCCAAACGCCATCTCGCGCAAATGTCCCTCCCAGCTGCAAATTAGTTTTGATCGACTACAGCCCAATCTTCTGCATGTGTTTGCTATACCATGTCTATAAACAGTTAACGCTGTCATCCAAAGCAATCGGTTAAACTCACACTCTCAAAGCCCGCGCCGACTGATTTCGGTGCCAATGCCTTGAGCAACCAAGGTGGCGTGATCTTTTTGCGGTACACCTTTGCGTCGGCCTCGGGAACTTCCTTGTTGAAGATTATGTTCAATGGGAGCGATGGGTTGAGCACTGCTGGTCGCCCCATTCCGATCATGTCGCAAGCACCTTCATTGAGGGCAAGCTCCATACCCTGGCGACTTTGGAAGCCTCCAGTCACGATCAAGGCCATGTTCGGAAGCTTTGCTCTGATCTCCTTTGCAAAGTCCAAAAAGAACGATTCCCGAGCTGCGGTTCTTTCCGACGGAGCAGTAGTGGTATCAGTTCCGGTCACCATCTGCATGTGTCAGCATAATACATCGGTTGTCAGACTAGAACTTACAAGGGGATTTTCATATGTACCGCCGCTAATCTCCAAAAAGTCCAGACCAGTCTCTGCTATAAGAACAGCCTGCTCGAGGCAATCGTCTAGCTCGGAGGAAGCTCCCGCACTGCTCGAGGTTTGGTGATCGACCGAATTGAACTTGAGACCGATGCAAAACGTCTTGGGCACCACAGCTCGCACGGCTTTGATGATATCTATAACAATCTTGACTCTGGCAGCTGCCGACCCGCCGTACGCGTCGGTCCTTCGATTCGATCGCGCAGACATGAACTGCGAGAGGAGATATCCATGGGCAGCATGAATCTGAATTCCGTCGAATCCTGCCTCGGCTGCGATGCGGGCTGCATTGGCAAAACGCTGGACGACGTCTTCGATATCGGCAACCGTCATTGCCTTGGGAGTGCCGAATACCAGGCTGCCCAGGATCCTCGAGAGCATGTCCGAGCCCATGTTCAACGGGATAGCGCTGGGTGCGAGGGACTTGGAAAACATGCTGCGCTTCCCAGCTCCGAGGGGAGATTGTCGTCCGGGATGGTTAATCTGAACAATCGTGGGGGTTCCTGCGCGACGGCAGACATTGACCAGGTTCCTGTATGCCTCGAGCACCTGTTCTTCCGACAAGCTTGCACTCGCGTCGATTACATTGTCGTCAGGGCCGCCAAGATAACGTTCGTCAACCTGAACATTGCCAGTCAGGATCATGCCCCAACCTCCATCAGCCCAGGCGCCATAAGTTCGATTGAATTGAGCTGGAGTGGGGAGTTTTTGAGAATCTGCCATCTGCTCAGCCAGGGCGGCTTTGACGAGTCGATTTGGCAGCGTCAGGCCGCAGGGCAGCGGCAGCGGCTGAGCAAGTGGTGAATTTGACATGGTAGTCAGGCTTTGGGTCTTGACTCGAAGGATGTTTGACCGGTAGAATGATGAAATACAAGAGTACGATCTGTAATTCCTGCAAAACGCCAAGAAACGATTCCGACGGCGTTTGGTAGCTCGGACTTATATCCTACTAGGTAGATACGCTTGCGTGCTCAAACGGATAACTAATTCATGCGTCGGGGCTTGAGTTCGTCCGTCTCCTCCGTAGGGGAGCATTTGGCCCGTGTCCTTTGCGGACTACTTGGTATAAAATTGGATAACTCCGCAGCCTCGGCTACCGTGTGCAAATCACCGTGTCAAGAGCAGCGGGTCTAGACAACTAGTTCTACACAATTTCCCCACAATCATGAGGAAATAATTCATGATTTCTCTGCTGTCTAATCAAGCCGCGCAAGACATGAAAACTGGATCGCACGAGTAATGCATCTATAGGTTATGGGTCTTCGACGCGACAGACTCAATGAACCAACTTCCACAAGACCAACAAGCAACTTTAACACTAAGCTTACTTAACCTTCATTTATTATACCCAATATACCCTAGGCAGTGCGACATTTCATAGTTTAGGCCTACAACCTCCTGTCATTCTTGATAAGGGGTGTCAACGCGCGATGCACTTGTTGGGTCTCCGGATTATTAAGCCAAATAATCCATCACCTTCAATAGTATAATCGGTTGGTAAGCAGCACAAAACCACCGTCATAATAATCTCCTGATTCTACTCCCCACTAGGATGATCCGACGGCAGCAACTGTCGACCCGGAACCAAGTCCGCAGAAAAGTGGAATGGTCCCGCGTGCGGAGCGGAGTTCCATGTGGATGTGGAGAGAAGTTCATGTTTGAGCTACCCTGTACCACTCCGCTCATTCATCGTACAAGCCATCATCAAACACCGCGTTTAGTCAACGATACCAATGGTTGAAGCTGGCATTCGGGGTCCGCGGGCATCAATGTGTCAGACTCAAGCTGTCTACACCACAAGCTAGTTCCATCAAGCCATATATAAGAGCGTAATCATGTCCTCAACCAGATTATCGTGTCAGTCCATCTCACCACTCACCACCCACTCAATCACTCACATTTTCGTTGAAATTTCCCAAAATGGCTATCCACATCACCGTTGTGCCAGCTTCAACCCAGGCTGGCAAAAGAACCATTGCTGCGCTTCTGAGCTCTCCCACCAACCCTGTCATTCGCGGAATCTACCGAGATCCATCAAAGGCCCCGGTTGAGTTCACTGCTCATTCCAATTTCGAAGCTACGACTGGTGATGTTTCCGCCGGTACAGGTCTCGACTTTACTGGCTCTGATGCTGTCTTCTATGTGCCACCTCCGACCTACGACGGAACTGATTTGGCAGAGTTTGCTACCAAGGCCGCGAATAACATCAAGAAAGCCCTCCAAGACGCAACTTCCGTGAAGAAGTTGCTTCTCTTCTCGTCAATGGGTGCTCAGTACGACCATGGCATTGTAAGACACCAATATTTGATATTGCATAGATATGCCACTGATAGAAATAGGGAACTCTACAAATCAACCACATATCAGATAACATCTTAAAAGATGCCGTCTCTGAAGTCTTGATTGTCAAGCCCGGCTACTTCCAGGAGAACTGGGCGCATGCATTCCAAACAATCCAAGCAGATCCCCCTCTTGTGTATTCCACCATAACACCAGTCGACCACAAGATTCCAATGGTATTTCCAGTCCTGCCATTGTTTGATTTAAGTTTCTAATACATCTTTAGGTCAGCTTAATTGACGTCGGCGAAGTCTGCGCAGATGCGCTCCTAGACGAAGAGAAGAAGACCAGCCCCCACTTCTTTGACTTGTATGGACCGCAGCACTACAACGCTATGGATGTCAAGTTGGCGGTAGAGGAGGTGACAGGGAAGAAACTGGAGATCGCTGCTGTCCCGAAAGATCAGCTTGCAGGGTTCTATGCTGAGCAAATCCCAGCTGCCCATGTGCAAGCATTTGTGGATATGACAACTGCTGCACTGCCTGGAGGCATCATGGCTGGCGATTTTGGTGACCATGAGCACACCGTCAAGGGTAAAGTGGAATTGGTCGACGCATTGCGCAAGCTCTATGCTGCTGAGAACGCGACGACTTAAGAGGTGTCGATAATGTGTAACGATTGCATCACATGAGTGTAGATGAGACAATTAATAGGTCAAGTTTCAACAACTTGGGAATATAATGCATATTGCAGCAGATCAGTTGAAAATGAGATCAAATACATGGTACTTGTACTACAACTGCCGAAAACTGCATAGAAACTATATCCTACGCTCTATTACCTACCAGCAATAAAAGGGGCTACACGGATAAGTCGGGTGGACGGTATCACCCACCTACCCTACAACCCAGGACACCCTGGCTAACGATACGTGGATGAATACGAACCACGTAACACAATATTATGTTAGCCTTTTTTAGCTGCTACGGAGCTTTGCATCCGCATTGACTAAGATCACGGGTCATCTCGACACCCTAGCGACCCATGGTTTGGGTTTCAGTTACCCTGTCATCTCCACCACAGGACAAAATGCTACTTGTTGTCAGAGCTGGAACCACTTGTTTGCGATTAGTGCTATGGAAAGTCAGTCCTTCATTGAGTTCGCAGAGTGGATGGAGAGGCAATTCCAATATCGAATCCGTAAGGGGAAGCGAAAGGGTACGTTCCGTCTTCCGAGAGTGCTGGGAATGCTGCCGATTTAGCCGTGAAAGAATTGATCGAGGTCGACTGTTATTTAGTAATTTGGAATCTTTTTATTAAACTGTTCAAGTGTTGAAAATACAACACTGCAGTGATGTTTCGACCCTATGTCGTCCATCACTACCGCAGCGTCGCACTGCCTGTTTCATCAAAAATCGCAAATATTTCGAGCTGCAGTCAGGTACGCTCAAGAGAAACCCCTTCCCCAGGTTTTGAGAATCGGGACTGAGATGCCGATCATCGTACGTAGTTCTAAAATTTCCCGGGTTCGCCTCGTTAGCCCGTCACAGCTAAACGTTGAGTGGCTCTTTTCAAGGGGTCTCGAGGCACGGTCAAATAAATCCTTGGACGGAAGCTCCGGAATGGCTTCTCCACCAATGATACCCCTGGCTGTCTACGTTTCCAGGCTGCATCCCTTCATTTCAATCCACGAGGACACAGGCGTTGGCGACAGGACAGTCGGAGCTATTCTGGAAACTTTGGAAGGATGAATCAAACCTTGGCGCCAAGAGCTATAACTACGATCGATGCCGCCGCAAAGATTAGAGGATCTACAGAACAATTCAGTCATCTCTTACCATCAACATGAAGTTCATCTCTTGTCTCAGCCTTCTCCCTGCGGTGCTCGCCGTCAGCTCGGCTCCCAGCGGGTGCATCAAGGTGGCCAAGTCTGGAGGCGATTACTCTACCATCCAGGCTGCAGTTAACTCTCTGTCTACATCGTCAACGGCCGCCCAGTGCATCTTCATCTCTGCAGGCACATATAAAGAGCAGGTCATCATTGCTGCCCGTAACGCCCAGCTCACCATCTACGGGTCCACCAAGGATGGATCCTCATACGCCTCCAACACCGTCACAATCTCCAGCGGACTCTCCCAGGCGGATGGTCTTAACGACGAGGGGACTGCTACATTGCGGAACCGGGCCAGTGGCTTCCGCTTGTACAACGTCAATGTCGAGAACACGTACGGCTCGGGTAGCCAGGCCGTGGCTCTGAGCTCATACGCCGACAGCGGGTTCTACGGTTCATCCTTTACTGGATTCCAGGACACAGTTCTGAGCAACGCCGGCAAGCAGGTCTTCGTCGACTGCATGATTGAAGGAGCCACGGACTTCATTTTTGGCCAGTCTGCTTTCAGCTGGTTTGAGCGAGTCGATCTCCGCGTTCTCAGCGCCAAACTCGGCTACGTCACAGGTGAGCTCATCTTGCATGTATCCCAGCATTGTCTAATTGGATTTAGCCGACGGACCCACGAGTTCCAAGGCTTCTTACTACGTCTTCAACAACTGTGACATCGCAGCTGCTAGCGGCCAATCAGTCCCCACCGGTGCCTACTATCTCGGCCGACCCTGGGGTCAGTATGCCCAGGTTGTCTTCCAGAAGACCTCCATGTCCTCTGTCATCAACTCTGCAGGCTGGTCCGTCTGGAGCACCTCCGACCCGCGCACTAGCTCTGTTCTCTTTGGAGAGTATAAGAACACCGGCGCTGGTGCCAGTGGCACTCGCGCATCTTTCGCCAAGACTTTGGGCAGCGCCGTCGCGATTAAAGATATCCTCGGCAGCAGCTACGCCAGCGCGCCGTACTTTGACTCCAACTACTTCAACGGAGCTTGTAAGTACTCATTTCTCTGACGCCTGGGAAGCTTCTAACACGAAAGTCAGAAAGTAATTGCACCGACGGTCCGCGCTAGATGAGGAATTGCTTCTGGGGCAGGAAGTGGATGAGTTCATATCCCCAAGCCAACGACTTCAACAATCTCGACGTAAATATTTACCAATGTACATACGAACAAGATATGCCTAGCATAGCTCTTCTCTGAATGAATGTCACTATTGACGATACCTGATTGCGACACCTCACAAAAATGCATAATGTGATCCACCCTTATGAATCAAGATATGCAGGGTATCATTGACCGGAAGTGTGAAATAAATGGTCATATTTAGAGTTATGATAAGGTAACCTGACCTGTCAGATGTGGCTGATGCCTTACGCAATGCCAGTAGGAAGGGGTCAGTGGAGACAAAGAGTTTGAGAATTGTGAACAAGCCAAATAACTTCTTCCTGATTATTTCTGCCTTTGACCGTCTTCAATTAGCCTTTCACGCACATCGAAACTTGTATTTAAATTTAATCACATCTTCTTTGATCGGAGACTACCGTGCACGGCACGGCACAGCACCGACTGTTCTGTTCCCGACAACCTTCTTTGGGATGAACTTGACAGTGAACAAAACCAAGAGAAGCCATTCACAACAATGGCTTCCTACAGCGGCACTACTATAAAATACTCGGTTGGAGAATAGATTGACCTGAACTATTCCGGCATCAACACCAGAGCCATACTACTACAGAAACCTCAATACCAATACGCAATCGACCAACCGTATCATGTGTTGCAACGCCACCACCATTCCCGCTACCATCAACGTCTCCGTTACTAACGGTGGTGTTGATTCTTCCCTGGCGATGGCTCACTCAACTCCTGATACTGTTAGCAAGGCGACTCATATGGATGGCGTCACGTCCCACGCCAACCCCGTTTGCCAATGCTCTTGCGGGTGCCGTCAGATTGTTCGGCGGTCGGATTGTGTCTTTTGCAACTTTTGCATCGAAAACCATCTTGCTGTGTAGATGTTGAGACGGCGTGGACTGTTCTCTTTGGTTGCGGAAAATAGAATTTGGCGGCGCTGGGGGTTGATTTTGATAGAATTAAATTGATACAGCATGAGATACAATACCACTTGCACATGTGACATTATTCAAGGCGAATCTGGTGAAAGAGCGTCACCGTTGTCCAGTCTCCTCCTAACCAGCAAGGATCAAGAGGGTGATAATGCGAACAGTCATCAATATCTGCCACAAATTGACCGATCGTGACAATTTGATAACTTCTGATGACAAAACTGACGAAATATATAACTAGGACCAGTCTATGTTGCTGTAAGACTCTCGTCAATGGCAGTCGTAGGCAAATCAGCGTACTCACAGCTAGCCGATGTAGTACGCCTTGTGGAAGGGGTTGACACCCAAAGGTTCCAAGTCAGGCTGAAATAAATAAATCCAGCTATTCGATCTTACAAGGCTCCTGGATAAAGAAGCTGGATGACGACTTACAGCTCATTCCCTACCACCCTTATAGAAATCTAAAAGTAACGTAGATGTGGCAACAGTCAATGAGTATGATTACAACAGCTATGTACAGAAAATATCAGTGTTTGAACTCCCATCAGGGGACCTGCCTCGTTGTTGACTCCACTCTCTCAGCCCTCCAACGTGATTTTCCTCGAGAGTCGCCTAGTTATGATGGGTCCATAGACATTCCGGGATCTACATTAAGATCTAGAATTCGGGATGCAGGCCAGACCAGCCACCTGCTGTATTGAGAATCCAGAATACCATTGACCTCGCCAAGCAAATGTTGAGCCCAGCCTTCCATGAACCAGAACGATGCCAATGATTTCAACAAGACAGCAAAGTAGGCAAGTAAAATCAGTGGGAGTGGTTCTTTTGCTTCTAGTTGTGTGATGAATTCCTCCTCCAATCGATAAAGCCAGCCCATGATATGTTCGAACCTGCCATCACTGTAGCTGATCGGGTCATGGAGGGACCCGTATGTTGCTTTGTAGCAATCAATCAAATCTGAAGTTGCACGAACACAGCAGGCAGAATATGACTCAGTAGACTGCGCCATCATCTGAATCAATTCCATTAATGGCTGCTGCCACGTCTGGTAGGCTGAAGCAGGCAATACTGACTCATTGCCGGTACCTTCACTGGGGTCTTCGGGTTCTATGGCGAATACCCCGCGGAAAATGGCAGCGTGGCCGAGCGTCTGGACGATAAACCGTACACCTTGAAGCAAGGGCATCCAAGATACGACCCGATTTTCCGAAAATACGAGAAGATCTCCAGGACTTGGTTTCCGAGCAAAGTAATATAACGAGACCAAAACCATGGTGCTGTACATGGGCTGTGCATTTTCCCAGGTAAGATGTGCCAGCTGTGCAGTCGCTTCCCTTACTGCGAGCTCGTAGTGGTGTTCGGCGAGGGCAATGTACCGCTCAGACTCTAAAGGTTTTAATAGAGACGAGTGCCGGGCAGCCATTGCCAACATGGTGTGGCAAAGATATGGATGATGGAAACTCAAGGGGGGGATATGAGTTCGCCAAACTTCCCCTCTTCCGAGGGTCGCAGCCGTGCGGATGGTCCAGCAATGCATCAAATCAAGATCGTCCATAATCGATGTGATTGGAGGAGGTAGAGACGTCACTGGACCAGAAGTCACCAAAGGACTTGGCGTCGAGAAGGATTCCGAGCTAGAACCGACACTAGAGTCGAAGGGACTGTTCTCGGGAGGTTCAAGGGCAGCCTCAGTCCAATTCTTCCTCGGTCTACCAGGCTTTCGTTTGGTAGCCGGTGCTTCCGGAGGGGGACTCTTGGCTGGTATATGCTGCTCCGAGCTGGGCGAGAAGTCGCAGACCATGCTGAAGCGGATGCAATTCCCACATACTGGCTTTACTTCGTCGCACTGGGCGAATCAGTCGTCTATTCCCTCGCTATGGATTAAGAAAAATGGACATACCTTGACTTTGCGTCTCTTACAATTTTGACAGCCTGCCCGAGACTTGGTGTGTCCTCTCCGGTGCCTCCGGGGATGCTTTTCGGGATCCTTGTGGGAGGAGTTGGAGCTGTGATTCAATGAGGGGTCCATCGCAGTCAACTGAAGTTGCACGTCAACGAAAGCGCGTATCCGACTGATTTAAATTGGGATCCAGGCAGCTTAACATATGCCGCTCTCCCTTGCGGGAAAAGATAAACTCCAAGGGGAACGAATAGGAGCGAGGCGTCTGCTTCCGCTGCGCCCGAGACATGGGTCGGTTCTCGGTTTCGGATTCGCAACCTTGTTAAAATGGAGGGTTTTCGGATTCAATACGAAAACAAGCGACCATTCAAATGGCTCGTTCAATGGGACAGTAACCACATGCGGAATAAACTGCGCAGCAGGTCCCCATATCGGGAGATTGTCAAAGAATTGAAGCCGCTCCCTCCTGTTTTATTGGACGCCTCGTACCTGAACGAGGCTGTTTTGTCGGGTCGCGGAGCCTGCAAGGCATACTGGTGGGTGCAAGAACGAGGTGGTTTAGTGGTTGTAGGGTACATTAAATGAAGTGGTTTATTTCGATTGCTACTTTAGTGGTACCATGGTATTTCAATCACTCCAAGGAGCGCGTATTACATTTTATTGTCGCGCTGCTTCCACGTCCATTCCACATTCACCGCATGGCTAAGCCCGCCACAGGCAGATGCCCCATCGGGTTAGAAGAACCTCCTCAAAATGGTTTGGAGGCTCGACAAACTACAGGGCGATGGAGAATGAATCCAAATTATTTATTATTATCTTTATCCCATTTTATCATGGGTCGAATACTGATCGTTTGTGATCGAGGTCGTCCATATGAACAAGACGAGCTTCATCGCCGTCGCTCAAATCAACATCTCCAATCCTTTGGCGATCAACACCCTTCGATGGAATCCCCTTATGTTGGGACCTATCTATATCCGAGGTGGTATTCACTCTCAAATTACCATTCCCACTCTGGTCTTTGTCACCCTGACCCTCGGTAACACTGCGGCGTGATGAGCCCAGAACCTTTGGGAATGTTTGTGCCAGAAGTAATCTTATGGCTGGCATGCAAGCACACATGATTCCGACGTTAACCTCGGCCATGGACCATATGGATAAGTCCGTATAATCCCAGGTAGGATTATGGCTATTTGACCCAAATTGGAGGACTGAATGAAACCGGAGAATGCTTATCACGGTCACGCTAAACAAGTTAGACGCGTCTGCAGGCCATGGAGAGGGGACTTACAAGGTACCAACACAGAACATGAGCGCGACCCCAACCTTCTTCTTCCAGTGTAAATTGAGAGACCCAAGTTGCGAGATTGGGAGCACCAGCATCCACAAGTCAAGGGCAATACTGATTGTGGCATTTGACACGGCAATGGCGTTGAGATCGGTACAGCGCCCCTTGTGTTCGCCATCCCACCTGTTCCAGAAGAAGCTGATCGGGTGACAATTAAAGATGGCCACAAAGATGTAGGAGACTCCAAATAAAGCGTTGAAGATGATTGTCCCCCATAGCAGGTGGCGAATAAGTTGTCCCGGGAAAATTCGGAGATAGAAGAAAAGTAGGGACATCTTCATGAGCGCAATTTGAGCAAAGTATAAAACGCCCATGATGTAAAAGCTCAGCGTATTCCGGGTGATGTTCGTGGGGGTAAGGGTCCAAATATCTCGACCTACCCCATTGGGAACGGCACCACGGATATTACAAACCGTGCTTGCAACAACCGAAACAAATGTGCCGAGGATAAGCCAATCGTCAATTCCGAGTCCAGCATTTGAGTTGATCTTGTAGACGAATCGCTGGGCAACGCAAAGTCCAGCAACGGCCGCCAATGCGATCGCCATTATTGCGTACGGGCGGGACTTGTCGCGGACCGGGAACTCGCAGTACGTCATGGTTAGGTTTTGAGTCACTAGAAATAACAATTAGCACGCCGTGGTGAACATGGGTTGGACGACATACAGAGCAACTCCTTGACCGTGCAGCTGTCCAGGAGACATTTTGACACCTCCACCTGGAGCGGTTCATCATGGCACATGCATTTCTGATCCGTAGTCGGACATGATGAATTGGAAATTGCACTTGACAAGCAAGTTATCTGGGATGTTAGTCTAACCAAGGCAACACGTTTTACTGAACTTACTGCGCAACCAGGCATCTGGTGAAGGGTATCCAAGAGCGAAGATTGTGCTATACACATGGGCATTGCCACAAGGCCCAGCAATAGCCACAGTCTCCCCAACACATGCATTCTGGATATTATCTGGCCAGCCAGATTATCAAGACATGTTAGAGGTACAAGGCGCACGCTTTGCCAATTTGAAGCCCTAGAAGAACATGACTGAAATCCAGGCGCCGATGAATATTTAAGAAGCACCTCTGTACGCACAGACTCGGGCAGTGTAAACTCACGAATCTAGGTAAAACGCAAGTCAGAAAATAAAGAGTAATGGAATTGGTTAGTCGCAAGGATATCCTCCATCGGGAATAGCATATTCGTAGTGTTCAGTAGCCAGCCTTAGCTCCCTCGTAAGCCACCCGAGTCAGGTCCATCCGTCCGAGCCCTGGAGGAGCAGGGCCAATGGCCAGATGGTTAGAAAGTAAATGCCCGACTAATGCAGGTTCTCATCATGGCGATTTGCTAGTTATGACGCCGTGGACTACCGCCTAGGGCTGACCGTTCACTTCTCAAGGTAGGCCGTCATTTGAACTAGGACAAAGGGAGCAGAAGGGAACATCACGGGACTGACAACACCCGTCCTCTGGATGCAAACATCACCACAGACCGTCTTCCCAAGTGGGTCGATGGATGGCGCGACGCACCTCCGACACGGTAAACAAGGCACTAACGGTGATGGAGATGGAGGATGACAAACTTGGATGACCGACTGGAATTTCTTCGGGGGGGTTTTCTTACCAATTGAAGGCGAAGAAGACACTCAGTTCATGCTTCTTAGAGCCATTCCACACATATTAGGCCTGCTTGGACCTCTTGGGCAGGTTGTTGTTCATCGCCATCTCTCGAGCAATGTCTTCAGCCCGAGTCATGTCCTCGTGCCAAGCGCTGCCCGTGGGTCTCGATCGGCCGCGCTATTTCTTTCGGCTGAGATCAGCCGGGATCAAGCCGGAAGGAATACGAGTCTTACCACCGGGCTCCCACTCATTCAAACAGATCTGCTCTTGCCGTGGCGACCCGGACGTTTCATTGTCAAGATGCCGAAAACCATGTGGGTGTCGAACGCCAACCCCGGAGATGGTGAGACTAGGGGCGGGAGGGAGATCGGAGATTCGGAGGTGTATCCGTGGCGTGCGTCGTTGATGAGTAGTCCATTTCAAACCCCCGATGCTTGATGTGCGTCAAAACAACTCTATCCAATGCAGGCCATGAATCAGTAAGCCATTTCAACATAACCCCTGAGAGGCTGCACTAGCGGTCGCTTAGCTGATGAGGCGTCTTAAGGCGTCTCGGGATAAGAACTTTGAAGTTCTAGGGTAGCCACATGGAACAATTTTCGGATCACTTTCTGGATGCTAACGGCTCATCTAGCTGTGGACACATCTTGGCACGAAGCGTGGTCCTGTGGTTCGTCGGAATTCTTTCAATTGTGCATGTCTAGTGAACGCCAAGGAGCGAAATGATGACCGGGGACGATGTTGCGGCTCCTAACGTATCGGACTTAGTAGCTCTTAATTTCTCTATTCTGGGCGCATTCTGAGGTAAAGAGATTCAGCATCGAAGCGATTGTGAAATTTTCGGATATTAAGTTCCCGATATGATTGTTGGAGTCAAGGACCTTCTCGTCCCGACTCGGCCATGCTCTAAGATAGAGCTGTACCTGTAGTAGAGCCGGTCTTCATCTGCAAAGCGGTTCTCTACAGTAGAATGACGCCATCACTACTATCCCCGGTGAAGTGGAATATAAAACTGCTAATCATCTAGCTATTGCGAAGACACCGATTTAGCCCCGTTCAACTACGGTTTTGATTGTGGCGTTTTCTTGGGTGAGGTAGCAAGTGAGTCGTTAAGTGAGGTTACTCGGGGTAACTATCGTAGTAATACTATTTTTATTAATTCTGATCATCCCTTATCCCGAATTACTTCTTTTGTATCGTTTTAATTTCGTGCGATTTATTCAGCCGGAGTGCAGTGCCGCTCTGTCTGTCTCAATTTTCGGCGTGGGTGACATTTTCCTCGCGACGATTCCCTCAACCGCCTTCTAAAAAAATCTCAAAAATGTTAAAACATACGTAGCAATATTGACAACATGCAGCATTTATTTGGCTCAGGTAATACACGTCAAATCGCCACAAGCAGCGCAACCAGAGCCACCAATACGAGACCGCAAGATGACGCATCGCACGATCACCACTGGAACAAATCCGGGCCGCAGAAACCTCAACCCTCGCTTGGCATGAATATTTCCAGTAGCTTACCGCCCAACGACGAGGCAAAGCCACTGATGACGCGTTTTCCTGCTCTTTCAAGGCGTGGGCCGCAGGAGCAAAACGTCAAGAATTACGCGACCCACTTGGGATATTCGTATCGAGCATCGAGCGCTCTGGTTTTCGCATTGCAAAAGCGTAAAGCCGGCGATTGGCTGCTTTCTGCTCCTTCGTCGCAACATCGTCGGATGATACCCACTCATCCCTTGCGCGTATGCTGAATTCAGATTAAGGGCGGCGGATAGCCCTTGGGCCCATTATAAATGCAGGTTGAGCGGAGGACATTCCTCGGTAGACCCGATCCGACTCGTTCAGAATGGATTTATAAATAGAGACGGTGGCCATTTAAACAGTCAGTCATCTAGCTTCTGACTTCTATCCTCTTCTCTTTGTACTCATACCAGGTTCTTTAATCGATCCTATTCTCTTCGTCCTTATACGTCTCCTTCTCTTCGATACCCGACGTCCCAGCCCCAACTCAATCCGACAAGTCTTCAACAATCATGGCCTCGAATGCGACAAACACCACAAAGGGATATGCTCCCTTCGATCTCTACCCCTACAATCCGGGTGAGGGGCCAGCTTTCGCCTTCTTGGGACTCTTTGCGGCTGCCGCAGCCGTTCATTTTGTGCTCATGTTTCCATACCGATCTGCTTTCCCTATATTTATGATTATTGGCGCTGGCAGTGAGTTACATTGGATACTCCAGATAAAAATATCCAGAGGACTGACTGACATTTCCTTTCAGTGGAATCCGCTGCCTATTGGTTCCGATCACGATCGCACAACAATCTCCGACAGACTCTCCCATTTATCATCCAAAACCTCCTTGTGCTTGTGGCGCCACCCTTCCTCGCAGCGACCCTCTACATGTCTCTCGGCCGAATAACACGCGCACTCAGGGCCGAAAATCTATCGTTGATCAGCATCCGATGGCTGACCAAGTTATTTGTGCTTGTAGACGTCATCTGCTTCGTGACTCAGACGGCTGGCGCAATCATGTCCGGAAGCGAAGTGGCCGACGAAGCCAGCCGTGGAAAAAAGATCATCATTATAGGTTTGGGACTTCAAATCGCTGCCTTTTCCTTGTTCATACTTTGCATCTTCACGCTGCAAAAGCGGATACCAGAGTCGCCGAGAGCCTCAGCCGTGACAAACGAGCTGTCATACCGCCGCTACCTTGTGGGCCTGTACATTACCAGCATGCTGTTCTTGATCCGCAACGTTGTTAGGATTATCGAATACAACCAAGGAAGCGATGGAACATTGCTGTCATCGGAGGTTTGGTTGTATGTTTTTGATGCTTGCTTCATGCTTGCCATCATTGTTACCATCATATTCCTACACCCAGGACGGCTGATTAAGAAGGCTCGGTATGAGAAGGCGAATGGGTCGGATATTCTATTAGTATAAATTTTTTGGTACAATAAATTTTCCTAGCCACTATCATCAGTCCCTCAATCGATATTTTCCGCTCTTCGAGCGTTCTTCAGTGCTCAGTAGGCAGCTAAGGTAACATCAAGTTCAAGCACAGCCCATGCACCAGGCTTACTCTCCGGTATAAACCTGCAGTCATTGCCAGAATAATTGCCTGTAGTGCAACTACATGGAAACTCAGCCTTCTAACCTTCCGGGTCGGATCTAATTAAGATGCGACAGGTCAACCAGGCTGAGGAGTTGGAGCAGAATTGTCAATCGCCAAATCAGGCTGCAAAAATGGCCCCCAACACGTTCGTATTATCTCCACCTCCAAGAAAAGCCACCTTCCTCACTTTGCTATAGCCTATCCAATTAAATGCAACACTGCAGGTAACTCGTAAGGCCAACCAATCCATAGCCGACTTGGGCCACTCTTGTGACCTCGGGTGTCCATCGCGGGGCGTTAACCTTGTCTCATTTACGATTGACTTGCAGGTTCGCCATCTCGCTTCTACTTCCTGGTTCGGTGCCTTATTTAAAAAAAACCCACACATTCTTGATTTGGGGGCCAAAAACCAGCCTAAACCTGGTCAAAATTAGGGCTACAGATGCATCTTCTCAGCCGCAGCTTGGCTTTGCGGCCCAAGAGATGCTGAGTTGAAGCGGGGACATAAAAGCTGAAATATCCCTCATTCCGAGTTGGCGAATATGGAACATCGCCAGCAAGCTTTCTAGTTCGCTTCCTCGCCATCCGCCCTAATGTCCCAACAAGACACGCAAAGTGGGCTGCCTTTGCTCCATATCCAGGGCACCTCTTATTCCAATGCCCACGATGGCCTCGGCAAGCTTCCAGGGCATGTTAAAGTCGACCCGGTGAAAAGTTCAACACATCCCCTTGAAAGACTGACGCGACTCTTTTCCACCATCGTCCAGTTACTTTTTCCGATCGCACTTACAGCCTACTTTATTTGCATTTGGCGATTTTTCCTCGCCCGGGACTCAGATAACCCCGTCAAATATGGCATACCCTATGAGATCTGGATCTTCTACTCCTGGTTTCTCATCGGTGTTTTTGGGTTGGGCTGGTCCAAGTTTTCTCTTATCGGCGCGGAGAACGCTGTACAGGCTTCTAGCAAGGCAGTGATTGCAGCGCCCAACGAAAGAAGCTGGAGCAGTCTAGGGGGATGGATAAAAGCTCTGAACAGGGGGATTTTCCACAATGAGTCGCCATATCACTCACTGTGGTATTTTCTCACAGCGGTGAGCATTCTAATGTATGTCGCATTGCCACTTTCGGGTCTTTGCCTGGAGCTATCGGATGGCTATGTCCCTCTATCGACTTCTCCAAACGTTCTGGGTCATAAGTGGGACACCTTCAATGAAAGGCAATCGGTTTGGTACGACACGGGCGTGGAAAAAGGGTGGCAGATTGGATCACCCGCCACAGTTCCTGGGTTTGGCTTGATCTACACCCCCCCATACATTCAGCGAGGCGAGTACAGTACCCTCGAGAACGTGCCGAATTCTCTAGCCTGGGAAAGCGGCATACCTGAGATGTTCCTTGCTCCTCAGGCCATGACACCCGTCTCAGGTGATGCATGGGGTGTTCGCGCGAGTTACAACTGTTCGATCCTGGAAGACATTTCCGAATTCACTATTCTCAACCAAACACGGTCGTCAGTTCTCCGCATAGGCTCTCGCGGCGATTACGAAACGCCGTCTGGGGACGAGATTTACCTATTCAACAGCGACGCCAGCAGCGGCACCTACGCCTACAACCTTTGGGCCGATATTGAAATGGGCGTCAGCATGATCGGTGACCAGTATGGCCCACCAAGTTACAACGGCAGTGAGCCGAGGTCTTTTGATCCAGACGGCGCAAAAAAAGCAGAGGTTCTCGAACTTTTGATCTGGCAAGCGCAAACAAGCGGGTCATACGACACTGAAGCTGCGTTCAACCGCAGCGTCGAGCCCACCGTTCAAGGGCTGGGGCATCCCATCATGAAGGCCAGCAATGGTTCCTTTATCCGAAATGAAACCTTTTACAAGGTCCAAGTCAGCAACAGAGGAAATATTAGCACCGAAGTTGCGGATTACAAAGAAAAGTACTCAATTCCGTACGACCGCATCTTATCCACTGCCAAACCCATTGGCATACAATGCCGGGTCATGTCAACTCTCGGAACCGCCCGACTTAACCCGAGAACATCGACTTTTGACTCATTCAAAGAGCTTTCAAACCCCCCAATCATTACAGCAGAGTCTCCGATGCCTCGCCTAGGGTTTCTCACGCAAGAAACGCTTCAAGGGTCATATTTCGAGTTATTTCGCGCCGCCAATGCTCCCCCTCCGCTCACTGTCTCCAATTCGTACATGTACCAGAATTTTGTCCAGCCGCAAGTTTTGAAGAAATCTGTCATGTTGTTGTATGCGTTGGAAGGGCTGCAGCTCATGTATGACGGGGTGTATGGGTTCGAGGGCACGTGGGACCATCCCAACTTGACCTCCTCGAGTCCGGGAAAAATTCTCACGGCTGGAGTCATTCCGCCGATTGGCCCGGTGGTGCTTTTTGTGGTTTGGGCCATTAGTTGTACAATGCTGCGAGTTGTGGGATTTTTTCTTTGAGACTGGATAAGTTGAATGGGGTACTTTACGTCTGGATATGGGTTGAAGGGGCTGCAAGGTAGATTAAACCACTTTGCGCTAGTTGGCAACCGTGAGGAATATGTGCATTGGCCAGATATTTTGGACTAATTATTGTTATTCACGCGTACTCATTGCTGTTGTAAGTAAAATGTGCCTTGTCAGTTTGTACGAATTTGATCTTTCAGAATTTTGGGTGCACGGCTTAGAGGGTTCAAGACGTCATTATGTTGCTACATACGGAAATGAACATGTGTCGTGCTATCTAACTTAAATCCTAAAGAAATGCATACTAAGACATCATACTAAGACATGTAAACTCAATCAAATGAAAGACCACGAAATGAAAATTAATAGCGGGCCGAAAAGAACACGGATGATTCCAAAACTTCATCTCATCCCTTCACCTACGACAAAGCCATATCCTCCAGGTCCGGAATGGTCCTCTCCAAGCCAAGAACCATGTTTTTGACGTTGTTGAGCACGCCCCAGCGGGCTCTCTTATGCTCCGAGTCTTGAGTGAGTTCCGATACTTCATTTTTCAGCTTAGCGACAATGTCCGTGTTTCCCTTGATGAGCCTCTTGGCCTCATCAACGTCGGTGGCGCATTCGTGGACAATGATCTCCTGGTCGGCGGCTTCCTCTTGCTTTGCGAGCTTTTGGGTATTGTAGGCGTCGATAGCGGTTTGCAGCTGTGGCAGACAGGGCGATTGACTCTGGCTTCCCATCATCCCTCGAAGTGAGATGGCCGTTGTCTCGAACTCGTCTGCCTCGGCGACGAGCGTGGCGTGGCGAAGCTGCGCGTTACGGCGAGCTTGCTTGGCGTCATCGATGCTTGCTTGGGCGACGTGTTCGAGGTTGGTGATTTCTTCACATTCGGCGAGTTTGGACTCAAGTTCTGCTTCTGTCGTCTCTATAGCACGGGAGATGTCGTCTATGAGAGAGTCGAGCCGAGAGACAAAGTCGGTGATGGCAGGAAGAAGGGACTCGTGAATGCTTCCGGGTTGCGGAGGTGATTCCTGCGGCTCCTAGCAAGTGGTTAGCCAGCATTATGTGACAAGACAGGGGGACTTACAGCTGCCTTGGTGAGCATCTGCGAATAAACCAATGCCATAGATGGAAGACTCCCGTGGCCAATCCTGGGCGATCTCAGCGCAAGTGATTCTCTTCCCGAAGGTGCTGGGCTGTTTTTGATGAGCTCGGGAAGTACGGAGAGTCTGGGCTCAGGGAGTGCCGAGAGTCTGGGTCGCTTTGCAGAAGGAGAAGTCCCCAGCGTGGGTGACGGCCGCGGTATTTTCGGGGAAGACTTGGGTTGCTGTCGATCTTGGGCTGGCGTGGGAGGCGACGGCGAAGCAGCTGAAGCAACCCTGATGCTCTCCGATGTGGACCTTTGGGGAGTCTGCTTTACCATGCCGCGGACCCAGCTTGGAGCTTTTGGGGTCATGGAAAGGCGGGTTATGGGGCTTGAGCGTGATGGGTTGCTTGGTTGTGTTCTGCGTTTGTCTTGAACGACAATTTCGAGTTTTTCGTCATCGTCTTCATCCGCATAATCGTATTCATCGTCGCCATCATCTTCACCACAGATTCTGTCGCCGGTCTTGTCTAGAAATTCGGCACGAACCGCCCGCACATCCTTGTACCGTAGTTTGACTTCGCCCTCCCCGCTTCGGACGATGATGCTCATGACAAGTTGCCGACGCAAGTCCTCGACGGTAAAGTTCACATCCTGGGCAATGTGTCTTCCGATGATGGCAAGGTTCTCCAGCATGCCGAGGCCCCAGTCTCCTGACGTGTACTGAGGGACCAGTTCCCACGGCCAGATGTTGAGGCACACGTAGAATCGCGTGGCGGCACGCGAGGCTCGATCTCCAAACTTTGCGCGGTAGGGAGCTGGCAGGCGGATGCTGGCAGCTTTTTCATCGATGGAAAGCCATCGTTTTTGGGGCGTCGAGGGCATTTCGGCGAGGCGCAGAGGCGGATGGTCTTGGGGTGTGTGGACGACGCTCAGTGACGGGTGATTGCGAGAGTCCGCAAGTTGAGCGTGATTTCAGTGACGAGAGTCCTCGAGGCACAAGAAAAGTACAGAAAAAAGACCAGACGAAAAGAAAAGAAAAGGAAAGAAAATGAACCAGATCCATCGGGCGAGGGGATGTGAATGAGGCGGGCGGCCTTCTTTGTTTGTTACCTGTACTCTGCCGGAGCTAGAACGTCACAGCTTCCCGTGGACCAATCATATCCTCGAATCTTGCAGTTTCCAACGCGCTGCCGTCGGATGCGTCACAGAGAGGGCTCAACGTTGCATTTGCGGGCGCTGAATTCGCTGTTGCCGTTGAGCGTTTGCTCGTTGATTGCTATGGTGTTGTGTTTGGGGCGGGTAGTGGCTTCCAGAATCCAACATCCCCAATCACGGAAGAGAAAAGGAAATGAGATTGTTTCAGCGTAGAATTTGTCATTTGAACCCGAATTGTTCCGCTAATATTGATTCTTGCTGTTGTCAAGTGAGGCAACGCGTGGCTAGTCACATCAGGGACTCACCACATTCAGCCTACACCTGCTGTGGCCCATGGCGCTTATCCCGTCCAAGTCCCTGGATAGACGTAGGTAGTTCTTGGATTATGAAACCCTGCTGTGGCGGTATGTTATGGCTGGCGCTCTCTGGTTGGAACTCAGGCGATCCATGAAGCTCAGGCCGAACCGGGACACTAGCTTGGTTTGGGTGTTTGCTTTGGAGACTTGTGCTAGAAGCAAACTCTTCCACAGGTGGGTGCAAAGTGTGTCCCACGGGGTCGCTAGGGGTAGGCTCCGAAGTTGTGACCCGCTGCTTGTAAGGTCGTCGTCGCAAGAACAAGACGCCCAGAACCAACAGCGACACCACTGCCAACCCTCCCACGACACCTCCGACCATGGCAGCGGTATTCGAACCACTATCACGGCTTTCAAGCTCGTTGCCATTCGATTCGCTACTAATCTCTGCGCCTATGTTGCCTGATTCGCCGGTGTTAGTCGGCGTGGGTTCGTCGTTGCTCAATATCGTCGTGGCGAAGTCGCGACCCGTTTGTCCGTAATATGTAAATGCTGCCTTGGTCAAGCTAGACACCACGCTGCACTGGAAGGCTCGCATGCCGCTTGGGAATCCCCAAGTATGGCAAAACGGCGCAGACTCATTATCGCTGCAGAATCGAGAGGGGTTAGATTGACGGCATCATAGTGCCGACTGGAAGCCTTACCACACGAGATTAGCCGAGTTGCTGTGACATTTCTCGTTGCAAAAAGATGGATCGAGGCCTCGTCTCTTGCGATGCACCTGGTAAACATGTTTTGGACGCCGCAGAAGACGAGGCCGAACATTTCTGATTCCCACTGGCAGACGGCCCAGCCAGACAGAAGATGGAGCGTGAAGTGCCTACGGAAGTTGAAACATATCCACAGAAGTTGTCTGGGGCGTTGGTGATGGTGATCTCGATGACACTCGAATCCGAAACCTCCGTATTCTGTCGAGCAACGTATGTAGGATTTGTCGGGTCGTACGTCAACGACGTCGACGGATGTATCAACGCTTTTGCGATACCAAGCAAGCGCCATGCTAGTAGCGCTACTGCAAAGGATGACCGGAGAATAATTAAGGTTGAGGAAGAAAAGAGATTGATCAGGATATTCACGGAAGATTTAGAAAACAAGATATGCGCGACCTGCGACGGAGCTCCTCAATTACCGAACCGAGGCAGCGGAACGTGACCTACCGCAACCAACCAGACGAAAAAAAACATCGTCATATGAGTATAAATAAGATTGACTGAGACTTAATCCAAACATCGAATTGGATTATTGGTGGCTTGTCGAGCTGACCGCTGCGCCACTCAGCTGCGTGGCACGGTAATTGAGATGTGGGAGTGACATACCGCTGACGCTGAGCTTGCTGAAGTTGACGTTGCACAGTATGTGACTGCTGGGCCATGAGGACGGATTGAAGCAGTCGTGCGTCGAGAGGAACAATGTGGTTATCGATTTGACGGGTCAGGGAGATGTCACATAGGAGGCGCTGAACTCGGATGTGCGTGAGAGCAAGCAGCCATTCCCTTGAACAGAGTGAAGGGACTTGTATGTTGTAGATGGTGTTGAATGATGACCCTGTATGACGAAACCTCGGATAGATTGATATCCTGACCTTAGTCAGAAGGGGGGGTATGAAAACCCCTCTTCCGGCTGATCCGGATGACGAGATGGACTAATCATCAACATCATCATCACTGCATTGATCCTTATCCATCGATTGAATTGTCCGTAACGGATCCATCAGATGGTAGATAAACTGGAAACTCTATTGCTTTATTTGATTAGGGCCAAAATATTTCCATCGCGTAAGCTCTATGCTCTGCTCTCGCGGGAGTGACTTGAAAAGTTTGTCCACCACTGGCTTCCAGAATTGGTTCTGAATGTCAAATCCATGAGGAGCACTTGTCGTTGACATGGCAAAGAGGATAATTTCAGTATCGGTGACTCAATACTTATCAGGCATCTCGAACCGAGGTAGTTGGGAGGTGTAGTTTACTGATCTACTTGCCTGATAGAGCAATGAAGATGCCTCTGCTCTCTGAAAGTTTTACTAGGCGATGTGTAGAGGTGTAGCGCCTTGAGTCGGCGACTTCATTTCATCACGAGTCCTGGATTCATGTAAGGACTACGAAAAATTAGTCTCTGTGACTAGTTTTGCTACTTCTTTAAAGATGTCCTGCTGTAATAGCTGTGTCCAACCTCGGAGGCACACTTTGCCTTCAAAATTAGAAGTAGGCAGTAGACAGTTGTAATCTTATTCGAACGGCATTTTGAGAGTTTTATAGCCCCTCTCGATAGCAAAGTCTAGCGGCGTCTTTCCCAGGGCGTTCTCCGCATGTGTGTCGGCGCCGAGCTCGATTAACAGACTTACAAGACCTTTGTGGTCCCAGATAGCAGCAAAGTGTAACGGCGTGCACCCGTCATTGTCCTTAGCATCTATATCGGCACCTAACCCAGCGACTAAAAGCCTCACGATACTTTCGTCGTTCCCCCAGGCGGCATAGTGCAGCGGTGTCTCTCCAAAGCTGTTCTTGACGTTCTTATCGGCACCGAACTCAGTGACAAGAAGCCTTACAACATCTTCATACCCCTCCCCGGCAGCAAAGTGCAGCGGCGTCTTTCCAGCAATGTCCTCGGCGTTCTTATCGGCACCGAATTCAGTGACGAGAAGCCTCACGATACTTTCGTGGCCCCCCTTGACAGCATAGTGCAGCAGCGTCTCTCCAAAGCTGTTCTTGGCGTTCTTATCGGCACCGAATTCAGTGACGAGAAGCCTCACGATACTTTCGTGGCCCCCCTTGACAGCAAAGTGCAGCGGCGTCCTTCCAATAATATCCTTGGCGTTCTTATCGGCACCGAATTCAGTGACGAGAAGCCTCACGATTCTTTCGTGGCCCCCCCTGACAGCATAGTGCAGCGGCGTCTCTCCAAAGGTGTTCTTGGCGTTCTTGTCGGCGCCCGGCACTGTGAGGAGTAGCCTTACAATATCTTCGTTGCCGCTCCTGGCGGCAGCGGCCAACTCCATCCGCCAGTGGTCCTCATTGACATCCCTGGCATACCCGGCATCCCCGTCCGCGCCTCGCTTACTCGATAGATCTGTGCTGGCGATGACGACGGCTTTGTGGTGTCGTAGCATGGTCTCCTGCTTCTCAGAAATATTCTTCAAAAAAGACACCAAGGTAACAACTATGTCGCTTCCGTCACGATATAGCTCTTCTGAGAGTGGCAAGGCAGATTTGAGAGCTTCCGTAGCCTCTCCGAGATGACCAGTCTTTTTGCAAGCTCGCGATAGACCGCATAGAAGCTCGAGTGCTGTCGCACCCTCTGGCCATAGTTTCCCTTCCAGACTGAGCCTATAAATCTCAAAGTCAATGGCAGAACTGAAAAGAGTCTTTGCTTTTTCTGAATTTCCGAGTGCTGTGGCCACCCAGGCAGCGAATCGTAGGATTTGGGAGATGGGGGCGCGAAATCGCTCTGTGGCTGGATCTAGATCTTTTCGAATTGAGCTATTATCCTGCATGGTAGAGAAGCAATCCTTGAACGCCGCAATGCTTTTGCGGTTTACTGGGATTTCTCCCACCAGTGAAGACAAGCGAACAGTCGTAGGAGTGAGACCCGTGAGGGCTTCCCTTCCTAAGCTGTATGTTGCCATCACCAACAAGACTTCCTTCTTGCTCGAGACCATATTGTCCAAGCTCCAGGAGCATAGAACCCGATGAATTGTCACACTTTCGATGAGACCATTCACTTCCTTCAGTCTAATCAAGCAGAATTTGGCAAGGCGACGCAGGGAGAGGCGAAGATAGTGTGGTTCGGAAAGAATTTTCCGCAACCTAACCACGTCCCCAGGAGCGCTATTGGCCTGGTCATCGACGAAGAGGGATTGTTCAAGAACTGACAAAGGGATGGGCCATGAGCCAAGAACCCCAATGTATTCCAGCAGGATTGCACATTCGTTATCGAGTGACCGATGTGCCATATCGAGAATGGTCAGGATAACTCGATTCTTGTCATAGGACCACAGCTCGTCTGAGGGATTGGCAGCCATGAGACGTCGGTACTCATTTCTATATTGACCTAGAAAAGTAGAGAAGCTGAATTCTCCTTCTCGGATGAGCCCTGCAGCCTGCTCTAGCGCAAGAGGGATCCCGCCGAGCTCTTTGGCAATGGTTTTAGCCGCGATCGTTTCTAGCGTTTGTGTTAACGACACTATATTCTTAATTAAAAGCTTTTCTTCTCACCATTAGATTCGGATAGACTCGGCCAGTGAGCGAGTTTGAGGAGGAGGCTAGTTGAAGTTTTGGCGTCCAGGCCGTCAAGATTGATCACTTGGAGTGGATGAGACCCACTGAAAGCATGGCGTCTTGTGCTGGTGACGAGGACGGATCCATGCGGACAAGAAGGAATGTATTTAGCAAGGCCAGCTTGGTCTAGATTCTCGGCACTATCAAGGACGAGAAGCCAGTTGCGATATCGTGTCGAGCGCAGTCGGGCCACAACCCGGGCTAAGGCGTTGGCGTCGCCTTCACCGTTCCTGTGTGTGATGGGAAGATCGAGTGGCCAGGAAGAATTCATGGTGTCATGGGCTTCACGCAGGGATATGTTTGAATGATGGCTCGTCCAAAGGTTGATCCAGACAATGGCCGAGTATCGGGCCCTCTCAGCCCACATGTGTCGCAGCGCAAGTTGCGTTTTGCCTGTACCGCCCATGCCACAGAGTAGAACACTCCTGCGACCTGGTTGACCTGGATCCAGAGATTCTCGCAGTTGGTGAATTTCAGACTCGCGCCCGACAAATTCGTCTGTGATATCCGGAATACTGGAACATAGCAGACCTGGGAAGGAGCTGCGCGCAGCGGTAACATTCGTTGCTTTAATAGCGATTAAGTCAGAACGCAAGCTTTATTGTCAAATTACTCTGAAACTAGAGACATACCCCTTTTTGGGCTTATCAACGAGGCGCAACGCTTGAGTTGAGTTGCCTCCCTCGTGAGGTACGACTTTGTCACGGCAGAAAGGTGCTGCTGTGCCTTGCCATCACTCTCGTCGAGCTCAATTTTCTCGAGGCCATTATCGACATTAAATCGGTAATAGGATTCGATTCTACCAGCTTTCTCAAACCTGCCAATACTATGAGAAAACAGTCTTCCGATTTGGGAATGAAAAGCTTACCTGCTTCGGACGCTCAAGTGTTCCTTGTGACAGTCCATCGTGATTGCCACACACATCTTCGCCGCTTCCTTCATTGAGACCAGCCCTTTCGGCACAAACATATCTCGAAGGCTTGATCTCTTGTATTCGAATGAACCTCGGCCTGTTCCGATTGACACTAGACAGGTAACCTCAGCCACCGCGTTGCGTATGGGTGAAGGCCATTCGTCCGACTCGACCTCGGAGATGGCAGCAGAGCTGGGGTTATTCTTCTGAAACGCTCCATCGACGTATTCAACGCCGTTTATGGTAACTGGGGGGAAGAAGGTCGTCGCAGCTGACGTGGCAAGGCAGGCGTCGACAATAGAACATGGCTCGACGCTGGAGCGGACTCCGTATGTTCGGAACAAGTAATCGTCACGAGTCGATCGGGATACGGCGACAACGGCTACCTAATGAGGCGAAGGGCAGTTAGTACGACGAATCAATCAACAGCATGGAGTTGGGAGCAGCGACCTACGGGTACATGGGGGTTCTCCACAGAATCAGCTTCGTACATCATCTGTTCTCCGGCCTTCTGCCGCACGATTTTCGCGAGGCCAGCGCTTGCATGCTTCGACCCAGTGAAGAGCTTCTGAAGAGATCCTCCAGAGAATATCTCGGACCCGAACTCTCTGTACAAAGCTTCACATTCGTCAAGAGTGCAGTCCAGACGACCCAGTAGAACGGCGAGGAGGCCACCGGTGCTGGTTCCGCAAATGAAGTCGAAGCATTGGCGAGGTTCGGGCGTGCTATCGAGGCCATTCTGAATACGGACCTGCAGCATTAGTTCCTTGAGGATGAGGATTTCCGAGAGACCCCGAATGCCACCTCCATCAAGGCACAGGATGCGGGGTTTCTCAGCCATCGCTGAACGTTGTCCAACGCTGAGACTCAAAGTCTTCACGAAGGTCGCCTCTCCAAGCGGCGGGGGTCGTACAGGCTAAGATGGCGATCTTGCTTCGACTGTTGTGAGCATAGAGCAGAAGGATTATGTGCGCTCTTATGGTGAAAAGAGGAGGAGTTGAAACAGACTGCGGCCCGACTTGGCGACCAGGCTGAGATACCCGAGAGTCAGGTTTTGATTGGTTAAGGCTATTCAGCCTGTTGGTGGCTGGCGTCAGCTGAGATATAATATATATTATACTTAAAATTTTTTTAAAATTTTCTAAAAAAGAATTAATATTTAAGAGAAAATATTATAACTATATTTAATAAATTATTTAATTTTAATATATTAGAATTATTATTATTTTCTCTTTTAAATTCTTTTTTAAATATATTTTATTATATATTAATATATAGCTAATTTATTAAAATTATACTATAAAATAGCTTTTTATAACTGGAATAATATTTATATACGGCTAACTTTATATAAATTATATACTATCTGGTATAGAATATAATATAATATAGTAAGATAGAAAATAAAGAGGCTGCAGAGGTAATAGAAGCGCTGGAAGAGTCCTCCAGATTTGGGTTCATGGCGCCTTGGCAGACTTATTTCAAGGTCCGCTCTATTTCTTGTCTGTTATTTCAAGCTCTCTTGATAACACTATGGTACCATGCGGTACATATAGGAAGTCGACATGGCTAATTGAATCCGTACCTTCATCCAGGATAGCGTTCCCACGCCTGTCCGACCCACCACAGTAATGTGCTGTCCAGGCTTGATGACGAGATTGATTTTGGTGAGACGGGCAGCAGTTAGTTATTACAGTACTTTTATTTAAGCTCTCTTCACTGCAGACTCACTATGGTCCATGTCACCTTAATCCCATTTATAATTAAAGCAATCCTACGCGTATTATATTATCTCAAATTTGTCAACTTACGCACCTTTCTTTTAATACGACGGGTTTGGCCATCCCTCCCCTATAGGGACGAAAGGGGGACCGAGGGGGAGGAACCAACCCATGTCTGTTCTACCCTCTAACCTACCACGGGGCTCCTATCTCAATCCAGAATCATCTGCTAGTTCCCTCACTTACTTCTGGGATTCGATCCATCATGGGATGTGATCGCGGCGCGAGGCATAGTCCCATCCACAAACTCATCGCGCCACATCCAGTACATATTTGAAGGGTCTCTCCTTCCCGGTGAAGTTCGTTTCAATCTCAAGAGAGTCGGAGGTGTATCCCCTAAATAGCACAACTGGGTAGAGTCGCCCCTTGATTCCCTTCAGGTCGAACTCCACTGCGTCCAAATGTCAGCAATATTATCATCACTTTTTAACGGAATAAAGGACGAGTATCCACGAACCATTTCTCACCCCCTCTCTCGTGAAAAACCCAATCCCACTGGCAATGTCGACACCGCATCCAACGGTTTCACCCAATCGGAAAGCTCCATACCCCTCAGTCGACTCACCTTCTTGCCAGATCTGTCCATCGTCGCTGTGGTATGCCCATGAATGGGGATTTAAACCGGGTAACCGGTTTATTGCATAAGTCTTCGCTGCAATGGCGATCGCCATGAGCCGGGAGATTCTCTGACTGTAAAATGTTTACAAATGCGCTTTAAGGCTGTATAGGGTTATGGCTAGACTTACCCCGGGTTACTTCCCGGCTGATTGAGAATCGTAACCTCAAAATAGAACGACCCACGAGGGGGGATCGGGTGGTTTGCTCGAATACCATAACCGCGCCGCCTCCGTTGTGAGAAGAAACTTCCCGTGAAGAACCCCGTGCGGCCGTATTGAGAGTCTGTGATAGTGATGTCAGCATACGGACACATGCCATAGGAAAAGAAAGAGAAACTTGCGCGTGTTGAGCTCATCGTCCTGCCCAAAACGGACGCGGAGCCTTGCCCCCTCCCTATCATCACCAGGTAAAAATTCAATGTACTCTGATGTGCCACCTTCATCCCATTCGGTGGGAGACTTGAAGTCGCAAGAGGCTGGTTGACCGACAAAGTGCAACGCGGACTCCCCTCCACCCTTCGGCATGTCCGAGAAAGCGATCCAACCTAATGTCCAGCCATGCCCATCAACTCTCTGGGCATCGGCACCTTTGTCGAGGAGGAATTTCGCTAGCCAGGAATGGCCATCGTCCACCGCCTTGAAAACAAGTTGCTCAATGGGTTTGTTAAACTTTGCCAGGTCCCAAAGCAGACTGAAGACAGCTGGGTCGCCCTCCTCGATGGCTTTGGAAAGCAGGTCCTCGAAAGGTTGCCCCAGACTATCGACGTTAAACTCCGGCCGTTCCCGCAAGGGTTTTAGTATCAGCTCCGCCAGGCTGAGATTCTTGCACCCTACTGCGGTCCACAGCGGCGTTTGACCTGAAGCATTCGTCGCTGTGAGGTCTACGTCTCCCTTTTTCATGATTAGTTGAACCGCTTCCTCGCTCCCCGCGCGGACCGCCAGTGAGAACGGTGTCTCCTTGTCTCCATCTGGGGTATTGATTTTGGATTTCCTGACCAGTTTCAACATTAGGCGGAGCGGCCGGATTGCTGGTTTGCTCGCTGCGACGTGGAGGGGCGTTTTGCCGGACTGGTCTGGGACGAGGGGATTCGCGCCATGCTCCAAAAGCTCTTCCACCACTTCCTCATAGTGTCCCTCTATCGCCATCGCGAGGGAGGTCCTGCCGTCCCCTGCCTTTGCGTCAATCTCTGGCTTAGTTCTGAGGAGAATTCTAACGACAGCAAGAGAATCGTGGGCGGCGTGAAGCGGGCGCCAGCCATTGGGGCCGGGCTTTTCTTTGTCTAGGCCCTTCTCCAGCATGGCAGCGACAATCTCGGCTCGTCCGTAGTATGCTGCAATGTACATTGCTGTTGACGCTTCTTGGTCCCGGCTGTTTCCGGCGTTGAATTCCTTGCAATCTAGCAACGCCCTGGCAACTTTTGTGTGGCCCTTTTCGGCAGCCATGTGTAGACATGACTTGCCCGAACTATCGACAACGTTGGGATTGGATCCGAGGGAAAGTAGGAGCTCTACGGTGGTGTGATGCCCATTTATAGCAGCGAACAAGAGAGGGGAGGTTCCGTCTGGTGTTTCCCTACATATGGCGGCCTCTGCTTTGTAGAGAAGCTGAATAGTGTCATCACGTCCCGCCTCGGCCGCATACGATGCTGGGGAGCGGTTGTCGTCGTCGAACGAATTGGCGTCCCATCCCCTATCGAGAAGCAGCTTGAGAACATCGTTGTGTCCATGCTCTGAGGCATACGAGACGGGCGTCCGCCTGCCACTCTCGCCGCGCTCTGGGGAGGTGCTAGGAACCTCAAGGAGTAGCTCGGCGACAGCGGGGTGGCCGTTTTTGGCTGCTAAGTCGAGCAGCGACATATCGCCACTGACGAGAACAGTGATATCAATTTCGGGTTCGGCTAACAGCTTCTCCATGACCCCCGTGTGCCCAAGACTTGCCGCTTGCTGCATCATCTCAGTAGTCTTAGCAGTGTTCCAAGGCCTTGGTGTCACCTCGAGGAGTTTCTGGATCACCTTCTCATCGCTGGCGAGTTCCAGAGGTATCTTGCCGTCCTTGTCATGGCTGGATGGCGCAGCCTCATCGTGTAGCAATTCTGTTATGACGTCGTAATTCCCCGCCTTAGACGCAATGTGCAGAGGTGTTCGATCTTTGCTGTCTTTGTCATCCACTGAGCCCCCAATACCCGAGTCCAGCAGAGTTCTCACACATCGAGCGGATCCTCCCTCGCAGGTGTAGTGAAGAAGTGTCATGCCTTCGTTATCAACCAGCTCTGGGTCGGCACCGATTTCTAGGAGCTGGATCACTACGTCTCCGTGGCCCCCTTGAGCCGCGCGGTGGATCGGACGGCGACCAGTGTGATCAGCGATATCGACATCTCGCGATCGATTAAGAAGCATGGCCACTATGGTATGGCATCCCTTTGCTGATGCGAGATGCAGGGGCGACGAGCCGTCGGCCGTCGTAGACGTGGGGTTGGCGCCATTGTGAAGAAGGATCTCAGAGATCTCGGAGAGTCCTTTGCGGCAGGCAATATGAAGCGGCGTCTCGTTATTACCCCCGACGATTTCGGCCTGAGCGCGATACTCGAGCAAGGTCTTTACCATGGCAGCGTTCTCAACATCGCACGCTAGGTGCAGGGGAGTCATCTTCGAAGAGTTGAACACGTTGAGGGAGACGTCTTGGACGTCGTGTTGTTTGCAAAGGCGCTCTACAACGTCAATGCTCCCACCTTGTATAGCGAAGTGTATGGGATTCGACTGGTCCTGGTCCGTCTCGGCGATCTGGACTGGGCCCTCTTCCATCAATGCTTTGACGGCGGCGGCATCGCCATTCTTGGCAGCGAGATGGAGCGGCACGCGGAGCTTGTCATCCTGCATCAAGACCATCTCGTCCCGGGAGGACATGGTAAGGAGCTTTTCGACGATATTCATGTGTCCCGGCATTTCAGCGGCTATATGAAGCGGCGTCTTCCCGTCCTCGTCTTGACTCTCGAGGAGTGAATTTCTCGCATCGTCATCTAGATCTCGCAGCAAAAGATCGACGACATCGGTACGCCCCGTGGAGGCAGCCAAATGAAGCGGCGTTCTCCTGGAGTTGTCAATCGCATTGACTTTCGCATGGCCCTTTAAGAGAGCCCCGATTGCCTCCAGTTGTTGCCATTCACACGCTAAGTGCAACGCAGTTGATCCGCTGGCTAAGGTTGCGTTGGGATTCGCCTTCTTTTGGAGCAGAGTCCGAACCATATTGGGATGTCCGAACTGACTTGCTAAATGGAGGGGCATCGTACCATCGTTGGCGCCTTTGTTTGCATCCTGAGCTCTGCCTTCAAGTAGCAACTCGGCGGCTCGAAGACTACCGCACTCAGCCGCCACATGAATGGGGAGTAAGCCCTGACTATTTGCTTCGGAAGCCGAGTAATCCACAGATAGAAGATACGAGATGATAGGTTTCTGATCATAGGCGGCTGCAATGTGTAAGGCTCTCCAGTTGCTTACCTCCGCCTTCACAAGCTTCCTGACGATGGCGACGTGGCCCATTTCGATGGCATACCCCAAAGCCATTGATCCTTTGACTTTGACATCCTCTGACTTTCGATCCTCTAGCAAAACACTGACTAGGTCACCGGTTCCAAATTCTGACGCGACGGAAAGCGGATCCCTCATGGCATCGGTCGGTCGGATCAAGTCGTCGTGAGGAGTCCGGGTCCGATACGCCCAGTTGTTGATCAAGTTGTCGGTCTCAAAATAGCGGTGGAACCCTGGCCGCACGTTATCATCAATCACTGCCTTCTGGTAATGTTTTGGCCAGTATTGAACGGCGTAGGCTAGAAGACCTTCATCATCTGCCGGCGGCGGGACGGACGACCCTGGGGTGTAAAGCGGCACTGGGGACTGGGGCATCATGATGTCGAGGTAGGTAAGGCATGCATGTGCTAGAAACACATGTCCAGAACATAGGTCGCATTGTCCTTTGCAACTGCCAGTGTGTCTCTGGGTGATGTCAGCTTGCAATGCCTTGTTCACGAAATAGACCTTGTTATCTCGGATCACCACAAGTCCGCCAAAGAGAGCGTGGAGGTCCGAAGCAGGATCCAGCAAAACGTCATTCTTGTCGTAAGAAACATCAATTTGACCGTCAACCATCCTACATTGGATCGCCACAGCCACGGAAATCTCACTGAGCGTCAGAGGCCGGGCAGCATGTGCTATCCAGCACAGCCCGGCGAGGCCCCAACTGGATCTGGTTCCCTGCGCCTGGGAAATCAGTTTCTCGCAAAGCCCAGACACTGTACCCGGCAGTGACTGCAATGTTTCATCTACAGCACGGCATGTGGACGTCATTCCAGTATCCAGTAGTTCCAATGCCAAGCTCGCCGTGAGCATCGTTGGCGAGGACTGACGGATAGCTTGCGAGATTGCCCCTCCGGCCTTTCGATAGAGGTTTCGGGAGCGGGACCGTTCGTCAATCATACTTTTGACAGAGATTTCCACATCCTTTCCATCGCGGAGTTTCTCGTCAAGGTCGATCCTGCTCTCGGAACACACGTGGGCGTACGAGTCACTGCCAGTGACACTACTCGCAACCAATCTGGGAGCCGAAGGTGCGGAGTAAGGAAGCTTCACGAAGTCTTCAAGGAACCGATTGGACGATGAATCGCACTCGTCAATTCCTTCAATCAGACAGATGACGTTGCCATGTTCTGGGCAGGAGAGCAAAGTCCGCAAGAGGACCCAAAGCCTATCGAGCCTTAGTCTCGGCTTCTCGTCTGGTGAATTCAAGTCCCCTATGTGGTTGTATAGTCGCGAAACGTGCTCGAAAAGCCCCGGGAGCGCGCAGAGCAGTTGAAAGCTAAGCGAAGAAAACAATTTGAAGGTGGATGTATGTCCGTCGTGGTTCGAGTCGAAACGGAAGCCAATGATAATGGCATGCTTGTCTTTAAGCGCCTGTGCGGCACGGTCTGCTGCCAGCGCTGCTAGGATGGAGCTTCCAGATCCATGTTTCCCATGAATCCAAAGAGTTCTTCGCGAGTGTGTGTCTGCAGCCAGCCAGGTTCGAAACGCTGGGTGGTCATCCAACCAGTTGAAGGTCCCAGCGGTTGAGCTCATGCTGGGTATGCATGCGTTGCAGTGAAATAGAGACAGAATCCTTAGAAGGTCGAAATATCCTTTGGTGTGTTCTAATGTTTCTCGACCTGTTAGCGAACATGGGAGTGATTCGAAGGCGGCAGTACTTGGGGCCCGCTTACCCCTGGAAGTCACCATATACTTGGATATTTGACGTACAAGAAGCGAGGTTCGGCCTGCGATAAGTGGCGAGTATTTCTCCGACCTGATTGCGATTGAAATGGCCTGCAGATCCATCAGAGGTGCGAGCGGATGCGGCCAGAGTGATGGGAAACGCACCCTTTTGATGATGATGCCGCCCAGGCCGTGCCCGATAAAGGCTAGTGAGCGATGCTGGATTCACGACGCAAGGTCACAACACGATCCACTACTACTAAGTGCGAGGGAAACACGGACCTCTGTGGATTTTTCTGTGGATAGCTGGCTTAGAAGAGCTTCGGCAGTCGCGGAAATAAATTCCTCGGTTATGCCGCAGCCACTTGGCATCTGGTAATGGAGAGGCATGACTATCAGATCGGAAAGACGCCTTGGGAACAAGTCGTTCAACCATCTCACACTCCCATTGTCCGTGTGGAATGCCCAAGTTGTCTCTGGGCTGACGCCGATATCGTGGACCGCGACAACACTTGGAAGGATTAGTGTTTATGCTGCATCACGGCAAGGCGGGAGTTGAACGGGATCCTTGTTAGTTACCTACCCATATTTACGAGACCCAACTCGCGTCGTGACGTCGCCTTGAGGGGCGTTGTGAACGTGCAGCCGCAGCCGCGGCGACTCTTCTGAATGTTCCATACCTTATTCCGGTCGCTGTCGTCATGGGGAGCTGCCTAGATAGGGGATGCCCGGGTGATGCCCAGGTGATGCATCCACCGCAGTGAGCTTGAGATTGCAAGTGCTGCAGAAGACTTTGCGACGAGTTCGATGGGTAGTTGAGATGTGAGAAAAAAACGGGCTGAAGGGGTGTCCTTGCCTGAGAGTCTGCCCGGGTCTTGGCACTGCTGATTAGACAAACAAGCGTGCCAATGATTTCCTAGCAATTCAGCCCAACTGCAGGTGGTGTCACAGAGGAAGCAGGCGGGCGGGCATCTCAGGCAGGCAGTGCTTTTGCTCGGATACTGCTCATCCCCGGCCTGGCACATTTCTTAAAATACGGGAAGTTCTAGCCCATCCCAGGTTAAAAGAACGCGGAGGATGCCTTTGCAACCTACTACATATTCGTTTTCTTTTGTGACCCATTCCAAGCGTTGACAATGAACAAGCCGAGCACCGTCTATCCTGCCCTTGTGCCTCTGCCCGAGCAGGGAGAAGTCAAAGCCGGCATTGTTTTGGACGGCGGCGCCCTCAAGAGCGATGCGCCATCCCATGAAGGAACTCTCACAAAGTCGGGCTATGAAGTGGTCTTCCAGCGCCTGTACGAGGTTCACGGTCAGATAGGAGGGCCTGGGTCGTCGCCCAACGATGCGACGCTCCTCGTTCTGAAAGTCTCCCCTCGCGCTGACCAAGGTCGGTACTTCAAGAGCTGCAGAATTTCTCTCACCGTCGAACACGACCCCGGAGACAAGAAGGCATACACCTCGGACAAGCCCACGTTCAAGTCCTACGAACCGGCGCAGGACGGAGTTTGGTACATCGGCGAGCACATGATATCCAGAAGCGAGACCGGCGAGACCCAGGCCAACGCATCGGGCGAAATTCCAGGCGGCGTCTCCATCGGCTTCTCCGCCTCGAAGTCGGTCACAGAAGAGTCGTCCAAGCGCATCCTGCACACAGTCGAGGCCAAGTCAGCTTGGCGCCCCGGTTCGGGTCGTGACGCATCGCCATATCAAATCACCTGGACGCTGAAGCCGGCTGAAAAGTCCAATGGAATCGGCGACTACATGGCAGTTGCCCTCCTTGTCAAGCAGCATCGGGGGTCCAAGTTCGTCCTCCAGGCTGAAAGTACGGCCAAGGTCGGGCTGCGGGCTAAGCTTGGCGACCTGTTTGACGGCTCTGTTGGCATAACCTTGGGGCCATTCGGGACAGCGCTGCGCGATGACCAAATCCAGAACATTCCATCCGGCATCAGCGCAAACAACCTGGGAGCGGCGTCCCGGGAGAATCTTCTGCAGTCGCTCGCCTTCATCCACGTCCCAGAGAAGCGGGAAGCGCGCCAAGTCTACGGATACCAGGCTCCCAATCGTACGTCTCGTCCGGGCCTTGTCAGCACTTTCACAATGAAGACTAACTCATTAATTTCCTTCTCAAGTCCAGCCACCCAATTTACCGGCGTCTCTTCCATCCGTCACCTCAGAGTCTGTCACACAACTGCCACCAGAGATCCAATCAGAGAGGAACACAAAGACAGCTGAACCAACGCCACCTGTAAGCCGGCAGCTGCTAACCCATGGCCTCCAGCCCGTGACGCAGCAGCCACGGCCGCAGGTCGCCGCTGAAATCAATGTGCATCCACTGGCGGATGCCGAAATCGCCAGCAGCTTCGTTGCAAGACCGAGGATAGTACCGGTACAAGGCTCCCAGATAGGGGAAGCAGAAGCACGCCAGAAGGCGCTGTGCCCCTTTGCTTCCGTGTCCATAGTGCAGGCTCGTGCTATGCGCCATCGTAGGATGGCTGCGCTCTATCAGCGACTTGCGAAATTGCACATGGAGGAGGCTCAAGATGCCGACAGGGCTTATGGGGAAATGTACGCAGATGAAGCTGAACAGGAAGAATACGAGTGAAGCTTCTCCCTCTCCCTACCTTACCTATGCTAGATTATGCAGGTTGTAATAGTCTCTGTCACCTGCCCCTATCGTCGTCCAATCCCGCTCCGCCTCCAACCGCCGTGGAGCCAGTCCGCAGCTGCAGGGATTCACGACAGCCAACTGCGCCTCCACATGCACCACTCCCCTGCACGGGGTGTGGATGGCACCTCGCGAGGAAAAGCCGCGAGGTCCTGGGTGATCGGGTCAGGCATTCCAGGCTGTGGGCCGGCAAGCGAGGGTGAAAAGAACCTCGCCTGGAATGTCCGTCCCCTGTTTGCCCATCCAGAGTTCCGCTGTCATTGCGGTGCCCATCAATCAGTAGCTCGCTGTCTCTGCATCCCAGGCGGTTTCAGTCATAATGCCCTTCACTGAAGAGGAAAAAAAGGTCATCGACTTGGCTAAATCAACCGACTTCGGCAAAGCCGACGTACGCGATGGAGTCTCTCTAGAGACGTTCGAGACTACGTTTTATGATTTGCAATCAGTGACGGTCGGGCCATCGTCGACTGCCTACGACACCTTCGTTCACAACCTCGCTGAATACAAAGACCAGAACTACTACGAATCCACTGGGTGGAAGCTGCTGAGTTGGCTTCTTAAACACGAGCTGGACTTGTTCACACACGAGATCTTGTCCGGCAATCCCGAATACCACGAATTCAGGCTACCTATTCACTCTGCTATATCGTTTCGAAATGTCGATTTTCTAGATTGCCTCCTTGATGTATCCGACACATCAGAGGAGTCCATTGCCGAGATCCTCGAGAGCCGCAATATGAAGAGGCAGACATGCGTCCACGCCGCTGTGGAAATGCAACTTCCGTGCGCTGTGGACATGGTGAGAAAATGCTCGACTGACACTCTCACGGCTACAGACAATGCTGGCGATAGCCTGTTGCACGTGGCCATGAGACTCGCTCGTAAAGATGCTCCTCCGAAGCTCAATCTCAACCAGCAGCGGCAAGGCCAGGCTCGCAGTGATAAGCCTCCCCGCCCCAACACATCCGTCCCAAGAGCTCACCACAGCGACCCATCTGTCGAGCTGAGGAGAGTACCTACTCTTGTCAATATACGTACTAACAAGGCTCGGTCATTCGACCCTCACGAGCTGTACAAGGAAATCAAAAAGAGGCTAGCGGCGTCGGTGAGCGTCTCGGAGACGACCAGCACCAGCGATGGCAGACCCAATAATGCCGAGACAGGCAATAACAAGCCCAAGACGGCGATGGAATTACTGAAACTACCCAATAACTCTGGGAAGTCTCCATTTCAAATTCGACTTCTTCACTACTTGAGATCGCGGGAACTCTTTGGGCCAGGTTTGCATACGGAGATGAAAACCGACATTTTTGAACAGCTTTCCGACATCTCGGACGTGAAGAAGGCACTTTATGGGACAGAAGGTAAGCACATGGACCTCAGCACACCGGCAGCATCATGGCCATGACTAACTGGGTAATATCTAGGGCCTGGTGGGTGAAACGTTTCTAGGCACATCGCCTTCCTTTTTTCGCCATGGTCACTAACTCGATATTGTTTTCCTCTAAAGAGAAAGAGCTTTTCCTTGACATGTCTGATTTCAATAATCCGTCTCATGACTTCAAGAGCTTCATCGCGGACCTCACTGTGGACCTGGAAACGGCCACGACTGCAACTCCACCGGCTGAAGACGAGAACACAGAAGCAAAGCAAGGAGAGAACATCCAGTTCGAGCAGATTCTCTTCTACGTCTGTCTCCCTGACTTCAGAAATCTCAAAGACTCGCCCCATAACGAGGTCCGGCGGCTGTTTCTCTGGCTGAGGGACCGCAAGGTGAAGACAATCAGAAGCCTGAGTATCCCCGACAGCACAACCAATCCCATGAGCGATGCCTTAGTGGGTGAAGCCATTATTGACAACTTTGATATCAAAGAGCTGGACTGGCGAAAGCTAGACATCAATCTCCGCATCTTGACAGACCGAACACCTCCTGCCAAATTCACCAAACTCACGCTATATTCGAGCGGCAACTGGAGCGTCCTATATCACTGGGCAAGCGAAGAAGGCCTGGCAAAGCTGAAGAGTGTACGTACTTACATTTGACCACTCCCGCTGTTCTCCAACAACTCGGCAAACTTGGACGTCGCGTAGCTAACTCAAGCCTATAGCTGAAAGAGCTGACCATAAACATTGTCGGGTTGCCTCCTTCGAGTGTACGAAACCTTCAACTTCCGTGTTTACTTACGTGGTCTAGGCCTTTCGCGTAACGACTGGTCACTAACTTTAAGCTCCCCCGCTATCTAGGATGACGAGGCCCGCGCAAGACACAAGAGCCTCACAGAGCAGTACGCTGGAGAGTTGCACAAAAAGCTCAATGACCTTTTCTATCGTGGTTTCGTTCTCACGGTCGTCTTGGATGCGGATTGGAATTTTCCCATAAGCGTCTACGACCAGAAGAGTAACCCCCTAGTCGCGAAGTGAGTTGGTTACATGTACGCAGCTGAACGAAGAGGACAATCGCTCACAACACCAATCTAGTAGTCTCATGCTCCATGGGCGCTTGGCCCAGTGCCATGAGATCCTCGAGGGATTGGCCCGTTCCGAAAACAAAGACTTCAAAACCAACCCAGAGCGGCGCGCATACCAAAAACTTCACAGATGGTTCAGTACGCTGACCCAGCCGCCGCAGAGCGAGAAGCCGGACCAGCGGATCAAGGTGGCAGTGATAGACAACGGTGTCGACAGGATGCGCGAGTCGGTCAAGAACAAGGTTGAAAAAGGAATCTCCTTCGTCACCGCTGGACCAGAGAACGACGAGAGGATCCTCCCGTGGTGGATGGTCTCAGACCCCCACGGAACCCAGATGGCGTCGCTGATTGCGCAGGAGAACCCGTTCTGCCGCTTGTATGTTGCCCGGGTAGGCAGAAATCGCCGAGATATCCTCCCAGAGAATGCTGCCAAGGCAAGAATAGCCCCGTCCGGGAAGAGCCTTTGGACCTGGAGCGCGCTGACCACTATTATTCAGGCCGTGAGGTGGGCCATCGAGCAGAAGGTGGATATTATCTCCATCAGCTGGATAACTAAAAAGAAGTCGCCCGAGCTAGAGAGGGCCATCGCGGACGCAGTTACAGGAGGGACTATCGGCCGTCCTATCCTAGTTTTCTGCTCCACCGCGGATGAAGGCATCTACCCAGGGAAAGTCTATCCGGCCGACTACGATGGTACGGTCAGCGTGGCAGCTACCGATCGATACGGGCACTTGCAGCCAACTGCACCGGGCCGCGTCAACGTCCTCGTCCCGGGCGACAACGTGGAAGCAGAGGGCCCGTCGTACATGCAGAATTTTGCCACCGGCACCGTCTCAGGCTCGTCAGTGGCGACGGCTTCCGCAGCCGGCATTGCGTCGTTGGTCCTTCTGTTGCTGAAGACATTCAACGAGGACGAGTGTGAGACACGCCGAGGCCACACTCCGAAGAGCAAGCTCGAGGACTACTACAAGAGCAGCGGCATCATGGAGGTCTTCGAAAGGATGCAGCGGGAGAGCAAGCACACGGCCATCCAGCTATCCGACTTCTTTCCCGAAGATAAGGTGGATATCGCTAAGCTCAGGGAGACATGGGAACTGGGAAGGTTTCGGTCGTTGCTAAAGCCGATAAAACTTGAAGGCTCTTAATTTTACTATATTTAATATTAATATTAGTTGCTAAATTTTCTTTTAAATTAACTTTATTTTTATTATTAGAAAATAAGCCAGATTTAAAAATTACTAATGTAATTTATTAGCTTCTATTTAAATATTTTAAATAATAGAGGAGAGGAAACAAACTACAGCCCGACTTGGCGACCAGGCTGAGTTACGGGAGAGTCAGGCTTTAATTGGTCAAGGCTATTCAGCCCGTTAGTAGCTGGCGTCAGCTGAGATATAATACAGGCTGCGACTAGAAAAGGAAATATTGGATGGTTAAGAAAAGAATTAACATTCGGGGGAAAATACCGTATACTCAATAAATTATCCAACTCTATCGTGTTGGAATTAGAGTCATCCCCCACTCCAGAGCTTCAACCCCCTCTCCTAATATGCCTGATCACGCAATAATACAGCACTAGACGTGGCCAATTCATTGAGATTATACGGTAACACCGCCTCTTGCGACCGGGACGACGTCGACGCGCGGCTAACTTCATATGAATCGCGCGCTGTCTGGTGTAGGATACAATGAGATGCAGTGAGATGGGGAATAGAGAGGCCGCGGAGATAATGGAAGCGCTGGAAGAGTCCTCCAAATTTGGGTTCATGGCGCCTTGGCAGACTTATTTCAAGGTCCGCTCTATTGGCAAGAGCCTTGTGGAATTCTCTCATGGAGGCGAATTAGCCGGAGTGAAGTGTGGCTAGACAGTCGCATATCGATCCGCCATTGGCATTCGCAACATCAGTTCCTCCTGGCGCCCAAAGAGCTCGAAGTTCTGCGAGCATGGCCTTGACTTGGTCCAGAATCCTATTTTTTTATTCGTCTGAACGCGTGGTCCAGCCTTGCCAAAGCTTTGCCCTTCAATCTTGCCCATCACGATGTATGTAAACCCGTTGTGGACGAAGGCGTAGTGTACTTTGGGAACAGGTATGGAAGTGTGCTGAGCGACGGATGGCATCGTGTGCGCTTCTCCCAGGTTCTCAAACGTCTTGACTTTAATGCAATATTTTGAGAGGAATATTGGACTAAAACGTCGCTTCCGTAGGCATTGTGGCCACGTTCTGCCCTCGAAGGGTGACGATAACACTGGTGAGGAGGCCGGCAAGCAACCCGGCGTTGATGGACGGAGAATGCATACCCGATTGCTATTAGCCTATTACGCAGCGGTAATGCAATCTCAGCCAGGGTATCAACATTGATCACGGAGATCAAGTATTGTACTCTATTCTACCTAGTACGGATGCGGGAAAAGTGGAATCTGAATGCCTCGCTCAAAGAGGATGGGATGAAGCTAGATTATGTCATCGGTGCTGGGATCTGGCCGGTCTCCACTCTCGGGGTTCGTCTCGGATGCCGAAATGCCTCTGATTGGATGCGGTAAACCACGAAGTCCCGAATCCCTGAGATGGTAGCCCAGAGAAGTCCAGCTTTATTAATGCCATGGCGTAGTGTTACATGGGAAGTAGACAAGGGCGATTGAATCTTCATATATAAGAGTAGATGGCCGCACATATCAGACAACAACACCATTCCACTCAGACAACAGTATCACGCAACATTCCATCCACCCAACTTCACCCAACTTCTCCTACAACACTCAAAATGTCCCGCGCTCTTCTTATCACTGGCGCCACCGGGAAACAAGGCGGTAGCGTCATCAACGCCCTTCTCGCGCGCAACGCCGACTTCAAGATCCTGGCCGTCACCCGAGACGCCGCCTCGGCTTCGGCGCAGAGGCTGGCGGCGAAATCACCAAAAATTTCCATTGTCCAAGGAAACCTCGATGACACGGATTCCGTCTTTCAGAATGCCAAAAAGGTGACGCCTTTGCCCATTTGGGGTGTTTTCAGCGTACAGGTAGGTAATCTCTATGATAAATGACAGACCATTGCTAACAATGCCTAGGTGCCCGCCTTCAACAAAAAGGGTCCTATTATTGAGGAAGCTCAGGGAAAGTCTCTGGTTGACTCCGCCATCAAATACGGGGTTAAACACTTTGTCTACTCCTCCGTTGATCGACACGGCGCCAAGTCCATTGACAACCCGACCAATGTCCCCCACTTCGCCAGCAAGCACAGAATTGAGCACCATCTCATCGACAAGGCCAAAAATACCGAAATGTCCTGGACCATCTTACGACCTGTCGCGTTCATGGAAAACTTTGAGCCTGGATTCGCCGGTAAAGTCTTCGCCACAGCCTGGAGGGGCTTGTCACGTCCTCTACAAGTAGTTTCAACTGATGACATTGGTGTATTTGCTGCCTTGTCATTCCTTGATCCTGTACGATTCAGTGGCCAGAGCGTCTCGTTGGCAGGCGACGAGCTTTCATACAGTCAACTGGTGGATGTCTTCCAGAAGAAGACCGGGACACCGCTGCCTACCACCTTTGGGTTCCTAGCCCAACTGATCCTTTGGTTGGTTAAGGAGATGGGAACCATGTATGCATTCTTTGAGAAGGAGGGCTACAACGCCGACATCCCTGCTCTGAAGAAGATGCATCCTGAGTTGAAGGACCTGGGAGCTTGGTTGGAGTCCAGCCATTTCATGAAGAAGCAACAGTAGATATTGGGTTGTTTGTGTTTTGCGGGTATGATAGACTGTAATGTAGATTTTTAGAGAGGTTGTAAGTCAAGGATGCTGTGTTTTACAGAAGGGAATAATAATGAAGAACATTACGCGATAGACTACCCCTGGCCGCATATTAAATCATCTCTTGATCTTCTTCGTACTCTTACTTTTTCCACGAACCAGAAGTTGGCGAGACAATCGCGGAAGTCAATATGACCTCCTCGCCAATGATCTGAATACCTGACTAATGACTATTCATCAAAGTCTCGATCTTTTTGAGCCTCTCCTAGCAATCTCAAGCTAGTTTCTGCGCGGCGGGGACATATGATCACTACCTAATATCCATGGCGTAGCGTACATTTGGTGTTAAATCAGCATTTAGTGTGCATTGAATAAGCAGGCACCATGAAGCCCCAACCCAAGCGTTGTCGTCTAATTAATTCAACCAAACCTACGAAAACAATAGGGACCAAACCTAACTATTGAATGCAATGTAACTGGCCCCGGCAGAGTACAATATGGTGTCAGCCCAGGCGTTGATGTGCCACTTCATCCCCCCTGGTGACACCGAAGTAGCACCCAACTTCACCCTCAAATTCTTCCGACAGTCAATGTCGATGCTATTGAAAGCAAACAAAACTTTTGGATTCCTTTGGAAGGTTCCAGCAAGGAAATTCTCCCTCCCCGAGTTTGCCAACTTCGGCTTGTCCGCTGGTCGGGTTTCGAGAGTGCTGAAAGTTCCGCTTACCACCCCCTTTCGGTCCACAGGATAGGCAATCCATGCAGCGCCGGCCGAGTGCATGATAGTGTCAGACCACGACTCGAGATTGAGCTTGAAGCCTATAGCGGTGATGTCCGTAGCAGTTGCGGCGACTCGCCAGTTCGTGCCTTTGGCAAGGTCCAACTGATTCAACCAGACAACGACCTTTGGTGGGGCCTTGTATGGATGCTTGAACTTGACCTGGTGCGACGTCTTTGCCTTGGGAGTGTCCCAGGAGTGGTCGGCGAGGGTGTTGAATTTCCCAATCTGGAACTCCTTGTCGTCGGAAGGCTTTCGGAACCAAGTGCAACTAGCCGAGTGAAGTATCGAATCCGCCCAGGTATCGAGGTGGAATTCCGCCGACGATTTGGTGACGTTGTCAGCGAATGCTTTGACGCGAATGTTGAAGTCTTTTGACACGTCAAGCGAGTTGAGACCGACGGCCAGGGATGGCGGGCTCTTGTAGGTCCTGGGAAACTGCTTTCGCATGGAGGCTTCTTTCTGGGGTCGGTCCGACGGACGCAACTCCAGTGTGCTGAAGAACTCAGTGTCGGCAGCCTTGCCGGGATATACTTTGGCAATGAATTTCTTGTCCAGCTCAGAAAGCTTTTCATTCGATGCCGTAGAAAATCCATTTTCTGCAAGACCTTTCGGAATGTGGTAGATCATGATAGATTTCGGGTCATACGACGAAGAATTGGTCATACTCGCCGAGTAAAAGTTGACGACGTTCAGGTCGACTGTCGCCTTATTCCAGCCCTGGGTCGTAAAAAAGTAATCATACACTTCAGGGATTTTCCACTTGATCCCAGCCTTTGGTGACTGGTGCTCATGGATACATCCAAGGGCATGCCCGAACTCGTGGACAATCACTCGTTCAGACTCAGTTTCGGTAGTAAGGTCGTCGAGCCAGCTAAAATTCATCGTCTGCCTGTCTTGGGGAATGCCAAGACACTGTGTACCCGAATATGACCACGAGCCTTTGGCACGGCTCGGGTCAGTGTTGATGCGGATCTCAGCATTTCCCGAGTCGACGAATTGGAACTTGATGTTGGCATACTGCGTCCACAGACTTGCGTATTGCTTGATTCTTCGCTTGACCAGGTCCGAGCCGTTGAGGATTTTGACCTTCAACGTCCTGCCATTCTTCCACTTGTTCCCAATGATGACGGCCAACCTTTCTGGAACATCGGCATCTCCGGCGATGTTCTGAAAGGCATTGGCGGGATTCTCCTGAACAGAAAGCACTTCCGCCATTGCCTGGAGGTCATCCGGGACTGGCATCAAAGTGCATGCGTTGATTTCGTGAACGTCCATTCTGAATGAGGGGATTGCAACTTGAAAAAGAGCTTTTGATGAGGGTGGGTGGAAAGTGATGAAATCCGAGTGTCTGCTGTTATTTCTCTGCAACGGCGAACGGCTAACGGCGAGAATTTATACGTCAACCTCGCTTACGGTTCATGGCTAAGAAAAGTCTTGCTTGGGACCCCCTCTCTCCATCTCACGTTCAAATGAAGCAACAATGTCTTCCAGCCATTTACATTCGCCCTAAGCCTCAAAGGATTTTCAAGGCGCGAGAGGCAGCCCATCACCTATCACTTTGAACTAGCACATTCTCACCAATTCAGCTGAAGCCAGAACGCCTCTAGTGCAGCCTCAATCTTGGCAACCAGCGAAATAAGGAAGAGCTGAAAAATGATTCTGACGAACCATTCTCGATCAGAGTGCCAAGTACTGACTCATCTGAGACACGGCTGAGCAACAATCTAAGCAGGCAAGGAGGATTGGAGCAGGCACCATAACCGTGACCAAATGTCTCCCCACACACCTTATCGCCGTTAAACTCTGATTTAAGCTTGACACATGAGGCTGGGGATACGAACCCCTCCAGAATATGCAAGACGTTTGTTATAGGTACCATCAAGCCTGTTTCGCACGGCCTGGCACTAAAATATGGCATGCGCTGGATAGTGAGCACCTCCATATTTGAAGCCATGACTAAATGGAACCTGCAAATTTACGCAATCAAAGTCAACACAGGTGAACAACTAGAACGCCATCAGCTGGGAGCCAAGAAATCGGATTGTCCAGTGACTGGTTCACCACAAATGCTGACTGCCTCCCTGCATAAGCGGACATCATGCCATGTCTCAAGACTAATCTAGACTCAGGTGAGGCTGGCGAGAAAAAGGAAAACGAGCCACGAGGACGGCACGTTTAACTTCCGGGCTAATGTCGCCGAATACTTGTCTTAGTTTTCAGCCGAGCTGTTATTTGGTGACTTTGCAGACTGGTGGAATCTTGAGCCTGGGAAAAAGATAGGAAACTTTTAGCTGATGGTTTTCCTTGTGTCCTTTATGTGACTAGAGCGATTGCGGAGAACTCTACCCGTCACAGGGGTGACTCATGTGACTTCACAACTGCCGTTGTGGCCAACTCGAGTCGACCTTTGTTGACTAGGATGTTCAAATGTCTCCTGTGGTGATCGGCACCGACACAACGGCATTGATGTCTACGTTAGCTCCGGATACAGTGTCTCCAACGCCATTACTGTCAGTGGTGGCGCTGACTGGACTGTCGTCAAGAACAATTTGGGTCTATCCTTTGGCATTGATTACAATCGCACATGGACGACACAAACTGTCATCAACGTCAAGGGAACGGTCGCGAACGGCTGGTCTGGAGTCATGATCACCAAGCCCATCAAGACACGCAAGTATGGTCGTCAGATGAAGGCCTGCATTGGATCTCACACGGAAACCGGAACTTGGATGGCGACTCCTACGAAGAGGGTTCATACGGTGGAGTGCAGTGGGTTTCTGGGGCTGTCTGTACGCCCAACTCTACCGATACTGTTCTATGGCTGATTCGACATAGCCATGTGCTCTAAGGAGGAATTCCGACTTTCTCGCTGCGCCGGAAGTGGAAACTTCATTTAATGGACACCACTTAGATCGTATAAGTGGAATAGATTCTTTTGTTCGTGGGTTAGGTTTTTTCCCAAGATCGATGACACCTAGTCTAGCTTCAACGCACGCACCATTGACGATCCCAACGTCATCATCTTTCTAGACTGTGTGCCATTTTAGAGTTCACTCTTGCTTCTGTTGATGATCAAATTAGATGGCGATAAATTTGTGGGACTCTGGATCAAATCCATGTCAAAACTGTCCATTGTAATACCCGATACCAAACAATAGGTCTAGCTATGTGGGGGTAGTCCAGAAAGCGCCTCCATGGATACTTGTTCTAGGCATTTCTCTAATTGTTGAGATCCCTGAGCCGGTTTCCGTGGGGCCTCTGAGCTTAGGTCAAGCTCTGGTGTTGAGAAGCGGCTGACATCCTTATTTCCTCTGGACTTTACGCGGTATTGACTGTCGGCAGTCGTAGGTTCGTGGCCAGACCCTGATGAATCCATGATTTGATCTCTTTCGTCTAACAGGTGGCACGGGTTCTTACACTCCTGACTTTCTTTTGCGATACCTCGACCTGCGTGTTGGTTACGTGTTTTGGTTAACTAGTTGTCCAATGCCTCATGTGGAGGTGTAATAAGATCTTGCTAGCCGAGGGCCAGGATCAAGAAATGTTGATTTGAGTTCGTGAGCTTAGAGTCGTGATGGATGTACAAGAAACGGATCCGTGTCAGGCGGCAACTGTGTTTATTTATACTCCCACTCCCGTCTCAGTCCTCCACGTCAATTGCGTAGCTCAGTGTACCTACTAAACATTGCCAAAAGTAACCCATACAACGGACCCTATAGAACTAACCGTGATAGGCAGCAACCATCTATATTGCTATGCCCGACGTCCTGACCCATACCAGGTCCTAAGTACCAACTCAACCCCACCTACCCTATACCTTGCGTCTTAGACCAGTCGCCACATTGTACTTGTTCTTTTCTAACTATTAACTATACAAGACGTAAAATCATCACAATCTCTTTGAACACACAAAGTAACATGTAGTTATAAAATTTTTCCATTTATATTTAGAGCCTCTTAATCTAATTCGGGCGTCGTAACAGGTGCCGCCGACATGTCCCCCTGTTAAGTCTGCCGTGGATTCTCGCGTATCCATGCGTTGCATACAAAGCTCCGTGATGCCGACTAAGGCGTCGCAACGGAAGCCGGTTCCTCTTTCTCATTGAAGGCCGTTAGATATAACACTGGTTTAAGGGAGCGCGTATTCAGTGCTCGCTTTAAGTCCCTGGGTTCGAAGCGCGTTCGATAAGATGGGTAGTTGTGGCCGTTCGTAGTCCGCGTCGGTTCACACACAACCCGTAACCATATGATCCATCACTTCCTGCACGTAGCGTCACCCTTGGGATTTAGAGTATCTGTCTCTCAACAGGATCCCCCATACAAATCCCAACGCCTGGTGCCCCAGTGCAACGTGGAGATGCAAAACCTCGCTGGGGACCATTATCGACCATCTGGGATCAAGGTGGTGGAATCGGTGTTCCAGGACAAGATTGAACTCAACCTGTCGCATAAATCCAACCGTAAACCAAGTCCCATAGGTCCAATCGCTCCGAGGGGTGCGATGTGGACCTCAATGGTGCGCATTGGATGAGCCACCCGTCCCAACACGCTCTACCAATCCACGTGCCTTCCTTCTGAATTGCAATATCGCCGGCCAGTGAGATTGACCTGCCATCTTCGGTTGGCCCGTGGGTGGGTTCAACATCGGTAGATTTCGGATGGACTTGGGGTTGTCTGCCTCGTCGGTTCGGTGCGTACCGTGGGATGGAGGTTTCCAACAGATTGTTGCTTTTGGCATGATTAAGCTTCCTTCCAGTATGTTAGGATTTCCATATGAGCCAGGAAGAGGAGCTGGGAGTAACGCACATTATATCTCCTTCAATCAATAACGTGATTGGGATGCGCTAAGACGATGACTGCCCGTTCGTGACGATGCAGGAGTGATGGATTCTGGGACGTGACGTAGATGAAATCCCTGATCATTGCTCCCAGAAGGAAGACTCCATTCAAAGGAGTGATATTCGGGAATACCAAGGTAAGCCGGTCGAGGACCGATGCCCCCAGGGTCGCTCATGATGTGCGTAGCGGCGTTGTATTCGCTGCGCTGCACGAGTAGCAGCAGCTTGTTCAGCACGCTGAATTCCATTTTGAGCTTGATGCTGTAAACCACCGGCTTATATGTCGTTTGGATCTCGAATTGTCCGGTGTACTGGGTGATGAGAAGGCTGATGTCGAGGACGATAACGAGGACGTTGACGATGATGAGGTGTCTGATGACCTTGCGCTCGATGGCTCTTTTCATGGCAAAGATGGGTTTGAGGCCGTGGGCTGTTTCCCAGATATAAAGACCCGAGATGATGGATTCTTGGACAAAGAACCCCGCGAGTTGTACGCGCTCGTAAATGTTGAAGGCGGGAAGAAAGCGACTGGAAAGGCGCGTGTTGCTACCGAGGAACAATACCGTAACCGGGACGTGGAGGATGCAAACGTTTGTGATGATCATGATCAGGACCCAGCGGGCTTTTGACTTGTCCGAGACGATGAGGTGGAGGCGCGAGTAGAGGACGAGGGACTGGCCGGTCACCATTCCATACCATCCGATGCACGTCAGGACGGACAGCGGAAAGTTCGGACCCAGGCCGTAGTAGCGCAGCAATACCACTATCGAGTGAAGCACGATGCCCAAGGTGGCCGTCAGCATGCTCCAGAAGTACAGGCCGTCGTAGCGCTTGAAGCGGTTCAGCAGCGAAATGAGGATCTCGACGCAGTTGAAGCACGCAATGGCGAAGAAGCCGGCAATGGTCATGTTTATCGGCAAGGACGCCGATATGGGACCAGTTTCCCCGGCCATATCTTCCTTCGCTGCCGTCGGACCGGGACGTGCAGGCCGATCATGGCAAGATGGGAAAAATCGGGGATGATGAAGGAGGAGATGGGGGAATGCGAAAGGGAGCGGGCTTGGTGGAGACGAAATGCACGCCCAGCTGATAAAGTAGCGGGAGTCCCAGCATTAAGACAGGAAAAAGAAACGAAAACCCCCGGTGATTGATTTGCTCGTAGCGCGCTGCAGCGTCGAAGGCTAATAGAGGCCCTAATACAGGCCGTCCAAAGCCATGCTTGCGACGACGCGGTTGGGCTTGCCGAACCGCAGGGATGGATGCTCGGTCCCAATTTCTTGCTCCAAGGATGATTCGTTGCGGAAGATGGCGAGAGCCAGCTCGATGACACCCTGCCAGTCGGGTTTTCTCAAAATGACACTGAAGGCGTCAGGGGTCGGTCATGGCGACCCCTATTGAGCGTGCGCTCCGCTGTCAGAATGTCACAGTGTCACTCATTTCTAGTTACGGAGCACTACGTACATAGTACTGTTGCACAAGGACGCGGCCCCGGAAAGCCAACCCGGTGGGACGGGACTCCGGATGCCTCGTCTATTTGTCTCCTCGCGTCCGTGCTGGCAGAGTGGCAATGAGGGCATGCCTCCATCGCCAATGAGACGGGCAGGCCTCCCTCCATGACGCCGGCGAACAGACGCGCTAGGAACTTAGCGTTGAGCCCGTCCTGACTCGGGTGCAACCGACTTCCGATGTGTCAATTCGGGGGATTCACTTTGTCGCACTGATATTCGCGCAGAAAGTTCATGTGGCGCAAGTGAGTTGAGCCGGCGCGTCGGGTTGACCGTTCGGGGCCACCTTAAAATGTGACACAATTGCGTAGTGGTACGAGATGGGAATCAACTGAGTCAACGACAGGAGTCTCGACCTAGATTTAGGAGTCGACCTAGACTTAGGAGTCGACCTACATTTAGGCTAGGACGCCAGTGCCGCCCTTCTATCCAACGCCTGCTAGAGATTGGGCCGGTCTCCCCGGGGCACAGCGACAGGGGACGCCATTTCCAGGAACCGCGAGGACGGCCTGTAGCTTCACTGTGACAAGTGTATCGGGTCATCCTCACCAGCTCCCATTCGCACACCTTGAGCGATAATCGCATTCCGAATCTAAAGCCAATGCTAGCGTTGATACTGCAAAACTATAAACTCTACCAGGACCCGGTGGATTGGGAGCTATCTGACGATCATGACAGTCCGGGGCCCCGTGTCCTGGAGCTGGGCCGAGAAGAAGCGCTTGCTCGTAGGGTCGCGCCGAATGGGTCGCGCCGAATGGGCCGCCGGATTAGCGGGCTCAGCTCCCTTGCGTTATGTTAGCGTCCTTGATTCCCACATGTTTGATTTCGTTGGTTCCCATGATGCAATAGATAGTCTCAGGGGTGGCTGGCGCCTCCTCGAGTCTGACTAGCCCTGTGTCGACAAAAACGAGAGATCCCTGGCACGGGAGGATATGCTATAGGGTAAAGTGTGTGAGTATGGCTGTGGGTATGTGTCAACATGGCACAATCTACTACGTACTTGGTGTTGTTATGCATTTATACTGGGATTAAATCGCCACTGCCAACCGAATACGAAATATCAGACCCACACGAACACAGGCACAACACTGACTCTCTCCGCGCATGTGATAGAACCAGTGTCTATGAATACCGCGTCTACTTTTGATAGATAGATCCAGAATCCGGACGAACAGGGCTGTGCGCCCGAACTCTTGCTTTCTGTTCACTTTTGGGTTGGCAGTAGTTTCGATTGCTAGATTGGAAGCGCAACACATGTGGATCAAAGTACCTGATTTTTTCGCGCTCTGAGTAATTGTTGCGGTGTATGGTAGTCAAGCGCCTCCGCTCATTCATTCTCCGCGTATAAAGGCACTTATCTGTTCGAGAAGGCGGTCGATTTGTCGGCCGCAGGATGGCAGACTCGAGAGACTAATATATATGTGGGCCATTTATTCAGCCAGGGGTGGTATAATTGAGATCGGCAGGGCTCGTTTATAACGCGGTTACTCAGCTGGCTAGTAGACTCAATTACATTCGTCACGAGACCCGATTTCCAACATCTCGCTGGAGTTGTTACAATTGCAACAGCAACGCTATCCCGACACCTAGACCAGCCACTAAAGAAACAGCCATTTTCCTAGCCCCGCTGCCAGCCGACTCGACGGAGGATGATGCACCAGCCCTGGCAGTAGATCCAGAAGTCCCGGTCGTGGCTGGCTTCGTTGTCTCGACCTGAATGCCTGAGACTATCGCCGTAGCCGAGGCCACGTACAAAGTGGACGAGAAGGAGCATTGCGACATCATCTTATCGACATTTGGTACGCGAGGGTCAGCCATCTAGCCTAGCCATCATCAGATGTGCACTCTCGGCAGTTTGTACCATCCGTCGTTTGGCTGTTCTGAGCCATGCAGCTCGCGCAGAGTCCCATGACGGCCGCGACATCGGAGTTCCTGTTCGTGCAGATACAGTGCGCCTCAATGGCCTCCACGCAATCTTCGCTTTCGCGGAGGCGTAATTGCCTTCGTTTATCGTTATCTGTATCCACTTCGTTGTGGTCGATTTCGCGCGTAGGGGTGAGATCCACAATGGGCTGGTAGATGGTCGTGCATGTCGAGGGTAAGCCGTCTGCACGGAGATCTTCTGCCAGGGTAGTAGTAATGACTGCAACTATGGTAGCAAGTAGAATAATGGTGGAATATTGGAGAGGATTGTGCTGACGTAGTGGTAAGCCTTGGGTTATTGATTGATGTGAGTCGGCTGATATTACGGGTTCAATTCTATAGACAACTACGTCCCTTTATACTAGACCCAGCATCTCTAAGTTGATATATTTTGACCCTGAGGCCTTTTCCCCTTTCAAAATCCGTGGTAGCTAGCAGTGACTATCCCGAATCATGACGGCAGGTAGGGTATTTTCATCTTAGAGTTATTCAGGGCATGAAACAGATCTAATTTCTAAGAATACGAACGGCTTTCTGTGTATTAAATACCAGGAGCTATAAATTATCGTTGAGTCTTAAGACAGCTGCTACGCTATTCCGTCCCTAGTCCTGTAGAGTTCGAGGTAATGTATCATGTATCGTACGTTTCCAAGTCGCAACGAGTCCGAGCGCTCGAGCTTTGTTCAACCTTACTGGTACTAGCTTTCGCTTCGTTAACCGATTTTCAAACGTATCGCTTGAGCTGGTCAATTGCTTACTGATTACGCTCAGATCACCCCATGGCCTAGCCACAAAGGGGATATAAGGGTCCTGCCTCAAATCGTCATTGTCTCAGCGGCGTTTGATACACGCCAAGCCATTACAAGCCGGTAAGCCATGGTCTGATTCCACCATGCGCTACCAGGAAACATAGCATGGCTAGCGCTGGTGCCCTTGCCTTTTCGGCTGGAGAGGAGACTCGGTTGACAGTCATTGTGAGCTACGAGAGTGGCCGCTTTCCGACGCGCTGTTGTCATGACCGAGCGCCGACGAAAGGAGGGGACGCCGAAAGATTCATCAAGAAGCATTCCCCTCCGGAGGTCGTTGATGTAAAGCTCGACATTGTCATATAATATGTACTACCTTCAATTCTTCCTAGTTAGCGAGCTGCCACCCCCAGTTGCCACAAATTCTATCTTGTTTGGGGGCTACCACCAACACGAAACCCTTTGTACGACTTCATCCTCGAGATGTATCGACAGCTGCTAAATCGATTACTACACCAAGTGATGTGTTTCAGAGGGCCCCTTTTTAGTGCGCGCTCAATACATTCCCAATCGGTCCTTGTTAAATAATGTGATACAAGAAGTAGAGCCACGTTCGGGTACCTCCTAATTTTTGGGTGGTGGAAGGATAAGCCTACTCTGCACAGAATAATCATCATCCCGGCATATTTCAGTTCTCCTGCGTAGAGTGCACCAGGCTGACCGTCTTTTTTAGAATGACAGCTGCTGGATGGATTTCCAAGTACAGAGTATACGACCTAGGTAATAACTATTACTATTCTCATCCGCTGCTTTACTAGTAGAGGTGATTTAGATACTGTAAGTAGATATTTGGTTTTTTTAGCTCTACTCAATATCATCAGATAGATCAAAGCCATACAGTAATCTCAAACAGTAGGAATAAACAATAAGTGCTACACCCAGCACCAAAGAAACAGTAGCTGAACAACAAGGACTGTAATTAGATATAAAAAAAAATTTAAATTTTTTTTTAATAAAAATAAAAATTTAATATTAAATATTATAATAAAAAAGAAGATATCTTAGTGGAGGTGCTATATGACTCGTCCAGTTCTGCCTCCAAGATCGTGAAGGATACTCCGTTGATTGTGAATAACATCGACATGGCTGGTGGCAGTTCCTATCCTCAAAGCCTGACGAAATATATTTGACACGGGTCCACGTCACACATTATGCCTTCAGAACCGGCAAGGTCAACAGCTTTCTGAAGAACGCAACGAATGTATTCACTACTGCAGGCAATACAGGAGTTATGAACAGAATGTTTTAAGAAATACACCCAGCTTGAAGTTATATTGCAGAGTGTGAGTAGTGCATCACTTGTATAGAGTGTATTTGAAGGTAATATGAACACTGCCTCCGGACTATATCTTAAATTACCTGCACTGCTGTACAATCTCTTACACTTCCCATATAACCCAGTGAGTCAGGGACTGTGATATCTAGAGTCATAACGGCTGATGACGCGATGGAGAGCATAGAGAGTGGACTCCTAGGTGGAGATAACCAATAAAACGAGCCTGACCTTCTGCTAACGGAGAATCGAGACACCGTCAGCAACGAGGCGCGGCGGGTAGCATCTTCGCTCAGCGCCATCCTCAAGATGAGCTGGAAAGATATACTGCGGACCGGACTCCGCAACCTCCAAATGGCTTTCAACCTACGTCGCGACTTCGATACGGATGGACCCCCCGCCGCCAGCCTGCGTCTCTAGGCTCGTCGTGGTCGGAGGAAGCGGACAGAGCGAAGGAACGCGATGTGTGAGATGCAGGACATCAGGGAGTAATGCGCGTACTTGTGAAAATGATATAAATGCGCCCGTAAAAGAGTATAGCAATTGGTTTTAGGCGTGGTGGTTGTTTGTCAGGTGCCGGACGCGATGGCGACCTACGGAGTGCAAACGCCGGTTTCGGGATAGCCAGCCCTAACATACCAAGGTGGCCAAGGAATAACTGCGACCACGCTGGGAGCAACTTGTCTTGGACTGCTGGGTTGACTCCTTTGGAAACATAAATAATTGCCGACCCCCGCAGAGCAATGGCCAGAGATCAATACAGTCAGTACCCTTGTACTATTATCTGGCTGCTACCTTCTAGCGTATCTGCCTTCTTTACTCCCTATTGTGATGGTGCTGATTGACGCACTGGAGTTTAATGACAGCAGGGCTAGCCTGAAAAGCTAGCTAGTACTTAAAGGAACGGCCTCTTCCTGTAGTTGAAAGGGCATGCTTTTTCCCTTCTTCCGTTTGACTTTTGCGACGGAATTATTTTATGTTGTGCTGTTAGGCTGTCGCAACAGCTCTTGTCCCTTTCCTATCGCTCATTTTTGCCTTTTTATACCCAAAAGCACTTGATCAAGTGTTTCCTGCTTCTATTCTACCAAATTTTCAGCTGGTCTTAGCCAAAGGTCCTCCTTTCAACCCGAGCTATAGGGTATCCTAGATTTTTACTGTCACCGGCCCTGTCTGCACTCAGTGTATCTCCCACGAACAAACTATTGTGTATTCAGTCCATAACATTGTTTTATTTTATCATCTATTGGTGAACGTCTAGCCAGTCTGTGTAGAAAGTCTATCTGGCCAGCTCGCCGTAATCTAAGATTCATCGTGGCTTGCCGCTACAGTATGGATAGGAAGAGGCATCCCTAAAGCCAACACGCCAATTGCTCTGTCTATAATTAGTCTAATGAAAACATGCAAGATCACCCCATCTTAGAAACTCCATCTCCTGCCAATGCCCTACGTCTCCGTTTCCGCCACACAATGATAAATGCCATACCAAGAATGGATACCGCCGCTACATGTGAAATTAGGCACAACTCCAGGGAGCAATGGAAATACCGGTGGGTGACTTACCAAGACCTCCAAGTCCACCTAGCAGAGCAACCCCCGTGTTGGAAGTGAACGTGATCCCTTGGACTGGCTGAGGCACTGAAGACTGCCCCTCCGACTCGTTGGTGTTGTCCGGTTGTGCTGTAATTTGTTGAGGCCCATTCACCGTGACAGTCTGGGGATTTGGAACGACAGTGATAAAGACCGTAGCCGTAGGTGCTTCAACTTTTGTAGTTATCAAACGGGTCGCTGTTTCCACTATCGTCTTCGCAGGCGTTCCCGGTGGGCTCTGTATCGGAGTGGCTGGTGGACTCTGTGTTGGAGTGGATGCTGAACTCTGTGTCGGAGTAGGAGTGGATATTATCGGTGTTGATGTTGTAGGACGCGAGGTAGGCGTATCTTGTCCTCTCTCGACGTTGCCAATGCTAAGATCAAGCATGCGTGGAGGCTCTTTCCGCCTCGTTGTCGAAAGACCTCCCATTGTAATAGTCAATTGATCTTTGTCCGATCAAGCTTCTGTTCTTTTTGGAGTAAAGAAAAATACGTGAATCTCCCGTCGACAGAATTTCCCATCCAAGTCACCTAAGCGCTGAATGACACGGTTTGGTCTCGGCGACCGATAAAGCCGGAGGGCAGGGGTTGTTTCATAGTATCGCCTCAAACGGCTGGTGTGGCCACCCGAAGCTAAACACTAAAAATAACCATATGGATCATCACGACCTGTTTCGGCACTAGGCCTGTGCATGTTTATCATGTCTTGGCGGAAGCCGAGTTCCGGATTTACGAGATGTTGCAACAGGTCTGATTGCGCGGCAGCAACCGTGTAAGATATCCGCCCAACATCACCACTTGGTTGGGTATGCCCGACTCGAACACGGCTCCGCCTCAAGACGCTGCCTGTTTCATGGCCTCGGATAGCCATTTGGCCTGCACCCGCTCGGCTTCGCCGAATAATTCCGAGGTGGAGATGTGGAAGAGGAATCCATCGCTCATATCCCAGGTCTACAACTACGACGAGATTTGCTTGATGAACATTCTCAAGCATCTCATCAACTTCCAACATGACGCCCCCCATTTCATCTCCCCGACTATTGCAAGAGATACGACGGAGTATCTACGCCACAGCAGCAGGTGGCATCCAGGTCTTTTCTCAAGATCCTGACTTTGCCCCTGATAGGTACCGCGATGATGAGCAGCAATCTCCCACACGCTTGTCCCAGCGCGATCGGCTTCGCCTTAGCTACCGTTATTCGCGTGACACGCCTCTACCGTCATCCGTTTTCCAGGATGACATTCGGAGGGGCGATAGGTTAGAGTCCGAAAATCCCTTCGACGATTCTCGTTCTACAGAATCGCGGCAGGATACCCAGAATCCATTTGATGATTCAAACACTGCGGAAGTAGTGGCCGAACCAGAGCCACCATACCACATTTTCTCGCAGAAGCAAAAGTGGTTCGTCATCGCCATTATTGGTGTCGCTGGACTATTTTCTGGACTGTCGTCCAACATCTTCTTCCCATCCTTGGATGCCATTGCAAAGGTAAAGACACCACTTATTCCCGAATTGGCATATCCTCCTAACCATATTAGGATCTCAATGTCAGCTTGAATATGGTCTCCTTGACCATCACATCCTACCTCATCATTCAAGGCATCTCTCCCTTGTTCTGGGGCTCAATTTCCGATGCGCTGGGCCGCCGTCCTATATACATCGCATCCTTTGCCGTCTATATTGTCGCCAACATCGCCCTCAGTTTCTCCCCGAACTTTGCGGTCCTCCTCATCTTCCGAGGACTTCAGGCAGCAGGCAGTGCCTCTACAGTGAGCATCGGTGAGTAGAAGCCATTTAAACATTACCACTCTGTAATGAACAGGACAACTAACTACGACAGGTAACGGAGTCATTCAAGACATTACCCCACCAGCAGAGAGAGGAGCCTTCATCAGCTTCTACAGTTCTAGTACGTGAATCCCGTATCCGAGTCCTGTTTTACCCTTCATCCTAACCAGAAGTAGTCCGCAACTTTAGTATCGCAATCGGCCCCGTCCTCGGTGGTATTCTAAGCAACTTTTTCGGTTTTCGCTCCATCTTCATCTTCCTCCTCATTCTTTCATCGATTACCACACTTGTAATCATCGTTTTCCTCCCTGAAACCATGCGAACCATCGCTGGAAATGGAACACTACGTCTTCAAGGAGTCTACAAACCTTTGATTCAGAGATTCAGAAAGGAACCCGAGTATATGCAGGACCCGGAAGAGAGGACCCCAAAGAAAATAACCCTCAGCACATTTACCGAGCCACTGAAACTGCTCATTCAGAAGGACATACTCATCAACTTGATCTTCGGTGGAGTTGTCTATACCATCTGGAGCATGGTAACATCCAGCACGACCGGACTATTCAAAGAAAAGTTCAACCTCAGCGAGCTTCAAGTCGGCCTAGCATTTTTACCTAATGGTAAGTCAACAAACCATCCTTCCAAACTGTCCCCAGCTTTGTGATTCCATTTGTCTAATACCAATGCAGGCTTCGGCACGATTGTAGGCTCCTCGATCGCCGGCAAGTACTTGACAAAAGACTACCTTGCTACCGAATCGGCCTACAAAACAACCCATAACATCACCTCCCCACTCTCTTCAAAGTCCCTACCTGTCGATTTCCCCATTGAACACGCTCGCCTCCGTCGCCTGCCTCTCTTCACGTCAGTGTTCATTCTCTCGACATCAACCTACGGCCTCTCCCTCAGCACGCCCCTCACCAGCCTCCCAGGCTGGATTGCCGTCCCCCTTACCCTGCAATTTTTTATTGCAGCAACGAGCAACGGCATCTTCTCCCTCAACCAGACTCTAGTCTCTGATCTCTGTCCTGGGAAAGGCGCCAGCGCTTCGGCAATGAATAATCTTGTACGATGCAGTCTCGGCGCCGTCGGCGTAGCGTTTATAGAGCCAATGCTTGCGGCGGTTGGTCCCGGAGCGACCTTTTTGGGCTTGGGCATGATAATTGTTGCGGTTGGACCGTTGGCAGTCGTCCATTGGTTCTGGGGCGCTCAGTGGAGGGTGGAGAGAACGACGGCTAAAATAGAGGCCGAGAAAGAGAAAAGCGAGTCTGGTGCATTGAAGGTATAGACATTTGTTTGTGATATAGAACGTGTTTATTAGAGTTTTAGAGGAAATCTTTGTGCTTAGAGGTTTTTTTACTGCGTATTGCATCATCACGATGGCAAGGCGCTTTCGCGGCTAGATGTAGCCAACTCCGCTGTTCATCGCCTATTTTCAGTTCCTCTAAAAGTATTAAAAAGACTATGACTGGTAAACCAATCTACAGACCAACTAGTTGGTTATCGCAAGAACTCTGCATTCATCTTGGAAGACATTCAAGACGTCGCATACTCGTGAATAGCTACATCTTTTGGCATTGCGAGTACCAAGGCGAGCGCACGCTCAGGCCTTCATGCTGAATAATTTAGCTGATGCTGTCGCTTGGCAATCCCTGTTGTTTGGCGTGTCTAGAGTACCCCGTTGTTTCAACTTGGCACGTTTCCGAGCTCGTATCTCCGAGGCCGAGATGGCCATACATGACTTAACTCGATAAACCCTGCTAGGAGTGTACACCTCCACCATTGAACCACCAGAGTTACGGCCACGGAAAGGGAGGTGCCGGCTGCGACCCTGCCAATTGACGCCGTCACCAAACTGACTAAAGCAGTTTCGGACTTCACTGGTAGTGGCTTACGGAAATTGTCAATGCCGATGCCCGAAAGGATGCGACAAGTTACATGGCCAGCGATAGTCTCGGCTTTAGAAGGTCGGCGTTCGCTTGTAGAGGGTTAATTGTTGGCCCCTGTGGACATGAAGCATCGGAGAAACAGGTGGCTTGGCATCCCGGTGTTCTGGAACGATGTTGTGATGAAACACCCCGCCTTCTCCCTTTCTCCAGAGGGATTTGGTCTATTTCCATACTCCGTTATGTTACAGCCCTCCATATTGGCTGCATAGGTACGAGATTCTGCGTTGGAAACTAGATGGCCCTGTTACACTGAAGGGGCCTAAGGTATCAGCTACTGCATCCTCTTCGACTGCAAATCTGCACATATAATAACCGGCACCGCTGAGGCAGGATGTAGGCTTAAATTATAACTCTAAGCTGTTAGCGACTTACCCCAAAAAATCTCTTCTTTATCATTTTTCAAGGCCCCTCGGCGCATTTCCTGCCATGTATTTGCAACTTCTTCGTCGCCATTTCGCGGCGTATGCTGTTCTCTGCCTTATTGGAATAAGAGTCACCACCGCTCAAGAGGAGGACTTGGCGCAATTTGGCGACACCATTCAGGTTCTCGGCAAGGTAAGGCGATAAACTCCGTCATCGGCTCTGCTGTCAGTACTAACAATAGAATGAGATGGCAAGAACTGACCAGGACTTTGTCGATGGCCTGGCTCTGGATCTTTTCTCGCCAAGCAACCGTACGTTGGTTGTGACGAACAACACGTCGCCGCTGCCGGGTAATTTTGTCACTGGTAGCTCGGGTGAAGGCTTTATCAACCTCTCCAACTACAGCTGGATTATCAAATTCAACGAAACAGCCAACGACCTTATCGCAAAAGTCGAGCTGCCATACGACCCAGTCTCTTTGGCAGAGCAGGGCATTGCCGTAGGGAATACCTATGTCGGCACGCTATCCGCGGACAAGAAGTCGTGGGTTGTATCTGAATCGCAGAGAAACGTACATGTGTAATGCACACCCAGAGATGCCAGGCATTGACCTCCCCCCTGGCAACACATACTAATGAGATCAATAGCACCGAGAACAAAACCCGCATTATCAAGATGACCTCCCTCGAAGGCGAGTTTATGCTTCTAGGCCGCAAGACTGAAGATATCACAAATATCTTTGTGCAATATGGTCAAGGGGCAACTCGGACGGTCAATGTTACTGGCGGCAATGCAACCCAAGAAGCTGAGTTCGTCGACGGGCTACGTTTCAGTATCAAATCAGCAAAGCCATTTACTTTGAACGCGGATATCCCGTTTGGCGTGGATGATGCAGCAATGCCGAGTGGTGCTGTACCTTTAAGTGCGAAACCCCGAACCAACTCTTCTCTGGATATCTTCGGTGTCAGAACTAACTTCTTGAATCTGTAGATTCGTTTGCATGGAGCATCAATACAACAGCTCCTAGCGGGAACAACGTAGCTGTGGACATGCGAGTTCCGTGTAAGTCATCATCGGCATAACCGTCATACCAAATTTTCTAATCCTTTGCTTGTACTAATCCTTCAACTAGTCAATAGAGACATATTAGCAACAAAGGTTGCCGGGATGTCGTATGAGCGTCTCGTGGTCGCACGAAGAAAACCACAAGCGAACCAGACCGTAGCGTTTGAAGTCATGAAAGAGCAAGAAGTTCTCGAGACAGAGGACCGAATAAAGGTTACCGGCCTATCCAACATAGACGGAGAGTACATCCTTTTGGCTATGCGCGAGAAAAACCCTGAAGAAGGAGACGAATATGGTGGCGGCGAGAACAGATCAGAAGGTAGCACCCCTTTGTATTATAGTTTATGAGCTCCTCATCGCAGCCAGCTAATTCGTCGACAGAGACCAGTACGTTACCGGTCCAAAGCCCAGGGTCTGTTTTACCAGAGCAAACAATGACAACTGGAAACGCCGGGGGGCAGATCCTGGCAACGACAACACGTGGAAATTTATCATCTGCAGCAACATCAGCTGTAATCCAAGATGCAACAACTCCTAGGAGTTCAGCTGGAATGTTAGCAGCGCCGATTTTGAAGGCTATTGGGTTAGTATGTATAGGCGTGTTAGTGCAGTAGCAGTCTTAGCTTTATCTGTTTTATCCGGAGAAAATATTGCATCAACATACATGTATAACAAGGGTTACACCCAAACGAACGTTACAATTAACTGGACCTAAATTTGACTCTTGCACAACTATGATATGTGACGACCGTGTGTGATGCCATACATACCACTGGTGAGAAAAGCAGGTGCCGGGTACTAGCAGGCAGCTTGGTTAATAGGCTACAAACCACTCATAAACCTTATAAAGGCTTTGATATGTAAAAGTAGAGCTTGCGTTAATTCCAGAACGTTTAAGGCCCCTGTACTTTAAAAAAGGCCAGTGTAATTTACCCTTTTTAGGGCATATTAAAAAGATGAGGCAAACCACAAAAAGTGGAATCTTTAGTGTCAAATGGAATCAAACCACTGAAATTGGACGAACAGGGAATCGAACCCTGGACCACTCCCAGATGTAAGAATCATGCTAAGGGAGTATTATACCACTAAACCATTCGCCCGATTGATGGCAGGAGTGAGGGCCGGTTTCTGTACAAGCATCCCGCATCACCGTGAACGCACAGGCACGAACATTGGGAATGGGTGAAAGAGGACTCTTTGCGATGACGCTCGCTCGGTCACCAATATTACCACTGGAGTAGTCTATCCCAGATTTCGGACTCTGCGGAGCCCTCGCCGAGACTTTAAAGACCTCGAAACATCACCTAGAGAGTGTCCATCTACTGTGTCTCGGGTGCCTCAGTTACAGAACCCAGTGTGTTATTAATGGCAACATCGACAATCTAGATTGTGTTATTAACTAGGCATGGATATTTGGCAGCATTGGGGAGAAAATGCTTGAATTGTGGATAAAGTCGTGTGTGTTTTGGCCTTGTGCCGGCAACTTGCTCACCTTGAGGGAACAGACAGAAGTTAGATTAGCTGTTTCTCAATTCACGCTGCAGGGTTATATGGATGATGTATGGATTTAATTCGACTTGTTTATGTCATACGGGCTTCGAGTACGCGTCTTTGGATAATGTGTATGTCATTATCTAGCTAAAGGAAGTAGTATGTTCACGCTGGTGAGTATGACTGAAAACACGAACGTGCATGTCCTTGTACAATTTGGATTTCCTGAAATACCGTTCTCCATCCTTCTTGTCAATCTGATGCCAACCTTATCCTGCTCACGCTGGTGGTATGCGCGTATACACGACCATAGGTTTACCCGGTCCAGGACTGCGTTGCTCAATTTCAAACAGGTGCAACTTGCTAACCAAATGACCGAGCTTGTCGAAGCCGTAGGTCCGAGGATCGAATTCTGGATACTGTTTGGTCATAAGACCGCCGACTTTGGCAAGGTTGGCCCATCCCGTCTCATCCGAGGACGCCTCGATAGCCTTTTTCAAGCGCTCTTTAACGACGCTGTCCATCTGAATCTTGGTAGATGGAGTGCGTTGGTGTAACTGGGGCGAAGTAAGGACATCTGCTCTGTCTTGCCTTTCGGGGAGAATATTCTCAATGTAGATGAACTTGTCGCAAGCTTTGACGAAAGGCTTGGGCGTTTTGCCTTCACCGAAGCCATAAACGACGAGGCCCGACTCGCGGATGCGGGCGGCCAGACGTGTGAAGTCGCTGTCGCTGGATACGATGCAGAAGCCGTCGAAACGGTTTGTATAGAGGAGGTCCATTGCGTCGATGATCATGGCAGAGTCGGTGGCATTCTTGCCCTGGGTGTAGGGGAACTGCTGAACAGGCTGGATCGAATGTGTAAGGAGTTGTTCCTTCCAACCTGTCAAATTGGTGCCAGTCCAATCTCCATAAGCTCGTTTCACAAATGCCGTGCCGTATTTGGCGATCTCCTCAAGCAAGTGCGAGGCCGATTTTGGGGTGGCGTTGTCAGCGTCAATGAGAACAGCAAGCCTGGCCGTTGTCTCTGAAGACATTGTGAGTTATTGTTTTAGTCGATGGTTCAATAACTGAGATAAAATCGCTCTTCATACGACTAACAAATAAGGGGAAGCGTACGGACGGAAATCAAAAATAATCAAATCAGGCTCCAAGCTGCGAGGTGCAAGATGGAGGGGAATTCTGCCTGAGCTTGATAAAGCGTCAGATGGTTGATTCGGGGTAAAGTTTACACCTGAAATACAAGGCTACAACGCTCACTGCCGGTCTTTACTTGTTACCCAAAACAACCGCTTCGCCACCTTATTAGGAAACAATAAATAGCCTTCTCATTCATGAGCTCAAGATCTCACATTGAACAACTAAACTATCTTAACCACGACAAGGCAAGAAGATAAATTGATTATGAATGGGTCTGCGATGGCTTTTCACACTAATTGGCTCAACCCGCCGACCTAACTGTATTCATAGCATCCTTATCTCGGCCTAAGTACGTGGTGTAACGTAGCTCCTCGTCAAAAGAGCCAATGCATTCTCTAGCTTTGCAGAGTGTTTCTTGAGAAAAATCCTAAACAGTTAAAGTCAGAGTGTTAAATTGAAGCTTAAGGCAAAGGCCAGTGTGTAACAACGTTATTATCCAGCTACTATCTCTTCTGGTGCTGAATGTAGCACTAGCTGTCTGCCACTATTATTTGAAATTACTGCGCAGCTTAAATCTATCTCATAATATTGCATAAACGTACAAAAAACAAACAGGAGTGATACAAGAACGCTCGTACATAAATACACCCATAGTATATTCGTCTTTGGTCTAACGAACATTACTGTGCAATCCGCCAAAAAATAAGATCTCTTGGTACAAGATGGATTTAAACCACCGATATTGGACGAACAGGGAATCGAACCCTGGACCACTCCCAGACGTCTTCAGAAGAATCATGCTAAGGGAGTATTATACCACTAAACCATTCGCCCGATTGAATGACGTTCGGCTGAAAAAATAAGGCATAAAAATATTGTCGAGTAGGTTCGCTAGTGGGAGGCGAGTCTAGTCAGACAGTGGAGAATCTTAATTTGGAATATTGTTTTTCTGAGAACGGAGCTCGAGAAAACTCCAGTTCCAATTGGACAATGAAGTTTCTATCCCATGCGTGACGGTTAGGTAATCGAGCTTGCAAAAGGCGTGGTATGGAACTGCCGCTAGGTAGCCCCTCCACACATCAATACGCGAAGGCGGAGGTGCTGAATATAGGAGATCTCGGTCACCCCAAATAGCCTCACCAGCATCGTTTGGTTCTCGGAATGTCTTTCACAAAATTGGGAGCCGGTCTATGGCGGGTCAAGGGTCTTCTCGTGTCATTTACCGGCCGGTTCTTTGAATGTTATGTTCTTTGGCACTGACTTGTATTGATACTTGTTTACCTCTATCTATCATCCTCCTAGTCACCACGGCGTGATTTCGTTGATTCTGATTTAGTGGCGCTGACCAAAGACAAGTTCTATATACCTGGAAACCTGTCTTAATTCTTTCACAACACTGCCGTTAGCTTCTTGAAGCTGAATACCAGCACTCTCTATTGACTCTTCCAGGTTTCCTCAAGCATTTCAGCAACAGTGAGCATTTTGATGTCCGGAAAACGCTTGTTCAATGCCTTCTCAATCGGAAGGTCGAAGGCACCCATGACCATCATCCTCCCCAGAGCGGCGAACAGGAATTGCACATGTTCCTTGGGGAAGAACGGATACACGGCCTTGTGATTCGGCAACTCGGTAATCTGGAATTGGCTGAGCTTTTCCTGGCTGTCATACTGCACTTCAAATTTGGAACCTATTTCTCGTGTGAGACGTAATCTGGGAGCAACGTGTGGAGTGAACAAACCGCGGGCCTCTTCAGCAAGGCGAAGAAAGTTGTTCCATGTGAGCTTATCACCAACAATGTAGGTAGTTTCCTCCCATGTGTCGAGCTCCAGCAGGCGGGAAACTACCCTTGCCACATCGAATGTGTACGAAAATGAAATGACTTCATTCCCTGTACCAGGAATAGCGGCCACCTTGTTGGCGATATCAATCGCTGGCAACATGTACTCCATGTGCGACTTGATGTGAGGCATGCCCCAGTAGTCGAGAAAGTAGCCATTCACGATCTCAGTCCATTCCAGACCAGACTGGCGCAAACTATCCGGGCCTTGTTGCCGCAGCTTAGCCCAAGGCGCAATATTATCGGCCCTTCACCATGTCAGCATAGACAAGAAGGAGGGAGCAAGTCACATACTCTGGATTGTACGGTGTACCCCAGTTGCTCGCGATGAAGCGCTTCGTCGTTGAAGATTTTTCAGCGGCTTGGATCACCGCAGCCTGCACATCAGCAATGGCCTGATCGTGAACTCCGACACAAGAGATGACAGTGTGGATCTTGTGTTGTTCAAGAACCGCCTTCAAAGACTGTACATCGGCGTAGTCCACTGCAACCAGTGGCACACCAGTGTCAGCAGTGGATGCCTGCAATGGGCCAGAGATTTATTAGCCGACAGTTTTAGTACTATGCATCACCTGGACGTACCTTGCGGCTGAGGATAATGACCGAATGTTTTGGGTCATCGTTGAGGACTTCTACGATGGTTTTGCCGACATGGCCTGTACCTCCCAGGACTGCAACGTTAACCATGATGATGAATAAAAGTGAAAGAAAGGAATGATGCTCAATGATGTCCTTTTACAGTAGAAAGCATCAATCTTGGAGAGTATTTGTATTCATCCTTGGACAGGGCCACCGTATTCTCCGCGAAGCGGACTGTACGGGACCCGAAATAGTTACATTTGAAACCATTTAACTTTTGATACTAAGTCGAATGTGGAGAGAAAATACTACCACTTAACCACATCTGGACTAGGCTTTTACGGTGCCGGCATTCTTGAGATCTCCGAAGTGCGATATACGAAAGACAGATTGTCATACGATGTAATTGAGGCTTGCGCGTTCAATTTAACATACAGAGAAGACTGGGGAAACTACACACAAGCCCAACAAGCCCGCTATCGGCATTTTGAGAAACCCCGACCTTCTCACCAAGGCCAACCTTGTCCAATTAGACGGTAAAGGAATAATGTCTTCCCTCCCAATAACGGCGGTCAACCCGTGACCACGTTGGGCTTGTCGACTTTTGCTTGGACCAATAAACTGCCCTTCGAAGTACCGGAAGCTGGAGGCGGTCTGGGTTTCGTGTCGAATGCATCATCGCCACGGTCTTTGGTAGTCGTAAAAATCCTACCATCACGTAGGAAAGCGGCGACCACAACTAGCACGACGAAAACTCCGTTTGCGATAATGCCGCACTTTAGAAACGTGCCAAGAACATCTCCGCTTGTCGCAGAAATAGGTCCGGTTCCGAGGTTAATGGTCAATGAATCCGGAGTCGTCAACAGCGACTGTATTCGTAATGTGGTAGACACTGCAGCACCAGCTGCCACGAGGCCAAACCCCAGTGATAGTGCCGACACCGCCATCAATACGCCGGAGATTGCGTATCTGTTCCGGGGGTTGAAAAATACCGGAAACACCAGAAACAAGCCTCCCGAGAAGAGTGATGCCAGCGCCGCAACAAAGTCAAAGCCTTGAAACATCTCTCTGCGAAGGATTCGAGCAGTATCAAGCAGAGTAGAGAGTGTCTTGTTGTACTCATGGCTTGGAAGGTTTTCCAAGTGCATGTTCTGGATAAAGCTGGATGCAAACTGTAGAGGGTCCTTGTCGTTGGGGAGCCCAAACGAGTCTAGGCAGGATTGCAACGAGACATTGGATGGATGTGAGACGCAGAGTCCTAAGACGTTAGCTGTGTGGCAGGGAATCGCGTTCCCAGAAGCACTCACGAAAAAGGCCAAGATCAACCTGCACATGCTCGGTGGAGTTGATTGAAAGTTGAACAATGTACGACTTCTCAATCCCAGACACGGGAAAATACCAGATGGTCGTTGCTGTCAAGAAATTAAACCAGGTACGACGGCAAATCAGAAGGGACTCACCATAGATGGCTAGTGCAAGGGTCCAACCGAAATAGGCAAATGTGCCAGCAATTCTCGATTGAGCAACAGACATGAAAGGCAATTAATTTGAAGTACTATCGGGATGAATCAGGCAGTGATCTTAAACTGAGTGGCTTAATTTTATTCATATTTTTCCAGCAGGGGTCTGCGCATACTTATGGCTGGAACATCCCGCCAAGACTTGCGGCAGACTCTGACCTCCATGCTTACAATATGTGTATGTTTATAAAAAGTACGGGGGCGATTTGCAGATTTGGGTGCTTGTAAACAGTGGATAACCTACGCGCTGGGGTGAGACCTTTATGTGCCAGCAAACATCGGTTCAACCAAGTATCGCAGCGCGGCATGTCGCAAATGCAGCCGAGCGATAAGCGACTGTAAAGATTGGATATTTTGAGGGAGGTGGCTATCGTGAGGCTTGGTCTGCATATGCATCCGGCATTTGTGGTGTTTGGAGACTTTCATAATTGGTGGCCTCGAGCAAGAAATAGGAATGTGCACAAAATTGGTTCCGTTTTACCGCCGTGGCGACCAATAAATTGCAGTGAGGATGAAAAAGTGGAATGGTTGACACACGCCGCTACGGGTATTTATATCTGCATGGCGGTCAACAGCCGGCTGACCAGTAGAGTCACCTGAAGTGAGGAAGACGCGTGGTGTGCTGGCTATCAGCTGGTTCAGAAGATGGAGCTGCGGCAGGCAAATCCGCTGTAGGTGTATGAAGTGAGACACTTGTCAGCAGGAACCCAGCTCCTTGGATTGAAGCTAGATCAGTCAGTCAAATTGATGTTGGAAATGGGCTTTTGGAGTCTCTTGCCTCAAGTTCAAACCACTGTGGTGTTAGTCTTGTTTGGGTGAGAATATATCTCCGAACCCACGATGAGTGTTTGATAGTGGCGGAAGCAGGCCGATCGCGGTACCACTGAGTCGGGATGACCGATGACGCAAATATTACAACCTTGGCGAACTGTTGGTGGACCTGGTATTTGTGTGTTAGGCGCCAGCCTGAAACTCCCTGCATGAAGGCTGACAATCATTGGGTGGATTGGATGTCTGTGTATAATGTTATCAAGATCATTTGGCTAGGATTCTTCCATTATGTAAAAGAACTCCAATAGGCTAATCATGCGGCACTGCATGTTCTGGGGCTGGATCGGAAGCGTGGGGACATGCATTTTGAAACGTGATACTATGACTAGTCATCTGTTCTCCTCGAGATGACATGTACGGAGTACTGGTGCTAAATTTATCAAGCCTGAAATGTGCTGCGACAGCCTGGTTCAAGCTGTCCATGAAGCGCCTGGCGCAAGTACTCTCAATTGGCTTACCAAACTAGACTCAGGCTCTATCAGTTCTTTTACCTGTCACAGCGATCCACGTACGGTTGGTCAAGATCAAATGGGTTTGTGGTTACATTAATTATTAAAGCCACAAAATACACTCCACGCTCAACATCACATGGCATGCAATCAAACGCTCCGCTGCATACATGAAAACACGTCTACCAACACTCGTTCTGTTTCCTCAATTCCACTTATCGGTCGTCGTAGCCGGCTGACTTTTCTGGTTCCTCTTCATGATAGCGACACCGACAACAGCTACAATAAGGGATAGAATTCCAATAACAATACCCAGGATCTCCCCAACCTTGAGCCCACTACCGTCTCCACCTCCAGCTCCTGAGGTAGTCTCGTGCACTGTTGCCGCTGATGAAGTTGTCGTGGTAGATGTAGACTGACTCTGCGTGGATCTCAGTGTTGTATTGGCGTCACCGTGGCCTGCTGCACGACCCGTCGCTTGTCCTGTCGACGCCGCGGTCGAGGCTTGCGCCGACATCTCCGCCGATGCTTCCGTTGAGGTTTCCGAAGCTGATGTAGAGGATTCGAGGACTTCGGACGATGACGCACGGCTCTCCGTGACTTGATGTGCTAAAGTTCGCGTCTCAGCCTCTGAAGCCGGAATATCCAAATCGTAGGCGTTGCCAAGGTCATCAGGCAAGCCAATAGAGCGACGCCAAATGCAAGCTGCAAAGGTCCTGAATCACTAGGCGCCGCTGAGACGACCTCGTTCTGAACCATAGTAACAGTGGCGGTCGCGAAAGCGGTGACAGTGAACGCACCTGTCGTCTCTAGAATGGTAGGCTCTAGGATTGACGTGTAACCCTTTTCAGAACAATAACCTTTCAGAACACTGACGGCTGTCGAGGCGTCGTCCAAGTTACTGCAGGCCGAGACGACACCATCTTCTAAAACAGGAATTATGCTCCCAAGAGTAGATGCCCGGCAGGCACAGGCATTGGTCGTGCACCCAAACAGCCGGAAAACGTTCCCTGGACAGGTGCTGAGCCAGCACTGCACGCAAGCTCGGAGGTCATTCCAATCGGAATATTTGGTAATGTCGATCAGGTTCGCATCGATCGCCTGGGCGTTGGTGGTTAGGATGAGGCTGGCCAAGAGCACGAAAAGCCCGACTGGCGACAGGATTCGAGGCAGGGAGCCGTCTGCACATTTCCAAAAATGCCGCATTGTATGAGGGTTACCTCTAAGAGATTGAGCAGAAGGATGAAAAGTGCGGTACTTGAAAAATGCCCATCAAGAGACGAGTAAACTCCCAGGAGGCGGGTGTGGGTCAGCAAGATACGGATGCTTAAGGAATATGGATGAAGGCGCAAAAAAAAGGGAGTCGCTGCGGAAGTCCTCATTTATCATCCCTTTTCAGCTTTTGGGATAAACGAAGGCTGGAGCCCGACGTGGCTGGTCTAGAGCAGGCACCAGCCAGTTGCGAACTTGGTGGTGTTTTAAGGCGTTTTCCACCTTGCGTTGAGGCGTTTATACTCGCTGGGTATTCGTCCAAGTCAAGCCTCGGGCCAATTTTGTGATAGTGAAAGCCTCAGCTGAAGTTCATGCCGGGGCTTCGGGGCTGGATAGTGTCCTGATTTCGCCTAGGGCCATAAAGCAGGGATGTTTTAGTAGAATAAGTGTCTAAGAATTGGAGCGTGACCTTAAGATAGGATAGTCAATCGTATCTCTGGGAAGAGGCATTGCGGCTGGACCGGGTGGTGGCGGTGAGTGGGAGCCCATTGATAGAAGCCCATTGAATGTCCGCCCCGTTCACGCACCCTGCAGACGTTTTATGCGCAAAGATTGTGGGAATTGGTCCTGACTGGTGGGTGGAGAAGGAGATTGAATTATACGTACGAAGTAATATGTGGGAGATCTCCAGCTTTTGTATTTGCCAAGCCGCCTCTCCCAGCCCACCTCCCCATCCCCACCATCCATGCCGCTTTACGAAGACACTGCTCACGCGACTCAGAGTATACCCAGGCAAGTCGCCAAAAGGAATATGGGCTGAGTGAGGTAGCGAGTGACTTCTCGGACGCTTCGTATGCCCTGAGTTATACCGTGAGTAGACCTGTCGAATGCCCTATTCAATCTCGACGTGTGCAGGCCCTTGATTGTGCCATGAGCTATGCTCGGCCTTGTAAAGTATCATCAGATTATCTCCTTGACAGCAACGCCAAATTTGGCGTATTCTGCTTATCCGCGCGCAGTAGGTTCAATTTGCCGACCGAAAATGATATCCTCCATGCGTTAGTGCTTAGGTACATCTAAGCCTAATTTTTAACTTTATTTCGCACGTTTTTGGCTTAATTCTCGGGGCGTTTTATCTCGGGCCGCGCGGGAAGCTACCACCAGCAGTACCATAGTTGCCAACAAAGCGCCGCCGCTATATTTTCACCCGTTGGATTGAGGATGAAAGGGGATATGCCCTCAATCCGCCGAGAAAAAACTGGTGCTTATTATTGAGCAAAAACATGCAGTAATTGATAGAGGCTTATTTATTTCCGGATGGTGGGCTTACTGGGATTGCGACCTCGCCTCCAACAATTAATTAGGCAGCAATGCGTCAAGAATAAGGCTGGTCTCATTTCTCATCCCGATATTCGCTTCGTGCCAAAGCTAAACTCAACACACATATTAACAAATACATGCAACAGAGATATCTTTATCCCCAGACATGATATGTTCCGTTTTCCAGAGCATTCTCAATCCTTCTCAGAAAGCGGTGGCCGCCTCGATTCTAGACAAGAAACTGAGGATTCACCACTCATCTCACAGGAGCCTCAAGCGCTCTGTTGAATTAGGATGTTATGTGTGCAATCGGTTTTGGGCCAGCCTACGGCCTGCTGACCGTCGCCTGATTACAACATTTGCCAATTCCGAGTCTGATTTCGAAGACAAGACCGATGTTTCATCGATCGGTGCGGCTGCCGAGCCCACGAAACCGTTCGTTACGGCATTTCGTTTGGAAGACGGCCCGCCTTACGGCCATCTTGGATGGTACCAATTGAAACTGGCTGTCAATTTGAATGCAATGGCTGTTCCGGACACGGTACCTGGCAGAACAGGCTGGTGCGCGACCTTTTTGTTGCAGCCTCAAGATGGTAAGATAACGCAGAGACAGTCCTGCACGCCTCCTCGCTTGGGGAGCACTGCCCAAGAATTCATGGTTCAAATTCTATCAGTAAATCTCTTTGATCTAATAGATATATAGGTTCCTGCAAGAGAAACATCGGCAAAGGCCTTTCGGGGAACACAATGTCTGCCAAGACGTTTTCTCTCGCGAAGAACTGGATTAAAGACTGTGTAGCAAACCACCAACAATGTAACAAAGTTACTCCGGGAAAGCGTTGGTATCCAACTCGCCTTCTTGAACTTGGGTCTCCCGACCGTCCAGGGCGACACTGGCGGCTGATCGAGACAAATCATGTTGCGGTCGAGGGTCCATACATAACCCTGAGTCATTGCTGGGGCTCTGCTGAATGTATGAAGTTGACGACTGATAATTACGCTAGTATGCTCCTTGGGATGCCCTCGACGCTTCTGCCTCAGCTCTACCAAGACGCGTTACATGTGGCTTTCAATTTAGGTATTCGATACCTATGGATTGATTCCCTGTGCATCATCCAGACTGGGGATGAGCTCGCCGATTGGCGACACGAGGTAGCCCTTATGAGCGAGGTCTATTCGAATTCGTTTTGCAATATCTCTGCTATGGATGCGCCGGATTCTCACCATTCCATGTTCTGTTCCCGGGATCCGAACTCACTGTGCCCGGAGATTGTGCATCTCGCTGTTAACAGTCAAGTTGCTCCGTACCTGATTTCTCACACCACATTTTGGGACAGCGAAGTTTCTCTCGCTCTGGTCAATACTAGGGCATGGGTACTTCAAGAACGACTACTATCTCGTCGTATATTACACTTCGGCGAGCGCCAGCTCCTTTGGGAATGTCAAATGAAAGACGCTGCCGAGGTCTACCCAGATGGCCTGCCCCCCGAAATTTCGTCTTCTAGCTCCCGCTTCAAGTCCCTTTCTCCCGATCGCTATACTTCGGGAAACGATAGCAACGTTGGAGGTCATCTTATGTGGCAGCGAATTGTCGAGAAATATACGGCATGCGCTATTACATACTCCAGTGATAAACTCGTCGCTCTTTCTGCTATAGCAAAGGCCCTGACGCCGGTTTTGCAAGATGAGTATGTCGCCGGTATGTGGCGCCGCTATCTGGCATGCGAGCTGCTCTGGAACGCAATTACGAATCGGGAGTTGGGACTGGAAATATATCGCGCTCCAAGTTGGTCCTGGGCGGCAGTGAATGGAGCTGTTGACCCCGGCCGGCCAGATATTGAAGATACGGACATGCTCATGAAGGTAGAAGCCCTAGAGCTAGACTATTCAACAAATGACAGGACTGGTCTGATCCGAGGTGGGTGGTTACAGCTACGCGGAGTACTGAAGCCAATACTGCTGTTGAAGCCTTGTTCCTCCGAGATGTCTAATGGCAGAGATTGGGAAATAATCGTCAATGGGACCCATTTCAGTACTTTGAACGACTTCGAAGAGCAAGGGCTACAGGTTCAAGTCATGCTCGATGCTCCTCACAATGACTTTGAGGAGCAAAACGCAAAGGCAGCCTTGTATTGCATGCCAGGCAGAGTACGGAGGGTCGATAACGGGAGTATATACGTTCTGCTGTTGGAGATACTCGATCGGGCGAGGGGAATCTTCCGTCGTATAGGGCTTGCTCGTGGGTGGGTGGCAGACACTCAGGCGAGGATTCTGGCTCGCAGCGTGGAGGAGAGCCAACTTCCATGCGAGGAGTATTTTAGCAGCAGGAAGGGACGGAAAACAACACCCAACTCATTAACTTACCCTAGGGGAAATGCACAGAGAGTCGTCGCACAGGCGTCTAGGCCGGTCAGCCCGAAGCTGCACCAGATTACGCGTATGAGGTCGGATCAACCTGAGGCTTATGTCTCCTGATAGGGAAGCATCTCATGAGATAGAATATCGGGTCGGTCGCAGGAAAGTTCGCTGGCAAGGCATCAATAGGGCCTGCGGCAGCCCGATATCTGAGGGAGGTTGAAGACAGAGGTTGGACGGGGAACGAAGTAATGGCAAGAAGGTTCAAATAAATCTCTCAAAAATGAAGGCAATCAATTAATCGACTCCCTAGCAGCCTCGAGCCCTTCCGGCCTCTCTGACTTCTAGGAAGAATCTCTGATAAAAGAAAAAAAAACGATGATTTTCCCCAGTGACGGCACTGACCTCCCCTTTTAACCCCATCCGGGTCACCCTAGAGACATCCCCGCTAGCGACCAGCTAGCCCAAGTGTCCCTAACCGCCTGTCACAGTATACACAAGCCGGCCACTTGATACGGGTCATCTAGTTGGATCTATCATTTGAGACTTTTAGCGTCACTATATGGAATACGAAGTTGTGCTCTGCGGTAACATCGCACTATTATGCAGTAGATCAAGTGACTAGGGCGGTCTCTGTGTATCAAGAGGCCGGTGAGCAGAAATTGTGCGTAAATCTGACTGGGAATTTATGTCTTTGAAAAATGTTATTAAGATAGTATTGCATTGCTTAGTAGAGTTAATAGAAGAAAGTTAAGCTGAATAAGGATACGCTGCCTGATTTTGGATAAATAACGCTTTTAGTAGATTTCTTTATTTTAAAAAGGCAATAACAGAAGTATCTTAGAAATCCCTGATATATACTATTAATTTAACTTCTATCTACTCTCTTAAGATACGTAAGTTATTAATATAAAGTTTTAAAAAAGATTATAATTAAAATATTGATTATTATAATAACGAAATATTAATTTTTTAAATGTATAAAAATTAAAATCTATATAAATATATAAATAATTAATTTAAACCTCTTTTTTTTATATAAAATATCTTCTATTTATTTTTCTACCTAAAAAGCTATTATATTTACTTTAATAATAATAACGATAATCAGTCTAACTAATACTATAAGTCGTACTATATTACAGTATATTATAAATTAGATAACTGCTAATTCGACTCTTCTCCTTAGCTAACAAAGAAATATTATCTCAGTACTGGATCAAGTCTAGTACTTTAAAGACCCAGCTGAAGCTGAGGCCCGACTGGCCTGGCTCAGCAACATAGATCGGGTCAACCTAGCGCGGCTAGGTTGCCGGGCCGTCTCTATTACGGCCGAAGATAAAGGTCTGAAGATTTTCTGGGTCGAAGGTTGACAGGCGAAGGTTTTGTGGGACCGAAGGTTATTATATATCAAGGTTATCTTACTCTAATTCACTTTGTTGAGCAACACAATGTCCGACATGCACTATGATGACAGGAATTTAATAATTTGTACACTTCATTCTACTTCGATAGATGTACCCATCTAACCAGGTAAGAAAATATGACCAACGAGTAGCAAGCGCCTCCCTCCATCAATGGCTGATCAAACGTCAAGGAAGCGTATCCTCACTGGAGACTGGGCTCCCCTTCAAGGTCCAGTTCAGAGACACCGAACGAGACAACATCCCTCCATAAGGAAATTCCCTATTGAATTCAGTGGGGGAACAACTCGATTGTGGGCCCCACGTAGTGCTTTTTCGCATGGAAAACCCAGTTCACCCCTCCCAGAACGAAAGCTGTACCCACAACGGCCGCTGTGTAATCTGCCAGCAACTATTAGCCCTGGAATGCAACGGGGTGGGGCAGGAAGCTTTCCGTACTCGCCCTTGATTGAGATTGTGCCGTCACCCCAGACGGCTCTCAGCGAAACCGACTTTGCGCGTGGATACTTCCATGGGCTGAGGTCGGGCCACCGTCCCGTAGTCATCAATAAGGAACTACCTGGCTTTGTCGGGAAACGGCTATCTATATCCTGTTCAGGGAAGCCAGCTACCTAATCAAGGAGGATGTAGTGAGCGTCAAAGATGTCGATACCATCATAGAGGCGAGTCTGGGGCCGCGATTTGCGACTCAGGGCCCTTTCAAAGCTTACCACATGGGAGGCGGTACGGCAGGCATCCGGGGGCTCATGCACAACTTGCAGGGTACGATCCAAGATGTTTGGGACAGTTTCGAGGATCTTGGTTTTGGAAACGGTGATGGCTGGGAGGAAAAGGTGATGACGCAGACGGAGGAAGCCTACGGGATGCCAAACTCGGCACAGTTCACCGCCCGAGACAAGCAGCTCCGGAGTGTGCTAAGAACTCAAAAGTGAGTTGATCAAATGGTGATGGGTGGGAAGGAGGAGAGAGGTTGAAGTCTTCACGTCGAATATCGCCGCGACATGGGAGGAAGCCGAATACATCACTAGGACTACTGCTATTACCTTCATCACAGGTCCCATATCTGTCACTATAGCTCCGATAGCCGTTTACCCACCGCCGCTCTCGTGATAAGATTATAAGATATGTGTCAATCACATCCAAGATGTGGCAAATCAAGGAGAAATGCTGCCGTAGTCTGACTTGCCAGGTGAATAATGCCCGATACTAACGCTTACTTGGTGACCAGATAACTCCGCGCACGGCTGGCCCGCTCGCCTGGCAGACCAGTGTCCCCTCTTCGCTGATAAGGCAATACAATAATCTTCAGCGTGACTCCTGCTATCGCTGAGGAATGAACTAGTCGCCGTGAGTGAGCCGTGAGTGAGTCCCAATCCTCAAATTACCTCGAGGCCAGCCAAGCCAGGTTAGGTTGCCTAAACAAATTTGCCGCTCATTTAATAGAGAGTATTGCTATTCGCACACGTTCAAAACGCTAATCGCACACAAGTACAATTTTACACCTAAGCTTGATGCAAGGTAATATTCCTCGCCTGTATACCCACCCTCAGTTTCTTATTCTAAGAAAGTTTCAGTTTCTATCCTAAAATAAATTAAAAAAGAAATTTAAATAGCAGAACTTGGAGAATAAATACTAAGAATAAAGCTTATTTAGTTTTCTTAGATTATACTTACTAAGATATATATTATTAAGACTTCTTAGTGAAATTCGCCTATATACTTAAGTGTGCGAGTAGCATTTTGAATGCGAATAGCAATACTCTTCATATATACTGGACTTACTATCGCCGTTGAGTGGTGTGCGATGAGGTCTTCTCAAGATGCTTATCTTGCCGGAGGCTGCCAGTTAGGTGTGGGGGTTATAGCATACAGCTAGTTTGGGTTAATAGTGAGACAGGCAGGTATTCACAACCGGCAGTACGATATGCCCTACTTTTCTTTCTCCAATCATAGATGGATCGTGCCCCCATGGATCGCAGCTATCCCGCGACCCTCACGATCCAGCCAATCACCCTTGCTGTATAGGCAGTTTAACCATACGTTACCAGAGGCCTACGCTTCCTCAGCTATCAACAAACCTAGTTACATCAAACTACCTTTGACATATTACCAGACCCGTGGCCTATATCGCTCACCTTGTGTCCTGATTAGGTACACTAGATTATACACTTCACGTCCTAGCCTACCCTATACCCCCGTACAGGAAGCTGGGTAATTACATTCCTCAAGTATAATTTATATTATTTACTCTGTTATTTCACACTTTAAAATCACTGTGCCGCCCCACCTTAATTAACGTAAGATATTAGCTCATATTAGAGTTGTCTGTGCCACAAAGGTGTTTCAAACTCTTGTCTATCCACTTCAAACATCGTCTCATGACACGAGAAACATGCAAGCGGAAGTGACGACACCACCATTAAACAAACAGCACTTCACGCAGGGTATACTGGTCGACAAATAAGTGCAAAACATGCTCAATGGCGGCGCGATGATCCTTCGAATCCCTGTGTAGTGTGAGACTCACAATCTATCCGCAACTTGGCCGAACAGGCCATCCTCGTATTCACATGTAAACGTAGTAGCAGCTTCCTTCTTCGGTACACTTAAACTTGGGAGAGCCTTAACTCAAACACACCAACGGAGGGAATACAGCACCCCCACATAACCCGTCGCCTCGGAGAATTTTAACATGCCGAGACGTGTCGGAGAAGTTTCAAGGTAGAAATGATCAACCAAACCATTGACTAATTTGTGGACACCAAATGCATGGTTCACACATCAGCATCACCTTAGATGTCACATTCACCATTGAAAAGGTTTAAGCTTGCCCAACCATAGCTATAATAAACATGATCCGCTCAACCCCTTCATCGCTTCAACCACGACATTCTTCCTCTTCCTGTTCATCTTCGAGCTGGCACTCATTTTTCCTTTGCTTCATAATGAAATTCCTCAAGTGTCTTGCTTTCGCTTCACTGGCAGTGGCTGCACCTGTCCTCGATGCCCGCGATTCGACTCATCTGGATGTGCAGCTTGAGAAACGGGGCAGTTCTAAGATGAAGGCCATTGTTCGAAATTTGGTTCCTCTGACGTCATTGTTCTTAAGACTGGTACCATCCTGGATAGAGGTAGCGTTGAAAAGGTCCGGGTGACCTCTGGAGGTAACATTGGCCATCATCTTTTGCAGCGTTGTCGTTGACTAATTAAAGCAGAGGGAAATGTCCCCTTTGAGTGAATTCGTGTTGCAATCAGTCATGACAACCTACCCAAGAAGGCTTTTGTCCACGTTCCGGCTGGCGGATCGGTCGAGAATGAGTTCGAGAATTGCAGAGATTCACGATCTCTCCCAAGGAGGCTACTTCGATATTCGGGCCGTCGGTACTTTCCGCCATGGCAGAGACGATTATAAGACCATTGCTGGAGTGATTCCCTACCACTCGAACCACGTCAGGGCTTTTGTGGATGGAAGGGAAGCTTCCGAGACGTACGCCACATACCGAATCAAGCGCGAGGTGAAGCGATCCAAGGTTTCGGGATGTGCTGGGGATCAATTAACGGCGGCCCAGAATGCTGTGGCGGGTTGCGCTGAACGGGCCCAGGCTGCGTATGGAGCTGCCATGAATGGCTCTGATGCAAAGATGGTTGAGTATTTCAAAAAGTCGGACCAAACGACCCGCAATACTGTTGCGCGAGTCTACCAAGCGATGGCTTCCGAGTGCGGCACCGCGGACTCTTGCGAAACCGGATACTCCTGCACCGACATTGACAGCTTATGCAGAGGTTAATGTCTGTGTAACGGTGTACTGCTCTCCGTATTGGACTACGCCCGCAGTAAGCACCGAGTGTCACGCCGGAGACCAAGCCGGCATCACAGCCACGAGATGAGCCACCTTGCTCAAATTAAGGGCACCGACGACTACGACGGCTACGGATACGAATTTGTCCGCAGTTTGACTGCTGAGCAGAATATTAACCACGCGGATACGTATATGCTTTTCGCCAACGCGATTCGGGTTGGTTGCTAGGTGGATTTATGCTGTACAACTTGGGGCTGGTCCGATTGACATGTTGATATGGCGACTTGGTCATGTGAGTAAAGGACAGGAATAAAAATGTTAGAGAATGATCTCCCGGAGTCAAAGATTTCCGCTGTTGCTTTTGCTGGACACCAAATGAAAGTCAGTGCACCGAATACATGCTGTTAACGTCCTTGGCCAAGGTGATGTATGGGCCAACTTCAAACCAGAAGCGGCAAGGTACAGTGGCTAAAATTGATTGCCGGCCGCGATGCCGATTTTTAGCTCCTTCATGATGGCATTTGGAATCAAGCTGCTGACAGCAAAGCGCAATTGTAGACTGGGCCAAGAAACGGCAGACTGGGATTAGCGGCTGGGCGATTGGAGGTGTGGGCCAGACGACACGGTGAGATTAATTGTGATCTTCGGAGTACGGCGCCATTACAGCATCAGATGTGCAGTACACCAACGAGAAAGACGATGATATTTGTGCCTGACTAACGGGACGAAGCAGGGGAATCCATCCCAGGTTTCAACACATCGTACGTGGGAAGAATGGCACGATAAACAGCTGCACCGTTGTCACGTCTGGGACGTCTTCACGAAATGCCGCCCGTATATCCCTTGTACTTGGTAAATAAAAGGTTCGCTAGCCCTACACCATGGCGCTCAACGGCCGCTCTGATTTGCCCGCCGTGGCAAAAACGTCATGCCCTGGCATCTCCGGCACCGTCACCGAGGGAAAGACAGGGAAGACACGACGCAATGCTCAGCTGCCCCGCACTAATTGCCACCAGAGGGGATCTACTACGTTGGAACTGGTTAGTGACATGGTTCGTGAGACTGTCAGAGAGATTTGCCAAATGACTTGCTCCCTAAGCGAGCCCGTCCCGTCGAGAGAATGCCCTCCCCCGCGTTCCCCAGACATCCACCGCCAACCAGATCCGCTCGCTAGCCGCGACTTGATGCGTAAATGCGGCAGATCAGGAGACCTCCCTGCCTCTGAGAAGCGGCCTTTTAACTGCCCGCGCCCCACCGCCGCTTGGCACAGCTTTTCCGCCTCCTCACTGCGCTCGCCACAGCCGTGAAACCTCTCATCACCATTTCGGGGTCCTGGTCCTGGCCTTGACGAGGGAGGCGTTTGCCTCCGGTCGAGAGAATGGCATTGTCGAGCTTCGCCCATGGCGGCCTTGTCCGGCGAGCCGCGAGGGACTACAGCGCCGAGGATGTCCTGGTCATTGTAAGCTATGCGGCGTGCGAGACGGTCCTGGTTACTGACGTAATGTCTAGGTCTCGTTGACTGTGGCCTTGTACAACGCCTTTGAACTGCTCAGCCTCATCTTCATGACCTTCAAACGACGCCACGGCCTCTACTTTTGGGCCATTTTCCTCGCGTCATTCGCCATTCTTCCCTACTGCATGGGCCGCCTGATTGTCTACTTTGACCTCACTCACAAGTCGCTGGGCATAACGATTGAATGCATCGGCTGGGTGTTCTTGGTCTCTGGTCAATCCGTCGTCCTATACTCTCGCCTCCACCTGGTTCTAAACGACCACACCATCCTCCGTGCCGTTCTGATGATGATTATCTTCAACGCCGTCGTTTGGCACCCGACGACTATTATTCTCACCTATGGATCTTACTTTAGCCCACAACCAAGCCGAGGCAACTTTGCGTCTGGATATAATATCGTCGAGCGAGTACAAATGACCTGCTTCTGCCTCCAGGAGTTTATCCTTTCAGGACTGTACATCTGGAAAACTCTGGACATCCTGAGGACTTCCCTAGGAAATAAACGCAAAATCATGTGGCATCTATTCGTCATAAACATCATCATCGTCATGATGGATATTGGCCTTCTCGTGCTCGAATACATGGGCCATTTTCACTGGCAACAGGCAGTCAAAGTCGCCTTCTACTCGGTCAAACTGAAGCTCGAATTTGCCGTCCTCGGCGAGCTTGTTGATTTCGTCCAGCATCGTGGAACCAATACCGCCCTCAACACGAGTGGGTTTGTCGAGCTCTCGAGCACTCGCACGCAAACGGGGGACAAGAGGCAGTCTACAGCCAGGCCGGATGCGATGCACGTCGAGGATACGAAACCCACCGCCGTGGCCGCTGGAGCTGATCCGAATGCGACAAGCCAGACGAGTGAGGAAGATGCTGCCGTCGCAGCGAGAGCATATCCTGGAAACGACTCGTTTGATCAAGGCGAGGATCAGAGTACGAACCAGATGTATGACATTGCGATTCAACAGATATCCAGGTCAAAGTAGTGTATTTCATTTTTTTATACCCCATTGTCTTTGGAAGTAGTCCTTGTGGAAGTAGAAATCTATTTGGATATTAACCCAGTCTTGTAAACCAAACGCCGCTTGTATGATGCTCCGTGTGCTCGGTGAAATATTCCAGCCTTGGACCCAACCACTGTGTTGAATACTTGGGCGAGCACTGGTCGTGATTATCGTATCGAGTTCTCTGCATTCTCCATCTATTAATTATGGCCCCGGTGCCCCCGGGGGTTTCATGGCCTTGGCTTGTGCCATTCTGGCCGCGCGCTGTTTCCTCCATACAGGACCCTGGACTCGAAGCACTGCAAAGTGGTTAGACGGATGACGTTGTTAAAAGAATCAAGCTTACCCATGACAGCTCCTCCAACCAGGACCAAGTCCACAAGTGCCAGTCCGGTAAAGCACCACCCAGCTCCCATCTTGTTCACCAACGTGGGAATCAGCAACGCCGAGATTGCAGCAGCAGGGTTGCGGAGGAGATTCCCCAAGGCAAAAGCCCCGGCTGCCTGCTGCTGGACACACTCGGTCAAGAAAGCGGTTGTAGCGACAAACACCCAGTTCATGCCAAAGCCAGCTAGTCCAGGTTAGCTCTATTGTTGTCCAACTGGAAGCAACTTACTGATAAATGTGGCGATAATCACCAGTGCCGGGTGATAGGTCTTTTCCACAAACCAGCCAAACATGACAGTGCCGACGAAACAGATGATGACTCCGTAAATCTGATCTGCCAGACGGTTCTCGGGGTCTACCTTGCCGTCATCGGACTCGTAAATGGCCTTTTCGCGTCGGTAGTCGGAATACCAACCACCAAGCAAGCTACCAACGATCATGGCAATACCAACGGCCAGAAAACCAGCACCGGTGGCGGCCGAGTCCCAGTGGTAGCGGATAGTGAGTTCTGTGGGCAGTTGGACAGCCATGCCAAAGTATGTCGAATACAGCATGGCCGTGTTGAAGCTGACAATTCCAATCGGAGGGTAGGTGAACATCTTCCAGTAGCCCTTGAAGGAGGGCTTTGGCGGCGCAGGACCTCTCTGCGACTCGGGGGCCATTGGAGAGAACAATTTTGGAGGAAACATAAAGTACCCCGAGTCCTTATATATACTACCATCGCCAACTCTTGCTTGGAGGGTCTCTGGAAGGCAGAAGATGATGAGGAGCCAAAGCAGGAAGCCACCAATGGCGAGGAAACCAAAGATCCATCTCCATGACACTGCTCCGATGGCACCGCCGAAGACGGGGCCGAGGACCGGACCAAGCTGAGGACCCATGAGGAAAATGGACATGGCAAACGCTCGTTTCGCGGGCGGAGTGACCTAGACTGTCAGCGCGTTGGAATTACTTGGGATACTCGAGGGAACCTACATCAGCTACCGTTCCTGCACCCATGGAAACCACAGCGGCGGATCCAAAGGCTTGGACTATGCGCAGAAAGACGAGTGCGCCGTAGTTGGAAGGCACAGCGGCGGATAGAACGTTGGCGACGATGTAGATGGCGAGAGAAATGATGTACAGAGGACGTCGGCCCTTGACATCGGCGAAACTTGACCAGAACATGGGCTGTACATGTTAGCTAGCAACACGTCGAGATTGCGACCAACTCACTGCAATGGCAAAGGTCAGCATGAAGACGGACACCGTCACGTTAATCATGGTGGCGCTCGCGTTGAATTCCTTCTCGAGAATCGGCAGCGCGGGCAGGTAAATGTTTCCCGCCAGCGGACCAAAGCAGCCCGCCGTGGTCACGACAGTGAGGATGAAGCGTCTGCGCCATGGCGAGAAGGCAGTAAACGGCTTGGGCGGCTTCTTCTCGACGTCCTTTGGCGGGTCGGCCGGTGAAGGCCCCGTGGGGTTTGCGTCTGCAGGGTCGTCGGCCGCTGAGACGGGCTTGTACGCCTGGTATCGCTGGGCAGGGCGCTTGGCGTTGGCTTTGGAGTATTTCGACGGGTAGCGGAAGGGAGCTTGGGAGAAGGAGTAGGGTTGGTGGGCGACGGGGTTGATGGGAGGTTGGAGAGTGTCGAGCTCGTGGTCTGATGGGCCGGTTAATGTGCTGTCCAACAGCGGTTTTGAAGCCGTCTCGGGCGTGTCTGGTGGGATATCGTCGCCGATATCGATCGAGGGCCTCATTGTGTAATGGTCGGACGCCATTGCATCTACGGGACGATTTTCAGATTGGAATGTTCAAGTCCAGATTCCGATGCGATTCAGACGACGGGCGGAAAAGTGCCGTGTGATGGCGCGCTCCAAGACCCAGCGAAGCGTAAGCGGGAGACGAGGGAAATTGAAGCCCGACGACGAACGAAATAATAAAAAAAGAGGCCACAAGATTTAGTGTAATGCGAATCAATACCGGGCACCATGGGCCAGAAGCGAATGGTTTGCTCCCCGCGGGCTTCATTTAATCACGGCCTTGGCCACATCCAGCACCCACGCAAATAGCTCTGCAGTCAGCAGCGGCGGGCTGTGCGTGGCTGTGCGAGGCGCCAGGGATGCGGAGGTGAGGCCCCCGGGATGTTACGCCAAGAGACGGTAGACGCCCTCGTGTAAGCGGGAAATGCATCGAGATGGTTTAGCGGATGGCCATTAGCTGGGTGCTTATACCGTCCCAACCAAGGACGGAGCGGGTTGGGGGCGCAGACCGGGGAGCGGAGCTGCGGCGTGTCCACCCGCAGGGCCGGAATTGACGTTTCACGCTGCTGACTTGGTGCAGGATGTTGCTGAGTGTGTGCTGCGTGCTGTGTATTGTGGATGTGTGCTGTGGACATGTGTGCTGTGTACTATGCATCTGTGTTGGTGCAATCCTGACCCTGGTGTTGTTGGCCGTGGTTGTATCCGCACGCTGTACTCCGAGACAGTCACACACGGCGGTTGGCTTCCTGCTTCTGTGCTATTTTTGCACCGCTCGCAACCAGACCGATGCGAGAGTCAAGCCCGATGATGAATCATACTCCGCCTGTGCTGTGGCTGTGATTGAGTCGACTCGCCCAGCCCCCGATGCAATTGTCATCTCGACGGCGTCTCCTTGCTGCTTGATGGCTTCCACCCTGCCTCCTTGATAGCACCCCACTGTCTCCTTGTCACACCCTCGGTGCCAATGTGCCCGTCATATAATTAAACAGTCCGCCCTGATACGCTCCCCAGCCAAGGGACTCTTCCCTGAGAAACCCATCCTTTGCACACTCGCCATCACCATACACACAATGGGCTTCCTCCTCCTCGAAGTGCCCCTGCTGGTGGCCATCGTCATCGCTACCGGCTACTACTGCTTCCTCCTGCCGCCCAAGTACCCGGAGAACATCCCCGCGATCCCGTTCTGGGTCGCCCTGCTGCCGTTCTTCAAGGACGTCGACCAGTCCGACATCTTCCGCACCTACATCGATAAGCCGCTGAGAAAGCACGGGGCGGTCAAGCTTTTCTTTGCCGCGCAATGGAATGTCTTGGTGCACCGTCCGGCGTACATGGCCGAGGTGTTCAAGGACGAGGACCTGTTTGAGAAGAGCGGCAACCAGAAGAAGATCCCCCACAGTGTGCTCGCGCAGTTTCTGGGTAAGTTTGGACCGCTGTTGGATATGGCTTGGCTAACTTTTGCAAAAAAGGTGACAACATCATTTCCGCCCATGGATCGACTTGGAAGACGTATCAGTCGGTCGTCAAGCCCGGCTTGCAGCGCAACTTTGACGGGACCATTGTCGCCAACAACGCACACAAGCTCACCCGACTATTGCGAGACGCGCAGAAGACGGCGGGAAGCAAGGGCGTGCCAGTGCAGGACTTTTTGCAGCGGTACTCTGTGGCCAACTGCTCCGAGGGTGTCTTGCAAACGCAGTTCCACGTAAGTGCTGTGGTCCCCGAAGCCTATCGCGCAGTGTGTTTCTGACTAGACCGGTCCAGCCTCTCGAGTCGGCGGCCGCCCCAATCAACGTGATGCAGTCGCAGGTCAAGATGCAGATCTTCAAGCCCATCTTCATGAACTTTCCCGTTCTAGACCGCCTGCCGTTCCCCAGCCGGACGCGGGCGCGCGAGGTAGTGCGCCAGTTCAAGAACGAGCTGAAGCGCGCGCTGGTCGAGAGCCACGACAAGGTTCCGCGAGGCTCCGACGGTCTGGGCCGGCGCATGCTGGACGCTGCCGAGTCGGGAGTCCTCACGGAGCAGCAGCTCCTCGACAACCTCACCGTCGCGTTTGTGGCTGGCCAGGAGAACCCGCAGCTGGCCATGACTTCGATGCTGTATCTGCTCGCCAAGCACCCTGTAAGCCAAGCGCCAGCTTTAACTCGTTAGCCAGACTAACACGGTCTAGGATACGCAAGCCACAATCCTCAAGGAAATCCTCGCCCACGGCGCCCAAGCCGCAGAACAGTCCAGCCTGGCCGACATGCCCCATCTCACGTCAGTCATCTACGAGAGCCTGCGGCTGTTTCCGCCAATCGGACAGCTCATCAACCGAAGGGCCACACGGGACACGTTCCTGGGCGGCGACGAGGTGCTGATTCCGGAGGGCACCTATGTAAGTATTAGAACTCCATTTAAAATAAATTAAATACTGACTATACTTAATCAGCTCGGCTATAACTGCTACAGTACAAACCGCGACCCAGACGCCTGGGGGCCAGACGCCGATGAGTTCGTCCCCGCGCGCTGGGGCAAGACGGTCGACGAGATCCAGACGCACTACCGACGGCGGCGGGCTCGCGGCGAGTTCATCTCGTTCCACGGCGGGCGTCGGAGTTGTCTAGGCGAGAGGTTCGCCCTTTTGCAGCTGCGCATCACGCTGGTCGTCTTGATCCAGACTTTCAAGTGGAGCTTAGACCCGACCTGGGCAGACCGCATGACCCCTGTACGTCTTTCTTTTTTTTTCTTAATTCACCCTTGTGTTGTTTATCTCTGGGCTGTCTTGCTAACTGATCTGATCTGTAGGCCGGCCCGCTCTACCCCCGTGCTTTACGACTTACGTTCGCCGAACGGAGCCCCGGTGATGAGTGATGGACGAGGGGGCGTCATGGTTAGGAGGGTGAGATTTTAAATGATACATTAGCAATCGATAGTTTGGAGACCGGCGTAGACTTTCTTTTTTCCTCTATTTATTTGCACTATTGGTTGGGGGGCGCTCATATATTTGGTGGCGCTGGAGACTAAGATAGCCGGAAGACACAATTCGGCGGCGTGCATATTGTACAGTAACAGCGTGGTGGCTTCTTACAGGGTAATACCTAGTTTAATAATCGAATGGTCCCCGATGGATCGAGATTGGAAGAGATTGAGAAAGCGTTCAAAGTCAGCATCTTAAGTCAGCTCCAAAGCCAGCGGCGCCCAACCTAAAGCCCACCGCTCCAAGTCATCTCATCATCCCCCAAGTCATCTCATCATGTCCAAGTCATAGCCAGGTCATCACTCAAAACCCACAGCGGCAACCTTCGTTCACCTGCGTTCGTTCACGCTGCAATCGGAGCCGAGCCCTATCGGCACGTAAGAAGCTTCCCGGCTAGCGCTCTGCAGCTTACGTGCAGCGAGCTGTAGGGGGAAAGCCAAGCATGAGTGAGCCCTAAGAGGCCCAGCCGTAGGGCACCCAGGCCCTTGTCCAGCCAGCCCTGCGCACTCGCTAGCAGTCCGAGCTGCCCAATGAGACTCCTCGGATTGGCCCAGACGCTTGGATGTCTCGAATTGGGCGGCGCATGATGACAGGTGCTACGTCGTGCCTGCATGCACTGCGCAGCCCCTCGGAGTCCCCTGTAGTGCCCCTCCACAGTCCCCTGTAGTGCCCCCCGTTGGCCCCTGTAGTCCCCGTAGCGCCCCCCCAGCACGCTAGCATAGGGCCAACCGCGCCGGAGCGAGCCTTAACCAACGGGCCCGCATGCGCTAAAACTGAACGCCGACGCAAAGGACTCAGGCGCGTGGCCCCCAAAATAGAAGGCCGGCCAATGGCAGCCTCAGCCACTGCAGCAGCAACCTACACCCACTGCGAAGCGAATTAGAGGCCATCGGCGACCAACTTCCCGCCATGTAGGTATCACCACATCCCAGCCCTCCACGTCGCAGCGCGTCGGGGATTTCCAGATCTGCGCCATTCGGCCAAGGCCGTGGACTTGTCTCATTTCATTTTCTCGCTGACTTGCGGTGTGCCGTGCTGTGCTGTGCTGTGCTGTGCTGTGCTGTACTGTGCCGGGCTGCAAGGTCACAAGCCTCGTGCGGCTGGCTTCGCGGGAACCCATCTCGGCGTCCAATCCTACCGCCAGGAGGCTTACTGTGGACGAGGCTTCGCATGCTGCTTATTCCACCCCGGCCTGGGCTGTGCTTGTGTCTCTGCCGTTGGTCGTCGGTATGGGGCCGTCGAAAATAGCAATCTCGCGGCCCAGGTCTCTCGCGATGCTGGAGGCCGAGTTCCACGATGTGGCTTATAAACCCAACGCCAAACCGCCTTCTTAGTGTCTCGCTCGATATCTCGCTCACAATCACTCAATCACTCAATCTCTCTCATACTCTCTCATACCCACTCTCACCTCCAGCAACTCTCTCCTGTTTCGCTGCTTCTACTGTCTGCTCTCTTCTCTCTTCTCTCTTCTCTTTCCTACTCTCTTCACCTACCACCATACCCCCAACCCCCTAATAATTACCCTTCTTCTCTCCTACACAATGGAAGTCTCCAACGCCGGCATCTCCATCTTCCACCGCTTCCAAGCCTCCTTCATCCACGACGGAAAGGGCACCCTTCTCTTCACCAGCGGCCCCCGCAAGCAGCTGCTCGAGGATAACTGGGAGGTCATCAACTCCTTCATCCACCTGCAAGAGTCCACCGTCCGCCCCGCCAACCGCATTGCCTCCATCGACATCAACGAGCCCGTCGAGGGCCTCCGCCTGTACCAGCAATGCCAGCTCCAGGACGGCGTCGCCAAGGGCCTCCTGCTCGCCGCCGAGAGCAAGGACAACAGCGTCGGCGAGGACTTTGAGTACTTCTTCGTCCAGCTGATCCTCGACCAGCTCGACTTTGCCCTCTACAACCCCACCGAAGCCCCGTCCTCGCCGAGCCCTCACGTCCGCGTCACCGGCAAGATTGTGTCGCTGTTCGACTCATATCTGCGATACCAGGGCAACGAGGACAAGTGGGAGGCGGGCGGCCGTCGTGTCTTTGAGGAGCGTGTCCGCCACTTCACCTCCCAAGGAGCCCAGATCCAGCTCTGTCTTCCCGCCTTTCCCTGCAAGTCTACCAATACCAACAAGGTCACCGGAACCTCTCCCGACCGTGGCGAGGCTCTCGCCTTGAACCATCTCCACAGCTTCGTCGAGGCCGTCGAGAAGATCTACAAGCCCGGCGCCAAGCTCTGGGTCATCAGTGATGGCCATGTCTTCAGCGACTGCATCGGCGTCGACGATGCTGTCGTCGACCGCTACGGCGAGGAGCTCAAGGAGATGAACCGCGAGATTGGCCTCGCCCGCGGCCGTCTCGACCGCGTCGATTTCCGCTCCCTGGTCGACCTCTTCAAGCTGACCGACGACACTGTCGCCGAAGAGGTCAAGAGCATGGCCAAGAGCCTGCGCATCCCCGCTATTACCCATCACGTCCGCACCAAGGAGACCGAGGAGGCCGAGCTCTGCCGCCAGATCCTCATGGCCGGAACCCAGCCTCTCGAGTCTGTCGCCCGCGACCGCCTCAAGTCCAACGACGAGTCTCTCGTCGCTCTCTATCGCGGCTTTTCCCGTTTTATGCTCGAGGATCTTGAGCTCCACCCCACCACCCTCACCCAGACCAAGTCCCAGCGCAAGAAGCTCTCCACCAAGGTGGCGTTTGAGATGATTCTGGTAAGCAGCCCGCCAACCCCATCAACTGAACCCGTGCTAACAATACACAGCGAAACCAGGCCTATTCCAACCTTGTAGAGATGCTATTTCCAAATTACGTCCGCTTAAGTATTCACGCTCACAACAACGCCGGTCCCAAGTTCGGCATCCAGCTCTTCGACGCCTCCAAGGTCCGCGTCGTGGAAGACCTCTCCCCCGAGGGTATCCCCATGGCCTCGGAGGATCTCCTGCACATCCCCACCCCGTGGCACAACTCGGTCGTCGAGATGGAGGGCTGCGACTACCTCCTCGTCACCAAGGCCAAGGTCGCCACGCACGCCATCGCATGCGGCGCCATGGGCGGTGAAAAGGTCACCGAGGGCGGCGCCTACTTCATGCTGACGCAGGCCGTCAAGGAACCAGTTATTCTGCTTCAGCGAGCTATGTCGTTTGCCCCCGTGGAGGAGGTGTCCTTCTACGACAAGGCCTACCAGCAGTTCACTCAAGTGTTTGCTCCTCTTCCGGTTCTTGTTTCGGTCGGTCTGATCATCGCCTACCGCATGAAGGTGCAATGATTTCTCATTTGTCAATGTCGGTTTACGTTTTAATTAAGCATGAGCATGGGAAGCGTGGGTTTTAAAAGTCGCAGATAATACTTGCTTTCATTTAGAAGGGCATAGATTGTATCAACCAAGTAACCTTATTTTTAACTTTATTCCATACTTCCCCGCATGTGATCGATGTCGCCACGCACACTTAGGACACAGTCATCATTTCATGAACCCAGCCGAACAGTACATTGATTGGGTGGCGTAATATCTTGACCTGATTCTTAAATAATGTTCCGTAAAATCACCATGTCCAGACTTTTATCTCTTAACCCACACGCGCTATAGGGTGTCAAAGCAGGTCAATCAGAGCTGATATGTCATTGTACCGTCTCGACTCAGTACATTGGCCCTGAATCCTTCCTCCGCTTATTGCCTTCGGGCTTTTTTATATACCTAATGATATAGGAAATCTAAGACTTATATAACTCAGCTTTAGTCTATCAAAGCAGGGCCAATTTATCGAGTCGATGCGGTAGATTTGCTTCGGGTTGCAAGTGAGAAGGAACTCAAAGTTTGGTGCAAGTAATGTTTCTTACCACGACGAGAGCTTGATTTATATGCGACATGTCCAAATCTCGGATTGGGCTGAATGACAGCTTCCAGGCATATTAGATAGTAGCTCTGATTGTATTCTCGCCAGCCGCTTCCTATTTGACATAGGTGTGAGATGTTTTTGACATGCTAATTTTCATTCTGAACTGCCTGATCTGCACAATGTCATTCACAGCACTGGGCGGTACCTAGACTGAGATTTTGAATGGCAATAAATACAGATCTGCATGAAATGCGGTATGCAATTTGTGTATCTGTACATTAGTCCACACCACGTGGCAGTCTCGATTTAACATCTAACCAGCTTGTGATTTTCAAGAATCTTGCACTGATCCGGCTGTCCGGCATGTAAAGTTTGTGTCTCCAAGTACGTCTTACGTCTTATCTCCTGAGCCTCGCTTCTATTAGACGAACTGTGATGTTAAACTTTACCGCTCAGGACTCATTGCTACAACCTGCCTTCTGGGACGGGATATATCCGTTTGAGCCCGATAGCCACAGCCATGAACACATTGATTGGAGACAGGTTAAAGCAAGTTGCCTTATTATTGATGTCTCGACGTGACGCGTTATCCTGTCTCGCGTTTTGGATTCGGAGTGGTTGGTGGGTCCCTGATGTCAAACCCCTGTTGACAGAAGCTTGACAAAAGCTTGACAAAAGCTTTTCGGTTCCTGGGCTATCGTGTCTCTAGATCAATGGATTCGTGCCAAGCGTTCCTGTTTACGCAAAATTTAAGACCTAGCGACATTGGTGGCCCTATCTAGATACTTGTCGCCTCTACTAGCCATGTCGTTGAGCAATAGAAACGGTTACGCATTTAAGAAGCCTCGGATCCCACCGAAATACCTACCAAGAATTACTCCACCAAAAGCTTCGCGAATATTGATGAGTTCAAATTGCAAGGTGCAGCAGTCTAATGGAGAGTTTTGGTAGCGACATGTATTATTGTCAATGAGTGATCTTAGAGTGTGGTCTGCGAGACAGGGCAGAGGAAGGATTAACAATCTGCCCACTCTATTTATAGGGGGATATTCCCCAAGCTTCCAGTAGAATCACCGATTCTTAAAGACTCCTTGGCGGATGCAGCGGAGCGGCTCGTTCAACAACTACGAAGAGCTACCCCGAAGCACCGTTATACCCCTGTTCTTCTGTTGTCCAATCAACGCACCAAAATCCATACAAGGTCCGCCGCTGCGCCTCGACCAAATCCGCAACCGACATGGGATAAATAATGGACTAGTGACAACTTGGAAATGCCAAGGCGCACTACCGGTAAACTCCGCGTTCTTCATGCCTTGTGGTTTTTGGCAGTCCTCATGTTGGATGGAGAATGGAGCACGCCTCAGGTGATATGACCGGATCCTGGGAGTACCTATGAAACCAGCTTATATGCAGTGAGACACCGCAAGTCTCCGCAGTAACCCCATCCCGGACTGGTGAGGGCCGCATTGCCAACTTCCCTGACTCTCGCTCCTGACTTTTGCTCTAGACCAGACTAGATCTAGCTGCTACCGCTGGAAACCTTGAGGCTAGCTGAACTTTGGTCGCCGCCAACATAAGCACAATCAACATCCACCGCCAAGAAGTGACTGACTTTATACATGGATGCAATCCCGCAGCCCTATCACAGAATTCCTTAAAATGTACATCTCTCCCTCTTCCCCTTCTCCCTTTTCCCGCTAGAAACCAATGCCACGTCAATGTTCAAGGCCTCTGCGGAGGCTCAGACAATGGCCCGTGCCAAGACCGAGACGTAGGTGGGGTGTCGTATTCAATCCGAAGCATTTTACGCGTATTTCGGTATTGATGATTGGGTCGTATTAATGTACGAGTCCATCGGATTCTAGATTTCATGATTGGTGTGGCTTATCCTCAGGACCGGGTTACGAGGAATTGTTGGTGACGAGTCTGCCCTGCGTGTAGGAGGCATTTCCGGCCTTTCCGATTAAAAGACGGTGCTATCCCTTGAACCTAATGGCTCCTCACTGCCTTCGCAAATTGCACACATCCGAGCAAGCCGATACTTTTGTTATTTTTTCTTGGGTTTCCTTGTTTTGCCATCTGCACAGCTCCGACGACCAGTAAGGCTGCTCTTGAGTATGCCCTAATCCGATTACGACACTGCGTTTCCAATTCCGACACCCCGACTCTCGATTCGATGGCCGAGCTCGAACCCTACAAAAATGGCTATTACTTGTGGAAATATGTGCCCTCGGCTGCTGCGGCGGGGGTCTTCTGTGCGGTCTTCTTCATTGCTGCGACCGCGCATGTCTGGCGAACTTGGAAGAGGCGTGCCTGGTTTTGCATCCCTTTCGTGATCGGCGGTTACAGTAAGACATCCGGGAATGTCTAGGCCACCGCTGACAATTGAACTAGTGCAATCGATTGGATATGCTTTCCGAGCAGCTGCACATGGTAGTACTGACGACTTGATACTCTTTGCGATGCAACAAATCGCCATCCTCTTAGCGCCTATACTGTTGGCAGTTTCGATATGCATGGCGTTGGGCCAACTCATCCGCAATGTCCACGGGGACAACCACTGGATTATGAGTGTCAACTGGGTGACGGGAACAATTATCTTGGGCAACACCGTGTCATTGGTGCTTCAAGCAAGCGCAACGGGCATCACGATAACCGGGGAGAATACAAAGCCAGGCCAAAGTATGGTGATAGCCGGCTTGGGATTCCAGATATTCATGTTTGGTCTGTTCTTATTGACGGCAGTACTATTCCATCACAAAATGCTGCATGACCCGAGGGCGGGAAGCGTCCCTGAGAGTTTGAAATGGAAACGAGACTTGTGGATATTACACGGATTAAGTGTTCTGATGATCGCGAGGTCTGCATTTCGCATCGCCGAATTCGCTTCGGGAACCGATGGATTTCTTGCGTCCCACGAATGGCCGCTTTACGTCTTCGATTCAGTGCCCATGTTGGCAGTAATGGTGGCTTTCTGGATATGCATGCCAGCCATGAAGAAGAGGCCGGATAGCTGGGTCTCATTGGCGTCTGCGACGCTCGCGCTCAGAAGAATACCAACGGCGGAAGTTTTAGAGGAGGCAAGGCCGGGCAAGCGTTGAATTGGACACATCTAGCTTTTATTTGTAATTTCAACATAACATACAACTTCTATTGCATCGAGTTCTGGTCGGATGAAGAGGTTGCAGTGGTACTTGACGTTAAAGCCCTGCGCTTCTTACCCCCACGTCTCGAGGTTGAAACGCACCCGATGAGCGCATTCCTAGCAACTGTTCAGCGACTTATCCACTGCCCACTAATAAATACCAAGAACGAAGACGGCAAAAAGATAGACACAGCAAAAAACATACAACAGCAAGGATTCCCCGGTCGTCACCGACCCGAGTACTAATTTGCCGCTTCTCAGTTTGACTAAGGGAGAGCGGACGGGATCCCGTATTTCCTAAGAGCTATGGTCGTATGTGCTTGTGTTTCCAGCGGAGTTGACTTATGACCCGACGTCTCTGAATAGGTTTTTGCCGACAGACGGCGAATTAATGGTTCCATGGTGTTAAGTGGAGGTTAACATCTTGCTTGAGTGCGCCTCTATTTTGACCTGGATGAAAGGTAAAGTGGGGAAGCGAATCAAGGAATAACAGACTGCTTGAAGATCTAGTGATACTGATGGCCTCTAAAGCTGTGGCAATCTCAACCTCTAAATGACTGGTACCCAATAGTCTTAAATTGGACAAGACCATGTTCTGTGTCCTAAAATCCTAAATACCTTACATATCTATGAGGATATCATCGTAAAATTTCACCCTTTGTGACAGGACACACAGTTCCATCCAATCCAAATCCTGCATGCTTTGACTCCTCGCCGTCAAGGCAACCGAACTTTAGTCTAAGTTCCCCAATCTCCTTCGGAAGAGGATCTGCGCCTAGAGAATACCCTTCCGCTAGCTTGTCTAGATCCGGATTCCTTGTAGTGAGCAGCATGGTCGAGAAGGACGAGCTGCTGGTAACACCATTGCTCCACAGCGCCACGGCTCCAACTCCGGTCCAAAATAGTACAGTGGCTAAACTTGCCCCATATACAATCATGAGGTTTGCCACATCATATGAATAGAAGTTGCGGGGAGACGAGACGTTAACGGGAACAGTGGTTGTGAATCGGCGTCTGTCATAAAAGGTCATCATGCTGTAAGTGAAATTGTGAGACAAATCTTCGATGGCCCTAGCAAGCGACTGATTGCGACATTTGCCCGAATTCGGGAGGGCGAGTTGGGTCATTCGGGTAGTGTTCCAAAACTCCGGACAGTCGATGAGCCCCGACTGTAATAGAGGGATTGTTCCTTCTCCTCCAGTTTGGAAGTCTTCTAGAGCGCGGCCCAGCTTGACTCTCGCAGTGAGCAAATAGCTAAACAAAATGTGCGTCACCCAGGCCGTCCCCATACCCAGAGAATCGGAAAAGTACGACCATGTACCCTCGCTTCCGTCCCATGCATGTGGGTGCAGGTACTGGATAGATGAAGGAGCAATTGACTGGACACCTTCATGAAAGCGTACCGATATATCGTACGAGGTATTGTAAAGTTGGCAAACTATGCTTGTTCCTTGCGAAGAGTTGTGACTCTCATCATTGACTCCGCTTGACCAGATCAATATCATGTTGTTCATGAAATAAGGAGCTACAGCAGTGTAGATAGAACCGTCGTAGCCGCTGGCACCTATTCCTGGGGCCACTATCAACTCATCCCAAGCCTTTTGGAAGGACGTATAATTGTTGAGCGTGTTTTCAGTGTCCCATGTCGGCGTGTTCTGTTCAGTTACTACTTCTTCAAGGGAGAGGCACTTGTATGATGGGCCCCAGAAATTCAAATCGTACGTCGAGTTGACAAAAGGTGCCGTCAATGGAATAAAAGACACGGAGGAAAATATAGCCGCAAAAAGGCGAGCAAGCTCAAAGCTAGCGCCAGTGACGCGCCCAGCTCCGGCGAACGTGGCCCATTCAGTGCCGTTGGAAAAGTCAACTGTTGGAACAGCGGTGGGGATAATTTGAGAGCGCATGAGCGATCTGATGGACAGCGTTGCTGGCGTAATCACTTTAACCAGGGGCAGGCACCTTTCGATGTTAGCTATCGATTCTGTTTAGGTCTGGATGCAGCTGCATCAACGGGCCAGAACCATTCCTTGAGCTGCTACTTACCAAGATATGATGGCCAGTAAAAGGAGCGTCTTTGCGCCGGTCCACAAATTGTAGTCAAACATGGCAATCGGATCACTCATGATCTTGAACATGCTGTCGATTCCATGAAGAGAAATGGATCTGCGTCGCAGGGTCACCCATGTTTGTTGCGTAGCAATCATGCCCAAAATAGCGGCAAGCACGGTTTTGTTTAGGACTGCGAGACCAGTTCCAATTCGAATAGCCCATGATTGCTGGTTTTGAGATTGTACCTCGGTGTCTGCGAGGCTTTGGTAGTAGAAGTGGTGACCTAGAGCAGTACCAACGCCAGTCATGAACAAGCAGATGATCAGGACTGGGAATTTCCATCCGATTCCCCATTGCACTTGCGGTTGATTCTCCTGCTCTTGAACTTTTGTCGGGGATAGCAACGGCTCAACCACCGGCAGATGATCTGGATACTGCTCATCTGGACAATGCTGCTGGGTTCTGTGCGACCCGGTATCGATAGGTCGGGCTATTGGGTGTCCAGTACGAAACACCTGGTCAGCCATGTTTATCCGTGCAATGAGTACTGAAGCAAGTGCGTCGTGGTGCGAGAAGCTAGTGTGTACAGTGAGGGACTGTGGGATTAAGGAAGCAGAGAAGCGACTTTTGTCGGTGGAGGCGGACTCAGAAGCCTTTTGTTCCACTGCTGGGTGAGCTAGGCATCTGTGCAGGCTGTACTAGTTGCCAGTGACGTAGGTGTGCAAGCGAGGCTGCTTACCAGGAAAAAGGTCCCTCGAAGGGCGATGCTGAAACTACCAGTTAACGCGGAATCAGTGGAATTAAATTTAGATTACGGTCATCGCGAATCCGCGTTGAAAACAACCCTACAGCCCAGGAGGGCTGGCAAGGTTGATTTCGGCTATACTTGCATAAGCTCCCATGGCTCAGTCGGGCTCAGGAGCTCCCTCTATTGGCAACTGGATATGCATGTATTTGTAAATAGTAAAAACTGCATGTACTGAATACTTCACTCTTGACTCTTGCACAACAGTATCACAAGTACCTGTACGAATCCAGCCCCCTTACTGCTGTGTTACACTCCTTCTTACACCGCCAAGTGACCAGCCGAGCTGAAAGACGCCATCTTGGCTGCGTCCATTTCGTCAATCTGTTTCAAGTGTCGCCGAACACCCAATGGGCCCTAGGTCTCAGCCACTGCGTGGTCAGCTGCCCCGGTCTCGTGTGAGCTCAAATCTGCCCTTCACTACACGGGGCTGCGCCGGCTAAGCAGGATGTCCTGTTATGGTACGGGGTGAGGCCTAGCAAAGGAAGAATTACGTGTTGATGCCCAGCTCCCGTTTTAATCTGCACATGAAGTTACATAAGTTCCTTGACATGGTTCGCCGTTGTTCGCCAAGTGTGAGCTGCACAGAAAATGTAAATTGCAAAGGTCACACCGACCATCAATTAACTCTCTCTCATCGCCCTGTAACACTCGGTGGCTTAGACTATCAGTGCATCTGTTTCTCGGCGCCCGAGGATTGTGTTAAGGCCTGACTTTCGTCAGCCACTGTAAGAAAAGTGCCAAGATTGGCTGTGATCTCGAATCTAGACGGGTCATTCGCTACCTCAGGCTGTCCAAGCTATTACCTTGCAATGGCTAATAGATGACGAGCCACATGGAACGTCGAGTCTATGAATGCTCGCTCCCGGACGGGACGCTTATCCATCTTGTCGATAGCCCGGAGTTCGACAATACATACAAGATTGATGTCGATGTGCTGCGAGATTTCGCAAACTAGTTCAACGAGAGTTATGAAAGAAAGTACGTATAATCTGGATCGTGTATTTTTGTCGCATTACCCAAGAAAGCTCCGGAACTCCGGCATGAGAAATCCACCCAGGTTCCGAAGCTGGCAAGGTGGTCCTAGTGACGGCTATGTGGAGCACCGCATGCTCAAGTGACACGCAGCTGGTGAAGCATAGAGCAAGGTTGTAGACGAACCCACAATTCTGGTCGGAGATATTCCATCATAATTAGGTTCCTTTGCGTCCTCTGCGCCACAAACCTCGCATTACCAGCCGCATTTGCATTAAGACTCCGTTCAGGGCATGTCTCTTCAAAAAGTCATTCAGGGGTACAAAAAGACAGAAGACAAAAAAAGCACATACAACAGTGAGGATTCCCCGGTCGTCACCGACCCGAGTACTAATTCGCCGCTTCTCAGCTTGATTAAGGGAGAGCGGACGGGATCCCGTATTTTCTAAGAGCTATGGTCGTATGTATCAGATATGGCGAAGTGGCAGACTATAATCTCAGTACGTTGAGATTCTGATAACATACAGGTTCTCGCCAGATCACATGATCGCGTTGGGGGCCATACACCTTAGGCTGAATTGCCGCTTCAGGCATCACTTCACTGACATCAATTCTCTTTTGTATATCAACTCGTCTAAAGCTGTCCCTACTCAACTGCTTTCCTGCTGGCGGTCTCATTGTAACGCTGTTTCGTTCACGACTAAGTCTAACCATCTCAGTAACCACCCCATATACACTATGGCTTTTGATCTGAAAGATTCTCCCTTTCCCCTCGGGGATACCCACGAACAAATCAGACAGAATCCAAAGACGTGTAGCACTTGTTTGAATCTATACCCCGGCTCGGCATACTCCGCCGTACCTCGTCAGGGAATTTGGTTTCACGAGGGGAGTGCCGCCAACGCGAAACGAGCCGCCGAGCATGAAGACATTGGCGAAGCGCCCGCATGGGCAGGAAAATATCGCATCGACTTTGCCTCTTGGGAGGTCCAGGCATACCTCACAGATATCCGAGACTCGGCGGTACGAGGTTGCGTGTCGTGTCTGCTTCTCCAGGAGGCGGTGACAAAGTTGTCCAAAGGGAATCTCAAGTTTGATGATCCTGCTTTGCTGCTGAACGTTGTATTCTGTAAGGGAAACGTGCTGGATATTTACGTGTCTCGGGGGAATCCAGCTGAAGAGCAAGATGGTGACTTTTTCTCTCCATGGGAGACGGAAGATGTGCAAGAGTTTGTTGCAGCCTATCAGCTCTACACCCTTCCTGGTAAGTTCTGTATGTGTCCGGATTGGAATTAAACTGATCACTCCAGGTGCCCCCTGCCCTTGGACGACAATTGGAAGTGTGGTAAGCTTGGAAAAACCGCAAATGAATCTTCCAGCAGTGAGAGGCGGCCCAACTCGACACATTGCGCCTGACCCGAGCTCCGATGCATGCTTTGATACCATCAAAGGCTGGATAAACACGTGCAAAATGACCCACAAGATTTGTACAGAAGCAGACTCAACGGTGCAAAGTCTGCCCAAGCGGGTCATCGTTGTTGGGAATGATTCCAACGATGATATTCACCTGTTTGAACATGACGATTCTACGCAGCGAATAAATGAGCCATACATAGCCTTGTCTCATTGTTGGGGATTGAGTCAACATTTGGTGTCCAAAAAGTCAACCATTGACGGGTGGAAAAGAAACATCCCTCACAACGCACTTCCACCGACCTTTCAAGATGCCGTTTCAATCACAAGAAAGCTGGGCATTCGATATGTCTGGATTGATTCTCTGTGCATCGTTCAAGATGACAAAAATGACTGGGAAATTGAAGCAGCAAAAATGGCATCAATCTATGACGGAGCCGACTTGGTTCTCGCTGCGACTGGGTCCATTGACGGTGATGGTGGGTGTCTCTTTCCGAGAACCCCCTACATCACAATATTCGGGACCGGTCCAACTGGAAAGCCGTTCGAGACCTATGGCCGTGAAACATCTGATCACGGTATGTTTGGTTGGTCTGGCTCTCCAGAAATCTCCAAACGATCTTGGAATCCCGTTTCAGGGGTCCAGGGAGGTGAAGAAGAACTAGCCCATTACCCGCTATTGAGCAGGGCATGGTGCTTCCAGGAACGGTTGCTAGCCACTCGAATCCTCCACTTTACAAAGACAGAGGCAGTTTTTGATTGTTTGACCTGCATGGAGTGCGAGTGTGGAGCGCTCACTCAGCATCAAGACGACCCTTTGGTTCCGCCACGACGCATTATCAAGACGGGCCACAAGTACGTTGACGGCACGTCAAGCTTGGCGCACTCAGCCTCGCCACCAACGGCGCCTCTACCAACTTTCAGAGAAACCAAAGACTTTGCTCAGCACCATGAACTTTGGCGGGACCTTGTTGTCCAGTATTCCCAGAAACGCATCACTCGCAAGACGGATGGCCTCCCAGCCGTGGCTGGCCTGGCCACAAAATGGTCAAACAACCTGACTGGGAGATACTTGGCTGGTATCTGGGAATTGGACTTGCTCGACAGCCTCCGTTGGATCCCAGACGAGAAGGATTCAGGCGAAGACCCGCAGTATATTGCTCCGAGCTGGAGTTGGCTCAGCGCTCAAAGGGGAGTCACTTGGGGGCTTGAAAGCTTTGATGATCCAACATATTACGTGGATATTGACTATACACGCACCAAGTGCCACCTGAGTGGACTCAATCCTTTTGGAGAAGTCCGCTCAGGGTACATCTTCCTGACCGGGTGTATTATGCCTGTGTCATTCTCCTTCATTGGCGATGGGGTGTTCCTACAGAAAACAGGCCACGATAGGAAGAAGCCCTTTGACAGACCCGATAGCCTCGCAAGACTCCGAAAGCTTGCCACTCCCGACCTCTTCTGTCTCCGATTCTGCACCAAGGAGAGCGCGTCCGCTGGTGATGGGGATGATTGCGCGATGATTGTTGTCAAGGCGGACCAGACGGATCTGGCAAGGCAGCCGAAAGATGTCCGGGAGTCTAAGCACGTATACCAAAGGCTTGGGTTTGTCAAGAACTATTTAACTCGTGAGTGGAGGCATGCCGAAGACTCGGAAAAGGTCGATATGTATCTCATTTAGTCGCTATTGGGGGGAGACGGAGGTCATGATTCATTTCTGGGTTGGATTTAGCCTATCGGTATGTCAAACCTTCCACTCCCGTACCTCGGTCCAGCCATGATATTTTCCGAGGCAAACGCCATCGCGGGAGACAAGGTCAGGGTGGTCCCAGTACATCTAGATAATTATGCGGAACAAAGCACGATGGTATAATCATAACAACATGAAGTATCACGAGTTCAATACCCAAACCCTGCTATTCATGATTTCCGTTCTGGGCCACCAAGGCAGCTTATGTTACATAGCAATCGCTAGACTCAACATACGTTTTAAAAAGACCAACCAAACATTACCAACTCCGTTCTATCCAAAATCATTGAGGCCAGTGGCCAAAGGCATAATGTACATATCAACTCTGCATTGTGAGCTCGGAACTTTGGTGGCAGACATCCCAGGGCCACTTCAACCAGCTTGTTAGGTCTGGACTTAGCATCTCCCGTATTGAGGTCAGGAGATGAATTGCCCAACCATCAAAGAACCAGCACGTTTTGAGAGACATCAACATGGGAGTGTAATGAGCTAGAACCAACAACGCATTGGGTTCTTTTCGTTGGACACGGGCGACAAAGACGTCTTGCAGCCTGTACAGCCATCCCAAGGCATGATAGTCGCTCGGGGAGGCTTCGCGCGTGCCACGGCTGTTGCCGTAGTTTGCTTCGTATACGGTGGATAATGATGCGAGAGCCTGGATATAAATGACGGTATCGGGCGAATCGTGTGAGGCGATCCACATCCGTAGTTTGTCAAGGGGTTCAACCCAGTCGAGATGTATGGCCCCATCGTGAAGATGCATCGGCATCTGGCCCAAGTCATTTCCACCAGGTCGTCCCAGGGGCTCTGTAAGTCCAGTAAAAAGAGTGGCCGGCTCTATCATCTGTCGGATCAGTCGAACGCCCTGGATCCGAGGTAACCAGAATGGAGCTGCTCCGTCGCCGGCATTGCAGACGAGCAGATCGTTGGGCCCCATCGGTCCGTCGGCGACAGCGCAGTAACACATGAGCATTGCAGCCACGTAAAGAGCACCGCAGTTGGACTCGTTGATGGTCGGGTGGCCTTTATTTAGTTCACTCAGACCCATTTCTGCGTAGCGCCGAGCGATGGAGCGATAGCGGACTTGGCTGTCGCTGTTGGCTGGTTGTGAATAGGCAAGATGGTATCCTGCCAAGGAGTAGGCAAAGTGAAACACAAAGTGGTATGACAGACCCATTCGTGGAACATTGCGGGCCCAAAACAGAGCAATTTCGCTCTTGGGATCGTCAGACCCGGCAAGGGTCGGAGCTGTTTGAGCAGTGTAGTGAAGAAGCAGCTCGGCGTCAGTGACATTTAAAGAACAAGGCACGCGTTCCACGGGAGTGGGAGACACTCTAGATATCTCAAACTTCTCCATTGCTTGGAGGAGTGGCCTGGCCAGCGTGGCCCAGTCTTTCCGCGGGCGACCTGGACCCCTTCTCGGAGCGGGCGGAGGCACTCCATTATCGCCAACCAAGCCATGCGCCGACAGATCTTGGGGCACAAAGCTGCAGGGAATGCCGAAGCGAACGCAGTTGGCGCAGGACGGCTTCTCCTCATCGCACTGGGCTGGTTAGTACAGAGACAAAGATGTCGAGAGATGGAGCCACCTTGACTTTGCGCCGCTTGCAGCTCACGCAGCCGTCCCGGGACTTGCGGTGCGGCTTCCTCCCGCGTCTGGCGCCGGTGACAGAGCCATCGACGAATTGTGCCTTCATCTCAGGAATATCCACGATGGTGAATGCTAAGCGATCAAGTTTGAGGTGTCTGCTCGGGTTCCTTCTCGCCACGTAAGCACCTGACGTGCCATCTGTTGCCGTCGGGGTGATTCGCGTCCTGCTGGGAGCCAGAGATGATGACACCGCAGGCCATTCATGTGCAGGTCTTCGAGACGTTCCACGGCGGTGTTGATGTTCGAACAAGGAGTTTTGAGGCGTTCCGCGTGATCCGCGAGAGAATGTCGTGCTGCCAGTCTGTCAATATGCCCGTGATCCGGAAGGCTCGGGTCAGGGAGATTGAGTGTGGGGTCAGCATACGCGTATGGAGACGCCGGGCTTGTCACTGCCGAGCGTTTTCGTATTAGAGATACGAGAATCATGTACGTACCGGTGTTACGAAGTAGGTAATCGAGGGACCATATTCGTTTGGCCACGCGAAAATATCGTGTCCAACGGCTTTGCATTGGTGCTCGCGTGACCCCAAAACGCCACTGATGGTTCCATCTGACTCAGATTTTCCCGGGCAATCCGCACTCTGCTGGCGTGTTTTGTTCCGAGGGAGTGGTGACACTGTCTGCAGCTACTAACCAAGAGACGACCAAGTCCGGATTGCTCGGCTTTCGCCAGAATTGTCTCCGAGAGCCTAATTCATGTTTCATTCGCATTGGGTCCTTTCATCCTACCGTAAACTGTAATTTTATGCTTGCCTATCCCTAGAAGCCGCACAGACTTTGAGATTCACACGGGTGCCTTTTCAGGAGAGGCGAGGCCGTTTCCGGTGATGCCGAAACGTTAATACCGAAAGAGCGCCGCCGGATTGCATTGTGTCAGATCCCTTACGAGCCACGTCCGCGAATCATCCAAGCACATATACGTAGCTCTTGGAGAATACGAGGTCCCATCGAGTGCCTCATTCTTAGCTCGTATACCTCAAAATATAGTCACCTGAAACTAGCCGTAGACCCTCAAAGGTAAATTACGTGAGAGTTTATTTAAATTAACTAGCTTATAACTGCCTGTAATATAGGCTTAAATATTATAATAGGCAGTTAAAAACTCCTTCTAGCTAAATTAGTATTTTATTTTATTTATGATTTTCTTTATTATTTTATTTATTGTACTTAATTACTATAGCAGCTTGAGGCTTAGGGTACGACCACATATCGTTTAATGCCGAAGTCCTCATCCTACTAGACTAAACTCAAACTCATCCGCTTACGCTATACTCACCCGTTTAGGATAACGCGATCGGCATACTCCCCTCTTTATTATTCGCTTGTGATTGTCTTTACCTAGGTATCTCTCTATCTGTCTCCCTCTTTTTTCTCGCTCTTATTATCCCTCTCCTTCACGTCCTCTTTACCGCGCTGCTTCTTTCTTCTCATGGCTACGATACCTTCGACCTAGACATAGTGAAAAACGGTATATTATGTCTTACTAATATACGCGGATACAGCAGCTGCCAAACCTACGCCTACTGTTACAATAGTAAGGCCGCTCGGAGTATCCCTTGTGAGTCTTGACCATATGACCCCGAAAATTCCTCCAATCAGTACAAGGGATATTACTACGAAACTAATCCTCCTCATGCTCAAACCTCTCTGGAAGTGAATACCCCAACCAAGTTGTGTTTCATCAGATGAAGCTCTAAGTTGCCCACACGCCCGTTTTGGTAATTGATTGTATATGTTTCGCTGAGACACTCCAAAAGTATGAGATTTCTGAAAATAGTGTGTTAACTCGCGGGACCCAATTGCAGGGGAGTAGTCAAGTTCCACTTGGGGTGCCGGGGCACACTGATATTCTTTGCTGGCGACCCTGTCTTTCGGAGGAAGGCAAACGCATTTTGAATTCGGTGTGCGGACGCTGTCGTGGTGGTGAATACTAGCATAGCAGTTGGCATCGACCTTGAACTTATGGTATGTTAGCTTCAAGACTTTGGATTGATATACATTAGTATCACAAAGAGTGCGCATACCCTAGTTAATGAAAGAGACCTGATGGTACGCAATGTGAACCATGATGCATAGTTTCTGTGCTTGACGCAACGGTCCCTTAGGAATTGAAACAGCTCGTCGTCGTTGGTAACACGTTGTAGACGGCTTTGGTACAGTTGTGTACTAAACTCTCCTGTGTCAATGCACATCAGGAGGTGGAGAACTTCTTGATCATTTGTCGAGTGTTGCTGTGACTGTGTGCTTAGGGTGTGAAGTGGTAGCCCACTGCTTCCTCCGTTCATCGTTGGCAATGCCTGCACCACGCCTTGTTTTATCCAAGCACCAAAAATGCGTAGAGACTGCTGAATTGTTTGGATGCGCTGTTGGAAGGAATTTTCGTGCCGCTGAGTAGGAGCCTCCGTCGTGTTTAGCCTTTGTAATCGGGCCCGCAAGACGCCGAGGGAGCCAGGGCTATTCTCGACAAAGTCGTCAAATAATTTCTGCCCGCATCGCTACCCAAGTGTTAGTGCTCCAAAGAATGATTATACGCAGAAGATGACATACACATTTCCATCTTATTCGAGTGTGCCCTGGAGGCACTGGCGGCTCGAGAGTAGGTAGTAACATTTTCATGATACCATACAACGACTTGAGTAAAGTGTGTAGAAATTCTACTGGGATTAGTATATCAGGAAACTTACTCTGAAGGATTAAACTTACGTGTTATGCGATGAGCAAGATGCGTGTCTGTCACTCCTTCTTCGCTTTCATTGCGTTGAGATGTCTGTTTAGCTTTTGTCGAGTCTTTATTTGCCCTTTTAACAGGCTTTGCCCTCAAAAAAATTGGGATTTCGTCAGTATATTCGCTATCACTTGGGCGTTGTCTGGCGTTGGAAGGACTCCCAGCTTTCAATCGCTCTGATTGAAGATCCGACCACGCCTGACCAGAATACCATTGCCCCATTCCCTGCGTCGGATCGTCAATCTCGTCAATCTGTTCGCTATCACTTGGGCGTTGTCTGGCGTGGGAAGGACTCTTAGCTTTCAATCGCTCTGATTGAAGACCCGACCACACCTGACCAGAATACCATTGCCCCATTCTCTGCGTCGGATTGTCAATCTCGTGGTGCTGTCGCAAATTGGGGTATTTTGACCATTCTGAAGCCTTCCCGGATTTATCCTCCCTATGAGTACTAAACCAGCTCGTCCTCACTGGACTCTTTTGAGCTTCGGGACGCCGTTGGAGACCGGTTTGAATCGTTTCCGCGGGTCCTGCTATTTCCACTCTGCCAGGCTCTGAAAAAAGCCGCAAGGTGGGTGTCGGGATAGGGCCGATATCACCTCCGTCCTGCAGAGGACTGAGATTAGAGGCGGGACAGGTGAAGTGACCACAGTTGAGACAGTTAGGCGTGGTTCCGTGGAGCCAGTCATGGTTGCATATATGGCAAGTCCATGTGAAGCTGGGTAAGGGCACCATACTTGCAGCTAAGCTCTAAGACTGTAACTGACACTCACAGAGACTTTTTAATAAACGTCTGCAAAGCAATATAGAATTCTGGAAGTCGAACTCTCTTGAGGGCTAAAGTAGCAGTAGTTTGCGAGAGCTAAGTTGAGTTATCTTATAGCCTTATTAACTGGAATTACTTAAAAGGCGGGGTAATGCTGTCACGTGTTGCATTGGATGCAAAGTGAGATCAGGCTCTCCTGTACTCCTGGGTCGGTAGATACAAAAGACGCGGGGTTGAAAGTAAGCACAACATCCCTCACTGGTCTGATAGCTGTAACAAGGCCCGAATTTCAGCAGGGATTCTCGACCTAGGTTGCAGAGGCTGCAATTTGATGGCTGTTCTATCGTAAATCCTTCAAAAGTTGACCAGTGCCTGCCGTCAAGGACATATTATAAACAACTATCTGGCTCGCCTCGATAGTCGAGAACCACATCTACACGGAATCGTCAAGGGATTGGTATTTTCGGCTGGATTCTTGTCGAGTTTTATCTTTCGGTATGTAGATAAAGTCATTCTCTTATCCGTATCTTGGCGGCTTGGAGGTCGGAGAAGGTTTGACGGGTCGATCCCACACTCCTGCCTCTTTATCGTACCGCCCGGACACCTTCTAAGTCGCCATTTGGGTCTCCACTCACTTTGAGAATGCTTCCAGAGCAGGGCGAAAGCTACCTCTTGGTCCAGGCCTGCGACCGGTTGACCCCTTTCCTCAGCAGTGGGAGTTGAGAAATTGCATGTCCATCGCCAAGACGTTCCACAGGCACGTCGAGATCAGATGGCGACGTGATAGTGTCGAGGCAGCGCAACATGAAGCGCGAGCATGAAATTCCTCGATGATGACAAAATAGCGGCGTTGGCTTGGGCAGAGAAAGAGGCTACTGGAAAGGCCCATAACCATCAAGATTCGGCGCGACTGCTGAAGTTTTCCGAGCTGATAAGTGCGCGGCAACGTACTGAGGTGGATCGGAAACCTTGCCGGAGCGGCGTCAGTTTGCGTGTTGAGAAATTGGCCTTGATAAGAGGTAAATAGGTACCGGGCGATTTCGCTCCATCGTGCTACTCCACAAGCTGGGGCGTGACGACGCCATTGTGAGCGGTGAGGCTGTCGAGGAGGTTTGAGTCACATGTCGCGATTATCCATGGCAGTGAGAGTCGCGATGAGGTGAACAGGAGGCGAGTTGTCGAGTGAGGCGTGGCTAGGTGCTGACGACAGGAATCCCGATGGAAAGTGCAGGAAATTTGCGTTCCTTGTGGCTGACCGTGGCCGTGATGCTACACTTTGTTCGTGTGTATTAGCTATGGTTAGGACCCCAAAGATGCCTAGAATTTGCCAACACCTCGTCAGTGATGGCGGCCCCGTCCGTCGGGATCGAGGGCTTCACTTACGCTCGTCCGCCAGTCAGCGATCCAACCCTCCATGTTGACGGCGTTGCGTTGTTAACTTCAAACAGCCCGTTTCTTCGAATGCACTGGTTCTGGAGTGACGTCTTTCTCAGCCAGGGGGATGTGGTCCTCATCGCAAACGGGCGGGATACAACGGGCAGGGTGTTGTCGATCGCGAATAGGCATGTTTCTTTTATCACCAACGGGTGGCACGCGGCTGGTAGGGTATTGCCGATCGCCAACGAACAGGTTACAACGGAAAGGAGTTCTTCGTCGCCAACGGCGGAATGTAAAGATGGGCTGATTGCACTGAAGTCATTAGTGAAGTCGCAGGCAAAGGGCTCAAAAGTCTGCTTACCTAGAGGCTTAAAGATCTGTTGGATTGAGGCTGGGGTGCCCATGTGAGCTTCCAGGCAGCCTAGAAGATCGCCGTCATGCACACCCAGTTTCGAAGGGACGGGAGGAGGGATGGTGGGAGAACTTGTCCGGGGTTTCTGTTGTCGCAGGGGACTCATAGGAGTAAATATCCCGTAATCGAGCCCTGGTGGTGAATCTGAATCCAAAAGGCATTCTATCGGAATGGTATTTGGTGTGGTCATTGTCGTCTGGTGGGTTTCTGTTGTCGTAGGAGATTCATAGGAGTCAACACCCCGTGATTGAGCCCTGGTGGTGAATCTGAATCCAAGGCATTCTGTCGGAATGGTATTGGGTGTGGCTATTGTGGTCTGGTGGGAGAACTTGTCTGGGGATTAACCGTGGTTGGTGAATCTGAATCTAAAAGGCATTCTGTCGGAATGGCATTTGGTGTGGCCATTGTGGTCTGGTGAGAGTAGTCTTGTCCGAACTGGATGAGGTTACTAGAGTCATGTAATTGTCTGCTAGATCAATCAGTCAGTCAGACGGGCAGGCAGAAGGCTCGGGGCTCAGCTTACCTAGAGGCCCAGGAGTGTGTTGGATCAAGAGCCTAATAGCCTGCCGGATCAATCAATCCGTCAGTCAGGCAGGCAGGGGGCCCGGAGGTCTACTTATCCAGGGGCCTGGAAGTCTGGTGGATCGGTCAGTCAGTCAGTCGGACTGTCAGGCGGAGGGCTCAGAGGTCTGCTTGCACAGGGGCCCGGGGTCTGTTGGATCAAGGGCTTGATGGCCTGTTGGACCAGTCAGTCAAACGGGCAGAGGGCTCAAAGGTCTGCTTACCTAGAGGCTCGAAGGTCCGTCTGATGGAGGGTCCGTGTATTTAGGTCAGTCAGTCAGTCAGACAGACAGACAGGCAGAAGACCCGGAGGTTTGCTTACCTAAAGGCTCAAGATTCTGCTAAATCAAGAGCTTGTTTGTTAGACCAGTCGGTCAGTCGCTCGCCGGTCTGCTTGCCTGGGGGCTCGAAGGTCTGCCGGATTGAGGGCGATAAGCGGGCTGTGCCAGGTCAAGATCAGGATCTAACGTCGGTTCAATGTAGAAAAGATCGCATTTTCCCCCTGCCCGGGAGGGGCCCTGCCGGGGGCTGCCTGCGGCACTTAACAAGGTCAGATAGCAGAGGGATTGAATGGTGTTGTTAGTTCTGACAGCTTGCTATCCATCGCCTGCGGAGTGTTTGTGTTTTGGCTTGCAGCATCGTGCAGCACCGTACCAACGAGCAGTACTCTTCTCGCCGGAGTCGCACCAAGACCAACTGGATTTCCGAACCGAGATATTTTTTGGGAGTTCTTGCATATTATTGTTGGGGAAAATAGCAATGTCCGGGTTATACATTCATTCTATTTATATGAAGCTATGTGTACTTCTTATTTCTCTTACTTATTCACGTATAGAGGATGCCCCAAAGCATCGTGGCCCCCTTGGGCTCCTCAGCCTCCTCGGGCTCCTTAATCTCCATAGCCTCATTGGGCTCCTCGACCTCCTCATCCTTCTTGGGCTCCTTAGGCTCCTTAGCCTTCTTAGCCTTCTTAACCTACTCGGAGTTGTTGGCCTTGTCTTTCCTCTTATCCTTCTTCTTCTATATGAACTTGATGGTGAGGACTCTGCTAAGGTCTAATAATATAAGGTTGATCTTCTTTAGGTACTTAAGCCTGATAAAGGTTACCTCGCCCTCGGGGTTTTGGATTCTAACAGCTGCAATCTCCTTTATCTTAGGAGGCTTAGAGCCTTTAGCTACTGGCTTGGTCTTCTCTAGGGGTCCTGCGATATATAGGTCACCGAAAACGACTAAAGCACTCTTATAGCAACTTATTATCACATTAAGCCGGCAATTATCAGCTGTGAACCCTGGCCCAACTGCTTTTATCGTGCCTGCAATTACCGCAACTATATCTCCTTCCTGCCCTTGGATAGAGTAGATTATCGAAGCTGGCCGTATAATTTAGAGGGCGGCAAACTGTAGGCACTTACGGGCAGAGGCAATAGCATTAATTATTGCAGCATATAGGGTGATAATCAAAATATCGGCGGCTTTAGCAGTAGGAGTGGCCTTAAGGAAGTCGCAGAGAAAGGTGAGGGCGATGTCGATCTGGTCGAGATTGCGCTTCGACCCAGTGACTTCGTCCTTTATGCACCGAGAGAACTTGCAGTGAACGAAGAGAGGTTGGGATGTTCTAGGAGCAGAAGGAGTCACTTCGCCGGGGTACTTATTGGCAATGAAGGACTCCAGCTGTCGGTCGATGGCATGCTCTTGGAGATCGATAGTCGAGAGCCAAATAGACATAGACTCATTAAGGAATTAGTTTGATCAGCTGGATTCTTGTCGACTTTTATCTTTTGGATATGGGGATAAAGCTGTTCTCTTATCTGTATCTGTTGAGTGCACGTGGAGGTCGGAGGACAGTGAATCATGCACTCGGTTGATGGTCGGTTGGCAGGTGCGACGTGTGACAAGTTTCTGGCGCGCACTTGTGACGTCGTCTTCTTTTGCTTCACAACACCTCTCTGCAGAAGCCGTGTCTGTGTACAAAAAAGAGCCTCTCGATCAGTTCTGACCAAATCGTGGGTCACTGGGCCGAAGGGATGTCGTCGGTCAGCCAGACACCTTCGAGGAAGCGCAAGCAACCTCATCCCTCTCCGCCTCCCGCGGCCTCTCCGCCTCCTGATTCCATTCCCGCCTCCAAATCTACCGCAAAGACCAAGAGCTTTCGGGCAGAGTGCGCCCTCAGCCTGGAGGGCACCCTTTTCGGTGGCTATACTCTTGGTGTGGCTGGATCGCATGTCCGCTCTGTCCTTCGGTCTGTCAACTCGCGTGACGTCGCCCCTTGGATGGGCTTGGACATCGAATTCCCACTTGGTGCGTCGGCCGAAGATGACGGCTTTGGCACGGTTCATAGCCGTGAGTATTGTTCTTCGTCTCTTCAAACGACTCAACTAACGTCGACCTGCCACAGCCCAGGATCGCCTTTACGACACCCAGCCGTACCAGTTCCTTCGGGTCCTTGTCAAGTTTCCCCGAGGCGGCTTCTCATTCTCATATGGACTCCTCGACTCGTCGGCGCGTCATCGATTCCCCGGCGCCAAGAAGGATCCCTTGCTGCTTGATGTCTTCATCAACGACGGCGCAGAAGTTACCGTCGAGGGTCTTGGTATGCCCTTCGCGAACTCCGACCACCCCGAGATTGAAGGATGGCTCAACCGATTTGAGCCAGTCGCCAACGGAATGACGCTGATTGACGTATTCAACCAGCGCAACTTTACCATCGTTGTCGATCATGGGGAGGAGTACTTTGTGAAACATTGGAATGAAGCCAACCTCCGACCCCCCTTCTCCTACCCTTACGGCACCAACCATTCCTGGGACGAGGACAGATTCCCCTCGCAAATACACGACAACAAAGGCCGTCAGTTCTTGCCAGCCTGGACCTACAGCGATGACAACGCACACCTTGCCGCAATGAGCCAGTCCCAGGTCCAGGATAGATGGTGGTTGCATGAGGCGGCGGTGGAGATTTCTCGTCAAAAGCTCCCGGCATACTTCATCAAACCTGACCAGGCCGACGGGGACAGGGCACACCTTGCTATCATCCCTCTACCAGAGGACTTCCGTAACAGCTACGACTCTGCCTGGCGCCAGCTCACCTCCAACAGCTACCCGCTCAAGCTTGACCTCTACAAGGGCGCCGAGTCCGTCACCTGGGATGCCAAGATCCAAGACCGCGACAAGTCCATCAGGGATTTGCACAGCAAGCATGGCATCAAGAAAACCGACCTAGTCCTCGAAGTACGGCGCCTAGAGAAGCTTACCTTCCCTGTCATCACCTTTCCAGACCGTGCCACTGCCGACGCTGCCCTACAGCAGGCCGATGATCAATAGAATTACGTCGGCCTTAGTTTCGATGCTCAGCTACCCGAGGCCAAACGCAGAGTCGATTCCGTGTCTATGTTCCATCCCGAGGCCGCTCCGTCCAACCCTCTTGCGTTCCCGGGTATCGCTCCTCCGACCATGGTCCAGGGAAAGTTGGTAGTCTCAGCTGAGATGGAGCTCCGCATGAAGATCCATCGTTTGTTGTTTCTGGGCACTGGATTCTGGCCCATCTTGAAGGTGGCCCGGACACAACCGCCCGCCGACAACAACATGGTGGCCCAGATGCCCAGTCCTCTACCCATGGTCAACCTTCTCAACATCACCGACGACGCGTACACCGAGGCTCTCTTGGAAGAGATTCTTCTCGCTGACCGCCCCAGCTTCCGCAAGTATCTCGCACAGAGACCCCTCGGACTCGGCGTTATTACTGGGGTAAGCTACATTTCGGGTTACGTTAACCTCTACGTTGCAACCTCCTCTAACTTGAAGACAGGCTCCTGGGTTTGGCAAGACGACGGCTCTTGCGCTCGGTACCCTCGCGATGTCCGCCAGCATAGGAAAAGTCTACGGCTCTGCCCCGACTCACGTTGCAACCGACAATTTCGCCGCCCGCCTTTGTACCATGACTGAGCGCGTCACTGAGCGCTACAACTCGGGAAAGCAGGGCGTTGCTCATGTTCGCCGCAAGCTAGTCGTTCGTGCCTACAAGGAACACGAAGAGTATGCCGCACTGCGTCACCTCTTAGAGCACCCCCTTGACTCCGACAATGCCTTGCATGACTTGGATTGGAACGAGACGCCCGAGTGGAAGCTCAATCTTTCCACGACATTCTGGCTTCTCGTGTGCCTCCGATCTCCAGGGGTTCGAGAGCTCCATGCTGATGATAGCGTCACTCTTCACGAACTCCAGGACCACATTGACAAGCGAGAGGATCTCGACAGACTCCGAGCTGTAGCCGTCGGTGATATAGGCTGGGATGACTACACGAACGGCACAACAACGCCCAAGGAGGCGCTCGAAGATCTTTTACGCTGCATCATCACTGCCGCAGACATCATTTGTACCCCTCCTTCCCTATCACATACAGATCCACGTCTCAACATGTGGAAGAACTGCGAGGCGCGGGGCATTGCAGTCGATGATGCTGCGAGCATGGCCCGACCTGATCTGTACTGTATCTGGGGCAACACACTCCTCCCGTGTCTGATGGCTGGTGACGGGAAGGAATCTGCTCCCAGGGTCTTGGCTCTTAAAAGCAATGATGGCGCGGGTAATGCCATCAACCGCTTCGGACTAGATGCCATGGTTTCAGGCTTGTTGTGGTTCAAGCGCACTGCCTGGCCCGTCTTCCGCTTGCGAACCCAGTTACGAATGGCCGTCGGCCTGTTTGAAGTCTGCCAGCGTGAAGTCTATCGCGACCTAGCCTTCAACCACGGTCCCGATACTGATATCAGCCTCCCGTGCCACGGCACTGGCAGGGCCCTGGAGTCGTATATCAACACAAAGTACCCAGACGTGAAGCCCGCTCAGACCGGCACCTTTCAGCCTCTCTTCGTTCATTGTAAGGGCGCCGGAGCCTTCACGGACCCCATTACTTCCTCGAAATGGAGCTACGACCAAGTGGAGATAGCTTTGGACTTTCTCAGCGACTTCGTCATGACCGCCAATGTTGATCCCTCGCATCTAGCTATTATCACGCCTTACCAGGCCAACGTTGAAGCCATCAAGCATATGCGCAACAAGGCCATGTACAAGGCTCTGTCCCCAATGCGCCCCGCTGCCACAGTCGACTCGTTCCAAGGCCAAGAGAGCGATATTTCAGTCCTAATCATGGGCAACACCAACAAGTCAGGAGTCGACTTTGCCGCAGAGCGCGTGAACATAATGCTGAGCCGCCAGAGGAGCGGGTTGCTCATATTCGGTGACATAAACTCCGCGGGCAAGGCGCGAAATAAGAAGGTATACCACATGATGAAATCATTGAATCCTAAACTCAAGCCATATTTTCCTAGAGCGACACCGTTCCAGAATGTACAAAAGTGGCTGCTCGGGAGCGGCCGCGTTGCCACCGTTCAGGTCAAGTCGGAGAAATCGGGTTTGGAGGGCAAAATAGAACCGGACAAACAGTCTGAGTAATGGTATTGGCATGTACGGATAGTCTAGAGATCTGAGCTGCTGTCGACAGCCATGTATGAACAAATATGAATTCTACTTATTGGCCAAATTGATGCCAGGGTGTCCAACAGGTGCCTTTAGCTGCGTGAAGTTGGGATCCCACCGCATAGGACCTCCCCCGAACGCCGACCCGCGTGCACCATCGCACCACAACGTGCGAGAGACAACCTTCCAACCACTTCCTCTAATCCCCCCCTCCATATTTATATCACCATTCTTCCAAGGCTCAGCCCGCTTCGTGGGAAGGATTGACAGAAGCAAGAGGGACAGCGAAGCTGTCGACGGACGCGAGGGTCGGAGCGCGTGCTGTCCTAGATCTTCGAGTGACTGCGATCACGACAAACATGATTGTGGATTCAGGAGGAGAAGTTAGATTATCGGCAGACCAGGTTAATGCGATGTGTCGATGGCATAAGCTGAATTTGTGCATCGCAAGGCTCTTGGCGATGGAGTTAATAGGATTGCGAATTAATTGAACGGAGCCAATATTTAAGATATAGTTGAACAGGTTAGCTGTAAGAAGCCGATGAAGTAAACTATTTTATAATAGGTCTTATATAACAATTAACAAAATCCAAGTTTAAACTCTTAGTTTAAACCTTTATTTTATTATGTTTATTTCTTAGTTTTATTTGACTATTTTAATTTCATATATTTATTTATCTTAGTATTTTTCTGCTTCTCATTTCTTTCTGGATTTTTAGCTTTCCCTTATAGGTGCGCGATATGCTTTTTAGCTCCATGATTTGCGAACCATACTTGGAGCAGATGGCTGCATAGGCTGTACTCCTACCCGAATCCATCCGTTCTCATCAATTTCAGCATCTTGGGGACTCACGACATCGAAAACAACCTCACAATCGAAGTCGCAGTCAGAGTTAGCTTCATCGATCGGAGGCGGAATCGGCATCTGCTCCGGCGAAAGTAGCATCGTCATCATCCTCAGTCCCAGGGTCTGCATCCTCAAACTCAACGAACCAACAATAGAATGGAGGACTGGAAGCTGAACTCCCAAATAGACTTCTGTCAGCCTTGAGTCTCTTGAGCTGGCGCGTCAGGTAGAACCTCATCGGGCAAGGACTTAGGTGCCACGGCGTCAACCACGGGCTCCTCGCTAGGCAGCCGGAAGGCCAAGGTTTGCTAAACGGAGATACCTGACTGCCTTTTTTATATTAGAATCACCCCAGTAGATGTAGCGGATACAAATATCTTACGCGCACGCTTGGTTCCTCGAGCACTTCGCCTTGGGGCAAAGCCAGCGGCAAGATTCCTCATTTGGCGCTTGGCGACAGCAGCAGCGGCGTCCAGGGCGATGGCGATGGCGACGGCGATGACAGAAGGCTCGGCTGGCGAAACTCCAGCGACACAAGGGACGATGGAGTATGAAGAGGAAGAGTGAGAACCATGTGACGATATCTCTGTCGTGCGCGCTGACCGAATTGACAGCCACCATCGCTGCCACTTCGTCGAGGTACTCTTGGTTGTCGCCCTCCCGCGGGTGCCCGTCAGAGACAACCTTCGCTTCGTCAAGTGGGTTCATATTGACGAATGGTATGAAGCGTGCCAGTCCAGGAATCGTAAGAAGGTGGTGTAGGGCTGGAGGAGATGACTGATGTGGAGGATGATCTGGCGGGGGGAAGTTTGTCAACAGAGATTCGTTTGTGGATAGGAGAAACCTTGTGAACTCTCGGCGGAGAGCCAGAAGATGAAGGACCCTCGAATTGTCTCGGCCGAGACCATGGATGTCGGGGGTGCTCAAACGGAGGGTTTCCTTCTGCCCATTTCGGCTTCAGATACTCTGCCTTAATTCCCAGGTTTAATTACTCCGGGGACGGGAGGAAAGAGCGGGTGATCGGGCGTGTCGCATACAGGGCAGGTACCACGCCAATGACAAGCAACAAGGTTATCGCCCTTGTCAAACGTCCAACTAAACCAGTCTCACATTATTTCAGCTCAAATATAGGTAAGTGTGCACTCCCTAGACTTGAATGAAATGATGGTTTTGACCACGGGGTCCTTCCCTTTCAAGCATTGTCACTTCATAGCGCATCCGCCGGTTTTGCGACTACATTCACTCCGTCCTCACCATCCACGATCGGGACAAGTCTTGTGCTGGAGTGGAAGGGTATGGAAAAGGACCTGTAGCGTGACTCAAAACAACGACATTACACGCAGAATGCGTCATCCAACGCAGAACTGATTGGGTTGCAAATAACTTCAGGGTGGGTTACTTTTTAATAGTGCCCTTGCTGAATGACCCGGCTAGAGATTTGTAACCGCATCCTGTTAGATGCAGAGTACTCATAATTTGGATATGAATATAATTCACTTTCGTACACCTCACCGCATCTGAAAACTCCATCCTCAAGCATGAAGATTGCCGTCATAACACGCGCCCCTGCTCGACTCGCTCCAAGTGGTGCCATCTTCCAGATTAATGCATATCATGGTGATTTCTGGACTCAAATTTGACATAGACAATTGTAGTCTCCCCCAGCACAATGCTATAGGGTAGTTGGTTGTTATGCGTCTCCAAGGAACCCCAGGGCCTTCGTCAAACCAAGCGGCACTTGGAGGCGATTTATGCCCATGTCATATTTGCTGCACAAGTGGCTGCAAGACTTTTTTTTTGGAACGCTCGATGGACGTTGTGATCGGCTGTGACCTTTCATGAGTTAACTGATTGCTGTTGCACGGCCACCGCTTGGGTACGTTGAGCGCACCACCTCAAGTGCGCTGGGCGTAGTTGGCAATTCCCCGACGTCGTATCGCCAGATGTACAAGACTGGGTACGGTGTTACCAGGAAGATCCCTCTCCAGCTCATCGATCACAATTTTCTCAAGCTGACTCAACATAGCATATTGATTCCCTCCCATCTAGGCCCCGCCTACGCGGTCAAGTGAAGAGTCGCGCCCGCTGTCGAGAGGGTGCAGTGAAGTGCTTGGTCATTCACGATGAGGATGACGATAACGATAAGATGCTCAATCAACTGTCTCTGCCTATCAGGTAGGTAGCCACAAGGGTCACAGAGCCAGCGAATGATCGCGCTGGGCTAATCTAACTTGTGTCTGCTCCCTCTTGGTGAGCAAGTTGCCGGCACCAGGTCAAAAAACACAGTTGAGCAATGAGGCACTTTCTAGGATTCAGATGTGACCCTTAATTATTTACCGCTTTAGCCTCTAGTATTTAGTATATAGCCTTAGTTCTTATAAACATTATGCCCTAAAGCGGTCCCATCTGGCCTCCTTAGTCTTCGCCACGATCACCTCCTCTCCCACCCCAGGCCCTTAGTGTTGATGGCGGTGAACCTGAAAGCGGCGACCAACATGACATGTACCTTGTGGAGCATTTTGGGCCGGCACTTGTGCAAATCACCCTCGGGAGTGTGTGGGAGGACGATCGGGCAGGCGGCTTCCTTCTCGTCGGGGTTGGCCTTGACCTTGACCTGGTCGATAGACTTAACGACATGGATGTCACCAAAGATTACCAGGGCGCTTTTATGGCGGCTCAGTATGACATTGAGCCGCCGTTCGTCGGTGGTGAAGCCTGGCCCATACTGCGTCGTGGTTCCGGTAATGACCACGACCATATCTCCCTCTTGTCCCTGGATCGAGTCGATCGTTGATGCTGGCCGGACCTTGTTGATAGCCATACACTCGGGCTTCTTCCGCATGCTGGTAATGGTTTCGATCATCGCTTTGTAGGGGGACGGGATGAGGATCTGGGCCGGATCGACGGCAGAGTTGGTCTGGACGAAGTCGCAGAGGAATTCGAGGGCGGCGCGGACTTGATCAGGACTCCGCTTCGATCCAGTCACCTTGTCCTTGGAACAACGAGAGGCCTTGAAGTGCATGAACACAAGAATGAGTTGCCCGGCAGTGGAGGGAGCCACCTCTGGGTACTTGGGGTGATGTAGGCCTCGAAGGTGACGCCGATGCTGTGCTCTGGTCGGGTTATATCGCACCAGCTACCGTAAGTAGACTCAATCTCTTTGTAGACGGTCTCCTTGTAGATCTCGAATTGCCCCACGGCCATGCGGAGCTAGGTGCGCAAGTGGTAGATCGGCCAGCCAGCGCCCTTGGGGTGGAATGTCGCTTTGGATGAAGGTGTGGGATCAGGCCAAACACCAACTCCTCCAAGCCTGCCACAAAGAGAGCTCTTTGGTCCCGATAAACACAAGGAAGAAAACACAGACCATCAGTGACGGTCAGGCTGGAAACCGCAGAGACTCTCACCCCTATCTGCGCACGTTCGACAGTACAAGGTCTATCGAGCAGACCCGGCAGGCGACATGGAAATCTGCACAGGGCAACTTCGTCGCTGCAAGTAGGAATAGATCGCGCAAAGTGAGATTGTTAAGAGGAAGAAGAAGGCAGAAACTCGGTGGGCGGGAGAAAAATCCGGCATTGTCGAGTGAGTCAACTGGCTGGCCAGCTGCCCGGCGCAATTCATTGGCCGTATCCGGATGGGACTCAGCTCCGTTTTAGGGGTTGTCCAATTGGGTATGTGTCAAGTTGGAATCCGCCGAATGCATCTGTGTTGCATTGATGTCAAGGTGATATTAAACTGAGATGGACTTCTAGTCCGTGTGTGTGTACTGGGACACCCTAACCTCTTGATAGATGTGAAACTAAAATGATGATAAGAAATAATAGTAAAATAAGATTATAAAGCAATAATAATAATAAAAACATAATAATACTAAATACTAAAAATAATAGATTTATAATAATCTTTTTAGGTTTGCGGTATTGTGTGAATTTTAATACAATTTATAGTTATTAAAGCCAATTATTCGATTCTGTCCAACATATTAACGTTGGCCAATGCAAAATCACCAGACTTTATCTCCACGAACTTTGCCCTGCACAGATTCAGCCCCTACTATTGGGATGGAATTCGAGACGCTATACGTCAGTACCAATTATCTCTATCATCCATTCTGGGGAGTCGACGCAGCTCTTAGCAATGAAATTTGGGAAGGTGCATGAGACACGACCACCACGCCCGTCCCACCAACTGCTACTTTCCACGTGCCAGCTCTCCCGATTGACCTGTGCATTCTCGACGAGGACGTGTTGCCAGTGTCATCCCCCAAGGGTCGATTGCGAAGCATAGTTCACGAAGTGTGGCCTCTTTGCGCAACAGTGGCGCAACGAGTACTCCCGTCTTCCCATTGCGAGAAATCAGCTTCGCAGTTGGAGTATTAGCAAGAGGCTGGAGGCAGGTCGGTTTGGCTCAGCTCAATCTTGTCCCAGGCCTGCCCCACATGGCGAGACGGTAGCGCAACTGCCAACCTCCCTCATCAGCGAAGCTTCATTGCCATCCTTTAGGCTGCGCATGATCTGCAAGATCAAGTTGGCAACGTCACTTCTGCATCGTTGAGATCTTCGCCCCACATGGCGGCCCCATAAGTATGCGGCTCAGCGATCTCCCGGGATGGTGTGGAGCCTACAACGACCTGAGCCGCATGTAACGTGCAGACTTCATTAACGTTGCGAATGGGTGTTGAGGAACTGGAGGAGGGTTGGCATCGTCTTTCCCCGTCCATATTTAAACAAAGTGAGCCTCGGCGTACTCAAGTTTCAGAGCTGTTTCTCCCGTCCGCACTTCAGCATGCTGCAGTTTGCGCCAGGGTGACCAAAATAAAATTGACGACGGAGCAGGGTTCACGTCGTGTTGTTTGAAGGAACAAAAAAACAAAAACAAAAAAAAACATGCACATGATGAAGAATTGAACCTACGACTACGCGCTACGTATACTTGCCCGTTGCATGACAAATTCTTAGGAACCGAACTCTCAAAGAGAGTTAGTTGGTCAGTGACGTACTAGGCAAGCCGTTCGGCCAGACCGCAGGGGGAATGGCACACCACCGAAGTGATGTGCCCCTGATCGAGAGCTCAATATTACAGTATATATATTGTATCCGCGTCCAAGTTTACTACGTAACTATGCAAGTGGGTGCAACAATACTCATGTGACCGCCAAGCTGTGTCCAAGCCTGAAAACTGCACAACCTCTCGTTTGGTCGAGTTTCCTTTTCTTCAGCAGCCCTGTTGGGGGGCGACTGCAACAAGATGAGCTCGCTGCTTTTGGGGCCTGCATTGGCGGTTGCGGTCTCAGGAATCAATCACAGACAACAACGGCTCTCACATGCCGTTACCTTGATCAATACCTACCTACCTACAAATCGTTGACCTCACAACAATCATCCACACACTTCGCCGAACTTGGTTCGCATGCACCCATCTCTGTACTTCAGCAGACATGTCGCCATCCGAGGGCGCAATGGGTATGTCAGCTCCCAACACTCGGCCGACTGAACTGACACAAGCTTTCTCTTACAGAGTCTCCCATCTGTGCACCGCCTTCACCCCGACCACCTCCACATTCTAACTGAACGCAATCAACATCGCCCACTTGGAGTTGTCGACAGATCGAAAGTTGACCGACAAAGCAGTTTGGGAGAATGGATGACTTCTTCGAGCGACCTCGATCCTCGTTGGGTTTCCTTTTGTAAAGGCTGCGCCGGTATTACTCATCTGTGGTAGTTCACCGCAGATCGTAATGTGCAAGGGGCTGATAAGATCACACTGAGCTTGTCAAATTGCACCAACGTGAATTCTGTAGCCCGGCTATCTAACGCTGGAATTCCCTCCCAACCATCTGCTCCAACAGTAGGCAAAGTGTCAGGGCCGACTCCGATTCGAGGCAGACGTCCGAATCCAAATGCAATTCGAGTGCCTCCACGCGCTGGTCCAACCCAAGCCCAAGGTGCCACTAGGTCCGGTGTTGGTCAACATTGAAGGACGTGATTGCGGGGAAGAGATTGCCAAGAGGACAAAGATGTGCCGTGTCAGTTGGTAGTTTCGGCCAATGCCAATGGAATCTTCGAGACGAAAAGAGCCAAGGCAGCAGCGACGAGAGCTAGCAGACAGGCGCCTCCCGTTGGCAGCGCGTCAACTTTCTGGGTGACCCTTCATACTGCGTGCCAGACGTGGCGAGACGAGTTCAAGAACCGACCTGCCTGCCATTTAAGACCACGGGGCCTAGAAATAAACACAACCATCGACTTTACAACACACTCTGGCTCCTCCTGGCCCTCCTTGGCCCCCTGGGCCTCTGGACCGCATCCGGGCTGCAGTACTGAGTGACGCCCCCCAACCAGGAATCCCATCTTAGGTGCGTGTTTCCGCTAGTTACTCGTGAGAGTTTGACACAGCACCAGCGCTTTCTTGATTCCTTCTGAATGCTAACCCGAGACGAGCGAAGCCATCGCCATATGCCAATAGACGGTGGACAACTGATCTTACTCGACTCTGGAAAGCCTACAAGTACTGGGGAAACCTGGCGAGGGTACAGCAGCGGGTAGGCCATAGACAGTAAAACCTAGAGAGCCGGGCGAAGGTAGCATCCAAACAGTACCACACACCATCAGAAGACAAAGAAGGCCCCTGGGAAGACTTGCACGCAGACAGGGTCAACATCTGACAAGCGGCCAAATACCTCAAACCCGGTGGCGACATGGTCGGTGACATGGTCGGCGACAAAATCCCCCGGCTGAAAAGGGCGGACGGGACGACAACGCAGGACAAGGCGGAAGAGGCAGAGGTATTGCTGACGACATTCTTCCCGCCACTACCAGCAACCATGGAAGGCGAATGCCCATGGCCGCGGCAGAGAGAAGTGGCCATGCCGGATTCGACGTTAGAGGAGGTGGAGGAGAAAGTCGTGGCAGCCAAAGCGTGGAAAGCACCCGGGGAAGACGGCCTGCCGGCGATGGTGTGGAAGCAACTCTGGCCAGTGGTCAAAGAACGCGTGATATATCTGTTCCGAACCTCACTGAATGAAGGCAGCTACCAGATCAGTGGAGGAGCGCTAAGATCACCCCGCTCGAGAAGCCGGGCAAGGCCGACTTGCAGTCGCAAAGGAATGGAGACCGATCTCGCTGTTGTCGACGCTGGGAAAATTACTCGAAGCAGTAGTAGCAGACAAGATCTCATACGTCGCCGAGACGTTCAGGCTGCTGCCTATAAACCACTTTGGGGCAAGGAAGCGGTATTCGGCAGAGCAGGCCTTGCTACTCTTCTAAGAAGTAAACCACTTTGGGGCAAGGAAGCGGTATTCGGCAGAGCAGGCCTTGCTACTCTTCTAAGAAGATATGTACAAAGCATCGCGGAACTGCAGGGTGGTCAGCCTAGTAAGCTTCAACATCAAGAGCGCCTACGACGACGTATTTAAGTACAGACTGCTACAGAGGCTGGACGCAAGAGGCATCCCCAAGAATCTGGTGCAATAGATAAGTACGTTCTGCTCAAAGAGCATGGCCAGCATGGTAGTGAGCGACTACACGTCAGAGCAACGGGAGCTGCCGCAAGCAGGCCTTCCCCAAGGATCGCCGCTTTCGCCGGTGCTTTTTCTATTCTCTAACGCAGACCTTGTACCGAGAAAGATTGACTCGAAAGGCGGTTCGATAGCCTTTATCCACTTCACGCGCGTAGCTGAACGCACTAGCGAGGTGCCATTCATGATCAATGGTGAGGAAGTCAAGCCAAAGGCGAATTCCAAGCTCCTGGGCGTGGCCATGGATACGGAGCTCGAGTCCAAGTAACACATGGCCAAGGCAACCACTAAAGGTCTCTCGGCAGCCATGTACCTAAGGAGACTCAGGATACTGCCACCACAAGCTGCCAGACAACTCTTCGTCGCAACCGTTGCCCCATCCATGGACTTGGCCCTTGAATAGGGTCTAGAAATGCACCGCAAGCCATCGTATGACGGAGGGATGGAGTCGGAAGAGAACTCTAGGAAGAGGTGTCGGAAGAGGAGTTGGAAAGGTAGCTTCAATGTTGGCGCGATTCTAGCAAGGGATTTCGTCGTAGTCGGCTTCGCTGTCTTCGGACGCGCGAGATAGGAAGCCGGGCAGGGCTTAGCTTTCTTCGAGAGACTGGGTGACGGAGTGGGAGCGCTTCTCAAGTCCTTGATCGTCGTTACGCTCTTGAAAAACATGGAGGTGAAGGAGGTCGGTGGCATCATGCCAAAGTCGGCGGGCGGAGTGGTTTTGGGCCCAAGACCATGCTACTAGCCGTGCGTCGAGACTGCCTAGAGTGTCAGCACGGATGCGATAGCGGCAAAGGGGAGGAAAATACCAAGGTAGATGCTGGCGAGGAAACTGGATGAAGTCTTGTCTTTGCGGAGCAGAGTGACAAGTGGAAGTTTTCTGGCGGTGAAGGTACCTAGTTAGGTAGAGCCCAGCACGTGGGGCAGGATTAGCAGGGCTGTCAACAAGTCAAATCAACCCAGATTTCCGCGAGGTTCGATGCGGAAGCCCCTCAAGGTGAAGTTTTTCGGCCTCAAGCTGTGATGACTTTCAAAAGCCGCCAAGACGATGGCGCCAAGTTCCATGGCTCCTGAGAAGTCGACGGCTCCCCTCTGCTCATGTGCCACCTCTAGCAGGAGTATGATCTGGGGTGAGGAAAAAGCGATCTCAAACAACGGCCTGGGTGATTGAGATTGACGTTGGAGTGGAGGACTCAGTTTGCACCAAACGCTCCATTCCACATTTACTTAATTAATGGCTCGTGAGATAAAACTACCAGTGCAAAAAAGAAGGCAAGTCCTCCTCCTCACAAGGCTAGCTATTTCCGATTTGTTACAGTGGAAAGAAGAGTCTGCTAAACAATTGATAAATAATCAATAATTTAGTTTTATGACATAAAACTAAAAAAAAAAAACATAAAAAAAAAACATAAAAAAATTAACTTATATAAAAAAAATAAAAAGAAATATAAAAAAAAAAAATATATATATATATATATATAAAAAGAATATCAATTGCAATACTCTGCCTTAGGCCGCGCTTTATCTGAAACAAGCAGTAGTATCTTGATTTAAGATCAGTGAGTCAGTCTGGAATACAGTGCTTTATACGAGTTGGAAACTTGATTATAGTCTCAATCTCAATAGCTAATGTGTTGCTAAGTATTTTATTCTTTTTTATATTCTATTATTGGTGCAAGGTGAGACCTTACAGATGGAATGGATATATTAAAAAAGAATATACATACAATATATTACTCAGTATAATTTAAATTAAAACTCTTAAATTAATACAAAGTCATAAGAATATTATAATAAAATATTATAATAAAGATAATAGCCAATTGGTCCAAGTGCAGTGAGGATATCAAAGCCGGGATAGATTCCGACTCTCTGACTTTCTCAAACCAAAGATTGGGAGTTGGATGGTGGTCCCATTCGACGCATTCTATAGACAAAAGTATATGTGGGTTAGTAAAAGATCCCTATGATGTAATACAGTGTCGTTGGGGATTAAGAGGTATCGGTTTCGGCCTGCTAAACGTGCCCGACGTTCCTTTTGTCGGCACCCACACAAATCTGTCTCTCGACTGCCAAAACAGACGAGTGTGACCTAGACTACAAGTTGACAACGCATTGGTGACCAATCATCTTGCTACAAACGTAGAATACTCTCAAGGTCAGTCTACCAACTGACATTTCGTCCTTTGCGGTAGCGAGTTAATTTTAGACAACACACCAGAAGCCAGCCATTGACATTTCCGCGGAAGGATACACAGATCATCTAATTAAGGCAATCAAATGGGCTTCTGAGAATAAATTTAGGAGCCCATGGCAAGTCTTTTATGAGGTGTCTGAACATTTAATATTTGGGGGCCCGTTTACTGGCCACTCCAGGAATGGAGCGTCGCTGCTATGCCATTAAAGCCCATTGGCGAGAGGGGATAAAAAAATATGGTCAGAGATCGAAGGTAGCGTGGCTGAGGTGTTTTCTTAAATATTTATTGTTATTCAATCTCCTGACACCGTGATGCAAGGGACAGTCTAGAAGCTAAAAGTTTTGAAGGACACCCATTCCCTGTGGCCGGTATCAATAATCGGTACAATCGACCAGTTCGCTAACCGAACACCAGAGGACAAGGCCGCATTTGTGCTTCATCGATTCAGGTCAACGGCAGAGGAATTCCCGTGGCAAATTGGGTATATTCAGGCACAACAAATACGTCCATGTAGTATTCGGTAGCATAAACACGCAACACAAGGATGCCATAGCGGGGTTCCTGGGTCACCAAAGGGCCAAGCATCTCCACATCTGGTCTCTTGTCAAAAGTTCCCGAACCGAGCGACAATCTAAGTCAAACGTACGTTCCGAAGCTCAAAAGGTCAATGAACTTGGCACGACTCCTTCTAATAGCTTGAATTTAGCCGGTCAAATGGTTACCGAGGCTGGCTTTCTCCGTTTGGCCGGAAGATCGATCCGACGATCGACGCCTGCAAATTTTGGCTCTGGACTCACGGTTACGGCAAGATGGATGTGACCACAAGCCAGTGCTACCCTACAAATTAGGCTAATGTAACCACCTGTTATTCCGCAATCATTTCCTAACACATTAACCACAGGGATTAGAAACTTTGCCGGGGTAATAGTGGTGGATAGTAGACCAAATAATAGACAGTAGCGGTACTGGGTAGACTAGTTGAAGTTCGTGTAGTACTTACTAAAGAGGTTCGTCCACCAAGCTCCAAGCCCGCTGAGGTGAGACAATTGCTGCTCTGAGACTTCATCTTATTTATATCACAACAAGTACCATATTTAAGTGCAGAAATCATGTTGCGTAGCTTTATTCTAACTGCATTGGTCGCGATACTGGGGTTTGGTCCCACGAATGCTCTATCCGGCGCGAAAGTCTCCAGGGATGACACCAATTGGATTACTGTCTGGGGTTCCATGCCTCAGCTTACTGAGCCAGCAAATCTGCCGCCTGCACCGTTTGTGAGTTCCACCATCCCCATAGTGATAACCAGGCTTCCTCTCATTCAGGTTCACTGACACTCTCAAATAGAACCAGACTGGTCGCACATTTCAGAACACCACAATTCGGCAGACTGTCAAGGTCTCGATAAAATCGTCTTCACTTCGGCTTCAAATCAGCAATGCCTTTGGTGGCTCAGACCTGCGCCTCTCCGCGGTCAGCTTTGCGTTACCTACAAACGCATCAGCTGCAGGCGGGAACGCGATCAAGCCCTCCAGTGACCGCAAAGTCACCTTCTCCGGCAAACCGACTTTTGTGGTACCTATGGGCGCTCTGGTGATTTCTGACCCTATCGATATCTCACTTGACGCTGGGTCAATCGTGACTATTAGCATCTATCTAGAACAAGGTCAGACAACCAATCAAATCACCTCCCACCCAGGCAGCAGGACGACATCGTGGCTCATCAACGGAAACCACATCCACGACGCGGAGTTGGAGGACGCTGTGGCTGTGGATCATTGGTACTACATTAGCGCATTGGAAACCAAGGGCCCCAAGAAAGCGTCTACAATTGCGATTGTGGGCGATTCTCTCACTGACGGCCGCGGTTCTACCACGAACGCGAACAACCGGTGGCCGGACCAGCTCTTGTCTCGATTGCAAAAGAATAAACAAACTTCAGATGTGGCCATACTCAACCAAGCAGCTGGTGGAAACCGTTTGTTGGCGGATGGACTTGGTCCCAATGGCCTAGGCCGTCTGGATCGGGATGTCATCGCCCACTCGGGAGTGGAACACGCCATCTTTCTCATTGGCATCAACGACATTGGTACTACAGCTGCTGAGTCCGGTCCTCAGGCCGAAATCGCCTCAAGAATAACCGGAGCATACCAACAGGCGGTGATGCGACTGCACCGGCATGGAATCTCCGTGTATGGAGGCACGCTTATGCCAGCCGCCGGCAAGGGAAACTCGTATGGGCTTCCAGCACGAGAGGAGGCTCGACAGTCTATCAACAAGTGGATTAGAGAGAGCGGAATCTTTGACGCAGTCATTGACTTTGACGCAATGGTGAAGAACCCCGACAAGGAGAACGAGATTCTCGAGGAGTACGACTCTGGAGATGGCCTCCATTTGAACCCGGCCGGTTACCAGGCGATGGCTGATGGTATAGACCTTGGACTTTTTTTCTGAGATCTCCAATATGTATCAAGCACAAGCCTAAAGAAGCATTCTTTAAGCCAAATCCAAAAAGAGTGTACTGTAGAGGGGCTTTGCTGCCATCAGATTTGGTGATGTCGACATAAAGCTGATCAATAGAGAGATGAGGGCCAAAACGTATACAGGATTCAAATCACAGCATCGTTTCAAGTAAAACCACATCGCACAACGAAATTTCAAGCTGTGGCTTGTTTCAAAACACCACCACATCGATTAGGCCATTGTTCGCCGCCCCCTATAACTCGCTCGATGAGGGCGTCGATCATAATAACCCTCCGGCTAAACACAAACCTTATTACATCTGGGGTATAGCTATGCCTAATTACGTAGCGTATAGCACGTGGCAAGAGGACCTTTATTGGAGGTATTTAATTATTCCGAAGACGCCGTGATAGAGTTCTTTGTATGCTGCACATCAACCATCTCGTATCCCCGCATTGGAACCCCGCAACGGCCACCTTATGATCCGGCTAAATGCAAAATAGTGTCCAGGATATCAGTTATGTCCCTAGATCAGAACATGCCAAGACAGAGAGAAGACGAAAAGGAACCAGGACCGGGTGGCGACAACGCGATCCTACCACAAGACATGGTAGATAATATTTTCTCTAATTAATGAGTCCAAATTTATCCGGAATGAGGAGGCCATAGAGGTCTATAAAGTAAAAGTGGACGCTTTACACAATGACGTTTCTGACTTGTGTCGGCCAGTAGAGCAGCCAGCCAATAGCCTAGTAGCCTCACTGGGGCGATTATTCTCGCGATGTTTTCCATATCAGCAAGGCTAATCACTTTAGCATCGTTATGTTCGTGGGTTTTTCTGGCTGTATCTGCACAGCAAGATCTGTTAGTCTTCAAATCAGGTCTCAGCAATCGCAAGCTTGCCAGTCAGAACAGCGCTCCGGATATTTGGGTCGACTCGGACGATTTCAAAGGCATCCAAAAAGCAGCCAGTGATCTTGCAATTGATTTCGGTCGGGTAGTTGGTGTCAATGGTACGGTACGGCTTTTGGGCAAATCGGACAGTCGTTCTAAGCCAGTATCCCTCATCATCGCGGGTGCCGTTGGCCATTCAACACTGATCGATGGCCTTGTCTCTGACGGCAAACTCGATGTTTCCGAGATTGAGGGAAAATGGGAGGCATATACGTCGGCTTTTGTCAAGAACCCCCTGGACGGCGTCAGCTGGGCCCTTGTGGTGGCAGGGAGCGACGTGCGTGGAACAATCTTCGGCCTCTATGACATTTCCGAAAAGATAGGCGTTTCGCCCTGGTACTGGTGGGCAGATGTTCCCCCAAAGAAGAAGACCGATATTTGGGTCCAGGAGACACGAAAGGTCCAAGGCTCTCCATCCGTCAAGTATCGTGGCTTCTTTATCAACGACGAGGCGCCCGCGCTTACGAGCTGGGCCGAACCGAGATTCAGGCGCACCGCTAACGGAAGACCGTTCACCGGGGAATTTTACAAACTCATCTTTGAGCTCTGTCTTCGCCTGCGTGCCAACTACATCTGGCCAGCCATGTGGGGCAGCATGTTTTACGTCGACGACAAGGAAAACGGACCCAACGCCAACGACTACGGCGTCTTCATTGGTACCAGTCACCATGAACCGATGGCGCGAGCAGAAACAGAGCAGCAGCAGCAGCTGGAGGGATCCTGGGACTGGATTGGGAATAAAAAGAATATTACCGAATTCTTTAGGGGAGGGGCTGAGCGTGCTAAGGACTGGGACACTATATTCACTATGGGTATGCGAGGTGCGGGAGACGTTGAGTCGCCGACCCTCACCTCAGATTCACTCGAGGAAATTCTCAAAGTGCAGCAGTCAATCCTAAAAGATGTCTTGGATGTCAAGGATCTCGGACAAGTACCGCAGACCTGGGTATTGTACAAGGTTGGTCGCCAGCTGTCTCGCTTGAATGGATGGATGGTGTCACTAATTGTCAATCTTCGAATAGGAAGTCGGGCGCTATTACCAAGCGGGCATGGAAGTTCCGGATACCGTTACTCTTCTCTGGACCGACGACAATGCTGGAAACCTACTACGAACCCCCTTCGCAAACGAAACAGACCGAGAAGCAGGTGCCGGTGTATACTACCACTTTGACTACGTCGGGGCTCCACGAAGCTACAAATGGATCAACACCATTCAGCTTGTCAAGACATGGGAGCAAATGCACCTGGCCTATGAAAAGGGCGCCCGGGAGATCTGGATCGCCAACGTGGGAGATCTTAAGCCTTTGGTGAGTTTGTGTCCAAACGAGCGAAGATAAACTAATCATGACAAGGAAATTCCCATGACCCATTTCTTGGACATGGCCTATGACATGTCCAAGCACACAACGCCCGACAGCACGACGGAGTGGATTAAGAGATGGGCAATTCGCGAGTTTGGCAAGCCGTCCATCGCCGACACAATCGCGCGCATCCTCAACACATACGGCAAGCTTATCGTTCGCCGCAAGTACGAGCTCCTAAGCCGCGAGCCTTTTGCGTACAGCGTTTCCAACTACGACGAGGCCGAGCGAGTAATCAAAGAGTGGTCGGATCTTGTCGACTTGACGCAAAGCGTCTACGATGCCCTTCCTCAGGACACGCAAATACCCTTCTTCGAAATGGTGCTGCATCCGGTGCTGGCGGGCAAGACTGTTGTCGAGCTCTACATCAAGGCGGCTTTGAATGCCTGGCACCATAGCCAGAGACGTACCAGCACTGATCGCCTAGCGAAAGACGTCAACGACTTGTTTGCTCAGGACGCCGAGATCACGGATAGGTACCATTCATTGAAGGACGGCAAGTGGGATCCCATACTCAACCAGACTCACATCGGGTACACTTTCTGGAACGAGCCTCCTGTCAACGCCATGCCGAATGTCAGCTACCACACCAAGGACAACGTTCCTCAATCGGGCATCATGGGCGTTAGTGTTCAAGGGAGCAGCAGAAGTTCGCCTGGAGATCCCGAACCCACCCTCTTGTCCGTTGACCGCTATATGCCACCCTCTGAGAAACGGTATCTCGACATCTTCACGCGCGACAACGGCACTTTCTCCTACAAAATCACACCCAACGCCTCGTATGTTACTGTTTCTAATTCACGCGGCACCCTCAAGGCTCCCGGTGAGAAAAGCGACATTCGAAGTTTCATCTCCGTAGACTGGAGCAAAGCTCCCAAAGGGCTTAGCTGGGTTGGTCTGAAGGTTTCTGCTGCGAATGGCCGAGATGTCACGGCGGTATTGCCGGTCAACAAGACGTCTGTGCCCAAGGATTTCCACGGCTACGTCGAGTCCGGAGGCGTTGTTTCAATTGAAGCAGAGCACTATACAAGTGCCGAGAAGAAGGGCAGCCTGTCATACACCACTATTCCCTACTACGGCCGCACTCTCTCTGGTGTGAAGCTTTGGCCTGCTACCGCCGATTCGCAGACTCCTTCTTCAGCACCAAAGCTGACGTACTCTTTCCACACATTCAATTCGCGCAGTTCAGCTAGGGTCATGGTGTTTCTCGGGGCTACGCTGAATCACGATCCAAGTCGCCCGCTAAAATACGCCTTCGCCATCGACGGTAGAAGTCCTGTCACTGTACAACCCGTGCCTACGACACCTATGGGTAGCGTGCCGGACGGCTGGGAGGATGCAGTTATTCCGGGAGGGTGGACGTCGATATCGACTGTTGAGCTTTCAGCTGGTTCGCATCAACTCTCACTTTGGCTTCTGGAGCCTGGCGTCGTTGTTCAAAAGCTAGTTGTCGACGTTGGCGGGTTCAAGTCGAGCTCCCTTGGGCCTCCGGAAAGCTACAAAGTCTAAGGTAGTGCATGGATTCACCAATGAAATACAATGAGATGTGTATATTCGCTTCGTTTTGTACGAGACTTCTCCCGGCTCTGAATGGTAATCTCCGATGTATATTCACAGTGCAGTAGATGTGGTGTACATGTGCATTTCTACATCCTTCTCAGCCCATTCTCTCTAGTAGGTGACTCTAAGATGACCCTTCTTCCAATGTGTCTCGCTGAAAACAATATCATGGTCAACGATAAGAGTGACTGGGTTCCACGCTGTCTTACATCGCAGACTCGGCTCCTACGACGGCGTGGGCAGGTGGAGAGAAGCCATCAACTCGTCTGACGGTACCTATCTATAACGAGGTCATAGAGGATGGCATTAGTCGACTCGAGGGATGTGAGTCGGTCCTGAATGTCGGCAATGTCAAACTCCACCTTTGCAGGGATGTCTTCAAGTTTTTTCAGCCGCTCAGGGATATTCGCAATGACGCTTGGATCCCATTTAGGACGATCCGCAATCATTGCGACCAGCCTCTCCTGCTTATCAGCACGTTCGTGCAGATTGTTCATCATCTCCCGGATCTGGTAGACAAGCCGGCGCAGCTTGATCAGAGGGTCATCGGATCCGGGGAGGTCGGAATATCGAGTCACGTTCCGGTCGAGCGGAGAAACCTCATCCCAGCGGGCCCTAGCGTGCTTGGGTCGTTTGCCCGGGGCGGTGGATGGAGTGTCGCTACTGGGTCTTTTCAACGACGGGCGGCCCAACTCCTGTTCATGGTTGAGACCACGGGGGTCAGAGAGGGCCTCCTGGTATGTAGTCGGCATGGGCGAGTCGCTTATATGTAAGTAACTGGTAAGCTTAACCATGTTCTGATAATCCCGTTCTTCGGCGTGGTCGTCGTCACCGTCTGCGTCGCTTTCGTATTCCTCGCTCACATCGTCCTCCTCCTCATAAACGTAATCGCTGTCGCTGGTGTGATCACCGTCACTGCTTTCCTCACTCTCATCGTCATCCTCCTCCTCGTAGACGTAATCGCTGTCGCTGGTGTGATCGCCGTCTCCGCTGTCATGACTCCCATCGGTCATCCTATCGCCTCGGTCGGCCAACTCGACAGGGGGTTCCTCAAAAAGCTCAAGGCCTTCCATGCATTGGTCAAGGGGAAGGCTGTGGTTGGAGGCTGCGTTTGTCATGTTGGTGGTGTGTCGAAGTAGCAAAGCTGAGATATCAGCGCTGCAGTGCGATGGGGAAGAGCAGACTACCTACTTAGGTTTACATGCGAATAGAATGTGGATGAAGGAAAAGAAGAAGACGAAGAAAATGAAGCCAGCGCTATGGAAGTGATGGGATATATATTAGAAAGTTGGCCTTAGGCAGGGTGGAAGCCATCGACGGTTTGCTTGAGTGCATAGGATGGCTCCAGGGCGCCCGACTTTGTGTCGGTGAATCACGACAAAGAAGCGATTTCAGGCACCTGCCAAATGCCAAACAATATTCAAGTTGGCTGGTTGCATCAAAGACTGATATTATTTGCAACGAGCAATCAAGAGAGCCGCAATGCAACCGGAGTTTGTTCCTCACACTCCATTGGGCGATGCCGTACCTGCTGCGGCGGCACTGGTTGGCAGCTGCGAGCCACCTTTGCCAGCTGCTACAGGTGCAAACTTTTCACGCACATCGTGCATTTCCATCTTCCTCCTTTCATCAGCCTCGTTTTTCTTTCGCGCTCTTCTTTGCCTGTAGTGCTGAGTTACGCCGCCCAACGAGGAAGCCCATCTTAGGTGCCTGTTTCTGCTGGTTGCTCGCGAGAGTTTGACACAGCACCAGCGCCCTCCTGATTCCTTCTGATTGCTAACCAGATCATCACAGCTCCGTTCTGCCCCCCCTCAACCACGCTCTAGATACCCAAATTCACCATGCCTAAGTTGGCCAGGCAGATACCACCGACCAACAAACTCCCTGACGTGAAGCGGGTTGAGACTGGAGCTTCCTCTCTGGCAATCCACCCTGCACCTCCCCCGGCCGTGTGCGTTCCCGATGTCCAGCCAACTCCAAGTGTGGCAACATCGTTCCGAAGACCCTGCGCCCTGGCCATTGGTGGACTGCAGGGGACCTTGTTCGGTGGAAAAGCTCTTGGTGTTGTCGGTGCCGAAATTGACACTGGCATTCATTTTGCCAACTCCTCTGGGTACAATCCGTGGATGGGCTTCTCCATTGACATTTCCCTAGGCGAGTCAGATGAAGAGGATGGATTGGGAACGAGTCACCCACGTTTTCAGGATCCCGGTTTTGGAAAGACGACAACCCTCGCCATCGCCGCACTCGGGATGAGAGTCACCACAGGCAAGGTCTTGGCCAGCGCTCCGACGCACGCATCCATCGATAACTTGGCTGCCCGACTCCACTCCATCACGACTAGAGTGACTGAGCGCTACAATCAAGGCAAGCCGCTCAAACCCCGATTCCCTCGGATGATGGTTGTGTGCGCTTACGCAGAGATCGACGAATATGCCGCCTTCATGGCGTTGGTCGAAGACCCTGGGAAAGGTGATCTCGCCGGACCTCGCGACGTATTCGGAACCCGGTCAGCTTGGAAATTGCCGCTCTCGGTTGCGTATTGGCTTCTGGTGTGCCTTGGTTCGCCCGCGGTCCCTCAGATTCGCCTGGATGACAGCAACGACTTGCGCAACCTTCGCGACGACATTGCCACAAGGCAGGATTTGGCCTCTCTCCGTGCCGTAGCCATGGGGCACATCACATGGAATCAGTACATGGCTGGTGAGAGGGTGCCCCGTTCTGGAGAGTGAGCCAGAAATATTACGAGCCGCAGTCAACAAATTTGGTCAAGACAGCAAGATCTCGGCCTTGGAGTTCATCAAGGCATCCGGCTGGCCCGTTTACCGCTTACGCACACAGCTTCGAATGGTCAAGGGACAATTCGAACTTTGCAAAGCCGTGGTCAACCCGGATAGTGACATTGGGTTCAAGTATGGCCCAGGTACTGAGATCGATCTGCCTGGACATGGCATCGGCAGAGCATTCGAGTCATTCATCACCAGCAATTACCCCGACATCACCCCGGCTGCACCTGGGAGCCTCGAGCCAATCTTCATTCACTGTCCGAGCGCCAGCGCTCGCGTGGACCCAGTTACGAGGTCATTCCAGAATAATGAGCAAGTCAAGGTTGCTCTCGGCTTCTTATGCGATTTCGTCAACGCCACAAAGGTCGACCCAGGTCAGATTCTCATCATCGGCCCATCTACAGCCATGGTAGCGGCGATTGCGTGTATTCGAAACGAACCAGAATATGCAGCTCTACGCACCATGCCGCCAGCGATGACGGCGGATTCAATGCAAGGACACGATGGAGAGGAAATGGTGGTGGCGATCCTGGGAACTCATAAAAGATCGGGCGCGGGCTTCCTTGCCGATGAGCGCCGCATCAGCTTGATGCTGAGCCGACACAGAAGCGCATTGTTGATTGTCGGTAACCTGTACGTTACAGGCCCAACAAAGCAGCTCCATGACGGCAAAAAGAAGTCTAAACGATGACGGTTCTCGGTCCCGCCAGATAAATCGCTTCCAAGAACCATGGTGCGAACGGCCGAGGGCGATATTGCCACCATCAAGCCCAAAATGCTTCGGAAGGCGCAACATATGATGTGCGATGCTGGCCGTGTCATAGAGATTCAATATCGCAGAAGGCTTGACGTCGAGGGCGAGAACGGCGATGACGACGATGAGGGCAGCGAGGGTGGTGACGATGAACGAGGAGAAGGGCGATGTAGGAGCGGTGACAATGAGTCCAAATGAGGATGTTAATTATCTGAGAGATATGGAATTAGTTCAGACAGCTTTGTATGAACGGAGATAAGTGACAAGAGTGTTGGTTTTAATTTCGCCACGGGCGCGCAAGAAGTACCATGATGCCAGAGTAAAGTCGCTGGCGTAACAAGATTGAAGCCGGCCAGTCACCTTATCATAAGCCAGCATCAGCGAGTATAGCCAAGCAAGAAGCGTTGGAAAACTGGTACGCTCTCGCTATTGATACGTATGTCCATGGAAAACGCCGCTGCGTATTAGCTCGCATCTAGATGCCGCACGAAGACACCAGTCGTCTAGTTTCCCATCGCGGGCACCGTGCTACGACCTGGGAATGGAAGGCCGTGTTCTGATCGGGGCATGCTTCATACTCGGTCTCATGACTGGGGAAGCAAAGGCATTTTTGGAGGACGGATGAACGAGCCTGGAGGTATTCGAGCCGAAGTGGTGATCATCTCGGGATGTTACTAGCGGCTTGTGTGAGTACCTCGTTTGGACTATTACTTGTTGCATTTCACTCTACCAACGAGAACCTAGTCAGAGACATGACTACAGTGGCTTCCTTAGAGCCGTCTTGATCATGCGGAGTTAATCGCGTCAATAAGTGTGACGAAACTTTTGTAATTATTATACATAGTGTGACAATCTCGATCAAGGTTCCATCGTCGGACTGCTCATGGTGGCCGACGACTCTATAGTGGACCCAGATCACGAGCAACGTTCTATTGCATCCAAGCAAAAACGCAAAACTTTTCACCTGAGCATTAGCTACTCTGCGCGGAGTCGCTTCCTAGACTCGCCGTTGCCGTTTGCCTCATGGCCATTGGTGCCATTGCCGTTGGTGGCCTCGGCCTGAGCAGCAAAGTACTCCAGGCTGCCCTTGGGGTCGGCCTTCATTCCCTTGCCACCCTCCTGCCAGCCGGCAGGGCAGACGTCGCCGTGCTCCTCGTGGAACTGGAAGGCCTTGATGAGGCGGATGGTCTCCTCGACGTCGCGGCCGACGGGCAGGTCGTTGACGGTGATCTGCCTGAGGACGCCCTTGGGGTCGATGATGAACAGGCCGCGCAGGGCAATGCCCTCCTCCTCGATGAGGACGCCGTAGCTGCGCGAGATCTTCTGCGACCGGTCGGCGACGAGGGGGAGCTCCAGGTCGGGGCCCAGGCCGCCCTGCTTGCGGGGCTTCTCAACCCAGGCGAGGTGGGAGAAGTGCGAGTCGGTGGAGATGCCGAACACGGTGGTGTTGATGGCGCGGAAGCGCTCCAGGGCGTTGTTGTACTGGATGATCTCGGTCGGGCAGACGAAGGTGAAGTCCATGGGGTAGAAGAGGAGGACGACCCTGCGAGAGAGATGTTAGCCGTGGTTGGGATGTTACGGGTGTTTGCCGAGGTCGCGATCTGAAGGAAAGCGACGCCTGCGCGGTTCGACTAACCATTGTCCCTTGTACTCAGAAAGAGAGATGTCCTTGAACTCGCCTCCGGGGAAGAGGGTGGTGGCGGTAAAGTCCGGAGCGGGACGCTGAACGAAAGCGGTAGACATGGTGATTGCGGTGATTGTAGTGATTGTGATGGTTGTGGTGGTTGGTGATGTAAGGTGAGGGTTTCGTCTTTGCTGGACTCAATCAAGGAGAGGAAAACAATTGCGTTGCCAGAGTGTCCATCGCCCCCTGATATTTGAGGGTGGGTCCCGTGGAAAGGCGTGGAATGACCCCATTTTAGCGCTGTGTTGCTTATCGTATATTGCTTTTGATTGCCCTTGCTTGCTTTTTGTGCTCTCAGTTAAATGAGTCCGTAGTGGATTTGCGCCTGTCGCACGGCGCGCGCGTGGATCAGGTACAGGCCTCAAGGCGCGAGATAACGCGAAGTCACGTGCTGATACCACACCCGAGGAAGTGTGTAGTCAGCATTTCGATCCGTTCACTCTGCGATAAGGCGCCTTCAGTCCAAGGGATGTACGGAACTTCCTGGGTGCCTCTTTCATGAACAATCCAAAGTTACAAGCCTGTCGTGGATTTCGAAGACTGCATCTATCGACAATGAAAACATCGCAGCAGTACACAACTTCACCGCTTAGGTCACATCAGACTGGACGCAGATTACAGAGACGCATCAGTCATCGAGCATGGGACAACCTGGTTCGTTATACGAGACGCAGCATTACAATAATGCCCCTGGTTTCATTGGCTATCAAATCCGTTCCACCATGTTAATATCTAGAGCTGTCACATCTCCACTACGCCGGCGCTCGATTCAAAAACGGACACCCACCACGTCGCGCCTCAGTTTCCGGGTTCGTTATGGCAATCGACCGCTGACACGCCATGCGCATCGTCGACGGCCTCGGCAGGAAAGCTCGCGGCGTTCCGGGCTTGTCATGCCCCATTCTCCCCTTCCTTGTCGAAACGAGGTCTTGTAGCGAGTGATGCGGACCAGGAAGAACCTTCGGGTCGTTTCCGGCCAATGATCCCAGCCATTCCTTGAGAACTCTTGTGCCGTATTTGGATATCTCCCGCACGGCGCCACCTTCTGTCATCTCAAGCCATGGGTCATCCGTCTTCATGGCGAGACAGTACGGCAAGTTGCTTCCGAAGAAGTTCATTGGCAGCGGCCGGAACATGCGTCGTCGCGATTCCGCCAGCTTCATGTACTCCAACACCCATTTGGAATTTCCCAACCGCTCCGACACCATGGTGGTATAGTCGGAAATGCGAATCTGGTGCTCGATGAGAGGCCTCTCCAGATTTTCGAGGAAAAGAATCTCTGGCGGGGTTTCCGGGAGGCACTTCAAGTCCCTCTCTCCATCCACTGCGACACGAGCTTCGATGGCAGCAATGAACAGTTCCTCGAGGTCAAAAGTGTAGTAGTCCTCTCCGCCCTCGGGATCAGTGACAGGCTCGTCCTTGAGCTTGGTCTGGACTGGGATGTACTGCATCAGCTTCACGCGCCTCCACGAATAGATGGGGTTCCAGAAGTCGACCATCTGGAGGGCGTTGAACGTCTTTTTGGAGAACAGCTGACAGCGCGCATATTTCTTGTCCTCTCCGAGAAACATCTTCTGGGCCATCCAAACGCCCATGGCGTCTTCGATGGAGCTTTGAAGAATGACCCAGGGGTTGTCGCCTTCGCCCCACTGCTGGATGGCGAAATGGATCTCTTCGCCTCCGTCGATGCGCTCTTCGCCATTCTCCAGCGTTCCCATGAACACGCCGCCGGCGAACGTGTCGCGCTTAAATGTGATCTCAGACGCGTCCGGTGTCACCTCTTGCAGCGTGCAGAGCTTGAGCTCGCGTGACGCCCACATGTAGGAAGACGCCTTGTACTGGAACGACGGTATGGAGTAGTTGTTGAACCAATCAGCCTGGCTGGTTGCCGGAGAGTTCCCAAGAACTATCTGGCGCTTGTTCCATTCCACAAGAGCCTTTGGCATTTCAGGCAGCTCGTGAATCTTTTGCCACGTGACGTTTTGCTGGTGTGAGTTTGGCTAACATCAACATTAGCAATGTGCTTTGTTGCCTGAGCAAATGGCAATCGATGGACTTTTCGATGCCAGGGAGGTACAAACTCACCAAGAGGTCGCTGTATCCCCTCAGGGTCTCGTACTCAAAGAAGAAGTCGCTAGGGATAATATTGGCGTTGTTGGACGTGGCAGCTATGTTGATGCTTGTTGAGAGAAAGAAGTGAGCGGCCCAGCGTTGTATGTGGTCGGGCATCTCTTTCGCTTTGCCGTTGTCCATGAAATCCTTGTTTCGACGACTGGTGAACCAGTGTCTCAAGGCATCGAGCACAATTCTCTCGAGGGTTTCTCCAGATTGAACGCTCGCTCCGTATAGAGGCGGATATCCGGGGTGCGTCAGCCACGTAGCCGCACCCAGCTGTTTTTGGAGTGTTTCATTGAGTAAATCCTGGACGCCTCGGCCTCCCACGAGCCAATGCATCCACGGCCTGTCACATTGTTAGCAGCTTGTCTTTTTTTATACGAAAGCAATGGTGATGGTGACACGTACTTGTGAATTTCCTTCATAACAAGGCCGCCGTTGACGTGCCCGTTAAGAGGGCCCATGTAGGCCTTGCCGTCTTCGGCGAATGCATCCATTGAGCTGCAGAGATAAACCCAGCCATGTTCGCCGTGCTTGACTTTGGGGTTCATGATGAGGTCGCGCTATTGGAATATTAGTGGGTTGAACGAGTGGAGAAAACGCTGGCGGATTGATGTGCGTACGGCATAGTATCGGAACTGACTATCTTCGTCCGACCAACTCATGATGTGGAGAATATCGTTCGCTGAGTGGATATATGAAGATCTTGGTCGGTCAGTTGGCTACAGGACATTCAAGGCTCGACCACTTACGCTGCTATGAGGACAAACCACGGGGCCCATGACACGCTGGTGATGGGAGCTTTGGCATCCTTCTTGTGGTCTGCATCAGTGGGAATGACAAGAGACAAGAAGCGAAGCTCCGATCTGAACCAAGGCTTCTGCTTGTCCTTGGGAATTGTCTGACCATCGGCAACGGCATAAGTCTGCACAATGATGTCGTCTTGGTCTGCGAGGTGTCAGATACAAATTGTGGCAATTTCACAAGGCAGCACTCACTCCAGAAGTTTTCAATGAGCTCATTGTACGTGTTGAGACTCCGGAACTGCTTGTCGGTCTTGAGCAGGTGGCCCCAGTGATCGACAAAGTCAGTCTTGAGCTGCGCCGCGGTTGCAACGGTGTCGGTGTCCGGACGAGGTTCCGGGGGAGTTTTGCTATCGTCAAGACCGCGGTTAAACTCTCGGTACCAGAGCTCGGCACTGAGGTTTTCAGAGTTTCCAAGCGAATTGGCCATGGTCTTGGTGTTGTTGGAGCTGAGCCCTGAAATGAATGATGTGATGACAAAGTGGAATGCGATGTTACCCTTATATGGCAATCGTAGCGGATGAATGTGAGGGTAAACTCTCTGGTGTTGAGTTTTGGCTGCTAGACACGAAGATTCCGTTTATCAAATCCAATTTGTCATTACAATATCTCTCCGAGACATGCTTTGCAGCAATATTGATGACTATCAACCCAACTCATGTACGCTCAGACAGCACAAGAATGCTCGCCCAAAGTCTAGACCCTTCCCGCTAACCCAATGGACTAATCAGCATCGCCATATTAGTTAATCGCTGGTTGCTATGGCCTGCCCTATGCAGAGTGAGCTCCGTGGCTGGCTAGGCTCGGGCCGTTAGCGCTCAGCTGGACAGAGGGTCCACACAAAGGGCTCGGATCTAGAGTTCTCGACGGAATGGACGCGTCAGATCCAGGCCGTCCAAGTAGTCTAGAAGCCAATAAACACGACTGTATTAGCTAGTCGTTATCTAATGTGGCTTGCCATAGCTAGCTGATTTCTGCGGTAGGCTATATCCGGGCCGCTAGCGCTCAGCTGAAGCAATACTTTGGTGCATGTCTCATCACCTCCGCATTTCTAGACATGACGGGCATCCAGTCCTGTTGGCCAAAATCCTGACCGCTCAACAATTGCTACTCACCGACTGTTTCTAGAGTAACATGTCGTTGATGATATCTCAAGGGGGCCAATGATGACCGCCGTACTCTAGTTTAAACGGAGAATAGTACTATCAGCTGCGTCCGAGTGTCAGTCAAGTGAGTCGATAGTCTGTTTTCGTTGTTTCGGCGTCGTGCATGGCATACCCCTCATTCCTAAGTTGACCTATAGGTGTGCTCGTTTGTCCCATCTGCTTTGATATGACAAAGCTAGATTATGCTAATAATCGTGATTCGATAATGGGGTATCGGCACATCAGACGCCGCCCTTGGCTAGTACCATGACAACGCCCTAGGTCGAGAAATAGAGGAAGCCCCATCGCCGTAAAGTATGAAAGATGTCATTCCCTTGCCAAAACCTCCATCTTCACCATCCAATTCAAATTGGGTGAAGATTATCCCTGACCATTTCGTCTTTGTCTTATTCCGTCCCATCTTGAGGTTTGTACATCCTCATCATGGCCGACACTGTCACAAAGCTGGATAAATTCCATCCACCTGCGTTCTTGAAGGACTTTGAGGGCGATCAACTCAATGCATGGGATAAAACTGTTGAAGGCTGGTTCAATGATGAAATCGCAGGCAGGGTCGCAGGCACGGAGTATTATCGTACTCCGTTGACTCAGTTTTTCAACCCAAAGACGCATGCCTTTTATCAATCTCTTCCACCGGTGGCCATCACCTGGGTCGGGTTTCCTCTCAAGGTTGGACCTACCTGGACCTATTAATGTTAGCACTAGACTTACTCCTCACAGGTCAGAATTACCCAGCCTACCGACGATGCTCGTTGGGCTTGGGCAGAAAACCCCAAGAATCAATTCGGTCCTAGGGGTGTTACCCCTAACGGGGAGCCTGACCGGTGGATGATGGATGAGTATCTTGAGTGGTCCACCAAGAAGAAGAAGAATGGCGATGTGCTCATTGCCAGTTTCACCTGCGAAGGTCCCGAGGTACGTACGATCTTCTATGACATGTCAATATTGCCCAAAAAAGCAAAAGGTGATGTGATATCGTACGCATTGTGCTAACAGCTCCCAAGTACTGGACGGAATTAGCCAAGTATAATCCCATCGCGACGTCCAAGCACCCCGCCACACCAGCTTCGAAGGACGACCCCGGCAGGAACGACAAGATCCTCAACATCTACAAGAAGCTCAACCCTGACTTCGCTGATGATATCGAAGGTGATGATCTTGTCGACGATGACGGAGTCTACAATGTCTACAACAAGTGGAACGGTCTAACTAACACCGGGACCATCGCTCACTTGATTCAAATCAACAACTCGCTTAGTGCCGAGATTGACATTGCTGCTCAGGCCACCGTCGCTCGCAAGGACTTGGTGTACGGCGAGAGAATTACTAGTGCCATTACTCTGTGTGGCGATGCCTCTGCTTATGGCAACCCCTCTCGAAACTCGGATCCCACCGTAAGAACCCACGCAATGGTCTTGTGATCTCAACGCTAATGATACTTTTAGATTGGTTCTGAAGTCAACACAATTTGTCGCCTTCCTGTAACGGTATCCGTCATGGACCCTGTCGCTCTCTACATTCGCGATGCAGACTTTTCGTCATTCAGGCTGGATCCTACAGGTACGCGCCGCGGTAACATCGAAGACATGATCCCCGTCCCTGAAGGCGTCTTTGACTGGTGCGACCGTGGCAGCATTGAGGAAGGCATGGGTCTTCATCTCAAAGTGACGATTCCCAACAAGATGCAGACGCTTGACAAGAGTCGCAATCTCAACGTAAGTGACCTCTTTGACCTGAACAACGGTGGCCAGTACGTCCGCTACGGCAGCCAGTTCGCCGACTACATGTTTATGAGCGTGTCTGGCGTGGTCGGGCCAAAGCCTGCCAAGGCGCAACCCAGTTGGCCTGGCAAGCCCCAGCCTGCGCTGAATTACACCGAGCCACTGCAGTCTATGCCCATCCTGGCTCCATGGCAGCTATTGGAAATCACGAACACGGAGACTGGCGCAGTGGTTCAGAGCACTGCCAAGAAGGTGGACATGCTGGCTCAGAGAACAAACGCATTGTCTGTGGTCGAGCCATCGGGTTTGATGGGAATGCCAGAGCCTGGCCCTCCGAATGAAGAATACCTTCGCATTACGCACAAAATCTACAAGGAGGATATTTGAAGGCGAACTGTTGAAAGATATTCCATACAGGCAGGAAGACAAAAGGATGTTGTACCGTGAGCTCCGATGCGCTGTGGGGTGTGTTAACTGAGTCTTTATTATCATCGTTCGAGTTTCTGTGTTACGTTAACCTCGGCCAGCCTACGAGCGAATGCAACGCACTGCATTTGTTCTATCTAGTCAATGAAACCCATAGTGAACAGACATCCAACCAGACGTGGGAAACAGCGAGCTGGCTGTTGATTTGTAGCTGGCTGCTTTTGTTGTAATAACTGTTAGACGAGACGAATCTAGACGCCCTACATCCTTTACCCCGCACTACATGGCCGCTTTTGATGAGGGCCTTACGGGCGGGACAGATATAGACACACGCCTAACGGGTGCCTAATTTCGGGCGCCTGATCATGTCGTGGCGGGGACATATGGGTACCAGACTGTCGGTGGCGGTTGATAAACTGACAAACAAATAGGTGAGCAACCCCGAAGCCAAGACAGCATTTAGTCAGCTTGGCGGGTCACTTACCAGCAGCTGCCTTACAAAGAAGATGCATAAAACCGTAGTTGGGCAGGAGGAGAGAAACCATCAATTCCCCAGCAAGTGCAGGTTGGGAACCATCAGCTGTGGCATCTCGCCTCAAGCTGTGAGGTGACACGGAAGCTTGCAGCGGTGGGTCGCTGAAGTTGTACCTGTTGGCGGACCCGACTGTCGGACCTACGTTCCCGATTTACGCCTGAGATGCTAAGCACGTAAGTAACTGACAGACGGGGATCGCCCTTGGGACACACTGTCTGTGATACTTAGTTAGCTGGGTACCTAGGTAGTGATCATCATTATAGCTCATCAGGCCCTATGTAGCATCGTCCCTGTGATTCCACTAGCACCGCTCGCTCCGCGCAGATCACTTAGAGCTGACTAGATAATCTGCGTTATCTATCGCCCTCAGTCCTGCCTTGAGCCGTTGCTGCCTGACATGCGCCTGCAACAAGACCAAACCGACAATGCACTTTACCATCCGAGTTAGTACATTACCTCATCAACACCCCCTATAGATGTCGAGCTGACGTGGCTGCCTCGAAAGCACACCTATGAGTTGCTTGCATTTCCGGCAACAGCCAAGGCGGATAAAACCGGCAAGATACGGAATATTCTCAAAGCATTGCTGCCTGATACTCAAACCTGCAGTAACATCAAACGAGGCATCCACTTTGCCGTCCGAACTGCACGTTGCCTTGGTCGAGCTGAGGCGGCCGACGAGAAGGTTGCAGGGCATGTACCTATTGGCTTCGTGCGGGGGAATGGAGTGGAATGAAATGGATGCACGGGTCATCAATTTCCAAGTTTCCACGCCGGCCGCGGACGATGGACGTGGAATGGTTTGCCTGATTCCCTCCACCCCATGAATACGGGGAGCCATTCGCCTACCTCAATCGCTCTCCGAAATATATCGATTACCTTCAGAATGGATCCGGCCTCCATCGTTGGCGTTGCGGCTGCAGCCATCCAGTTCTTATCCTTTGCCACATCGGTCATGACGGGTGGTTGGCGCGCCATCTCATCATCAAGAGATCTCCCCATTCAAGCCACCGATTTGGAGGCAGCCTCAGCCCGCTTCAAAGAGATGATACAGCGTCTTACCAGACAGCTTGAGGCTCTAGAATCGAAAGGCGCACAGCTGTCTGAGATGGAGTTGCTGCTCCGGGGCGTCTGCGCGGATTGCCGGTCTAAAGCACACGAATTACATGATGCTATTTCTGCACTGGCGCAGAGCCTCGGCCGCGAAAAACGGATGCAGTCGCTTTGGCAAGCATTGAAAGAAGAGCTCGGGCTAGGACGTGTCGAGTACCTTGCCGATACCCTATCAAAGCATCAACGTGCCCTTTTTTCTGTCACCATATCTTGTCTTTGGTCAGTAGCTGTACGGGCTGTTTGAGGAGGTTGTTGCTAACTCACCTTTAGGGAGGACGCCAAACGAACCCAAAGTACTTTTGACGAAATGCGCAAGCAGATGGCAGATTTCCATGATGCCATACTTACCTCAAGGCAGAATGAGCCAGGCCAGTCAAAGAGACCGCCCCGCGGCCAGGATTCCACCATCGACGAACTGTGGGAGGCAAGATCTGCCCTGAATGCCATCGATTGGGAACATAAAGGCCTATCTCGACTTCGGCAAGAGGTCATGGATGACATGTCAGACGGACGATGGCGTCCCAAGTCGATGGATATCACTCAAGCCAAGACTCCAAAGTATTTACGGTTGGCCAAAGACATCCTGCGCTCACTCAACTTCGACCACATGTACAAGCGGCACGACGACATCTCCAAACCATTTGAGTCCACATTTAAATGGATCTGGCACGGGGAGCCAACGGTGGCAAAGGACACTGGGAGACCAAGATGGTCTAGTTTCCCGGCGTGGCTGGAGGGGTCTGGGGCAACCGCGTACTGGGTGACCGGCAAGCCAGGCTCTGGCAAATCTACTCTCCTGAGGTCTATCGAAGACCACGATAATCTACGTAAGCACCTCTCGCAATGGAAATCCAGCTTGCCTCTCAGAATTCTGAGCTTCTACGCCTGGAATCCAGGCTCCGACCCACAAAAGTCAATCGACGGTCTTGTCCGAACCATTCTATCGCAAGCTCTCAAAGACTCGCCAGATCTTCTTCCGCTGGTCCTGCCCCGGCGATGGGCATTTGAAACAACCCTCTGGGGCTCGAACTATCCCAGTGACTGGGAATTTGAGGATATGGCTAGCCTGGAAGAAGGCCTTGGCTGTTTTCTTTCAGAGTCCCAGTCTCGCATGAAGCTGATGATTCTAGTTGACGGTCTTGATGAGTTCAATGTTGCGCCAAAGGAACTCATCAAGACTATTGAGTCTATCAGCAGACACGGAAACGTCAAGCTCTGCGTCGCTAGTCGGCCCTGGACAGAATTCCGGGATCGTTTCGGGCTCTGCCCTCAGCTCGAAATTCATAATCTGACGGCAGGTGACATTCAGACATACATCTTTGAACAGTTCCAAGCATGTCCAGCTTCACTAGAGAGACCGGCAGTAGTGGCACATCTCCGAGAGAAAATCCAGGAGCAGGCTGGCGGTGTGTTCCAATGGGTGACGGTGGTTGTCAGCTTCCTTCTTACAATGTTGTCAGAGGGCGACTCCTTGAGCCTGCTTCTCGGCACCTTGAATCGACTTCCAGAGGAGCTGTCAGACTTATACACGGCCATATGGGGTAGGATTTCGTCGCTACGAAGAACGCAGGCCCAAGACATTTTTGTGCTCCAATCCGCCGCTCATGTTCAAAGCCTCCATTTTTTGGTCCTCTGGGCTGTCAATGAGCGACATTCTACGGAACCAGGCCTCCTCATGGAAACCGCCAAAGACCCTGAAAGCATCAGGAAGAGCGTTATGCGAACACTCCACAGCCATACTCTGGGGCTACTCGAGCTTGATCCAAGGGGATTCGTGAGTTTCCTCCACCGAACCGTCCCTGAGTGGCTCGACAAGATGAATGTCCTGCGAGACTCTGCTCTACAGCCAGATCTGGCTTTCCTTCAGGGGCTCTGTAATTTGGGCGGTCACATACCAGCAAAATTCAAACTTTTTGACCATGTGCTCTGGGGCGAGCACCTCCAGAAAACTATCAGCTACCATACATCCAAGATCGCGGCCCAACCCAGCCTCCCGGCGAAGATGACGGAGGACGCCGTGACTTGGCTCGAGCAATTAGAGAAGGATCTTGACTTCTCCATCGTTTGGGATGCCTGCCATTATCTTTATGATGGTGGGCGTGGCTCAATTGTCCATGCCGCCACATTCATCAACATGATTGCCGCTTGCGGATTCACCCCTTTCGTCACGAAACATCTCCAAAATAACCAAGGCTCGCCATCAGACACCCTATTCTTCTTCTGTATGCATCGGCCTTTACAGTATGTATCCCAACACACCTTCGACTTGCCGGAGACCCCCCTGGAACCTCGCCTAGGTCTCTTGAGACTCTGTTTGCAGTATGGCATGACCCCACACCGTCTTGTGGAAGATCGCGGGGCCGGTAGTATTCATGTCTGCAGCCTAAAGGATCTGGTGAGCGATGCCCGCACTATGTCCAGGAGACAGTCGTTGCATCCTGAGAACCACCAGTACTACACCTTGGTTGCCGATACGCTGGAAGAGTGGATGTGGAATGAGCGGATGAAGATTAACTGGCCTAGAATGAAGCTGCAACCGGGATGGAAGCAGAGACTCAATCCTTCCGGGACATTATTCATGTTTCAAAGAAGCAAGTAGCCCAATTAGGGCTACTAATTTGGCTGAGCCGCCATGCCCTACTTTACTGAGTAGGGTAAGCTACCCGCCCGGCGTGATCTGGCAACCAGCTGTGCATATGTAAAGTTAACTTGTGCCAGATTGTTCATACTACATGCTTTGCCTCGCACTTTCCACTTCCATATACAGCAGAGCCCCAGGTCGTTGACTGCAGACAATACGGTCGTTGACTGACCCTCTTGTCTACAGACAGCAGGGTTGAAGTCAGAGGGGTTGAATTGAAGCTTCAGGCAGAGACCAGTGTGCAACAACCTTATTGTTCAGCTACTGTTTCTTCTGGTGCTGGATGTAGCACTTATTGTTCATCTCTAGTGTTTGAGATTACTGTATGGCTTTGATCTATCCGATGATGTTTAGTAGAGCTAAAAAAAAAAAAGAATACAGCAGAGCCCTGCAATTAACCTGGTGCAGCTGTATATTTTGTTCGAACAAGCACCGCTAGGAGATACTTTATCTTCTAATCAATGCAATATTACACATAGAGTTCTGAAGTTGCGATACATAATATCCAAATACTTATACCACATCCTCCTCTGGATTAGGAGTTAGGTAAAGGCATCTGTATAGTTTAGTGCCTTACAGATTTACTACATCTGGCGCCAGGCCCTTCACTACTATGTTATCAACTACACCGAGTTTCTACTGTTGCTCAGCCATCCTATTACCATAAGCATTATGCCAAAGGGCTGGGGAATTGGTTCGGAGGGCGCCGAGCCCCCCTTGAGATGTGGCATGCTGTGCAGTCTAATTTTCTACAAGATTGTTTACAGCAACAAGAAGTTCCTTTGAGGTACTGCACTGATTGCCCGCTATTGGGCCGGGTTTCTAATGCGGTAAGAGAGAGAGAGAGAGAGAGAGAGAGAGAAAGAGAGAGAGAGAGAGAGAGAGAGAGAGAGAGAGGTAGTGCATATAACACTCATATTCACATGTAGTACTTTGTTGGTTATGATCGCGGTCGCGCGTGGTAAAGAAAATAGAGAATCAAATAGATGTTCTATTCATCACATAGCAATAAGATCCATAGTGATTGATTCCGTCTCACCCGTTGTCGATCATATATAGCCAATGGAATGGCAGTATCGATCCAGTGGTCTAGCTGACAGTGGGGATTGATACAGTTACTTACACCATAATCCGCTTAAACGGCATTGCGTCTGACGTATAAAATTCGGGGCGTAAGCCATACTACGGCGCTGTCCCAATTTTGGCAATCGATTCGAATCCACGAGAAGGCTGTGATGAAAGACTATTGTCCAAATGACGGCAATCCCCCATCATCATCGTCATAATTTGCCTCCACAAGAGCTTCTTCTGACGTATTTAAATGGTGGCGCAAGCAGCGCAGCCAGCCCTATATGACACTCTCGATTCGGAAATCGATTCGAATGGACAGGAATATCGCCATTCGAGGGAAGAAGGGTGTTTATGTGGCTGTGGTTTATACTAATTCAGTATTCTTTTCGAGCAGAGCCGCACGTCCACGAATTTTTAGGTATTAAGTAATCTTATACCTGGCAATCAGAATAGTATTTAAGTTGCCATTGGATCTAACTGAAGAATCACCTCCCATTCACATCCACCTCTATATCATCAGCCAACATCAACGTTCCACGGCAAGACAAAATGCTAGCCTCCAAACATCTCCTAAGCTTGAGCGCAATCTTCGCTATTGTATGCACATCCAGCTCTTTGCCATTTGAGTGTGGTTTTGACTAATACTTGATGTTGTAGGCCGCTGAAGCCAAACATGGCCAAGGCTTTCCGCCAAACATTACGCTCTCGAACGAGACGGCGTCGATGCACCAACTGAGCCAAGACAGCGAATTCGCCTTTATTCTCACCGAATATCTCTCCCTCTCAAACGAAGGAGGCGCTGCGACATCTGAAATTCTGCGAGCAGCGGCGAAGATTGAACCCGGAAGTTTCGAGAGCTGGTATGGAGAGTTTAACTTCCTTGCCGATAAAATCCATGCAATGGGCGAACAGGCCGAGAAAAGGAATGCCTTAGTGTCTGCCAGAGAGGCTTATTTCCGGTCGTCGGCGTATTATCGAGCAGCCGACTTCTTCCTCCATGGTAACATCACCGACCCTAGAATCTACACTCTCTGGGATCAGCAGCTTCATGATTTCGACAAGGCTGTCAATCTGCTGCATCGACCCCCTACAAAGATCGAGCTAAATGCCACTAGCTTCACGGTCCCCACCTACTTCTACCCAGCGGATCCAACACTTCCTGGAAAGGAGCGTGTCCACGGTGAACGTCTGCCCACCGTTGTGGTTGGCACCGGTTACGATGGCAGTCAACAAGCTCTATACCACAGTTCCTGTCGCGGAATAATTGAACGTGGCTGGAATTGCATCACCTACGAAGGTCCTGGACAGCCGACCGTGCGTCGTAACCAGAATATTGGCTTCATTCCAGAGTGGTGGGAGGCCGTCACTCCAATCGTTGATTACCTCCATACCCGGGAGGATGTCGATGTTGACCGTGTCGCATTGGTTGGAATATCTTACGGCGGACTGCTTGCCCCCTTGGCGGCTACACATGAGCACCGGCTTGCCGCTGTACTCGCCATTGATGGACTGCTTGACATACAATCAGCATTCAAGCAGAAATTTCCGGCCCAGATGATTGAACTTTACAATTCTGGAAATGAGACTGGCTTCAATCGGTATGTTGAAGCCGTCCTTGCGAGGCCGGATCTATCCACACAGTTTCGCTGGGTTATTAATCAAGGCATGTTTGCTTGGAACACGACAAACCCTTATCAATGGTTCGACCAGGCGGGAAAGATCTTCCTCAACGCCGAGAAACTCGCCAATATTAAGAAACCGGTCTTCGTTGCATCGGGAGAAGATGACCATATGGCACCTGGACAGCCCGAGGACATGGCGAGACTTTTGGGAGAGAAGGCGCACTACTTTTTGTTCAAGACGGACGTCGGTGCTGGAGAACACTGTGCCCTCGGTGCTGAGCAGCAACTTGCTATGGAGACACTAGATTGGCTTGCTGGAATCTTCGACAAGGTTTAGAGCTCGTTGGCTGGAGTAGCGAGAGCAGATGATGATAGAGATGATGATAGGATCAGCTTTGCAGATTTAACATCACGGCCGGAGAGAGCGGGGAGTTTAACGATATCAACTATCGTAGAATGTATCCATAAGATAAAAATAAAACAAAAAAACCATCAGACTGTTAACGAGATATAAAATGCCTCACTCTTTGACACGGATTCACAGTCCTTGATTTCCGTGGCGGGTACGCACGTACTGTTCCACCTTGGCATGATAACCCACATGAAGAACGCCGCCTGTCAACAAAGCGGGTTTAGCTCAGTTGGGGTATGTTGTCACATCAATCCCTCTTCGAGATACATCACTAACCTTCACTGACAGAGAGCGTCAGACTGAAGATCTGAAGGTCATGTGTTCGATCCACATAAACCGCAAAGACTACTTTTTTGCACTGCTTCTCTGCAGCAGGAGCCGCTACACCAATTCCTCTACAGTAGGGAATATTCCTGGTCTTGTTCACCAGTAGTTGACTGAGGTGGCTTTATTTTGGACATTTATTTAAGTTGCGAATTACATGTGGGGACGAAAATTTTGCCATGTCAAATGCGGTTAAAGCTACCTCATCCGTATCGATCGCCCACGACCACTACCACCAGGAAGATATCTCCCGGTTCAATTTTTTTTTTTTTGACTGGGGATGTGTGATACATCAGAAGGTGCAAATGTGAATCTCACAATCCTAATGGAATAATACAGGGGTATAGTAAACTACTCCATCGAGATGAAGTCATCCCGACGTGGCCGTCAATTGCAGCAAGCAACACCGAAAGGTCAATTCCCCGCGATATGAGAAAAATGGGTTCCAATTTTGAGTACTAATAACTACGAACACACACCTGAAAATACTTATTCAGCTAATGAGCGTACATTACAAATGAACAGCTTTTCTCCAAATCTGACTAGACTAATATTCATGCTTCAACTTGAACTCGGCGGGTCCATATTGTCCAATCTGTCTGCCGAGAGGCGTCATGTCGAGGAGCGCCAGGGTCGGCATTAATTTGTCTCCGCCCCTGGCAAAGGTTGAGTAGGTGTGGTAGATCTCACCGTCTTTCTTCAGGAATACGCTGAAGCCGGGTACGTCGCCCGTGTACCAGCTCTTACCTTGAGCCTCCATCTCTTCCTTGCTGCGGAAGTTGAGCTGCATCGGACAGACGGATTCGTCCATGGTCGCGTGGAAATCATAGTTGAAGTCGGAGTCGCCACTGGAGTACCAAGGCCAAGTCCAGCCGTTCTTCTTTCGGAAGGCTTCGAGCTTGTCAATTTCGCCGCGGGACACACATACCAGGTTCGTGTTCTTCAGGCGAAGATGACGCACGTCTGGGAGCGACTCTCCCATGTGGCTGCAGCCACGGCAACCCTCGTCATCACCTGGCTTGAACATGAAGTGGTAAATGATCAGCTGTTCATGGCCTTCGAAAAGGTCGCTCAGGCTGACGCTGGTGTTGTCTGGGCCCTGGAAAGTGTAGGTCTTGTCTATTTTGACCATGGGAAGGTCACGACGCTGTGCGGAGAGAGCATCGTTGGCTCGTGTAAGCTCCTTTTCTTTCTCGAGCAGAGCTTTTCGAGCGGCGAGCCACTCATCACGGCTGACAACCTGGTCGTGGTTAGAAGAAGTGTTGAAAGGACAAGTTCAATCGATACTTGCTTTGCCTGTCATTATCAAGAATGTTGAGGACTGGAGTGATCGGGTTTCTTGCAATTGCTTGATTCTGTGGGCATGCATCAAAATCCTTCGGGCCATCGGACGCGGCTCTTTATAATAGCCCCACATCTCCGAGTCCGACGGACCGTGAATTTGTTCACGGTCGTATTGCATTCCCCGCATGTACGAAATACGGTGGCTGGCGGCATGGACCAATCTAGCCACGACCAAGTCAAACATGACGTATCAAATTGGATGATCCGGGGTGATTAGTGAGCAAAAGAGGCGTTGCTGCCTGGCAATACGACCCAGGAGCATTATGGCTCACAAGGGAAAGGAACTGAGACTGGGATTTGCGAGTTCCAGACTGTGCTTCAGCCCGCCACAGCAAATCGTTGCTGCGTGAATGCGATATCCACTCGGGCCGCCTTCGTCATTTTACATCATGATGTGCAACAAACTAATCACTGGACCGATAGCCGGGATTCCTTTGTCCCGGATCCCGACAGACCAGGCCGTTCACTTATCAGTTCAATTGACCAATTGACTAGTCAACAGGGCTTTCTCATATGCGACTATGTGAATTTCCCATTAGACGCTGTTGCCTTTGCTTCACGCTGAGCTGACCGCATCTGCAGGGTCATCAAGCCACAACTAGAGTTAACGCCCGCTCACGGTTCATTTCAAGACAAGCGATCCCTAGCAAGGTTAGACATACCCCAACAAATTCCACCCTTCGTCGCATCGAGATTCACGGTCTTGGCAACGGATTTGGCTGAGCTGAACACTTTGGTTGGTATTTAAGGCCACAACTTGGTGCGGTGCAGTCTTCGTTCTTACATCATCCAACCATCTCACATACTCAATATTCAACTGCAACTACACCATGTCAGACGTCAAGGAGTCAACCGAAACCTACCGGGGCAACTGCCACTGTGGTGCATTCGTCTACGAGATTGATCATCCAGAAATCAAAACCGTGAAAGAATGCAACTGCAGCATCTGCTCCAGGAAGGGCTACCTCTGGCTCTTCCCCCCTACGCGGGATGGGTTCAAGATCGTCAAGGGTGCCGAGGACGACCTTACCACCTACAAATTCGCCGGCGAGAACCTTCACCACAAGTTTTGTCCCACTTGCGGCACCGGAGTCATGGCCACGATGCCCGGACACCCTATGTTCGGTTTGAACGCTCATACCATCCAAAACTTGGACACATGGACGCTGCAGCGCACACCGTGAATACCGCCTACCCGTTTCACTACAACGCAACATGCTAATTCATGCGTCAGTGTCAATGGTGCTGCGCTAGGCTCCCCATACGTAGTCCCAGCATACACTGGTCGTCTTCCAGTCGAGGTCGAGGGGGGCAAGTTTTATACTGGAAACTGCCATTGCGGTGCTGTCCAAGTGGCCCTAGCCACCAAGCCCCTTGACAGCACATACCCCGACATGATCGGCGAGTGCAATTGCAGCATTTGCGAAAGAGTAACACAACCAAATTTCCCATATGCCCAAATAAATACTGACATTTCGGTAGAATGCCTACGTTTGGGTTTGGCCACTCCGTGATCAAGTCATCTTACACGGCGAGCCTGAGGATATCGGTCGTTATTTCTTTGGATCGGAGGTCATTGGCAAGACATTCTGCAAAAGGTGCGGTGTCCAGTTGACGAATGAGCCTTCTATTCTGTCAGACGAGGCGGTGGCTGCCTTACCAGAGGCGCGACGACAGGTGTACGACATGGTCAAGCCCAAGCACCCAGTGAACGTTCGTGTCCTGGAGGGAATTGATCTGAACGAGCTTAAGCAGAAAATCCAGCAGCTTCCTGGGTCAGCTCGATCTCCAGTGTACGTTAATCCTTAGTGACAGGCGGAGAGGGAGATGGTGGGTAAATTCCAAGACGCCCAGGGTGGTGGATGAAGATGGGAGGTGGGTGATTAATGATGGATTAGCGTTTTGGGTGTTCATCGTCATGGTGGGAGTTGATGAGATACCAATGGAGTATGGGTGAGCACGGCTGTTGTAGTAGTTTGTATAATTTTGAATGCATCGTGTTGTGTGTCCGAATTGTAACAAAATTTATAATTTCTTCGCCTTTGTTAGTTGGCATCTTAAATTTTATCCTTCCTTGATGGTTTCATGGGGTGGCCATGATCTACTTGCAGCGACTGGCCTACCCTACACAGGCCGAATGTCCAACAATTTTTCTTCTATCCCATGCTCAGGATCAGAATACAAAGACCACATCTTATTCATTGCATTCTATTCAATTTTAGAAAAATTAAATCAAGAGTATTGCCATTCGCACATGAATCCTGGCGTGTTTGCAAGTATGATCAGCGGCGCTAAATCCCAAGGCGCTCAATAATGAAACACCTAAGATAGCACCTTAGAAGGTTATTTAGAAGACTAACCCGTAATATTTATGCCTCCTTACAAAGTTTTTTTTAGGTTATCTATCTTATCAAATAATAACGAGCCTTTACCCGAAGTGTAAACTAAGTATCCATCATCTGCACGCATACACATAGAAGGCATATGGATTAAGCTGAGGCCTTGGTGAAAGGATTCGTACCAACGCGAATCGCAATTGTCCGAGTTAAAATGGAGAGAGACTCACCATTCGATATGTCGTCTACGGTATTGTGGATACGAATCACGACTTGGGCTGGTCCAAGACGAATACAATCTTGCTGCTAGGATGCAGGGCGCGATGCGAACGAAAGGGGGATAGAACAGAACTGCGCGACTAATGACAGCGAATATCTATCTCCTCAAATCCCCTGCCTCGCCGCCTTATCAAACCCCTGGGTTGATGTGTTGAGATTCGCGAACTTGCTTCCAGCTCCGTCACTGCAATTGAGGCTCACCGCGAATGTTATACTGAGCAGATTGGTTCACCACGCCATAAAAACCTTCAACAGGCCATTTCTGGCCCCGGGCTCCAGTCACTCCACCGAAACTTTCACACCGGACGTCAGATCTAGCTGACGAGAAAATTACTCTAGAAGACCAAGAGACCGGGAGAGTGGCAATATTTAGGCAAACCCGACTATGGAATCCATCCTGGATGCAACGCCAGGGGAAAATTCTTTACGCGGGTTTTGCTTGGCCATGGCCTGATTCAGGGTGCCCTCGTGGCTCCAGCGTCTAGCAGGCTCACGACCCAATCTCTCCAGGGCATAAGGCGTACGTAACCATGCTGTCTCAGGTACCAAGGGGCCGGTGCCACTCGGGGATCCTGGCGGCAGCCCAATAGAAGCCGTCGCGAATCGTTCGCAGGTCCCGTCCAACTGGATCTACCAGGCAAAACAGCGTCCACCAATTGCACTCGCAACGAAGCCGGAGCAGCTTCTATCGCGGCCTATCCATTCGTCCATCGTCGTCCCTGCTCACGGGAGATTCATTTCGGCCGCCAGGGGAATCAAAACGATCCACACGCCCCTGACGTGAGCCCCCACAGCGGCACATCCAGGAGGAGCTAGAGTCGTTTACCTAGCGACCCGGACGATTTATTCGGAGCCGCTAACAAGTTTCAGCGCCTCTCGGTGAAACGTCGTCGCAATGGCAGTCGGATACACCGTGGATCCTATGCCAGGCATTGATATAGGCGATGGAGACCTGGCCAATGACGAGGGATAGATTACTACTTTTGGAAGCCCAAACCGCGCTTGCGGATCCTCTGGCGTCTGCGCGGACAATTGGTACATTTGTCCACCTGTAGGTAGAGCGAGGATTCGTCTCCACACGCCCTGAAACTGTTTCGCTACGGGAACATGGACTGACTGACAGCGCCGGGTCAGCATTGTCGTCGGGTCTTTATGCGTTGTGATAGGGCTTCCAGGCGCAAACAGGGAAACGACCAGGGAGAAACAGGGAAACCAGGGAATAGACCGGAATATGGTTCGTGAGATCCCAGTCCGTAGTATCCAGCAGCTCCGCAGGGCCATAGTTAAATACTTGCGGCTTCTCTTCTAGAATATGTTTGTCTTGACCAGCCAGGCTTGCCTTCCTTCCTTCCCTTCCCTTCCTTTCCTTCTACAGCACTGGGTGCCGTTCTTTTTCTTTGCATTCATTCATTCACTCACGACTGGATATCGTGATTATTCCATTCTTTGACCTTGTGTCCTTCATTCTTTCACTTTGAAACCCAGCTTTTACTCTCACTACTCGTTTGCTCGAAACCACATCTCTCCACCATGTATTTCAAGTCTTTCGTTAGTGCTTTGGCACTCCCGAGCCTCATACAGGCCGCTTCGGTCTCCTATGTCGACCCCGACACCAGCATCACGTTCCAGAAGTGGACTGATGCCACCAGCAAGTTCAGCTTCGGTATTGCTCTGCCGACCGATCCCTCTACCGACTTCATCGGCCAGATCTCGGCCCCCATCACCGAAGGCTATGCTGCTCTCGCCCTTCGAACCTCCATGGCGGGCAGCTTGCTCATCGTGGCTTGGCCCAACGGCGAGACGGTCGTGTCTTCGCTGCGTGAGGCCACCGGTTACACCAACCCCGATGTTCTCGACGACGACACCGTCTCTCTCAAGACCATCGAGACTGGAACCTCTGTCAACGCCACTGCCTTCACTTACACCTTCCTCTGCTCAGGATGCATCAAGACTGATGACTCCACCTTCGCCGCCAGCGACGACACTGCTTCCATGGGCTTTGCTCTCAGCACCACTGCTCTTGACACTCCTGCTTCTGCTTCTGGCGCGCTGAACTACCACTCCGCCGGCTTCGGTGGCTTCGGTATCGATCTGGCCTCTGCTCAGTCCTCAGACTACGCTACCTGGGCCGCCCTTGCTTCTGAGGATTCGACCACGACCCCTGATACTGGCAGCGGTAGCGGAACCGTCCCCGCCAACCTGACCACCATCATCAGCAACGTTACCTACGACTACATTGTTGGTGGTGCCGGAGCTGCTGGTCTCATTGTTGCCGAGCGACTTGCTGAGTCGGGTGCTTCTGTACTTCTTCTCGAGCGTGGACAGGCTTCTCTCTACTCCAGCGGCGGAGATGCCACCATGGACTGGAACAACACCGTTACCCAGTACGACGTGCCTTCCATGGGATACTACCTGTCCACCGCCTCTGACACCAGCGAGTACTGCACCGACACTGCCAGCCAGGCCGGCTGCATCTTGGGAGGATCGACCGCCATCAACGCCATGATGTTTGTCAAGCCCAACAGCGAGGACTTCTCCAAGTGGCCCGCGGGCTGGAGCTGGGATACCGTCGAGGCTTCCGCAGAGAGGCTCTACGCGCGTACTCCCGGAACCACCAGCCCTACGGCCGACGGCGAGCTGCACGACCAAGGTGCCTGGGATGTGCTCAGCACTTGGCTTGACGGCAACGGCTTCACCGAGGTTGATGCCATTGCTGAGCCCGAGAAGAAGCGAAAGATCTACTCGCACCCCCCGATCATGGTGAGACTTCCAGTTTCCATCTGGAAGAGAACTTTGCTAACATATCTAGGTCAACAACGGACTCCGCGCCGGCCCCGTTCGTGATTACCTCCCGTTGGCTCAGGCCCTGCCCAAGTTCTCACTGCAGCTCAACTCCAAGCTGCTCCGAGTCGTCCGCACCGGCAGCACCATCACCGGTGTCGAAGTGTCAACTGGCGCCGCCACCCGCCAGATCATCAACCTCAACACCAACGGTGCCGTCATCCTCGCTTCTGGTGCCCTTTCCACCCCCCGTGTTCTGTTCAACAGCGGTATCGGCCCTACCGCGCAGATCCAGACCGTGTCCAACGGCTCTACCCAGATCACTCTTCCCGCCTCATCTGACTGGATCAACCTGCCCGTTGGCGAGAACCTCCAGGACCACCCCATCTTCACTGTCAACCTGCAGACCAAGAACTCTTTGACCTCGCTCTCCAGCACTGACTTTACCTCGCCCAACGACACCAATGTTGACTTGTTCGCTCAGGGAACTGGTGTTCTCGCCCAGTCGGGCCAGCGCCTGAACTTCTGGACCAGCATCACCAACACCACCGATGGCGTTGAACGATTCATCCAGGGTACCTGCAACTCCCCTTCCAACGACACTGTCCGCATCAAGGTCTACCTCACCCACGGACTTACTTCCACTGGAACTCTGGGCATTACCAGCGCTGGAGCCACCAAGCTCACCAAGGAGCCCTACCTGAACACTGCTGGCGACAAGGAGGCTATCCTGTCCTTTATGAGACAGCTCATCTCTTATGCCTCCAAGTCCGACAGCACCCTGTCCATCGCGGCCAACACCACTGCCGAGTCCCTCATCGCTGAGTACGTCACTGGCTCTCACTTTGTTGGAACCGCCCGGATGGGTACCAGCAACGACGGCACCAGCGTTGTTGATACCAACACCAAGGTTTGGGGCACTGACAACCTCTACGTTGTAGATGCCAGCATCCACCCCGATCTGCCTACTGGAAACACTCAGGCCATTGTCATGGTCGCTGCTGAGCATGCTTCTAAGAAGATTCTGGCGGCAGGCGGATCATCCAACTCTACCACACCTGTCACTTCCAGGTGCCGAGCTGCCCGCAGACGCCGCAGCTTCCGACCCCGCTACGTGTAAATAGCTATTTTTCAAACCATGTACTATATATTTATTACCTTAGATGAATTCAAGGTTCAAGAACTGTTACCACAGTCGTATATCAGTAACTTTTGTCTGCTTGCCATACGAAAGATATCCACTTTAAACGAATGCATTTGTATGAGTACCGAGCTCACCTAACGATAGAGAGTGTGGTAGTCTATTACACTAATCGGACGACATTTTGAAACGACAGCGTCTTAATAATTACCTCCCTCTCATTTCGTGGCTACTCTCCTTGCGTGCAGTTAATCTCCGGCCCCTTCAAGTCTCACCATGGTAGCTGTGTCCCATTATACAGTAGAAACTTTCCACTGTCTTCAGGCTTCAAATCCGTGACAATCTTGATGATCCCTCTCGCGCTATCCGGAATCTCAACCACAGCATTCGGCCCGCCCATTTCCGTCTTCACATGTCCGGGATCAATAATGACAACAGACGCCAGTGATCCCAATTGACACGCCTGGTGAACGGTGAGCATGTTCAATGCAGTTTTGCTGATGCTGTAAGGGGTGATTTCAGCAGGGATCTGTCTGTTGGTGAGCATCTTGAGGCTGCCAATACCCGAAGTGATGTTGGTAATCACTGCGCCAGAGACTAGATGCGGTAGTAGCGATTGAGTGACGAGAGCCGGGCCAACCGTGTTAGAGACAAAGTGAGAGATGAGAGACTCTGCGGTCAAGTTGGTGCTCGTTTGCTCCCTGGAATGCAGGATGGCAGCGTATTGAATGAGCACATCAACGCGAAAGTCTGCTCCAAGCACTTTTGCCAGACGTGTGACCAGCTGGGAAATCGAGTCTGGGTTGGAAACGTCACATTCGACAATGTGAACGACGCCGTTGCTGCTAGCCTTGATCTCGTTGAGGGAAGAGAGGTCTGCTTGCAGGTTGCGGACGATTGCCACGACCGTGTTTGAAGGGATTTTTGCGAGCTGGAGGACAGTCTCTCGTCCAATTCCAGTTCGTGCGCCGGTAATAACAAAGACAGCCATTATAGAGTTTGAGTATTTTTAATAGTGCAATGATAAAGACGTTTGCGAGTGCCTTTTTGAACGATGATGGCGGCGAGAACTCAGTCGCTTGATGTGAGTAGTTTGAGTTGTGGCCAATTCTCAGCATCAACTCTTGAATTTATATCCAATACGCGCGACGAAGTTCGTCCGAGCTGACGAACTCACCTTCCGGGAGTCATACGGTGCCTTGTCAAGCGTTACGAGAAAGGTGCGCGTCGTATGACCTGCTTCCACACTACCGAGTCCCAAGATTGGCATATGAAGACAATAAAACCTGTATTGGGCTTCCAATGTTTATCCTGATTGGGTTATAGATGTATGATAAGTAGCTGCCTAGCATCCAAAGCGGCTCGACGGCCCGGCTCGCCGATTCTCACCAAGTTCTACTTTCTCTGGGCTTCCTTTCACATCTAGATTACCAATCCAAGATCGATGAAGATTTGTAATAAATAATTACAATTTTTTGTGCTGTTTGTGAAGGTTTAGGATGAATCTGCATGTTGAGACGGGAGGTGACGTCTTCCCTCCAATCCTCTACCTATGCGAGCTTCACGTTCGTTGGCTGACAAGGGTGATTTTCTCATTGAGATCTTGGCTCGGAAGTTCACTTGGAATTTGAGTTGAAATCTCAATTTTTTGTGAGAATTGTATGAAATTTCCTGTACAATTGAGTCCGTTTACGAATATCGTCTAAGCACATTAGAACTCATCATGTTGACCTACTCGAAGTTGGGAATGCACGTGATTCTGCTGAAGTTGCCAACTTTAGCGCATCGGTCAGCTGATGCAAAGACATCAAGCCCATCTTGTTTTAATTGAACTCTCAAATTTCCCTCTTTTGCACATCCTTATGCACCATTGATCATTGCACTGAACAGAATAAATAAATTCTCAATCATCTCATGTCCGTCATGGCCTTTCGGTGGTCAAGACGTACCTTCAAATCATGGCCGACATCAGTCAGATATACCTCACTCAAAATAACGCCACGACCGTACTGTCAACATGGACTTAGATCTTTTTATACAATGCCAGCGGAGTGGGAAGTGCACTCGCAAACCATCACCGTATGGCCAGACTTTGCATCGATACCTGATGAAAAGACGTTGCAGGCAGCCCGTCTAGAAGTCTCCGCTATCGCGAATGCAATAGCGCAGTTTGAGCCCGTCACGATGTATACGCAGCATCGAAACGTGAACATGGCACAAGGCACCGTTTCCCAAGACGTCAAGGTTATTGGTCTTGAGGCGAGTCAACTTTGGGTACGTGATACGGGGCCAGTATTTGTTAAGGACGTTAGAAATGGCCAAGCTATGGCGCTCGGTATGAACTTCAACTACTGGGGCGGAAAGTTCCCCCGAGAAGGTGACGAGACTGCAGCCGACAAGATTGCCTCGGCTATGAGTACCCCAGTCTTTACAGCTCCATTTCAAGCCGAAGGCGGAGGAATTGAGGTCGATGGCGAAGGAACATTGTTGGCGACTGAAAGCTCCATTATCAACTCCAATCGAAACCCAGGATTAAGCAAACAACAGCTAGAGGATCACTTCAGTCTCGCTCTGGGAGTCAAGAAGACAGTATGGGTTCCAGGAATCAGGGACTATGACATCACAGATTATCACATTGATGCCCTTGCACGATTCCTCCGTCCCGGGACGGTGTTGCTAGGAAAGCCGCCAGCCAACTCAGAGGCAGAGGTCATCAGCGCATACGAGGAAGCTAGGAGAATCCTCAGTCAGGAAACAGATTCGCAAGGAAGGCCGTTTCAGATTGAGGAAATTCTAGAACCTGACTTGAGCAAAGTGCCCGGGGAGCATTTTGGCGAGGCTGGCGAGACCATCGCGTCTTATGTCAACTACCTCGTGGTAAATGGTGGGCTGATAGTGCCACGATTTGGAGTTGGAGACGCAGATGATGAAGCGCTTCAGCGCTTTCGTGAGTGTTTTCCTTCTCGACGAGTGGTGCAAGTGGATATCAATACTTTGCCAAAGCTTGGTGGCGGCATCCACTGCGCGACACAGCAAGTCCCAGCTATGTGAGGGAGTTTTGCGAGTGGAAATAAGGTCACTCACTGCCAAACCTCTGGTCTCACCTTTCTGTCATCTGGGGTAAAGCTGTGAAATTCTAAAAATAGAAATATCCACGTAACAATTATCTTTTTTTGCTTTTTTTTTGTTGAGATAACTGCACGTGTGCTTTATTAGCACGTTGTCACCGCTTCATTGACGCATCTTCATATATTTTCTCCCTTGACTATCCGACTGCTCTCAGTGAATCTTCGTCGAGTCGTACAACTCAGTCCCACCATGGCGCCTATCGATGACTCGGAATGGGTCGACATTGACACGGATTCCGACGAAGAATTACCGCCTCCACCTATCTCTATGCCCAAAGCCAACCCTACACCTCCTCCAGCGACCCCTCGTTCAGATGCATCTATCCAAGCGGTCATCGTCCGCTGCAATGCTGATAAGTCAGAGTTTGCGCCTTGGTCTCCAAAGATGATCTCGGCAGATGATCCTATCTTCTCGCACGCCGTGCCTCTGATCCCCGGACTCATCGAGGTGCCACTGGTCTTCTCCCGCGTGGGTACTAAGTCCGCATATCGGGCCAACCTCGACAACACGATCATCACGTATCTCCATATCGACGCCACGTCTGGGTTCGCGCCGCCGCAGTGGCAGTCCCGTGTCGGCACGGTAGTGGTCGCGCGCAAGGACAAAAAGCCGTTGCTACCCCATCATATGGAGGGCGCGTGGATGTACTGTGATTACATCTCGGACCTCTTCGGTGAAGGGACTGGTGCTCCAACCCGTCTGTACAATAGACAAGCCTTTGAGAAGTGGTGGAATGTTTATTGTGAGGCACAGAAGGGGTTCCGCCGAGGCAAGGGAGGCTTGAATGATCCGAATGATTGGCGGTCGGTAAAGTCGCCGTATGAGATGTAATTAACTCAACTGCTTGCTTCGTACGGCCTAAATAAAGAAGAGAGATGTCTTGTCCTGGGGCATTTGGACGGTATGTCTTGTGAAGCTGCTTCCAATGCAAAATACAATAGTAAGACGCTTTTGGACAGCGCTTAACAATCGTCGGTTGTTATTGTGAACGTGTAAATATGCTTACCCTACACTCGGCTGGATTCGTGCAGATAATCCTCGTCACCGTCTCAGGTCAATACTCTAGCCCATTCTGGCATGCCTCGGCCTGATTTCTCCTAGAATTACTGCCTGATTCCTCTTAGAAACACAGCCTGATCTGGAATTCGAAGCTGATTGGCTTAGGCTGGCGTGGCTTGGCATTTCATTTTCAGCCCAACATCTTCAGCTGAACCCTCAACTTGCTCTCTTCATCTGTGGGCGATTCCTGTCCAAATGGATCCCATAAACGCGTTCCAGGTGGCAGCCGCTGTTATCGGCCTAGTCGACTTTGGCGCACGCGTTTTGTCCGACACAGTTGAGATTTACAAGAGCGCATCGGGGCATACTCAACGCGATGTCGAGCTTACGACACTATCTGACGAATTGTCGAATCTCAGCGAGCAGCTGCAGAACCGCCTGGAGGGAACATCTACTACGTCCTTGGCATCTGAATCCACCTTGCGAGGCTTGTCGGCACGATCCATCGACGCCAGCAACAAGCTCAAATCAGCCATCGCCGACCTTCAGGCAAACAAGCCTGGAACCAGCAAAATCAGTACCGCGGCGAACAGTTTCGCTTCTGCTCTCAAAGCGATCTGGAAAAAGAGCGAGATTGAGGCTTTGAAGGAAAACCTCGTGGAAATCCGGTCTCAGATAACCATTGCAACACTCATCTCTGTCTGGTATGTCGCGACATTTAACACCACCTCGTTCAGCAGTCTAACCCGTTATTCAGGGAAGAGACGAGACAAGATGGCCAGAGGCATGGCGACCTGAAGGACCGTCTGGACCAAATCGCTAAAAAGCTTGACCGCCGCGATGACACGGCTCACCTGTTTGCCAAGGAGCTTATGCAGATGACGGTTGAGGGCAACACTGGTAATTTGAGTCGCAAAAATGCAGATCTCGTCAATATTCTTTGGGGCATTGACTGGAAATCTTGGGATAAGAGCCAGGGGGGCGGCCTCTTTAAGAATCTCCAGCCAGAAGAACAGCGGGAACCTGGGGATTTGCCTATTGGCATGAGGATTCTCAGCAGTCTTTCTTTTCGTGAGATGTATGGAAGGAAGCAAGCGATTCCTCTGGCATACGCAAACACGTATCACTGGATCTTCAGAGACGAGCAATCCGGCGAGAATGGAGAAAAACTGGAATGGCCAAGTTTCCCTCAATGGCTTCAGAAAAAAGACGACTCCCTCTATTGGATCACCGGAAAACCAGGCTCGGGAAAGTCAACTCTCATGAAGTACATCTTTGACAATCCGCAACTTCGGATCAGTCTCAAAGGCTACGCCGGAGATTTGCCCCTGATGTTGGCCGGCTTCTTCTTCTGGAACCCAGGTTCTGAAGTCGAGAAGTCACAGGAAGGGCTACTCCGTACCATTCTCCATCAGTGTTTGTCCGACAGGGAGGATCTTATCCCTGTTGTGGCACCCAGGCGATGGGCCCTGCACTCCATTCTGGGAAGCAGTACCACTGCTCCGGAATGGACTTGGCGGGAGCTAAAAGAGTCCTTCGAGGTACTCTGCTCGCTCCATGGAAAGGAATTTCAACTTGCTCTTTTCATCGACGGACTGGATGAATTTGGTGAAAACGGAAAGTCCCCCAGCGTTCTAGTCGACTGGATCCTGGACGTCATCAAGCGCCATCACGTCAAAGTTTGCGTCTCAAGTCGACCATGGAATGTGTTTTCCGATGCGTTTCAAAAAGAACGCTCCCTGATGATGCAGAGTTTAACTTACCGAGACATTGAACATTTCGTGCAGACCAAGTTCGGGGATTCTGTTGCATTCCAAGAGTTATCTGAAGTTTTCTATGACGAGGCAAGCACATTGCTCAAAGATATAGTCGAAAGGGCGGAAGGAATTTTCCTCTGGGTTGACCTTGTTGTACGGTCTCTCCTATCGACTCTTGTTGACACACCATCGTTGCCACATCTACAAGAGAAGCTTGCCGAGATTCCAAGTGACATCAAGGGTCTATACGATAACATATGGCGCTCTATACCGCTTGATAGACTAGCAACTACGTCCAAAATCTTCCAGCTCTGCGCAACAAATATCGGAAACTCTACTGCGGAGACATTCTGGCTTGCCACTGGAGGAAGTTCTCATATTGTCATGGATCCCAAGGCACGGCAGGGCATACCCAAGTTGATGAAGAGGATTCTAGATGGCCACACTAGGGGGATGTGTGAGTTGTCGTCGAACGACAATCATGATGTGGAGTTTCTCCACCGTTCTGCATCGGAATGGGCACTGGAGAACAGCATGTGGAACGAGATCTGTTCCAAGTCACCCGCCGACTTTGAACCGAATTTGAACTTGCTGGAATCATTACTAATACTGCACCCAACCGAAGAGCCTCCTCAGACTGTTGAATTGGCTCATATCTTCGACATCGTGACTTCTTTGTTGCAGTACGCATTCGGAGCTAAAGATTCGAAACGAGTTTCAGAAGTTCGCCTCATCAAAGCCCTTGACAACGTACACAAAGTCGCAGAAACCATCATGGACAAAAGTTCCAGGTTCGATGGATACAGAAAGCCGACAGACGCCAACACCAATTCATTTTCTGCGAACAACTGGCTTGCCCATGAGTTCATGCAGGAAAGTGGCCGCCTCGAGTGTTCTTTTGTTGGTGCTGTTGCACGGGTAGGCTTGACCTTTTACGTCAAGAAGAAGGTTTTAGAGGATAAATCACTCTTAATACCTCGGAGAAATAGAGTGTCTCTTCTGGAGAGCGCTATATTTCAGAACTCAGAGTCATCAAGTTTGGATTTGTCGGAGTCTGGTCTAGTCTTTGTCTCGTCTAGGGTACTATCTGAACGATTGGAGATTATTCAGTTTCTCCTCGAGGTCAGTGATGCCCATTACGAAACAGCACTTGGCAAACCAATGTATGACATCGTTCAAAAGTTCACCTCGCAAGAGTTCGCGGAAGAGTTCGCGGAAGAGTTCGGAGAAGAGGATTCTCAACAGTACGACATCTCAGAGTGGTATACCGAGGTATTAAGGTTGCTAGAGCAACATGGCTATGGACCTGGCGGCACAGCTAGGAAACCGGGCAAAGAGAAGATACGAGGGAGACTGAGCAGGCTGGTATTGAAACTGAAATGGAAAAAGAAGGACAATAACTGAGGCAATGGGGCTTCGTACTGGCATATCTTTGCACTTCACATAAACCTAATGGCATTTGACTTCGCATATTTATATCGTCACCTCTCGAATTATACTTGAGCGTGAATTATGGATTGAAATTCCGAAGGAGTCCCCACATCCGGAACTGGTACGCAATCGTCGGATATTAATCCGCATAGAGGGGCGGCACCAAACGCATGTTTAAGCCCACTCCGACAAGTCCGTCAAATCCGTCGCGGCTCCCTTCCGAGGTATAGGCAAGAAATCTGCAGGCGAGTGGCTTTATAGACCGTGTTGGTCAGTTCATATCTCCAAGTGTTCTCAAAATCGCTAGGCCGGTCAACTTCTCTGTCACCTTTTTGCACCAACCACAATACACCATTCACCATGCCTCTGCAGCCGGATTTCACCCTCAACACGGGAGCCAAGATTCCTGCCGTTGGGTTTGGAACATGGCAAGCCCCTCCAGGCCAAGTCGAGAAGGCTGTTGAAATTGCACTCAAAAGCGGATACAAGCATATCGACTGCGCCGCCATCTACCGCAACGAAGTCGAAGTTGGCGAAGGTATCCGCAAGAGCGGCGTGCAGAGGTCTGACATCTTCATCACGGGAAAGCTCTGGAATACCAAGCATGCACCTGAGGATGTTGAGAAGGGTCTTGACAAGACGCTCAAGGATCTGGGTACGGACTACCTTGACCTTTTCCTGATGCATTGGCCCGTGTAAGTCTTCCCATTCAAGAATACATGGTTGAACACCAGCTGATCAATATACAGTGCCTTCAAGTCTGGAGACAACTGGTTCCCAATTGACTCGGATGGTGTATTTGAGCTCGCAGACATTGATCCTTCTGTGACATATGCCGCAATGGAGAAGCTCCTTGACACGGGAAAGGTCCGAGCTATTGGTGTATCCAACTTCACCAAGAACCGCCTTGACGATCTCCTCAGCAAGACCAAGGTCGTACCGGCCGTGAATCAGATCGAGGCACACCCCTATCTGCAGCAGCCTGATTTGTTCGATTACTGCAAGGCGAAAGGCATTCAACTAGCTGCGTATTCACCTCTCGGAAACAACCAGACTGGAGAGGCCCGCACTGTCGACGACCCGCTTGTCGCAGAACTTGCCAAGAAGTTGGACTTGGATATCGGCCAAGTTCTCTACTCGTGGGGTGTGCAGCGCGGAAGCGTAGTGCTACCGAAGAGTGTGACTCCAAGCAGGATTGAGTCTAATATCCAAGTCAAGGAGCTGCCCCAAGACGCGTTCGATCAGCTCAACGCTCTGGAGCGAAACAAGCGCTACAATTGGCAGACGCGATGGGGATACGACATCTTCCAAGAGCTCGGCGAAGATGAAGTGAAGAGAGTGGCACGAGAGACGGGTGCCGAGAACCTAGAAAAGTTTGGAAAATAGACAGTCATAGCTTCATAGTACAATAGACTTAATCGCGGTTCAAAACCCCAGTGTTACAGTGCTCAATTCAGGTCATCGTCGACCAGATCATCGTCTCATCAATTTCCACATGAGGCCAAAACGCCTAATAGGTGTTAGCTTGTACAGCATGAACAGCTCACTCTGACTTACCGAAGAATCAAGGTCTAACCAATCTGCAGTCTGCCACTCATCGAGCAGACGAGGATCATAAACAAGGGTGGAATCATCCTGATATACTTGCCCAAGATCTCCTGCAATTGTGCTACTCGCATCTAGCGTACCGTGATTCTCTAAGCCGTTGGATTGACCGGGAGCTGGCATCGGTCCTGGCTGGTCTGGATCTGCCGTGGTTACAGGACGCGTCGAGGGATTCTTTGCCGCCGTACGGAATTCCTCAAGAATCACGGCGTATCTGCGACTGGGAGAGTTTGATGCAGTGGCGCGAGCAAGGTGAGTCTGACATCTCTCAGCCAGCTCAATGAGCTTCGCTCTGTTTTGCTTCCCAATCAACCGGCCCGTTCGTCGCTGCTGAATCTCCCAGACGTAGGTGACAACAAGTGCGCAAAACGTCACGTAATGTGTCCACCAAAAGGCATGAAATATCGGACCCTCCTGAGCCATGTAATCGACAGTTTCGAGGACTGCTTTTGCGGCTCCCATGCATTCGTTTACCTGGTTCTCATAGGTCGTCGTGGAAGTGCCCAAGAGGAACAATCGATTGGCGTGCATGATGGCGTGAGAATGAGCAAGCTTGAGGACGGTAGCTTGTCTCCGATAGCTTGTAATGAGCATGGAAGGGCGAATGGATCCAAGGTGCAAGGGCAGGCTTGCGTGCCAGTCATGGACACGTTGATTTAATTTGTGAGCGGCGGCTACACGCTCTTGGTTGGTGATGTCTCTCAGCGTGTAGACTTCTCGTGAAATACAACCAATAATTTGAGCAATTCTTGATGCTATTAGCATGGACACAGAGATTCGAGCTCGAGACACTTACCTGGCGTGGAATATCAATGCATCAATATGACAATCCTCAGGATTTTCTGGGCCCCCGCCTGGCCCCATGGTAGTCATCTCCTCGTCATTGACTCGATCGGGAAATTCTTGATCAATGTCTTCATCATGAAAATGCCGAGGCCGTCCAAAAACAACTCCCAAGTAATTGTCCAGGACGTAGGCAGTCCAAAATGTCCTAATACAGCACTGTGTGTGGATGTAGTCGGTGTGAGAGATCCGCCGTCTTTTGGCGCTGGCGCGACGATGAAACCCGAGGGCGGATATAAGTTGCAAAGCATTTCCAAACACATACCAGCTGCGATTGAAACGGGATGTGGTGAGAAGATACAGAACGTGTACAAGCCTCGCCTGTGCCGATTCCAACTTGGGATATCCCGACTCTTCGTCGGCAAGGCGAGCTGAGATGACGAAGAGTTCGTCGCTTGCTCGCAACGCCTGAGCATCGTCATCTGCCGACAAGAGGCCTTTGGACTTTGCTTGATGTAGGGTGGCAACTGCAAGCGCGACGAGGACAATTGCTGCCCTCGCGCGACCAATTTCGCGCCATACTGGTTGCTTCTCTTGGATGTTCTTCTCGATGGTGCTAAGCCAGCTTTCTACCGTTGGACGATGCAAAATGCGATAGGTTGCGATGCAGACGTCAAAGTAAAGAGAAAGTAATTTCCTCCCATCACTTGGACTCGGTAAAGGTATTGGAAAATGCTCGTCAATCTCTGGCAGAGGCTTATCGCCGGCCATGTACAGTGGCTGGTTCTCTGCGGACGATTTCGCAACATCAGATGGCTTGTTACTGTTCTGGGCTGATAGCCGTTTCCAGGCTCGGTGCAAAAAGGTAAGGCCAGAGGTTGGGTCGAAAACCTGACCCTGTATCTCCATGGCCATGCTCAGTTCTGGCGATGCCCGTGATGGCGCTGTATCGTGAGACCGCAAATACGGGCCGGACATGTCGTCCTGCGGTTCCGTGCGCGATTGACTGGGATCAGAAATGGTCTCAAATCCAATGTCTTCTTCCTGGGACGGGACACCGGGCTCGTATGAGAGTCGCGAGTGAGCGTCCGACTGTGGTGGCGTCGGTGGTCGCCCGCGCGTATACTTTGCATCATACAAGCACACGCGATCTTTGGCTACGCACTTTGCACACGGCTGATCGCCGCTACACTTGGCTTTTCTGGACTTGCAGAAGTCGCAGGCCCTACTGACCTTGCGGAGCTTCCGAATGCCCTGGACGTCTTCACCTCCGCGAGGAGAATGATCAGAAGATACGACACTGCGTTTCCGGCCAGTGTAGTACGGCCCTGACGAGCGTGTCGTCGGCGAGACGACCAGACTGGGCTCCACCATCTCGTCTGGCATATATTGGCCAGGCCCAGGAGGCGGCAGTGGATATGATTGCCCGTTCATTGGAGGATTGCTGTGGGTTTCGATAGACGTTGAAGCGGGAGATGGAGCGTGGTGAGACGGCGGAAAAAGGGACGCGACGGAAAAGATGAAAATCCTGGCGGAGAAGTGACATATAAACCCAGCACAGTCTGCGGGGAAGCCTCACCCCGCATATTGCGATGATGGGCTAATTCTGCGGCCCACTTGATACGACAAGGAGATGGTTTTTGCTAGGCTCTATTGTGTAGTAGCATGGATCACGCGAGTCGTGTCAAGACTCGCTAAGTAAGTAAGCATCATTTGGTTTAATTGCAGACTAATTTCTGAGAGAATCGGGACGGAGAGCTGTCAATTGCATATCTCATTTGTGTTGCTTGTCGTGCATTGCCCACACTCGCGACATCACATTCAGCCAGCATCGACAGCAGGGATTAATACATTTGGGCCGGATGGTATAAATTGAGGTAGAGATATATAATTAGACTGGAAAAATTCTGTGTCATGTCGTGAAGGTGGCCAACACAGACTACCCCAGCCGCCACCCATGCCAATACATAGACACCACCTCCGTAACCAGCACTTTACAGAGTGTACTTGAACAGAGGGCTCTTGTCTCCGAGTTTCATCAGCTCCGACTCGCTGTACTGAGCCCGGATATCATCCTCTGACAACTTGTCCTTCTTCGTATTGCCCCACTTGTAGCTCAACTCCAGGAGGAGGGCCACGAGGACTCCCGACGCGCCGAAGGCCAAGGACAGACCAAAGCCAGTCTGATACTTGGGGGCTTCACTGTCCAAATACATATACGACCCTATGATCCCTCCTATATTTCCAATGCAGATGTTAAAAGCAACGCCAATAGATCGTCGACTTGCTGGGGCGAGGTTGTTGGCGGCCCAACTGCTGCCCGCGGGTTGCACGGGGTAGATGCCAATGCATGTGAGAACAAGCGAAAAGTATCCTGGGCCAATGTGGCTTCCTCCAAGATATCCTTGAAAGCCCATAATGACCGAGTAACCGATTGCAATAAGACCCAAAGGAACTGCAACGAAAGGCATACGCCAATGGAAGTGATCGGATAGACGAGAGAAGAAGACCGACGAAAGGGCACCAGCCACGTAAGCTGGGACAGTCATTAATTGTGCGTTTGTGTTTGTAAATCCCATGGCCTTGACAATTGAAGGCAACGTGAACTTTGTCCCATAGGAGCAAGCGCTGATGCAGAGAAGAATGTAGGCTTGCATGTACAGGCGCCAGTTCTTGAGGACCATCTTCATGTCGTACCAGTCAAACTTCTTCTCGGGGTTCTCATCGGCGAAGCGACCACCCTGCTTGACGAAGCTCTGGAGCTCGAGGAAGCGAATCTCTTCGGGGGTCAACCAGCGGGTTGAAAGAGCGGGAGAGTCGATCAGGAGGAAGAAGCAAGACACGCCCAGAAGGACTGTGACAATACCTTCCAGAAGGAAGATCCAGCGCCAGCCCTCATAGCCTCCGACACCGTCCATCTTGGCGATTCCGGCAGCCAGCAGACCGGAGAAAGCACCTGAAAGAGCGCTGGTGCAGTAGAAGTAGGCAATTCGTGTGGCGAGGTCCTTGGGCATGTACCAAAAGGTGCAGAGGTACACGGCTCCGGGATAGAAACCGGCTTCAAAGACACCCAAGAGCATGCGGACAGCCAAGAGACCACCGAAGCCTTTGACGACGCCGTGCAGAGTCATGATGACTCCCCAGATGGTGACGAGAGTTCCGAGATAAACGGAAGGCCTCTTGAAGTTCTTGAGGAGGATGTTGCTCGGAATTTCGAGAAGGATGTAGGGGATGAAGAAGAGACTGAGCACAATGTTCCATTGGTTTCCAACGAGGTTCAAGTCATCTGCGAGACCCTCAATTTTGGCATTGCCGATGTTTGCTCGGTCCAAATGGGAAATCAGGTACAAGACTGCGAGCATAGGGACCAAGCGGACGTCGACCTGTTGTCACATATTATTAGTCTCTATCAATTGGCTTCGGCTCGCGGATCCACGTACCTTGCGGATAACCTTCTTCCTTTGAGCAGGGGAAAAGTTTGCGTAAAAGTCGGCATCGGCGTCACTGAGGCCCAAAACGCGGATGTTGTCGATGGTGTGAACCTGGGCGCTCTTCTCTGGGTCATTGTGGTCCCGGTCCATCTCCATGTCGTCGACCATGACGATCTCCGGCTTGTCGAGTCGGGGGCTTCCTGAAGACATGTTGGGCGCGTCACGGATTCGATACGCAGTGTGTTGGAGTAGGTTGCGTTGAAATGAGACCGACTGGAGTCATCACGACCATGTTCGACGGCCACGAGTCGTATTATATCCACGACAGGGCCTCGGGTTAAGCGTAGAGCGCGGTTTGACCTGCCGACGCGTCCATGGGCAATTGCCGAGCAACCATCTCTGTGCTCGGCGTACTGGACTGTTGACGCTTAGTTACCCCATACCCCGCGTCGATGATCCGGGGAACGGAAAAGTTGTGGCTGGAGAAGCGGCCGGATTTATATCCGCTCGACGGATTTCTGCGCCATTTGGTCAAGAGACCAGCTGGGGTTGCACACAGAACGGATTCTGGGCGGAATACGGCAGTGGAGGCAGAAGAGATTATCGTTGGTCATGAGGTGATCGGGTCTCGTTTGCGGTGGTTTTGCTTTTGGATTGAAGCCCTGACGATCTCACTCCGGAGTCTCCCGCCACCTGCTCACAACCAACGGTGAGCGGGCGTACCACGGATTTTCGCATTTACATCGACGGACACTTTTCCGCCAATTCACGCAACTGAAACTCTGCGTAACGACTTTGCCCTGTTATCTTGGCGGACTTGGAGGGTCCAACCGACGCAATTGACCATCCGCTTGAGCCGATGCAACTCCGTCGCGAGCCCGTCATAACAATCATCTTCCCTCCTCGAACGTAAATAACGCCCTGAATGCAGCGACTTCTCCATCCCACCACCACACCACAAACATTGTCTCGCAATGCCTGCCTCTGTTTATGTCCCCAGTCCGCTGGAGAGCCTGCCAAGTGATTCGGACAACCTCCGAGCCTTGACCGCTGCTCCCCCTGTCACCACTGTACAGGACGATGATTCAACGCTCCTTACAGTGGACGGCTTGATTCGCCGAAGGGCCTTGCTGCACCCCGATGTTTATGCAGTCTCCTATCCTTCTTCTGGCATTGCCTTTGTTCACTACACTGTTCAGCAACTAGACATTTTTGCCTGGAGAGTCGCCAAACACTATGAGGCTAAGCTACCAGTGCGACAGACCTCGGCCGAGAAGCCGATGGTTGTTGCCATGCTGGGACCCTCAAATCTCGAGTACCTCATCACCATGCTCGCTCTGAGCAAGCTTGGCCATACAGTGTTACTGCTGTCGACCAGAATACCCCAGGTGGCTATCGAATCTCTCATCAACACTACCGGAGCTTCGGCAATTGTCGCCGACAGTCGACACGTGGAAATTGCCGGCGAAGTCCAGAAGAACATTCCCACTCTACAGCTCATCGATATTGCTGGGCGGAATACCTTTGAGTATTCCATTGAGGCTCATGGAGACACTCAATTGGACACTGCCCTTGATGGCAGCATCGAAACACAAAATATGGCCTGGATTATCCACTCAAGTGGTAAGCCTTTCCTAACTCTTCGACTTCAATGACTAACAATCCAGGCTCAACCGGTCTGCCAAAACCCATCTACCAGACTCAAAAGTCCTGTTTGGCAAACTATGCGACCAGCATGGAGATGAAAGCATTCATCACCCTACCACTCTTTCACAACCACGGCATCTGCAACTTGTTCCGGGCCATTTACTGTCAGAAGCCCATTTACTTGTACAATGCCGACCTCCCTCTCGCACAGGAACACTTACTCAAGATTATGCGAGAGCATAAGTTTGAGATCTTCTACGGAGTACCATATGCCTTGAAGCTACTTGCTGAGACGGACGAAGGCATTGCCCTACTGCGAGAGCTCAAGATTGTGATGTATGGAGGATCTGCCTGTCCTGATGACCTTGGCAATCTTCTTGTGGATAGTGGTGTCAATCTTGTTGGGCACTACGGCGCGTGAGTCTGGTTCTGCCATTCTTCTGAGAAACTTGCTAACTTTAGTAGAACCGAAGTCGGTCAGTTGATGACTTCGTTCCGACCGGAAGGCGACAAGGCCTGGAACTACGTCCGAGAAAACGACAAACTTTCACCGTTCCTCAAGTGGATTCCAAGAGGTTCGCTATACGAGTGCTGTGTTACAGATGGTTGGCCAGCCAAGGTCCAATCCAACCAGGACGACAACTCATATAGAACGAAGGATCTCTTCGAGCCTCATCCCACAATCCCTCGAGCCTGGAAATATGTCTGCAGAATCGATGATACAATTGTCCTTGTCAACGGCGAGAAGTTCAATCCGCTTGCGATGGAGGGTTCGATCAGATCGAACAAGAACATCACCGAGGCAGTCGTGTTTGGTGCCGGCCGGCCCTACCTGGGAATCCTCATTGTACCCTCTCAGATTTGGGCTGGAAAGTCCAATGACGAAATCCTTGACGCCATCTGGCCAGTTGTCGAATCGGCAAATCACTCCGCAGATGCATTTGCCCGCATCTCCAAGGGAATGATTCGCTTGCTTCCCCAGGACTGCGATTATCCACGAACCGACAAAGGCAGTGTTATTCGACAGGCATTCTACAAGCAGTTCCAGAACCACATCGACGACGCCTACGATACAGAGGATGTCAACGCTGCCGATTTGAAGCAGCTGGATTTGCCCGAACTGCAGGAATTCGTGCGAGAGCTTTTGGAAAGAACTCTCGCCACGGACAAGCCTGTTGCTGACGACACTGACTTCTTCCTTTTGGGTCTCGACTCTCTGCAAGCTATTCAGATGCGCAGTGAGATCCTCAAGACTGTTGACACTGGTGGCAACAAACTTGGGCAAAACGTTGTTTTCGAGCAGCCCTCTATTGAGAAGCTCAGTCAGTTCCTTCTCAATTTGCGAATCGGTCAAGACGCAGCCAGCAAAGTATCGATTGAGGACGAAATGAGAGATTTGATTGGCAAGTATGGGGTAAACTCACCAAATGAATCCCGATTCTCGGTAGTAAGTTGTCCTCCGCCCTAGTTTAGAATAACTGGTAACCAAGATTTTAGGTCGTGACTGGTGCAACTGGATCACTTGGTGCTCACGTCGCTGCAAAGCTCACGGCTGATCCACGAGTCGACCGCATCTATTGTCTTGTTCGAGCTCCCGGTCCGGCTGAAGCACTTGAGCGAGTCAAGCAGTCGATGGTCCAGCGACAAGTTTACCACACGCTTCCTCTTGAGGCCCGACGGAAACTTGTTGCACTTCCGTCAGACTTGTCTGATGCTAAGCTCGGGTTATCTGACTCAGACTACGAGTCAATTACTCAAGATCTCCGGGTGGTCATCCACTGCGCGTGGTCTGTCAACTTCAACATGCAGTTGTCAAGCTTTGCTCCCAGCATTTCCGGTGTGACCAACCTGATTTCCCTCTGCAAATCGTCAGTATCGCCAGCCTCGATGAACTTTTGCTCCTCAGTCAGCACCTGCTCTCGTGCCACGACATTGCCGGTACCAGAGACTGTCCCCAATCTCGAATGGGCCCAGGGCATGGGATACGCACAGTCCAAATCTGTTGCCGAGCACCTCTGTGCCAAGGCGGCGAGCCAAGGTGTTACTGCTCGCGTGTTGAGAGTAGGTCAGATTGTTGGCGACACAAAGTACGGTGTTTGGAATGCCCGAGAGGCTGTCCCTATGATGATGCAGACTGCCGTCACGGTTGGGGCGTTGCCGAAGCTCAAGGAGACACCGTCATGGCTCCCTGTCGACACTGTCGCCGATGCAGTGGCCGATATTTCCCTGTCTGAAGCCGGCAGCGTCTTCACCAATGTGACAAATCCCAGGATGTTTAGTTGGTCTGACAATTTACTCCCCGCTTTGCGAAATGCTGGCCTGTCCTTCGAGGAGGTTGAGCCAAAGGAATGGGTGCAACGACTCCGAACGTCAAATCCCGACCCGACAGTGAACCCCCCAATCAAGCTGGTTGACTTTTTTGCCTCAAAATACGACAAAGATGACTTTACGCCATCAAAGCCGTTCGATACAAAGATCGCTTGCTCCCTCTCCCCATCTTTGGCTGCTGCTCCGGTTTTGGACGATGATCTTGTTAACAAATTTGTTAAATATTTTCTCAATGCTTCTTGGAGACCCGAGTCCACCAACAAGTTCACCAAGACGACAATTTTAGTTGCCGGTCCAGCTGGGAGCGGCAAGTCTACAGTCGGTGCCGCGGTGTCTCAGTCGTTAGATGTGCCATTTATCGAAGGAGACAGCCTTCACAGCAGGTTAGCCGTGGAAAAGATGAGATCGAAAACGGCTCTGACGGATGAGGATCGACTACTTTGGCTTGACCGCATTTGCACCCGCGCAGATTCCTCCCTTTTTGAGTTGGGCTATGACTCCGTTGTAATCAGCTGCTCTGCACTGAAGCTTGGATACCGCTCAAGGATTCGCAACACCTTGGCAGAGCGAGGCATCAAGGTTGCCATTTTCGATCTTCAATGTGGAAAGGACGTGCTGCTGAAGCGATTGGAGCAACGGAAGGGGCATTATATGAGTGCAGATATGGCTGATGGCCAGCTGAGCCTGCATGAGAACCCCGGAGTAGAGGAAGTTGATGTCATCCCCATCGATGCCGAAGCGGATGTGCACCAGGTCATTGGCGAGGTAAATTGGTTTTTGGAACATAGGTGATGGAACTGTTAAGGGAATATTGTATTTACAACACCTATCACTAAATTAGACATAAGATTTTGAATATTGATTCGCAAAGGGACCCCTCCTGCATTAAGTATACACCCAATACTCCATATAGAGATCTATACATTGAATTCTGCATTTTGAGCTCATCCCCTATTGAGCTGACCCCGCTCGATGACGCCATCTCCGTCTTCTCCGTCTTCTCCGTCTACCCCTCTCCGCTTCAGGGCCGCCATTTTTTACTTCGCCTGTTCAGGACGCATAGGTTCAGGCTCATTATTGAATTATGCCGACAGTGAGAATCTGCATTTGAACACACGCGCCAATTCAGTTCGTAAAGTCCTAGCCGCAGCGCAAATTGCACAGGCTTTGCTCAACCATCTGTTATCTCCACCGAACCACGAAAATGGGCTCGATCAAGCCTCAATTTACGCAGTATGCGGCATTCATATCCCCCGATACCGGTGTTCCTCGTATTGGACATTATGATTTCGCAGCAAAGACTGTTCAGCCTCTGTCCTTCACTTCTGGCACGCCAATTTCGGACCTGTACCAGGTGATTGAATCGGGTCCTTCGAAGATCATTGCCAGTGGGGCACCCATTTCTACCGCTGATGTCAAGCTTTTGGCTCCCATCTCCGGCCGTGATGTTATGGCAGTAGGAAAGAATTACATGGAGCATGCCAAGGAGTTTAACAGCTCTGGATATGATAGTTCCGATAAGATGGACCTACCGAGTCACCCCGTCATCTTTACCAAGAGAGCGACCCAATTATCGCCGACGGCGAAGAAATTTACCTCAATCCAGCCTTCACTGAAACCGCCGACTATGAAGGAGAGATTGGCGTCATCATTGGAAAGCCTGGCTTTCGTGTCAATGAAGTCGACGCCTGGCTTTCGTGTCAATGAAGTCGACGCCTGGCTTTCGTGTCAATGAAGTCGACGCCTGGGAGCACGTTTGGGGCTATACAATCATCAATGACATGACAGCACGAGAACGTCAGAGAGATCATAAGCAATTCTTCATCGGCAAATCCCCTGATACCTTCTGTCCTATTGTAAGTTACCCCAACTTGGGTCAGTGGTCCTTGCTCTTACAACTCATAGGGCCCCATTGCTGTCCCGAAAGAACAGTTGCCATCCACTCTCAAACTTGAGACGCATGTCAACGGGGTGCTTAAGCAGAGTGCTACTAGCGACGATCTCATATTTTCTATTCCGACACTCGTAAAGACGATATCTGAGGGACAAACCCTGCAACCAGGCGATGTAATTGCCACTGGAACAGTGAGTAGACGAGACGGTTCCCCATATTATCAGTCCAAATACTAACACCTTAGTTAGCCTGCTGGTGTCGGTATCGGAAAGAAGCCCCCAGTTTTTCTTGCACCTGGAGATGAAATTGCGATTTCCATCACTGGGCTCGGTACGCTTCGGAACAAAATCTCCAAGCCCACCACCGACTATACGAGTCCACTCATGTCTAGCTCTTCATTTACACTGACAAATTCTGCCAAGTCCCTTGGTTCAGAGACTGGACTCACTCGTCTCAATGGCAAGCTGCTCAATTATCAGAGGATTGGATCAGGAAACGAGCACCTTGTTTTCGTTCATGGCCTCGGCGGGACGCAGGATTACTGGACTCCTCTCGTCTCAACCCTATCCTCGACCAACTCTGAGTCCCATTCGCTTCATCTTTTTGACCTCGAAGGCCATGGTTTGAGCCCAACTCACCCACTCAGCGATTTGACCATCGAGTCCTTCGCCTCTGACATTATGTCTGTGTTTGATGCTGCCAAGGTGTCTCCATCAAACCCAGGCACACTTATCGCCCATTCACTCGGGTGCTTAGCAGCCATCAAATTCACACTTGACAACCCAGCGCTCGTGAAGAAGCTGGTCTTTCTCGGACCGCCACCGTCTCCACTCCCTGAAGCTGCTGTGGGCGGAGCGTACGCTCGAGCGGCCCTCGTGAGAAGCAAAGGCATGAGGGCCGTTGTTGACGCTGTTGTCGAGGCAGAGACCTCCAATCAATCGAAGGAGGTGAATCCAGTCGCTGTTACAGCCGTCAAATTGAGTCTTCTGGGGCAGGATCCAGAGTCATACGCGAAGGCTTGCTGGGCGCTCGCTCGAGCAACGCAGACTCTCAACGTCCGATCAATTACCGCGAAAACGTTTATCATCACCGGTGGCGAGGATAAGGTGTCTCCGCCAGCATTGTGTGAGAAGTATTCGACAGAAATCGAGGATTGTCATCTTGTGGTGCTAAAGGGCTGTGGGCATTGGCACGTTTTCGAAGACGTGCATGGGGTTTTGAAGGCCTTCCAAGGATTTCTGTAAATTGGGCAGTTTAGATGCAGAATTCCAATATCTGTCTTATCCTTACATGACTTTTCCACAAATCGCCACTAGTAACCAAACGGGGTTGTTTCCGTTTCCAATGTGCTATTTATTCATCAGCCCAAAGTTTTCTTAAGCAAACTAATCTGGGTGGCTCCATGTATTTATTTTGAATGCCCGTGGTATAACCTATTCGAACGGGTTTTCCGAATTCGATCATCTTCTTTCTCCCACGGAAGCACCAAAACTGCTAGCTGCAGTCGCCGCCTTAGAATGGTTGCAAGACTTTAGAGCCACCTGGGTGTTCCGAGGCAAATGCTGTGCAGTCGTAAACGACGTTGTCTATGACAAGCCACAGCATCTTTGCAGATGTGGAGACCAAAATGATAGAGGGGTCGATGAACGGAAGATCGGCATCTGAGGTGCGAACATGCACAGTCTGGTGTGATCTTGGGTCACTTATGCCCTCGATAAAGGACGTCGACTGTAGAGTTGCATGCTTCAAGTCGTTTAATCGACCGTCAATTTAATTTTACCCGAGCCCCTCCTGGCGTTCATCTTTTTGATTCATTCCTCCCATAGTGGTTGGAGCTGAGAGGAATGTGACGCGGCGAGAAGACTGACGAGCGTTGGGGAAACAGTTTCTAGCCTCAAAATTGTAGTTAATTTCCCCCGCCACTAACGAATTCCGCCCATCAGTATTTCCACGGAGAACGTGAGACAAGCCGTTTTACTAACCACAACTAGAGCGAAGGGGGGCGGAGATGGTGATCTTACCGGTGGAATGAGGCGTGGGGTTGTCGGATGACCATTGATGACAACAAGTTGGTATCTTGCCTGGCTCTACTTCTCATTCCATACCGATTAGTCTGGGGAAGATACATGTTGGCTTGTGAAGATATTAACTTACAATCACTGGGCTTCAAGATCCCTCGGAAGATATCTCCATCACACAAGATTACGATCGTCTAAACATTACTGTCATGAATGGGAGAGTGCATAAGGCGGCAAGTGGGGAGTATATGCCAAGGGCGCCAATACTGTGGACTGGGAGCCGTCACATCGTGGCAGATTTTCCAGAAGTACACCCAGTGATGCAGAAATTGTACTGAGTTAAGGTAGCCTTCTTGAATAAATACTCACTTCAGATCAAATGATTCTGATCTTCATTTGCTTTGGGTTGCAGCAGGGTAGGTACAACGACGGGTGAAAATTCAGAGACAAGCTAGCCTCACAGCTGAGTAGAACCAGCGCTCGTACACAATTAGGCCACCTTGTCTAAATTCTCAACATGTTGAGCTTCCTCGCCGTCCAACTTGTTTGCCCTCCGCTCTCTGTTGCGCAGAGTAACGATTTCGTCAAACTGCTTTCTCTTCTTGGAAGCGAAGCCAGTGGTTTCTTGAAAGAGAATATCCATGTCCTCCAAGGCAACTCCTTTCGTTTCCGGCACGAAGAAGTACACAAACGCGAAAGCGATGGCAGTCATGCAACCAAAGAAAATAAATACGCCGTAGGAGATACTTTCGATCATGTATGGGGTTGAGTATACCACGATAAATTGGCCGAGCCACTGGGAGCAGGTAGTAATCGTGAGACAGAAGCTTCGGACGTGGGTGGGAAACAGTTCGGAGCAGACAATCCAGCTCAGGTTCCAACTGCAAATGTTAGTGATAATTGAGCGAATTTGAGAGTAAGCCACGTACCCAGAGACGTAAGAAATGGCAAATAGATACACCATCACGATGGCACTATACGCTGCCGCATTCTTATCCGCGCCACCTTCAAACGAGTGAGTCAAAGAGGCGTAGCCGGCAAGATAAAACAGGGTGAAGCAACATCCAACAGATGCCAGCAAGAGAAGGGGACGTCTTCCAAATCGGTCGACGAGGAACATAAAAGAGATGATCGAGAAGATACTCTTGATCGCTCCGTAGACTCCGGTTGCCAGCAGACCGACCGAGGTCCCGGTGAATCCAATGGACTTGAATATGGTGGGTGAGAAGTAGTTAATGCCGTTGATACCTGTGAAGTTCTGGAAGAGCTGGATCCAGATTCCAATCATGAGACGTGGAAGCACTGCGCTGCTGAATGTTTCGCGGATAACGGAACGGAAATTGCCTCCACCCTGGGTGGATGACACGCCCTCATGCTCCAGTTGGTTCTGAATGTTGGAAATCATCGTACGAATATGGGGGTGGTCTGCTGGAAGATTCCGGAGCCATTGAAGATCCTTGATGGCTTTTTCGTGAAGTCCCTTTGCAACGGAGTGGCGGGGAGATTCGACGGCCCACAACATGCCGAGGATCAACAATGTCCCAGGAACCAACTGCACGCCAACGGGAATCCGCCACTGTGCAGGGTTCGTGCCTGAGATGTTTCGATTGACACCATAGTTAACCCAGTAACCACACACAGCGCTCAGCTGTAGCATGATTTCGAAGAGACCGACGAGTGCGCCGCGGATGGCAGCTGGGGCACACTCGGCGATGTACTGCGGGATGACGACAGATGATGAGCCGACTCCAAGACCAGTCAAAGCTCGACCGGCATAAAAGAGCCCAATGGAAACGCCACCGATCAATTGCAAGATAACTCCAATATTGAAAATGACACCCGCTCCGATGAGTGAGGGTTTACGTCCGAGGCGATCATTGGTGAAGTAGACAAGAAGTGCACCGAAGAAGCAGCCGGCCTGGACTGAGTACATAGCAATGTTAGTACAAAAGAGCAAGCGTCAAAGTGCTAGGTACGTACAGGTAGAGACGATATGGGCGGATAGAGCTGTGCGGCTCGCGTCAGAGGCATCGGTGAGGCCCCAAGCACTCTGGAAAGAAGGGAGCGCCATGGTTCCGCCAATGAAGGCGCTATCATATCCTACCAGTCACATTCATGTCAGCTGTTGCTCAATGACCAAGGGCAAAGAGGCGTACCAAACATAGAAGATCCCCATGCTGCGGCTAAAGCGACGGCCACAACTCTCCAATTGTAGATCTCGCGGGGTTGGGGATCACTGGGATCTTCCCGGACAGGGATTAGGAACACCATTGTGACCTGTCAAATTTGCCTTGCAGGAAGGTAACAGGGAGGGAAAAAGGTATGGATAGATGTTCAAGTAGGCTGCAATGTGCGGAACTTGTTTAGCATGTTTTGTTTTCCAACTCTGGCGAAAAGGCCGAGGGTTTTATATCTACTCTCAGACCCTATCTTCCTAGGCCTAGTACCCCATGGGGCGACACAATCTGGGGTATGGGGCCAGTCTCTGGAATCTGGGGTATCTCCTGGGCCTCGGAAGACTTGCGAGTCATGAAGCTGATGATCGTTTAGCCTGGATCGGATTGACGGATCCGCGTAGTAGCAGGGATGGGTTCTTGACCGGGCCATCGCAGGACCGAGCTGGTTCCGCCACTCACAGGCTGGCGTTCACTACACCGGGGTCCCTGGCGTCATTTGTATCGTGGTGTGAGATGACACCTGCAATGGAGAGATGAGAAGGAAGGGGATAATGTCGATATGAAGATGGGTACCACTTCATGCTACTGTCATATCTAGTTGAGTTGATCTGTCGACGTAGGATAGCTAACATACTGCGAGGTTCACTTGAGAGCGTAGAGTGACCAACTGTAGCCTGTGACAAGATGGCTCCACTGGATTGAAATACGCTCATACGTGATAGCATGGACGAGATTGAGATGGATCGAGGGTTTAAGCAGACAAAGAAATTATGTTGATAGCTAAATATTGGCTCTGGGCCTTTCGCCTCTCACTCTCGGACTATCTACGACCTTTCTGATCAAGGCCTTGAGCCCATTTATTCCTCGCGATGCAAGATCCCCCGGCACCGCTTCGCCCGACACATGCAGAGAATGTGAAAACACCTCCAAAGACAATGGCCCCGTATATCCCATCTGCAGTATCGCCCTCAGCACCATGTCGACGGGCATGTACCCGCCTCTGTGCTGCTCCTCCGGGAACAGTCGGTGAGACCGCGACCATGGGAGAAGCCTCGGGACCTTGGGGTCTTTTGGGGGCCGGAACCCGGATGCATCCATGCGCTCTGCATCTGCGACCTGGACGAAGAAGAGCTTCTCGGGTCGCACGGTTACAGCCATGGCCGCCATGGAGTCCTGGAGTATTCGCAATGCTTGCTCTCTGGAGCTGTACAGCATCCTGCCTTCGCCTTCCTCAGAGTATGGATCTGCGAACTCCACCGCCAAAATGTTGAAGGAATCAAGGATGATGCCGACATTTTCCCTGTCAACAGCTCGAACCACTTCCCATGCCGACGCCCAAGTATTGCGTCGGGCCCATGAGAGCGGTTCATACCCAATCCGTAGCATTCCAAGGCCGTCGTTGTTTGCAAACTCCAAAGCCATGTCGCTGAGTTTTGTCAGATCTCTGACGACGGTTTGGAAGTTGGCTGTGGCAGTTTGGCCATCGTCAGGCCGCATGCTACTGCACATAAAGACCAAGTCTGTATCGAACGCCCGCATAAACGGGAACCGGGCTGCCACGCGATTGAGAGCCGCATCCCGTTCTGAGGGTACGAGATTGCCTTCAATATCTCTCAGCGGCTGGGTGCATGCGATGCGCATGCCAAGAGAAGATACGAAAACACGCAATTGGCGGGCAACAGAGAGTTTCTCCTCGGTAGCTTCCCAAGGATCAGTAGAGTCGAGGCCATTTTCGGCCAGATACGTCGCCCAGTCCTCGTCGAAGAGATCAATGACGTCGAACCCAGCGGCAGCGGCAGCCCGAATCCGTGGTTCGAGAGAGTGCTTGCTACAGTGACCCAGGGAAAGGGTCGCAATGCCTAGTTCGTTCGAGATTGGTTTGGCGGGCATTGTGGTGGATCTTGACCCTGGTATAAGTGAATCGATAAGAAGTGCACGCAGACAGCGTAAGAATCGTATGAACAGCTCGAAACTGGCTGGGACGCAGTAGAAATCGTACGACTGTCAGGCACGGTCCTTTAAAGGAATCATCGTACATCAGGTGAATGGCAAACGCATCGGCAATGAGTCTCGGGCATCCTTCGTCTGGTTGCGGGGTGCATCGCGACTCCATCTCGGTGATTGGCGGACTGAGCAGGCCCCGACAGATCGACAACTCGGAATGTGGCGTTCCCTGCTTGCATTTGCTGTCGTCACTCCGGGGCATAGAGCAGACATATCCGAAGTCTGGATGCTGTCATGCCATATTTCTATGAGTCCATGTCCTCGAAGCATTGACAGAAAGAGAGCCAAGCAGAAAGCTCATGTGAATCTTGCATTGACCAATTAAAGCCACACGAAACAAAATGACGTCGAAAATCGATCACATCAACACCGATGTTCTCATTATCGGTGGCGGAATGTCCGGGTTGTCTGCCGCGATCGCTGTGAGCAGCTCGTCAAAGGTACGATGTGTTGTTGTCGAGAAGAGCGATACTCTCGGCGGTTCCTCAAAACTGTGAGTTACTCTGTGATTGCACCACACAAAACGATTCATTACTGACATTTCAATTAGCTCTGCTGGCATGTTTTGGGCACCTAAAAATCCCGAGATAGCCTTGTCCACCATTCCCCATGCCGAGCCTCAACTGCTCACCAAATTCCTCTCCGACTACCCCAATGCGGTACAATGGATGAGAGAAAATGGCATCAAAACACATGATCAGTTTAACGGGATCATGACCATTGGAATTGGCTTCCCTATTGACATCCCACAATGGCTCGCTCGAGCCGAGTCAATCATCACGTCGAGCCCGTCAACGCAAATAATGACCAAGACATCCGCAGTCCGCCTCATCCAAGAGTCACCTGATGTCCCAGGATCTCGAATCGCCGGGGCTATTCTCCGAAGGGACGACGGGTCGTTGGTTCATTGTTCCGCTCGTGCTGTCCTGATTGCCACTGGCGGCTTTCAAGGAAGCCCCAAACTCGTCTCAGAGCACATTGGACTTGGCGCTGACAACATCTTTGTCCGATCAAACCCGTACTCGACTGGCGATGGCTTCAAACTCGGAAGCCAAGTCGGTGCAGGGACCAGTCGAGGCCTGTCTACTTTCTACGGCCACCTATTGCCGTCTCCTCTGCAGCGCCGCGACGTGGACCCGTCTCACTTCATCCACTTGGCCCAGTTTCAGTCTGGCTACTCTGTTCTGGTGAACCGCGATGGACGAAGATTTTGCGACGAGACATTTGGTGACGAAGTCAACAACCAGGAGCTTGCCCGTCAACCTGGACGTATCGGCTATATGATCCTCAACGACGATGTCAGGAAACGCTGGGCACTCGGCGAGGTATTCCCAAACGCGGGCAAGATTGATAGACTCGAGAAGGCCAAGTCGTTCGGCGGGAGAGTGACGAGTGCAAACTCGATAGAGACACTGCTTGAGCGCGTCGCGCAATGGGGTGTTCCGGAAGTTGCACTACGAAAGACGGTTGCAGAGTACAATCAGACCGTGAAGAATGAGACTGTCCAAGTCATAGATGCCCCCATTGGTCTCAACCATGCTCCTCACCCAGCGTTTGAGGGAACATCGGGAGGACCGTTCTGGGCCTTGGAAGTTCAGCCTTCAATCACGTTCACGTATGGGGGTCTGAAGATCGACACGTCCGCTCATGTTTTGGATGCAGATGGAAAGACGGTTGACGGTCTCTACAGCTGTGGCATGGATGCTGGCGGATTCTCAAATTGGCGGTACGGCGGTGGACTGGCGCAGGCTTTTGTCACCGGACAATGGGCTGGACAAGCAGCACTGGCAGACTGGGGTGAGTCTACAAAGCCTGCCCAGGCAAAATTGTAACGGGAATGCTGTGTGAGGCTGTATGAGATTGTATGAGTCGGATGGAAGTAAAATACAATGCTCGTTTCATGTAGCCTAGATAAAACGCCAACAAGCTTGTCTAGAAAACCTGGCTCACCAGGATATATCTCATTATGTACTGAGATGCCGCCTATTTACAGATCTTAAGTTCATCATTAATACAATTGTTGCCTTCTCACCATTCTGAGAAAATCAGGGTGAATCGACTGGTCGACAAGGACCCTCAGTCTCGCCGCCAGAACTGCAGCGGAGATGTCCTCCTTCATAATGGTGCTCCATCCCGCCGCTCGCGCAACCCCCACCGCTGCATCTTTCTGAAAACCATGGGTGTCCATGTATACTAATGCTTGGGTCTTGCTCTTGGCGTGTCGGTTGGAAATGAGACCTAGGAGAGGGGCCAGGAAGCTCCGATCCTGCGTTGATAAGGTGGAGAAAACTCCCACAGATGTAAGAGCATCTTCGAATTCGGTTGTCGTACACGTTACTGCCTTTTCTGTAATTTCGGGCGGCACTGAAAAGCCGAGTGTAAATATTTGTCCGCATTCTAGCGAGAGCAATGCGGAGACAACGCAGGATGCTTCAGTAAATGAACGGCCAATTACAAGCACATCTTGCCCTTTGATAGCGGAAGGGGAATGTTCCTGAACCAGCAGCGATCTAATCCCCAGGGAAAGACAGCTGTGCCCCATAAGGCGACCGTCTTCTATGCTGATAGTGTCCACTGACCCAGTGAGAATGGCCTCGGGACTGCGAGATGCTAGGACTAATTGGTTTGAGAAGGTAGATGAGAAGTCAAAGACTGCCCCACCGCAATCTACCTCGTTCAGGAGCAACTGGACACTTGAATCCTGCCTCGGGCTTAGTGGCACAGCTTGATGAGGCAAATTCAACTCATTGAAGCACTTGTCTATGAGTGCAGCATCAATATCGGGGTCTTGGAAGACGTAGATTTTCTTGGGAACAATCTCGCCCAGAACCGCAAGGACCCTAAGCTTATCAGTGGATGCTAGCACCGGCAAAGGTGTCAAGAGCAAACATACCCATTGACTTCAACTAACGATAGCTGATTTGGAGCACTGCTAGTCGGCAGCAGCGGGTGTGTCGTTGCTTGAAGGAAAGGATTGAGAATCCTAGAGAGTTTTCCGCCTCGTCCGGTATTGAAAGCGGTTAGAGGAGGGCTTGACGAGCTAGAAGCACGCACGACCTTGCCACAGAATCGTTGAACTTCAAATGTCTCGCTGAGATCCGTAGCCACGCCTGCAATCTGGACCACATCTCCGAATTCGGAACAGGTTCTGTATATATCTAATGTCTCCGGAGACGTCCAGTCCAGTTGTCCCGAAAAGTCGTGGTGGGAAGCGATGACCTTGGTGTGTCCCTTGCGAGGCAGAAGTGAGGCTCTTAGTTCATTACTGAACAGATCTTCTAGGTCGATAAACTCAACACCCCACTGCAGTGCCTTTTGAAGGTACGTTATCGCAAGAGGCATTTCGCTCAGGGGCCATCTACGGCACAGTTAGATCACCGCACTGATGAATTCTGCCAGTGAAACTCACTTTCCGCCTGATGGTATCAATCGAATACAAAAAATGATCGGTAGTTCCGACTGAAGCCTCAGGGTCATTAACTGTTCAGCAACGTAATCCAGCGATGGAAGAGTTCCCTCTTGGCCTTCTTCGTGAAGGAGATCGACCCTCAGCTCGAGCGCATCTGCTCCCACAGACACAATGGTCATATTGGATAAGGCGACGCGGACGTTTGGATAGGTCAGACCAATGTACACTGATCTCTTCTTCCCCCTGATATGAGAAAACGGGTCAGATTGTCCAGTGACAAACGACAGAAATCGACAAAATTCTTTTCGGTGGAATTTTCCCTTGACGAATAGGTACTCGTGCTCGAAAGCGTCGACAGTTCCATCGTGATCTATGCATTGTTGCTTAACGGTGTCTAGGCATCTCAGGTTGATGCTCAAGACTGGCGTGTTGGTACGGGTCTTGATGAGCCGCACATCCGAAGACGGAACGTATTTCCTGTCATATGCTACGATAGAACTCGGGCGGACGCCGCTGCTCAATTGGTAGTTCCTTGGTTGTAGAGCATAGCCCGTTATGCTGGCGGCCAGATCGATCAAAAAGGAGTGGTCAACATCGTGAACGAGGATTAGACAAGCCATGGTGCCTCATATCCCAGTCAGTTGACATATCTTGCCAGTCGCACCTTGACGTCTCCATTTCGCAATTGACGTGATGCTGGCTGAGCGCAAGGGGTAAATATTTAGGCGCTCCTCTCGTGTTTACCGGGATAGCGTCTGGTTCTTGTGGAGTGTGGGGAATCGGAACCAGACGAGTCCGCCAACCGGAGCGCGTCTTGAGTCCGCCAATCCGAGACGAGCTGTGTTACGATTACCTCGGCTGCAAATGTACATGACGATTCGAGATCGGTGAGCAGGAGAGATCTTCTCAGATGGGTTTTGTAGTAGAGAATGCACGGCATTGTTGGGAAGGATGATGCACAATATTTATTGTCAAGATTGGACACCCGGGGTCCAGATTGAAATCGCATCAAGTCACCGTCAAGTTGAGCTGCAGCTGCCCAGAATGAGCTTGATTCAATGTGTATGTTTAGTCTATTTTCAGGCTCCATCATCGTGTAAAAAGTTTCTGGCGTATAATCCCATGCTGCTTGTAAATTCCAAGAACTGCCTCACTTTCGACTCGTTGCCATTCGTCCGTAGGTGAAGAGAGATCCAAGTTCTTGGTTGCACTTTAGGACCTCCATACACCACCCTAATACTCCAACCCTCGGAAACCATCTTCTGCGACTTGTTGGAGAACCTTGCCGATTTAATTTAGCTGGATATCACCTGGATTGAAACAGGCTGTAACGTACCGAGTCTATGAGATCCTGCCCGATGCGTTCACATGGTTCTGTGTGCGCATTTCCCGACATCGCCTGGGATCCTGACGAAGATGCTTCAAATTCGAAATACCCATCAAGTGCATACATCAGGGAAGACGGGTAATTTTGGGATGCTTCTGAGAATGAACCCGGCGTTGCCATCGGCCCGCTACCCAGAGGTGATATTGTTGACTGTCCGGATGATTCAGACTCGGCCAATTGCTCATGATACGCATACGGCTTCCCACGTAAAAAACTAAGTCTTTGAGATAGTGACCCTAGTGAAAAGATGTCATCAGGGCCGTCAAGGCTATGAGAATTGTCAGCAACTAAACAGCCGACGGGCCGCGTTAGAATGTCAAGTAACATGCCTAGTATGCATCCAATCTCCGATGCTAGAAAATGGTATGTGACTTGGATTGAATAACCCTTCAGGATATCTCTATTTCTCACGAATTAGCAAAGCTGAATTATGAAGCTTCGTGCACCGATGTTGCAGTTCAGGCTTCCACTTACCTTGTAAAACTGAGTCAAGTGTAGGTTGGTCGTGACCAGTGTCCCAGCGCGATAGTTGCGTATCATCACAGCATGAAGTCTGTACATTTGTCTCAACATTTCACACTCATAATTGTCAGCAACTACGGGAAAAAAGGGATGTCGGTGTAGCTCGGACCTGGTGGCTAGCGAGAGTGTTTTGAACGCGCATGTCCAAAAGCTTCTCGACGATATTCACAAGATGTGGTTTGTGGCTAGCGGAGCCCTCGTAGTGCGCAGCGTGAATCAGCACCGTTCCAGCTGACCCAAGACAAGACCTATCTCGTTAGTATAGTCCCCACCCATAAAGCGCAACCTCAGACACTTACGATGTAAAGTAAGGCCAAGAGTAGCCGTGAATTTGGGCTTGGGCACACAGCTCAGAAATTCTGACGGCATGTTCGACACATTTCTTCGATGTTTCTTGCTGCCACGGATCCGATGAGTCGTCTGAGGCTGTAGACCCTGATATCAATGGAAGGAACTGTCGATAGAGGCGAACGAAGATTAAATGGTATATAAACCAGCTCAGGTAGAATCGGTTTACTGTGGTTGTTTGTGAACAGTCGAGATTTGCAGGGGCGATTGCAGACTCGACCCAGTCTTTCCATTTGCCCAACTCACTGACTAGGCTGGAAAGATTAGACCTTGGATGCCACGGGAAGTGGCTATCTCCTTGAACGCCTCCGCTCTGCAAGTAGTTATTGCATTTCCCTAGTAGCACAACAATACTCGTGAACATATGCATGATGGTCTGCGGCTGAATTTGGCTGCTACCATATGTCAACAGTTCGCTGAATTTGGTGGTTCCGGTGGTGTTGACAGTCATCTCTCCGAAGATGCCGTCTGGAGTTGGCAATCGATAATCCCGGAGTGTCTCATCGTTGAACATCATCGGCCTATTGGTACCGCAGACGCTAAATCGATCCATAGAATAAAGTGTATGAATACATAGCCGTACTGAATCTCGATAACTGGTTGTTTCATTATTCCTCAATGGCTCTCTGTGCAATTCCATACCTTGAACCATGCGGATCGCGGAGCCCAGCTTCATCCAAGCTCGAGCACCATGGCCAAGGTGCAGGAGGCAGAGTATTTTCAGGATACTGGCTTGTATGCTTTCTAGAGAAAAGTTTAGGGAATCTTCAGCGGACTCTGCGAGCTGCAAATACTCTTCGGACTGGCGATTCGGAGTGTTCTGATCGATCCGGGGCATATAACTAGGTTAATTCTTAGCTAGTCTCTTATGATAGACTAAAACACCAACCTACCATGTGCACAATGCGCATAAGGAGTACAGAAAGGTACCAGACACTTGAAAATTGAGGAACTGTCTCCGTAAGGTGCCTTCATGGACGAAAATATAAGGATTCCCATGGACGTGTGTGAAAAAGGCCCCAAGCATCTCTCGACGAGTGGGGATATCGGGTTGGGTATTTTGGGGGAGTATTCCAGAGTCTGGCAACTCTGGAGGGCAATAGCTCAACTCCTGTTGGGCTACTGGTGTGGTCGGTGCATCATTTAGCTCGTCCTGTTGTGCAGGGGGCTCTATTCCTTGTCGCTCACGCTCAAGACTATGCACACGATTGAGCAGATCTTTGACTAGATGGGAGTTGGGAACCCGCTTCTTTGGTATGGCGTCTGTATTTCCGAGTCAACAGCGATCATTGTGCTAATATTCGGGGAGTTCTCAGTACCGTAAATACACGTAAAGCCATGGCGTTGGCAGGCTTCGCAAGTCGGGACTCTCCGAGAGCATTTAGACTATATCATCTGTTAGAAACGACTCAATAACGAATAAATGATTAATACACCACCTTTCTCTGACGACATGATCGACAGCTCATCGGCGACAGCGGCAATGAGAAGTGCCTCGCGTTGGGAATGGGATGGAGCGGAATCGGTAGGCGAGGAGTGTCTCCACCGGACCGCGACGAAGAGCTCTCTTGGTCTGGCATGTCGCATATTGAACAGACAGCCTAGCCAGGGACTCTGCGGAGGGAGAAACACTGACCAAAATCAGCTCTTCAGCTCCTGCAAAAGTTCATTTGTGGACCGTTAGTCTAGTAGTCTAGGGTGAAGGGGAATCCATCCCTGCTTCCCCGCGTTTCCCCGCCGCGGGTCGTTTAAATGCTTACCCGCCCGCGTCATCCATATGAATGGGATTGATTTTATGCGCTTGGCTTAATTAGATTATTAAATCGATAAATAGACCACTTGGTATCACGAACATATTTACCTGTCATTTCTTGACGTAGTCAAGAGCTAGCCTTCGAGTAAATCCTTCTCAGCATGCCATCGCGGACAAATGGGTAGCCGCCGTCACAGCGCAGCCGGATTCAAGACGCATGATAGAATACGCATCGGCGTAAGAGGAACGAGTCCAAGTAGCAAATCTCACATTTAAAGCCTTTATAAAAGACCAAATATCTGTTGTGGAGGAGAGTCCGAGGGCCTCAACTAAAAGTACGAAGGGGGCCTTGGGTATCCATTGGTCCTTCTACGTAGCCTGTGGACACTTGTTGAAGAGCCATTGTTACCAATGGGTGTCTAAATAATGTTCAAGTATAAGTATCTACCGTTCTACGGCGAGGATCTATGTTCGGGTACCCAAGCTCCTCGTATATCTCCTATTGCACTTATCCAACCGTATCCATGGCTACCTAGCCTTTCACACACAGTCTAGGGATGTGTCACTACGCCTGGAAATAAGTAAAAAGCCAAGCGCCATTGTGGTCACGACGGTCGAAGATATTAGGCCCTTATTTTATTTCGCTCCGACCCCGACGGCTAGCATAGTTTTAGCGAAGATGTGGGAAATTGCTTGTATCAGAGGGGACAAGTTGAACCGGAATGACTTTCGTAGCATTCATTAATGGGCAAGCTGGGATATGCAACTCTAGTCTTCAGGGGACCCAGATCATCTTACTGCGCTATTCCCGTGGCAAGCACCATACAGAATGAAGGCTAGTAGGGGTGACTGTTGCCGCCCTGACGCCACACGAGACCGTTCACGATAGCTTCACGCAACATTACGGAATGGCACCCGAACCGAAAGTTTTCAGGCGTTATACGAGCCCAGTAGTAACTGAAGCTAGCCGATACTGTGGTCATTGGAATCGGCATCCATCGCCGAGCCTCCCATAAAGCACGGGAGGCCCGGGAGGGGGCAAGGTGGCGACCCCAGAGGCGTTCATCGTAGCGCTTACACTAACCCGCAACATCGTGTGTGCTATTCCATTGAGAGGAAAGGCAACCCCGCGATTGCCATGTGGTGACAAGCCCATGGGCTGGGGTGGAGGGCAACGACATGACGGGAGAGTCACGTTGCAATACCAGCGTGATCAAGCCGACTTTCAGCTTTCTCGTTACACAGGGTTCATTGGGTTTAAATCATCAGCACATGCGGGAGCTAACGGGAGGTTCGCCGAGAAGCCTGCACTGATCGGCTTGACCTTCCATTGTGCATTCGGTATCGCGATTCTAGAGGTCGGGACTCCCAGTTTACCGAATCACCATGGCCCATAAATTACTCAGCGCAACACGGCTTTGCATGCCGAACAGCCTTCTCTCGGTCATCTTCCTGGGCATGAGTGACGCAATCTCGAGGCCGTGGCCCACTGCGGCTCCGCACGGCGACTGCAGAGGGGCCATCGTATAAATCCAGCCACTGGCACATTTCTGTTTGATTGACGAAGAGCCTCAATGCTGAATCCCACCGATACCGCCACTTCTACGCCCGCTGCTCGCATAGCAGGTTGCGCGACGCCCTGACGCTGTCGCCGTGCAATACCTGGGCTTAAACACAAGGTAATCCACCGCGACGACTGCTATCTGCGGCTGCTCATTGGGGCTGTGTTTATGCTAGTGAAGATGTTATCTAGTGCAAGCCAAACGCCAAGCATCGTTCGCTAGTCCTGCAATACCTGTCCGTCATCCTCAATAGGGGTGACCCCGGGAGTACGGATTGCAGTCCCTAGCCCGCGTCTCGTGTCCCCCATCCTCATATCAGCCGCACCTGATAACATATCTTTGGAGTCGTTGCATTCGGCCTTTTGTGCCTTATCACAAATCTGTGAAGGGAATGTCTCCCCGCTGTCGCCGTGCGTCTCACGCTTTGAGTTGGCGCTAAGCTGAATCGTGCTCCCACGACAAGGAGTCTAGATTGCTGGTCGAACAAGCTAGCTCGGCAAATCCGTTACTGTCTAACTGAGTCAGTCCTCATCACGCAGAAGCATTTGATCGGGATCCCATCCGCGTTACCAATGGTGTCCCTCACCGCTGTCCCTACGGCGTAGCTTGCCCCCGTCGCCAAGTCTTACCACGTATGATATATCAACATCTATCAGCCTCTTATCGCCTCCGATTACCACCTTCCCTGCCATGACGTATCGGAAACGATCCCGACCGTTATTCGTTAACTGCAAGGGTCATACGGTGGACCGTTTTTGAGCCACACTCACTAGCAATCGGCGTTGGACCCGGTGTTCACCTGCCATTCCCATCCCTTGGCCAGCTCATGGTGTTCAACCTTTAAACCTGCCATTTTCAACCACCCCAGTATAAAGCGCCAATAGTTGTCTCGCTTAGGTTACATCAATTTTTCTGAATTACTCCCCCTCATTAGGACATCTTGAGATCCTAAAATCAATCCACCATGCTCAACGATACTAAAGGTGCATCGGACGATGCGCTTCCCTCCAAGGAGGGTCCCATCGGACGCGTTACAAGCACGTCCGAGGCGCAAATCATTGACATCGAGGACAGCCGTAATGGCGAATTCCAGCGATCCTTCTCTCCTCGCCAAGTTCATGCAAGTGTATTCCTGCAGACGAAGCTGCGTGTCAATCAATAAGAAGTTGGTGCTAACCAAACTTTACTCTAGATCATCTCTCTCGGCTCAAATATCGGCAGCGGCGTTTTTATCGCAACTGGCAAAGCTCTTGCCAATGGCGGTCCTGGAAACATGATCATAGCTTATGGTCTTGTGTGTTCATGTGTTTGGGCTGTTCTTCAGACTCTTTCCGAGATGACAATTGCGTTCCCGACATCTGGCAACTACATCGACTACGCTGGCCGCTGGGTTGACCCGGCGCTGGCTTTTGGAGCTGGATTCGCCGAGTGGCTTGGTGAGTGCAGATTGTTATTTAAAATTGATATGGAAGGTATCTAACGTATTGATAGGCTGGACTGCGGTTGTCGGCGCAGAGGCTGTGTTTTTTAACATCCTGATCAAGTACTGGTCTGCAGATGGGTTACCTCTGGCAGCTTCACGTAAGAAGGCACCCCAATCTTTTGCGACAATACGCTAACAGTATTCTTCAGTCACCATCTTCACCTTTGCGACACTGGCCATTTTCCTGCTGCCCAACAAGGCGTTTGCCTGGTTTGAGTACGTCACGTCGCTGATCAAGATCTTCCTCTTCATCCTCATCATCATCCTGTCCATTGCCCTGGTTGGTGGTGCCGGACCTACTGGTGAGGTTCACGACGGATCGTACTGGAGGGATTTGCCAGTGTTCAAGAATGGCTTTTTTGTGAGTTTTCCGATTTGAAAACGTACAAGTAAAATCCTAATTCGTTCAGGGATTCGCCAATTGTGCTCTATTGGCCGTCTGGGCTGTTGGAGACCAGGTCTTTATTGGTATCATGGGCGGAGAAGCCGAATCGCCGCGCTATTCTATGGCTCATGCCACCAAGCTTGTTCCGTTCCGTGTCAACGTCATCTACATGCTGAGCGTAAGTCCATTATCCCGCTAACCAGAAGTGCGAGAACTAAAGATTAATAGGTCATCTTCATCACTCTTCTTATTCCCTCTGATGACGAACGTCTCCTTGGCGGCAGCGGTGTCACTTCCTCACCGTTCGTCCTCGCTGTCACAAATGCCGGGGTGAAGGGCATTGCTGATCTCATGAACGCCTGCATGATCATCGGTATTCTTGCCATTGCAGCTGAATCCGTCTATCTCGCATCCCGAGTGCTGCGAACCATGGCCCACCAAAAGCTCATTCCCGAACTCATTGCTCGCGTCGATGCGCAGGGACGACCTGTTTGGTCTCTAGTCATTACGGGTGCTACAGCTTTGCTGTTGACTTACCTCAACTTGAACGGTACGTGCCTCGCAGTCACATTCTCTGGGACCAAAACTAATGCACTCTTCAGGTAGCGGTGCCGAAGTGTTCAACTGGCTGTTGTCGATTACCAGCGCTTCATTCTTCATGAACTGGATCATTATTTCTTTCACCTCCTGGCGATTCCACCAGGCACTTGCTGCGCAGAACGATGCGCTCTTCTCGCAAGTGTATGCATGGAAGTCTGTTGCGTGGCCCACCGCACCCATCTGGCTGATGACGATCTCCATCCTGCTCTTGGCCTGCTGTCTTGGCGCCGGAATTGGTGACTTGGTGAGTTTCCCCTTGGCGTGTTCAAGTCGGTCTCGTTAGGTTCAAGTGCGCTGACAGTCTACAGAGCACCACCCCTTTCAGCGCATACAACTTCTTCCAATACGCCATTGGTATTCTCATTATTGTCGTCTTCACAGCCGGCTACAAGGTGATAATGAAGACCCCCTGGCGCGACCCAAAGACGGCGGACCTTGTCACGGGCCGACGCACTCTCAGCCAGGCTGAAATCACCCAGTTGGACAACTACTACGCCATGCCTTCGTGGAGACGGTTCTTGACCTACATTCAGTTGTGGTAACCCGACAGGGGTTTTGTACCGTGGATTTGCGCATTTGGATTTAGAGAGGTATGAGCTGGAGATGATCATGGCGCAGTCACAGCGAGCCGGTATCTGCGGCGCCATTATCTGCGGCGCCATCAATCTAATGCTCGCGGTTGTGGGTCAACATGCATCTTCAACATTGTGACTCTGACCGTGTGCTGGCGATTAAGAGACTAGAGCTACTAGAATTACTTCATGAACATGCTTAAAACGCCTGTTGGCCATCAAGCCGGATCCGAATGTGATGAACCCACTCTCAGCAGAAATGGCGATATCCATGGTCCATACATTTGGGTAGGCAGGTTTTGTGCACCTCTGCTTCATCTTGTTGATATCTGTGCTGCTCTCTGGTCTTTTATTGTGGCCATCGGGGCGCCACCACCCCGGAGGCCGTGATATCGGTGGACGGGACACAAATTGCCGACATCAAAGCCTCTTACGTCGCAACACAACGGCAATTGTAGTCCCGATGTACCGATGCGGAGGCGCATTTTGGCTTACTCTTGAGCTTCATTGGTTTGAGTTGCCAGGACAAAGAAAAGTGGCGTAAGATTGAAGGCTGAAGCATAATTAGCTGGAGGAACTGAGCGGGCAAGCCACTGAGTAGGCCGGCAAAAGTTAGGGCACCCTATTTAAGGTATAAAATTATTAAAATTATTTTAAAGATGCCTATTAATATTAGGTAAGAGCAGAGACATATTAAAATCACGTTTTCTCTTTAATAGGATAGCAAAAGAATAGGCAGAGGTCTTTAAGGTGGTACTTTCGTGCACTTGTTGATGCATGCGTTTCTTATTGTTCTAACTGTTCCCGGCTGTGCACGTCTTTCCGGGGACAGCCACGGCGTTTTACGCATGACTCGGCGGGAAGTCTCAGATGCAATCACTCACAGTGTAGAAAGACAAAGTTGTGGTGGCGCAGGGCTGGAGAGACTGGGCTGGGGGACTTTTCCTGATTGAGAGCGTCATTCGAGCTATTCAGGAGGAGCTACAAAGAGCAATCAGGATATATCGTCCATCGTCTCCATCCCAATGTGCTTGCATCCACCCACCATTCGCAACAAGTCCAACAAGCTCAATAACCATGTCCACCACGACAGATCTCACTCCCCCACGCTATCATTATGACCCTTCTCTGGTCGCTGCCGCTACCTTTGCAGGCCTTTTCGGCGTTTCCGGCTTCATCCACTTGTACCAGCTAGCCAAGGGCCGGACTTGGTATTTTATTCCCTTTGTCATCGGCGTATTCTGTGCGTTGCATCCGATCCACCTGTTTATTATCTTATCTAACAATTCCTCACAGTCGAAGTTTTTGGGTACATTGCTCGATCCATCAATGCACACCAAACCCCAGACTGGCAAAAGGGTCCATTTATCGCCCAAACTCTCCTCCTGCTCTTAGCACCCGCCCTGTTCGCTGCCTCTATTTATATGATACTGGGCCGAATTATTCGGATTTTGGAGGCTGAGAAGCTCTCCATCGTTCGAGTCAACTGGTTGACCAAGATCTTTGTCCTTGGCGACGTCCTCTCGTTTGTGGTCCAGACCATCGGTAAGCGTCGCCAGCCTTTCTGCTTCTCTGAGTCAGACTAACAAAGCCCAGGCGGTGTGATACTTTCAAATTCAGATAGCAAGAACGGTATAGATGAAGGTCAGGACATTGTTCTTGGCGGCTTGGCGATCCAAATCGCCTTCTTTGGAGTTTTCATCTCAGTCATCTCCGTCTTCCACTACCGCATCGTACGAAATCCAACTTCCGCGAGCATTCAAACGACACTCTCTTGGAAGCGATATATTTTCGTCCTATACGGTGCTTCTCTATTGATCATGGTTCGATCGATCTTCAGAGTTGCACAATTCTCCGCAGGGCCACACAGCGTGCTACAGACCAAAGAGGTGTATCTCTACTGCCTGGATTCAGCCCTCATGTTGATGTGCGCGCTGTTGTTCAATATTCAACACCCAAGTGCTGTGGTTCAGAGAAGTCATTACAAGCCTTCTGCTGCCCACGTCGAGGTGTCATCGGTCTAAGAATCCCGGTCCAAGAAGTAGCTTTCATATGATTTTTCTCCCGGGGGGTGGCAATTCTGCCACGGGCGTATTGCAATACATGTTCGGATGGAATCATTCCGCGATAGTTGAAGGTACATCATATCATTAATTACAGTTCCTTAGTGTTGTGGATTTGAGCTTTCGTTCTGGAAAGTCGAATTTGTGGAACTTCAATCGTCGGATTATTAATAGCGATAAGCGTGACAATTATTTTATGTTTTAGCATCAATACGTATTCAATACATACGAATTATTTTCCTCTTAATTTTCATCATCTTTGTTCATTTTCTAATCTTCCTATTCACGTCGTCGTCGCCAAAACGGAGTGCATCAGCTTGCCCAGTGGTGACAAGCTTCGGCCACGTAAGCACGCAACATCGTTGAATTAGAAAGCGAACAGCAATAAGCGTGTTTGTGAAACGTGGCGACGTGTTGCCCACAGTGATGCAGTGTCCTATCAACTTGGTGGTCGATTGGATGTTGACCCGTGTAATAATGACGAGGGTGGCTGGGAAGTCGGAAAACAGCCAAACTATGTACCTGGCTAACAAGTTCACGGGACTCAATCACCAAGACTCGATTGGAATGGACATGATGTGCACATCTGATATTGATTGGATAGAATTGCTTTTTGCGTCGGGCTCGCTAACTGACGAGCTTGATTTTCAGCCCACAGTCGACCCCGCACCTCTGTTCCCGTTTTCGTCCTTCCTCCACCTTCAAAGATCAAAAGGGTCTTATTCATTCTCGCTGCATCTAGAGATCTCATCATGCTGTGTTGTTGGTCTCTGTTCTGAATCCGCACTACCAAACACGTCTAAGCAAGGAGCACCGATCAAAACTACCTCAGCTCGACCATCTCTTGTTTTTACAACATCGTGGCTCTAACAACATGAAGTCATCGCCCTATGAACTAGATCCAGGGGGGGATATAGAGCTTGTATTGAAAAATCAAACATTGGTATTCGCTTGGTCCAACGATAGCCTGGAGTGCACATTCCTTGAATACGTACCGCCGCCGCCCGCTTCAGAGGATTATCCAAGAGATTGGGACGAAGAGCACGTCGAGGAGCCTCCCGCTCCGGAAAACAATTCTGACGAAGACGAGCCTGCTCCACCAGACGAAGTGCTTCCCGAGGACGAGAAACCTGCCAACGAGGACAACCCTATTTGGGGTCACGTCCAAGCGGATGGGCAACCCAACATGGTTCGATTGCGCGTTTCTTCAAGACACTTGATCCTCGCTTCACCAGTCTTTCGAAAAATGCTGGAGGGACCGTGGGTGGAATCGCATGCTTGCCACGGCCGATTACGTGAGATCTCGGTGGGTGAATGGGATCTAGAAGCCTTCATAATCGTCCTGGACATCATCCATGGTCACCATCGACTTGTCCCGAGGTCCCTCAGATTAGCGATGCTCGCCAAGGTAGCCGTCATTGTGGATTACTATGACTGCGTCGAAGTGGTCGAAGTCTTTTGGGACTACTGGCTCAAGGGGTTAAAGAAAGATCTTCCAACGTCATATGGAAGCGAGTCCCTACTTGTATTGCTCGTATCTTGGGTTTTTTCTGCAGTCGACATATTCGAAAAAATGACAGAGCTTGCCGTTCGACACTCGAAGTGCCTAATCAAGGTGGCAGATCTCCCAATTCCAGGAGAGATACTTGGTAGGTGATTTCCACTCATTTATTCTTCACTTAACTGATGCTTTCCACAGACTCAATTGATCAGAGCCGGCAAATCTCCGTTAGTCGGACTTTTTCAGCACTCTATACCTTGCTTGACTCTCTCACCCATGAGAAAGCAGGCTATTGTTTTGAGTGTTCATCCATGCTTCTCGGTTCATTGACTATTGAATCGAACAAACATGAAATTCTGAGCCCCCGAGCCAGAGCACCATTCTCTGGCTACAGCGTGACCGCTGTCCAGACAATTGTGTCTAAGATCCGAAGCCCTACCTGGCTGTTACAGAGAAACTACTCCTCATATTGCGAATCATATGAGTCTTGCGACCTCTCTAAACAAATTAACCCGACTATAGACACGGTCGACAGGGGACTCAGGGGACTCAAATTAGGAGATTACCAGCATCGTAGCAAGTAGGGGCGGTTAGGGCGGCTTTATTACTAAACATTATTAAAAACGAGTCACAAAGTTTGTCATGACATTTGAAAGGCAAATCAGCATGGTGAGAAACGACATCTCGGAAGGAAATGCTCGTTGTTTCAATGTCAGCTCCGAACCCAGGGGTTGTGACATAATGACCAAATGCAAACAACGTCTCGTTACGAAGGTAAGAACGTGGATAGAGGCGAACATTCAGAAATTAATATTCAGTCATGCCCATTTCGTAATGCTTTACAATCTGAGATTGCGCCTAGGATCTATCACGGCACGATGAGTTGCCAAAAATACCGTTCAGGCTCCAGGGTAGCTGACTTCAAAGTGGATGTTCAAGAGCCAACACGAACACGCACCAAGGTACTCCCGTACGTTAGCTTAACTTAAGTACCTAGTCTAAGTATTAGCTTAAACGCTTGTCTGGATGCGGAAGCTATTGAGCATCTGTAATTGGCGTAGTTATCGTCACGCCGGCGTAGTCTCCATACTCCCAGGCTAGCTTGCATTCCCATTTTCTACCACGAAATAATTCGAAGACGTTTGTGCGTGCTGATTCCAATTGAAAGTTATCCACGCATTTCGAACCTGTTAACTTCAAGCCCTTGGATGCGCCAATATTTTGGCGCCAGGAGAACTGAGGAAATCTGGGATCTGGCTGGCTATGTTGGCTCGTCGAAACGATGGTAGATTCCCAAGACCTGTCTATCAATTTGACGTGCCCGTCAGTGGTGCTAGTAACTGACCTGAATGTTTAAAGGATGTCATGAATGCTGTAAAAGGCGTATCAAATGCGATAAAACGGAACCAGAATGCCTCAAATGCCTGAAAAAGGGCATTGGCTGCTCTGGCCAAGGGTTTCGCTATGTTAGCGCTCAAACTACTCCTGTCAACCTTCAATCGGGGTCTAGACCCAAGAATGTCGTGTTTCGATTCGTAACCTCACAAGCGGACGCTCCTAGCCCTCCACAGTTGAAGAAGAGTCAGCGACAGCGAGGGGTTGATGCGCGGGATCAGTTGAAAAGCTCTCATGCGCATGCAGGTCACCCGTTCGCTGCCGAGATGAAAACTTCAGTGGGCTTTTCCGACATGTCGAGGAAATTTGTCTCTCGGCGGTCAGGTGTGGCTGTTCATTTCGAGCAACATCTACGACCTGCACTGAACGAATCTCTGAGTCCTCAGACTCGAATACTTTTTCACCATTGTGAGTACAATTTACACGTCAAGCCTTCATTCCTAACTTTACCCAAGTCTCCGAATGCATAGCGCCCATTATGGTGGTGCTCGACTCCATCAGCAACGGCTACAGAGACATCATTATACCCCTCGCCTGCCAGGACGAGTGTCTTGGTCGAGCCGTCTCAGTCGTCGCATCATTCCATTTGGCCGAAAGGATACCGGAAATGCGACAAGCTGCTGAGGCAGACTACCAAGCCATTATTGAGAAACTGCGACACGACTCAATGCAGCTGCAGTCTGGCCAAGTCTTTAACCCATTCACACTAGCGACGATTCTAGTCCTTCTAGTCGGCGAGACAATCACTGGAGCTGATAACTATGGCTATCTCTTGGAAATGTTGGCCTGCTTGATCCAATCTCCTGGAACTATAGAAGCGTTGCCGCTGGTACTGAAAGAGTTCTTTTGGCAGCAGGTCAAGATGTAAGTGCTAACGTACTGCACGGATGGTCTTTGTTCTAATTTCATCTAGGTTCCAGCTTTTTGGAATACCTCTAACCAATGAAGCGAAAGGCGTTGAGATCTTCACTAGACCTCCGGATTATTACCTCGAATTCATGGCATATCCTGAACTCACTGCAGAGTCAGAGCACTACAACAATGTGAATCTGATAAGAGCCGCAATCTTAGACGCCGGTAGAATATATCGGCGTCGCGTCGAGTCCTCACTCCACCAATACGAATCAATCCACCTCGTGGAGCAACTGCGACAGAACGTGCTTGGATTGGGGATGCATGTCAAGGGTGTTCATGCATTGGTCTGGACCTACTTCATTGGAGCGGCTGAAAGTATCTTGCCGGAGCATCGCGAGTTTTTCACGGAGCGGCTGAATGATCTGTATGATTACACTGGGTTTGGGTTTGGAAGTATCCCGGCTGGCTTGGAGGCTCTGAGGACTGTGTGGGCGAAACAGGCTTTTCGGAGGTGGACCGACGTGGTGATCAATGATACTCCGATACTAGTTATGTAAAACAGCAACTTTTTTATGACCCTATCATCCAACTTGAACCCAAATTCCCTCCTCAGCTTTCCTGCAGTCTCGCGCTAGGTTTGAATGGTTTCCTTACTAGGCTGGGCCATAGCAACCCTACTGAACTCTACACATGGGATTTCGGCAGAGTGAATTGTGTTCAATTTGAGACAAGTGCTGAGCGGGTTGTCGAAGAAGTCCAGCTTGAACCGTTCAACACTCGGCATCTGCCCTGCACATTTCCCCCCGGCGAGGAAGAGGCCGTCGCCGTTTCCAGGGTGTAGAACTTGTTCTTCTTCTGCTCACCAGGTATATCCGGTGGAACAAGTGCTTCTATCACGCCGAATTCTTCCAGGTGCGATAGCTTCTATCTTTAATACCAAGCCACTTCCCTAAAGGCATTGCAAAATGCAGGGATAGGGTATAGTTCTGCATGCCGGGCCAACCCGGCCAACAGGGAACCTCTGTGGAGTCTGTTGGTCATATTGTGGGCTTGACGCTATCATTGAAATAGAAACCCGTAAGTGCGTTTTGTTGGGTGAAGTGAAAAAGAGCATTGCTCAGAGTATCGCCGTCGGAGCCAGTCGGTACAATACTTTGAGGTTGATCCGCGTGATCTTTACCTCGCAGGGGCCGAAAGTACTTGGCCGAAAGGTGTTTTAGAGATTTGGGCAGTTTGCTCAGGTTCCTAGCGAAGCCTAGATAAAATCGAGTTAGTTCCGGGAAACAAAAGACGTGATGTGGGAGTGCTGGGAGGTGGAATAAACGCCTACCATCTCGCAACCACATCCTTTTGTGTATGTCCATCCTGTCTACATCATACATTTCCCAGTCTACCGTCTCCAAGCGCGGCATCTTGTGTGCAATGAGGCACGCTTTGCCAGGTTCAATCGTGATGGCAGAAGACAGGAGCCTCATTCTGAAGGAAACCACCATCGGTAACGGTGGAAGCTTGTCGTAGTCGAACTTGGGATACTGAGTGCGGCGTTCTGCGAACGGCAAGCCGTACACGGGGCCCCGAATGCGAGATTCAATGCTGCGGATAGGCATGGCGAACTCGACGATGATAAAAGGGTGTGGGTAGAGAGGAGCTTGTTCGAGGAGACAAAAGAGCGACTCTACGGTGTCTTCGAAGATATGACCAATAATAGACCCTCGTTCCTTGCGTCTCCCTCTCTTCATTCTCCTGTCGAAGCTGAACTCGACCTGGATGTAGCGTAGATACGACAGACGCTGAGGAGTGAGAATGTTATCTGCAACGGCAGATGCTATTCTGTGCGGTGTCACATATAGGTTGCGGAAGGTCAGGCGTTCGATGTACTGTTGCCATTGGTGTGAGACGGATGCACATCGGGCGAGACTGTCTTCCGGCACACGCTGGGTTGTCGATTTGATTCCGGGCGTGTCTTCAGTGACAAGCGAGAAGATGATGGAGAGGATCTCCCGGGGAAGCCTGTCTATTGGAAAAGCCATCGTCAAAGTGTTGAGAGATGCAGATGTTGATGGAAGAGTTTGCAATGCAGGGAGGATTATCACTATGTGGCTGATAAACAAGGCAGATGCGGGGTAGTTCGCAATCCTTTGCTTGTGGCGGTGCGGCGCCTCGTTCTGGGTGGCAGTCATGAGATACAATGGCTTCTCCTCTGCATTTTGTCTTATCTTCCTCTTCTATCTAGTGATGTATCCAAGAATTGGCTCCTTAGAGTTGTATTGAGGACACTACCGGCCCCTTGCGATACGTTGGGTTGACCAACTGCACCTCATCGACAGGTATCGCAAGGCACGCGCTGTTTCGGCCTCCTAGTTCTCGTACTGAGATTTCAACATCCCCACGCATACTGCAGAAGGACTGTCATTGGCTCGGCACTTTCTGCATGTCAGACGTAATCGAGGGTGAAGTCACGCGGGAAGAGGCAAGTACCTGGGCTGGTCTACGACTGTGCGTGTCATCAATTTGGCTTGGCTAGGCCGTGATGATACGCGAAGGACGGCTGGGAGCTCGGCGCTCGGCGCTTCGGTGTTTGCTGCGCTTAGGAAGGGCTCCCGAGATGAAGAGCGGATGATGGAGTGGTCAAGGTGCGTAAATGCCAGGTTCAAGTTCCATTCTCAACCTCGAGAACCTTGCACTGGAACCACGGCAAGTAGACATCCCTCACCCATCCTGCGAGCTGACGAAGTCCCGCCACGATCTGGTACGTGTCCAAGATGCTTTGGGTCGTGCCAAATTGCCGCTCCGTCCAGAGCACCGTCTTCTTGTCCTCGAGCGTTGAAAAGACAAACAGCCAGCGGTGGCCCTGTACAATGATTCCCGGTATGAACCCAAGCTCTGCCAGCGCCTGGTCGGCCAGCTGCCTCCTCGGCAGCTCTTCTGCGCTCGACAAAGGCTGCCCCGTCAACCCGACGACGGAGCGTAGAAACTTCCACTGCGCCGCGTGCCAGATGCCCATTTGTAGCTGCGCCGCGTCGAGTTCCTTCCCGGGACGCTTAGTCTCGATGCTCAGGGCGATGGGGGATAGCTGCAACGGCGCGAAGTCGGTGTGATTGACGGTCAGCGTTGGGGTTCGGCGACCGAGGGCTTGTAGGGAGTCAGTATCGCTGGGGCTGTCGAGGTAGAGGCAGAAGTCGACCATCTTGGCGGGCGAGGAGTACGGAAGGTATTTGCTGTGCGGACGGGCAGTTGTGCTAGAAGTTGTTAGCGTGTGTGTTAATCGTGGAAACGTCTGGATCTCACCATGTTGTAAAGTTGAATAGGTCGCCCTCGGAAGATCCCGTCTTCCTGAAGACGGCCTGCAGCAGGCGGTGATGCACCTCCATGTTCCAAGATGCCTCCTCGTGGCTTTTATCGTGACATTGCCGCGCTAGTTCACACACCAGAGCCACCTCGTCTGTTGCTGGAGTATAACCGGGAAGCGTGTCTATCGCGTCGGGCTCTTTGAACGCATATCGCCAGATGCGCATGTTTTGGTCTCGAACGTGTGGGTTTTGAAGGATCATCGTCTTGTTCGCGTGGGGAATAATCTCGAGCCCGTTGCCAATCTCCCGTATTGCGACGAGCAAGTCGGCTACGGCGGGAGGCGCAGTGTCAATGTTGAGCTGTCGGCACTCGAGCCCTCCGTCATCCAAGCGCAAGCTCATCATTTGTTTCTTCGGGGACGATGACCGCGAAGGTGCCTCGCTGCCTTCCGAGGGCGCAAGCGAGCTGGCTGTGGAGCTCGCAGCTGAAGACATGGTGCCTCGGTTTGTTGGTCGCGGCGTGCGATTCGGGTCGCCCGTTCGGCGTCGCTTGGGTGTGTGTTCTTCCATCTCAGTCGGGTCGTCCAGCGATGAGGGAGGGCTGGGCTCTTGCTGGGGGGTCTTTCGCTTCGTGGACGAGAACTTAGTGTGCAGTCGTGGCGGATGCTCGTCGTGCGGACGGAGATGAGGTAATGTGTTGGGCAAGGTATCGGGTAGCGTATCGATCCAGCAGGAGACACGCTGGAAGTCGAGCATTGTTGAAAGCAGTTGGATGAGTGATCTCAATCGAGCGGCATGGTGAAGATGACGTCGAGTTGGAGGTGACGATTGTGACCCATTGTTGACTTGTGGGAGGCGGTTGACAAGCCAACGACAACGCACCAGCCACGCCTGGCGCTAACCATCTTTGCCACAGCCACAGTCACAGCCACAACCCTCGCTAGAATAATGGGTTTAAACCATCGCGACAATCTTTAGTGCAGGAGAATGAATAGGAACTTGGCATTTATTGACAGGCATCGCTATCTGTTGTCGTAAAATTCTCACGAAATCCACCTGCCTCGAACCGGAGTGCCTATCCTGTAATACACAGTGTACGTGATAATCAATGGCTCTCGCACTGTCCTCAGCCGCCAGCCTCGGCGGCTACAGAGCCAGTCAACGCGGCTCATTCAATCAGGCGACGAATATCATCACGCTCTTCCCCTCTTTCTTCTCGACTCTCTAAAATTGTACGCCGCCTCTTTACATCCGTGAGCATCCGTACAGAACCGATCTTCTTTTGAAAACAATCATTTCTCCCTATTTCGTCCGGCCATGGAGGGAGACTCGCAGACCGAGGCGGTTCGCGCCACTCCGCCAACCAAGATCAGGTTCGACCTGGCCGCATTCGTGGTGAACAGGTTCAGTCCCAAATCATACAGACCAATATCAAATGGAATTGGATTCGAATGGAAACATATCCTTAGATTGGATTCCGATTCTACAGTGAGAATCTTTCTTGCTGAAGGAGGCTATATGGTGGGGTTGGCCTATCTGTACGCCAAGCGTGACGTGGAGCTGGGTCTCATTTTGGAGCCTGATGATAGCCGTTTGCTTGTTATGAGTCGCTTCTTAGATGACTTTGAGAAGTCTTCGGTCGCCAATCGGAGATCCCTGGCGGCAAAAACTACTGAGCTGTTCAGAAGTCTCGTCGGGCCTACATCAATACCATCTGCCCCATCGCAACAGCCAGAAAGCGGTACGCTCTCCATCAAATCTCATTTCCGCTTCTAAATAACTTAGGCTTGGCAAATGGCACCGATGGCCAAACGGCTGCCCCTTCTGATTCGCCCGTCGAGAGGACGACAGACGGTGCATGTTTGGAACACCAGAATAAACGCCGCCGTGAGCGTTCCTCAAAGCTGTTGATGGCTTCTCTAATGCAACTTAGGCACCGATGGAGATGACGGGCGCCCTGCAACTGCTTTTCCGCCGACTTCATGTCGGCCAGCTTCTGTTGTGAACTCCCCCGAACCGATCACGACGACGATACCCATGGATATCGCAACCCAGCTCCAAAGCGCTGCCCCGACTCCTGTGACACGAATGATTGGCCCTACCACCAACCCTGTTGACAATACCATCAGTCTGAACACCGCCATACACCACATATCGATCGATGACGCCAAAAGGCTTCTTCCTGCGGACTTGGTCGAATCGATTGTGACTAGACCTGATCCGAAGAATGAAGACAACTTGTTGGCTGCTATTTCGTTGTCCTTCCCGGCAACTGACAACCTCCCGCATACATGCCAGATGGCATTCGAAATAGCCCCTGAGAATATATCGCACTACGCCTTTGCACTATTTAGGGTTCGGTTGAAGACTAAGCATGGATTTCAGCAGGCATACATCGGTGACGGTCTAAAGATGCTACCGACTCCGAAATTGACACTCCAAGGGGCTTGGCGCGACATGATCCCTGCGGTATTTGGCCCCGAGATATCGAGTGCCATCTGTGCTAGTCCCATCTATGTGGATGATGCACGGCACCGTCTGGACACTACGGACTCTGTGTCTTTGGAAATCGACGGTCAACCAGATGTTTCCGCTATTATGTACGCCTATGTGGAGCCGCAGAAAGGACTCGAACTCAAAAATAGACTGTGCGCTCCCAGTATCGAGCGCTAGGCACGGATTCCTCGACTTGTGAACTCTGAGAATCAGCACATCTCAGTGCTGGCTCAAGATCTGTCTTTCTATGGTATAAGGAAACAGTGGTGGAAAAGATCAACGACGCTTTGGGTTAGATGAGACGAAGTGGAGAGTTGGAAGAGCTTTCTCCCGGGAGTATATTGTGAGCAACATCTGGTTCTGGCTTGTGGGTATGTGGTGTTGGTTAGAAACAGAACGCGTGATCTACCCGAGTGTTCTAGATCATTTGGTATATCAAAGCTGGTAGACCAAGTTCCAGGACAATGGTGGGTGTTCCACCATGCGCTCACAAAGTTGAGTGATTTAATTCGGAGATCAATACAACTCGTGGTTCTGTCATGTTCAAAAGCGACTGGTATTAATTGTTCTGAAGGACACTATTAGAACCGGCGATATCAAGCAGGCAGATGAGCGGTATCCACCTTAGGAGACGCTGGTTCACAATTTTTGCTTCTTTGCTTCTAAGAACTGGTACCTCGTTCGCAGATCACAAGTGATTGAACGAAAGGGGCTCATCAGGAATCAGCTTTGCAACTTCCACTGAACAATACGCGCTGAACACGAGTTCTCAGCAAACATTGAACACCCACTACAACCTGTGGTCTACTTGGACGCCGAAAATGTCTCGACAACTCACAAGAACTTACTTCCTCTCTATCACACTTCGACCTACCAACGACAAGCCCACCCAGAAGCAAAATGACTTCAGCCTTGAAGGAAGTCACCGACGCGGGAAACTCGGGAAATCCCACCAAGACAAACCAAATCAACGACAAGACCCAGGATAACAAGCCAGATGGCCGAAGCGCGATCACAGGACCCGCTCCTGTGCTTCATCCAGATGTCACTAGACAGCAGCTCATGCACATGATTGAAGCCGTGGAGTCACGACCCGAATGGAGCGCCACAGGCCAGGACATTGACATGGAAGCCAGCTTTATGACGGACTCTGCCATCGCCGAAGCCGAGCGCTCGACCAGCGAAGACGAAAAAGATGGCTCGAGTGCAGAGGCTTCTCCTTCTGGCTCGGCGGCGAAGTCCACTGGAAAAAGTTCCGACGATAGCTGGGACAAGTCATCATCTGATGATGAGTCCAATGCTGATGAAGGACACAGCGGAACGGAGGGCGCGGGCTGGGTCAAGATCTATAAGTTAGAGTCGGAGACTTTCCGAGGAGTGCAGATCGTGGCTGAGGAGAGCGGACGCGAGTAGACAGATTGAGATTGCATTCTTGTTGATAGCTAGAGATGAGACCGAGCTCCCCGAAGACAGCTGCCAGCTTAGATAGAGCTTAGATTGTAGTGAATCCTGAGATTAATTATGTACATAATTTCCCCCCTCGTGACATGGTTCGTTGCGTATTGTCAGAGGAGTATTGAGTGTCAGCATGTAGCGTATGACGTTGTTACACTTGACGCTAAGATCCATCGCGTCTGACAGTGTTGCACCACTGATCACGAGAATGCAGATCGCCAATCACTGGCCACTGCAGTAAGCGCTATTACTTTGCTCGTGATTTTTCATCTCTTCTTTTCTTTCCTCTTTTCTTTTCGTTCCTCGGCAACTTACGCAGCCCCCCAAAACTGCGCGGACATCGACGCGCAACACCATGGAGGCACGCCGCGACTCACTTCAGGCATATTTTGCCTCGCCGAATGCCACCTTGAGGCCTATCATGACGTCACTAAACGGGGACAACTCGTGGCTGATCTCGCTCCCGCGTCCGCCTGCTGACGGTGCGGGACGGGTTTACTACCATGTTGTGTTTGAACCGTGGCTGGCTGGGCCAACGAGCCAGATTGCTTCTTGGTTCATCGGTATTACTTTACCAGAGGTGCCGAAGATAGCAGATCCAGAGGCTATTGAGGCTGTTATTCGTCAGATCGAAGAAGCTGCCGCTGGGCCCGTCGCGGACAGCAAGCTGACAACAGCGGGGCCAGAAGGAGACTACGGTGGCGGTATTGATGCGATTCTCTTGGAGTTTCACTTCCTTGACCACGTCCATGAAGCAACCCTCCGCCTATTCAACGAGAACATTCCCATCATCGCAACCCCGGAGGCCACTAACGTGGTAAAGCCTTGGAATCACTTCAAGACTATTACGACGATTCAAGACCTCAGTGCTTCGTCCAAGACCTGGCGGGACCCTGCCCTGCATCCTGGGGACCCAGTACCGTCGTGGTTCACACCTATCCGTATACCCGGTCATTCAGAACTCAACTTTTGCACTGCCTTGGTGTGGACCCACGTTGCTGACGATGGAAGGGAAGTTCACGAAGCCATAATCAATTCCCCACACGGCACGCGCCTTGACGAGGGACCGTTGCAAGCGTTTCTGGATGCGGAGCCTCCAACAGTGAAACTGGCCATGCTTCATGGGCTGAAAGAGAGTCATACGGCGGGATGGAAGACGACATTCGGAGTCAAAGGCGGGCTTGCATTGTATCGGAGACTTGGAGGTGTCAAGTACTGGCTTCTCTCACATCACTCGGCTCTTGTGTATAGCGGCATTTTCATGCGGCTTTCGAGAACTATTGACACAGCACGGACGATGGAATGGGCACTTGATGAGGAGAAGAAGACGAGCCAACAGAGCGAGCAAGATTTACCCAAGCCAAAGACGGTTGAAGTGGAGAATGGTGGGTGTTTTATTTTGGAGTGATGTGCGGGAATGGTGGAAGGCCTCAGCTACTTCTTTGTTTCTACAGTGTTACAGCGCGCGATATATTTTGAACATGACTTGAATGACGACAAATCTTTTGGAACTCGGTCCGACCTTGGCTTTCAGAGACCCTTTTTCGCAGGGAGTACAAAACGACCTGGTTCTCCTTTGTGAACATAGGAATTCTTGAAATCCACGCCCAGAAAATTTACCTGCTTCCTTCAAGATTCACGTGTGGAACAAGAAGCATGATCCCACAGGAGAGCTAAGTACTCCCCCTGCATAATTTCCAGGCGTGTTTTTAACTGTGGGTACCGAATTACCCATCAGCTTGTCAGTTGTGCCTACCCTGGAGAATGGGAAACCTGGAGGGTGGCCAACTTGGGGGGTAGCTTGGGGGTGTCAAGATTGGGGGTCAAGAGGCCAAGTCAAGGCACTTTTCGTTACTGAAAATACCAAGACACAGCCTCATTATAAAGATATTCTTGCGGCACTTGGGCGTCTTTACTCTCATGCAACCCAGCATGATATTTTGTCAGAGTGACACACCGAGTGCGATGACAGGCGCCATGGCGTTCGCCACTTGGCACATCCATAGCGATTTAAATGCCCGTCAATCAAACTAAACAGTAGCGTTTTGGTGGCGGGCGGGTATTTACAGTAGCTAGATGCAGTGGAGGTGACATCGTGATACCTTAAAGAGAGCCACGCATACGTGAGGGAGGGATACGTGAGGGAGGCATACTTGATGGAGGCATAAGTGAGGAGTCATCGTGACCCCCACGATCATCCTCATCCGTCTCCAACTCTCTTGCCTGAGGCATGCACACGTATTGATACACACCGATTTGATGCACACGCATTGATGCCCAACTCGCTTCCCCTCACACCCCCAAGATCCAACATGACCTTGGCATTTCCATGTCTGCTCAGGTGGATTTCGACGATCCCGTTTCCTCACCGTTTAACGCGGAAAACGGTGCTCGTAGCTTGGGCGCCTCTGCATTCAATCGACCGTTTTCTCATTGTTTCGTTACCAGAAGCGCCTAGTCGGAGGCTCACCAGCGACGTTACCCCCCAACTTGCTTCTCCATGCAAGATTTAACATGAACTAAAGACCACAAGGTGGGTTTAGAGGATGTGGAATCTGTGGAGGAAACATCCCTTGCCCTTGTCGTATAATTTGAGCGTATCACCATCACTGGAAGGGTCAAGAACTGTAATCCCGCGGCTTAGCCAGAACATCGAGAACAGGAAATGAAGCGGAGGAAGGTCATTGCACTTTTTCTTTGTCATTTTATCTGAGAACATTGGGCTAGCTAGCGGACTTGAGGAATTTTCCACGCCAAGCAAATTCATTCGGCTGACAATGTACACAGTCATAGTGCACAGCCTCCCCTAGACTTAGATGACGAAGATTGTGGCCTTGCTTGTTCGTGGATGAAAGTGGGAGCCTTCCGTTCAGTCTCCAACGTTGCGCAAAGGCCGGGGCCCGATCAGCTTTTACCCCCCATTCTCTACCCTCAGACATTCCTTTCTGAGCTGGATCCCTCTCGGACGAAACTATGATGATCGGTTCCTGTGCTGCTGAATGCGGGAATCTCGGCCGCTCATGCTCCCTTTTCGCGTGGCACTTGTCTGTCGATCATACACGACAACGCAGGAAGAAGCCCGGCTCGTCTCATTATGCAGCCACTCACGAACGGTCATAGTTCCTTCAGCATGCTCCGCGATGCCGTTGGTTCGATTAAATATGCATTCCGGATCAATTACAAGAGCAAGCTCACTTCAACTACCCTGAGGCCACGATTCCTAGATTAGCTCAGTTGCTCCTATTCGCAAGTGGGCATCCTGGCCTACCCCGAGCTCCCGCCCAATCGAGATCTAGTCTACGCGCTGTGTGTATCAACTATTCATCAGACCACTGCACCGTATTTTCCATGGCACCAATAGCCAAGGACGAGTAGGGGGTAATTTTAATCTCCCTAAAAGGGTCTGGCTTCCTCCATCCAACCCCCGCGGGATGTATGTCTGGTCACACGCGGCCGCTGCGCCAGGTGTGTATCGAACCTTGCTTGTACCCCGGATTACGCTCTTGTTCTGCATCATTTAGTATGCATTAGCCTCAAGAGTCCTAGATGGCCACCGCCCGTTCCTCGCAGAGGAGCTACTCCGAAGCAGCCGGAACCTAATCGTGCCGAGAACCTACACTCACACCAACGACCAAGAGTCGACAGGAGCTAAAAGTCATTTTGCTGCTACACTCTCATTCAGGTGAGGAGTAGGTTCCCCGGCTATCCTGCAAAGCAGTGTGGCGATGAAGGCAAAAAGACGCAGGGCATTTACGGAAATCCTACGCTGTCGCTCCGCCACAACATGGCAATGCCGGGCACAGAAGCGGGGCAAGCAAAGGCGGGGATATCGTAGCCATGAAATATCAAGGTGATCCTGGCTAACTATGAGTGGGCGCGTTCTTCGGACTCGGCAAGTTCTCAACGCCAATGCTGAACACAGCGGAATATTTGGAACCCGTTCCTGTTGAGCATATTTTTTATTCCTCCTAATCCACGTAGTGGGCGCAAGTCGATCGACATTCCATCCCCACTCGCATCCCCGCATTCTGAGGCTGATCTCAAGTCACGATGTTCGCTTAGCTCCAGACCAGCTATTCCCATCCCACACACGCCTGTAACCATAGACGGGTTAAAGCTGCTTGCCACTAGTTAAAGCCGTTGGTCTTTCAACGCTACCGTTCTAGCTGCTAGCTGCGGCATCAACTTGCGGGGATGATCGCTGAAATTACTTCTAGCTTGAATACATGGTAACCTACCTAGCTGATCTTCCGCTACGACAGGAGTTTCCACCATGTAACCCATACTACCCATCGACGAAGAAAAAAGCGGTCAGTCGGCCAATGATAAACAAACCACCATCAGCTAGCAGTCGCAGTCACGGTCGAAGCCCAAATCGCCGCATCGGCTTGTGTGTGACCCGTGGTTAGCTCAGTTGTGCTGCAAACTGCCGCAGTCCCACCATTCTCGGCATTCGTCAATAGTAGCTATATTACTACCTTCAGGGATATGCCTAGAAATATTATTCTACTTGAAAGCTCAGTGCAATTTAATAGAATCACAGGGTCGTCTTGGTGTCTGACACCGACAGGGCTGGAGTTTCTCGAGTATGCATTTCGTTTAACTCGATTTATCATACGAGTCGTTTGTTTTCCTAGGGCTGCCGAATCCATCATGCGATTTGTTCAAGCATCTCTCCATGTGCATGGACATCGTGTGTGATTCAGCGATACTCCATGGGAAGAGTGGGAATACAAACCCCTCGGTGCATTCATGAATGCCCTGGTTATTTCTCAGCCTGATGTCAATACTAATTGACTTTTCTATGTAGCTGGAATATACTTCGAGGGTAAATAATTGCCATACACTCCAAGTTGCAACCAGGGAGGCTATGTCAAAATCATTTTCTATATTCAGCCTGAGTGGCCGCCTTGTATCGTTACATGAAACTAGCCCCCTTGGATGCTTCGGGTTTGTTACAGCAATTGCCGATAAACTTAGTTGGCTTTCCACCCGCGGCAGAAGTGAACGAGCCGCGGAGGATTTGAGTGAGGGGGCTGGCTACCGTGCCATGACTAGTAATATTATTGGCCAAAACGCCGGCGCTGATGCATTGTACGACGTAGGATCGTTTGGCCAGAAATGTGCACATCAAGTCTCATCGCGTACTGTGCCAATCTCAATGCTAATAGCCTCGATATTCAGTCGTCAACCGCCACGCCAGTGTGATTTTAGTCAAGCCGACCCAGCCGAGCCAAGGAGTAAACTTAATAAAACTTACGGTGAGAGAAGCGGGCATCGCTGTGGAGGCGCCGACCGAGAAAGATTGGGGTAAATCAGAGATTTTGAGGGGGACTACTCGAGTAGCTTGGTGATTTAGTCCAGGGTTACTGCACGGTTCGTCCAAGGCCCGGTTGCAGTGCTACGGAAGGACACCACACTCCATGACTCGAGGACGGCCCGTAAAGAACAAATCTCTGCGCTACTCTGGAGTGGAAGCAGTTGAACATTCTAGAGTGGGTGGGGGTTACAGTGGGATAACGCCGAGTGTCATGCCTCATACACGTACATGTACCGTACACCCATTTCTCCTGTAGTCAGGTGACGAAATGGAAACGGAGGAATTAGGTATAAATACAGCGCCCCCAAGACGGTCAGCTTCGAATGATGCCCGAGTGTTCCGCGTGGTGATGGTCTCGACTCAGTCAAACTGGCCTTGTTTACTTCCTCTTTATTTCCTCTCCATCTCCTCCTTCTCCGTACACCCGTGCACTCACTAGCAACGCCACTGTTGGCCCTAACCCATGGCCAAGAACTTGGGGCTCACGTGGTATTGGTGCACTACGCATCGCTTATTATTGCGGGCGTCGCGTATTCTCGGTTTAGTCTCCATTAGTGTGTCTCGGCTTTGAATAGCGTCTTTCGACGCACGTGGCTCTACTAGCAATCGCCACTAAACCAGCCGACGTCGTTTGTGTCTTTGACTCGATTGAATTGGGTTCTTTGCTTGATGAAGTGGGTTCTTGGTAATATCTAGTTGCGCGTAATGGTCGACCTTCAATGTGTAGATATTTACCTACCCTGTAGTCGCTCACTGTTTGTGATGGAATGCCAACTGTATAGCTAAGATGTCATTTGGAGACTGATTTAAACAATTCCCACACTCCACTCCAGAGACTCCTTATTGAGTCCCTTCAACGTCAAATCCTTCATTATGATGATCGGGTTTCCCAATTGGGACACGCATCTTGGAGGCCTGTCCGGATCAGTCGGATGGATTGCCGATGAATCCGTAGGTGAGACGGACCCGCCAATCCGTCACCAGACCTACCTTGGATTTGGGGCTTACGGTAACAAGACGGACCGATGATCGTTGCTATTCTGGTTGCCTACGAATACCTGAAGCAAGCCTCTCTCACTCGTCGATTGTGGGCTGATTTCCTAGGTGCAGGCATCGACAGGGCTCCGCTCAATTGACGGATTCCGCAATACGACTCCGTACAGCCACACTGGTTCGTCATCTCCTCGTAATACTAGTCAGAGCGGAGAGGGGTTGAAAGGGCCAAAACGACTGGCAATCATCGATAGATCGCCTTTTCATCCCCGCATCTTGAGCCTGTCTGGGGTACATGGCGCTTAGCATGGGTGTGGGGGTGGCACCTCCTACTGGCCCGGTAGCGTAACGTGTCTGTGGGGTCATGTTGCAATGGGGAAAGGGAGAAGTTCTTGGCTTTGACGGGGTCGTAATCTGATGACAGGCTGCTGCGTCGGTAGTTTGCAGCTTGGCGACGATGCGCCCAATCCGCGAGGCGAGACGCTGAGAAGTGCCCGCAACGGATGACCCGGAAGATCGATCAGTGAAGCAGCACTCCCTGGCTGGTGGAATTGATGCCGTCCAGTTAATTTATCCGGCCTGGTGCATGTGACGGCGTGTTTGGTGTTGGTCCTAGCTATCTCTCGCGGCTTGGGCTCGGATATCGTTAAACGACTTGGCTCAGTCAATGTCTTGAATTGGTTTTGCGCGCATATGCCCAGCGCGTACCTAGCATGCCACCGCAATTCCCACCAGTTGGCACTGACTCGGCTGGGAAATCACTCAGCTCTGATCCTAGCTGGATCGAGAGCTCCAGCAGCTCCCCTGCCAGAGCTCCCCGTTGATCACCTCGAAGCTATCAGCTTCCCCGCATCGCTTGGCCATCACGACTCGCCAAGAGCCAAGGGAAACCCTGCATCATACACCCTCCCGGCAAAAGCATAACCTGAATCTCACCCACGGCACGAATGGAACCAAGCGTTGCGTCCAAACTCAAGCTGAAGCTTGGATGCAGGCGCGATTGGTGCCCGCAACGTCCAAGAGGGGGTCGTATGCGGTGATGGGCGCTGATGATACCTCGTTGAGCTAGGTGCGTCGTCCAAGTTTGGATTTCCGGGCGTTTCTCGGGATATGGGATCTCGGAATGGCGATGCACAGGCGGATGAAGGGATCGCCATGTGTATTTAAGGGGGAGGTTCCAAGTCAGATTTCCCACCACCCCAAGACCAAGACACTCAACATCTTTAAATTATCAAGTGTCAATCGCAAACATGGCTGCTCCGCAGTATTCGAAATTCCAGAGCTCTCTTCCCGATGAGTTTGACATCATTGTCTGTGGTGGTGGGAGTTGTGGTTGTGTCGTGGCTGGACGGTAAGTGCCCAAGTGCCCAAGCCCCCAGCGCCCCAACAAGAAACAAGGAGAAAGATGAGAAGAAACACGAGTAGAAAGGGAGATTACGAAAACGAAGTCTAGAGCTAACTAAACCAGCCTCGCGAACCTGGACCATAACCTGAAGGTTCTGTTGATTGAGGGTGGCGAGAACAACCTCAACAACCCCTGGGTCTTCCGTCCCGTAAGCAGAACACCCCAGACTCAATCCCGAGTGATAGTAGATGCTAATTACAGTGGTCAGGGCATCTTTGCACGAAATATGAAGCTAGATTCAAAGACGGCTACGTTCTACGAATCTCGGCCTTCCAAACACCTCGCTGGCCGCAAAGCTGTGGTACCAGTAGCACACGTCCTGGGTTTGTTTTCTGATGCCTATTCCGCTCATGAAGAAGCCATGCTAATTTCAAATAAAGGGGGTGGATCATCTATCAACTTCATGATGTATACTAGGGCCTCGGCCTCCGACGTAAGTGGACATATTCGAGTAAACGAAACTGGAAACTCGAAATGGTCTAACAAGTAAACTAGTACGATGATTTCCAAGCCAAGGGATGGACTACCAAAGAGCTCCTGCCTCTTATGCGAAAGCATGAGACATATCAGCGAGCCGGCCACAACAAGGACATTCACGGAGACTCGGGTCCAATCAAGGTTTCATTTGGCAACTATCAGTACCCGATCAAGGAGGACTTCCTCCGCGCAGCCGAGACTCAGGGAATCCCTAGAGTCGATGATCTTCAGGATCTTGAGACTGCCCATGGCGCTGAGCAGTGGCTGAAGTGGATCAACCGCGACACTGGCCGTCGAAGTGATTCCGCGCACGCCTGTAAGTTAATATTTTTGTGGTATCAGGATTCAAACCACTAACATACTGTTCCTAGATATCCACTCTACTCGTGCAGTGCACAGCAACTTGTACCTTGCCACTAGCACCAAGGTCGACAAGGTCATTCTTGAGAATGGCCGGGCTGTCGGAGTTCAAGTTGTTCCAACCAAGCCCCTCGGCGGAGGTCCACCCCAGACGCGCACATTCCGCGCTCGCAAGCAAATTGTTGTGTCTGGAGGAACTCTCTCCTCTCCCCTGATTCTCCAGCGATCTGGTATCGGTAACCCTGAGTCTCTCAAGGCTGCTGGTGTTAACTGCCTGGTCAACTTGCCCGGTGTTGGTACGTGCCCCCACGTGACTCCGACGATTAACAACTACTAGTTGGAAACTCATGGCTGACATCAAATCAAACTACTAGGCAAGAACTTCCAGGACCACTACCTTCACTTCTCCGTGTATCGAGCCAAGCCAGAGACCGAGAGTTTCGACGACTTTGTTCGTGGAGACCCTGTTGTCCAGAAGCGTATGTGAAACCCGGAAGTTTCTCCGTCGGTATCCACTAACACGATTCCAGAGGTCTTTGACGAGTGGCACCAGAAGGGAACCGGACCTCTCGCAACCAACGGCATTGAGGCCGGCGTCAAAGTGCGCCCAACTGCTGAGGAGTTGAGGGAGTTTGAGACATGGCCAACTCCGCATTTCAAGGACGGATGGAAGTCGTATTTCGAGAACAAGCCTGACAAGCCAGTGATGCATTATAGTGTCATCGCTGGCTGGTATGTGAGTTTCACCCATTCTATATCTACTGGCAACAAATCTGACAAAACATAGGGAGACCACATGCTGATGTAAGTGTTGACAACATCTAACTGACAATTGGCGATATCAAGTCCATTTGTTGATTCGATACTAACAACTTTGCAGGCCCGCTGGTAAATTCTTTACCATGTTCAACTTCCTGGAGTATCCCTTCTCTCGAGGTTTCACTCACATCAAATCCGCCGATCCCTATGAGAGCCCTGACTTTGACACCGGCTTCATGAACGATGAGCGAGACATGGCCCCCATGGTCTGGGGCTACATCAAGGCCCGAGAGACTGCCCGCAGGATGGACGCCTATGCAGGTGAAGTCGAGAACATGGTATTTTTTTCATCTCAGCATGGTAAATATTTATCAGACTAACTCATCAACAGCACCCCTTCTTCGACTACGACTCGCCAGCTCGAGCCCACGACATGGACCTTGAGACCACCAAGGCGTATGCTCTTCCAGGCAACCTTTCTGCCGGAATCACCCATGGAAGCTGGTCAAAGATGCTGCCAGAGGCCGAGAACAAGTGTGGAACCAACATCCTCAACTCCAACAAGGTCAATAGCCGCGGGGAGCTCAAGTACAGCGAGAGCGACATCAAGGCCGTCGAGGAGTGGGTCAAGCGACACACCGAGAGCACCGTAAGAACCACACCATTAATTTCACGTCTTCATCTACTGACTCTGTGTGTAGTGGCACAGCTTGGGCACTTGCTCCATGGCGCCTCGGGATGGTAACAGCATCGTGAAGGAGGGCGTTCTTGACGAGCGTCTGAACGTCCATGGTGTCAAGGGACTCAAGGTTGCCGATCTCAGTATCTGCCCCGACAACGTCGGATGCAACACGTAAGTGAAATGCCCTTGGTGGCCTGAGTACAACGCTAATGATAAAATAGTTATTCCACCGCTCTCCTGATCGGTGAGAAGGCAGCTATGCTTGTCGCCGAGGACTTGGGATACTCTGGCGAGGCCCTGGAGATGAAGGTCCCCACCTATATGGCTCCCGGAGAGTTGACGGTTCCGTTCCGCCTGTAAGGTCTCACCTTACGGAGATGATGGGAGATGAGGAAGAATGGGATGCTAAGCAACGGGTTGGCTATTGAGATTGACACTGTAGCCGAGTTTTCAACTTGTACGAAGCACTGTATTCCAGATTGACTCACTGACCTCAAATCAATTTACTACTTGTGTATATCATCTACCGAGGGTCACCATTTTTTTTTTTAACTGTTGCTGAGTTCTAGAGTTGAGTTTTGGAGTTGACAACGAGGCTTCTAACCCTGCCATGCTATTTTTAGCGCTTCCAGCCGAGTTGAAATGTCTCACTCGGCAAATCGGGCAACCTTGGGCGCGCTGAAAGACAGCAGTCCAACTGTTGAAGACGCTCAATACCGCGTTCTGGGAGTGGAGTGAGTTTGCTGAGAATTGGGGGGTTGACTACGCTAAAATATTTCTCCATCTGCGCTGTGGAACTTGGCTGTTTTGATGATAAGCGCAACTATGTTTACCTCCAGTTCTTTTAGTCGCTGATTGCAAGTACTGGTGATTTTCTGTCGATGTTTCGGTGTAGATAGGATATAACGAAATATTAAAAGCCAAAACAGGAAGAATACACGAGAAATAGAAGCAATTGAATGAGAAGTCTATCTTTTTCCTAACGAGGTTGAAGGGGAGCTCTAGAAAAAGCTCCAGTATTTGCACAGAGTTGCAATCTACATTAGCAGGTAGAGTAGGATGCTGCAGTGATCACAGCGACCGACCATGCAGGGGAGAGCAATTGCAATACGACCCGAGTTCCTCCAGGAGACTGTCTTGGAAATAGGGGACGATTGCAGCTTCGTCTGCGTCTTGACTTGAAAACCGGGCATTCTGATACATGGCCAAGGTCATCATGCCATGGGGCGCATTGTGTAAGCTGACACGCAAGACACAACAGAGGTCTATCCAATAGATTAATCACCACCCTTCAGCCATAAGCAAGCTGAAATTAAAATAAAAAATAAAAAAAATAATCCATTTTTCACTCAAAAATTGGCATATGACCATCAGAATCCAGACCGCAGAGTTGAGTGGTAGGAATGTGAAGTCTGAGGTGGGACTTTTTGCCCCCACGCAAAGCTCACTCTTCAAACAACTTTCCATAAATTGGTTAATCCAGGAAAACTTTCTTTGACGAGGTTCCATTCAAATCTACATCTCTAATCTATTAAGGCTAAGTTGCTGCCACCCACATGTTTCTACACAAAATCTGTTCCTTACTCGTGCGCGAACTTGGTTCGGATCCACTTGCGCAATACGAAGCCTGACAACTCCCGGTTAATAACAACTGTGTGATTTTGGTCAGAATTAACTACCATATCAAATGGCTCAAAGTTGCAGAGAAAGGGTAAAAATGGGAAGGATAAGAAGTCTCCATTGCCATGGTGTTAGCAGACAAATTGTTTAAATATTTCGGTCAAGGGAATATGGTGGAATTCAGATACGTGGTTTTTATCCAACCCAACGTATATTAGCAACGGTTTACTTCTATAAACCAAATTTGGAAGCTTTTTTTCTTCTTCTTTTTTTTAAAAGCTTTACTCAATCTCATCGGATAGTTTAAAGCCATCAGTATTCTCAAACAGCAGAGATAAACAGTGAGTGCTACACCCAGCTCCAGAAGAAACAGTACAAAAACAATAAGGCTGCTGTATGCTGGTCTTTACCTTCAAGCTTCATTTCGACCATTCTGACTTCAACCCTGCTGTCTGCAGTCAACAACCTTGCTGTCTATGGGTAACAATTTGGGAGCTTTAAATTCTACATCTTTAAAACACTAGATCCATTATTTATAGGTTTCGCAAGCAATGCCCAGTTCAAGAACATCTTAAGTGCTTGAACAGGACCGTTAAAATTTTATTGAATTGGGCTATGTACAGAGAAGGAAACAATGGCCTTGGACTGATTTGTAGGTCTGAGATCGGAGTAGCGAATCAAAAAGCGGCCTTAAGATAACACCGCCCCTAATCGATCGAATGTTGTATCTTCTCAAACTAGCGGCAGAGGATTAAGGGAGCCATCGGGTTTGGGCATGTGGATACTCCAATGCTCAATGATGCAGGTCCCTTCGAATCTCCAAACATCTGTCCAGGCCAGCGATGGGCTACCGGGCATGTCGATCTTTTGAAGGACGTACGCATAACCTCCTTCAATCGCCTTACTGGAGATTGTGATGTTGATCCCTTGCGGTAGCGACTCCAAGAAGTCGATGGAGTTTTGGCGGCCGGACAATACATCCGGGTCGTGATTGATATAGTCCTCGCTATAGAACTTGTTGGCGCCTACGCGGTAGTCTCGGTTGACGACCATGATTTGCACTGCTTGTTCGAATGCGGCTTTTTGTTGAGCCCTGGTGGCTGGACGAGGAGGGCAGTTCGCTTTGGTGCCGGCGGCAACGACAGCGGCCGCTAGAGGTGCAACGGCGTAAACTAGCTTCATAGTGCTGGAAAAAAATGAATAAGAGGCTGATATACGTTGTTTGACTAAGATTGTGTGGTGATATTGCCGGTGCTTGGCCGATTCTATCACTGAGAAGGGGGCTACAAGAGTCTAGTATATATAGTTCTGAAATTTGTTAGAGGAGACTACGGAATCAAATTGGTTCCGCACCTAGTAAAATTTAAAGTTTTCAAGCTCGTCTTATTGATGATTTTTCCGGTTTTCCGTCGTCGGATTGACCTTGAAGTTCTGGAGAGTAATAAATCCCATATTCATAAGTAGGACTAGATACTTCTGCCACAGACACTAGTTACCCGTTGCAGGGTTATCCTGTGTTCGACGTGCGTGCGTACCAAAAGGTCCGGGTCGATGTTGTGCTTTTGAATGTCACCTGCTTCGCTAAGAGTGTGCAATTCATCCAGAAGCAGGCCGTGCAGGGGAGCGTCCTATATATTTTAGTATTGTGTTGCATGTAATGGTTCCCCGGGCTCAGCTTCTTGAGCCGACTACTTATATATTCATACAGGTTTTAACTTTTTTAAGTTAAAAGGCTTGATATTTGGTCATTGTGGTAGCATTGGGTAACAAATGCTCGAATTGTAGATAAAACTGTGTTTTTTTGACATTGTGCCGGCAACTTGCTCACCTTGAGGGAGCAGATAGAAGTTGGATTAGTAATGGTTCCCCAAGATTTTGGCTTCCCTATCAATGAGGGGGTTACAAACTTCTCGCGGGGAAAAAAAAATCTCGGCTAGAAGGTTGGAAGAATGGTCGCCTGAATGGAGGAAAGAAAGCATTGAACCGATTGAGTTGGCCTGTCACCGCCAGTTCACTGTGCTTCTCCCATCGGAGCGACGCGGGATCCGGACGCTTACAAATAGAATTGTAGAGCGGATGCTTAATATCTCGGGCACCTACCATGTCGCCTTTGCCCTCATCAGGGCACTGTTCCTAGTCGCAGCGCGCGCAACCGCAAGGATATACGCCTTGGCCCCTTGTGTTGAACTGACACCCCTGGACAGGGTTGACAGGGTTGGATATGGTCGAATAAGTTATCTTCGATAAATTTAAGAAGTAGATTCTATTGTGAGAGACTTAATATAGCAGTTAAAGTTTTTTTTTTTTTTTTTTTTTTGGTAAAAATCTTTTTAGTTGCTGGGAGACATAATAACTCTAACAAGAGCTATTTTACTGATGGATGGTAAAATGTTGAATTTAATTGACAGCAAGCTAATCAATTCCCTCAGGAGGAGGCGTTGACAGAATCGATGTGTTCTGCAATACACCTTCTCAAGTTGGCTTTAGGCCACCCACAGCTACCCTGTACCTTAGCGATTGCTCGAGTTGCACTTTTTCGAAACCCGCAATTTACCAACAGTTTGGTTTCATGAGGGCTTTAAATCCATAGGTTCGCAATTGCCTCGAGTTATTTAGCCTAGAGTTTTAATTGACTGACTTCAAACTTGGCTGACTTTTGCTCTTCTCATGACTTGATGACTTGGCGTTGGATTTGAGATTACTGTCACAGTTTAGCGCTCAATTTTTCTGCCCGTCAATTGACATTTGGCCACGCGTGTACCCAATCACATTTCCGTCAACTATTCTTTCCAGTCAATGACAATCTTGCCTGGTCTGTCATTCCCATGCCACCGCGCTTATCAAGCCGTCTGATCTTACGTGTGTCTCACCTTGCATTTCTAATCACAACAGTCGGGAATAAAAATAGTCCGCGATTTCGGTCATTCTGCCGCTCCCCACCGCCATAAGGCGTGCTCAGGTCGTACCACTTCACTAAGAAAAAAAAAATGTTAGTGACGAAAGCGGCCAATGAAGCGGGACCGGACCCACGGGGAGGGAGACACAATCTATTGAGAGTGCGCGAATACTGACGAAAGCGACTTAGTGAAAGCACGTCTTTTCTCTCTCTTTATGACGTCTTTTCGCTCTTTTGTTTCGTAGACCTTTTTCATTACTCATCTCCTCTCAATTGACGCCCACCATGCTCCGCAGCCGCGTCTCGTTGGTAGCCCGCAATGCCGGACCGTCGGCCATCGTGGCCCGGGCTGTTCGGACCTTCGCTACGGCGTCGCCCGTGACGCCGGTTGACAGGAACCACAAGGTCGTCGTTATTGGCGGCGGTACCGCGGGTCTGGCCATCAGCCATCAACTGCTCCGATCTGGAAAATTCGCCCAGGACGACATTGCCGTGGTCGATCCCGCCGAGTGGCATCACTACCAGCCCGGCTGGACTCTGGTTGGCGGTGGCCTCAAGACCAAGCAGGAGCTGCAGAGGCCCATGAAGAGCTTGATCAACCCCAAGTTCAAGTTCTACAACGAGAGCGTCAGCGCCTTTACCCCTGAGGACAACCTCCTCACCCTCGGCAATGGCGACAAGGTCACCTACGAGCAGCTCGTCGTTGCTCCCGGCATCACCATCAACTACGGCAGCGTCAAGGGCTTGCCCGAGGCTCTTGCCAACCCCGACTCTCTCGTCTCATCCATCTACGGCTACGAAACTTGTGACAAGGTCTTCCCCACCATCAAGAAGCTCCAGAGTGGATCTGCCATCTTCACCCAGCCCGCCGGCGTCATCAAGTGTGCTGGCGGCCCTCAGAAGATCATGTGGCTCGCCCTCGACTACTGGAAGAAGGCTGGTCTGTACAACCCCAGCAACCCTTCCAGCTCACCCATCAACATCAGCTTCGCCACTGGTCTTCCCTCCATGTTCGCCGTGGCCAAGTACGGCGCCAAGCTCGAGGAGTTGCGAAAGGAGCGAGGTGTCGAGGGCCTGTTCCAGCACGACCTTGTCGCCATTGACGGCAACAAGGCCACCTTTGCTCTTCCCGATGGCAAGGAGCAGGTGACCAAGAACTTTGACCTCCTGCACGTCGTCCCCAAGATGGGACCTCATGCGTTTGTCAAGAACAGCGCCTTGGCCAACGAGGCTGGCTACGTCGATGTCCACGACGGCACCACCCGCCACAAGAAGTTCGCCAACGTCTGGTCTGCTGGAGATGCTTCCAGCCTCCCCACCTCCAAGACGGCCGCAGCCATCACGGCCGAGGCACCAGTCCTCGTCGCCAACCTGTTGGGGGCTATGGAGGGCAAGGAGCCCGAGGCGCTCTACGACGGATACGCCTCATGCCCCCTCCTGACCGAGTACGGCAAGGTCCTCCTGGCTGAGTTCACATACGGCGGAGTGGTCAAGGAGACTTTCAACAAGGTTGGCATCGACCAAGGCGTTCCTCGCCGTGCCTTCTATCACCTGAAGAAGGACTTTTTCCCTTGGGTGCACTACCAGGCCATGGTTAAGGGTACTTGGGCTGGGCCTAAGGGCTGGATCAGGTAAAAATGGACATGTGTATAATATACTCGGTTATTGATAGAATGATTCTTCAGAATAATCTACATCTGAAGCGCTCCTGCATTATATTTAACGCTGCGAAGCATCGTGGTATTTCCTGTCAACAATTTGTGGGCTGACTGTGTGACCTCAAAGTCACGTCCGCCTCCAGCTTCTTTGCATGTTTACAGTCCGTCCTCAGTGGATTGCTGTTGCTTTTTGCATAATGCTTGGTACCTTCTTTGCGCTGTCATCAATTGCTTTGTCGTACAACATTGACTGTGTTAAGGATATTAGCTGCGAAGCCACGACTTCCATCATCGTCTTTTGAAGCACCCGGCTGTGCGATTTCGTATCGGATCACTCCCTGCTACGCCGATATAGGATTACAAACTGCTTCATCATGGACGGATGTCTTTTTTTGGGTGCCATAGTATCTTTTTGTTGATGATTTGGAAAGAAAAGGATCTTACGACTTATTCGGCACAACATACTGGGAATATGCGGAGAAGAGCTTCCAGTGTCAGTGGCGGAGAAGGAAATACCTGCATCAACAAATGCTGACTGAAAACTCGATAGAATACATTAAAAGTTAAGAGGTGATATATTTCTTTGTTGCTGATACTAAGCTATAGTCGTGCTATCGTACAATTTGACCTTTCGCCTGTTCGAAGTCGTCTACTTCCGAATGGCAGAAGCCTCCACCTCCACTCCGTTCTTAGAGTGAAATGTGTTACTCATCACTCGAGCTCCGGAATTACCAAACCACTGGCAACTTGGAAATTCCAATATCCCTGAGAAGCGGCGAATACTCAACCTCTTCAAGCGGAACGGCAACCTTGAGAGTGGGCAGCTTTTTGAACAAGGCGGCTAGAAAGGATTAATTGCTATTTCTGTCTCAGGTAAAAAGATTCTTACCAAAGGCAGTTTCAAGTTCCGTTTTGGCTAGAACTTCCGCAATGCATCGGTGCGGTCCAAAACCGAACCCAAGCGGATCATGCGTGCGGTTGTCTCTGTGGAGATTGAAGACATCGGCGTCCCGGAATATGTCCTCATCCCTGTTGGCGGACTGGTTGGAGGCGATAATGCCTTCCCCTGCCCGAATGGTCTAGAATGTTGTCAGTCACGTAATACTCACGCAAGACTAATCACTGAGCTCACCTTTCCTCCGAGTTCAATGTCCTCTTTGGCGACTCTCTTCATCGCGAGGGCAGAGCCAGTGTGATAGCGACACAACTCTTCGACAAAGGCAGGAATAAGAGATGGGTCGGCCTTGATCTCCGCCAGTTGACCTGGATTCTGCATTAGAGTCACAATACCCTTGTACGGTTAGTTACGTGATTGATTTCGAGGGAAACTGTGAGTATCATACTAGAGCAATGGTAGACACCATAGTGGCATTTCCGGCAACTAGGAGCAGAAACGCGATTTGAACGGCGTCAGATTTCTCAATGTGGCCGGGCTTGAGCTGTTCTGTGACGAGCTTGCTGATCAGATCTTCCTTTGGCTCCTCAAGTCGGAGGTCAACTAGCTTGGCAAGATAGTCGAGCAGTTCCCTTAGTTTGTTAGCTTTGTCTCAATTTTTGACGGGAAAGACATACTGATTAGCCAATGAAGCTTCCTGTGCAGTTGCACTGCCGTTGGTTCGGATCGCATTCTGCTGAGTAAGGTACTCTAAATCCTCAAAGGGAACACCGAGGATCGTGTAGATGATCTATGCGTGTCAATGAACTAAGTCGTAGTATGGGATACTGGGGCTCAGCGGACATAGGATGGGACTGGTAGTGCAAATTTATCCACGATATCAACGGGTTCGCTGCAACCTTTTCGAACCATCTCGTCGAGAAGATCATCAACCGTCTTCTGGATGTACGGCTTCATCCCTTCGATGTGCTCCTTGACAAAGAGTGGCTCCACCATACCCCTAGCGAGTCTCAGTATTTGGTTCTTGGTAGATTTACAGATGCATTACCGTTGAATAGTGTGTGCAGGCAAGTCCATATCCACAAAGGTTGGTTTGTTCTTGGCTGCTGCCTTGCCGCCAGCACTCAACTCGGGGAACCCGGGCCGGTTGCGCTCCTGTTCAACATTAACAAGACACACAATGAAGCAAGGGCCATGTCGATACGTACCTTAGAAAGCCTCTGATCTGTCGCTACTTTACATACGTCATGGTACTTGACCACAAGCCAGGCCAAACTGCCATCGAAAAGCTGGACTCTGGAGACCGGTTCAGTGGCCCGAAGGCGAGCGTATTCGGCTGGAGGGTCGAGAACCGACGCTCTTTGGAATGGGAATCGCGGTGCGTCAGTGGCCATCTTGAAGGCCGAGTAGTATCGCCAAGCAGATGGAATACGGGATGAAGAGATGCGTCGAATGTTGGATGTCATTGAGTGTGTGAAGAAACGAAAGCATAGTGGGTTGGTTGGTGATATCATGCTACTTATAAAGATGCAATTTCGACCGTTGCACCGGATACCGGGATTCCAAACTTCCATTTCATCCAGTGAATTCTCCCAAATTAGAAAAAGTCGTCATGATGCTGCGTTTCCGAGGAGATGGATGGTTGCTGATGGTCTGACAACCTGTGGCAATCCGTATTGCCGTCCCCGGACCAATTGGATCCCAACTATTTGTCAATTCCTGCAATGCACGATGCGCTGCTCACGCCATCGGGGGTTCATTTTGTGGATGACAAGCGTCGGCATTGTCGGCGAGAGTCGGTCGGCTGCTACATAACCCACCACAGCGTCGCATCTCCGCGGACAAGGTGTGCACCGGCACAAAACTATCAACGTCTCCGCGGGCGCCATTTTCTCACCTCATTCCTCGCCATCTGGTGATTATAAACCGCTCAAGGATGACGTCCTAGACCGCTCTCCATTACTTAACGGATGGACAACCCCGAAACGCGTGCGTCACTTGACCGCTTCAATCAACATCGTCTAGGCTTCTCCGAGTCACCTGTTCCAAAGTAAAGTCAGCGAGCGGCCCGAATACACCCGATGCTTGCCAAACCCAATCCATGGTACTGCGAGGCAGAGTTGGGTAACTCGTTGACCAATAAATTTGGCTGCTTGTAGGACCTCTTCGGATGCCAATACTGGCGTGTTGTTTATGAAGACACAGAGTCGGCGACTGGATCCTAAGATGTCTTGCAATACTGACTCAATGTATATAATTTATAGAGCGGGTGCGGCAGGAATGTAGTGGCCCAATATAATTTCTGCATTTATTGATCGAATCTGTTCTTATTTGGTTTTCTTTTAGCGTTACTCAATATCATCAGACAGATTAAAGCCATGCAGTGTTTTCAAATAATACCGACAAACGTTTAGTCCTACACCCAGAACCAGAAGAGACAGTAGCCGAACGATGAGGGGATCTGTTTTTGTTATTGATCCCTTCATTTGTTTTTATTTTATTTAACTATAGGCCTCCCTCTGTGTGTGTGCCATCAAGATCCTATACGTCTTCAATCATTAGGATAAAAACGCCATAGTTATGGCTAATATTATTGTAGCTAATACCAAAACTGTCCCCAGAGGATATAAGGCTAGTCAAACGGCAGTTCACGTACAAAATGCTGCGAGTCGAGCGAGGAACAACTCATAAGCGGAGACGCTACACGCCAACATTTCAAACTAACATTACCTCTGATGGTATTAAATCTCAAGCAGCTAGAACCGCCTCTACCATGGGCTTTTGGTACTCATTCAATACCGTGTGGTTTCTCCAGTCACTCCATTCATGATTCAGTAGCGCCCACCAGTCATCAAAGTCTGCAATCCCTTGTCTCATGTAGTACGATCCGCCTATGGTCCACTGCAGCCACCCAATGGGCCCTCGGATCCGCGTTGCGCCTCCAATACGGTCGTTGCCAGTGATGAAGTCCTTGAGGCACTGAGCGTACGTTCCCAGGTAGTCCGTCCCATTTTGTGCAAAACCAAACTCTGTAAGAATGACGGGGGCGATATTGCGGGCGGTGGTCTGGTCAGAGACGTCGAGTGCGTTGAAGCCACGTTTGTATAGCTCCGTCTGGAAGAAGGTACAGTTGTACATCCAATTGTCATAGCTGTGAAGCTCGAACACAATCTTGTTGGCGTAGTCAAAGTCGGCTAGCGAAAAGACTCGTGGATCGGTGTCGCTCAAGGGAGCCGCAGCCGTGATGGGGTTTAGTTCGTGGTCGTAGTTTAGGCCCGAGTATATGACGAGAGCGTCGGGATCTGTAGCATGGATAATGGCTCCAGCCTCGGTCATCTCATTGTACCATCTCGACCAGCCGTATGTGTCGTTGGCTGGCGTTGTCACTGGACGCAGCTCGTTACGCAGCGAGTGGGCAGTGGCAGCCGGCCAATGTCTCCTGGCATGCTTGGCCATGAACCTCAGACTGCGCTTCCACTTGGCTACGTGGAAGTAGGTGTCATCAAACCATCCGTTTCCGTCGTCAGGACTGCAGCACCAGACGGCCTTGGATAGGTGGTTGTTGACAATCATGTGTAGTTTTGCCTTGTGGATTTCGGCAGCCACGGCGTCCCAGACCTGGAGGCGCGTTGTGTTCTCTGTAAACTGCGGGTTGTGCTGGAGTATCTGAGCAACAATAGCCTCGCCACGCTCGTCACCAAGAACATGTACCATTGTATCTCTAAGAGTAACATCGCCACCGTTGTCCAGAATATCATCGACCATCTCGGTAGCCCATCCCATACGGACCGAGTTCATCTTGAGCGACTTAATCTTGGCTATGATGTCGGTAATTGACGAGTACTGAAGACCCTCGGGAATCATTGTCTCACCTTCACCAGGCCAGTTGACGCCGGCATAGATGAAGGTGTTTCCGAGATGATCAACGATCCGGTTACCCTCGGTGCTAAGTGGTCCGCCGGGCCATGATTTGTATGTGGGCGAGCTGGAGACGGCCCGGGTCGCTGTAAGTGCGAGGGCGATATGAAGCAGATGATGGTGATTAAACATGGTGTATACCAAGAGATAATTATGTCAAGTATAGCCGATGTCGACGAGAAGAGTATCATTTTATATGCGAAGCTTGTGAGGGCAAGGTAATTGAGCCCATCTGGTTGAAGCTAGGATGTTAGCTCATATTTTTCCCATTGCCCCAAATTGAAAGCTTTCGTCGACGGAAGTAAGTGTATGCCTTGCTTCCGCTACCTACATTGGGATGATTGTAACCCTGGAGTCCGTCATTAATCTTCCCTCAAGCAGGGCTTTACATCTCATCCAAGGTTGAATATGCCACTTGGCTACTTTTGGCGGGGTCTGTTGCTTATCCTTACCCGAATCACCCCGCAAGTTGGGATCCTGATTGCTACTAGACGGATATTTTTGCCTGGAGCTGTTGATCCGCTTCATTATGCGCATTCTGTTCCATAAAGGGCAGCATTTCCCCGCCTCCCGATCTTCTGCAAAAATCCCTCATCCCTTTCAGTCCCATCTGAATCTCCGACAGGGCGGGCCTGATGACCATGTCGCCCGCAGACGCACCCCCGAGATCACGAGCTTGGTACGTAGCTAGCCCTATAGAGAGTGCAAATCTTGCTGGATTCAGAGAACCTAACTAAGGTTATAGCGACTATTGCCGTAGACTTCACCGTCGATGTGTGTCCCCTCGCCTCGGCACCCGACCATGATCCTTTCCTATCAAAGTACCTCTGCTGACACGCGGAACCACCAGGCGACTTGGCGGTACCAGAATGCGGTCTATGTCGAGAAAGCGGGCGGCCATGTCACCGCACCGGAAAACAATTCCGCTTCAAGCGCGCCACTCAAAACATGACATTTTCTCGGGCTCAAACTTGGTCGGCAGTTCCCGCAATAGGTAAATTGACTCCGCCGTGACTGTATTTTGTGGCCAGAGTACATGGTGGGACATTATCTGATCAGGCTTTGTATGCATGATACTAGTCGACTTCCGAGACGAGACCGAACTCACTGGCCGAGAATATCACGTTGAAACCGAACATCGGAACCTATCATTGTCGCCAGACGTCTTGGGGAGAACCGATTCAGTATCTCCACCTTCCGCACCATTAGGTCTTACACCGTTTACTCCCCCAGACCCAAAACAGGACCTATACGCTGTTTTTGTCACCCCTAGTCCGTTCATGACCCTTGAGCGTTTCTGGCCACTGAATGATTCGATCGAGCCCTTGCTTCTGCAACACTTTACCAACGAGGTGGCCTGGTTTGTAAGATTTGCCTACAAACGGCCTTACTGCTGGCACACACCCTGATCTTAACCACTTACCTCTTTCCTATAGTTTGACTTCTGCGATCGGGAGCGGCACTTTGCTGTTGAGGTTCCCCATAGAGCCCGCAGTTGTCCTCCGTTGCTGGACGCCATCTTTGCCATATCAAGTCGCCATTTGAGCCGCATCCGCAAACATGTCGACCCTTATCTCGCCGACAGGTACTACCAGAGGTGCCTCGAGTCTCTCATCCCAGAGCTGGGCTGCGTCGGGTCTCATTGCGTCGATGACCTGTTGGCTGCCACCGTGGTGTTGCGGCTGCTCGAGGAGTTTGATGTGCCCATATCAGGCTTGGATAAGTATCAGCATTCCGTTGGCACCCGTGCTCTACTCCGAAGTCAGACGGCTCAGGTGCCGTCTGCTACGGGGCTCCGCCGCGCTGCCTCCTGGGCCGGCTTGCGGCAGGAAATCTACGGTTCTCTGAACGCGCAGCAACCTCCGGCGATCAAGGCTTCAGTTGAGCTGCTAAGCCATCTTGATTCCTCACAGGATGACTGTGCCTGGGCTAACCGTGCTGTAAGTCACTGTCTCGAGGTTTTGGAATTTTGCTTTGGAGAGTCTTGCAAATCTACAGAGTCGTTCGATGCTTTGCTCGCTAGCAATGTGCAGTGGGACACAGATCGCGCACCGTCATACGATCCCTTGTGTTTCCAGACACGCCCCGAGCAAGTCGAGCCTGACAATAATCCCTTCTGGGACATACGTCTGCATTCATCATGGCATGGTAAAGAGTGCCCTTCGTCTTGTCTACATGTGACATTTGATCAGTGTTCCTGACTTACAGATGCAGTAATGGGCTGGCAATACAGAAACTTAGCCCGACTCCTCCTGATCACACATGATCCCCATATCCCTCGAATCGGCTTGAGGCGACAAGCAGCTGTAGAGAGGATGAATGTGAGTGCAATATCGACCTACAGATTCCGTCTTTTGAGAGGGTGGGCGTGGCATGATGCATCTGAAGAGGTTTTGCCCGCATTTTCATTCTAACCTTGTCTGATACGAAGCAGGATGAGGCACGGTCCATGATCAAGATGATATGCAGCATAGCCTTGTCGAACCCGTCAACGCCAACAGCTATGGTAGTTGCATGTATGGCGGTTCAAGTGGGAGGAGACCTGTTGGAGGACCCACGGGAGCGTCGAGCCGTATTAGACCTATTGGTAGAATTAGAAGTAACTCACGGCTGGCCAACAAAGGATGTCTTGTCGGCTCTGATGGGTATCTGGCCGGAGGCCGAGATAATGGTGGACCATAGAGAAGAATAAGAGCAGGGATTAATAAGCCTACAAAGCAACGAAGAAGGGGGATAGGAATATCGCTCCATCTATGGCGTAAGGCGCTTGCAAGCGGCAGGTTACAATTTCTCTTCTCGGGGAAATTCCCCGATAGCTTTTAGCCTAAACTGAGGGGGATGTGGAATATCGGCAAGGCGGAAAGAAATGACTGGAAGCGGACACCTGGGCAGTTGGGCGGAGATTTATTACCTGTTTAGGATGCATCTCGCAACTGCATATTGCATGTCTTGTTCCCGTGATGCCTCCCATCCCGCTTCAACCGTGGCTCTTGCTCGACCAACCCATCATTACCAAAAGCGATTCGATTCACAAAGAGTGTTTTTCCTGCAGCCTCCGTTACATTTTGACAAGTAATACACATTGGATCTGTGCTGCAATTCTTAGTCATAGGTGATATAAATGAAAGGAGCATATGCCAGCCAGCTTGTGCCAACGCGCGAATTTTACACACACACGCAACAGCACCTCAATTGTCTCAGCCGTATTCTATCGCTCACCCAAGACTCTAATATCCGTTTCCTGTCAAGATGCCGTCTGCAATTTCTGAACAAGAACCTTCGTTGCACAACAAACAGTTTTTTGTCAACGATGGGCTTCTCCCATCCGAGTCCATCGGTCTCATACGACCTACTACACTGGACACGCCCATGGAAGAGATCCGCAGAAGATACAAAGAAGACGGCCATGTGTTACTAAAGGGCATTCTACCCCGCGAGGATGTGCTCAAAGTCCGACAAAGGTACTTTGAAATGCTGGCTCCGACTGGGTTTCTCGCCCCTGGGACCGAGCCCGTCAAGGGAATTTTCAACACATCGCAGCACCGCCTCAACTTCCCAGGCATCGGGGCAGGGACGGCCAATACAACCGACGCGGAGGGCCATGTCACCGGACCGGATCCCAAAATTGCCCGTATGTTTGGCGATCTTGCCCTTCAAGCCCATCACGAAGACTGGTACAAGGAAGACTTGTGTCGCCACCCAGCGCTGCACGACTTCATCGCCAAGATGACGGGATGGGGAGACAAGACGCTGAGTATCCGTCGGACCCTCTTGCGCAACAACACACCGCAGAACAAGGCCATCGGTGTTCACTACGATCAGATATTTCTCAGGTATGGCGAGGACACTGTCATCACGGCTTGGGTCCCGATTGGGGATATCAAGATCGACGGCGGTGGCCTCATTTATCTGGAAAAGGGACACGACATTGGCGAAAAGGTTGAGCACGACTTTCCCGACCGCGCCCTGGCAGCCGGGCTCACCGATGAGGAAATGAAGAACGCGTATAATCAAAACATGCTTGGCGGCGGCTTGCTGGCTGATGGCCCTGCCGGGTTTGCCAAGGAACACAACCGGCGCTGGCTCCTCTCAGAGTATGAAGCAGGTGACGTTGTGCTTCACAACTCGTACGCTGTAAGTACATGGTATTTTCTACCGTTCCGTTTCCTCTTTCCTGTCTTATCTCCCCCGCAAGACAAGTGAGGTGATGGTGAGAAGCTGTTGCCTCAAGTCTTGGTTCGATTTTTCAGCACGACAAATTGCTCAGAGCTCGATTGCGTTAACTAACAGATGATAAACAGATTCATGCCTCAACTATCAATCACGACAAGGACAATGTAATCCGTCTCGGCACTGATCTCCGTTTTGTGGATTCCAGTCGGCCGTGGGATACTGTAAGTGTACCCATTACTTGCTTCTGAGAATCTTACCCGACGCTGACACGCTGGTGACAGAGGTGGTCAAATGTTCTTCGTGCAGGCGATGGACTGTAAGCTGATGTACATTTTGGTTCAAGAATCGACCATCACGCCTCATCTGACGCAAGTGCAGGTCTGGAGAAAGCTTTGCTTAGCTCTCTATTCGATGCCCGGGTGAAGGCCAATGAAATTTGAATAAATCATGTGAAATTACGATAAATTGAGAGTCAATCACCATGGCCTTGCTACTCTGCAACAAAGTTTTAAACGAAACCCAAATATTTACACATTTGCTCTTTTGCTACGGAAGTGGTTCATACATAGTCGTAACAGAGTAATAATGCCATGTTTCAAGTGATAAAGACAGAAAGCCAGAGAAGATAGTAAACCAAAGACTTTTCTATATCAAATTTAGTTCAATAGGGTCTAATGGTTGGGCTCATGCCAGTTTTTTTATGTTGGTCGTCACATGCAATCTGGACGCAAGCGCAGATATCCCGCTTGTCTCACGTAGTATCTTATCCAAAGGACCGAGGCTTTACGCAGAATCTAACACAAGTGACCATCGAAAGCCTCCTCTATCTACTTTGCGGAGTAAAATTGCCCCGCCTGGTGCTAACGGGCCGAATCCACTCGCCCATGCGTCATGGATATTAGCGGAGGCACTTTCAAACTCGATAGCAGGCTTTCTCCTCTAACTATGTAGTATTGTGCCAAGGAGCTTTCCAGCTTTGCTTTAGTGACATTCCCCATGGGGCCCCAGACCCACGACAGGGCTTTGGATTCCGGGGAAGGTCCAAAAGTACCGCCCTATCCGTCATATTGGCAAGCACTAAGTGCCTCTGCTACGCGGGGTACGGCTTTGGCATAGGCTCATTTGCCAGGATTCCGGACTGGGGGCTTAGTTCGGGACTTCTGATTTACTAATCTGATCGGTACTGCTACTTTCTCCAGGCGGATCTCCTGGGCAGTCCTGAAGGACTCCTACTGGGAGTAGAAGTACGGACTTTGTACAAGACTAATCCTAATAGGACGCTGGTGTGGTAGTGCTAGGTTCAAAAACGCTCGACATGGTGTTATACCACGTATTAGAAGTTGGGATCAGCGACCAGGAATCGACCAGCATCCGCGCAAGTGGTGGTGTTTGAGTTAGCGTTTCTTTGTGTTGAGAAAAGGACGTTCTACCATGTCGTCTAGAGATGTATATAGCTTCACACCCGCCCAACGTATAATTTATAATTACTATCAGTCTCTCTACTCTCTCACCAGCGGCCAGCTCCTTATCTTTGCCTTCATTTGCTTGATTGTCATATACGATGGAACGGCCCGCATCAAAGGAAGAACCCGCCGTTCTCAAGCCAACTGAAGATGTTATTCACAATGAGTTCGCCGAGAACCTTGCGGACCGTGCTGCGGAGGTCGAGTGCAGCCCATGGACCAAGTCTATGTTTAGGCTCTACGGCTGTCTACTCATCACGTACTTCTGCGGATGCCTCAATGGTGCGCAGTGTTTGACCGAAGAAAGGAAGAGTGAAAGCTAATATGACGAAATAGGATACGACGGGTCCTTGATGGGGGGCCTAAACGCAATGGCATCCTATCAGAGCTACTATGGAACGTACGTCATCTAGTTTCCAGAACTTCCCACCTCCCTTGAGACTATGTCGAACTGACCTGAATATATTTTGCCCTTCTAGATCTTCAACAGGGTCGCAGACAGGCTTTATCTTTGCTGTTTATAGCATTGGCTCTATTGCTGCCATCCCTTTCACTGGTCCGATCAACGATCTTTTAGGCCGGCGATGGGGCATGTTTACTGGTGCAATGCTCATCATTCTTGGCACTTGCATCCAAGCCCCCTCGACTTCTATTAGAATGTTTATGGGCGGCCGTTTTGTGCTCGGATTCGGTGTTAGCTTCTGTTCGGTAAGCGCACCCTGCTATGTCAGCGAAATGTCCCACCCCAAATGGAGAGGAACTCACACGGGCTTGTATAACTGCATGTGGTAAGTCTATACCGTCAAGAAGTAATTACCGCAAAGAATCTGTCTGCTAAGTCACTTGTTTTCCCTTCTACTTAGGTGGCTTGGCTCCATTGTCGCAAGCTGGACCATCTTTGGCTGTTCCAAGTGGAACGCCGGGTACGCCTTCCGCATTCCAATTTGGGGGCAGCTCGTTTCGTCAGTCATCGTGGCATGTGGAGTGTGGTTTGTTCCCGAATCTCCTCGCTGGCTTATTGCTCACGGTAAGTTGACGCAAGCCAGGGCTGTGCTCGCAAGATATCATGGAGAGGGTTCAGAGGAGCACCCAATCGTTTTACTGCAGATGGAGGAGATGAAGCATAGTATCCAACAAGATGCCTCGGATAAGAGATGGTGGGACTACCGCGAGCTCGTCAATACTCGATCAGCACGCCGCAGACTGATTTGCGTCCTCGGCATGGCTACCTTTGGTCAACTCAGCGGCAACTCAGTCACCGGCTATTATCTCCCTGTCATGGTTGAAAACGCAGGAATCACGTCTGAAAGCACACAGCTGATGCTCAACGGACTTAATCCTGTCTTCTGCTTCATCGCTTCCATTATAGGCGCACGCTTTAGTGACAAGATCGGTCGCCGGCCATTGTTACTCTATTCCATCTTCTTCTGCTCTATCTGCTTTGCCGTCATGACTGGCACCTCTAAGGCTGCTACGGCGGATAGTGGCAATCCTTCTGCCGCGAATACAACAATCGTGTTTGTTTTCCTGTTTGGCGTTGTATTTTCATTTGGCTGGACACCGCTGCAAACTATGTATATTGTCGAAACACTTACCACTACAACTCGAGCCAAGGGAACTGCAGTTAGCAACCTGGCTTCTGCTGCAGCCAGTGTCATCATTCAATACGCGTCAGGTCCAGCCTTTGAGGATATAGGCTACTATTTTTATATCTTTTTCGTCTTTTGGGATATTTTCGAAGGCATCTTTATTTACTTTTTCTTCCCTGAAACTAAGGAGCGGACATTGGAGGAGCTGGGCGAAGTGTTTGAAGCACAACACCCTGTTAAGAAGAGCTTGATGAGGCGAGATGCAGCTAGCGTCGCTGCCACACTTGGATTATAGTCTATAAATGGTAGCTACATACATTCTTTTAATACAAGGTCTCTGATTATGATAGAGGGAGTTTCAGCTCTTACAAACTGGTGCTATCAGCCGCGTCAAGTCGGAGGCGTCCCTTGGAAACCCTTGGTGAAAAACTGGCGTGGAGGGCGTCATTGAAGCCATATTGCGATCGTGAGGCGATCATGGATGCTGAACTTGACTTCGTCGGCTTACGCATTGCGCTCTATTTCCCAGACCAGTAGCAAAGTGCTATCCGGATGCTCATGAACATCCTCCAGTATGAGGCTACTGGACCTTTTGAACGCGACTGGAAACTTCGCGAGCCAGAGCTCTACCGGAATCAATTTGGTCACTATGCTGCCGATCACCTATGGATTTGCCTCGGGGAAGAATATAGAGGCACAGGCTGAAAGTATTCCAATCGAGCACTGAGCAGATGACAGCGGCTCTATAGTCTACTTTCCATCATTAGGCAAACATTTATTGCGTCCTGTATTGCATCAATCCCCAAAATCGACAACGCACCTGCGCACCATGGAGCAATTAAGCTCAGTACAACCAACACGCCACGCCACACCATGCCCAGCCTCTCTCCAGTCGTCAAATTCCTTTATTCTACTCCCTCATTTCCCTGGCGCCTCTCCCTGAGTGCACTCGGCAATACCAAAGCCAAACTCGCCGCAAAGCTGACCAAACCACAGCCTGGGGCCCGCGGCGAATATGACTGTGAACGCCAAGTTGTCATCGACCTGGCGACCAACGTATCCTCCACCGTTGCACAGATCTGAATCGTGGTCTATCCGGTCGGCAACTTTATCGCCCGATATCGTCATTCCGCGAAAGTGCGCGAAGAGTGCGACCTCGCAGCCCTGATTCTCGCCCACGTACGGCAGCGCGAGCTCCTGGCCGCGCAGCTTTCCGGCGAGCTCTTTGCAGGCCGAGACCTTGACGGGGCCGAGTGCGGAGCCGCACGTCACTCCCCACTCGGGATCGGCGCGTGCTTCGAGGGTGGAGGGCGAAGACTCTATGCTGCGGCGAGAAGCTGGAGCCGGAGGCATCTCCGACTTCGCTTCCACCATGGGCAGCGTTGCTCCCGCACGGCGGGCGGGGGCGTTGCAGACGGTACATGTGCCGTACATGCAAACTGTGCAGAGATGGACAGTCACCTGGGTTGGAAGTCTTGTCAGCACGCCGTGGCAGGTGTTATGATGGAATCAGGCTTCTCCTTACGTTGACGCCGTCGACAAGGCCCCATCCGTCACCGTAACAACCGTTCTCCAAGATACTCGATGCCATATACTTGTAGTCCGAACCCTTGAGAGATTTGGTCGCCCCGGCGCCGGGATTTACAATCCTCACCGAGCAGTCGCCGGCCTGCAGTTCGTTTCCTTCACTATAGTAGCCGTTGTCATCTATCTTCGCAATGGCCCTTTCACAGTTGTCGTGTCCGGGCATGGGATTCGAGCTGCAGTAGGCAACTGCCGACTTCCCAGGTATGACGGTGAACTCAGCCAACGCTGCGTTTGCGCCAACCAAGGCGAGGAAGAGCTGGGGCGCTGAGAATTTCATTCTTAGAGAGTAGGCAAGTGTGAAATGGTGGCAGTTGCAGATGTGATGTTCGTGCCAGTGGGATCAACATCTAGGCGATTGGATCATCCTCTTATAATGAGACGAGTCAGAGTAACCGGCGGCATGAAATGAAATCTCCCTAGCCTATAATATTTGAGCATCATCGACCCCACTGTAGTCTTGTCGTTGGTTACGAGACCATGTCGATAGTAGGAGGGCTGTGCCATGTAAGCCTCGTATAGGTTCTTGTTGGGGGCCTGTATCAGGAATCAAATTGGAGTACGCTACTAAACGGGCTGAAAAGTCTTGTCATCCGCCCGGGGTAACATGCACCCAATCAGCGCCAGCGCCCGTTTGTGCTGACTTCATGTCAGCGGCGATTAAGCGCGCAGGAGATGGAGAGGGCAGACAACAAGCTTACCTATATATAGCAGCGAGCAAGGTGAGTTCGAGGTGGTGACTGTATTAATCTGGCTTCACTGCAACCCTGGGCCTTGTTTCTTTCTTTTTATAACTTATACCCCGTATCCGGGCCCCTAATACCCAGAGTGAGCGTGCAAAAGATACGACAATGGGCCTGATTTACACTAAAAGGGTTAGCTTTTAAAAAGCAATAAAAGATTACCTAATAAGAGGATTTATAAATGATAAATAAAAATAATTAAATAAAATAAAAATCTTATTATTTATAAAGTTAGAATCTTGATAATATTTTTTATATATTTTAACATCCTAAACAAAGTAATATAGCAATATAACTACTGCTGTTAGCGATTTTAATATTGTCAGAAGTTTTGCACGTAACTGTAGCATGATTTACTGATATACAGGGTCTCTATGGGGGCGGTGAGATTTAAGGCTGACCCTGCCACTCACTAGGGCTATATATAGATGGCAACTGTACTGAAAAACTAGGAACAGCCAGGCCCAGACTCTAGCTTGCTACGGTGTACCAGGTGATTGTCGACAACGTCTTCAGCTAGGCGGTCTAATACAAGCTGCTCCTCAGCCTTGATAGCCCGCCCTCTCCGATTATTTGGGGCAATTAGTCCTGTGCTTGTGCGTGGAGAATTTGCTCGTCGTAGCAGCAGAATTTCGCCAGACGAGGCTGCGCAAGGGGATGCCGAACAAGGAGGTTCGGGACTTAGAAGTTACCATGCAGATTCAGTGTTGAGGGTCACTTCACCCACTTCTCGGGATAAAGTACCTATGGTTTACCTGCACAACCTATGCGTCTCTACTCTGAACTTGGTCTGCAGGTCTTCCAGCGCCACCCTTCCAAAGGAGCTAGACTTGCCAACAACCTCACAGTCCTTCCCACTAAGATTGTTCATGGTCTTTGGAGAAATAAACCACACTCGTTTTAGGAAGCTATGCTCCGCGCGCAGAAGAAGGGCCGGGATAGCAACGGAGCAGTTGTCAACGTCCGGGCAAAGGAAGAGCAACACGCCACTGGGGCTGTCGCTGGTGTCAAGCCAGGCCGGTCTCCACGTTGTTCCAGGTTCCTCCACGATCCAAGCTGCAATGAGACCATCGATCAGATGTTGAATAGGAATCAAATCATCCCACTGTGATGGCACAAACGCATCTATATCCTGGGCGTCCGCAGCCATGAGCTGCCCAAGCCCTTGGATGATGTCCGGATCCATGAGGTCTGGGTCTTTCAACTGCCAGCTTGCTTCCAGCCATTCTATCCCAAATTCGCGGATGCATGCCAGTAGCTCAGAGTAGAACTGCCTTCGTACCAACGCTTCATGTGACGCCTGAATAATGTCCTCGGGGAATTCCGAGCCTTTATCCGCAAACTCAGCAGCGAGTTCCGCACACTTGTTGACCACAGCTTCAGCCCAAGCCAGATGAGTGGGATTGGCTCTATGGACACTCTTCACTGTGCCTAGAATGACAAGATCAAGCTCCAGGGCGTCATCACGAAACTTCGGTGTTATCTCTAGGCACAGGTGCCTTGACCCAGTCGTGTAGGGCTCAATGATGTCGCTTCCTCGAGGCCAGCGCATCCAGGAAGCTTGCTGAAGACTCTTGCCGCAGGTAGACAAGCAGGTTGGATCTTTTGCCGAAAGCGCAAGATGGTAGATTGCATACAAACAATGTTCCTGCGTCATGGAAGAGTCCTTCAAATAGAGGCCGCATTGAAGCACATTCAGCACGATGCTGAGCTTGTCCGAGACCACACTTGCATCGAAGCCAAAAACTTGGCTGAAGGTCCGCATGTAGCTCGGAGTTACTGACTTGCTCTCTTTAATGGGCCTCCTTCCTGGGTTGAGTCTCCTAAGTGTGTATGTGTAGAATCGAGCTAGTGATCGTCCGTATGTAGTTTCCGACGAGGCAAACTCCGGGAAGGGCAAGACACTGGAGACAGACTTTGCGAGAATGCAAAGGTCAAGCAGAAACTCCGAGCTCATCTTGACCACTGTCGAGCGACACTGGTCATCGGGCTCGGCCGGGATGAAGAAGACTTGGTTGGTGCTCATGAGTAGCTCGTGGCCACACCAAGCGCGGGTGAACCATCTTGCTGAAAAGATTTTCCAAGTCAACTCGGTGAGAGTACGGCTTGTGTCGAGGTAATCGCGGTATTGCCAGCCGTGGCCTCGATTGATCGTATCCAGTACTGATTGCAATGCCAGTATTTCAGTCTTGGTGATCGTGATATCCTCAATGACGACGGCAACCAATCTTGCGCGCTGATATATCACGTCCATGGCGCCGATGGCTACGGCTTTCTCTTTGGGATCATTTTGATTGATGCACAGCTGATCTATCCACACTCCTTCGTCATCCGAGCGCCTCTCGTTGAGGATGGTCTCGAAGATGTCCTGCGAGATTGGAATGTTGCTCTCCGTCGGGGAACCGCCGACTACCTTTCCCGCAGTCGACCAGGAAGGATTGTGCCAGCAGTAGCTCAAAGCAATGTAAGAATCGGCCGAGGCCAGACTCCGATGCTGCTGACTTGCGATTGTTCGCTTGACTAGGCGAAACGGCGCATCGGAAACGGCCACGTCCTTCAGTCCGAAGAGGCTGGCAACTTGAGCGTTGTGAATCCCTTTGAGAATGGCCTCGCCTTTTTGACGAACTGGAAGACCGAGAGACGGGGCGTTGATGAGGATCGTGTTCTTGGCCGCTGACGGTACTGTTATCACTGTTTCTTCGCCGTTTCCTGCCTGTCCGGCAACTTCCGTTTTACACCAGCTCCCAGGGCCGTGTATCCATTCACTAGTCGTTGAGTCCCAGGGCATGGTTGGAAATTGGTCGAGCAATCCGACATTGAGAGCGCGATTTTCGAGTCAAATTCCCCCATCAACTAAAATCGGTATAAAAAAAGCTCGACAATACAACGCACTTGAGATGATTATTCACAGTCTGGCGACAGCAGCCTCGTCAGGCAGCAACGCATAGTGCTATATCTGCATGTGGGGTCCAGTAAAGCCCCGAGAGATCCACATTATCCGCCATTCCACGCTATTCCAGACTTAACAGAAGTGATTGTTGTTGAATTGGAGGCGCAACACTGGGCTTAAACATGCTTAATTGTGTACATAAACATGTTATTTTCTCAGAGTGGAAGGAACTTGCCGTCTTGATGGCCCAGAACGCATACTCAAGTTCAGGGTCATCTTCTGGTCACACAAGCTATTCAAGAACATCTATTGAAACAAGGCCCCGCCGCTACTTGCAACCTCAGCTCCGGTTTAGCTGAGAACATGTAATACGGAGGCAGAATAAGGCGACCGGGGGCCCTGCGGTACTCAGTAGGAGGCAGCAGTGAGCGTTTTCACCCCGGCTAGGTCCCATGGTCGGCCTCCTGCATGTACAACCCCGGCGCCACCACTCATATTGGGTCTGTTGGCTGCACAGCTACCTTAGACGGACCGCAACAGCAAATCAGGAAGGAATCCTTTATTCACGTGATGGGACGTGTCAAAGTTACCCCTCCTCAACGATTAAAGAGAGTCCTCGACTGGATTAAAGAGAGTGCCTCTCACCTGCTTTCTACCACCGGGTCTGCTTCCTGGCAGTCGTACTTTCACATCGCAATACTATCGCTAGGAAGAAAAAAGCCAAAGATGCATCGTCAGCTCGATATCAGGTCGCGGACCGTCGCGCCTGCGCGAAACCCGGCCGTCATATGCCGCTTCCACCTCCAAGGCTTTTGCCGGGCAGGCGATAAGTGCATTTTTGTTCATGAGACGACGGAGTCCACGCCCGCGCCCCAAGTTGCTCCTCTCGCGGAGCAGGCAAAGCTGCCTTGCAAGTTCTTCCTCCGTGGACACTGCTCCAGAGGCGAGCAATGTGCATTTTCCCATGACCAAGCACCTTCCGGCGAGGCGGCTGCGACGAAAACCCCATCGGCCGATACTCGCGCCCAGGTTTCGTGTTCCTTTTTCGCAAAAGGGCAATGTCGAAATGGAGATGGTTGCCCTTTTCTACATGCTGAAGACACGATACCAGGTACCTTGTCTGAGGAAACGTTGGTAGGCTTATCCGATGTTCCAACCACTGCCCGATACTGATGAGGATTCAGGTTCCAGTAATGGAAAAGTGCACTCGTGACCTACTCGGGGCATCGATCAGTTTTGGACCAGGGGCATCAGTCGAAAAGGTCTCGCTCGTTTCCGACTTTTCCACGGCCAGAATCAACAACCTCCCGCCTGGAAGCAGCCCAGGATACGTTTCCCATATCCTCAGCCGCATCGGCATTCAGGTGCCCTCTACTTCGATCCGCGTGCGGCCACAAGGGCAGGAGAACCTGATGATGGCGGCAGATGTCAGGGCCGAGGATCCAAATTTCGCCAAGTCGCTCTGTGCCAAGTTTGAGGCTGGCGAGTTGTCTCAAGTCGACGGCTTGTCGAGCGTCAAAGTCTTCGCCCTCGCGGTACCAGCTTCCAACGGCGCGGGAGGCTTCGCTCACCGTGCCAACTGCAGAAAGGTGATTTGCTCTTGGCATAAGCCGATGCAGTTGGCGCTGCTCAACTTTGACGACGAGGAGACAGCTAGAGATGTATGTGACCGCTTCTCCAGGGGAGCATACAAGGTCCTCGGCTCAACTGTCTCTTGCGGGTTGCGTCAGGCCGACGACCCATACTCGTACGGGGGCTATCGACGCAGGTTTCCCTCTGTGTCTCGTAAGTGGACTCTTTCGCTTCGAGTGCCACTCAAGGCCTCTGCCAAGGATATACTGCGCATGATGCCCAGAGATTCGAGACCAAGCCGCGTCAAGTTTGAAGGCACTACATACAGGCTGGGGGAAGAATGCAACGCGAGACAGCTCGCCATGATAGAGAAGCTTCTGACAAGCATCGGGCCTCTGGAAATGAAACTAACCGCCAACACGGAGACCCCGGGGAAGCGAGTCAAGGCCATGGCTCGATTCACAGATGAAGCAGACGCGAAGGAGGCCGCAGGGGCGCTCAACAATACGCGGCTGCCATTCAACGAGTCTGATAAGCTCAACGTCAACTTGGTGTACTCGTCTACCTACAAGGTTGCTACCAAGGTTTTTGAAGTCGTCCAAGGAGACATCGGGGCGGCCGAGATTGCGTACAGTGAGCTGCACATCAATTTCAAGCACTTCCCGCCGACCAACGGATACACCACTTTGCGGTTGGAGGGTGAGGGCCGCGAAGAGCTTGCCGCTGCTGAGAAGGTGGTTGATGGCATTCTCCAAGGCCAGAGAGTAACTGACAAAGAGGGCGAGAAGCCCTTCTGGAACCCGTCTTTCGGTAACAGAGCAGCGGCAAGCAAGGCCCTTGGGCCAATCGAACAGTTGTTCGGGGTCGCCTTCCAGTGCGTTCCTTCCAAGGCAGAGATACGAGTGTACGGAACGCTAGGCAAAGTCAACAAGGCTCGCGATGCATTGCTCGACGCCTTTGGTGACAGCCCGTCGACGTCGCATTTCATATCGCTCGACGAGAAGAGCTTCCAATGGGCCATCCGTGGCGGCTTCCGGGACCTGAGAGACGCCTTGGGCCTCGAGAATGTGATTTTGAGCATCCTGCCGACAACCAAGAGAATCGAAGTGATAGGCGCTCGAGCGTCATATGATCTGGCCATAGACATCATGTCCGGGAAGAAGACAGTGTCGCAGAAACAGCTAGAGCCCGCTGCTAACGACTGCTCCGTGTGTTGGACCGAGGCCGAGAATGCTCTGACAACTAAGTGCGGGCATGTCTACTGCCTCGACTGCTTCGAGAACTTTTGCCAGTCCGCCGATACGGGCCATGGTGGCTTCAATCTGAAATGCCTGGCCGACGAGGGCTCTTGTGGTACTGTTTTTGGCCTCCCAGAACTGCAAGAACACCTGTCCTCGCTCGCCTTCGAGGAACTCCTCGCCTCGTCCGCCAAGTCCTACGTCAATACACGGCCGGACGAGTTCCGATACTGCCCAACAGCGGACTGCGGACGGGTCTACCGGGTGGCTCCGTCAGACCGACCCGGAGTATTCACCTGCCCCGGCTGCCTCAAGACCGTATGCACCTCGTGCCATCATTCCCATGCGGGCAAGTCGTGTGCCGAGTACAAATACGTCGTTTCTGGGGGCGAAGACGAGTTCGAAAAGGCCAAGAAGAAACTTGGGATAAAAGACTGTCCAAAGTGTAGGACCTCGATTCAGAAGTCGTCGGGATGCAACCACATGACCTGCGGCCGGTGCGGCGTGCACATCTGTTGGGTCTGCCTTGCTACGTTTCCGACTGGCAATGCGTGTTATTTTCACATGAACCAAAAGCATGGGTCAATATTTCCTAATGACCCTTTGTATAATCCATAAAGGTTGCAAACTATCTATAACTAGCAGTTAATAGGCATTTAGGGGTGTGGGGATCCTCGAGGATAGCCTTGAGGGTCTTTTCATTGGCGCTTGATGTGGCGAAAGCCAAATTCCCGAGCGTCTGGACGTCGATCACTATCACTTGTGCGAGATGGGCGAGCACGGCAAGACAGAGAGGGTGCCCTTGCGGCTGAAAGTTTTGCCATCGAGGTCCAGACAGAGTGTGCTAGGCTGAGGGATGGAGGAGAGGAAGACCTGGAAGTCTGGAAGGGTGGTGACGGCATGGTGACAGGCAGTTGACCACGTAGTGGTAGGCCTCCCGCATATCGAATTCATCAGAAAACAACTGCTAAAAACTGATTGCAACAACATTCCTGAAATCTCCAGCCTTAAAGACTCCTAGCCATTCATTGATGAAATAGCAAAAACATAATTGAGGATATAAATATGGGGGAAAAAAAGGAAAAAAAGGAAAAAAAGTGGTTGTACAACAACTGGGGGTCTCGTCGATGCGAAAGAATAACGGCTGGTCGCGGAGCAATGCACTTCGTTGGGCCAGTTTCCAATAAATCGGTACAAGTTTATCTCAAGGCGCAAAGGAAAGGATAACATATCGGTCGATGAGAATGGCCTGTAAAAATTACGGCTGGCGGTTTGGATTGACGTGTAATGGACTCGCATATCTATGGTTTACGCGTGCAGTTCAAGCGTAAGCTGTCCCATGCACTTAAATTGGCACTGGCAGATATTCAAACTTGTAACCTATTACAAGCTTGTGAGATGCATAGTAAGAATATCCGAGACATCCAGTATCTTTTCCGAGGAACTTTTTTACAAGTCTGGATCATTTCAAAAGCTATATGCAAAATAAACCCGTCAATTCCACTTCGCCCCTTCGATCCTAAAAACTTAATCCAGTCGATGCAATATCTCCGTAAGCAAACATTTGGGGAACTCGCTCAGGCTGTCCATAAGGTCTCGAAACCGATGGTTCATCCATAACTCTTCGAATTTGCAGGCAGTGTAGGTGGAAACTAGGGTTCTCAATGGATCGGGCTGTTCTTCTTTGTCCCACGTATTTTTGAAACAATACTCTACGAGCTTGATTACATCCCAGGAGCCTTCTTCGCAGAGCGTAAACTGTGTCAAAGCTCGCCTGAGATTGCGAAGGGCTAGAGTTTGCAGGCCGTCAATGCCATGATAGTCTGCAAAAACATAGATCCGTGCATGTGAAAGGAAAACGTCAGTGCAGTCGTCTTCCGGTTCGATGTGGCGTGCTTGAGACTTGACCTCGGGGTCTGGGTCTGGGTGAAGACTCGTAAAGGTGTACCATAAGAATTCCTTTTTGTTCGTGAATGAATCGGGAGATAAAGGGGCAACGTGTCTTTTAGCTTTGTGTCTTGTGGGAAAATGCACAATGTCGGCCTCAGATTCGCTGGCCCTTTCCAGAATAGTGGTGAGATCTGCTGTTTTTCGTTTCTCGGGGTCTGCTCCATCGTAACTTCCGGTGTACGCGAACTGGCAAAACCGAATGAATGTTTCCTCGTCCGTCTCGTCCCAGACAACACACTTTTCGATAGCCTCTTTCATGCCCCCATTAACGAGTGTGTCCAGAGCTTTAGACTGATGCGAGACGAGGGCGGAGTGCATGGTGAATTCCTTCCTCCCAGGGCCGACGAGGAACTTGAAAGGATGCGAATTGAAAATACTAGGCAGGTCAGTAGTTGGTATTGTAGAAGATGTCATGACCAACCTTCCTAAATATTGTGTAGATGTCATACTGAAAACCTGGAAATTCGGTGTATTATATTTGAGGAGGTTGCAATGAAATATTTAAGCAAGTTCAGGGCAGTTACCAGGCAATATTCAACGAACGATTGTTCCGGATAGACAAGTGGGCACCTGGGAAGCTATATACTTCATACCCCTCCCTCTCTTTCAGCATTATGACGACAGTCAAATCATGGATCTGTCCACGTGATCAGACGGTGCGTGGCTCAAGTGTCTACGGTAAAGTCTCAGTAAATTGGCCAAGTCTAGCGCGACCTTAGGCCAGAAGCTACCCGAGTCTACCTATTAAATGGAAGTCCGATCAAACCCACTATTAAGCCTAATCAAGTTACAACATCTCACGAAATGCAGCGCGAGACTTAGTTAATTTATTAGACTTTACCGTACTAGCCAGATCCCTCATCTACACGTGTATTCATACATAATGGATGATGCGGAGCTCCGGCACCGTGAACTTCGCACATTCCCTTCCCTTGTCTCCTTTCAGTAGTGTCGTAATAGCATTCCATTTGTGTCGTTTATAATGTTTGAGATGAGTCCCAACCTCCAAGATCCGAATTTAATAGCTGATGTCGTGGGAATGAAAACCGGAAAATGATGCGATCATGGTGGGAGAAGTCACCTAGATAATCCATCCTCATCGCTAATACAACAGCGGGCGGAGGTAAGCCGACAATTTCGGATCTATCCGATTCTGTATCGAATGTAGCCGAAGACCAACATTGGGTTACGCTGCACATAAAACTGAAAGATATACAAATCTAATTAGATACTCAATCGTTGTAACCTTGAACGTCCAAAAATTGCTTGCCCATTTTCGAAGCGATCTTCTTCTTGCTGTTTGGCCTATCGCGATTCTTAAGGCCTTCATAATTGGACCCAGCAGACTCAGTTTTCGTTGGGCGAGGATACCTCTACATTCGTGCCCCTAAAAAAACGCTCTCACGTTCAATCAACGCATCTTTTTCACTATTCGAAGCGAAGGGGAAATGCACACGATTCCCATAACGAGGCCATCTAAAGAATATATCTAACATTCGCATAGTAAATGCAGAAAACGACAAGGTCAACCCTGTCCACAATTAGCCTACTGATAAATAAAACGACATGTCTGGGACTGCTAATAGGTATCGTAGATTTGGACGGTCGTAGAATTGCGTGACCATGCTTATGGCTCATGTTTGTTGCGCGAACTACCAGCGCTCCAGCCTTGATATCTCGGCGGTGTTGCGATCATAACCAAAACTTTTGCTCATGCTAAGAAAACTAACCAGAAGAGGCAACGAGTGGCGGAAGTGAGATATATTTGAGAGGAGGACGATCGGACCAAGTTATCAGACCAGATCAGCGGGGTTAGGCTGAGGGATGTCGCAGTCGGGAAGAGCGTCACCGTCACCTCGACCGTCGGCAATGTGATATAAGCTAATGAGGTTAGCCATACCATCATCTAAGAACGGATGGAACTTTTAAGGCGGAAACTGCTCCGAACTCTACGACCAACAGCAAGAATGGCACATAGGTTGTATCAAGAGCTTTATAACAAACATCTTACAAGGCCGAATTGTAGCCAATTGTTAATATAATTACAAGAAAGGTGTATATACAGGTGTTCACCAGCTGTCGCTCTTCTGAATCCATCCATAGCATCCATTCACATATGTACTGAATTGATGTCTAAGACAGCATGTCAATGCTGTCAAAGCTAACACCGCCACTGAGGTATCCAGAGCCAGTGCTGCCAGTCACAATGCTGACGGTCATGATCTGCCACTCGCTAGTGCTTTGCTTGAATGCACTGGATGGCACGGTAAACTCAAGCTTGACGTTGTTGCCACGATAGGTACCTGTGGTCAAGCTTCGGGTCTTGGCCTGGTTAGTTGCGCTAGGCGTAGTGGCTGACCAGTCGTTGACCTTGATCGTGGGTCGGCCGTTGATGTATGCCTCAGTGATACCAATGCGGATCTTGTGAGAGGTTGCCAATTGCGCAGTGGTGAGCTTGAAGTAGACAAGATGGTTGTTGTTAACGTCGGTCCACATATAACCGGGGAAGTTATTGGCCTTGCTCGTGCCAACAATGAAGTTGCTTGGCTTCCAACTGGCCAGTCGCTTGTCGGAGGGATGCATGTAAGTGGGCTTCATCTTCGCGTCCTCGAAGTTGAGGAAACCTCGCGGGGTTCCGTCCCACTCGCCGATACGCCAGATGGCGCTGTCGTCAGCCGGGTCAGTGGCCTTGAGCGTGTTGACGGCCGTGCCGGCGCCCTTGTTGATGGTTATGGAGCCAGTGTACACCTCAAGCTCCTCCTTGTAAACTGTCAGGGTGTAGGTACCAGGGATAACCTTCTTGATGGACCAGGCTCCGTTGCTTGAAGACGCAACACCCCAGTACTGAGCGTTGGTGTTGGACAGACCGACGGTGTAGGTATATCCAGTCTTCATGTTGGAAATACCAACACCCGAAGCATAGCCACGGTCGGCCCAAGTAGTCCATCCAGACAGCTGTGAATAGTCAGCAATGCTTCAGATCGCCATCCTACTGTTGGCCACACTTACAGAAAGAGCATCAACCCAGGTCCAGTCAGCGTTGCGAGCGTAGAGGCTGGAGCTAGGAGCGCCACCGTCGGTAAAGGACAGGACATGAGGCCCCTGAAGACCAGTTCGCATAGGGTCGGTACTGCCCATGTTGTAGTAATAGATCTCGTACAGATCCTCGCCGGTGGGATCGGCGCGAGTGAGCAAAGATCGGAAGAAAGGACCGCCGGATGCCTTCTCGTGGTTGGAGCGGATCATGTACAGACCAACCGATCCGGTGGTTCGGCCGATGTAGTCGTCTAAGTTGATTAGTATTGATAAGGAACGTAGGTTCAAACAACATACAGTCCATGGTTCGTCCATAAGTAGAGCCCTGGTAGTGCTTGCTCTTGGTGATGCTGCCGCTGTTGATGCTGACGTCAGAAGCCTCGATGTAGCTGCTACCGGAGTCGTAGTAATCTGTGTATTGTTAGCGCCTGCTTCAACATACGGAACTTGATATACATACCGGGATCGGTCGAGGCGTGGCTAAAGATGCCAGACTTGATACGCACGATGTAGCGCATAGCAGACACGCTGTCATCGGCCTTGTTGGTGAAGAGGTAGACATTGTTGTTCTTGTACCGCATAACAATGTAGTGCTTCAGGGTTCCATGCGTGACTGAGACCTTGATGACATTGGTGCTAATGGTAGCAATCGTCACCGTGCTGGCGCCAAGACCAGATTCCACATGGCTGAAGAATGTTAGAAAGATTCACTGTGAACATCAATTGTGCTCACGTATTCTTGCCGCCCCATCCGTTAAACTCTTGCCCCTTGTACTTCAAAGAGTTGATATCACCAGTTGACTTGCTGACACTGATGATCAGATCCGCACCGGAGTCAATGACGTAGTTGCCGTTGGAATCTGTCCATCCCCAGGCCGCTGCCACAGCAGCTGGCCAGAACAGCAAAGCATAGACGGCTGTTAGAATCAACATGATTGCTTGCCGAGTACAGTGAAATGTTCCGTCCCGCTCTCCTATTATAACGGATCGTCCCTTCACGCTCCTTTTATAAATTACCTGTCGCAGCTTCTCCCCCTATACCGTTACCACCGCAGCCTATTCTAAATATGAACTGATGTCCGCGTTCCTACCCCCGTACTATTGTCTCGGCTAAGCGGGGCCGGCTTTCCCGATTGCAGAGTCTTGGCCGTTGGCCATTTGTCTCGGATATCCGGTAGACCCGTCCTAGCGCCGGCAGGGGATATTTCCACCAATATAGCCGGGATCATTGAGGCGCAACCCCAATAGAATTGTCCGACTGATATAGAGTTGGGTGGCAAGGATTGATGTGATAGAAACGGACATGAGCCAATAAACAAACATCATGCGAGCTTAAAGTGGCATGGACTAGCCGTGATAGGGCCAGAGCCGTTCGTCTCAAGGGCAGGCATGTCAATTAAGCACGTGGGATGTCGCTGACCATGACCTCAGCGGAGCTGAATTCCGCGATGAAATGGGACGTCAGCGGCTGGAATTTCGCCGCCCCTTCACGCCAAGTCAATTTGACTCTGCTCCGCCTCTGCGATTGTGCGACTTTAGGTTGACCCTATTCACAAATTACAGGGAACACCTCGATGTAACCCAAGACATTTCATCATCGTGGTTATCAACTTCCTCTTTGGCCACCGTCGTCGTACAAGTAGTGGAACAAAATACGAGTGTCACGAACTCAAAGCATGCCTGCAACCTCAAAAGTTCAATTTTGCTTGGCAGACGCCATCTATATCCGAGATTCTCTGGGGCGGGATGTATAGTCCACGAAGATCGCATACGCGTATTTACGACTTACATTCATCAAGCTTGCTAGTTTATATTGTAACAAATCTTGTAACGAAAACATGATTAATACCCTACATATTAAAGCTGTGCGAGCTGTTCTATCTCGAAAACTATTTCGGAAAATCGGGTCCAGTCGCTGTGTTTGTAAGCGGATGTATTGTGTTTACCGCGACGAAAAGGGAAGTTGGGGGCAAATGATATCACTAAGACTCCACACATTTGTCTTTGTGGTCCATAATAGCATGAGCTTCAAAAGGCACAGTAAATAGGCTTCATTAATATTATTGGTACATTGATTTACCAATTTACTCAACTCGTCTTTTGCATCGACCTCCTCGGTGTTGGAAATACTATCGCAGACAGCAAAGTTCCCAAACTGTCAAAGTCGCCCGCTACAACCAGACGGCTAAAACCGCGTTTCACTTCAGAGAGCGGAGGCACCAAGATATCCCGACTAAACGCTAAAGTTTTCGCCAGGAAAAGTGTACATTTTAACTTCGACTTAGAGATAATGACTCTTATCGGGCAATTAACGATGCAAAGTCCCGCAACATACCAACAAATCTACCGGATTTTCACAATCTCGTGTCGTTGAACCTCAGATGAGTCCAACTCACCATAATTGCATACATCCTGGCACAATTCTCTGGAGCCTACTCGATCAGACACTTTCTTACCGTATTTTGCGTTATTGGAGTTAAATGGATGGATATTAAGGTTTATGCTAGAATTATTCAGCTAGTCTACCACACAGCAGTAACATCACGTTTGTCGATGTTCTTGGCAGACGAAGGCCGTTGATGATTCGCATTTCAATCCAGGTCGCTTACTAGTCCTATTGTCATGCTGCTATGGATTTCGGTGCTGTTCTTTGTGCACGTGCGATGGCGTGGGTGATGAGGTGGCTCTATCCCTTACTTGGATTCTACAAGGACATCTCCCCGTAATAAAACATGAATTCTGCTTCTTATCGCTTTTTGAATGGGGGCAGCTGGTTGAAATACTACTCGAGACTGCATGCGCCACTATTATAAAAAGATCTTTACCTGTATACATCCGAAGGTGTGTGAACCATCATGTTCACCCACATGTCCTCACCTCCGACCCACTCTCTGAGGTTCTTAAGGATCGTCTCGTTATCTACTGTTCTGAAATCCTCTATCTTGTCCAAATCCCGCGCTCCACGATTGCTACCTTCGCCAGTGTGTGGCCAATCACTAGCCCATACCAGTCGATGGGGCACTTGTTTACCTAAAGCACTGATAATAGACTCGAGGTCATTATAGCCCGTGTCACCTTGATTCGAAGCGCGGTATAGGCCGGAGATTTTGATAATGACCTTGGAGTCTTGTGCCAGCGAGACCAAAGACTGGAATCCGGGCTGCTTTGTGGAGTCGATGGATTCTGTCAAGCTTTCCGCACTTACAAGCTTGGAATGTCCCAGCAGACCGCCAATATGGTCGGCAATGACTTGAACAGGGAGTTCATGGATCGTGTCATAAAGATCGTCAATGGGTTAGCCTTAAGACACAAAATAGCGAGCGATGTCTACTTACCGTCCCATACCCTTGCAGGGCAAAATAGCTCGAGTTTCCAATTGGGAAGGTCTTTGATTTTTGTTGCAGCTTGCGTAACAAGCTTGCGCAGACTATCCACATCAACCGCACGCCCATCTGACACCATATTGAGCCGCAGACCGCGAACTCCAAGTTGATGCATGGACCACAGCTCATTATCCTGAGTCGTAGCGATATTCATGACTGCAATTGCGCGTGCTAATGTAAAGCCCTGGTCTCGGAGCTGCTTTAGTGAGTGGAGCAAGACTTTGTTGTCAGTGCCGTACGGTGACGGCTGGACGAGTACCAGATTCGACGGACGAGCATCTTCAGTCAAACCAGCGCTGAAACGCTTCAGCTTTTCTAAACTCGCCTCAGCGGGAGTATACGCTCTTGACGGTGAGTATGCTCCCACTGAAGCATCGAAAACGTGCACATGTGTGTCCCAGGATCCTGGAGGAAGAAGCCGTAAGGCACTGGCACGCGACCTTGCAGATCATTTTAGTACAGGTTCAGCTCACGTTCCGTCGAGCTTGCATACCCAGAGAGGAGCATTGTAATCGCTGTCTGGTTTTTGATCGTCTTGGACTGGCGAATTGGCGAATTGGCGAATTGGCGAATTTATCTTGAATGAATTGTAACTCACACTACGCTGCTTCGGAACTTAAGTAGAACATATTGAGTCCTTTCGGCACGCACATAACCGTGATATTGTGGACCCTCGCCGATCTTTCGGATACATCCGATGCTCACCTTCGGAGCAACTCCGCCCCTGAAATTTCATGCTTGACAATCCAGAAGTCGATTCCACCGAATGTTCAACCGGTCAATCTACTACAGATCGTATGGTTTATTGTGCAACGGGTCGACTCGGATCCTTCACACTGCTCGATCCTACTTCGCAAACCATGGGCGCGCGGAATGCCACAGACGGAGATTCTCCGCCGGCTTCATCGGACCTAGCCGACAGGCCAAAGTCGACTCACCGACGGGGCCTCAAAAGAAGCTCTGCGGCTTGCCAGCGATGCCGCCGGCGGAAACAAAAGGTGCGAATCCGTTCGGGACCATTCCCGACAAGACGCGTGGCTACCTGATTCTAACCACTGGCGTGTAGTGTGATGGAAGTCTGCCGACGTGTGGACCTTGTTCACTTGCTGGGACATCATGCGTTCCATCAGAGCGTCTCATGGTGCGAGTAGATCCCAACTGTGAATGTGAACGGCTCCGAGGTCAGGTTAAGGACCTCCAAGACCAACTGAACGCTCTCCAAGCCCAGCAAAATGTCCAAGCGACCTTTTTCGGCCAAGTCGGCAGCGATGGACCAGATTCCGAAGGGCTCGCGACCCTCGTCAGTCAAACCTCCCAGCGAGCATCGGGAACACTTGACCCAGCGCGTGGCTTCTCGCCTGAATCAGACACTTTCTATCGCGGCCGTATGCTCCTCCCAACCTTTACCAAGAACAGCACGGCGGACACTCCGAATGCCAGCTTTCTGAGCAGTGCGTGGCACCTGTGGAATGGCTTGGCTGAGGCAAGCCCACCCGGAGATGCACCGGATGCGATGCAGCTATCACTTGATGACTACGACTCAGAGTTGGTAGAAATCTTTTTTGCTCGTCGGTGGCCTCAATTCCCTGTTCTTCACAAGCCAACGTTTATGGAACGTCATTTCATACCATTCTCAAAGGGAGAATCCCACGACAAGCTGTCGTCGTTTCAAGTCAATATGGTGCTTGCAATCGGAGCTTCCGAGCAATCCCGTGCGAAGACCAGGCCGAAACCCTCACATCATCAATTCTTCGAGGCCGCAGTCCGCGATTTGGGCAGTGTCCTAGAAGCGAGCGACATCAACTGCATCCAGTGTCTGCTTCTGCTTTGCATGTTTGGCAGGGATGAACCGCAGCTAGTCAATCTCTGGTACACTGCTGGTCTGGCTCTACGTCTCGCCGTGGGAATTGATCTCCATCGTCACGAGACAGTGGCCAATAAATCTCTCATCGACGCAGAAATGTGCAAGAGGCTCTTTTGGAGCATGTATACGATGGACAGGAGTATCTCGATCGCCATGGGGCGTCCGCTCGGGATACAAGACGCCGATATCACCATGCCCCTTCCGCTTTGTATATCCGACGACAAACTCAGCAACCCCGATGAGCCCTCTTTCATCAACCCGAGTTCAAACGTGAAAGATGTATCCACATTCCTCCACATCGTTAGCCTTCGGCGTATTAACACCGACATATACAAGGCACTACACTCGGCGGGAGAGACAAATATCGAGGGATACAGTCTCGAGGCCATTCGACAGGAGCATTTTGGTCGACTCGGCCATTGGTTGTCCTCGGCACCAAGATACTTGGCCCCAACTTCGATGTACCAGATGACAGAGTGGTTTCAAATTGCCTACCACCAGGCCATATTGAATCTCTATCGACCTTCACACGCATCTCCGGTTGCAACGATTGACGCTATACGCCTCTGCGCGGACTCATCCATCAGCCTCATCACCTGCTACAGCGCTCTATATGCCAAAAACAAAGTGACGTACACATTCGTTGCTCTGAATTCTCTGTTCATGGCTGCTGTTACAATGCTATACAGTTTGCGTGCGAGCTTCACTCTCCGCCAGGAGTTGACCAAGGAAGTCGCCGAGTCTAACATTCGTTCCTGCACGTCTCTGCTGACGGATATTTCCAACGGGCGGGCAGTCGGGCAGCGAAGTGCACAAATTGTTACAAGGTTGGGGAATGCAACGTTAGAAATATTTGACACGGCCCCAACACTGGGCAACGAGGTCGACACGGAATTCATGTTGTGGTTTGGAGTCAAGTCGCAAAATCCTCCTGAGCCAGGGCAGCCTACGCCGAGCATTGATGTACCATGGAACGACTTGTTTAATCAGGGCTTTGATCTCGGTGGGACGTTCTGCAATGACTTTTTATTATAGCTTGAAGTCTTTTCAATAATTCCCTAGAACCCGAAGATAAACGTAGTAGGTTTCGTCATGGCGGCATTGTATTGTACATGTAGCTATAGGGTAATTTAGCCTACCTTTAAGTTGCTCATGGGCTGGATATTTTACGCTCGGAATTGAAAACCCAATGTTACTGCCAGGGCTGGTAAGGTTAATTTTACTCCCGCGTAAGTCACATACTGTCTTGAAGTGTTGTGTTTGAGCCGGGTATTATTGTGCACTGAATGTTGCCGACTGAATGTCTGTTTTGTTAAGAACGCGATTATCTGATTTCCCGGCGAGAGAGCCTAATTATTCCATGTGCATCTTTATTATCTTTGTAGTCCCACTCCCCTTCAGTGGGTGCCTCGCTGTAGTTTGCCGGGTCAACGGAGGGGACCTTAAGAATAACGTCTTCATGACCTGGGATCGAAGCGTGAATATCGGCGAATGTGCCCCCCCGATCAATGGATATCTGGACTCTTGACATTGTTGCAATGGCTATGGCAACTCTTTGGATGGTAGTATGCAACTGGACGGTTTTAGCCACTCCACTCCGTCGAGTTCTGAGGGAGCAAACTGTTTATCTTGCTGGATAATGATTTTGTTGGCAGTCAAACATCAGTTGTGTTAAAAAGACACAGGATCATTGGTATGTTGGATATGCAAGTTGAGTTACGTAGATTGAATACTTTGATACTCAATAACAGTTAACGCAGCTTCAAACGCACCTCGAACATTTTCAAACACCATCCTCGGTCTTGTCGCCCGATCAAAGGCTGTGAGGAGTCAGCTGCCACTAGCCTCATTCTATAAAGACGGCTGCGGATGTCCGGTTTTTCCGTCGAGAAGACAACGCGTCGATTATCCTTGGTCAAGATGACGCCGGGGACCCACACCGTGAGCGGGCTCGGATGTCCGCTTTGTGAAGATTGCCGCTTATCGCTTTAGGAGTTGATCGGCAAGTTGTTCCCCACACTTTGATCTCGCTCTTGGCAAGGTGTCCTGGGAGGACTTCGATTTGCCATGGCGGAGAGAGGATTGTACGGGGTTGCTTGGGGAAGAGATATAGACGGTGTTCCCGCTCCGTAGCTGACCGTCTGCCTAACAGCGGGCATCTTGAACCTGCTTCCTTCATACCTGGCTGCTGCGTTTATAAAACTCGCAATCCGCTCATTCTACACGACGACTCCACTCGCACTTCTGAAAATTCAACACCAAAACACAAAATGACGACAACAACCACCACCATTGCGTTTACGCAAAGCCTGACTTTGACATCCCCGAGCTTGAAAACTGGCCTTGAGGCTCGGTTGGCCGCACGCAGCAATGAATACACAAAGTCCACCTCCGGCCTCGCTCCGAGGCATTTGCAGGCGAACCTAATCGTCCTGCCATCCCGCTACGCCTCCGACTTCCGCGATTTGTGCGCCCGGAACCCTGTTCCGTGTCCCTTGATTGCAGAGTCGAAGACGATTGGTGACTATTCCGAACTGCGATCCCACTTAGCCACTATTGTCGACGGTGGTAAAATCGCGTCTTCGCTCGATATACGCACCGATTGTCCACGATTCAACATATACCATGACTCGAAACTCGTGAAGGCCGGCGTATCCGATATTGTTGATCAATGGACTTCGGATCATGTTGCCTTCCTTATTGGGTGCAGCTACAGCTTTGAGTCGGCCCTTGTAGCTGCCGGTCTGCCTCCACGCCACGCGGTGCTGGACCGCAATGTTCCCATGTATCGCAGCAACATTCCCCTAAACCCGGCAGGCGTTTTCACGGGAGGTACATACGTGGTATCCATGCGCCCGTACAAGAAGGCAGACATCGAAAAGATCCGATCCATTACGCGCAGCTATCTCCCAACCCATGGGGAGTGCGTGGCCTGGGGTTGGGATGCTCTTGAGAAGCTTGGTATCCAAGACGTTGATAAGCCACAGTGGGGTGATGCGCCTTTGACTATGGATGGGCGTCCTTTGAGCACGGTAACTGGGAATGAGGAGGATGTACCCGTATTCTGGGGATGTGGTGTTACTCCGCAGGAGGCTGTAATGAAGGCACCGTTGGAAGGTGCCATTATGGCCCATGCTCCAGGACATATGCTTGTACTGGATTGTCTGGAGGACGATGTTCTCAACTAGTGTTGCACTTCAGTGTTTGATCCCATTCTGAGGAGACCATGCGTACTATAAAACCGCAGGTAATTTACCACTTGCCTATTCCATAAATTTATGAGGTTCGTGACGTTATTCCACATGCTTTGCTCTCCACTCGTATCTTACCATTATTGTCACTCCAATAGCACTAAGTTGACACGGGAGAAACCATTACTCTGCGGGGTAAACACTTCATCTCTCTAAAGAGCTCTCAAGGGAGCGATAGCCAATGACGCAGATTGACTTTGCTAATTTACTACCGACTAGGTCATATGCCAGCGCCTAAGGTTGCCAAAGGGATAAGCAAAGCTAGAATTGCTTGACCTGATCCCTCGCAAGTAGGTACAACTTATTTCCCTCAGGACCTCATAAATGATGCATTGGTTGATGATGCATATGTGAACGCCGAATGATATCGGCGCCGACCAAGAGTGGGTCGGGACCTCGGCTGTACTCCCCTGCATTGCGATCTAAACGTTACCGCGGGGTAAATCAGCATCTGGCTGGCTGAGATTGTCATTTAATCCATCGGAAGTCGATGAGAGTACCAATAGAAGTCAATAAGAGCACTTATAGGGCCCGACAGATCCATCAGCTTCAAGAATCACACAGGTCACTTCACTCAATCTCAACTATGGAGGCTGCGTTTCACACCCAGAGCTTCGACAAGGCCATTTCGGTCACGCCCATCTCGAACCATGTCTACTCGGCGAATCTGGACTCATCTTGGGCCATCGGCGATGGTGAGCAAGGCCTAATCCGAAGACCCTGTAGCTTTCTGCAGAGGTAGTACCCTCAGCTCGGCTCACGCGTATCTAGTTCCACATGGCGGATACCTGGTAGCCATTCTGTATCGTCTCACCCGCTCCCATTTCGCACTCACACACCCGGGCCGACACGATGGCAATGCGGCGCCGATCGGCATGCAGATTGCCTACGTGCGCCGATGCGCAACTGGTCCAGCACAGCTAGATATTGAAGACATCAAACTCGGTGCAAGGACCTCGTTGATCCGAATTACCCTGTCCCAACAGAACTTGGCACGTGAGAAGATCGTCAAGCTGACGGGTCTCATCACCATTTCAAATCTGGCTAGCGAAACTGGTCTGTCTCTGGCTTCTGGTTGGACTCTCAGTCCGAGGCCTGCGACTTTTGTGTTCCCTCACAAGAGTACGAGCCGGGACTTTGGTTCGGACCAGACCATCCAAACAAGCCCGTGGAAACGTGTTCGCGTTCCACACCCCGAATTTCGCAAGGCAACCAGTCACGTCGAAGTGCATGTAGCTGAGACAGCCTCTCAGACTGCTTCGCACCGACACCTTACAGACCAATGGGCTGCACTGCGATGGACTGACGAAGACGGCCGTCCTGTAGAAGGTCGGTGGACTAACGAGGCTGCAGCGTTTCTCCTCGACGTCTTCCCCACAGCACTGACGAACCTCGAGACGCAGGCCACGGCCGATGATTCGGTGACGGCCCCTATGTGGTTTCCAACCTTGAGTCTGAATATCGACTTTAAGAAAGAGCTGCCTAAGGACGGTGCGGAGTGGTTGTTCAGTAGAGTCACCATGAAGTCGATTAAGAACGGACGAACGGACATTGAGGTTGTGCTCATGGATGAGTCGGAAGAGCTTGTTGCCTTGGCTACGCAGGCTGGGTTGGTGATGAGCTCTGCGCGCAATCGCGCCAAGTTCTAAACTTGGGCTGGAGAGGACGATTTAGCACCAGAATAGCGTGAAGACATCTAATGATTGGGGTTCCTTAGCCATGGCTTGAGCTATCACGATGGCTACGAGAGATACAAGATACTAGACAATGGTTTAATAATTGAAGCCGGTTCAATTCTCTCAGTAGCCGTTTGAATGGTGACATTCCACTGCCATAAGTCCAGGAATATGTCTCGTAATTGTGATTTTCAACCTTTGCAAGTGTAGATAGCCACGTTCGTAGCTAAAAGCCGACCACCATAGCTCCGTATATGGGGACATGCCTAAAGCAGCCATGCCGAATTGTCGTTTGAGATCTTATTGGACCACAGGATACCTGTCCTTACTAGGCCCTCGGCCATTCTCATCATGGCCGAGGACGAACAGACGACTAAAGGCGCTAGCCATGTCGTCTTGGCCGAGATGCCCACGTACGATGATAGTACCAATACCCCTCTCCTGACAGGCCGACAGTTATCTACCAAACATTAGATAAGCCATCCGCCTTGCCAGAGTCAATTGCGTATCTTCTTGAAAATTCAACATTCTTGTCAGTCATGTTTAGAGCCAAGCGATTCTCACCATGTCAAACCTTCTCCAACCTGTCACGCTCGGGGACTCGCTGCACTTGCCGAATCGCATTTGCATGGGTTCTAGGACTCAGAATCGATGCATCAAATACAACAAGCCCACCGAAGCCAGTGTCAAACATTACGGCACCAGGGCGCGAGACGACGTTAGCCTCATCATCGCCGAAGGACCTTTGTTTATTTCAATGGACTTGAATGGCCCCACGCACCGCTGATGTATCTCCAGGAACATGCAGACGCATGGAGAGAGGTGACAGAGTCTGTCCACAAAGAGGGTGGGAAGATATTTTTCCAGCCCTAGCACACAGGTATTACAAGTTCTCAAACAATACATGAGTATTTTTGTTGGGCTAAAATGCTTCAAGCAAGCGGTGCCGTTTCCCACTAGATGTGCTGGGTGCCATTATCGACGTGTGATGCCTCGCTTACCCTGTAATAACTGCTCAAGATCTCCTAGAGAGAATCAAATTAAGTTACTTATCCGCGCTGCGCTTCCTTCTTTCATACGGCTCATTCCTGTGACGTTCTAGTTTACCGTAGAGGCGAGTGAGGGGTAGGACAAGGCGTGAGGTACGTGATCGAGTAGATAAGGACATCGTAGTAAGCAATCTAAATAACGTAGTGTAGCACTGACGGTATTTATGTTTGTATTATCGGCTATCTGTTCTCTCCTACATTGAGTTGATAATCCAAGTAAATCCTGCATGAAACCAATCCACCTGATGACGAGACTTAGTAGAGATATCTGAATTCCAGGTTGTCTTCCCCAAGCACGGTCTTCCTATCATCTGGTCGCTCGCCACGTGCAACCTGATCCTTCTTCCTGTTCTCCAACTTGTAGTGGAATAATTGAACTGAAATGAGTGTCATGGAAATAATAGCAGACACCAAAGAACTCCAATGGCCCAGCCTGTATGGCGCTTGGCGGTAGACTTGCGGAGCAACCACGCCTGCCACGTTTCCTATAGCTTGCGAGAAGCCAAGAGCAGTCGCACGACGATAGTGCGGGGCCGTGTTGTTGACAATCCACGTCTCGTTCAGGCCCGGTCCACAGTACAGAGGGATCGCAATCATAAAGCAGGCAAAATATTGAACAGAGGACGACTTGACACCAAGGAGTATCGCGTACCCAACGACGGCGAAGATGTCGAGAACGAGGAGTACAGACCCGCGGAGTCCCCACTTGTCGCCAACCAGGGCTGCTGCGAAGAACGAGATACCGCCGAGCAGATACACGGGGACGCTGAGGTATTGGGCCTGGAGGCTGTTATAGCCAAGTCCGTCCTTGAGAATTGACGGGAGGAAGCTACTGAAACCGTAAAGGATAATGTCCTGGAAAAATTGTACCAGCGCACTGTAACCATGATTAGCATGTCGATTCAGGGAGATTGAATGCTGATGTTATGAGGGAAGCCTTACCCAGTGTACAATCTCCAGTCTTTCATAGCAGAAAGGACTTGGGACCGATCAAATGCCTCGCTACCCATGTACTCCCGGCGTTGCAAGTCACGCTGCTCCATCGTCTCGCGCTCCTCGGGAGTCCAAAATTTGGCTTTGGCGGGAAACTCAGGCAAGCCGTACCACGCCCAGGGGATAACCGAAAGCGAAATAAGGCCCTCGATGATGTATAGCCAGCTCCAGGCGTGCAGTCCTCCGACGGTACCAATCTTGGTAATACCGGTAGCTACCAAGCCGCCGAACATACCCGAGAAAGCCGTCGCGGCAAAGAGGTACGCAAAGCGCAAGCCTTGCTCGCGTCTGTTGTACACCATGGTAATGTAGATGCTAATGCAGGGAAAGAAGCCGGCCTCGCAAATGCCGAGGATAAGACGGCAAGCAAGAAGAGAGCCAAAGGAGCGAACAAATGCTGTGCCGATAGTGACGAGCGACCAAGCAGCCACCATAACGGAAATGGCACGGTGCACCTTGAGTTTGCGCACAGCAAGGACGAGAGGCAACATGAGGATGACGTAGGTCGCGAAGAAGAGACTGACGGCGGTGCTGAACTGCGGCCCTGATAAATTGAGCTGGTCCTTGAGGCCAGCCACGGCGGCGTTTCCGATGTTGCTTCTGTCGAGATACGCCATAAAGTAGAGGGCACAGAACAGGGGGGCAAAGCGGTAGTCGAGACGGCGGAGGACGCGTTTCTCAATTATAGGGTCGACGTAGATGTCGGAGGGCGACTCCTCGGCGATGGACTCATTCTTGACTTGTCCAGGAGTAGAGACTTTGGACACGGGGTCCTTGAGGTCAGTGCTAGTCATAGGCAAGCCCTCGGCAGCCTTGTCGGATGCCATGGCGTCGAGAGAGTATGAGAGAGATTTCAGCTCGGTTGCAATTGCATGGAGTTGATTGAGGTAAAGTTCATTGGAAAGGTTGGGCGATGAACATCCTCTCGAACTGGGAAGAGGTTGGACGCTTATATGCAGGCGATTGAGAACCGTTCAGGGGATTGACTCGCTCACGCCAACGGTAACAATCACTAGTACTACAGTACCGGGATCTACTACCAGACGGCTTATCTTATCTCTGTAGCAATCCCAGAACCGGGCTAGACTTATCATTCCAGCTAAGATATTGTGTAGACTACTACGTAGTTCCACATATTGGTGCGGGGACTGCATCCGCTTTGCTTGATACGATAACGCGCGACAACGGAAACGGACTTCCAGCTCCGTGTCTCTTGGCTTCAACCTAGGCCGCTTCTCCGGGTAGTATTTGACGCCTTGGTTCTACGGCTGCCGGTCACGGCTTGACATTTACCGGAGTTCACGTCCGACTGTCGCTCGACGTCCGCTCTTTCTTCTCTCGCATAACGGGCACGTCGTCCGCGACTCGAGATCAATTCATCCCCGGCAATCGCTTAGCCAAGATGCAACCACTTGTAAGGCAACGGCCTTTGACGGCTCCGGCTGGAGAACTCGCTGGGATATCGTGAGAATTCTCCATGATGCCGCTCGCTGTACATGGCCACTGACGTCACTCTGTTTTCGAGCTCTCTAGATGTGATCGGTGCCGCAAACGCAAGGTAGGCTAAGCTCTCTCTACATCGTATTTCAATTGGCAAAAGTAACCAGTCAATCCAGATCAAGTGTGATCGACAGAATCCCTGCTCCAAGTGTTCCAAGGCCAAAGTACAGTGCTCTTTTCCAGGCGGCGGGGAAAGGTCTAGGTGAGGCAATGCATTCAAAATAAGTAGTATCTCGGCAATGCTGATGTCACAAAATCCGACAGACCGGCGTCGAAACGATATGTACAGGCGCTTGAAAGCCAAATCGGCTCCATGAGCTCATTCCTCCAGGAACTCATCACCACCAACGACGCCGCAAGGAAAGAGATGCTCACGAATGTTGCGCCATCGTTGATTCAAGGCCAGTTGCCACGGGCTCAACCACCTACAGGAGAGGCAATGCAAAAAACACCTCCGGCAACCATCACGACAGAGTCTGGCGCAAAGTCAGGGACCCTCATTCTTGCCAAGGCACAGGAGGGCCGGATGCGTAAACTTCCCACGAGAAAGGCCACACAGTTCTATGGAGGGTCCAGTCTATTCCAGCTACAGCTATTTGAACCATCCTCCCCGGCAGTGACCATCGTCAATGACCCATCCAATGGCTCGCCGTCAGATAGCATCAACTCGATTGCAAATGGAACTCCACGCCCGTCAGACAATTACACCTTGCCTCCCTCAGCAAAAAGCGACACGTGCCGCGAATTGATGGCAGCCTTCTTCCAGAATGTCTATCAGTACAACATGTGTATTTATCGCGAGTACTTCCTCCGAGACTACGATGCTGGTGACGGTCCGTACTACTCGGACACGTTGATGTATTCCATCTGCGCAGTCGGTGCCCTCGTATCGCCGGATCCACGCTTGAGGGAACTTTCGCCCGTCTTTACGAAGCGCGCCGAAGCAATGGTCTATGAATCTCTGGACTTGCCTGACCTGACCATCTTACAGTCACTCATTGTTCTCGGCCATCTCGAGGTCGGCCAGGGCAGGAGTTCCAAGGGGTGGCTGTTTTGCGGAATGGCATTCCGCCTGACGCATGAAATGGGACTGCATCTTGACCCGACGCGTTGGTCTAATAGCAAGTCGGAATCTTCGGTTGACAGAGAGGTTCTTCGTCGCGTCTACTGGGCAGCCTTTATTGCCGACAAACAACTCAGCCTATTTTTTGGCCGTCCACCCGCTCTATATCCTCACGAATCGGATGTTCAAAATACGATTCGAATACCCTATCCTCCTGAATGGGAGAGACTGCTGGACTTGTACATTGCCAAAGACACTTCTTCGACAGCTTTTGAAGACGGTATATCGACAATTGGTTCCTTTGTCCACCAACTTGAGCTTGCCAAGATTTTTCACGCAATGATTGTCGACGTCTTCCAAAATCGACTCCGCCAGCACGATGCGGCGGCTGCAGCTGCAACGGCGCTCAAGGTCCATACGTCACTTGTGAGATGGCTGGCGATGCTACCGCAGAAGTTGCACTGGAACCAGTGGACTGTTGAACAAGTCCCTCCGTATGTGCTACACTTGCACATGCTATTTCACAAGGGGATGATCATACTTCATCGACCTCCTCGGCAACATCTCGATGATGAGATGGTGGCAAGTAGCGAGGATGTCGAAGTATGTTACCAGTCGCTTTCAGCAATTATGAGATTGCTCAGCAGCTACGGGCGGTACTATCGCTTTGAAGTCCTCCCGCTTGACTTTGTGCACACCCTCTCCGCCGCAGCCGACGTGGTAATGATGAGGAGGTATCTAGAGAAGTCTTCTTGGGATGAAAAGGACATATCCAAGCCGTTGAAGCAGATTCTCAACACCATGGAGGCCATCCAAGATGTGTATCCGTGCATGCGAGAGATTAAGGACAGCATCATGGGGAGCATACCGACCGACAACAGTAGCAGCAATACCCAGCAGCAGGAACACGGTGTTGAACTCGACTTGATGGATTTCCTTCAGTCCAAGGCTGGCTTGCTTCCTTGTGACTGGTTTTTCGATGAGGCGCAGACATCGTCAAATGCGGACTTGGGAGTGTTGGTGACGGACGAGTATCTGAACCAACATCAAGCATGGAACAGCATCATGGAATAGCACGCGGAAACTTAAATTGTACAATCCTATGGCTCAAGGGTTGAAAACGTCTCTGACTGCAGCTATCGTGGTGTTGCCTCCGCTAAGTACGATTGCCACGTTCCAAACGCCCACCCGAGTCTCAACCTGTCGCTGTGCCACCAAGTCTCTGAACCTTTCATTGAACAGAAGCACAGCGAAAGGGACACAGGCGCTCGGTTCAACGACGATCTTCAACTTCTCAAAAATCAGTTCCATGGCCATCTTGATCTCCTCTTCGTCAGCAGCGAATACACCCTCCACTTTGTTCGGGTCGCTCACGATGCCCCAGTTGAGCACGCCGACTGGTGTTCGCAGACCGTCAGCGATAGTCGAGGACGACACCTGAGCAATTCGTTCTCCTTTTTCCAGACCGCGGACTGCGTCGTCTGCTCCGCCGAATGATGGCTCTGCCCCAAACACCTTGGTCTGTGGTTTATCACTGAACCAGGTGGCAATACCCCCAAGAAGTCCTCCACCACCGAGGGGGGCAAGTACTGCATCCAATATCCGATCAGATGCACCGGGTGATGTAAGTTCCCGGAACTGTTCATCCAGCTCCTTGGCACAAGTTCCTTGACCGAGAATGATATCAGGATGTTCATAAGGAGGTACGAAGATGCCACCTGACGAGGCCACTGCGACTTCCACGGCAGCTTTCTTTTCCTCGTTTGAGCTGCCGCAGAACAGGATCTCTCCTTTAGCACTTTTGCCTCCATTTTCATCCAGGACCGTGATATCCAAACTTGCTGCGACGCCTTGAATTTTGCTCTGGTTGCTGTTCCTCGGCATCACAATCAGAACAGGCACCTCAAAGGTTGATGCCGCCAACGCAAGACCCTGGGCATGGTTCCCCGAGGAGGCGGTCACGACACTTTTTCTTCGCAGCACTTCCAAACCCAACTCATCAACCAGGCTCGAGATGGCGTAGAAGGCGCCCCGGGCTTTGAATGCACCTGTCCGCTGAAAGTTCTCGCACTTGAAATAGAGATTAAACTTTGGGACGTGGGATGTTGACTTGTGATTTGCTGTGTTATCGATGGGTGGTATCGGCATTGACGTTGAAAAAGGTTTCCGCCTTGGTTCTGAACATGACGCGATGTCATCAAGGCAGCGCGACTTAAGGAGTGGTGTGCGATAGATATAGTCCGAGATCTTCTCAAGGGCCAAAGAAATTGATGCAGGTTCTAACGGGGCACAAGAAGTGACGCTGGCCATGATGTTGAAGTGACACGCTGATCAATTTTGTTCGTTGTCAATTGATTAAACGTGGTGGTAATATCAGACAAGTATGGGAGAGTAATTGAGATCCAGCTACTAAAGAGTAGTGATGGGGAATAGCGAGAGCTCATCGAACTCGAAATAAAAAGCCCGCTGAAGAGTGACAGCTTATCATGCAGTTGAGGTCATATCTGAAGTGGGCTCCCCACAGTCCGTATTGGCCCCGGATCACCTTCCGAACGGAGCTAAGAGGACAGGACGGACTCGACATCCGAAACTAACGGACACGGGGCCGCTCCGTCGTGCTCGGAACTACTGATAAATGTCGTCAGAGGGCGCGTAACGTGCATCTGCGACCTGGGTAGTCGGCAATATTTACCAAGCGGAGTAAGACCATCCGTCCTGGTTTTAATTACTATTTTACTCTGTTCACGAACTCTTTCCATCAAACTCCGATTGCGAATATCGCTCGACGCCCTCGCATCTGCCAAACTCGGAACCCCGCCGCCTTCATTACTCCAAGAAACTCAAAATGTCAAAAGTCGCGGTTTTTACTGACAAGGCCCCCAAGCCTCGGCCTGTCTATAGCCAGGCAATCGTGGCAAATGGGTTTGTCTTTTGTTCGGGACAGATCCCCAAAGATCTCAGCGGCAAGATCGTGGAAGGAACAGTCGAGGACCGAACGGTGAGTAGGTCCAGAAATGCAGGATACTCGGCAAACGCTTACTCCCATTCCTACAGCATCAATGCATTGCCAATCTCAAGGCAGTTCTCGAGGCCGCGGGATCAAGCCTCGATGACGTTGTCGAAGTCAATGTGTTTCTTTCAGATATGGGGGACTTTGCCAAAATGAACAAAGTTTACGAACAGTACTGGGGTGAAGTTAAGCCCGCAAGAACGTAAGTATCGCCCTTATGGGCTTAACGTACCACAAACGAAACATCATTACACAAGCTAATGAATCGCAAAGATGTGTTGCTGTAAAGACACTTCCTGACCATACGGATGTAGAGATAAAATGTGTTGGACTTGTGCGATAGGTCATAGACGCTAGACTTACAATAGTACAAGGTTCACACTATCCGGACTATCCGAACGATCAAACTTAATCCTGGTTCAACATGCGCTGTTATTCAGTGTTTAGCTCTATTAGTCCATGCGCCCTAGGTATTGCAATAGATAATAAATTATCCAACAAACTTCACATTCAGTCATCACGTTCGTCTTCAGGAAGCAGGGTTGTGGAATAAGTAAGATTCCTATATACAGGAGAAGAACCAAATACAGAAGAAGAACACCCGGCTCATTTCATCTAGTTACAGACCCACGGATACCAAAACATGACTCATATTGCACACTCAAGTCGTAACCTCAGAATGCCCTTCGCAGTCACTCATGAGTGAGTGATTTAGCAAGTGGGCAGAGTGGACTGGCCCTTGCAGTTGGCAGTGGTGCTGACCTCCTCGCTCTTGCCGTTGCCCTTGGTGACACCCTTGAACTCCTGGCAGACCTTCTTGACGCTGGAGCCGCAAGATCCGGAGACGTTGGAGGTGTCGCCGTAGTTGGAGTTGATGCCAACCAGGTTGGAGACGCCCTTGGCCTTGACGTTCTTGATGACGACGTGGCGGGGGCCACCGTTGTTGGTGCAGTCACCGCATCCGCGGTAGAGCTTGCCGGCGTTGACGACGGTGAAGTTCTCGATAGTGACGGTTCCGCGGCCGTTGTGCTGGACAACCTTGTCCTTGGCCTCCTGGGCACCACCGCCCTGGATCAGGACATCACCATTGCCGAGGGCAGAGATGGCATCTATAAGAGTTAGTCAAATGAATCCGGTGGATAGTAATGTGCTAAAGCTTACCCTCGCAGACATCTCGGAACCAAACGTTCTTGAGAGTGCACTTGCCCTTGCAGTGGACACCCTCGAGCTGGTCCTTTCCAATGATGACGTTGCTCAGAGTAGCACCATCGCTCAGGATAAACACAGCGCTGTCGCTGCCCGTATCGTCATCGGTGTTGCAAGGGCGGCCACGGTCGAACTCCTGGTTGCCGTAGTCCTTGGAACCGGAGATGTTGATGGGAGCATCGTTGGACTGGATGGCTCCGACTCGGGCAGGGATGTTCAAGGTCTGCGCGGAGGCAGCGGTGGCCAGGGCCAGAGTAGCGATGATCTGCTGGTAGAGCATTTTGAAAGATGGAAAGATGCTGAGTTGAGTGAGTTGGTAGAGGAGTGGATGTTGATGGTTTGGTGAAGAAAGCAGTTGGGAGCGTAGAACCTCTTGTATTTATACACAACTTGTAGATAGAAACCAGCTCATCGTCAACTACAATACACCGTATCTAGTTGATGGTTTCACATTAACTTTCCGATGTTCCCTTCAATACGATCATCCCGTGATGCTACTTGGTGGAAAAAGAAACACGGACATAGCCGACTTGGTGTCGAGTCTCCGTTTTGCCCCAAACGTCCCAGGCTTGGCGGTTGACGATGTTCGCTTAGATCCTGCTTGGTGGAAAAAAAGAAATAATACGGAGACTCTGGGCTGACAAGGTAGTTTAAGCTTTAATTTTACCTTAAAGATCCGCTCCCCCAATTGCAACCCTCACCGACTCCTGTTTGGTGGAAAATACCCGGGAGACCGCAGTTGGCCGACGGGAATGCTAAGCTTTGTTTTTACCTTAACGATGCTAGCTCAGCGCTTTGTACGCGCACGGGAGCCTCCTTCACATACCCGGAACATGCGTTTTGTTAGAGTGAGTCGAGTTGAAACAAATTTGTTTTACAAGATGGTCTTTGCGGCCACATTGGTCACGGCTATGCGATACAAGGACGCTAACTGGCACCAAAGTCCATAGATAGTAGGTACTCCCCATCACATTTCTACTGAAAGGTCATTGCCAGAAGCATCGTATTATCAATCTAAAAGGAAAAGGGGGTGTAAACCCGGTGACAACACGAGCATACTATTTCCGGGATAGCTCGAATGCCAAGGCGGCGAAACGGTTCCAATCTCGGACTCAGTCCCACTTGAAACTGCCTACGTACAATTCGGATAGCTCCGTTACCAGGGTGGATCACCCAGCCCTCTATCACTACGACGTAGCCGCGAGCCGCGCTCCCTATACGGTCGAGCTATGTGTCTTGGTATTGTACTTGGAGTATTTGACTGAGTGGCAAAAGGGGGTAGATTTGTCTAGACACCGAAGCTTCGTCAGTGTTCGAATTTTCCGAACGCCCCGAGCAACAGTATCGAATTGTTTCCGCTTACTCAGATGACAATGGCCATAGTCTTCCCATCTCATCCGGATGGGCGCTTAACCGGGCTGCAAAGGTTCCACATCCATCGATAGTGAAGCGGTCAGTGTCGCTATCCAAGTAGTGGTTTATTGTTTCTCCAGGAGCGGTGTGGACGACATGGAATGCATGCGGGCTCTGCTCAAGATGACCTGTCAACAAGTACAGTTGTCCGAAGAATGATACACTAGGAGTTACTTGTAATCTACGGTGTGACATGAAAGAAATGAGTCTGGTTGTGAAGATATAGGAGCTTAGCTAGATCCGTCACGGATGTCATCCCCCGCAGATAATTGAGGGGTGGCTGTGATGCACTTGAAACACACCAACCCAGGGGCTACAATTGGAGGGAGCATGTCATCGCCATGACATGCCTCCTGACAGGGTAGCTGCTAATGGATCAAAGACGAATCCAGCTGCAGTAGATGTGAAGGAAATTAGATGCAAATAGCACGTGGGATGAATGAAGGACAATGGTGATTGTGATGATGATGGGAATGGTTTCAAGAATGGTACACTGGCTAAGGCCCCGCCAATCCCGCGATAGGGCAAGATAACGTGTTAGTATAACTAAATAGGAGGATTGTACATTATTTTCTACGATTAACAGCAAAGAAGGAGGGTAGAGAAATTGTGGCTGGCATATAGGGTAGGACGGATACAATTTGCTTGCGTGGCTCAAGGAGTCGGATTTACCTCCTATCACCGAACAAGGGCGAGCAACCACATTCCTAGTATTCCAATTCTAAAGCCCTAAGTTCACGATCCTTCAAGAGACCAAGTTCCCACTCTTTGGGGCACTTGGGGCATAATTGCTCTCAATTGACTCGTTAACTTAGAGAATACACCTGAGACTTTAATAAGATACGAGTAAACCAACAATTTGTATTACTACTTCCAACCACTAGATCTCGCAATACGTATCATCGATCCTGGAAGTAGTAGTTTCAATGTCGGAAAATTTGAACATTCGCTCACCCTACACCCACGAAACAGATATAAATTTGTTGCCAATGGCACTTTATTTTAAGCCTTGTCCTAGACATGGGCCATCATGTACGTCATCCTTGGTCCCATGTGGACATTTCGGCTCCTCGCGCCGATGGAATGCTACGCAAGTGACTCCCGGGCCGACAGGTTCCGGATCACCTCGGATATATGACTTCATCGCGATCTGCCACAGTTTAGTTTCGATGGAAGCAGTACCTCGGTTATATCGGCGATAAACACCTCTGGTTCACCCTAGAATATTCCACAAGATCCTTTGGCTGTCCCTTGACACGAGCAGCACGCGGTGGGGACGGCCTCGGATCTCCGGACTAGGCCACGCGGTGGCTTGCGGCTTTGATAGTGGTGTGCAACCACCTGGTCTAAAGTACGTCCAAGGTGCTCTCTAGCCCGCAACGTTAATCGAAGCTGTATAACTTGCCCATGCACAGCCTAATAAATGGGGTTTGGACGCGTATATCCAATGCCTCGACCTTTTCGCTATGAGCCCCATGCTGATATGTTTGTCTCATGGCGACAACACATAACATGTGCGCTACCATTCGCTTACCATTGGTCTCGTCTGCATCACCTCGGGCGTATCGGGTCTATCACCGAGCCGTGGACAGATCATAAACGCCGATGAAGAGACGGGAGCATTGACGGGAACAGAGCCAATTGAATTGGATATGATTACGTTAAAATGCATCACGGACCTCAATGATTCGACATTGGCTAATCTGCCCCTTAATTCGAAACGCTAGTAGCGCTCGTTGCTTCGCTTTTCCTTGCTATAGCTTAATCTTTATATTTAGACTTCCCTCAGCCACCATTAGTTTCACGGGAGTATCGCGGAGCCGCGACCACCACCACGCGAGGGATGATCAAGACGCGTAATCCTCTCGTATTCGAAATTCCGTTTCAAAGTGAAACCCTTATCGGGAGCACGGCAGGCATGAGAAACATGTCGGTGTTAGTGAGCGAGCGAGCTGGCAGTCCTCGGGTATCTCGCGGGGCGGTGCAGCTCTGTGAAGCATTGGTAGGGAGCTTCAGACAGAAGGAGGCGCAAGAGACGGGCGCGTATCATCTTACGCGTCATCGTCGAGATTGGTGCCGCAAATCTCGACTGCCGGACCCGCTGATTGCAGATCTGTGAAATATAGTTGCGAGCTCAACCGAGCGATTCTTTTAACGCCGACAGGGCTGTGCCAAGCATTAGATATATAACATTCACTGCCAAGACAGTGGGTTTACATGTTCCAATCTGCTCATTATCCATTTCGCAGCTGTATGTCTTGTTCTGGTTTAATGAAGCATATCATAAGAAATTTTGTTCGACGCCCGGCTGCAGAAAATGTCCCTTTTTATGTCTCGGCGGCAGGACGATGAGTACCCTTTGACCGACAATCCGAACCACTCGTACATTCTGAGCACGTCTTCGTTGAACACACCTGTCAATGGATCAACAACACAGAGTGGCTACAACTCCGGAGACGAGACGGCGGCAGAATCCGAATCGAACCGACCCCTACCGAGCGCCGTTGATATCGAGGCGAGGATCAATCATGCCAAGACCGACGAGCCGCCCTATCACGTCTTTACGAAGCGCCAAAAGTGGAATTTCGTCTACCTTGTCTCCTTGGCAGGCTCGTTTTCCCCGCTATCGTCCAATATCTACTTCCCCGCGATAAACACAATATCATTGGAATTGGGAGTCAGCGAGTCTCTCATTGCATTGACCATCACGGTATACATGGTTGTCCAGGGCATAGCCCCGTCAATATTTGGTGCCGTGTCAGATACCAGTGGCCGCCGCCTCACATTCGCTATCGTTCTCACCATATATACTGCAGCAAATCTGGCTCTGAGTTTCACTGCAAACTATCCAATGCTGCTTGCCTTGCGGGGCCTCCAAGCGGCAGGCTCTGCCGCAACCATCAGCATCAGCACGGGTGTCATCGCCGACATGGCTTCTCCAGGTGAACGGGGGAGCTTTATTGGAACAAACGCCGGCATAAGGTATGTGGAAGCAGCGGTCGCACAAAAACCAGGCGCTGACCTATTCGCAGAATGATGGGCCAAGCGATTGGACCTGTTATTGGCGGTCTTCTCAACAGTGCTTGGGGTTTCAGAAGCATCTTTTGGATGCTGTTTGCCTTCAGTCTCTTAGTTCTCATTCTTTTGCTGGTCTTCTTGCCGGAGACGCAGCGAAAGATAGCTGGCAATGGCAGTATTCCCCTTACAGGTTTTCACAAGGCGTGGATTTACTACCTCCGCCCGCCGAAAGAATGGGCCAACTCCGACAAGCCCGAAAAGTCCAAAATGCCGCCGTTTTCCTTGCAAAAAATTATCGTCCCGCTGAAATATGTCGTTGAAAAGGATATCTTTGTCCTCCTGTCCTGGGGTGCACTCGTCTACGCACTTTGGAGCATGGTGACCTCGTCGACCACGACGGTGCTGTTGCGGACCTTTCCGGACCTGAAGCAGTGGGAAATCGGCCTCTGCTTCCTCCCCAATGGATTCGGGTGTGTTTTCGGGTCTCTTATCACCGGGCGGCTGTTGGATAAAAGCTTCAAGCAGGTCGAGGCTCGATACAAGGAGGAGCACGGCTTGGAATCCGTCAATGTCAAGGGGAACACCGACTTTCCAATTGAGCATGCACGGCTTCCATTGATGCCCTACTTCAGTGTCGCCTTCATTGTCGCGATGGGGCTCTACGGTCCCAGCTACGAGTTCAATGATCTGCGCAGGAATTTTGCCGGTAACCTGGTCGCGTCCCTGGGCCTGCAATTCTTTATCGCATTCACAGCCACGGCTATTTTTAACATCAACTCTACCATGCTGGTCGATTGCTTCCCCGACGGCGCTGGCGGAGCTACGGCTACGAACAACCTGTTCCGCTGTCTCCTTGGTGCTGTTGGAGTCAGTGTTATCCAGCCGTTGATCGACGCGGTCAAGATCAGAAATGCGTTTCTGATTCTGACGGCAGTGGTTACACTCTTTTCGCCGCTTGTGTGGGTGCAATGGAAGTACGGTCGGAAATGGCGACTGGAGAGGGAGCGGAAGGCCGCATTATCGGCGCAATGAAAGAGCACAGAGAGTCAGTGGCGTAGAAAATGTCTCAAGGGAATTTCCGGTAGTACAGTGCCCCGGTCAACGAGGTGGCACGGGTTGATAAAATGAATTTAGATGGTAAAAGGTTAGATCTGGGAGGGAATATAGATTATAGAAGGGATTGATGATGGGAAATATCATACGATTACAGGTCGAGGTCGCTAAAACTAGATGTAGTGTTCGTAATGGTGAGTACAGTGGTTCGTGATGCTTGCGTGGAATGTCTCAATCCATTTGGTTTGGAGACCATAATTAAAAGTTACCTATGCATAATGGCGATCTTTGTATATGTGAGACACGCAATTTACTCCCGCACGTGCTCAGCTGACCCTTGATCTAGGCCAAGAATGGAGTTCATCAAACGCTCCCCTGCCTTTGTTACGTGACTCGGCCATCCCGGCCATCCGCTACGAACGAGCGAATGAGACTCACAGGAACACGAAAACAACCACATCCAGACTAGTGCAGGGGTAGAGAACACCGCTATTCCGAGATCCTAGCACCTTAGAGCCGAGCGGTGCACTATAATATGAACCGGACAAGCCTCCGAAAGGGGAGATTTGTGCATCCGCATACCGTCGCAATGGTCGCACCACCACCAGACAAAGGAATTGATCGAGTCGAGCGCAGTTACACTCAACTCTCGCCTTCTGTTACTCGAGTAAAACTGACCCCACTTACATTTTCTCTGGGCCATTGAAGAGTCTCTCGACGGGTGAGTGTGCGGTGGTGGCCAAAGGTATTTTGCACCTAGACTGGCCCGTTCACTTCCAAGAGCTGCGCGAGGCAATTACGTCTGCCGACGATCTCAACAAGTCGCTGAATTTGGAGACTTTAAGCAGCCTGTGGCTGTGCTTCGAGGTGACTTGGGATTCTGCGAGTGGCGCCTACCGAGCCGACACCAATGCTAAACTGCCATTCATCTGGGTTTATCACCTCAACAACGACTTTGTACTTTAATTACAAGAGAAGAAGCCATTCCTCTCCTAATATTTGTGTGCTTTGCGGTCCTGATGGGAACTTTAGAACCCATTTGGTTCATCTCGGGTTGGTCAATCCGTAGCTGGATTCAGGGAGATCGGAATTAACGGATGAGATGAATAGAGTGCATGCAGATATCTGACAGTAATGGCAGCATGGGCCCACTGCCAATACTTGAAGCGAGTATTAAGAAAATGAGTCAAGCAAACGAAATGAGCGGTGCAGATGACAGACTCCGCAGCGTGGCAACAGCGACCGCGCGGACATGAGTTGCAACTTGTACATATTCCCCAGTTCCTCAATTGAGAGCGGTCCATACATAAACGGACTACGACGTCGCATCAAGAACCGACTTATTGATTTTCTTGGCCGTTGTTAACCTGCTGACATGATCAATGATCACCGCGACGACTGCGGGTGCTTCCGAGGAAGCCGTTCAATACCGACATCATACCGGTGGGAAGTTTCATAATCACCAAGGGAGGAACTCCAGTATCCAGTGAGATTTTCTGCCCGGAAAGTGATTATATGGCATCGCTTGCATCTCCGTGATATACTTATTATGTTGTAGTCCTGAACGCATGATGGCTACCCACGTCCATTGAGTTATTAAGGCATCCACACCGTCGTGAATCGCTTCCCGAGTGGTCAAGATGTGGCCAACTGATGCGAATTCCCTCGCGCCCCCGCTCTGCAAGGTAGTGATCGTGCCCAGCTAGAAAACCTACTCCTGTGGCGGCGAGTGTACTACTAGAAACGCCTAGGATCTGTCGCACTTGGATTAAACCTTTGTCTAGCTTGAAACTTCGGTCGATGACTCGGAGAAATCGCATCCAGCGGTAACCCCGGATGACAATTTAGTGACAGAGTTTCAGGAGGGGAGACTTTCGCAAAAGTACTTTCTCCACCAGCTTTGCAAGCTCAGTGGCAAGTGCAACCTGCGACATGCTATACATCGAGGCGTTGATGGTCAAACGCGCCGCGGCGTTGGATGGAAGTCAGTCGTGAAGGCGATGCGAAGCCATCTTCTCTCCAGCTTCCGTCCGTCTTACCCGTATTCGACTGCATAGTTTGTCTAAAAGCGCCCGATCCCCATTTCTCAGAACTTGACCAAGTGCCACTGACCTAAAATAGCAGAAGTCCAATTCATGAGTAAAAATTGATGCGTATTTTCCAAGCCCAATACATGGTTCTGCCTAATCTCGGGCCAAATATCATCCCCCAACTCGCAACAATAGACTACAACGCTATACCAACAAGCGCCATTCTTTAGTTGTCGCTGTTGAGGAGCATTAGGCCACATTGGGCGATATTTCCGCCATCGAACCCGACAAGGAGGAGTGAGTCTACAAAAGGTGTTATTACTGCTGCTCTTCTTGCTGATCAACGATCTCCGCAGAACTCCTGTGTGAAGTGCTGGGGTGTCAAGAGAAGGCAGCTACAACGAGAAAATGAAGCGCCAGTGGATGCTTGATGCGACAAACGATGGGTTCTTCGCCTGGCTCTCTAACCATTTTGGGTGTTCATCAACCATCGGCATTCCCCCTCTCCGGTGGCGTGTTAGGCTTCGCGACAGCCTTTGCATAGATAAACGCGGCGGGATTACTTCACACAATGTGCCATACTTTGCTCTTCCTATTTCAGAGCCAGAAGAGAGCTGTAGATCTTGTCGAAGAACAATGGGCCGGCGGCGGCGGGGACGAGGCAGGGATGGGATGAGGGCATGCGGGGCTCGGCCGATTTAGTGGAGAGGCGGCATAATTGCCACAATTGACAGGCGCTTTTAAGAATTCCCTCAGCGTCCTGATACTCGACTAAAATCAGCAATATTCATACGAGTAAAGGGGCATTGGTTTGGATAATCTTCGATACCGCTTCTCCACGTACATCATGTGCCTCGTCCATCGCCCTTCCAGTGTCAGCGCCGGTGCGGCTGCACGAAAGAATCCTCCTGCGGAACCTGGTACCTGCTTCTCCATCTCCAAGCTGAACTCGACCACATTCTTGGTAATCGAAGAGGACAAATGGGACGAGAATCCTTTCATCTATGTTAAGAAGTATCCATCTACTCTTGTAATCGTCGATACAGGCTCCGGGGGCATTACCAGAAACCCAGATGCCCAGCTCACGTCTCTCAAAGTATTTCTAGAGACGTGCTCGCTAGCTGTCAACGATAACAAGCCCCTGAACCCTGGGGGAGTGAAGAGCTACACAGTCATATGCACCCATTGCCACTTCGACCATATCGGTAAGTCTATTTTACCTTTGTGCATCACAGCTTACTCACAGCGATGAAGGGGGAGTCCCCCTATTTGCCGTGGAAGACAGAACAGCTGTTTGGGCAAGCGGAAGGGATAGAGACTTCATTGAGGGACCGGATCGTTTACCGACGACATCTCTCTGCCGCTATGTTGGCATGCAGACACCGGAGTACAAGGTGACACACTGGGCCAGTGATGGTCAGCACGTAGTTGACAGTGCAGGCGAAGACCTCGGCCTGGTCATTTATCAGACACCTGGCCATACCCCAGACGAACTCGCTTTATGGGACCCGCAAGAAAGAGTCCTGTTTGCAGGCGATACAATCTACGAGTGGTACCCCATATTATTCCCGCCAGAGGGTGACCTTATCTTATACAGCGAGACCCTGGGAAAGCTCAGGAGCCTAGTTGAAGGATGGAATAAGGAGACGAGTAATAGTTACCCCCAACAGATCGTGAGATGGATAACTAACATTGCAAAGCAACTTCCACAGACGCCGTTTCACGCCGTGTGACGCTGGCGTGCGGCCATCTTACAAAGGAAGGAGATGCCGCACAATTGCTCTCAGACGCCGACTCCTTCCTATACCGCATTACTCAGGGAGACGTGGAGCCGAGAGACGCCGGCGTAGATAAATACGGGTTGACGGAGCCCCGGGAAGGAGGCACGCCTGGAGGCGATCAACTGGAGATTTACGGAGACGAAGGAAGCCAGGTTTCATTCATGGGACCAAAAGTGCAATTTTCCAGACTTAGGGAGAGTGCATCCGCAGTTGAAGCGCTACGACAACGCTGCTTGTAAACTCTAGGACCAAGAAGTAGGAAAATGACAATCTATCCGGTACCGTTCATGCCCTGGATTGAAATACCTGATATGCAAAGTTCCTGAAGCTAATTCTTAAATATCCACACCGGTATAGGACTCATGAGCTGTTTAATGATTGGTCCTTAGACATTCTTTCGTTCGTGTCGGAATAGGACTTCCGTCTCCGACCACATTCTGATGCTTGGTAACGAGCTCCTGATTTCGGGCGAACCTTTCTATGCAACTGGTTAATCAGGCATTGTTTCTTCTAATACTCAGGCGCAATCCAGGGGGTGTAAGTAACCTGCATCTGACTCTAGGGAGACGCAAATAAAAACGCTGATCTTAGCCCCTTCACACTTCGTACTACGGGATAAGTAACATGTATATATATGTACACTATGTACGGTTCTACGGACTGTCTAGTGAATAGAACGTGGAGTGACAGCTGGAACTGGCACCGTGACATCTCTACTGCCGTCCTTATAGTCTATGGGACTCATTGGAACTGTCGAAGTGAAAGACCGGTCGTAATCTTCGTTGGTGTGAAGCGATTGTGTGCTCGACTCATTCTCGTGGTCGCCGCGACCTCGAGCACGGATAGCGCGGACATACCAGGGAGGTCTTCCGAACCCTCTCCAGGTCCAGTACTCCTTCATGTCGTACTCCTGTGGCTCCCATCTGCCACCAGAAGCCCAGACAGTCAAGGCAACCAAACCGTTGATGACAGTGTACAGAAACAAACCGCTATATCAAGTCAGCATGAGGTTCCAATGTAGTTTAATAATGACTTACGCGATGAGTCCATAGGCCACACTGTATGAAAATGGGATAAATGCTATGACAGTAAACGACGGAAGAGCATCGCCGATATATCGCCAGTTAATTTGCGTTATCTGCCGAATCATCATACAACCGACCTTTGAGTCACACAAGTCAGTGCCGGATTGCATCCAATAACGATTCGTAGACTTACCAGAATCAGGGTCGACCCGGTTGCCCACGGTGGAATGGAGGCAAAGATGGGAGCGAAAAAAATAGACATAAGGAAACAGGTGCCAGTAACCATGGCCGTAAGACCCGTGCGGCCCCCTTCTGCAATACCGGCGCCGCTTTCGACAAACGCCGTAACAGGAGAGCAGCCCAGGAGAGAACTGATGGATATACACCCTGCGTCGCAGCAGTATGCAACGGTTGACCGGGGGAAGCCACCATCCTTGGGATTGACCACGCCGCAGAAACGAACCATGGAATAGAGCGTCGCAGTGGCATCGATAATGTCGACATAGAGGAATGTGAAGAGAGCAAGCACAAATTGCGAAGTGTGTTCAGTGACTTTCCAGTCCAGAGCGTTCAGAGTGTACTTGATGGGGTGGACGGACACGACATGCTTGAAGAATTCGAAGCGTTCGTTTCCTTCGTCTGTGTTCGGAAAATATGTGATGGACGTGTTCCGACTATCATACGTTAGCAACAATGATATTAGTTTAGGAGGGGGGAAGTCTCACGGCCAAGAGATGATAGAAACGACAGCGATGCCTATGATGAAGGCATATTTGATTCGAAAAGCCATCAAGTACGCTGTCAGGATACCTCCAGCGAAAATTCCAGTCCACATCTATGTCTATGTCAGCGCCTGTAGCATGTTCCGAGCTGTGTGGGCCTAACCTTTGGGCTTGTCATCAATCCGCCGTCACACATCTGGGAGTCTGGGTCGATCATCTCCTCGGGGCATCCGGCAATAGTCAACGGCGTTGCCTTCCAGCCTCCAGTGATGGCACCAAGACCAGCAGAGTAGGACAGACCGATCTCGGTGAGGAAAAGACCGATACCGGCTCCAGTGGCAGTCTTGATCGTGGCAGGAATCAGCTTCACTAGCCACTGGCGCATTCCGGTGAGAGCAAGGAAGATAAAGATGAGACCCTCCACAAAGACGGCGGTCAAGGCAACCCCATACGGAATGCGGCCCGAGCCGTTGTAGCCCACGACTTGGAACGCAAAGTAAGCGTTGAGCCCCATACCAGGACTGTAATCTGTTAGCACTGCAGTCTTTTTCATCCCGTGAGACTTACGCTAGAGCGACGGGGAGGTTGGTGAAAAGTCCGAAGAGGAAGCTGGCGAGGCCGGAAATGGCAGCCGTTGCGGTAATGAGGTCGCGTCTCACACCTGTTGCGAATTCAGTTGCCGGGCTTGAAGTAAACACGCATCGGTGCTTGCTTACCTTCTTTGCAGACCGCATAGCTGCTGATGGAGTCGCACTGAGTCCGGTCCTCCAGATCACAAGGGCAAGGACCTCCAGATTGGGAGATAACGGCGGCCTGTGGTATATTGTGTCAGTGAAGGTTGACGTTACTAGAAGTGTGAGGGTCATTACATTGACGGCAATAATGTATGCCATAGTCGCAAACGTCGTAGCACCTGCGCGGATCTCTGCCAGGAGTGAAGAGCCGGGAATCTCTTTGGGCTAAATCATTGTCAGTAGAGGGCAGCGACAGATAGGAACGAAGGAAGGAATAATTTACATGACCGCTTCCCTCGAGTTTGAAGACGCGACCGAAGCGCGAGGAGGATATCTTTCTATCGAGATTATGGATCGCCATCCGCATCCCGTGCAGTTTGGATTTGACGCCGCTCATGTTGGCATGTCAGACTCCAGAGTAAATTCTGCAACGTTGTGAGGCTCAAGATCTGTCAGTATTCTGCCGATGGATGTGGCGTGTGTTTCAGATGAAGACTCTGCGGGAACGGCTGCCAAGGCGACTCAGATGACATACCAAGATGAACTGTCGGCAGATATAACCAAGAAAACGGCCAGGGTGTTTATCCAATATGAGGGAAAACCTTGTCAGTTTGCATGGGCTAGCCGGGAGGGACAGGCCTGCAAGCAATAACAAACATTCCGGCACATGGCTGCGGCCCAGGATGGGGGGCCTCATGCAGGAACATGTAGGCGAGTGGAGATGAGATAAGATGACATGCGGCCCGCGAGCAAATCGGACGAGGTAGAGCAGATCGTGACTGAAGATTTTGTTTCCGGGAGGTGTGATGATTTCGGACTTGACGACCCCCAGCCAGCCATGGTTTCGCTTGGAGCGAGACGCCGCCAGCCACTTGGGGGGGATCTCGAACTACGCCACGCGCCGCCATTGAGCAAAGTGTGACGATTCCTCGCTTGCGGGTGGGTGATGGATGGGAAGAAGCCACAGGCCTGCGGTGAGCTGAGCGGAGGGCTGCTCCACGTCGACACGCGTGCGCGTCATAGGCGAGACTCGGGGCCCATGCGATGTACTTTTGGCAATAGATTGACGCCATCGCCAGCACGAGGCCCTTGATGTGTTTCGGCGTTTGCGTGGCACTTGTCTCGGATGCTTCAGTTATGGCTGGCATCCCGTGGTCTACGCCGCAGCGGGCAGTCCGTGTGCTCCCACAACCAGTGGAAATAAAGCAATTTATTTTGTTGGCCGTGTGAGACTCATGACAGTGATGGCTGTCTCGCAACGGGAAACTCCTTGACTGCTCGTCCATCTCCCTCTCTCCCTCCCTCGGCGAGGTTCAATGCGCAGCAGCCAGCAAAAAGCAACTGTTTGGCGTCGTTAGATCGTATGATCCGTCTCCGCGAACGGTCTAGACTTCGACCTGTCACGGCCACTTCAAGCTTGCCGAGCCATCGCTAGCGACCTGCGCTAATGATTGTCGAGTTTGCCGGCCGTCCGATCCCGAGAACCATCCCGGGGTTCAGCTCGATCCTTGCGATCTACCCTTGAGGATCCCTGGCAAATCCGTCTCCGCGGTACTGGGGCGCGGGCTGGTCGACAGCTGAAGCCGTGATGCAGCGGCATTTATGCCCCGGATCATTCATCGTCTGCCCTGCCACGAGTCTGAAGCTGCTGGCAAGAATGCACTGCAACCCTCGGCGTCGCAGCGTCAAGGCCACGTTGCCAAGCCGCGACTCAATCCAGCTTAACCTCGTCAGTCGTGGCGTCCAGGGCGTGCAGAAACTCGACGCGAGTGTGTCCACGGGGGCCGGGATCGCATGGCTGACTTCTTCAAGGGCGCTCTCTGCCGTGTGCGCCGGCCACAACGTGACAAGGGCAAACCCAGCATCAGATCAATAGTCTGAGACACGAGGCACCCCGCCAATCGAGGCCCTCGGGATACTAGGGAGGCCCGACAAGTGGGGGAAGCCACAAATCTTAGACCTCAGCGTGGCGTTGGCTCAGGGGAGAAGGGGACAAGTCTAGTCCCGTGGTGGTGATAGCCTTGAGCTACTCCGTATCATGCCCACCCAACCAGACTGCCGAGGAGCTCCGTCTTCTCCAGGCTGCGATTATTAGGCACTGCTACTGCCTTTGCGCTTGAAGGTTTATTATCCGCCAAGTCGGAGGCCATCCGTATCTCACGCTCGCTGCCCTGATCCTTGATACTTTCTTCCATTCCAGCCTCGCCCTCTCCTGCAAGCTATCCTACGCCAACTAGGCACTCTTTGTCACACTTCAGTGCTCAATCCGGCAATCAACGACTCTTCGAGACCCTCGATTCCATCCCAAGCCGCCCTCGAGCGCGCGCCCACTCAGCATGTGGGAAGTTAGCTGGACAGATCCCCAGCGGGAGTCCAGAAAGGAGCATCGCGAAAAAAAGGCTGTTCAACGACATCAGAACAGGAAAAAGCCCCGAGCCGATGGAGATTCCGTTTTCTCAGGCCGCAATACGTCGTTCGATTCCCGATCATCCAGGCCCGACTTCTCAGACACCGGGAGTATAGCCCATAGTCCAGAAAGCACCCACGTACTTTCGCGCGGCCCCAGATCCTACACCACGAAAGCACCTTCGGTCATGAGTAGCGACAGGGAGACCGATTCCCACTCGGCAGTCTCTGTTGGCTCCGAAGAAACGACACCCGAGCTGTCCTGCACTCCCGTCTCTACTTCCGAAGGCCCGTTTCCTCTAGACCACCCGGCAGAGTCTTCCCAAGCATCGCTAGGTGTATGGGAGAGAGGTATGCTGCGCCGAGCCCAACACCTTTGACGTCACTAACGATCCGTAGGATATGCATTGCCCAACTCATCGAGGTGGCCGGACCACTTAGTGCCCCCCTCGCCGACCTTTACTTGGCATTTCGAAGCATCCCACCCTGCGGTCGACTGTGTGGAGTTCAAATTCTGCCAATACGCTCAGAGTCTCACTTCGAATTCGTTCATAACGAAGAGCACCGAAGTCACAGCTGCTACCCGGGCGGCGCACCCAGGCATGAAAATGGGTTCGGAGGTCACCATCACCGCAAATCGAATCGACGAAAGTCATCCCCGTCCGAGATCCGCCGGAGCCCTGTATGTGATTCCAGATACTGCCGCTGCAGGCTTGTACAGACTCGTGGACTAACCATCTTCAGATCACCGAGCAGTATATTCTCAATAAAATCGTCCGAGCCAAAGTCCTTGAGGCGAGCTCCGTCTTGGCGGACTTCCTTCACTCCGAGGAAGTGGGATCACTGGAGGCCACCGGATACGTGGACTTGAGCTCCATCAGTAAAGATACGTCTTGAAACTGGAAAGGTTCCTGAGAACCTATTCGGCTCGACCTCGACCTATCAGGCGACCCGAACCGTCTCCTTCGATCAATGGAGATGGAAGACACTTTAAATACTCCCAATTGCCCGAACATGTGGAATTGGGGAAGACAAAACAGCCACTATCCGTTCTTTAAACATGGAGTCAGGCCATTCATCCAATAAAGGATGTCGCCGCAAAAGACTAGCCATGTTCTTGAATTCCTTTTGTACTATATCAGGCGCAAGGCAATATTCTCTCAGGGTCTTGGAGGGGTTACAATTCTCACAAAGATAGTTACCAGCGAATCGTATATAACGGCTGGTCATGGGGCAACCCAATTTAAAAATCTGTTTTCCACCGTGCGATGATTCCTTCAAGGGTGTGACAATTTCGCCCAACAGATGTTATCGGCGTTGCTGAAGGGCATTTTACCTAGGGCTATCAATAGGTGAATGATAACCCGTCTGTGCCGCATGCATCTTGGGTGATGAGACGTCTTGCCGATCCCCGTCATATGTGCAACGGGCATTGCTATCTCGGCTTGGCTGATAAACTGATTGCCCCCTTCCACCTAGTCGTCGAACCTGGGGGCTGACGACCTTCCTGGGGTTCGGATCAATTGCAAAGTGAATACATGTAAGTCTTGTGCAATCGCAGCCACTGACCGCCTTGATAACCAGTCTGTGCATTACCGCTTGGGCAGGAGGGTCATCTCTTCTGTTATCGGGGCTTGCGGTTCCTGAAACAGTCAGCGTTATGCTCGTACTTGGCCAGGGTGCTGATATCTGCTTTGGTTGTTGCAAATGGCTGGAGTGGGGGAGAATGGCCGTTTACGGCGGCGAAGCATACTGGAACCCGCTTAAAATCCACCATCAATGAATGATTACTCCGCAAAGGCCGGAGCGGCTGCCTTCTTCTACAGTCCGGGCTTCGTCATCGGCCAGTTGGCGGAAAACACTCTCGGGTAAGTGATCCAATATTCTCAATATGCTTCGCTGGCAAACCATGCAATAGATTCGCGGCAGGATTGGACCTAACTGGTCTCTTTCCGAACTGGATTAATATCCGGCGCGGTGGCATTATTTGCGCTCTGCTGTCGTGGGCTGTGCAACACTGGTCACTCTATAACACTACGTCCGTTTTTATGGGCCCCCTTACGGGAATAATGATTGCAGATTAGTTTATAATCCGGAAGCAGCGGATCCAGGTAAGCCAGCTGTATACCGGCTCCCCGGACGGCTCCTACTGGTATGCTCACGGCTTCAATTCGAGCGCCATAATCGCATGGGTGGTTGGGTTTGCACTAGCCATGCCCGGGATGATTGCTGCAGCCAATCCCAGTGTGGTTGTGTCAGGTGGAATTTACAAATACTATCTCGGAATTATTTGTTCGGTAGGATATCTCCCGAGCCCGCGAATACCTGCGCTGACTCTAGTAGAAAGGGTTCCTCACTGCTACGAGCTTGTACACCGCCCTATGCATGATCTTCAAGGTGGAGGGAGCCGGGCTGCAAGATGACATGAACGTTTATAACTGAAAATGTGGCCTTGAAGAAGGGCATGTCACCGTTTCTATTAGATGAGGTCTGCCGATCAAAGTTGGAAAACGAGGGTCTAGGGACTGTCTAAGCTGGGCCTATATGGGCCGATGCATGGTTGAGTCTATCGGCAGCAATTAGAACCCTGGTGTCATTGCTAGCCAGCCAGAAACATTGCATACGAAGCAGTGGATCAATACACTCGACTCGTAGTGGTGGGAAGTATTGCGCAAGCGCATGGGCTCTTCTATGAGGCCCGTTCTCCGTGACAGCCGGCGTCAACTGACTTGGAAATCTTACGCCTTGTCCTTTTCAAGACGAGAATACTAGTAAGGTTGGCCCCCATTGTTCCGCCAGTGCGTATTAGCGGCGACTTTAACGGGAACGTAATCGGCCTCCGGCTTACCACTTAGCTGGGTGCCTAAACACGCATGGCCAGTTCGGTCGTTCGTGGCTTATTTTTCCATAGCCCATTTAAAGGTTCGGAATAAACTACTCCTCCGTTTCCAAATGTGGATGACAAGGTCAAAGTAGTGTCACCTCTGTTTCGAACATCCCGGTCGACCAGGATACAACCCCTGTAATCGGCTGGTCATAGGCGGAATTCGTTGAAGATCCACGGTAAAAAGCGGAGGCGCCGGAGACCCTCAATACGGCCGTGGTATTGTCCACCAACCATGTCACCACCCCTAAATAAGCATCTTTTGGCTCGGTGTTGACCATGGAAACAGAAAGGGGGCAGATAGTCCTCATAAGAGTAAGGGATGATGCCAGTGTATTCAATAAAAGACCGGGAAATCCTCAACTTCTGAGTGATGGCAGTGCAGTACTCAGCCTTCTCATCCTCTCACTCATCAAGATGAAGTCATTCACGCTCTTCTTCCTCCCCAACTTGGCCTGGGCGGCAAACATCTATGTTTCGCCTTCGGGATCGAACAGCGGAGATGCTTCCATCACTTCTCCGCTCTTGTCCATCCAATCGGCGGTGAACCTTGCCGTCGCTGGTGACACCATCTACCTCCGAGCAGGAACCTTCAAGCCCACCACCAACATCCAGATCAAGAAGAGTGGCACATCTTCCAAGCCCTACACGATGAGGGCATACGGGAGTGAGGTCGTCATCATTGACGGCGAAGCCTTGACGGGAACTCCGGCCGCTGTTGGAGCCTCGCTGGCTAATGCCGATCGTGGTATTCTCCACATCGAAGGCGCCAACTATTGGAAGTTCTATGGCTTGACCCTCATCAATGGGCCTTATGGAGTCTACAACCGAGCCTCTTCCAACAACTACTTCGAGCGCATTGTCACCCATGACAACTACGAGACTGGCTTCCAGATCGAGGGTGCCAGTGCCAACAACCAGGTCGTTTATCTCGACTCATACAGGAACCGCGACCCGCGAAAGAACGGCGAAAGCGCTGATGGCTTCGCCTGCAAGGAGGGTTCGGGCGAGGGCAACATGCTCATTGGAGCTCGTTTGTATGAGAATGTGGACGATGGTCTCGACCTTTGGTATGTAGTGGCCCATTCAAATGTGTGATTGTCATCTAACAAGCGTCTAGGGAGTTCAAGTCTGCTATCACGATCAAGGATACCCTTGCGTGGGGCAACGGTGTTAACCGCTGGGGTTTCTCCGATTTCCAGGGTGACGGCAATGGCTTCAAGCTTGGTGGCGGCAATGCCGGTGATATTGGAGCTGCCGACCACGTCATCACCAACTGCTTCGCCTTCAACAACGCCGCCAAGGGATTCACGGATAACAGCCAGACGGGCAAGTTCTCCCTGACTCACAACACGGCCTGGAACAACGGAGATGTCGGATTTAAGCTGGCCTCCAGCACCTCTACCCTCACAGATAACATTGCTGCAAGCAACCTTGGCACAACCAGTTCTGCCTCTCAGATTACCCTGACGGGATCCCAGACTGCGTCAAGCAACTCTTGGCAGGACGGCACCACCTGGACCAACTCCAAGTTCAAGAGTGTCGACACTTCCTTGGTCACAGGGGCCCGCGCGTCGGATGGCAAGATTACTGCAAGCAATTTTCTCCTTCCCGTGTCCGGCTCGGACGGAGCCACTACATCGTGGTAGTAATATTTACTTTGACATTCTCGTAAGAGAATTAACTAGATCCATATCCATTCAATGTCTATACGTTTTACTTCTCCCATTTTTAATATCCGCCTCTCCTGTAATGGTTCCAGTAGAGCCATGCTTCTACTAGTCGTCTCTCCTCGAGGCCAGGAGTTCCTCTCTCGCGAGCCAGCCTAGGAGAATAAACGTCCCGGGGCTAAACATGCCACTGATTATAGCTGCGATGCAAATAGAGCTGCTATGATGGATTTTGCAAATTCCAGCAACTTCAAGGTCCCTGAAGTGGTATCCCAGCCACAAAAGCGCGGCAGAGAAAGTCATTATGTGGTCGTACTGAATAATCGTGCGAAGTGCAACGTCCGCGTCTTGTGGTTTGTCAGAAAAGTATTTCGGGATAAACATTTCCGCCATCGAAAAATTTGAGTTGTACAATGTGTACCAGTAGATGCTAATGTTGATCGCAGCGAGAACACCGACAGTTATCCTGAGGGTCTTGAGTTGGAGTTTCTGCCCTGCGGCCTCCGTGGATGCACCGGATCCAAGTGACAGAATCTTTGAAAACACAAACATGCCAAGTGAACCCCATACAGGGTACAGTTGCCATACCCAGTTCCACCAGTGTCTAGATTCTAGACTTTCGTGGAAAAAAGAGGGCAGATGCGGTACGTGATAAGCCAGCAAGACGGTTGGGAGAACGGAAGCGCATGAAGACCAATTTGTCAGAAGAAAACTTGGTCCGGTGAGCTTTTCAGTGGGTGTGAAGACGTAGAAAAGGTAAAAGTAGAGCGGGGACATGAATCCAACGGGAATCAGCTGCGCCAGGAAGGTGAGTAGAAACGGGCTGCGACTGAGGTTAGAGCCGCCAACCAGCCTCAATGTCAGAAAACTTACAACTGAAATATAGTCTTTCGATTAGATGGTCTGCAAGACTCGAAGAAGAGAATAGCATAAATGCCAGCGTAGTCGGTCATGAAGACGAGCGATTGCCAGTATGCCCGTTGATCAGTGAAAAACTGCAACTGTGCAAAGGCAACGGTTATATGACCAAATATTTCATCCAACAATCCGATGCCGTAAAATTTTTTAATAACAGGTACGCTCATGCCGTTCAAGTCAAACACAGAAGTCTCAAGGATGCGGTTGAGGACGGGGGCAATTGGTTCTCCCATCGCAAATGCCTTGCCCATGACACCTGACAGGGCGAGGATAGGCAGAGCCAAGAGAGCGCGTTGCAGCCGGCTCTCTTGGCTCTCTATGTGTCGTTCGGGGCAAGACATTGCTGGAGTGATGATGGTGAAATGTGCAATCGTAAGATAGACACCTGTCAAGCTCAGCACTTCATGGGGTTTTTTTTTGACAGTCAGCACGACTTAGTCAGCAACTTGTATTTCGCTTCAGCGAGAAGGATTTGATTATGCTTGTAATTAGACTAACTCAGCTAACAATTTCCGGGGAGCTAAAAGGCTCGCTAATTCTGGCAGACTTGATAGGGTCGTTTGCGATTTGTTATCAGGCTACAGACTCCGTGCTTGGGGGTCTTATCGTATGCTAATCTGGCATTTGGCTGAGGCATCGCTTAGTCAATTTCGGGGAAGTAGAACGGCGATTCATTGAGTTAACCTATAAAACGCTCATTTATCTATAAACGCCTAACATGAAATAGTCGCACTGCTCTCTGTATCATACTCATCTTTAACCGTAGTTGCCCTCAATGTTTCTAAAATGCAAGACTCCCTAACAATTAAAATGTGACGAAACAAGATCAAGGACTTTGTCACATATTGCCCATGAAGGTAATAAGTATATAGGCTAGCCACGATGCGCTCGATTGTTCTTTTAGCTGCCTAACTCAGCTTCCCTCAGTGGAGGAAACAAGCACGAGTCCGGCCGGTCTAAATTGGAGCAACAGTCAGTGGAAAATATGACCGAAATGTAGAAAAGTATTCTCAGAGGCATCCAGCTACAGTAAAGTACGTGTGCCACCCAGGAAAAACCCGCTGAGCGTGACTAGCAGGTTTTTATTCGGGCAATAAAGAAGTCTCCAGCCGCTTTCCTGCCCCTGTGAATAGTCGCATCGCCACTTTTCGTCAATATGCCTCAAGTTCAGTTGAAGGGAGAAGAGGGAAAGCCGGTTTACGGTAGGCACATGAAAAGATCTCGAGGCTCTCCAAGGGCTAATATAAATGCAATAGTGGATACCGGCCGGTTCATCGGAAATGAATTCGTCTCAGCAACAGGAGCATCTCTCATGAAGATTGAGAACCCTTCTAACGGTCCGTCCAACTCAGCAGCCCAGAAGGAAGGCGTCAATTCCGCTGTGATATTGGCCCAGAAGACATTCAAAAGGTCATGGAAATCGACTTCTCCAACTCAGAGAGGTCAACTTCTATACAAGCTGGCCGACTTGATCGAGAGAGATGCAGATGACCTCGCTTTAATTAAGGCGTTGGACGCTGGAGTGCTACTCGGGGAATCCAAAGGACTCCATATTATTCAACCTCTCGAGACCCTTTGATACTTTGCTGGTTGGGCCTATAAAATTACAGGACAGCTTTTGGACGTTCTTCAGGGATACGCAATCACCCGACGAGAGCCACTCGAAGTGTGCGCTGCCATTATCCCATGGAACTCACAACTGTGAGTCTGCACGTAAGCATCTCCTGACCTGCGATTGATCCTTGAAAATAGCATGATTACTATTTGGAAGCTCGCACCCGCACTAGTAGTTGGAAATGTACCTATTATCAAAACACCAGAGTTGGCTCGGCACAAAGACTTACGCGAGCATAATAGAGTAGTCATCACATTAAAACTACACTGATAGGAAATACAACCAAATATGTTGTTCCGTAGGGATTCTATTTATTGTGGTATAATATTATATCTAAGTCCTTGCGCTCTTACAGCTTCAAGTGTCCGTGACGAGCCGCAACCTTGTAAGCAACAGCGTATCGAGGGGTAGAGAAAGTGATGGTGCTACCACGGTGAACGAAGAAGGTGTCACCAGGCAACAACTTGGCAGTGTTACCGGCCTCGTCCTCAATGTGAAGCTCGCCTGTAAGGAACATTTGTCAGCATCTAATAGTGATACGAACAAGGCTGTTGACTTACCCTTCAGGACGACACCACTCTCATCGTAGTCGTACTTGGGGGCAGGCTCCAGAGTATCGATCTTTTCGAGGAGAAAGAAAGATCCGGTCAAAGGGTTGGGGGCGTCCTTGTCAGGAGTACAGAACATATCGCCTGTGTAATAAGCGTTAGTAAGTGAACCTTGACTGGATGTCTAAGTGGAACATCAAGTGTACATACCAAAGTAAACATTAGGAGGGCCGGGCTCCAGCTTGGGAACACGGTGAAGCTTGCCCTCGTCTTTCCACTCAAAAACCATGATGAATATCTGTGATGAATGTAAAGTTATAAATTGATTGATGTAAAGTTTGGATGATCGAAAGCTCATAGAATGATTGAATCTTGGTTTATTATAAGTTGTTTGTCGCTTATGTGACGAAATCTGACTCGGAACCGAGATGGAACGTGTCGGCCAATCGTGTATTAATCCCGCGTTAAATCGGGGCTTTCATCGGCGTAAAATCGGCATCCGCAGCCCGCTTCTTCGGAACCATGCCGGTGTAAGGCGAAACAGTGCACAGAATTGAATCTGTTCCGACATCGCGACCGAAAGAGATATACGGAAACGAAGAGAAGTAACCAAATCCAAAATCATACTTCTTCACAATCGGGACTGACCGAATGGCGTCTGCGAATTACAACACCATGGGCAACAGCCAAACCGACAGGCCCATCGAGGACGAAATCCGAGAAGCCGCCAGCGCGGATGGCAGTCCGGTTGAAGATGACTATCCAGATGGAGGGAAAACCGCCTGGATGACCTTGTTTGGTTGCTTCTGCTCTTTGTTCGCGGCTCTTTCCATGATGAATTCCGTTGGCGTTTACCAAAACTGGATCTCGGAACACCAACTTGAGCACGAAACCGCCGGCGACATTGGCTGGATTTTTGGCTTTTACAACTTCTTCAGCTTCTTTGCCGGACTGCCTCTCGGGCCTGTCTTCGACGCCAAAGGGCCGCGAGTTCTGTCATGCTGTGGCGCCGTGCTGTTACTGGCGACGTATGTCATTCTTGGCTTCTGTCAGCAATACTGGCATTTCTTCCTCTGCTTTGGCTTGCTGGGCAGCTTGGGGACATGTCTGCTGTTCACATCCGCGATCGGAACTATTCAGCACTGGTTTCTCAGACGTCGCGGTCTGGCTACGGGAATGGCCATTTCAGGTGGAAGCGTCGGTGGCATTTTGTCGCCTCTGATCCTTGGAGCTCTTTTGCCGAAGATTGGATTTGCTTGGGCCATGAGAGCCATGGCCCTGATCATGGTCCCATTTGTCGTGGTAGGTGTGTTGCTCATGCGCAGTCGGCTTCGTCCAGCCAAATCATCGGGTGCTAGTTTCTTGCCAGACCCCCGGATCCTGATGGTGCCGAGAATGACCATTCTAGCCATTGGGGCGTTTTTTGTCGAGCTGGGGCTGTTCATCCCGATGACTTACATCACTTCGTATGCGCTTTCATACGGAATGTCTACTGGTACGGCGTACCGGATGGTCATGTTGCTCAACGTCGGCTCCTTGGTGGGCAGATGGCTTCCTGGCTGGCTCGGGGACAAATGGGGCCGGTTCAATGCGCAAATCGCGGCTTTGAGCCTCTGTCTAGTATCTGTGCTGGGAATATGGCTTCCAGCTGGGCACAGAATTGCAGGGCTCACCGCATTTGTTGTGCTGTTCGGCCTCGGAAGTGGCAGCGGCATCAGCCTTGTTCCGGTATGCATAGGGCAGCTGTGCAAGACAGAGGACTACGGCAAGACATTCACGGCCGTCTACAGCGTTGCCAGCTTTGGGTAAGACTGATCCTTCGTTGTTTCGGACCCTGTGGACTGACGAATACTACGACAGCTCCCTGATTGGCATCCCGCTCGGCGGCCGGATCCTGCAAGCTGCAGATGGCAGCTACCTCGGATTGATCATCTTTGTCGGCTTAGCCTACACCATAGCGCTGAGCTGCTTTGTGGCAGTCCGCGTGATAAGCGTGGGGCTAGTCAGTCCAAAGCGGTTCTAAGTCCAGGGGATGGGAGCTTGTGGCAGGGAAGCTAAATCAAAGCCAATCACGAATTGTTCCTTTGGTGTGGAGGATCAAATGTTCATTGGGCAATTGCTAGCTGTAGCTCGCGATAAGGGTGTGGAGAGCGCAGGAGGAGCCGCCATTGTGCCTTATGCCATTATCCCATGTAACAAGTCGCCTTTCTGTTCCGAATTCCGTATCCACTTCAGCGTGGTATCGTGATATCGTCTCGTAGGCTCGCGGAGGCATTTCGATATTCATCCGTCTCCTCCTCTGTCACGATCGTCTCACGGACGAAAGGCCCGATTTCGGCCTAGCTGTTTCAAGCTTTTATGACAATCGTCAGTCTCACTACTTTTAATTACCATAGCATCTAAGCCTTCGCCGGAAAGGCCAAATACATCATCTCGCTTTCACTTCGCCCATCAAACCTCACCTCGTCTAGCAGTACACCTTTTTGAACTCAAATATCACGGTCATCTTCGTTTTCACCATGGCCACTGAACCACTGCACGTCCTCATCGTTGGAGCCGGTTTTGGCGGCCTCACAGCCGCCATTGAATGCCGCCTCCGAGGAATGAAAGCTACCATTGTTGAGACATATCCTACAAGCTTGGCCTATGGTGATATCATCGACTTCTTCCCAAATGGCGGCAGGATCATCGAGAGCTGGGCCAACGGCCGTATTGGCCGTGAGCTTATGATGATCTGCATCAACCAGGGCGATAAATTCAAGTACTGCAAGCCAGATGGTACTTTGTTTTGGGAGGAGGATTGGATCCTGGAGCCACATCACTACTGGAGGCAATATGCTGGCCACCGTGGACAGATGCACAAGGTCATTCTCGACTACGCCGAGGAAGTCGGTGTCCAGTTTGAGTTTGGCGAGAGCGTCGTGCAGTATATCGATGACGAGAAACCTGGTGTCGAGACAGCTAGTGGCAAGAAATTCTTCGCCGATGTTGTTGTTGCCGCCGATGGCCCTCGTTCTATTGCCCGATCCCAGGTTCTTGGGCTTCCCGACCACAAGGTCAATAGTGGATATGCCATCTTCAGGGCCTATTTCACCTTGAATGAGCAGCACAAAAAGAACCCGCTCTTGAAGGACTTTTGCGACCCTAATGTTGATATCACTCGGCTATGGGTTGCCAAAGATCTCCACATGATTGTCTACACTTGGAACAAAGGAAAGGACCTAGGTTGGGTTCTCACACACAAGGTAAGATTTTGAATACCGTAAAAATGCCTGACCAAGTTGCTAACAAGCATATAGGATACTGAGGACATTGGCGAGTCTTGGTCATTCCCGGGCAAGATTGATGATGTCCTCGCTTGCCTCGCTGAAGGCGAGTTTGACCAGAGCCTGGTGGAGATTGTCAAGGCCACACCGGAGAAGAACCTGGTCGACTACAAGCTCGTCTGGAGAGATCCCCTGAAGACATGGCTGAGTCCCTCGGCGCGCATCGCGTTGATTGGAGACGCGGCGCATTGCCATCTGCCTACTTCCGCGCAGGGAGGATCGCAGGCGATGGAGGACGGCGTGGCACTTGCCATTGCGCTTAAGCGGTCCAAAGGAGACATTCCCTTGGCGCTGCGCGTATTTGAGAGGATCCGGTTCAACCGATCGCATGTCACTCACATGGCGTCCATCACCGTCCGAGACGGCTATCACACGGTGGATTGGGATGGCCCAGACCTGCACAAGCACCCGGAGATTCTAAACCTCCCGCGACCAGACTGGGTCATTGAGTATGACATTGCCAGCGAGTCGGAGAAGCACTTTGACCATCTCGCGGCGGATGTCAGGAGCTACAAGCCTGGCACTATTGAGGAACTGTCGCTTCCGGCGGGCGGAGATTATAGCCCAGAGGCCAGAAAGCATGTGCCGCCGCCGATAACATCGAAGCTTTGAAGTTTATTATGTAGCGATAGACCATGTGGGACTCGTTTAGTGTAAATAACGAACATTTTTCCCAACTGGGGTATTGAAGTGACTAAGAAATCGTGCTTTGTCTGAGAATGAGCTCAACCAACACCCATGAGATGAACATGACAACCCTATCCATGATCATTTGATAGTTCACCTTCAGAATCCCACTAACAGTCTCCAAACTCCGGACAGACGAGTTACCATCTACGACATACTCAACACCATACTGCATCCGTGAGTCCGCTTCGCCACACGGATTCGCTCCTCCATCTGCATTGCACCAAACCCGTGAGGTTCCACTTCCCCGCACTTTGTCGAGACCATGTGCATCCATCTTCTCCCGCTAACCAGGATGTCATATCGCCCCCTGGGACAAGGCGTTGGCCCAAGGATCGAGGATTAATTCCTTAGTCGATGATGGTGGATGCGTGACCTGTCGTGGATTTCGGCTACAGATGAGGGGTATCATGCCCATTTGAGCGAGCCTCGCCTGAACAGGGAGATGCCTGGAACGCTGCTCGCTGGCTGACGCTTAGCTTTGACGTCTTGGTCATGATCAGCTACCCAGACGCCAGCTAGCACAGGTCGCGTAGTTGAATAGTTCCATATGCTTGTATCAGTTAGAAAACGTCCATGAGTCTTGCCAGCCGAGGGTGCATGCAGACCACGAGTCGTTACCTCAAGTCCTCCATTTTTCCTCTTTCGACAGTCCAAGGCTCCGATGGCATCACCCGGCCGTGTTATCAGTTGTCCGTGACGCAGAAACCATCCGAGATCGCCAGTCACCCCAACTTTCAGCCCTGGCTAATCGCCTATCTCAGTATCTGGGTTACGACGAGACCCCTGCAGCCCGCTCCACCGGCCGACACCAGGGCCGAGATAGGTTCTGATAACCAGCTGCACGACGCCCGCCGATACCGAAGCTAGCTCCAGCCGAGTGATCGACCTGCCAGCACTCTTCTATGCTTGTCTACCCTTATTTAACACAGCGGCGTGGCGTAGCCAAACCACCTTGTTCGTCCTGACCAACACCGCGTAAACCTATAAGACCATAGGCCACCCACACGTCACCCCCGAGGGTCCCATCACCAAGACGCAGCGCATCCTACTCAAAACGCAGCGACTCAGTGACCCTATCTCACCATGTCAACATCCGACAAGAAGTCGGACATCAGTCTGGCCCAGGCTCCGTCCAACGTGGAGCACAACCAGACACCCCATGTCAAGAAGCGGTTCAACTTTTGGACAGCCTTTGGCATTGCTGTCTGCACGTCCGGAGCAGTAAGCATTGACACCCTCGCCTCTATCCATCCTTAACTCTGACTTGTTAAATACAGTGGGAAGGTTGGACTGCCTCCATCGCCCAGGGCCTGACAGGAGGTGGCCCTGTTGGGCTCGTCTGGGGCTGGGTATTCGTCTCGGTCGGAATTACATGCATGGCTTGTGCTTTGGCAGAATTCGCCAGGTATTTTATCAAGAGTACAGTCTCTGTATCGCATCTGTTCTAACCTCTCGAACCTGTAGCATGTGGCCTTCTGCTGGCGGACAGTATGTCTGGGTTGCCAATCTCGCCCCTAAAAAATACGCACCTGCTCTGGTAATCGAACCTTCCTGCTCACAAATGATGTACTCGATCTGATATGTAACTGTCTAGAGCTGGATTACGGCTTGGTGTGGACTCTGTGGCTCATGGCTTGGAGCCATATCTTGTGGTATGGGTGTTGCCGTTCAAATCCAGTCTTATGTCGCAGTCTCACAAGCCTACGAACCGAAAACATGGCATGCCTTTCTGGTGAGTTGATTTTGTCTATTGCTTTCAGTTCAATTGCTTAACTATCGAAAGATCTGTATTTCGTGCATGGTCTCATGGATTCTGGTCAATATCTTCGCAGTAAACGCCCTGCATCACATGAACTCGGCCAGTATGTTCACCGATCTGCATAATTCCTTCTCAATATTCATGAATCTTTCTAGTCCTTGTCATCCATGTCGTCGGCTACTTCCTCGTCATCGGTGTCTTGGCTGGCACCACTAAGGACAAGCACGACGCCGAGTATGTTTTTACACACTTCCAGAATAACACTGGCTGGGATAGCGATTTTGTATCCTGGAGCGTCTCTCTCCTTGCCGCTCTGTACGCATACTTCTCTCTTGACACAGCAACCCACTACAGCGAAGAAATCCCCGATGCCAATATCCATGTTCCGCGGGCTAGTAAGTTGCAACTCTGTTCGATTATAGGCACGTTCGAGTAGGCCGCTGACAAGCAACTCCACCAAATAGTGGTCCTTCAAGCTGGAGCCACATCAATCATGACTCTTCCCTTCATCATCACCGTCATGTTCTGCATCGGTGACGTTGACGCGGTTCTTGCCTCGCCTATCGGACTTATGAGTCCCTTTACTCAAGTGATGGTCAACAGCACAGGCAACGTGGGAGTCTCCGTCTTCCTAAACTGCCTCAGTTCTTCAGTGGCCATGGCTGCGGGTTTTGATCTCTGGGGTGCGGCGGCCCGAGCCATCTGGTCGATGGGTCGCGACAACATGTTGCCCGCCGCATTCGCCAAGCTGCATCCTCGCTGGGAAGTCCCGATTCTTGCCAACTTGGTCATGATTGTGCCATCCATTGCCATCTTCATGATCTACATTTGGAATACCACTGCGTTCTACGGCATCATGGCCGGCGTTTTGGTATCATTCCAGTTGTCCTACGTGCTACCAATTGGCGTCAACATCTTTTATTCCATCTGGAAGAAGGATCTGGCTAAGGGTCCTTTCGACCTGGGACGATTTGGACCGATTGTTCACGTCATTGGCTTCTTTTTCGGTTGCTTCATGATCTTATTCATGTCCTTTCCAGTATACCATCCTGTCTCGGCTGCCTTGATGTAAGTGGATCATTTATGCAGCATGCCGGACCAGCCACTGACTCTTGTGATAGGAATTATGCATCAACCATTGTGGGCTCCGTGTTTCTCTTGGCGGTGGTAATTTGGTTCTGCTACGGCCGAACCCGATACACTGGTCCTCTTGACTTCGTAGCTGTTGAGGGCGTCCGGGTAGCAGGGACTCAAGGACTGGAGGCAGGTAAATAAGCAGGATTGAAATAATTTGTAAAGAGTGGGATTTTGTTTGCATATCTCGATACGCTTTCTATGCAGTGATGCCTGAAGGGTCGATATAATTCTTTTTTGTTGTACGTAAAATTCAATCAAATTATATAGACAAATTTCGCAATGATTCTGATCCATCACAGTGGTCGATGTATGTATTCGGGTTGTGAGATCATATTGAATCTTGATCAACTACGTTCATTCCAAGAATTCTTGTAGACTGCTAAAGAACACTGACACCCCCTTCTTAGACGTCACATTCTCCTTCACGGCGCGAGAGCCTCCTTCGACTTGGTTACAATGCCAATATGGTCGTACAGTAGCCTCGGATTGTAGCCACAAGCGCCATCTTGCATTTATCAAGTCCTTTCGCCCGAGTGGATACCACATGAAGTTGAAGATAAATATTTAGATCAGGCAGGTTCAAGCGTATTCCAACTGCGCGTGACAGGCGCATCATTCTCAGCCAATCCAACTTCGCATTCCTGAAACGTTCGGAATGATTTCCAATTTGCCACACCTCTTCCTAAAAGTGGCGTTGGATCATTGTCTGATTCGATGGTGATACGTGCTTATCGCGGCACACCCCGCAATCTTGCCTCCCGTTCCCGGCGTGCACCACATTAGTGGACGTTGATAGACAACACGACATACCGTCGATATGTATCAGCGTCACTCCTCTCCATTGGCGGATCAATTATATCTTTTATGAGAATTTGAAGACGGGATTTAGTAGCTCTTGTAGAGTTATAAACCAACCCGAATATCGGGCCTTACAATCATGCATCCATACGCCCGGAACTATGAATAACAACTGGTACGAGTTTATCCAACCGAGTGACCACATCAAAGGGCCTGCTTATCATTATCCGTCCTCACAGTCGGTAGGAGCAATGTGTCATGAATCATGGCTCCATCATCCCTGTCACGCTACTGTACATTTGCGGCTCCGATCACAAGGTTCACTCCGTAGTCCGAAGCACCTGCAGCATGTATGCACAATAAAGCCCGATATTCCAACCCCCCATAACAGTGAAGTCAAACTCATGGTAGATTCATGTCTCTAAAGAGTCGCAATATCCCTCCCCATGTAATTAGAGCTCGAAGGCTTGTGGGTGTGCCTTTTCCGTTCCAATTCTGAAGCCCTCACACCATCCTCAGCTCCGAAGAACACCTAAGTTGTGTCCAAAAAATATTCATCCTCCGTGATGCTTTTTTTATCCAAGGTTTTGCATCCTTCCCGCTAGATCCATGCCAAAACTACTGCAGTCTGCAAGCCGCTGACGTTGGCGCTGCCCTGAAACCGACATTAAGCTCAATATCGCCGCTGAGACATGCAATATGACATCGCTCGCTTTGCGAATTTCATATGCACCTAATTCTCCCAAGGGAATCATTTATTTGGCTCTAAACTGAGTAATTTATTTCTTTGACCTCATTTTAATATCTTCCAGGGACTGGCATAAAGTCTTTCGATAGCCATCCAACCCCCATGCCGCCTCTCAATATCCTCTCTATGCATCATAGCCGTAGGCCAAATCAAATGGCACTCTGAAAATACACCATCATGGCCCCCTTGTGAAGTGTCTTGGCAACGTTCTTCAACTCGCCATGGGCCGCACACTCGTCGTCATAGTACTTCATATCCTCAACTGAAGCAAAGACTGAAAGCGCTGCAAGTGTGTAGCCCTGGTTTCGGATGTCGTCAAATGTTGGTCCAACCGTAGCTGATATGATGTAGGGCTTTCCGTCTTTAAGAGCTCGAGTTGGCATTGTGCGGTAAATTTCAATGAGCCGAGCTTGGTCCTCTGTGGAGGGGATTTTGAAAAGTGTAACGCGTTGAACGGGTAGTGAAGACATTGTAGCGACTAGTAGCAATGCAAAGCTTAGTGTGTGTGAAGTGTAAATGACTGTGTACGTTGATATATGTGTGTTAATACCGGAAATCTTCAGTCACGGGGTAAAAGCCCTGACGGCTTTATGTCCCATCATCTTCTCGTCCAGAGTAATTCCATACCACATGCTTTCTGTCAGGGATATCCGCAAAAGTGGGCACCAATAGAAAGATAATCCACATGGCTCAATCGGAAGATAGCACTTCCGCCATCCAACCAATTCCGATGGCTTGACATCTGGCCTGGCTTTATTAGTCGCTCGAGGTATTTCAACACTCAGATTCCACCACATCTAGACAACCAACTCACATCACATCAAGTTTTGTCCAAATACGCATCGCAAATATGTCTGCCATTGCTGTCGCTGGTGGTCTTGGCGACCTCGGGCGTCTCATTGTTGATGCTCTTTATGAGACTGGCAAATATGAAGTGTACATCATGTCTCGAAAGGTACGTTTCTCAACCATTCCTTGTCAACGCTACACAACTCAAACTATTCCCAATACATGTGACTTATTCCGTGTAGATGCCAAAGGAATTTGCGAGTCGCACGTCACCGTTGACAGGAAAGTCATATCTTCCTCTCATCCAGAGCGATTACAAATCAGAGACCGAAGTCGCCGAGCTCCTGGTAAAGCATAACATACATACCGTTATTTGCACATTTGCTCTGGATTTCCAAGCGGCCAGTGACTCTCAGATCACACTCATCCGAGCTGCTGAGCAAGCTTCCTCCGTAAAGCGCTTCATCCCGTCCGAATTCAATGTCGACTATGACCTCGGAGACGACGTTCTCCCTTACCAAGATAAGAAATACCACGCAGTGGGGAGACGAGAGCTGGAAAAGACCAGTCTCGAATTTTCATACATATATCCCGGCATGTTCATGGACTATTTCGGGATGCCCAATATTACCACCCATCTTCGAGAGTTGTTCGTCGTCATTGATCCCACCAACGGCGTTGCATACGTGCCCGGCGACGGAAATGCCAAGATGGCCATGTCGTTTACCAAGGATGTCGCCCAATACGTAGCTCTTGCTATGGGGCTGGACAAGTGGCCCCAGGTCATGACGACAGTATCGAGCATGATGACTCTGAACGAGATAGTCGCTTTGACCGAGAAAAACTTGGGTCGCAAGTTGAAGGTCACACACCAGTCGGTTTCCTCCCTGCTTAAGCACGAATCCATGACCCTGCCAGGGAACCTTTCTGTTGCTGAGCAGTTTCCGGGAGGAGTGGACCAGATCACAGAGTTGACGGCAGACCTGGAGGCTTCGATAGCGCTCGGCGCATACGACTTTGATAAGCTTCCAAGTCACCTCAATTTGGTTGACCATTTTGCTGGAAAAACAAAGCCACCGATGAAGGTTGAAGATATTCTCGAGATGGCTTGGAAGGGACGCTGAAATGAAAGTAGCCTGGTAGTCGAGCAGAATCATCCCGGGATGCCGTCACTAGTATCGTTCCACGTTGCCCTGGGACATGAGTGTCAATTATACTAATATTTGTGACTGGCCAATTCGTTGCATGATATCTTGCCATCGTTCAGGGCTTGCTTGTCCTTGATTGACCAAGTCCTGATGAGACCAAGTCTCCTCCAAAATCTTCTGGCCGTTTTTGGTATTGTAGATGCCTAGGAGATGAAGTCCGGCCCATCTCGACCGAACATATTCCCGCTCGTGCAAGAGATCCATCTCTGCACCAAGCACCACTAAACACCAGCCGAGATTTGCTCCTGGACCGAGTGCATCAGGCACGACTGTGAGTAAGTGTTGTGCGGTATCAAGCGAGATCCGCATCTCCGGTGTCAAAGGCTCCTCGGGGCCGTGGACAATCCGGTAGACGTAGATATGTGAAGCGTGCCGGAAGATTTCTGCTGTTGCTACCATCCGCCTCCGCAACTCCTCTTGCTCGATGCCAACGGTCGTTGCAAATGACTCCGGGCTGCCGTGACATGAAATACCAACAAGTGGATGAGAGTCGAGGGCAATCTCTGTGGAGCGGATTTTGTCTTGCAAAGCGTCCGCTTGTGCCACGAGTTCGTCACGACTCATATCGACTGACTTAGATGCCGCATACAAGCGAGAGGCCGCCCACTATTTCGGGTCAGCACACAGAAGTGAGTACTCCTTCGTGGATGGCTCACCATGAGTTTTGGCAGTTTGGAGGAGCATCCGAAAAGCGCATCAACCGATTCCTCTTGGTTCGTAGCCTCAATCGTCCCGTCTAACCATGCTTCGAGCTCTGGCATGGCTGGAGAGCCCATGTTCAAGGCACTTTGTGTGTCAAGCAGGCATACCCACGTTTTGAGGAACGGATCTAGATCTGAGCAATCGCCTCGAGATCTGATCCAGCCTTTGATCGCATCGTAGTGTCCTTTCCATCGACTCGAGCCCGCAAATACCTGATGTAGGAGTTAGCAACTTCGTGTTTTTCAAGAGAAAACTGAGTGCTCACCTCGTATGAAACAAAGAGGAGCATCGACGCAAGCGTCACTGGGCTGTTCACAAGACTGGGAGTTGAAAACCTGTTCCGTAGCGCCTTTGCAGCGGCTCGAAGATACTTGCGCGACGTCAGATCGCTGGTGTGTTGCCAACGGCTATAATGCGATGCGGCGACGGCCATTGCGGCGCCCATCAAGGCGGGTTCAGTCATCGCCATGGGCAGCAAAGACCGGTAACCGTTTCCATCGTAGTCGACAGCAAGAGCTATCCTGGCGACGTTTTCTGTTTCACAAGCGTGAGCAAGAAGCCATCAACATATCTCGTCAAGCCGGGTTACACACGTATGAAATGCTGCATGAAGAAGCTGTCCTCTGCCGGCAGTCCCAGCGCGGACATGGACCCTTGCGGGGCTGCGGTGCATCGGTCGAGTTGCAATGGCGACGACGATGTCGAAGTCGAGAGTGATCTGGTCTGTCGCCATCGTGATCGCGCCTTGAGGTTCGCCACGCCCGTCGGCCATTGCATTCGGACGCCGTAGCCTCGGCATCTGACTCCGCTATGCGTACATATCTTGCAGCCTGAGATGCGAATGAATCCAGTCAGCGCCGTGTCCGTTCCGCCGTTACCGGGAACTGCAGAGCAGGGAGGAGGTCGTCACTCACGAGGCAGGGCTCCGTCGCAGGGCCAGTTCCTCTCGAGACACGTCCAGCACGCGCCCTTGTCATTCTGTCGTTCTGCTCGGGGGAGATTGCGTTCCATGGCGGACTTTTCAATGGGATGATATATCTCAAGGTCGGATCTACTTCGTCCGGATGGATGAAGAGGAGAAAGAAAAGCACACGGCATCAGGACCAGCAGCGGGGTTCGGCGTGTTAGAGTGCGCTTATCTATGGCCCCGAAGTGCCGTAGTGTCTGCCACACGACGCGTTGGTGATAGAGGTGGAGTCAGGTGGACGCCGGGACAAGGGACAACTGGGGCGAACTGGGGATGGGGCACTCTAGCTTCTGTGGGGTTGCTAGGATGAGGGCCTGTAAAGGATGCCGAGATTACTACACAAGGGCTACGCAAGGGTTGAGGAGGCGAGATCTATCCATATAACGGGGCACTGGAGATGACGGATGAGTGTGCCCCATCCCCGAGTCATGTCCGTCAGTCTCGGCCTCGGGATTCGTCTTTTCTAGTCCTCCACATTCTTGGGTTCACAGAGTCTGATTTACAATTGCACTGGTCTTTGCTGTCTTATTGTAACATGGTGTTGCCCAAAACATCAGACCAAATATCCTCCCCGTCCATCAGCGACCCAAGTCCTGGGAAGATGGGAATCTCGTGGCCCATTCCGATAAAATCCCCCAGCGAGGGAATCTGGCTGAAGAGCTCAGGGTACAAATCATCTATGTCTCCTGGAAAAGTGACCCGCCCGTTCGCATTTCCATTCCCCGTCATCATGTCAGGGCAGGGCGTGAATCCCTTGTTCATCATCATGACGCCTTGCGCACCCAAATTCCCTCCGGCTCGCGCTCCCTCAGTAGCTACTGTGGCCAGATCCATTAAGCTTGTGTGGGTTGCATCTGCAAGGTCTTCCGCTAAACCATTCATATCATCGTCGTCGTCGTGAATGTCCCCAGCTAGATGGCCTACATAGGTCTGAAGCCAGGTAGACGATTGCTCGGCTGATCCAGGTTGGTCCAGCCCTCGCCCGGTGATCGGACCGTCTCCCTTGGGGGCTTCATGCGGATAGACCTCTGCATCTGACTTGTCTTTGCACTCCTTTGGATCCAACGGAATAAATGCAGGTTCTTCAACGTCGACAAATCGGCTAAAATAACTAGAAAACGCCAGGTCCACATCGCCCGAGACATGGCTAAGCGGCGTATTAATATCGTGGGCCCGAAACAGTGCATCAATCTAGGACGAGCGTTAGGACTTTCATAGTGGAGAGGTAAATCTGGAACAAAGACTCACCCATGCTTGCGCGGGAGAATAAAAGGTCCGAACAGCCCCAAGTACGACGAATATCAGCTTCAGGTTCTCGACGACCTTTTTATTATATGGCTTCGACGACCGGTGCAGGCGATTGATCAACACCAATGCGCTCTGGGTGCAGGAATATCCAAGGAGGAGAGTATGCTGGAACCAGTCAGTATGGATGACGAGAATGATGGGTTTTTGTTCGACTTGCACTGAAAAAACCGCCTTTACTAATGATTTCCTGCGTAATGTCGCATATCGCGTCTGCACTAGATTCACACCGGTGGATTCGTTCCTTCAAGAACAACGGCGGAGCCTGTGGGAAATCAACACATCGAATCAATGATGCTTGGCCCTCGTTTGCAAACTTGCATCTCTCTGGTATCGGCAAAAAGTTTCGGTTGAGGAGAATGGCGGAGCAGTGCCAAATAAGTGAGGACATGGGCACATCGCTGTCTTCCTGGTCAATCATGCCCGGAAGCTCTCTAGGGCCCATCCGAAAGATAGACGGGTACCAGAGAAGATACTCTTCCAGCTCATCTTGTAACACTCTAAAGTCGGAATCAGTGTTCCACGGAGCTGGATTGTGTTCTTTGAAGGGCGTAAAGCCCAGCTGGTTGATGCCAATAAGAACTTCTAGCAGATCCAACAGACGCCGAGTGCCTTCGGGGAACGAGGCCACTCTTGTGTCGGGCCTAGGCCGTTTCACCCTTCGATGACTCGGCGGTTGGAGGGAAGGATGCCCGATGGAATGAGACAACTCGGCGATGGTGAAATACAGCTCAGCCGCATCTAGTATTTGAGTCCAATCTGGGGTAATATTGCGGCTTGTTCTGGCTAATTGCACGAGACTTCGTCCCATGGCTTTGTGCATGTTAGCGGGCTTCCCACGAAAGGCGGCTTCGACTGACCAATATCCATCCATGCACGGCGACCGCAGTCTCGACTAGCTTCAAAGTCAACAAGAATACACATGGTGCGAATATTGTTGATTTGCGGCTGGTCGGGCGTCGAAGACTGCACGCAGTCCCGCGCCTCGTCGCCCATCAACTGCGCCAGGTTTGCGCAGTGCGGCTCTCTTGCCGCCTTGTGGACGGAGAAGCGCATGCTGGAGGCGCAAATCGCAAGGAGTAATCCTCGAGAGATGGTCCTCTGCAGAATCTGTTCGTTGACTTGGGCGGGAGACAGCAGCGACCTGAATTGCGTGTTGGTGCGAGTGCAGAAAAGTTCGATGAGATGGCACATCAGGTCCATGTCCAGCTCGGGGAGGCTATTATACCGAGTCAGCTCACTGTACCTTGCCCAGTAGATCTTGTCCTGTTGCTCATACGTATCAGTGATGGAGATGGGAGAAAGCAGTTGCTCCAATATGGGCTTCCACTGCACTGGATCGAGGGCATCATCCCCTTCACCAGTGCTCTCATCGTCGGACTTGTCAATCTCTTCAACCCTCGGTAGGTCCGAAGGCATCCAGACGGGCTCGACTAAGACGTGGATGGTGGGTTCGATGGCGGGCGTGATGGCGATTTCGACTGGAGCTTCCACCGGAACTTCGAGTGAGGGTTCGATATACACCGTAGATGTTGATTCCAGAGAAGGACGTCGAGGAGCCAGTTGCTGCGTCACTCGCGGGACTTGGCTCGCAGGCTTTCGAGGACGCGGACCTCGACGTCCGCGGTTCTTGCTGTCAAAAGCACATTGTCGGCCGCTGTCTGAGCAGAAAGTACATGGTTGCGTGCCACTACACTTGACCTGTATACGCAACGTCAGCGACAATGACGCGAGACTCAACTCACACCACGGCACCAGTACGACTCACCCGTCGTTTGCGACAGGAATCGCAGGCCAAGGTGACTTTTCGTCTGTACGGCCCGTGTATAGCTGACGCATTCGCCTCCGACATGTTGGCATGACATGTCGAAACCGGCGCAGGTTCATTCGCGCCCTGGAAGCGTGTGCCACAAGACCCTTGTAGAGTTCTTCTCGACGGCAGGAAATCGCTATATCCGAGCCTCGGAACCATCTCATTTCGGGGGCTTGCTCTCGGCGGCCTTATCACAGCGGGTCGCGACAACACGACTCATGATTGGTTCTATTTTTCCGTGTCAAACATCCGTCCCCGGAGACGGAACCCTCGGGGGCCGGAGGTTCGCTTGCGACAGATGGGGATTGTGGAGAGTGGGAGATGGATCATTAGTCCGTGTTGAGCGTCTGGATCATCCGTTTGTCTTCCGTGCGGGCTCCCCAGATGTCGAGATGCTCATCTCACTGGGCGCTACGAGTTGGGATGCTCCGCCTCTACCATCCGTCTTGGAACATAAGAGCAATGCGGCCAACCGCGAGAGTAGATAGATGTACAGACAGACACACGTTGAATACAGACATTGGATATCAGACAAGAGCCTTCATTGGTCGCATTGAATCACATTGACTGTATCACTATCGACATCTGCCATCTCCAGCGCAACATGGTCAATTCATCCGAGGGCTTTACGTGGACTCCCACCGGTGGAATCAGTCACGGCCTTCCCACTATTGGTGTCGTTGTCCCTCCGTCGCATGCAATCCAGCCACAAACCGCCACCTACGATGCCATTGTCATCGGCTCAGGCTATGCCGGTCTAGTTGCTGCCCGCGACCTCGCCACCCAAGGTACGAGCAACGACAGTGTCGTTGGTCATCGTTGCTGACTCTGAACAGGAAAGAAGACGCTGCTCGTTGAGGCTCGCGACAGACTGGGTGGCCGTACTTGGCATGCTACTATCGATGGCTTCAACTATGAAATCGGAGGCACCTGGTTGCATTGGCACATGCCGCACATCTACCGCGAGATATCTCTCTACGGATTGCACAATGACTGGATAGTTACGCAAAACCCTGGCAGCAAGGAGGACTACTGCACTATTACTACCGGTGACAAGCAGCGCAACATTTCCCATGCCGACGAGGTACGTTTTTCACTTGCTGGCAATGACAGTATTATTACTGACCAAACAGGCCTACTTCGGCGGAAGAGTCAACGAAATCTTCTGCAACCTAGATGGAAACAACCTCAGGGAGTCATGGAAGTACACCTTCGGCACCAACCAGTCCCCTGAGCTCATGGCCAAGTGGGACAAGTTCTCATGCCAGGACCGTCTCGACCAGATCCGCGATCAGCTCACCGCCGAGGAGATGACGATTCTCGTCGCCCAGCTCGTGCAGATGGGCGGCAACTCGCCCGACAAGATGGGCCTGCTCGACGCCCTCCGCTGGTTCATCCTGGGCTCGCATACCGGCACGGGGCTCAGCGAGATTGCCCTGCACACGCGCCTGCGCAGCGGAAACAGCGAGCTGCACCGCCGCATCTTTGGGCATGCGCTATCCAGCGGCAACCTGTCGTACAGCTTCAAGACGCCCGTTCAGCGCATCGAGGAGTACGGAGGCCTTGTAACTGTGACGGCCCGCGATGGGCAGAAGTGGAAGGCCAAGTCCATCATCTGCACCGTCCCCCTCAACGTGCTCTCGTCGATCGAGTTCTCGCCGCCGCTGGCTGCGGAAAAGGTGGCGGCTTCGCAGGAAGGGTCTGTGAACAAGTGCAACAAGGTCCACATTGATCTGGACGGGCCCGACTATCTGTCGTGGAGCTCGCTGTCTACCCCTGGCAAGGGCCTGGTTGCGGCTTTCGGAGATCACCTCACTACGGCCGGCAACTCGCACTTGGTTGCTTTTGGGCCTGACCCGAAGACGCCAGAGGGCATCACGCTAGATAGCATCGGCGGTATCACCTCTGCGCTCACTCACCTGCTTCCCAAGGACAAGCAGAAGGAAGTCAGCGTCAACCGTATTGTAAGTCAACCGCATTCAACCCTCGGCCATCCGCAAACTAACCAACCACTAGGTAACTCACGACTGGAACAAAGACGAGTTTTCAAAGGGCACTTGGTGCTATTTGCCCACCGACTTCACCACCAAATATCTCGAGGCCCTCCAACGTCCCCACGGCAATGTCTACTTTGCCAGCGGTGATTTCTCCGACGGCTGGCGAGGTTGGATTGATGGTGCTGTGCATATTGGCATGCAGGTGGCCCATCAAGTGATCCAGAAGCAAAACCAGTCACCAGGAGCTGCTAGATCGCGCATTTAGGTGCTTTTTACCGACATCTCTGCATTATCGACGCTCATAACTATCCCTGTCCCCTCCTCGCTGCCTATGTCGTAGGCAATGGGGAGAAATCCCTATTAAAAGCGTTTGCTCTTAATCGCATCTACTTCCCATCCATAGTCTGTTTAAAGCATAGCAAATATTATATTTCAAAGGCATTAGAGAATAAGATGACCGGAATTCCTTACATGGTCTGGAATTTGTAATATGAGGCGGATTAATTCCTGTGCTGGAAATACAGACAAGGCTACCCTAGACACAGACAGGCAAAGAACTTTGCCGAAACAATCACGCGTAATAATCCCGAGAGAAACATGCTAATTTTAATGCTACAAAAACGCCTATGGTATATATTCCGGTTCCCTATTTATCCGAGCTAATAAGTCCAATGTTGTGCGCGTCCGACCCTTGTCCCTTGTGAGTGTGACTCCAATACGTGATGGAAATACTCTTCTTCTTCACCACCTCGAGCTTCTCCTTGCACACCGCGTCATCAAACGTTGCTTGCTCCGCAGAACACACGGCAAGAAACTCGTGATGCTCTTTCCAATTGTATGGGTACACCAAACGCCCGGGCAGCAAGACGATTTCGTCTTCTTCGCTCGAAGCGCCGTAGGCGATAATCGTCTTGCGCAACGCGATCGGTCCCGTCATGTGCTCGGCATTAGGGGTCTTGTGCCAGAAATTGCGGAGGAAGCTCTTGCTCTTCTCAAGCTCGGCGTGTGCGAATTCGAGAGCGCGCAGGAAGAATGGATGTCCTGGTGATGCCGCCATCCAAGCGTTGGGTATGGACTGTTCGTACGTCTGGTCGGTGCCCATCCGTCCGAAAAGGGCAATCTTGGTCGCGTCTTCGGTACCGGTGGAGGTGTCGTTGACTCCATTGGAGAAAGGTATACTGTAATCCTCGAGGCCATCGACGGTGGAACGGAGACACTCGGTGTCGAGATCGGCGTAGACCCTGCGAGGTAGTGTTAGCAACCTGTTCAATGACGGGGCTTCCAGGTCACGTACCCGCCAAATTGATACATGTAGAGGTTCCTCGCCAGGTCGGCTCTGTAAATGCTTCCGGGCAAGTTCAAGTAGGTATCCAACAGCCAGGGAAAATGCTCCTTGACCAGGCGGAGGTTGTCCTCATCCGTCCAGAGCACCCACTCCCAATCGGGATGCTTCTCGCGACACGAATCGCTCCATCGCTGGAACTTGGCGGGAAGCTGCGTCGTTTTCCAGCTCTGGTGGAACAGCTTCGGGACGATAGCTTGGTTCGCGGCCGGACGGCACAGGAGCTCTGCGGGAGACAAGGCCGGCGCAAGACCCGGTCTGTTCGCGGCCGGCGTGGAGGAGGAGGCCGGCGGACAGGTCCCGGAAGGGCGAGAGGCGCCGTGATTCGCGACACTGGCGGGAATAAATGGATCAGACGGTCGCGCGTTGCGTCCGTAGGCGGAACTCGCTGCGATCAGGACGAGCACGGCGGTTGAGAGCCACGCAAGGACAACCAGGCTCCGCGGCCGGAAGAGAGAGAGGCGAGACATGATGGCATTTCGCGAGCAAAATGTCTGAGGACGCGGCACACGCGAGGCAGCGAGACTCGTTCCTTTTACACTGACGTACTTCATGCTCCGCCATCGTATTTTCCCCACATGGCTTCGCTCATCTCCACAAGGGCTGAGCAAATGCAGCTCCCGCTCAGCCTCAACCAGACTGTTTCGGGCCTCACCAGCCTGTTTCGGGATACGGCCGAAAGTCAACCAGAAACCGGCTGACAGTCAGCCGTGAAATTAATTAATGTGCCCCGTGCTTCGTGAGGCAATCCTTCTGGAAGATCAGGGGTGTTTTTAGAGCGAATGAGCTGCCGATCACTCGCTGTGTGAAACGCGTCTGTTCTGCGCTTACTACGCTGTCAATCACAGACGAAACGATGACATGATACTCGAGTATGTACACTGTCTACAGTGTCTCTATTAATAGTCTATATGTACTAGCCGTTGGTTGAGGTGCGAGAAATCTATGTAGTCTATCCATGCCATTTTCGAGTCCATGCCAATCCGATCGCGCTCTAGAACTTCGCCGTCAGGCTCCATCCCATGCGATGGACTCTTGCAGCCATAATAAACACTGTGCCGGCGAAGCAGAACACGCCGGCAAAGATCTTGATACCCGTCAATCCGCTTGGGCCGGCGATGATGGCTCCGTTGATGGGGTTGGTAGTCAAACCGCCAACTGACGAGATGAAGAAGACAATGCCCGTGCGGAAGCCGATTTCCTGCATGGGCGAGATCTGTGCGACCAGAGGCGCGATGAGCGACACGTATGCGCCGGAGCAGAAACCGAAGAGAGCTGCAAAGGCGATGATTCCGGCAGTTTTGTTGACGGGGATCCAGAGCGCAAGCGTCCAGAGAGCAGTGAGGTAGCCGACCAAGATGAAGATGTTGTACCGGCCTACTCGGTCGCCCATGATGCCGGAGAAGATACGTCCAAAGAGACTCGCAGCGTTGAGAATGGGAATCAGGTACTCGATCAGGTTGGTATCCATGCCAGCGGCCAGTGCCTGGACGGGGAGGTAGTTGATGGGCACGTAGATGCCGTACGTGAAGAGGAAGAAGCCGATGATGAGCAAGACGAACTCGGGCTCGTGGAAAGGCTTCATGAGTTGCTCGGGGGTGATTTTCTGGGGACGGGGAGGGTGGAACGCGCGCACGGTTAGGTTGGCGATGATGAGCAGGCCGAGGATCAGGAAGCCGCAGATGCGCATGGCCCAGCCGAAGCCGACCTGCTCGATGAGCCGGGTGACCATGATGGGGAAGATGACACCGCCGATACTGGAGCCGGTGGCGAGAATGCCAAAGGCGGCGCCGCTGTTGGTGCTGAACCAGCCGTGAATGGTGTTGAGGGCTGGAGGGTATTAGTGATAGCCAACACAAAGTAGACGATGTGATGCTTACCAGGCTGGAAGATGGCAGAGACTCCCAGAGCAGAGCAGACACCCTGGGCAAGCATGATCTGATAGTACTCCTTGCCCAGTGAAGTCATCATGATACCGAAGACGTGGAGAAAGGTTCCGGCAAGGATGAGGTGACGAGGTCCATAACGGTCATACACCATGCCGATGATCGGGCCCTTTGGAGCAGGTTAGCTCATGCCATGGGAAAAGGATACGAATAACTTACCATGCCCATCATGAAGAAAATTTGCAGCGAGGGAATCCACGAGATGGTACTGGCAGAGTAGTCCTTGAGCATGTTGTTCTGGTAGTACTCCTGGAAGACTCCGACACCTAGAAGAAGTTAGACTCAAACTCGAACAGACAAAGTCGCAAAGGGTCGGCACATACTGTTGATCCAGCCGAAACTGCAGAATGACGTGCACCACGCGCCAAGAACAACGAGCCAGGCTGTTGTACCACCATTGGGTGCATCACTCTTGTAGCCAGCTGGCGGTGCCGCCTCCGCATCGGGCTGCTCTGTGACTGACGACTTATCGGTGAAGTCGTTCTCTGCCTCTCGCCCTGCCGTCTGCAGCGTCATGCCGGTCATCTGCGAGTCGGCCGATGAGGCCAAAGGCTCCTTGATAGCCATGTTGTCAAGGAGGGAGTGTGAAAGGAGGGTGTAGTCGAGTGTAATTGAAATGAAGGTGGGTGTAAAGGGTGGAAGTTAGAAAGTTATGGGGTCAAGACCGGGAAAGGCGTGATTTCGAAAGGGAAGCCGATGTGTTATATGGTCGTTGACATCTGTGCCGGCCTGGGAGGGAGTTCCGATGCCGAATAGATGCTCGGTGATGGAGAGCGAGGAATTACAACGGGCCAGATCTCGGCTCCGAATGGAGAAGGGTTATTGACAAGATTGAGATCCTCAGCCTCCAGAGGGGTCCTGGAGAAATACAAGACGAATTCTCATCGCGCCTTCGCTCTTCGGCCTTAAACATAACATAACATTGCATGTGGCTCTCTGGTCAGGGGGGTGGGTTCGGCCTCCTTTCGGCGCCGTTGCAGAATGGGCACCGACGCCGAAGCATCCAACTGCGGCTCTGGGATAACTCCACTGTGGAGCGGCCATTACAAGGGAATTTCGTACGGAGCCGCTCTTGCGGGACAATCAATTGTGCGAGATGGCCAGGGGGCGGTGGACGGTAGATCATGATGGAATCAGCCGCAATCTACGATGCACTTGGCGGCGGGAATAGGGCCAGAATGGTTTCCGGACGCCTCTGTTACAGGATAATTACGGGAGACGGCCGCCAAGATGTCACGATGGACTTGTGTGTGTCGTTTTGCCAGGGCTTAACGTGGCCCACTAACCGCAACCAGGATAAGTGTCGTCTTGAGAAAGGACCAGGACAGGGCATGATTCAAAACAAATGCCGTTGCTGGTCCGCCAACAGGCCGTTTGGGGAATCTGCCCAGAGATCTTATCAGCGGGAAGCTTAATCTGCAGTCGACGATTATCAAAGGCAGCCTGCTTCAACCGGATGAGCTTGTCGACGCATAGCTGATCAGCAGAGTCTGCCAGCATCTGGGCTAGCGTCGCGATCTCGCCTCTTCGCTGACGCTGATGACGAGATTATGCGCAATTTGGCACCTTCACGGAGGTCTCCGCCGCGTATTTGTACCTAACTACGAGCTAATACCACCCAAGTCTCGGCTCGCTCCTTAAACATGGACCGACGCCGAAGCCTTCAATTGCCTGACTCCCAGCTCCTCCCCGAGCGGCGCCGACGAGCACCGACGCATGCATGCTCTTTACGGGAGAATACAACAGCCAAGCCTTTGATAGCACGATGTCCTCCCGGCATCCAGACAATCCCGGCCAGTCACGGTCCCCGGCGGCCAGCCGGAGGGTGGAGCGGTCGTGTGTCATCTGCCACCGCCGCAAGGTGCGCTGCGACAAGCAGGCGCCGTGTTCGCAGTGTTCTCGCGGCGGGTACACATGCCTCTATCCGCAGACCGGGCCGCCGGTGCGCCGTGCCCGGAAGACGACCATCACGGACGTGGCGAGCCGCATCTCGGAGCTGGAGAAGACGCTGATTGCCGTGTCTCGCGAGCACGAGGTGCAATTGAGCATTCGGCCGTCGTCACACACAAGCACCGTCGCGAGCCACACGACGTCGCCGACCTTTGAACCTCGGGCTCGGCGTCCAGAGTCGGAAGTCGCCGACGGGAGTCCTAGCGATGAGATCTTGCTGAAGAAGGGGACTTCGAGCCAATACTTCAACGAAGTGCTGTTTTCTCGTGTAATTGAACAGGTGAGATGCTTCCAGCCGAGCTATGAACGCAGGCCCCTGGCTAATACCACCAAAGGAACATGATGTTCGCTCGGCGCTGTCAACGCCAAGGAGCCGGTCTCCGCAATCGCCCACGACATCGCCATTCAACCCGATGGGCATCTTGTCCAGCAAGTGCTTCGACGAACCACTGACCTCCTATCTCCCACCAAAGCTGGCGGCCATGCAGCTGTGGAGAGTGTTTGTGGACAACGTCGACCCGTGCTCCAAGGTCCTCCACATTCCCACCGACGAAATCACCATTTACACGGCCATCGACGACCCGAGCAGTGCATCGCCCGAGGTTCTGGCCTTGTGCTGTGCCGTGTACTTCGCCGCGACTGTCGCCTTGGAGCCTGCCGAGGTAGCGAGCATTCTCGGATACGATAAATACGGAATTCTTCATCAGTTCAAGAAGGGTATCGACCAGGCGTTCGCCCACAGCGACTTCCTGGAGGCTCCGACTGTGGTGCTACTCCAAGCGCTCGCAGTCTACATGGTGCGTGATGATCTAGACGATTGACGAGTGGGATTAATAATTATTTTGACCTGTAGGCCGCTGTGCGAGTCCACAACTCTGGACGAGGCATCTGGGTCTTGAATGGCCTCGCAATCCGAGCTGCGGAATCGCTAGGGCTGCATAGAGACGGGAAAAAACTCAACCTGCCCCCGTTCGAGTCCGAAATACGACGTCGAGTCTGGTGGCATTTAGTAGCTCGAGATGGGAGAGCTGCCGAAGATCACGGCCTGAACAACACATATAGTGCCGCCCTGATGTCCAGTGTTGACTTGCCGCTCAACCTGGAGGACTCCGATCTGTATCCAGACATGGAAGAACTACCCCCGCCCCGTCCTGGCTGGACTCGTATGACTCTGGCTCTGGTGAATCTAGGTGTTGCTCGAGCATGTGGCCATTTGCTGCAGTCTACTCCCGTCACCGGGACTTCACGGGAGGAATTCCGCGCGCAGGTCGTCGGCGAAGCCAAGGCAGTCATGGCCGATGTTCTCAACCGATGCAACCATGTCATCCCGCAGCAACGAATGACCATCACGGTAGCGCGATTTATTCTGCGGAAACTCGATCTCGTGTCGCGCCAGCGGGAGATGATGAACAATCCTATCCAGCTGGCAAGCGAAGAGAACCTTCTTGAAGCACTGAGTCTCCTCGAAGAAGCGGAACACATGTGGACAGATGAACTCCTCCGGCCCTTCGGCTGGTCGATGCGCGCATACCCGCAGTTCCACATGATGCTCTACATCCTGTGGTATCTATGCGTTCAACCGCAGCGGCCCAGTGCTGCTCGGGCGTTGATAGTCGTCGAGAACCATCTGGAAAAGACGCGGAAGATGGATGCGTGCGCGACCAATGAGTCCAAGTGGATGGTTCTTGCGACTCTCAAGTCAAAGGCCACTTCGATTATGCAGTCTACGGGCGGAGACAGCTCTGGGACTGAAGGGGCATGTGTGGCTCCCCAAGTAGTCGACGATGGCATGGCTCTCCTTGGATGGAAGACGGGGATGGAGACAAGCGGAGGACATGAATTCGATGGGCCGCAGGGGATGCTGGATTGGAGGACGCTCTTGGAGGACTTCCAGCTGGACTCAACTGACGTGTCGATTATTTAACTCACGTATTGTTGCAGACGGCTACAGGGATTGAACAAACCACTGCATCTTGGCCCAAGAAGCGACGTTAAAGCGTTACCTGATTTTCCAACTGTATAACGGAGAGCGTGGGGTCTAATCTGTCAGTATCTCAGAGCCTGTCGGCCTTGATTCTCCAGCAGAAGAGATATTATGTTTCCTGCTCCGTCTCCTGGATTCCCTTCTGCTGCCTTAAGAACCTCCTCTGTAATCTGAACCTCTTGACTCCGCTCCTTCAGCAGAAGAGATATTATATCTGTCCCCGCTTCCTCTCCTGGATTACCTGCTGCTGCAATAAGAATGTCCTCTGTAATCTGAACATCTTGACCTCGCTCCGAAAGGAGAAGATCTATTATGTTTCTTGCTCCGTCTCCTGGGTTCCCTGCTGCTACCTTGAGAATCTCCTCTGTAATTTGAACCCCTTGACCTCGTTCCTGAAGCAAAAGAGTCATCATCGCCTCTCCTACTCCATGACTTCCCGAATTCCCTGCTGCTGCTTTCAGAACCTCTTCTGTAATCTGAACCTCTTGATGTCGCTCCTTTAGTAGCAGAGCCATTATCTCCTCTCCTACTCGATGGCGCCCTCTGTTTCCTGCTGCTGCCTTGAGCACCTCCTCCGTAATCCGAACCTCTGAGCCTCGCTCCGAAAGCAGAAAAGCCATTATTTCTTCCCCTGCTTTATGTCCTCTATTCCCTGCTGCTGCCTTGAGAACCTCTTCTGTAATCCGAACACCTTGACCTCGTTCCTTCAGTAGCAGAGCCACCATCTCCGGCCCTTTCAAATTTTTTGCTGCTGCTATGATGACTGCTTCTGTTATCCGCAGATCCTGGCTTTGCGTTTGCAAAATAGTACCCATGATATCTTCATCAAGTTCCAGTGCAACTCTCTCCATGAGCTGTTCTGTGACTTGGAAGCCCTCAACTCTTTGATGAAAGAGATCTTTCAACAAGTTTGCGTGGTAATATGATTTATGCTCCATGGCGGCGTCAAAAACCATCTCGGTGACCATCCTGTCTTCTCGCGTGTTCAGCAAGGCCGACACTACCAGGGGGTGAAAAATTCGCACTATTTTGGCGAGAGTGGTCTCTGGAATATCAACATTCTCATTTTGCAAGACTAACTCCAGGATGTCGTCGCCGTTTCTCTCATTCGAAGCTATCAGGTGGACTAATTCATCCGTGAGAGTGAACTTGCCTTGGACTTCCATCAACAAGCGCAGAACAGAAACGCCGTTCTCTGTGTTTCCCACTGCTTCCTTTAACAGTGCAGGAATATCAAAGTTGTGACTATTGTTGTCCAAGAAGTGTCGCATCATCTCTTGATCGAATTCCTTGGCAACTGTGCGGATGGCCTCTTCGGTGACTCGAACGCCACTTCCTCTAACAAAGGATCTCAAAGAGTTGTATCCTCTCGCACCAGATCTAGAAGCCTCTTGAACAATGTCATTATCTATGATGGTGTCTCTTGACTTGAACTCAGCCAACCACGGAATGTTGACCTTAGTGGCCACTTCCCACGTATTTTCTGCCTCTTCAAGCCCTAGTATTCCAGATGCTTCTGCCCAAGAGAGAAGAATTGGAGAACCTGGGCTGATCATTCGGTCAATGACGTGAGTGAAGCTTTGAATGTCATCCGTAGTCTCAATATGACGATGCCAGTGACGTGCAGCATAACTAAGGAATGGGTGCTGACGGTTCCTTTCAGCCAGTACTTCACGGTCACCACAAGGGCCAAGTTCAAAATCCTCAAAACACAAGAATGTCATGCAGACCCTTGCCAAGTAAATATTGGGATGCAGACTTCGGCAGAACTGAGCGGTTGCTAGGCATTTGCTCTTGAGGAGGAAATCCTTGGCTGATTGATGTATCAGATAGAGTCTTCCGTTGATGACCTCTAGAATGACTCCAGCAGCGCTTGTGATTGTGCCCTTGGTGAGACTGATTCTATGCTTGTCGGTAGATTCCTTGCTGATAGAACCCTCTTGTACTGCAAGAGCTTCTTCAAGTTCAACGAGTGTCAAGGCTCGTCGGCCATAGACTGCCCATGTCAAAAGCTTTTGTTGCGCGACATCGTTGATTTCCATGATCTGGTCAACAATGCCTTGGTAGAGTTCCGTCAAGTCTGATGGACTGTCGCTTATCATTTCTTCCAGGTCTGCCTGTGAAAGCAAGGACGACGCGCTTTGCAATTTCTTGAGAACAATCGACACCCATAGGAAGGTCTGTTCAGCATGAGCGGCTAATAAATCGCTCGCATTCTCTGGTAATTGCATGCTCAGTCCTAGGGTATTGATGCTGTCCTTGATGAATGTTTTCAGATCTTGGAGGTTGGCTTTCAGATAGATCTTCGGGTACTGACTCAGCTCTCGGCTCAACTGCACCGTTGGGCGGCTTATGAAGAGCAGCTTGAGAATCTGGAATGCTTGTATTGTCCCAAGCTTTGGCTGAACGAGCGTCGTCATGTATCTCAGAAATCTGCGTCTCAATTCATCATCTTGGCACTCGTCAACGCCATCTACCACGCAGTATATTGTGCCGAAGATGGGAGCACAAAGAAGCTCTTTCAGAATATCCCAAAGATCATCGTCAGGTATTGCGAAATTTTCGATGCTAGTGGCATGGGAGATGACCTGGAAGGCATTTCGAGCAGAAAGCAATTGCTTGATCAGAGACCTTAAGGCAGCGCTGACAGTCCTGAGGTCATCATCTTGATTGAAGAAGAAGAAATAGATGACGGTTGCACGAATGCTGGCAGCAGGAAGGGAGTTTTCCAAGTGGTCCAAAAGGAATTTGGCAAGGATTGTCTTCCCTTGACCCGGTGAACCCTGTATCCAGAGCACTGATGATCGATCTTCTGTTTTCCAAGAACGGAACTGGTTGTTTTCCAAGAACCAACCAAGTGTTCCGTCTGTCGGATCATCGATCTTGTAATTTCTGAACGCTGCGTAGTTAGGAGCTTTGAGGGCTTGAATGTAGACAGATTCCAAGTGCGATAATTCTAATTTGGGTCTTAGTATACATATTCCAATCCTCTAGACATGACACTCACTCTTCACGTGGCTCGATAAACGGTCTCGAATAACTCCCGGCGCATCCGCAACCAACCGTCTTATCCTCGACTCTATTATGACGTAGTCCTCGTCAGATTGGTCGCTGAATTTGACGATGTTGGAATGGTCGGCATCTATAGAGAGTCGATCGTACGCCTTTTCATTTGGGCCGCTGTTCGTAGCGGATGTGACTGGAACCATCATGACTTTCTCTCCAGTTCTTTCCCATGATGCTGTTCTCGGGGACCACTGTTGGAACAGTCAATAATGCTTCTGGCGGAATACCATGATCCCAACCAACTCACCTCGACAGTCGGGGTCGTTTTGGTTTCAAACACGCATATTATTTTCGAGTCTTTGAGTGTAAACTTTTCGTCGAACCTTTCTCGAAGGAGAGTCAAGAATGAAGAGGACGGGGAGAGGTTTCTAATCAATTGTTCATTCGGCTGCCCTTTGACCATGGCCTGCAGACTCGAGTTGTCGAGGCCTCTGTTAGGAACGGCAAACAAAAAAACGGCATAGCAAGCCCTGAAGACTGCTTGGTCATCTTCGCTGCCATTAGATGCTTCGGCAAGGGCCTAGATTGAGTTAGTCACAACGTTGATACAGGTTTTACAGGGTTCAGGATATAGGGGAGTTGCGTTCGCAGAATATTTCACATACCTCTTTCACGACAAGACCTCCAAGACTGTGCCCAATAAGAATCAGTGGCCGGTTTCTCTGCACTAAGTCAGCTTAAATCCCCAGCGGCTCAATGAATCTAACCCTTACCAGTTGTCCATCTCTAGTGGTCTTGATCGATTCCAAGAGCCTCCTCGATAGGTCCCGGATGGATGCCTCCGACTGGCTTCCGGGAAGTTTGGTGTCGTAGCCGTATGTCAAGATGCGTGTATTTGGGATCGATGCTGGGAGGAAGTCTCGTAGCCACATGGATTCCTTCCCTTTTGATTTCCATGATCCGAATGCATGTCCAGCAAGTCCAGTAACCGCAACGATACTAGGATGATAGATGCGTTAGTTTAAGGAGTACATACGTTCGTACAAACCGTGAGGGAACAACTCACTCCACTTCGGTGTCTTGCAGGGGATCTGCAAGAGGTGTGAGACCAAAAAAGTCTTCATCAACTTTCAATCGAGAAGCCTCAGGGCCGATTTCGCGTTTGATGGCAGTTTCCAGCTCGCCACATGATGGAGCTGTTCGGAAGGTTGCAGTGGCAACACAAAACCGGTCAGAAAGGCCTGAGATGGCAGCTGGCGTATAGGATGATCCGATAAAGTTAGTCTCATTAGTCCCGTCCGAGGTTGTCTCGGCTAAGATATGCTCAAGTTTTTCCCTGGTCACGCTTTTAGGAATGTTGGATATTTTGACCGTGAGGAATTTGCGTGGCGTTTGCGGCTTGGGCTTTTTTGCGCTCTCCGGGAGGTCTTTGATAGCCCAGCCAAACCCAAACAATCCAAGTGTCATGATCAGAGCGAATGCCGTCGCGACAATAAGATGGATTGCTTCCATGTTGGAGCAGGTTTTTCTTTTGTCGCACCTAGGGGAGTGCGCCAGGCAAAATAGGATGGAGAGGAAGTTGAGCGAGATTTACCAGGTCTTTTTTTGTCGGGCGTGCTGAAGCGTGGGTTTAGAGACTCAGGTAGCCGAAGTGAAGACTGGCGACAAATAATTGAGGGATGGGCTTGTGCCAAATGATATCCGAACGCGACGGCAAGTTGCCAAATGTATGGATCACTGGCCTTGAAGCACCGCAGTTCATGGAATGGTAACGAGACGTGGGGTGGAGAAAAATGCCTCACGCAATGAGGACTCGGCGAGAAGAGACTTGGATACTACGATGGATAAGGCTGATGCGTTGGGCATCAATTAAGACAATCAGGTAAGCAAGCAAGAGACCAGTAGCATCAGGCTGAGCTGCATCAGCGAAACGCCACCATGCAGATGGGTTGTAGGGAACACTGAATTGGAGACCATTGTTGGGGAACTACCATGGAGACTCACTCAATGGTTATTACTTGATTAACATGGCAGATTACTTCATGGTTTGTACAGATAACGTATTCTCGTTTATCTCAATACAGTTGAGTAAAAGTTCCCGCTAGAAACCAAAATTCTCATACTCCTTTAAAATCTCCCACAATTCTGTTGATTGCAAAGCACGGAAATCGCCATCGAGTGACTCAAAAGCACTCGAGATATCCAAGGGTGGCAAAGGACCCATGCCCATAACCATTTGTTGAGAGGGATCGGACGTAGAAGAGAATGTCGGCGGATATAACGTATTTTGGGGTGAGATGTTGTCAGATGGAAGTTGTTGCATTGGTACTTGTTGGAGACTCGGATCGATCAGATCAAAATTTTGGCTTGTTGCCATTGACTCCTCAGGTATGGCCTCTGTAGTTTGAGGATCGGCTGTTGAGTATGGGAGTGAAGGTCCTGCTGAACTCAGCTGTGTATCAGTTGGTGCTGGTCCCGGTTCTGAGCTGGCGGAAGTATTCACAGAATGTGGTAAACCCTGGCCCTGCGATTGGATATTGTCCACAACGTCCTGTATGCCCTGCAACTTGTCTCCGAGCCTTCGTGAGATGGGTGACTGTGCTGATAATTGCCGGACAAGCTCCATCGCTGCAACGACATCCTGCAGACATAAAACACTCTGCTCAGACCCTGAACAGCACATTATGAGAAGCAAAGATGATAAGGCCGTCTCTAGGAAGTGGTTGAAGGTCCTGTGCTGCGCGTGGTAAATATCCGTCGTTTGAGCCAGCCCAACGAGGATTCGAATAGTATCCTGCGCAATTTCCACCATGTCATTGATGCTGGAAGGATCGAAACTACCCGGCTCAGATTGAACTGTCGACTTCCTGTGGATGACGGTTCGCATCTGGTTTGCTCTTAGATAGAGCATGAGACGCAGCTTGTACTCCCCGCGACTCTCTCTGGTTGAGTCGAACTTGTCATCAACACCGCCAAACTGGAGCCTCGCCGGGAGATTTTTCTGCCATCGTACAACCCTGAAGTTGAGCAGATCGCGTACTGATGCTGATGTTGCGGGCAGGGATAGGGATGCATCGAGGATGCATTTTCGGACTTCGGATGCGACACTACCGTATGCGACCATAGATTTCAGGTATGCAGATGACAGTGAGTCGTCCTTTTCATCTCAATTAGCCACTTGTATAGGAAATACTAACAGGGTAGTTCGTACCGCAAAGCTGGGATGATGATTAATGTCACAATCTTGAATCGCAAACGGTAGGCCCGTCCCAAAGCCCCAACGGCGATCGAGTGTGTATGAGGACCAGTAGAGCTTTTCCCCTACACTTTGTAGCTGTTCCGATAAGGATTTGACGCGTAAATCGTCGGAGCTCTGGCAGCTCAGCTCATGAAGTAGCCGCATGACGATACCTATTCCTCGCCACGCCGTGACCTCTCTGTCGCTCAGAAAATAGTACATACTCTGTGTGTCAAGTCAGAGGGGGTTCATAAAGTGTGAGAGATCAAAGGCTCACGCATAGGATTAGTACGCATAGCTCGTCCCTGTCAACGCCATTCAGCTGCGTCCTGCCAATGGCGCCCGTGAATATCTCATCAATCGCTGGGTTGGCAATCTCAATGGCCGCAGGATCCGCGAGCGTTGAAACAATGGCGTGGATGACGAGGGCGACATCTTCCAGGCGTTCCTCTTTACGCGCTTTTGGTACCGTGGAACGTCCTCCCACACTGCTTCGAGCAATATGGATCGCCCTGACATCTTGCTTCAATTTTTCGATATCAAGAAATGGATATTGGAGACCTATTTCTTCCTCGTAAATGAGTAAAAGCTTGATCCAGTACTTTGCTTCAAAGGCTGCCAGGAGGCCGCCCGGTGCTCCGTGGCTGCGATGGTCCATCAGCTGCTGTATGGACTCAGCTCCGACCATCGTCTTCCGGAGACGTTGTGGTGGCGCATCGCTTTGATCAGGGCTCAAAGCGACAAGACGCTTCTCAGCAAGACGAAGATAGTAATCGGAATTGTCCAGCATAGACGGGAGAGCCGAAGCTGTAAGGTCCACACTCCGCCGACCGGAAGCCGGATTCGTGGACTGCGATACTACAATCTCATTGTTCTTTTCTCCCGCCTCCTCGGAGCTTTGAGTATTTGCACCAATGCTGACGACAAATTGAGCGTCAGTGAGAATAATACAGGAGCTGGGAAGGCTCACGAGCTACGGCGTGCAGAGCGGAAGCGCGTGGTGCGTTTGTAGACGCACATGTCGTCACTCTCACGACATCCTTTGCACGGCCGCTCCCCGCTGCATTTTATTTTGCGGCGCTGGCATTTGTCGCTGGCGGGCGAGATTAGCAACAGATACTTGACGATTGACGGAATAGAAGTCGCACCAGGCAACGCGCGTGTACGGAAAGCGTCGTTTTTTCTCGCTGGACATGGTTGACCGACAGCCGAAAGTGGACAATACGTGGTGCAGCGTGGAGATGATGAGGTTCCGCAGAGCACAAAATACCGAAAAGTTGATTCCGAATCCCTCGGACCAAACGGGATCGACCCCGGATATTTGACTGCGGGGAAGAGTACCGGCAATTTGGGAAGCGGAGTCGACGCAAGGTTACGTAAACGAGATGCAGCCAATACTTTCGGTGGGATTAGGAATGTTAGCGTAGATGGATTTCACGATAGTCGAGTCGAGTCAGTTAGGGGAGTGTCGGGAGCACGCGGCGGTGGATATTGGGATGATTAGAACTTAGATCTACTAACTTACCTATGACGTAAATATTCAAGATAGTCAAGACCATCTTGGTGGGTCTAAACACTAGAGACAGATAAGCAAGGGATCGCGGGTAACAATTATCCAGAGCGTTGAGGGATTTAGTACCTAGAATCTAACAATCTGATCAAGCTGTGCCAAGATAAGATCCCTCTAAATTGGAACACAGATAGCAACAAGTTGCACAAGGCTTGCCATCCCGAGTATTTCCACCCACAATCATCTAGGCCGGAGGAGGCTTCTGCCCACTGTTATAGTTCACTGTGCTGTGAGCACCCTTTCCAGTCACCTGGAAACCACTTCCACCATTGATATTCTGTTCCCCCTTCCCGAGATGAATAGGCTGGATTCCACTGCCACTGTTGGTGAACGTGTAACCCCCATTTCTGTTCTCAAGCGAGGCGGGTAGACGCTTCACTATCTTCAGAGCCTCCTTCAGCTCTTTGATCTGGTCCTCGCTGACGAGAGGTACTTTGGCAATATCGCGAATGCCATCGAGTAGCTCTCGCATCGCCTCCTCCAGCCTGTCACCACTGCCCACGGCCTCGCGATAGCGGTCAATCCACGGAGTCGAGTCATCAGATGATACAGTGTCGAAAAGGTCCTGCATGTGTTTCGCCAAGGAGCGCCATTCCTCAGCAGCCTCTTTGATGTCAGAGTAGCTGTCTGTGTCTGCTTCGGTTTCCTCTGCTGTCTTTTTCTGCTTCAAGTGAGACTTGATCGACGAGAGGATTCCGACGACAAGCGGCAGATATTCAGCCACCACTGGGAAAGCTTCCGGTAGCTTGGGGACCTCTTCAATGCCGGTGTAATCCTCGACAGTGGTATTAAGCAGGGAGGCCACGTCCTCGATTGCCCTGATTGCTTTTTTCCCACTTGCGCTCGGCATTATCAGATGCAGACAAAGTTCCCAGCTTGACGAACGAAAAGAGGGAATAAATTTGGGGGGTTTATGGAGTGCCCGATTTTACAAGACGAATACTGTGGTGTCGGTGATCTTCGACAATTGATTAAACAGCCAGAGCCGCATCTGACACAAAGAAATGAGGGAAAACTCGAAGGACTCGCGCGGTGATCCGCATTGTGTCAGGACAAGACACCCATGCTCATACTGCAGACACACACCCTGGTTAAGAGGCTGAGGAGGCCTCGTAAATTGCATAGTGGATGCTCAACGTGCATGAGCTGGCTTGATCATGCGGGATATCGGCCACGAATCACAACCTGCTATTAGCGCTGGATATTTGGCCCCCAATGCCCATCTTACTGTGCATATGACCCTGCCACAATCAGAGCCTCCAAATGCGCCGCTGCGTTATTTGTCTCAGGATACCGTTTCGCTCCTCCTTGAATATCATCCGGTTCGCAACTTCATCATAATTCTGAGCCGACAAGAGAGGCAGCGCTGGTGCCTTCAGTGCCTCATCATGGCGTCGCCAGATCCTCCAAGGCGCATTGCAGCCGAAAACAAAGGGAGCGGCACGCAGCCTTTGCATCAAGGAAATGGAGATCAAGGCGTTCTTAAGGGAGACAATGGCGTACAGAACTTGATTCATTCTCAAAAAGTCTTTCACTGTGAGGGCGGATTCAATCACACTTACGTAGCTGCTAATATCGCTTCGTAGTCCACGGAACATCCATGTCGCAAATGGCCGAGTTGATTCATCAAGGAGAGGGCCCTTTCGATCAACCATCTCGTGCGTCTCCCAAGGTAGCTCGAGGGTTAAAATTCCTGCTAATAATATGCAAAGGCGTTTCAATAATTGAATGGCTCAAACTTGAGTCACAACTCGATTTTCGGGCCCACCACCAGACGCTCCTCGATCAAATGGTGAAAGGAACTGGCACGTGGGCTTTAGAAGGCAATGGGTTCCAGGCTTGGATAAATGCTTCCAACCCATCTCAATTCTTCTGGATATATGGCATCCGTAAGTATGGCCTATACCACGTATTTGGTGTCCGCCTCTAACCGTTGTCTGACATAGTCGGGTCTGGAAAAACAATGTTGTCGTGAGTACAATCAACACATTGTCCTTCAGGTATGCGATAAAGGAGAAATAGGCTGATGGGTCGGTTTGCTAGGTCCCTGATAGTAGATTCACTTGAGAAAGTGACCGAGGACATTGAAAACACTGCTTGCATCTACGTTTATTTCCAGGACGGACAAGATCAGCCCAGTGAATCCAGACAGGAGCAGCGACCAACCTTTGCAAGCATTTTGATCAACTTGTTGATACAGCTCCTGCAATCCCAGAGTTCAGACGTCGTGGTGGAAGAGCTACAGGCCAAATATGCTGATTGGCGCAGCCGGATGATGTTTCCCACCTCTGACGATTACACCAATCTGTTCAAAGCTGAAGTTGCCACCTTCGAGAAAGTCTACATAGTAGTTGACGCCCTGGAAAACTGCCAAAATTCGCCAAAGGAGAACACACATGACAAAATGCAAGCCTTATTGAGGTCAATGCCGGAAAACGTCAAGGTCCTCGTTACTTCCAGGGGCGGCTTGCTCGACAGCTGGGGCCTTCGAGAAGACCAAATGTTCGAGCTTCAGCCAAAACGCGAAGATGTTGAATTGTACGTCAAAAGCCGCATTCGGGAGAATAGAGTTATCCAGCGAGATCCGGATCCGAACTTTCAAGCCAAGGTTGTTCACAAGGTAGTTAAGGCCACGAGAGAAATGTGAGTAAAGCAATGTTCTTCGGCGAATTGCTATGAACGTGCTGACTTCTAGTAGTTTCCTACTGACAAAATTACACATGGACTCTCTTGACGAGCAGGGAACTCTCGGTGGTATTAAGTCTGCACTCGAAATGCTCCCGGAGACTGTCCATAGTGCTTTCGAGACGTCAATTCGAAAGATCAAGATGAACGGGGAGTCGGAGACGAAACGATTTGACCTTGGTCTTGCCAAACACGTCCTTAGTTGGGTCGTTGTCGCCGCGGATCCGCTCAATGCGACACAGATCCGTCATAGCTTCGCCATCCGCCATAGTACGAAGACTCTGAACATCGACTTTCTGCCACAGGAAGCAGAGCTGACTTCTGTCTGCGCTGGGTTGGTCACAATGGACCCAAAGACAAAGGTGCTCAGTCTTGTGCACGAGTCTGTGCTGGACTATTTATGGAGTCACGACATCGTACCAAAGAGTTCCGACATGGATGTAGCAAAGATGTGCTTGCGGTATTTGCTATTCGAGGAGCCGGAACAGGATACCGAGCGCCCTCTCCTCAACTATGCTGCCAGGTATTGGTTGAAACACTTCTGCTTAGGAGAGCAGCATATTGACGATGAGGCCGAGAATTTGGCTATGAAATTTCTCAGCGACAGTGAGAAAGTCCAGATTGCATTTCAGGTCATGGCTGGCAAAAACAGTCTTGCCTTGGGTGACATGACTGGGTTACATGCTGCCATACACTTCAATCGCCGAAATTGGGCTGAGCGTCTCATTGCACAAGACGTTAAAGTAGATGCTACATGTTCGGATGGTCGGACTGCACTGCATTGGGCTGCAAAGGATGGTCGAAGTGACATGGTGGAGTTGTTGACACAGAAGTCCGCGGATACTAATATTCAAGACCGATATGGAGATACACCGCTGCATCTCGCAATAATGTGGTCAACAAAGGATTGTATGGATGTTGTGCATAAGCTTGTCAAGGCCGGTGCGCGAGTAGACATCCGTGGCGGGAAGGGATACACGCCGCTGGCATGGGCAATGCGCCACGGCCCTTCGTCCATTGCTAAACTGTTGGCTGAGAACCAAGCAGACGTCAACGCAGAGGATCAAGGCTGGACTTCTTTAAGAGAGGCGATGGACCAGGGCCAATTGGACATTATCGAGATTCTGCTGAAGAAGGGAGCGGATCTTAATCGCCCGTCGAGTGTTGATGGATGGACACCCCTCAGAAAGGTGGTCCAAGACGGCGACGTTGAGATGGTACACCGTTTGTTGGAGATGGGCGCCGAAGTCGATTTACGGGATGAACAAAATGGCTATTCACCGCTGAGGTGGGCGGTCCTCTATCAACACGAGTCGATAGTCCAGCAGCTCCTTAAGCAAGGGGCCAACGTGGACGAGACAGCCAACGATGGGTCAACAGCTCTGATGGAGGCTGTAAAGACCAAAGAGACCATCGTCTGGATGTTGCTAGAGAACGGGGCAAATCCAGATGTCCAGGACAACGAAGGCCGGACCGCTCTTCACTTTGCGATACGGAAGAAGCTAAATTCTGTCATATGGCTCTTGATCATGAAGAAGGCCACGGTCACCATCAGGAATACTGAAAATTTTAGCTGTCTGGACTTGGCAGTCCAGAATAATGACCTCTCGGTCATATGGCTGCTCTGCGAGAACGGAGCCAAGGCGGACGATGCAAACGATGTTGGAATGACTGCCCTGCACTTAGCTTCGTTTCTCGGGCACCTGGAGATTGTCAGATTCTTTCTCGACCGGAAAACCAACACCACTCTGAAGGATCAAATGGGGGACACAGCGTTGCATCGGGCTGTCAAGACTAAACACAAAGATATCGCTGGGCTCCTCACATCCAGAGGTGGCATGGCTGACATCGAGGACGGAATGGGCCTGACAGCCCTCAGAATCGCAACAAAAAGTCAAGACCTGGCCATGATGCGAGCTTTGCTCGACAATGGGGCGTCGTGCGACACTCAGGACAAGAATGGGATGACGGCGCTCCATCAAGCCGTTGATCAAGGATTCAATGAAGGAATACGTATTCTACTCAGGAATTCCGCAAACCCAGATGTCAAGGACAACGAAGGGTTCGCAGCTACACACCACGCAGTATGGAATGACAACAAAGACATTGTTGTCATCTTGGTAAAGGGCGGTGCGAATGTCAACATCCAAGATGAGGATCACAGGACGCCGCTGATACACGCCGTGCAGTATGGATATGAGCAACTAGTGACTGTTCTATTGGGCGAGGGAGCTGATGTTAATGTGCGGGCTAAGAACGGATGGACAGCTGCTGAGTTTGCAGGAAATCACGGTCTGATTAGGGGACTCCTTCAACGAGCGGCTGCATTTAGATAGTCATAGGTAGGTGCGGGTGACTGAGTGTTTTTTCTTTTTTACATTATCAGCTATATATATCTTAATTTTCGAAAGGCTTCATTCGAATCATTTCCAGTTGAAGTTGATTGTCCCCGAAAACCCATCGCCGTTAAACTGTTGACCCGAGCCCATGTTGATATTCTGGCTCCCATCTGATGAGTTCACTATCTGGGACCCTGATCCAGTATTGTGAAATACCATGGATGGAGAAGCCTGTTTTGCAATCTCATTTTCGTGCCCTTTCCCAGCTTCCGCGATCAGTCGCTCAATTTGCGCCCTCGTCGCGACTTTAAAGGTGCGGTGGAAGATCAGCACCTGTAGATCTCCCAGCATCCCGGTCATCAGGCCCTCAACTTTTCCGCCCTTTGGGATAGTTTTCATCGCCTTGGAATATCGCTCCAACCTGGAAGCCCCCTCTCCTGGGATGACAGCCTGGAAAATGGCCTCGAGGGCGGTAGCTTTGTCGGTGCAGGCCTTGAGCATCGCTGTGAGAGCGCTGGTGGACTCGGGCGTTTCGGGGTCATCTTGCAGGCCCTTTAGCGCCGTGGAGAGTGAGTCTTTAATGAGCGGGAGTCGCGAGGCTACATCACGGAAAGAAGATGGCAGGCCGGAGGTATCTGAGGCAGCGTTGAAGACTTTGATAGCGGCATCGACGATGGCGATGATTCCCGAGACGAGACCTATGACTTCAGCGCCGGACATGTTGGCGAGTTTGAAGATTGCAACATCCTCTCAACCAGGCTGTGCAAAACGACCAGGGGTATTTAATGGCCCTGATTCCTGCACCAATCTGTACGTTCTGATACGACAGGGTTCACCCACTCTGCCTCGATAAATGCAAATGGGGTGGGTTGGGCTGAAACCAGGGTCGTATTGTGACTGTCGTGCATTTCAGCTCTTCAGCCCGTCAGCAGCCAAGACATCCACGGCACTCTGTGCGACGAGGCAATACAGGGAAGGTGTCAGCCCCTGGTGCAGAGCATCCTTGTATGCGGCTTAATCTCATTTCCCGTCATATGCATGCTGTCAGCCTTCTCTCAAACGTCGAGTGACGATATCTTTTGGAACTAAATATCTCATCCACGCCGGGTTGCGCACCGTTGCAGAACCCCGCCTTGACGCAAATCATGAGCGCTGCGCGAACCTCTGGAAGACCGACAACTATACCAGAGGAGAGGTTTGAGCGTAGGCATGAGCGTGCGAGTTCTGCTGACGAGATTTACAGAAGGAGAGTTGCCGAGGCGAATTTCGAGCTGGAGCTGGGGCTGCGAGATCGAGAGAGGGAGCGAGAGAGAGAGCCAGTGCGGATAGAGCGGGTAGAAGTACGGGAAAGAGAACGACCAGAGCGGGTAGTAGTGCGAGAGCGAGAATGGGAGGATGACTATAGGCGCGACATCGAAGCTGCGCGCGAGTATAGGGAAGATGACGAGTATTATGAGTTCGAGTACGAGGTGGCGGATGATGATTATGAAGATGAGTATGAGTACCATCAACCTTCTGATTCAAGCTCTGTAGTCGAGAGACCAACTACTCGGTGAGTCCTCAACTGGAGTCTGTAAGGTTTGTCGTCCTGCTGACAAGTCTCTCTACCTGTGCAGTCATCGGACTAGACGGATCATAGAGACCAGGCGAGTTCGAAGCCCGTCTCCGATACGAATCAGAGAGTCAAGACGAGCTGAACGAAGCCCGTCTCCAATACGAATCATCGAGCCGAGCAAACGAGCTCGGATTCCGGTTCCGATCACAGTCAGGGAGTCAAGACGATATCAAAGCCCATCTCGAGAAAGAATTCGCCGAAGCCTATCTCGGGAAAGACTGCGTGATCGGATCGAAGACGAAAATCGAAGGATTTCAGCCAGGCCTGCAGTGCCGACCCCAGCACGCCCTATGAGGGCAGAGCTGGATCCTCGGTTACAGCGGCGACCAGCAGGAACTCACCATGACCCGCGTGTTGGTTCTTTCGACCAAGACGACATCGATATTCGTGCCAGCCGTCATGACTCGCACCGTAGGCGGGCACGTCATGGGAATGACCTAGTTCGGTACAACGCGCCTCGTGGTGTTCCGAGAGAGGCTGCGAGTCACAAACAGCAGCCCTATCCCGATCATCGCCAGCCTCGTCAGCACTTATCCAATACATATGGCATGACGCCTGCCGGGGTATACACTGTACATCCCTCTCAGCGTCCCGGCGCAAACATGCCGACCCCCCCTCCTCCGAACATGGCTTATGCTGGACCATCCGTTGCAGCACACCCCGGTGACCCGGGACTTCAATACATGGCCGCAATCCCTAGTTCTTACATGCATCAACAGCATACGCCAGCTCCTACTCCACTGGGGTCTGGACCACAGCCCTCAGGAGTGCCGGAACCAATGAGTGCTAGCTTCTTCCACGCCAAATACGAAGGGGATCGGGAAAGAGAAGCAAGGGCGAGGGCCGAGGCAGAGAGACAAAGAGAATTCTGTGAATCCATTAGGCGGGAAGTGGATGAGTCTTTGAGGAGGGCAGCCGAAGCCCAGAAAGAGCGCGATGAGAAATCGGAAATGAGGGCAAAATCGGAGGCGGAACGACGCTTGGAATTTGAAGCCTTGATCCGGAGCGAGGTCGAAATGTCCATCTCAAAGGCATCTGAGATTCAAAAGAAGAGAGTAGACAAGACGGAAAAGTGGGCAAGAACCGAGGTGCAGAGACTGAAGGGATTCGAGGAGTTGATCAAGAACGACGTCCAATCTACCATGAAAGTGATCAAGACTCTCGAAGCGGAGCAAAAGATCAGAGACGCGGAAGCTGAGAGTCTGCAAATTCAGATGGAAATACAGGTCAACAAAGCTATGGAGGCTCTCGAAAAGACGGAGAGGTTGAGAGCTGAGCTGAGAGACATGCGAGCCAACCGAGCGGGAACATACGAAGAATCTCCACCACCACGGACTCCCCCTTTCCGACCAGCCCATGGTCGTCGCGCAAGCTATTCCGAGCATTCATCACCATCACCTGCTTGGGGATCGCGTTCGCCTCCGCCTGCAGTTCCCGAAGCACCCGAAACGGATCCAGACGTTGTCGAGGAGAGCCATGAAAACTACCCAACGGATCACAGGCGACAGTCCTCTCGGCGGAGATACTCTCCTAGTGTTGCCAGCTACCACTCATACGTCTCGACAAGTTCCCGCGATGGTAGGCCACGGAATGAGGAGGATGGAGAGATGCGCAGGGACATGCGGATGGTAAGAGAAGAGCTGCTTGATCCGATCGTCGAAGCAATCTCCGGCCTAGCGACGGCCGTCATGTTTGGGGGCTTGCACTTCCAGTCGCCTCCGGTGTTTATGCATTACCCACCACATCCGGATGAAAGCAACAGTTCTCGGTCAGTTTCCACCTGTGAGGAGTCAGGCTCAGACGATAGAGAAACTGTCACTCCGCAACAGAATGAGCAGCCGAGTCAAATCGACGAGTCAGGTCCGGAGCAGGAACCGAATTCTCAATCTCCGGTGCTCGTTTCGGCACCAGATCATAGCGACCAGGAGACGACTTCCACACAAACGACTGACTCCGTGATATCGAATGACGAAACGATGTCACCTGACGATCGATCTGTGGTGGCTGAGTCGTGGACCACGGCTACTGAGGAGTCTGTTCCGACTTACAATCCTCTGGAGTATACAAAGCCAGTAAAAGAGGAGCAACATACCCTCGAGGAAGATTCTAGGGAGGATGACACGGACGAAACGCCAACTTTGGTTAACTCTGGGTTTCCCAACTACACAGCTGTCGAGAAAATGCCACTGGTCGAAAACCAGGATAATGCCCCAGAGATGAGTGGAGAGGAAAGCCTGGACAAGAACTACCAGGTGCCGGCAATAATTAATCAACAAATCGTCTCCAGCGAGGCGATCGAAAGCAAACCGAGTCTCTCTTCCGATGCTCAACCCGGAAAAGAATTGTTAGGCCCACTCAACGATCATGAGTCCGAACAAGTCGATTCCAACGATAAAAGCCCCCAACCCTCGACATCGGACAAGCGAAAACAGCGAAAAGCCGCGGATTCCAGACACAGATATTGGGACGGCTCATACATTCCAAAGCATTATCTTCCATCTGATCCTGATGGACCCAATACAGCAATACCAGATCTCGACCGGAAAGGCAGAACTGGGGGTCACGGTAGGAAGGGGCGAAATGCACACGACAAGGTGCCTCCGTTGCCAGTTTTGAAAAATGCCTTTATCCCGATACCCTATTTCCACCCAGTGTTTGGAGGAGTTCCGCCATCTCGTGGTCGGAGACGGAGAGGGGGCGACGAGGAAGCCACCGTTGATTGAGTCGGTAATGTTGAGATGGGTCCTAGGTTGTCCTTGTAGTTCATTGGGCCCCATGAGGAGATTAATCATCATTATTTCATCTAAAATATTTCACGTGTTATTTGACAATACAAGTAGTCAGAATGGGCGCGTTGCCGCATGGCTAGAGACTGAGGGTAGGTAACAAAGACATTTAACCAACATATACATTCCGCGGGATATGATGGAGTACAGGAAACGCGATTCAAAGCCTGAAATCGTAATTTTGCCAAGATACAATCAATCGCAATCCAAAATTTCTTTCATGGATCTTAGTAGGGATAGCCTATCTCCCACTTTGCCCTGCAGCCAGTGTATCTCCCGTCATTCCTGTTATTCTCTTGATCCTGCTCCATGCTGTCATCACGTTCCTTCCTATGGTCGATGCTCCTGGGCTGTCCCAAGGCGAATTGCTTCTGCCTGATCGTTCTGGTTCATAATCTCTTCCATGCGATGAGCTGCTTGGCTGGCCCCAAGGCAGATTGGATTCAGACCAAGGTTTCCAAACTCAGCGAGTTGGCTCTGCCAGAACCTCCACCTGTCGATAGAATGACCAGGCTGTCCTCCAGAACCAACGTACAGTGGCCCCGGGATTATCTCCTGCCGCTCTGTCCCAGTGAGGGTATTGCCGGTAAAAGCATCTTCGAAGAGCTGGGTACCACAGATAGAGATCCAGTGGCTGGCAACACTGATCGTGTATTCACGCACCAGACCCGCCGTGGGAGGAAGTTCATCCTCTAGAGCACCTACAATCTCCGTGAAAGCAAACACCGAACAGTTCAGGAAGCCCTTGTTCATGATTCGGGCGGCGAAGGCGTTTAGGTTGACCCACTGTTCTACATTTTCTTCATCAGATCCCATGAATTGGGGCATTTCGGATTTGTGAATGGGGTCTGCTCAGTCTCTAGTCAGCGTTGAATTTGATGATTTGTGTTCGCAGAAGAAAATGGTAAGGAGGAAGAGACAATCAAAAAGGCGGCGTCACTTACTAACCCAAGCTGCACGCATGTGATTCGATAGTAGCGGGAAATCTTTCCACAAACGTACCTCCCTCTAGACAGTCTTTATTAGATCGTATTCTTGCGCAGGGAATGCTCCAGAAGCTTCGAGCCACTCACCTCCTCAATCCAAATTATGGTCTCCGGGAGCGATCGCAAGCTCTCGAGGACACCGATAAGTTGATCCTGGGCAACATGGTCGTACGGACAAAAGGGAACAATAGCGAGTAAAATCTGCCATAGTTTCATCAAGAAAATTGCGGTATCCTCAGAAGAACCGGACTTAGGGCAGCTGTCGTCAATCATGGCTGCAGTAGCTCTAGCGACATCCGAAACATCAGCTACTGCTGATGGCGGCTCCGATGCAGTTGGTGTTGTCGCTGTCGCAGAAGATGTCACCTGTGATGTAGATGCCCCCTGGTTGTCTGTTATACTATTCGGAGTTGGATGATGATTGGCCGACAGAACGAGAGAGTCAAAAATAGGGAGCATATCTTCCCACGTTGTAACGACGATATTTCTCAAACATTCAAACGTATGCAGCATTGAAACGGGAACAAAGGAAGCATTCGGATTGGCCATTCCGTCCTCGGCCGTAAGGGTGCTCTGGTGGCTTATTCCATCGGCCATGTTTGTGCAACGGTTTTTTTGATAGGTGCTGAATAGGGGCTGTTGATACCGCGTGATGAATGACTGCGTGATGAATCGTGGAGAAGTTGTTGGGAGAGAAGCGGTGGAGAGGGCCGACGTGTCTCGTACAACAGAGAGATGACTAATGACAGCCGGTTTCGCTCGTTAACAACACGTTGCATGTCTCACATCAGGCTGTGGTCTTCAATTTTATGCCGAGAATCGCACTTTATACAGTGAGGGGATAAAAATAACTGTGGCTGAATGGCCAAGAGCCGAGACCGCATAATCGGCCACCGGAACCAATTGATTTGCAGTATCTGGGTCATGCTGAAGCGCAAATTTTCAGCTTGCAGGATTCAGGAGTAATGGCTTGAGTGGCTGCAGATCAAATTTTCAGCTGACGTGGTTGAGAGAACTCGAGGCTGTCGAACACATTTTAGGAAGACCGGCCGTCTGTTAGCTAAGATGATTAAGGCCATCGAAACTACCATCGTCACATCCACTGTGGGGTAATAATCAATCAATCTATATTGCCCAGCTCATTCCAAAGCAATTTCTGGCCGGCTGCAGACAGACCTTTCCTGGTATGATTGGACCCGTGGAGTATCTAGGGAGAGGGGCTTGACCAGCTTTTTGTCCTCTTTCTTGCGGCCGGCACAACTAGCATTTCCAAGGATACATGGCCATGTGTCGCCTTGATAAGGGCCTCGAACGAAATTTAGGACGGATCTAAGAAAGCAATCGTGAAAGAGCGTGAAGGCAGCCATCTCGAGATTGGAGAGTGATGACCTGATGCAATCTAGTTCTACGTGAATTTAGGAGCTTTTGACAATTTGAATAATCTGTGTGGTTCTGGTTCTATACATTCACTAGAGATGCCTGGTTGCTCTGTGTTGCTGTAGACAAGACATTTTCCAAGACCTCGATTTTATGCTAGTCGAGCCTGGTTGACATGGCGAGAAAATATAAGTTATCGTTTCTTTGTCCCAATTTGTCTTTCTAGTTGATATTTACATTATTTTGAAGGAACGAATGATCATTGTTCATCACAGACAGTTTGAGTAGCATTAATCAATCCAGTTGACTGGCCAGACGGCCTGTTCGCATCTCAAGTGGTTGGAAACGGAGGGTAGGGATGAATAGCCAAGTGACGGATTCCAACTAAGGATGTTCAGACACGAGTAGACGTCCTGTTATCACAGCAGGAAATTTTATCGTTATGAACGGCGCAATTCACGCTTATGCATTCTAATACGCTCCCATCCATCACCCATGGAGATACTTGTACATATTTGTGAATTTGCTCAATGCCCGAATGTTGACCCAATAAATCGACTAGAAACGAACCGGCATGGATGGGTATACACAAAGCAGACGCTCCGAAAAGGGTAGCGTTTCTAAGTGTGTTTCAGTAGCTCCAATAATCTCTCCGTACACTACCCGTTAGGAGTAGCACATTCACAGACAGGAGTCGGATGTATGAATCGAGCGACCGTGCCCAGGTGCCTTCTTTGTGGAAAATTTCGAGTTCCTCTTCATTCCGACCCTTTCGTTGAGGAACTTTTGTTCTATCCATAACTGATCTAATCTAACTTCTGTCTGCTCCCTCAAGGTGAACACGTTGCCGACTCAAGGTCCAAAAAAAACACAGTTTTATCCACAATTCAAGCATTTCTTACCCAATGCTACCACAATGACCAAATATCAAGCTTTTCAACCGCAATAATTTAAAACCTGTGTTCTATCCAGAACGATATATCGCTTAGGATGTATATCAGACCCTGTTAAGTACTTGCCATCCTCCGCACCCTCCACTTCCCACTTAGAAAGGACATGTTCGAACTGAGGATTCTTGGGGTCCCATAGGATGAGATATAGCCGGCGCAGCGCCGAGAACAAGGGTAGGAAATACAATTTCCATACCGAGAAGAAACGGAGGTCAAAAGCCATGTTAGTGATGGATGAAAGTTGCAGGAGAGATGCGCCGGGATTCTCAAAGCGGTGACAGGGAGACCAGCGACTCAGGTAAATATGAGGCTTAAAGCATATGACATCTGTTGCGGAATTAAACCGGAAAATCCATCGTCTCCCTATTACGTCTGGGCGAGTCTCAATATACCTCGCTGAGAAGTGAATATCGAGGGTATCCGGGAGGAGAGCTGTAGCGATGCTCCTCGATTCGCTGCAAACGGCTGCAACTCGGCGGGGGGTCATGGTCGTCTCTGATAACGGCGACAACATTGTCTCTCTGACCGACAGTGTGGCGTTGTGTGGCATACTCTCTTCCCCGCTATAGCATGCTTCGCATCCTGAAATGCCGAGAGAATGGACGCGATGCGTGGCTCTAGCAAGAGCCTCTGACCAGATCTGGTGACGGATATCGTAGGGGAACTGAGGGAACAAGTGGAAGGTTTCCATTTTGTGATGAGGGATGTTGTCTCGAACATTGGAAGACAAGGAAGTTTTAGTACGGATCAAGTTTGTTGAACGTACACGGGCGATTGGGAACAAATATATAGTAGATCCCATGTGGATACCTGGATGGACAATGTTGGACTGGTCACCTTGAGGAATCAGATAAACCTTGACCAATACTCCATTTGGAGTTGAGGGGACGTGGTTAGCCAATATTAACAAAGTTTTCTAGACAGCTCGTGTCCGCCTCAACTTGTTCTCATTTCGTTGATGGCTGCTTGGATCAAAGGATAACTTCTTGAATCATTCCGAGATAGCACCCGCATGGCATCTCAGACCATCCAACACGACAATAATAACTCTAGCGTCTCGGATTATTCTCGATACCTACAATGACAAACCAGGTGGCGAAAATCTTCTCTTGAGCTGCCCCCAGCTGTGCTCGTTATACAGCTCCTGCACTTTCTGGCACCTGTTGAGTGACCACTCAGTAACACCCAGCATCAACGAACTCTCAAACATAAACGCCATGCTTCCGCTTCCAACCTTTTGCGGCACCAACTCGGCGTTGCTCGCCTTTTCGAACGTCTGCGAGTCCGGCCCGTGAGCACCCATGACATTGTGCAGCGACGCGCCGCCGGGCTGGAAGCCGCCCTTTCCTGCGGCCTTGGCATCATAGTCGCCGGAGATCAGGCCCATGAACTCTGACATGGTGTTGCGGTGGTACCACGGCGGACGGAACGTGTTTTCGGCGACCAGCCACCGCGGCGGGAAGATGACAAAGTCGGCGACTGCTGTACCTGCAATTGGGCTTGGAGCTGTGAGTACAGTGAAAATGCTTGGGTCCGGGTGGTCGTAGCTGATGCTGCCGACTGTGTTGAATCTCCCGAGGTCGTATTTGTAGGGATAATAGTTGCCATGCCACGCTACTACGTCAAACGGACTATGATCCTGCGCGGCATCGAAGAGCCTGTTGCCAAACTTGGCTGTGATGCGCCACTCGGTCTCGTTATCCTCGTACGCAGCCACCGGCGCTTGGAAGTCTCGCGCATTCGCCAGACAATTAGATCCGATAGGGCCCAGCTCAGGAAGCTGGAAGTGCCCCTCGAAGAGCTCCAGAATGTAGCCACGGCTAGGGCCCTCCACCAACTCAACCCTGTAGCGGATTCCTCGAGGGATCACGGCAATCTCGCCAGGTCGTACAAGGAGCTTTCCAAACTCCGTTTGGATATCCAGTGCGCCATGCTGGGCGACGATGAGAAAATCCCCATCGGCCGAGTAAAACGCTTGTTGGGTATTCATATTGCGGCCGGCGCCGTACACGTAGATGGCCAAACCAGACTTAACGGCAGGATCGCCAGCTCCAGCAACAAGCCGCAGCCCGGTGACGAAATCAGCGTCGTCGGCGATGTCAAAGGGATCCCATCGCAGCTGATTCGGGACCTGCGTGAACTGCGGTACACTGCCTTGTAGTGAATGACCCGAGGGCTGCGTCTTGGACAGTTCGAACGGGCGATGCGCAGCGGCCGGCAAGATGCGGTACAGCCACGACTGAAGATTGGAGTGTCTCGGAGCTGTGAAAGCAGTGCCCGAGAACTTTTCGGCGTAGAGGCCGTACGGGGGCTTCTGTGGCGAGTTGGCGGCTACGGGGAGCGCTCCCGGAATAGCTTCACTCCTGGGGATTGTTAGTATTTATTGTGCGAAGAGATACACTGCTCATACTCATGATAACAACCAAAACCGTTTTGGTACTGGTATTTTTCAGCGACTGGAAACACGGATGGAGGCATGGCTAAAGAGTGGGTAGCAAGATGAAGAACAACAACAAAAATGTATTAATATGGGATTCTTCCAGACAACTCATATACAAAATAAACTCTGTAATATAGACAATCTTCTAATTAACTCCAGATGTCATTCTTATACAATCACGAAGTTTACTCGTCCGCGCATCTTGGAGCGTGTATAGCCGACACACCACTAAGCCGCGTCCAGCCTGGCGCAGCTGGAATCGGCACGGAATCGGAATCAACTCGCGGAGTCGGATTCGGGACGATGATGTCAACGTACGAAAGGAGACATCCTCCGTAAAGCCAAATCGAATCGATGTAACTGGCTGCGACCGATTCCGCAAACGCGGGGATCTCAACATGTGACGTCTCGCAAAGACAACTGCCGTGAGACAACTCAAACAGCATAAGTATGCTCACGACGACGCGGCTGTGAGCTGCATTTCTCATCACTCGCTCGCCAAGTTCAACATGTCTCAGCAAATCATCTACGCCGCCAGCGTCATCATCATCTACTTGCTGGTCAAGTATCTAAACTCGACCGACACTCCCAAGATCAAGGGCCTCCCCGAGATTCCCGGCGTTCCCATCTTTGGAAACTTGTACCAGCTGGGCACAGATCACGCCCGTGTTGCGCAGAAATGGGCTGCCAAGTATGGTCCTGTCTTCCAGACGCGGCTTGGAAATAGGGTATGTGGCTTTGACCTGGGTCAATTGCGGCCTGCTAACAATATGGAAGCGCGTCATCTTTGTCAATTCGTATGAGGCAGTCAAGCACATCTGGATCACTCATCAGTCTGCACTTATTTCTCGGCCCACCTTCCACACATTTCACTCCGTCGTCTCCTCATCTCAAGGCTTCACCATTGGAACTTCGCCATGGGATGAGTCGTGCAAAGCCCGACGCAAGGCCGCTGGTACTGCTCTCAACCGCCCTGCAGTGCAGTCCTACATGCCCATCCTCGACCTAGAATCCACAACCAGCATCAAGGAGATGCTCAAAGACTGCGAAGGCGGCACCAAGGACATCGACCCGTCGCCTTACTTTGCTAGATTCGCCCTCAACACGTCTCTGACCCTCAACTACGGCTGCCGCATCGGCGGAAACATCGACAACGAGCTCCTCCAGGAGATCACGTATGTGGAGCGCGAGATTTCCAACTTTCGGTCTACCAGCAACAACTGGCAAGATTATGTCCCGCTGCTGCGTCTCTGGAGTGTTCAGAACAACTCGGCGCAAGAATTTAGAACCAGGCGAGACACGTACTTGACGAACCTGTTGAACGGCCTCAAGAAGCAAATCGCGGATGGAACCGACAAGCCATGCATCACTGGAAACATCTTGAAGGATCCTAATGCCAAGTTGAATGAAGGTTTGTCTATTCCTACGCCCCTTGAGGTTCACATATTGACATAAACAACTCAGCCGAAATCAAGTCCATCTGTCTGACCATGGTCTCTGCCGGCCTGGACACTGTCCCGGTAAATCTCGTCATGGGACTCGCCTATCTCTCAAGCCCCGAAGGTCAAGCTGTGCAAGCCAAAGCCCTCAAGGCAATCGAGGAGGCGTATCCGGATGGTGCTGAGGCTTGGGAGAGGGGTCTGCTCGAAGAAAAGGTTCCCTATGTCACTGCCTTGGTCAAGGAGACGCTTCGGTACTGGACTGTCATTCCAATCTGCCTTCCCCGTGCCAGCATCAAGGATATTCCTTATGAAGGAGCGGTCATCCCAGCAGGAACCACGTTTTTCATGGTAAGTTGCAGTCATTCAACGTTCTGTCTTAAAGAGCAGTCTAAGTAACGAATATGCAGAACGCCTATGCAGCAGACTATGACAGCAAACGCTTCGATCAGCCTTACGAGTTCATTCCCGAGCGCTTTCTCAACGACAAGGAAGGTGGCACTCCGCACTACGCCTACGGAGCCGGATCTCGAATGTGCGCTGGGTCACATTTGGCCAACCGCGAGCTGTACACGGCTTACATCCGCCTGATTACGGCGTTTGAAATCCTCCCCGCGCGGGATGCGGCTGACCGTCCTGGAATGGACGCCATCGAGTGCACTTCCAACCCCACGGCCTTGACGACCGACCCTAAACCGTTCAAGATTGGGTTGAAGGCGCGATCTGAGGCCAAGTTGAAGCAGTGGATTGCTGCTTCGGAAGCAAGGACGGTGGATCTGTAGATTCGATGGATGCGGATACAGGGAATGTGAACAATTTGATGGGAAGAAGTGGGTTAAATCCTATAAAATGGAGCTTGCTTAGATCCTATGCTCAGACATATCTCAATCAAGTTAGAATTGGTTTGATAAACGTGGGGATTTTGTCAAATTATTATACCGCATGATCTGCCAGATTTCAGAATTGCGAGGTGTTTTGGGCCACGATATCTGTGAAAAGTAGGCTAGATATGACCTATGGGGGAGTCACAGCAATAATTCTAAGATATTACTACGGTTATAACCCCAGAAGTCACTCCGAGCGTTTGAATGTGTAGCAATGATTAACTATCAACCAGAGGAGCTGGTGGTGACAATTCGCGAAAAGTCGTGTTTTGGTCTAGGGTAAGTTGACACCCGGGCAATCATTTACATCACCAATTATTCCCTCACGGGTATCATGACGGATTGGGCATTCTCTCTTTGGTTCAGCCAGATTGATAATATGGACCCGACAGCTGCCAATGCAAATAACTTGGCCGCTTTTCCCGTGTTTGGCAGGTCTCAATGCTGCCGTACCCTTGTCTGACTCCATTATTCCCGGCTTGTTTAGCGTAAAGTTCCCCTGTCGGAGTGTCGTGATCTCCGACCCTGACATAAGAAAAACATTATAAATTGTTGCCACGCCCCGCTGTGGATGATCCTTCTACTCCACTAACTGTCAAGGGTGCTGCAAGGTTATTGTCTGATGGAGCTGCATCTCGTCACGAATGTCGTACACACTCCGGATGTTGACCTGGAGAGGACCGGTACTCTTCCCGAGCCCGATCCGGAGCTTCGACTTGACTCATGTTGCGGCACAGCGCAGAGTCAGCGTGTCAACTACCATCCACCAGGTCCTCTCGGCCCGCGAGCTGCTATATGATGATGTGTTGGCGTCAGGGTACGGCTATGCGCGTGTGGTTGTGGTAGCTGAGACCTGCGCCGAGAGGCTGTCACCAGACAGAGCACCAGGACAGAGCATTGCATGATACAGTGTATATCAACATTCTCTCTGTTCCTTGTGCTGAAGAAAACCCATACTGCTGATTTTCGGCTGCCATGAACCCCGTCTCTAGGGCCAGAGACGCAGGAACCGGGCTGTTTCGTGGCGTCTGGGGAAGCATGTTGGTGTGTGTGACAGCCCTGATGAGCACACACTCTTCTCCTTGGCTCAGATATCACAATCCTTCTATTGTCTCCGGCATTCCGGGACTGGTACACCACGTCTGGGAGAAAACCCGGGGAAATGGTTGCGTGTCACAACCACGAGGCTTGTCGGTACGAAAATTCGACGCCACGACTTCGTTATACCCTCGGCTTTGCCCGATTGAGCCTACTCTGCCGCGGCGTTAATCCCTGCATCGTCCGCATTTTTCGTAAATCTCACAGCGCTCGCCGTCATCAGTGGCCGATCCACGAGCCGGAAACCTTCACGGCTTAGGCTTCACATGCAGCACCCTGCATAGACTACGTGCACTCAAGAGATACTAGCTCATGATTTCTTGTCGTTCTTGATATCTACATTAGTTGGTAATAGTAATACAGGCACCCTGGAGATATCCAGAGGCACACCCTCCCTCTTCCCGGGTCGCAGACCCTTTCCCCTGCATCACCTCAAGATGCTGTCGGTGCTGCCATTCTGACGCGACGCCGCTTTGTCGGAACCCTCAATTCCATATCCGTCGACTTGTACTTCGTTGCCGCCCTCGTACTTGCGCCGGGGCTCATTGGCCTCTAGGCTGCGCAGTTGGTAGCTGTGAGACGGCTTGCCACGTCGCCAGTTTCGGTCGCCCCTCGTAGAGCTGTCGGCCTGGGGTTTCGACCTCGCCGAGGAGAGTCCGAGCAATGTAAGCAGCTTGGGGAGATATCGGTTGAGAAAGGGCTTCAGCCGCATCATATTGTTACATAGGATGCCAAAGTTCAGCTCGACTAGTGACCAAACGCCTGCTTCGGCCTGTTTACGCGAAAAGTCGAGGCTCGTGGCCATAATCTTGACGTACGGGGCTCGGGCGATGGAAGCAACCAGAACACTAGGATTCGATTAGCAAGACAGCATCAATACACCAGCCGAGGCATGAAATACGTACGCAGACCCGAGGCACAGGATGCCGCCCACCACCACCTTCTGCCGGAATGGAATCTGGAGCTTATGAAGCGTCGGAAGAGGAAGAATAATAATAGACAAGTCGGTAAAAATATTCAGTGCCACCTGCGCAATGGCCAAATTGTTGAGGCAGACGCTATTTCCAGCGTCGACCGGGTTGCACGGTCCGGAGAGGAGCACGGTGAAGGTGATGGTGTACGCGATGAGCATGCCGGCAATGGCATAAACGCCGCCGCGGAACCACGTCGACGGACTGATCTTGTGCAGCACGCTCAGGATGGAGAGTTTGGTCAGGGTCGGACTCCACATGTAGGTCAGGGTCGTGGGGAGCAGATACTGCATCTGTCAGTCATGGCTCGAACATGCAGACGGCTTCATATCTTACGTTGTAATACTGCGTGGCATCTGCAATGGTAATATCCCACGCATGCTGTCCCCAGCCATGCGCCATGCAGAAACTGACGGAGATGAAGTAGCCCAAGGCCGCGCCCCATGCCAACGTGATCAACACTATGCGCCTTGTAAGCTTGGATGCAATCGCATGGACCAGCGTCCCAACTCACCGACGTCAATCTCCCATTGTCTCGCAATGACGGCGCTGGTGATGTAGCGAAGCACCATGGAGACGGTGGCGAGGAAGTAGGTGACGCCGAAGACGATAATCGTCGCCATCTGCACGTCGGACCATCCCCGGTTGAAGTTGGAGGTTACGCCATCGGGAGGCGGGACGACGGCCGTGTTGTAAATGTCAACTTCGGAAGTGCTCATAGTTGTGGTTCACCGCTTTGTGGTCGTAGGCGTTTCTAGCTCGGACTCATCGGGGAGAAGCAGTCGCGCCGGACGCCTGTGCGACTCGAGTGTGTCTTCGCTTTGTGGTGGCGTGTATGAAGAAGTTGCAAGACAAATCCCGAGCAGCTGGAATGCAAACAAGATGGTTTAAGAGTGCATCGAAAAGCTCCGCAAACCCAGCCTGAGGTCTGGGAAGGCCTGTCTCTCGTCTCCAAGGGGGTGGTGGCCTGCAGGCGATGTGACAGGGCTCCACGGCCAAGGCCACGGCAGACTGGGATGAACGAGTCGTGATGGGCCCTGGAGCTCCTGAATCGACAGGAGTAACGGCGATAATGGTCGGGCGAGTGGTGTGGATGGGCAGACAATTGCCTTATGAATGAGAGCCAGGGTTTGAAGATGTGCTTTTCAAACTGGGCCTGGCAGGGCTCAAGAAATGGTGAGTGCATTAGCTTGATCCATACAGAGGCGTTCTCCTGGGCTGAGACCCTGATCCATGGCACGCGTGAGTGTTTTGTGCGTGGTCGTACGTATCGAGGCCAATGTGGCGGACTCATTTTGAATCCGGCAGTGGGGACGAATGATTAGCATCCCGGGGACCGGGAGATGGCCGGTTCTACTGTAAGTTGGCCTGTCCGCACTACTGAACCTTCTCGTCTCGTACGGAGTACTAATTAAGTAGTGAGTAGGTAGTGTGCTCCAGAGTTGCAAGGAACAATGACCGGGGTCCACAGGCTGAACTAGGCAAGCTAGACTGAAGATCCCATCCCGGCCTTGTTGCCAACGGGCCTTGCAATTGGCAGTGCCGTAGTGCGTTCAAGCATCGGGTTGTCTCAGGGGTGAGGCGTGTCGATCAGGGAAACATACGCTCAGGTAAATCCTCAGGGGCCGAGAGTCTGGATGACCTTGCACTTGTGCCTGTCTACATTTCATTCGGCTGTCATGCGTCAATCCGTCTCACCAGAGCCAGCCACAGAGCGCAAAATCAAGCCTGGAACGACAAAGACTCGACGCCTCGCACGTCTTCCTTGCGTCGTGGCGCGCCCCTCTCTCACGGCAACTTGGCCAAAACGGGGTGTGGGGAAACTTGGCAGAATGGCTCCATGAAACTACCTGCTAAGACGTAGTTCAACGGATCAGGTCACGGCAAAAAGCTAGCCAGGGGCAGTCTAGACGAAGCGGTCCGTAGCGACTAGGGGCTCGCCGCGGGAGACGCGTCTTAACGCTGCCGCTGCAACGTAGTCTGAGCAGGGTTGACGCTATACTAAGCTAGTACGGGTGAGAAAATAGAGGACCAGGCACGGCGATAGCATGAATTTGAAGAGAACTCTAAGCGAGTAACGGCTAGCTATTCACCGGCAAGGGCAGGCTTGTCCCTGTTGATTGTGTCGGTAACTTCAAGAGTCCGCATTGGACGGAGGTATATAACCCTCTCCACACCGCGGGAGGAGAGCCAGTGGCCAGACACTTCCCAGATAGACTCCTTCCACGCCTCCTCAACCCTCCCTCTCATAACCATGGCCAACTCTTTGATCTACAGCCCCAAGGCAGCCCGGGGCGTCTTCGACTCGGACAAGCCCCTGCCCATGACGCCCGAGGAGGTCACCGCCGAGTGGCTCTCGGACGTCTTGGCCGTGGCCGTCAAAGACTTCACCATGACGAGCGTTAGCCACGGCACCGCGTCCAAGCTGTTCGTAGACCTGGTCTTCGCCGACGGCGTGGAGACGGACATCCCCAAGAGCGTCTGCGTCAAGGGCGGCTTCAACCCCGTCATCCGCGAGCACTTCCCGGAGATGTGGGCCACGTACCGCCGCGAGGCCGAGTTCTACTACCACATTGCCCCCGTCATCCACATGCTGCTGCCGCGGATCTGGTTCTGCGGCACCGACACCGTCAACGGCCAGGGCGTCGTCATCATGTCCAACGTCGCCCACGAGTGCTCCTTCGGCACGCCGCTGGAGCCCTGGACGCCCAGCCGCGTTGGCGATGCCCTCAAGCAGCTGGCCAGTCTGCACGGCAAGACGTGGAACAGCGAGGAGGCCAAGTTCCCCTGGCTGTTTGGCAAGGACGGCGAGAAGTTGGCCAACCCCGTGCGGAATATTGTTCTCGCCCTGTTGAAGCCCGAGCCCTGGGGTGCTCGCTTCGACGAGAAGATCCGTCCCCCGGTGGCTGAGGTTCTCCTGGACCGAGAGCGTATCCAGAGAGGCTTTGAGGCTTTATGGAAGCATGCTGACTCGGACATGCGCTTCTACTCACTGATCCACGGCGACGACCACGTCGGCAACACGCTCATCGCCAACAACGGCACGCCTGGCTTCATCGACTGGCAGGGTCTCCAATACGGTCCAGCTCTTCTTGACCTGGTCTACTTCCTCACCGGCGCGCTGTCCGTCGAGGACCGCCGCAGCAGCGAGGGCGAGCTGGTTGACACGTACCTGGAGGCGCTCCACGCCGAGGGAGGTCCCAAGCTGTCGCGAGAGGACGTGTGGGATGACTACCGCCGCTACGCCATGCAGGGCTTCCTGTGGGCGATGACTCCGCAGGCTATGCAGCCGGACGAGATTGTCTTTGCCATCAGCGAGCGGTACTCGACGGCTATTGTCGACCACAAGACTCTGGAGCTCCTGGGAGTTTAGATAGATTTTAGAAAATGAAATGAAGAGTTCACGAAGCATGATCCATATATGATTTTGGTTGAAAGAGTATCACCTAAGTAACTGCTTGTCAAATATCAACAACAGGTTGACAAAAATATCTCCATCTTCGCTTGAGTTGTTTCTTCCCTTTGTCAAGAACTGCAGATGCATGAAACTAAGAGATTAAAGATAAATGAACCTGGATTTTTTTGATCTTTAACATGGTTGCCATAATCAGGCAGTGTGCAAGTATAACTACATAGCCACCAGCCAGGTGCAAGCCTAGGGGGTTTGAGTTAAGGTAGGGAAGGGATTAGCCACTGCTAAGAGTGCTTCACTATCTGTAGTAGGAATAAATTCGGGAAAGCAATACAATGCATTAAAAGCTCCTGTTGCCTGTAACACACTACACAAGTACTATTCTCCAAAACAAGGAGAGCGTGATCTTGTATCTACTAGTTATCGACATGAACGTAACTTGATAATCGAATCGCGCTCCCGAGCGGTAGCTGATAACAGAGGAGCTCGACCTTGATTATCCTTGGGGGGCTCGATGTTAGCGTCCATTTCTCATAGGGACTTCGGAATATCCTCGTGCCTTAACATAACAGCTCACGATAGCGGCGTCCGACCGGTATAGCTGTCTCTGAACTCAATATTGGCGCCCTTCTCGAGCAGCAGCTGTACAGCAGTCATACGCCGCACTATAGCCGCCCGAGATAGCGGCATCAGTCACTAAGGTTATGTTTAGACTCGATATTAGTACCCTTCTCGAGTAGCAGCTTTTTAACAGCCTCATGCCTCTTTATAATTGCCCACAATAGCGGTGCCCGACCAGTAAAGTTGTCCTTAGACTCAATATTGGTGTTCATATTAAGCAGTAGCTTTGCAGCATTCTTGTTCTCCCGTATAACAGCCTATAACAGCGACGTTCGACCCTGTTTATTCTTCCATCCAATGTTGGCACCATTTTCAAGCAACAGCTTTACAAGATCCGTATCCCAAGCTCTGGTAGCTTGTAACAGCAGCTATCGACCTCGGTTATCTATCGCATTGGCGGCTACGGCAGAAGTGGAATGAACACTCCACTAATCCGCAGCACAACTATGGCCTATATCATGTGTAACATTATCCTTGAACTCGAAGTCGGCGCCCTTTTCGAACAGCAGCTTTACAATAGCCCCACGCCCCTCCCCAACAGCCCGCATTCGTAGTGTAAGACCTTAGATATCCTTAGACTTGGTGTCGGCACCCTTCTCAACCAGCATCCCTACAATGGCCGCATACCCCTCTGCAGCAGCCCACGCCAGCGGTGTCCAACCTTGCTTGTCCTTGGACTGGACGTCGGCGCCATTCTCGAGCAGCAGCTGAACAATGGCCTCGTGCCCCTCAGCAGCAGCCCATGACAGCGGTGTTCGACCATACCCGTCCTTGGACTCGACGTCGGCGTCCTTCTCGAGTAGCCGCCGAACAATGACACGATGGCCATAATAGGACGCCAGCAAGAGGTCCGGCCAATAACTAGGCAACATCCTCCCCAAAGTCATCCAATAAATTCTCATCCAAACCAAGTAGCTAAGTGACTTATAATCATAAATTCTCAGCGCACAAGGTACAATAGCATCATCGTCCGTGATATCAGCCCGATAGAAGTGAGCGCCCCAATTTTTGGCCGAGTAATCTAAAAAGGCGCGCCGATCAAAGCACTGACTGGATTCCGCATTTGAATTTGCCAGTGGTCTAACATTTGAGTTGAAGAGGTTCAGATAAAGCACGCAGCACTCCGCGAGAATAGCGTGTGCATCTTTGATAGCGATAGAGTGATGCCAGAGTAGCTGCGGCGATGTAGTCGCAGGCGATGCCAAATCATCGAGGAGAAACTCGCGAGCTGTTTGGTGAAGGAAATAAATACTTCCTTGATGGATTGAGACGAACAATCCACACCAAGATCTGAGACGCGTCTTGAAGTGCTCATCATCCTCTAAATCGAGGTCGTAAATAGACTGTGATGTATAGTCTGTATTTATGGCAACATTCATCTCCGAGACGGTCAATAGCCGGCTCGCTGCCAGGATAATGCTCAAGGCTTGCCGAACCATCGTATCGTCCTTGGTCCTGGTGAGAATTTTCTCATATGCCTCATTAATACTCCTCGGAAGTGTTGTAAGAATATACTCAACCCCCTTGGTTATCTTTTTAAAGTCTTCTTTCTCCAGATAGTCAAACACAAGATACACCCAAAGATATGTGCAATGGGTAACCTCTTGTAATCTTGTCTCGAGGTGGCTCTTAATTTGGGTCGATAGATGCTTCTTCCTCGACAGCTGATTGACCCGGAGTACAATGACGTGACGTACCTCCTGACTGATTGTATCTAACTCTTCCTCTGCTGGTATTCATATATTTAGAAAGATGGCTAACAAGCCATGGAACTTGGATACAGTCTGCTCATACGGGCGACACGTCAGAAGATACTTTAACTTGCTCTCGCCCATATGTTTGCTGCGGAATTGGCTCTCCACATTTCGCACCAGGCCTTCGAACTCAGATTCGGCACATTCGTCAAGAGCATCAAGAACAATAATTACCAGTCCTGCCTGGGGATCTTGTAAAGCGTTCCGTAGAACCTTCCAGAGTGATTTTGTCGAGTTAATCAAGCCTTGCCCATCCTTAAGGAATTGTGGCATGGCATGTCCAATTAAGAATGGCTTCTGAGAGAAGAGCTAATAAAGAAGTGCACAGAGCGCTTGTCGAACAGTGTTCTAATCTTAATCTTTAAAGAAGAAGTAGCAGATAGTTGTTGATCGTGGTAGGCCGGAGTCGATTAGATATTTGGCCAGTACGGACTTTCCACAGCCAGGGTCCGCCGAGACTAGAAGGGGGCCAGACTCTTGATTCAACTACTCGATAAAGTGCTTGTGCTTGAGGAACCACATACACGTGCCTTGGACTCTTTCTTCCACTCGTTCCTTATACCACTCGTACGTGGTATCCCTGCTGCCGTTGGTAAGGCGAAACAGCTGGTGGCACTCTTGTTCGTCGTTGGAAAGCAATTTCTTGGCGAGATCTTTCTATACTTGGAGCTGCTCTTTTGCAATATTCCGGTGTTCTTCTGCAACTCCCTGAAGGCCTGTGTATCGGATTAGCATATATTAATCGTATAATTTAAAATATAAAAATACCAGATAGCACATTGATGATCTTTCTTTTATCTTCAACTCTACTTGGAGCTATTCGATGCAGAAGATCCTTGGCATATGCAGCAGCCACCATTGCTGCATAGCCATGCCACTGATTATTCCTATGAGAATCAGAGTAGTCACATATGCCGCGGATAACCAGACAAGGAAAATAGTTCATAAGACCTGCCGCTTCCATTTCAAAGCACAGAATGTCTTCTTCCTCAGCAAGCTTATCCCTGACCAAAGCATCCTCAATCAGCTGGTTCCCTGAGGCAATGGTGCCATAGTGGATTGTCGGATTGTCGTCATCTTCGGAGCGTTCGGATTGCAATATTAGCTTTGATGAATCGGTACCACATGTTTCCAGACAGCTCAAGTCAGTATTTTCAGGATGCATAACTCCGGGGTGATACAGTCTGTCACTGCTTGGGTCCGGCTGACCATACTTCCTCCGCAGTTTCGGCCTCTTTTGGAAGATCATTTCCATGTCCTCTTTGTAGGTGTGACCATGGCTCTCATATTGTGCCTTGAGTCCATTCACTGCTGCCCGGAGGACTGTAGGTGGTTGGTTTAAGACGCCTGTTTTTTGGAAGCTCCGGTTTTGAACAGTTTTACCAAAGTCATACTGAAGCACACCGCTTTTACTATCCCGAGGAGTACTAACCACGATATCACCTAGTCGGATATCATGTTTTCGGCTTGGAGCACCACCACCAATGCCAACCATCAGACCAATCCTGACATTCGAAAAGCTGTGCGTCATATCTCTTGCAACACTTGCGGCAGACGATGTTCCGTACTCCCCATCGGGCAAAACAGCGATGACGACATTGTGTCTCCATATTCTGCCGAGTGTATAGTCGTTGTTGTCATGGTGCGACATATGATCTGGTCCTTCGTGTTCCTCGTCGAGAAAAGCTTGCGCGGCAACGTATTCTGTACTCATGGCACATATCCAACCGACGGTGTAGTCGCCAGGTAGAGGCATCTTCAGATGTTCCAGGTGAAAGGTAAGCTAGGAAGGATGATTATTGAATAATTGTCGAGGTTTAGTAGAAAATTACTTACCTGCTCTTGGACAAGGCGGATCCGTCCGCAGACCGCCAAACACAACAACCAACCTGACAGCGCAAACTTATCCGTCCTGGTTGAGGAGATGCAGTGGAAGTTTCTATTCTGTCCTAAAGTTCAAGTGACAGAGCGTAGAGTCTAACGACGACAATGTGGATGAAGGAAGATGTCACGACGCTGCGATTATCGCTCAAATGTCAGGCTGAAGCAAATTGAGGAGAAATCCATGATCAGCCACCTGCTTACTACTCCTCAGCCGCAGGCGCTTATTTGCACGTCTCGCCCAATGACAACGTTCTATGGTACAGGGCAGCATCACACCTGTTTACCGACCATAAACTGATCTGTGCCGACCTTCACCTGAATCGTACGGTTCAAAGCTTCGTCAGTTGGCTGTCGCAGATCTTCTAGTCACAGACTACAATGAGAAAGAATTATCGTAAATAGTGTGTCGCGGGATGGCCCATGCCGCTGCGCCCGCTCTACCACCAGCTTGTGCTCGGTTAGGAGATTTCGTTACGGAATGTATGGGCCTGGACCTCGCTATGTCTTCGTCTTAATAAATCCTTCGCCTTGTAGCCTATTAATAGTGACGTTTTAGAGCTCAGTTCGCTAAGTCTTAGATAACTTCAGTGCTAGTTATGGATGATGCGCATTCTGCCAAGGCTCTGTTGAGATGGGATAACGGCAAAACATTATTCCGGACACACAAGCTGTGTGGACAAATTGCAAAATTGTCACAGGGTGTCTTCCAAGTTCCAAAGCAAGGAAACAATAGTGATTTGTAGCCGTAACTATATGACAGAGAGGGTTACCAGGCAATCGGCTCGTGAGAAGTTTCTTTTGTTTTTAAATCCCATCTCCGTCTAAATCTCACTTTCACTCTAATAAGGATCTTGGTTACGCCGCCGCTCCGGGTGTCTACTCTTTGACTCATCAACGGTGACATAAACAAATAGCACCAACAGAAGGTGCAAATCCCAACTGCACAGACGGCAATGGCGATACCCCGTTGACATATGCGCGCCGCTTACCGCTTGATGTCGATAGTCGAGAAGTCATCAAAACTTTGTTGAACCATGGTGCTGATGTCAACGGCGTTTCCGGAGCCGGGCTAAATATCTTGCATACAATCCTACAGCAATCTCTACCCTTTAGAGGCAGCCGTCGTCCATTTCAACTTATCCCCGAAAGCTTAATTCTCGAGGGCGGCAACAGATTTCAGGTAATTGCCACAAACGCAGTCTCCGGGAAGCTCAATCTTGACGCTCGGGATACGGAAGGAATGACAGCTCTGATTTGACTAGCTTCACCGCGAGTGCACAAACGACCAAAAGGTAGTTGTTTTCTTGATAATGCGTCTATGCGCAAACGAATGATGGTCATGTTACTACGAAATGGAGGCGACGTACACGCGAAACAAACCGGGAACACCGATCTTTGTGCCGGCGGTATAGCACTGCATTTCGCCTGTTAGAACTGCGATCCTGCCATGCTGAAGCTGCTTATCGATAATGGCGCTGCGAAAGATATCAGTAGTCTCACCAAGGCCGGTTTCACGGCACTGATGATCTTGGCGAGTGCAGCGATCGATAAGGTGATGAGCGGCAGCGAGCTGGAATGTATGAAGTAACTGCTCCTTGAAGCAGGTGCGGATCCATCCATGGAAATGCAGAGGGCAAGACGGCCTGGGATATTTGGGTTGAAAAACGCCCGGTCTCTTCATACTGGATATTAGAGCCGGTGATTAAAGATTTGGAGGTTCTGGATGGTGGTGACAAAGAGAATCTTTCAACTTGATAAGACCACGATTTTTAGCGTCCGATGGGGAGTTATGGGAAACGCAAGATTGAACAGTATTAGTTGAGACGCCGTCAGCGGTCTGTATTTCCAACGATTCATATAAAACAACTCTGTCCAAGCATAATTATTTAACCAGCTGCATTGAACCCATTGTAAATGCCAGTTTTGTCCGAGCGTGCAAACTTAGACATACCCAAGAAGACAAAAAGACTGCGCCCCGATCCAATAACTCCCAAAAGATCCTCTCGAAACACTGCCTATTACTTATTGCATCCATTTCAGTGTTGGATAGTCGCTGTTGTCGAGGTACATCGACCTCATCGATCCTCACATCCCATACAACATTGTGAGTTCGGCTGGCAAAACAAGATCATTTCATTCATTTCCCTTTGTGGTCACGGTCGCGTTTGGGCCTGGGTTGTAAACATTCCAAGGGCCGGATTGAGATTTATCAGCCCCTTGGGCTTTTGGTGGAATCTCCAGAGCACCATGGAGTATGTGAGTGTCTGCCGACTTATTCTTGTTAGCTATAGTACGCTTCCAATGCGTATCCCAATACGTACTTCAACTGAAGGGGAAGGGGCAGAGTGACCTTGAGCCCATGCCCCGGCATGAACAACCAGGTGATCTTTGCGTGCTTTGTCGGCTTGTTGCATAGGGTCGATTGCCATATTTTTGTTGACGGAAGATTTCTTGGCAGGGTAAAGTTGATAGATTGAATGAAATAAGTTGTGAAGACGTTTTGTAGCAGTGATGGAGAAGACAGTTACTAAATGAACCCAAGGAAGTTGGATAGTGGTATTTAACCACAAGACTCAACGCCAGCTTGGCATTGAAGAGGAATCGATCAAGCTGGTATAGTTCTTGCAATTTCCTGTTTAGGTAAACCCAAAACTACACCAAGGTCATGCGCATTCTAAATTTCGCCCATGGGTGCTAAGATGAGCCTTTCTTAGCATGGCTGACATTGGAGACTGTTGCAGTCAGGCGTTTCATCAAAGACGTCAGCTAGCCACGGGTATCATCATTCTCATGTGGGTCTCGAATCACTTTGGAATTTCCTAGTTGGGTAAATCCAATTGGAATTTGGGGCTTGCGAGTTAATTTCGAAACAGGTGGCCAACAACACCATCGCTCCCCAGCCGCTTCTCAGCTTATCAGGTAGGACCAACTAATTTTGATCAACGCCCGTCTGGGTGGCCCGCGCACGGCTCAACGATAATGTTGTTGTAAATGCTCTATTTGGCTTCTCTCCTTGAAAGAAGAATCCCTAACAACGATAATCGCTGACCAGCAATTAAAAAATCATCATCACGATGGGCATTGATTAGCCAACTTGTTCTTTGAACAGAGGGCATCTTTGTCAGGCTGCTATCAAAGCCTCGTTATCGTTCACGTTGGATCTTGTTGAGGCGTTGCATGAAATGGAGAAAACATGCAACCCCCCTTAAGACGCCACTTGGACCGGGGAGATGTCTGTGGAGATGTTGGAATTGCCACAACGGGGATAGTCTGATACTGGCGGTGAGAGATCAGGACAGATATTTGGCGTGCTCCAGGATTAACGATTGTCCGGCTGATTGTCACTAACGGTAAGGCTGCGTAGGATGCACTCTGTCCAATGATAAGACGGCACGAGTCGACAGGTTGTTTCATCACTTACATGGATGATGGATGCCTCCTGCAGGTTGGAAATGACGGTTCGCCTTGAAGATGTGATAAACGAGACCAAAGCCAGTGTGGATATGACCTGTTAATTTAGCCTGTCAATATTTTTTGTTTCAAGCACTTTTTGTTCTTTTTCGTCCCGCAGTTGCTTCTGATACTAGCAGGACCAGAGCAACATTCTCAAATATCTGTTTCACCTAATGATGGTCTCTCCACCCATTCCTTCAAACGCCCCTCAACCAGGGGACGTGAAGTTTAATTGGGTCGTCGACGGTCGGCGGCCCCGCGCATCGCGAATACTCAATGATGAGTTGGATCGGTACAAGAATCAGATATATGACATGTATATCACGGCAAACATGACTCGCAGCGAGGTAATACGGATCTTGGCGGAAGTCGACGCACTTGTGGTATCGTAAGCGAACTCTTCCGGACTCCCTTCGAGAATACCGTGTGTGATGAAGACTAACTACTACATCTGTAGGCCAGATCAATTCTCGAAGGCTACGAAGCGATGGGGGTTCCAAAAGCACAATCGTCGCCATGATGCACCGAATCCTGCCACGCTTATCTCAATCCCAGCTGGGAATACCGACGACAGACAGGACCAGCATTCGCAGTCCGATGACTCCGCGACGCCTGCATCGACAGTGTCCTCTGTCGAAGTGGCCAAAAGGCCGCGATCAGTGAATAGCTGGTCGAGTCTCGCCGATAGCAACCACCAGCCGCGACATTCCCAGTCGATATACAGGCCACCAAAACGACCCAAATGTACAAGCGACCCCGACACCGCGACAGAAGAAAATCTCAGCACCCAAGTGGATATCACAGCGGTGGCCATTGGCGACACTGATGCGATAGACAATCCGCAACTGGAACAGAATGGAGACTCACAATCGCCATCTCAACCTCCTCCGGCCGACTCTGTTGACTCTCCGCAAAATTCCATGAGCGATCTGGACTCGACGTCGTCGACAGCACCACTGGTCGAGGATGAAGTATTGGCAGCGGAGTTCTTGGCCTGTTGCTACATGTTCAACAGGGCATTTCGCCACTACAGAAAGGCATTCACTCATTTGGAAGACAAACCATTCTCAAGCAAAGAGAAACGATCGAGAATCCTAGACTTGGCAAGGACTGCAAAGTCATCAGCTAATCGCGAGACGGCATGTGGCATCTTGGAATCTGAGCTGGAGGCTGGCTATGACCCTTTGAGCACTGCCAACAACGACACTGCGGTCTCGCCCTCTCGAGAATCCATCATGCCGGAACGATCCTTCTTAATTCATCGGCATCTGGCCAAACTGTACTCGCATCGTCGAGGACAGACTGATCAAGTTCAACAACACCTTGACAAAGCCCGGAACTTTACCAATTCTGACACCCCACTCGACCTCTGGACTCTGTGTCATCTCTCGGAGGGTACGTCTAATGGCCACATTCCGGACAAACTCCTCAGCTTGCTCAAATACGACGACGGAACATTCGCTTTGGTCATCAAACCGTGTCTACGATGGTGCAGAAAGCAATTACAGCCATTTCAGAACCATCAACCCTGTCAAGGTGCCCAAATAGCACGAATGAGCCCTACTGCTCTAAGTCAGTTGGTTGAGAAATTCAACAGTCTGGCTTTATGGGCGGACACCAGCTTCCTCTTTGCCTACCTCTGGAAAGACCTCCAGCTCTCTCCGCCTCCAGGCTATGATCAACTCACCTGGCTTGATGCTGACTTGCTCCCGGGCATATCAACGACACATTTTCTGATGATCATTTGTAGGATGATTGTGGATGAAACTCGCGTATTTTTTAAGTTCAAGGCCGCCAACTTGGATGCGAAGACTCCAGCTGCGTCAGGCATCCCTGGGGACTGTACCTATGCTAGCATTCCGCAATACCAGATGGCAATCGACTCGCTGATATCTGACGGGGAGACATCAGCAAAGGAAGTCAAACGGCGATTCGTGAATTCCTTTTACAGACATCATTCATGGACGCCACCCATCCGACAGGAAAGGGAACTCGTTTTGCAACTGCAATCCAATCACGTCAAGTGCCTGAACTCGACAATGAAGGCCAGGCAGACCCTACGTTCGCCAACCCCCACACATCTGGCTCGGGAAATACCCGAAGTACAAGATGTAGCAAACGAAAAGCCTAAACATGTCTCGTTGAATGAGTTTGTCGACATACAAGCCCTCGACGAAATGATGGAGACGGCATCGCTAAACGACTCGGGTAGCCACATGAGTGTACAGACAGACAGACCCTCAAGGGCTTCTTCGTGTATCACAATGAGTTCCACGGCATCTCTCAACTTACGCCATTTGTACATAGGCGCTGTCCAAGGGAACCCGGCGATTTCCCGAACCTTGGTATCGGTATCACGGCTCTCACACTCATCCCTGGAGTCTCGTTCCAGCTCGCTTCGAAGATTCATCGCAGCCGGCAGAAGCGTAAAATCGCAGCTGGGAGGTTCGAAACCTCCATCTTTGAACAATAGGAACTCGTCGTCTGCAGGGCTGGATATGTGGTCAGACTGGGATGGAGACCCTGGCATGTTAAGCGTGAGCAGACAGGGTAGTGTAAGTGGCACAGAGTTCAGCATGGCCGACATAATTGAGGATCAGCGCGAACTACGGCCGGAGCTACGTAACAGTAGCGAGGGAAGATTTTTGACTCCGGGAAGCATCAATGATCAGACCGAGGATGAGACATTTCGAAGACGATTTGTGCATCTCTGGAGGGGAAGGGAATAGATTGACTGTTAGAAACAGGTCACAGACGAGACAGTATTTACAAGGTCACTTAATTTTCAAGTAATACAGTGTTTATAAACTCTTGTAAGAATAGTAATACTCATGCTGCCGCCTTCCCTCTCGTCTCGTAAGGCAAAATGAGAAAGACAAGACCAGCCACCATAAACAGCGCAGCCGAGATCCAGACAGGCATATCAGTATCTATGCCAATATACGCAGCAATGATAGGAGCCATAAGTCCACTTAGCCGGTTGAACATGGCCACAAGGCCATTCGCTGTACCTCTGATCGGGGCCGGAAACAGTTCAGGTGTGTACGAGTACAGCAGCCCATATACCAGGTTCTGAAAAAAGGCAATTGCGCAAGTGAAGCCCAAGACACTCGCGTTCGTTGTCGCTCGAGTATAGAGAAACAAAAACACTCCTGTTCCAATGCATGCAAACGTTCCTGTGCCCTTGCGGCCGATCCGCTTCAGGTCAACGGTGAAGCCGCCGAAGATGGAGGCAGGGATACCGCAAACGGCTTGGATCGCGTAAGTGCGGTAGGTCTTGCTCAAGGAAGAACTTCCGAGAGTAACGCCTTTGTTTTCGAGATAAATCGGGATGAAGGAGTTGTAGAGGGGATACGCCATGCCAATGGCACACCAGAGGAAGATCATGAGTGAAGTGGAAAAGGCGAGACGCGGAGTGGAAAAGAGGGCCTGGATCTTGCCGGGCTTGAACTTTTGGAGATTTCGCTTCATGATATTCCGAGAGTCACCGTTTGGAGCTGTCAGTTGCTCCGTGTCGGCGGCTCTGGCACTGAGCTCAGCATCGATGGCTTCGAAATGAGAGATGGTAAGCCACGTGGTGGTCTTGTTCCGTGCGGCAATCTTCTGCACCACTTGGACGGCTTGCTCATCCAGGCCTCTTCCGAGAAGATACTTGGGAGTTTCGTAGACACGAAAGAAAAGCCGCATGAGAAACATGGCTAGGGTCAAGCCACCGAAGGTCCAGTAGGTGTATCTCCAACCAAGGTTATCCTCATATCTGCACTCGCCAGCGGGCGTATCAGAAGGGCAGGAGAAGTTTGCAATAAGAGGCCTGCATTCAACTGTTAGTATTGCTCACTCCGTGTGTGGTTGTAACTTCTATCTTACCATCCGATCAAAGCCGCAACAGCCTGGCCAACAGACCAGAATCCAGACTGCATGGTAAGAAGGTATTGATGCGTAGCAGGGATGAACTCGAGGAAAATGGCACTGTCCACTGGCTGATTCCCGCCGGTACCAACACCGATGATGGCACAGCAGGTTGCGATGGCTACAAAATTGGGACTTCCTGCACCGACGAGGCCGGCGAGTGAAGACAGGAGCAGTGTGACATTGAAGGCCAGACGGCGTCCAATGAAGTCAGCCGTCATGGGCCAGACCGTAGACCCAACTACCAAGCCTGCGTACTTGGCAACGGTCAGGAACGCGATACGCTCAACGACGAATTCGTTTCTGACGGCCGGGCTGACGATGGTGATAGCTTGCATCCAGAACTATTGTAACTGGTGAGCATAGAATGCAATCCGAGGGTATGAAGCACCTATACTTACGTTGTCCACAAACCACCCAAATCCAGTCATGGCAAAGATCTTCCACTGGAAGGAACCCATACCAATGTCAATCAAAGCTTGGTTCATGACAGCTACCTTTCTCTCGTACACCTCGTCCGCTCCCCGGGAGACGACACTTGTGTCGATACCACGGTAGTCATTCTGCTCGTCGATGGTACCCTTGCTGTAGGACTCTGCGTCAATGGGCTTAGGCTTCTCGTTCAGAGCCATGTTTTGCTCGACGCTTGAAAAGGGCGTGGAATTCTTTCTGTAGAAAGATTGGGTTGTGATAAAAGATGATTTGAGATTGGTTGATGCTTTGATCTGTTTTCGCAGATAAACAGGAGCGTCTCAAGGCTCATATACTCGGTTCAAACCACAGCCGTACTGATAATAAGATTATTATCCTCACCATGGCTCCAAGAGGTTATCCAGGGAAACCCCAGTCGCGCTATCTACAGGATCCACTCCCCCTCGAAACCTAGCAGAACGCTGAAGATTAGGCCATTACTAATGCATCACCGGGCGGTTCAAATACTCTTCTTCCGTCCTAGCGCCATGCTGGTGGCAAGACACCATCACGTAGCACTCATATCTCCGTCTGCTCAGCGCTTCAAATGACCCCGATTTAGTTAACTCATTTTACCCCGCAATGACTGTGCGCCAGGATTGATTTGCGTCGAGTCATTGCAACCCTTTGGTGAAGATATCCGCGTCTCAAATACTTCGTTTTCGGCGTAGTGTTGATATGGTGTCGTCGGGTTCCGCCCGCCGCGCCTTTAATACCCCCAACTGAGTATCGTCAGTCAAATACAGTTCACAATCTGGGGTAACTGATCATGTGGGTATCTTGATCATCATTTCCCGGGTTTTCATAATCAGACACATAATCTGGCGGTTGGAATATCCATTCTTGGTTAACACCCTAATCGCTACGCCTCTCACGACTCGTATATAAACGATAAAGAGATCTATGCTCTCGCTGTTATCTGCATCACCACCAACATTATCACACAAGCACACTTATCTCTTCTTGAACCAACCATCATTTTGTCACCATGGCTCCTTCTATCACCTGCGATACGCCGACTATGGCGGGTCCATTCCCATCTTCCAAGATTGCTGTTCCAGCCACCCTCATGCCTGTTCAATTTGATGCCGCCAAGCATTTGGCATACTCGGCACCAGCATCCATCTTGACCATGAAGGATCTCAAGCTAGAGCCAACGGCGCTATCGCCTGTGGCTACCACTGAGCCGTTCCCATTCATGTCTCACGACGCTGTGTTGCAGCATCGACGGGAGCTGTTCAGCAACGATGTCTTGGATAATTGCCTCCACCACACTCGCCCTGGTTCAGTCCAGCTGCGTGGCATGGCACCAAGATATGCCCCTTTCATCCACAAGTTCTGGCATTCGCCCGAAGTCCTCAAGATCGTTAGTGACCTCGCAGGCGTTGAGCTCGTCCCCGCCATGGACTATGAGATCAGCCATACCAACGTCCAGCTTGGACCGGGTGGGCTTGAGGCTGTTAGAAACACCCCACTTGAGCCGCCTGTCGCAACCGAGGAAGCCATCAGGCGATTTGAACAGGACAGGCCCAAGAAGCAGGCTGTTACGGATCAATCTAAGCCTATTATTGAGTGGCACAAGGATTCACACCCTTGGGTCTGTGTTGTGATGCTTTCTGACGCGAGAAATATGTCGGGCGGAGAGACAGAGCTCATGAAGGGAGATGGAACAACCCTCAAAGTGAAAGCACCACAAATGGTATGTTCTCACGTTGACCGGTTGCACGGCTACTGATGTTTTCTAGGGATGTGCCGTTTTGCTCCAGGGCAGATACATCACGCACACGGCAGCTCCTGTTACCAACATGCCGGAGCGAGTCACCATTGTCACGTCGTTTCGGCCCAAGAACCCAGAACTGCTAGACGAGACCACTAACGCCAATGTCCGCAACAAGTCTCATCTTACCGAGCTTTACTACCAGTGGACCACGTATCGTCTTGATGTCTTGTCTCAGCGTGCTCGTATAGCTGCGGATGCATTGAGGGAGAGGTATGCGGCCAACATTGAGAAATCGGATCCCCAGGGCAAGGGTGGTCTCTGTCGAGTCGAGACGGTGAATGTTGCGGAGGTGGAGAAGTGGTCCAATGAGATGATCAAGTATATTCAAGAGACGATGCATGAGATGAGGCCTCTTGGTCAATAGGCATCTACCGTATACGGCGGTCCACTAGCCACATAGGATGGCTTCATTGTCCTCATATACAAGCCCCATGTCCTTCATCATCCAGCTTTTGACCAGAGACTGCTTGACGCAATAGAAGTTCTTCATCTTGAAGCGCCGTTCAAGTGATTCCAATTTAGTCATGATACAAGTTCGCTCTTCCGCATGATCTGCCGTAAGCTCTTTGGCTGCAATTCCAATTGGCCAAAGGAGGGCGTTTTCGAAAAGCGACCCTAGTGGCAAAATATCGATGAGTTGAGCCGCCCAAGATGGAAGATTCCCCATACAGCCATCTTGGTCATCCATTTTTGCGCTTATTACATCAGACACCGTTGTCTGATGTCGGACAGCATACTGCTTTCTGTATACCGTTGCCGCTACACGATACAGCTCTGAGATGAGGCCCTGTTCTTTCCATTCACTGGGTCTAGTGAAATCTCCCAATTGTCTGAACTGAGGTTCGAGAGCGATGATCTTGTCGCTAACTGGAAGCCGTTCGTGGAAATGTCTTTTCTCTGGAGGGTCAAGCGCAAAGCTTGGGAACCAATCCAACCTCCCATCCCAAGCGGCAATGTCTGTATCCGTCACACTAAGGTCTCCAGTGCTTATCCTGGCGATGAGGTGAGGGAAATAAAAGCGGCCAATACTCTGCCCACAGCCAAGTTGCCGCCTATCATACGACCCGTCGAGGTGGTCCAAGGGTGTCTCTCCGAGGTAGAATTTCGATAGTGTTGGTGTGCCTAATGATGTAGACTGAACTAGATCGTTGTACAAAAAAAGATTCGACAGAAATTGGAATGCGTCATGCGATGGATTATCTGTACTGTTCGTATTCGCTGCAGACTCTGTCGCTATGGCGAGGACAAGGCGGTTGGGAACAGTTCGGGCGAAGAACTGAAGGTGGGGAGAACCATTCTTTTCTCCTTCGCCAGCAAGCTTTTCGTACAGCATAAGCAAGACACAGCTTGCAAGGAGGCGCATAAAGTTGTCTTTATGTGTGATGCCCACTTCAGTGGTCGTGGTTTGCGCCGTGGGATCTATGATAGATGCTTGAGCAAGAATGCGGTCTTCCGGTTGCGCATGATCTGCGAGGCTTGTGATCAACTGCATACACCCTCGCAAGGCCCTCTGCCTTAGTTTCAACATCATACTGGGATATGCAAAGCTGCCATTTTCCCAACTTTGGACGCCGCTGAGAGCTAGCAGCGCATCCAAGACAGTCCGGCTCTGCATGGAGAGCGGTAGAAAGATGCGCAAAAACGGATTCGTGGGACCTGAACATGTTGGATACGTCCTGGAGAATCGCTGGATGTAATGATCCAATAGTCTGTGTTCTATCTCGTCGAGATCGAATGGCCAGGCTGATATGCTGCGCAACCTTGACGCTGAGTGATGTGAAGTGAAGCGGACAACAGCTTTGATAGTTCCGCTTGCGGCTGGAATATTTGACAGAGATTTAAACTTTGCTTCTGTCTCCTCTGGTCTTGGGGAATTTTTCGACCTTGTCGATACGGATTCCTGGTGTTGTTTGGGGTGGGTACTCGGCTTTGGCGGACCTCTCCTCTTCATCCCGGCCCTTCTCGTATCATCCTCCCAAACGAGTCTCGTCTCCCGTTCGCAAGCGAGACCCAGTCGGGCACAGTTGTTGCATGGGAAAACGACAGAGTCACACTTCTTTTTCCTATTTCTAGTCAGTAGAGGTCGTATTTAGTGAGCAATAACGGCCTACCTGCTTCGGCACGTCCAGCACCCATCTCGTGTTCGACGAGACCGTTGTCGCGAGCTCATTGACGCCAGGCGATGTTAATCTGGCTAAGCGCACCGATATGGAGTGATTTAGGATGTGAATTGACGATAGGCGTGGATGAGAATCTGGACAAGTTGCAGGAGGAGAACTAGCCAGACACGACGTTGGTCACTCCCCGAAATCCCGAGCATCAGTTCCCCGCATTGCCTGGGGATGGCTTTCGACTTGGCCAAATCAGCCGAAATCAATTCATCATGGTTCCACTAGTCTGGTGTGGCTTATCTGTGGTGTCGTCTCGGTGGGTCTCTGATATATGAAGCAAGCGTCATTGGTCTGTGAATCGTCGACAGTAGCTGAGATATTGCCTTTATATCCTCGACTAGAAGAAGATGGATGGCTTGAGTGACGCTACATCTCTAGGTCATCGGAGCTGACGTCGAAATGTCACCCTAGACGCATCCTTGGCGCAGACTATGACAAATGGGAGCAATTTTACGCCTTTTCGTGTCCAATTGTGGCTTCAAATCGAGTCAACCGGCTCGTTTACCCAAACCTGGCTAGCTTCCTCCTGGATTCCAATCCCAAGCACACCCAGTGACCCGACATCGGTTGCAATGAGAACCTGGGGAATGACCTGCAAATGGCATAAATAAAGCATCCAATTTCCTGTGGCCGCCCTTGAGTTTCTTATACATGTCCAAGCACTTTGGTACATAATGCAGAACCCAGAAGTCTACCGTTTCTCACAAACACCATTCGTGCCGAATAGCAGGCTGCCGGTACTCATATACCGGAATGTCCTGCCCCAGCCGCACCAAAAAGAGACGGCGAAGCAGTTTCTCGAAAACAATCAATGGCTTAGAGGGGTACAAAGACGATATTAAAAATCCTTGACCTCACATCTGACCTAAACCAGGGAACCTTCGGGGCTTTCTCTCGACACCACTTTCATCCCAACACGCACGAATGCTATGGTCTGCTACCCCTGTGACGGTTCAGTGCCGCAGCTAACGGACCCAGCTGTGTTCCAGGGGTCATCTACGCTATTGATCGGAGTGGGCCCAACGGAAGATGAAAAGGGAGGGCAGAAAGTTCTCATGGAAGCAGGCGACGTGATTATCCTTCCGGCCGGGGTTTCGCATTGCACCCAAGATATACATGAAGATTACAAGTATCTCGGCGTATATCCCAAAGTAAGGTCTCCATTCCAAGCCGAAATCACTATACTAATCTCAAGAAAGGGCTCACAAAAGTGGAAGAATGAGTGGTGTAAAGATGGAGGGAGATGCTCATCCTTGAGAGAAGAAGCCGAGTCGGTCCCTACCCCAGAATGGGATCCTGTTCACGGCCTTAAGGGCCCTCTCAGTAAGCTGTGGGCTTGAACAGTAGAGTTCTGTAGGTTGCTGAAGAGGTGTTTGTGACACATCATTGCGTGTGGGAGACAATTATCATCTCAAGTTTACAAGCATGTCCAGCTTCCGTTAGGGATTCGGTATGACCCTCAATACCGTACTTAGTTAGCATCGCCTGCTTAACGCAACTGTAATGTGCCATGGGAGCAACCTAAGGTGAAAACTGAGGGTGTGGGGTAGCGAATATTCCTGAACTCAGCCAGTTCATCAGACTCAAGTGTCTGTTGTTGAACCCGCCGATTGTTGAATGCTGCGAATTGATTATTGCCGTGTGATACCTGTGCTAATACATAATCCCACTGAGACCAATTTAATTACTTTTCTCCTGATTCATTCAGGCACGATGCATATGTTTGCATGTAATAATGTCGTATTTTTACCTGACTCATCACGAGAATCGGCGAATGTCTCACTTGGTTGGTTGCGATTATTTCCTTGTACAGATTGAATCAAAGAAAAGATCAGCAACACATGGAATGGGGAGTCTAGATTATCCACCGAATAGAAAGACCTGTCGCAAATCCGCGGGCGAGTGGTCCAGGTCGATCTGAGTTCTCCACCAGCCCGCGCAACGTGTGCAGTTTCTTTCTGGGGATCTGAAGCAGTAAAGGCTGGCGAGGCTGTTCAGGTGACTGTGGCCCAGGAAGCCTGGCTCGGAAATGTGATCCAGACCATTACTGGTATCGTTGTCCCTCAACTGATCGTGTCTCTGAATAGCATTCTCAGCAAGCGAGACCTTGAGGCTCGTGAGGAAGAGCTTCTAGTCCCCGCTAGCATGCTCACTGCTAGGTCTCACTTCGGAAAAAGAGATGAGAGCATGTCCAGCCGCGATTAGGCAATGAACGCTATGCAGTCCTAGCAGGCCTAGGAAGCGTGGCTCGGAATTATTGTGCAGACCATCACTGGTATCGCTCTTCATCAAATCATCGCTTCTCTCAATAGTATCCTCAGCAAGTGAGATGTTTGACTCGCCATCAGGCCGATCCCTCTCAGCTTTCTCCTGAGTCAGGAGTAGTGGCCTTTCATTGAACTGTAATCCAGAGGGTCATTCAATATTCTGTCGTATTCTAAGTCGGATCTCCCCTTATTTTATCCTCTAGGTCATGCAACAGATTACAATAAAAATTGTTTGAGAGTGGATATGTGTGGCGGCGATTAAGAAGATGGTACGCTTGTGTGGAGAAGGTGTGGAATGAGTAGGATGTCAGATTGGCTTAACTTTCTACCCCGGTTTAATGATGGACTTTTTCTTACTTCGAAATGATTCGAAATGGGTTGTGTCCGATATTGAATGATATATCAACCTATAAGCTTCTTCAATTGCCTCAGCAACCTTGAAGCTTCGACATTTCAACACGAAACATCTTTAGACATGACTGTCTCAGACCTGAGTAGGCTTTACCTCCTCCAACTCGATCCTCTTGGCAACAACCTCGTCTTGGACGCTGCAAACATAACCCTTGAATTGCCGGGCGGGAATGCGCTTGTCAAACATCTCTTGGATCTCGGCGTAGTTACGGCCCTTCATCTCGGGGAGACAGTAGTAGAGGTAGACACACATCGGGACGGAGAAGGCGAAGAAGATGAAGCAAACTTGGTTATGTTAGTGGGGTGTCGCGTATTTTGGGATATAGGCGATCACTTACTCTTGCCTCCCAGGTTGAGCTGATCACTGTTGATCAAGTAGGGCATAACCTGCAGAACCATGCAGGAGACTGCAGTGGCGGCCATGATGTTGATGGCATATGTCTTTTGGCGGAGTTGCATGCTGGGAGTCTCGCCACCGACAGAGTAGGCCGTAGCACCGAGGGTCATCTATTGATAGAAGGTTAGTAAGTTCTAAGACAAGACTGAACGATGACTGACCTGATAGAGGAACCCCCAGATGGTCATTAGGGCCACGGTCGCACTTAATGCCGACTGATTGTTGACAGTACTGACGCCACCGATAATAAGCAAGCCCGCAGTAATGGTAATACATCCTCCAACAATCATAGGGCGACGGCCAATTCTGTCAACCAGCGGCCAAGAGCAAATGTTTCCAAACAGTTGGATAGCATAGGCGGCTTGGGCCACACCCAATGCGTTTTTGACTCCTGCAAGTCTGAAGTAGTAAGTCAAATAGCCACTGACGAAGTTGACACCGATGAACTGCTGGGAGATGTAGACCATACAGATGATGGTAGTACGTCTGCCATCATTTGCTTTGAAGCACTGAAGCCAGCTGCCTCCTCCTGCAGTCTCCTCTTCTTCCTTGCGGATAGCTAGCATAGCCACGGCAACGGCCGTGTCGGCATCAAAGTCAGGTCCGTTGAAGCGGAGGTACGACTTCTTGGCGTCTTCAGTGCGTCCGCGAATGAGAAGCCACGATGGAGATTCGGGAAGAATGATCAATCCGAGGAGAAGAAGACACGGAGGGAAGACCTGTGTAATGATCGGGATGCGCCAGGCCATGTCGTTAGTTCGTTCGGAGCAGGCGTAGACGACGAGGGAGCTGAGCCACTGTCCGATGACAATCATGGTGTTCTAACACAAACTTTAGCATCTTGCCGTCATGTTGAGAACTAGGTGCTTACCACAAGGACCAAACAAGTTCCTCTGAGTTTATTGGGAGCCATCTCAGCAACAAAGACGGGTCCAAGGGAGTGTCCCAAACCAAAACCAAAGGTTCCGAGAAGCTTGCCGCCAAACAGAGTAATGATGGTACGGCTAAAGTATTGGACAAGGACTCCAGCGATGCAGAGAACACCGGCGAGTCCAATTGTCTTCTTGCGGCCGACAATGTCGGAAATGAAACCGGTTGCAAAGGCAGAGACGAATAATCCGACCGTAGTGGCAGCATTGAGGATCTGCTGGTCCTTGGCAGAGACGAGGAGGACACCATCCACCTCCTCGCCAAACCGCTTCATGAAGGGGATTACGGCAAGGAGGTTGCCGACGGTGCTGATCTCGTATCCGAAGTTGATGGGCAGCATGAAGATGATGAAACCTAGTCGATTTTAGTTAGTCACTGTACGTAACATTGGCTTCCTGAGGTGGACAACGCGACTTACAGAAGCCCAGGACGCGGCGGTTCTCCCAAATATCACGGAATGTGATGTTTGGGTTCTCGACAGTCACAACAGGGTCGTGCGACTCGACATGATTGGCATCGGTCTTGATGTCCTCGGCCGCCATGATGAAGGTATGGATCAAGTAGTAATCGTATGCAGAATGATGTGCCGATTGGCGATGAGGGATGAGGAATGAAAATCCGGGGCCTCTCGCGAGGTTATATATCCGACTCGCGCGTCCGGTGACGGGGAGAATTTCGACGGCTCAGGCCACGGACTAGCAAACAGACATTCCAGACCCGCATAAACGACAATGCAGACAGCTCTAGTTCCCCACGGGGACCGTCACTTGCGGGGGGTTTGTGGGTGGTTGTGGGGCGGTAAGGTGATGGCAGATGGCTATGATTGCCGCAACCAGATGGAGTTCACACCACAGCAGAATCACGGGTCTTTCGGGTCGGTAGCGAGAGAATATGGGGCTTATTCTTTCCAGTAATAGCAAAGGAATATGATGTGCCGACAGGGATAATCACTCACCAACAGGCCGATTGATGGCGACACGGAGAGCGAAAGGGCGAGAAACCATGTCTTCGCAAGTCTCATGATCCAGCTGGGATGGAAATGCGACTCGAGACAAGCCAGAAAGCTAGGATCTTGGCTCAAAGAGGCATGGCCACGCTGCCTCCTGGCGCTACTATGCATCCTCGGGCGTTCTGATCAATAGGACGTCGTGATGAGACGCCCCGCAGCGGCTCTCGGGGGAGAAACCCAGGAACATCTCCGGTAGATCTTGATTGCGCTATGCCGTGATGGGCCATCAACTCGACGGTTTTGTATGTGAATGCAGTTTCCACGTGGCGCCGACAGCCGCCGATGGCTTCAATTGGTGCTTCGTACACATATCTCGTCCCAAGGCTCGTCATTGTTATTGATTCAACAGCCGAGATGTCTCCAATTAATTTGTTTCTCATCATGCGACTGCTGGATCCGGAAAGGCGAAGCACCCGCACCACGGCTCAGCTTCAGCGCAGGCGTCACACTACTGGCATCAAGTGACTTAAGACTAACATGGTTCTTAACGTCTTGCTTTGTGAGTGCCTCTGCCGCCTCCTATTCGTTTCCATCTACCCGAAGTCTACAGTTTGTCTATTGTCTAGAGTCTAGAGTCCCTCGCCATGGCAAACCACTTCGACTTCACCATCCCGGGTTCGCTCCCTCGACCTGTTTACCAAAGCCGCGTGTACGGACGCGACGAGACTCCGGCCCATCTGTTGCCGGTCAAGATACATTCCACGACCGGACACGTCTCTGCTGCGGATACTCTCCTCTCAGACAACTCCGCCAACTCCGCCAACTCCGCCGAATCTGTGGTTTTGATTAAAACCTCTGCGTCAGACCCAAACCCTTCCCTCATTGCTGACTTCGGCGTTGCCGTGGCAGGCATCCCCTTTATCAACGTGTCAGCCATCATCGCACCCGCGAGCTCTGTCGTCGTCGACTTCGCCGTCTCCGAAGGCTACCCCGGAATCAAACTCGAAGATGGAGACGGCCCCTATCCGTTCTCTGCCGGCGCCGACACCAGCCGCAAAGCGCGTTTCCGAGTCGGCCACACCGGCTTCCACGATGCGAAATACATTCAGGGCAGCCAGAGATGGATGAAGATCACGCTGTCCTCTCCCGGGCCTTGCTGCGTGGCCATTTCACGCGCCGGATTCATCCCCGCCACTTCCAATGTCCCCGTCGACCGTCTCCCGGGTCAGTTTGAGTGCTCCGACTCGAGTCTCAATGAGCTCTGGGGCTACGGTGCTCGCACCATCCAGCTCAACTGTGCCCCTGAGCGGACGATTCCTCCCCCGTGGCAGGTTTCCGAGGACATGGGCGTCTTGATAGATTCGCAGCGGTGCAACTCGTACGGATGGGGCGGAGAGTGGTCAGACTACGATGCTGAGTTTGACGCGCTTGTCATCGAGGGAGGTCTGGCCTGGTCTGTTCGCGCAAGCGGCATCATGCCCAGTGTCTTCTTCCAGCTGACCGTCACCGACGATCGCACCATTCTCGAGATGTGGTGGGGATACTACAACAAACAGCAAACGACGTTGGTACCCATTTTGATTTCCTCTGTCGATATTTCAACCCAACTAGAGTTGAACAAGTGGTACCGCCTCAAGACTCGCTGTGTCTGTGACGAGCCGTTTGTCATTTCCATCGACGGCAAGGAGGTTGCCACCTTTCGTCAGGGAAACATCAAATCCTGTAAGTGAAGTCAACTCGTGAACTGTTGATTGCTAGGTTAGCTAACCGTCAGAATAGCCGGACTAGGCTTCATGTCAACTCCGGTCGACGCATCGAATTTCCCCTACGTGGCCAAAGGAGCAGTCGGCATCGGTGCCGGCGCTGACCAGGTCTGCCGCTTCAAGAACATGCTCGTTCGATCGGTCCCATCTCAAGAAATACTCTATACCTCTGGTCTCAACACCCCCGCCGTGCTGTCCGACTTTGGCGTTGGATGGAACCAGTTCCCTTTCATCTTCGATGGCGCGAAGCGAGACCGCTATCCCTGGACTGCAGATATCATTGTCGGCGGAAAGACTCTCTATTATTCCACCGGTGGGACAGAGTTTGTCCGTGGCAACATTGTTGCATCGATGCTGCGGTCTAAAGCAAGCAAGGATACACCCGGCCTGTTTCCAAGTGGCGCTCCGCCCGGTATGGACTTTAGTCGACCAAGAGACGATACCATGTTTCGCCTATTGGCAGTCAACTATTCCTTGTACTTGATCCTAGTCATCTACGATTACTGGACCTTTACTGGAGACGATGACTTGCTCCTGCTCTGTTGGGACAAGATTGAAGGATGCTTGGCATATTGCAAGGAGCGACTCAATGAGGACAACTTGATTAGCGTCAGCGGGATGGACGGTCAGTTGAATTCTCCCTCTTTGACTCAGACCGTGAACTAACATTTCCTAGCCGGCGACTATGACTACTATAACGGAATCCAAGAGGGCGTGTCTACCAAGCGCAACGCCATTTATGTCGCCGTTCTCCGTGCCTGTGCCAAGATGGCAGCGTCGGAGATGATCTCTGACGCGGAGATGTCGGCGTCCCTTTTGCAGGCCGCCGATCTAACCGCCAAGGCTGTTCTGAATAATTGCTACAATCCCGTCAATGGCTACTTCAACATCACCGACTCCCGCACCACGGGCTTCCAACAAGAGACTCACGCTTGGCTCTTGCTCACCAACATTGTTCCTCCTGAAATGAAGACTCAAATCTTGTCTCACTTTGCTTCTCTCTGCACTACGTCCCACAACTCTGCCCCGTTGTCCTTTTCGCCAGACACGACCAACCCTTCCCCACCAGCAGTCATCTCCCCAATCATGTCAGCCATTCATGTCGACTCAGCGGTCCATGCTGGGGAGAAGCATGCCGTTGTGGAAGAGTACCTCCGTCGCGTGTGGGAGCCCATGATGGACAAGTCGAGCGAGCACTTTACCGGCACCACGTGGGAGTTTATGACTGCTGAGGGCAAACCATTCAAAGGAGACTTTTGTTCCTATGCTCAACTCTTCAGTCCGGGTCCTACCTGGCTGCTGAGCGCGCACGTCTTGGGCGTACAGCCTTTAGAACCGGGATTTGACAAGTACATGGTGTGGCCCAAGCTGAGGCTCAGCAGTGTCAATTGGGCAAGAGGCCGGGTTCCGACTCCTCGTGGATCCATTTTTGTGGCCTGGGAAGATAAGGCTGACGGTTGGAGATTGACTGTCAAGGCCCCTAGGGGCTTGGATGGTGTTGTTGTAATCCCGGACGAGATCTGGAGCCGCAATAAGGACATGATTGTGGGAGACGGTGGCGTTCAGGGTAGCAAGGAACTGGCAGTAGGTTTGGACGGTACTCTAGACGTAACAATCAGATTTTAGTTTCAATCAATAGAGATAAAGACCTTATATACTACTACAATCATTTCGCTTGATCCAAGTTCGACCTCTGTTTATCACACCTATTTAATGAAGAAGCATCTCTCTACAGTACCACTAATCAGCAGCATCAAGGCCAATCATTAATTCTGCTTAGATGAAAACGATAATCTCTCTAATCTCTTTACCCGGGTAAAACACCGACTGTGAGGAGGCTTCACGGAAGATACTGGGCCTCCTACAGAATGGTGGGCCTCCCGCATAACCAGTCTGGTGATACGCCAAAACTAACATTACTGGCGGATTCAAAATCATGTGACATACAGCCAGCCTGATACTGTAGATATCTTTCAGTCAACGAGGCCCCGCACTCTCTGTGCTTCTCCAATATCATCTCAGTTGACCGACTTCAGCGTCTCGCCTAACGAAACGCAATGGCGCGTCGCGACAGTGATGATTCCAACACGAGAGCAAGCGACGCAGACGAAAGACCGGATCACATCCGCATCTTCTCGCCCACCCATCGATCAGCCTGGCATCGCTCCCAATACTGCGGCTCGTTGCTCTTCAATGTCGCCGCATTTGTCCTGCCAGCACTCTACGGAACTCTGTCGAAGCTCTGGGTCGCTCAGATTGACTCCTCCATGGTCGTCACCACCGACGCCTACACGTACATGAGCACCGCATCGGAAGCCATCAATGAAGGACTCCCACGAGCTGCTTGGGTCATCATCGGCGATAAGGCGTCGCGACACTTGACGCGGCGGCTGCAGCTGACACATACGCTCATCGCCTTCCAGTCCCTGGTAGGACTGCTCTTGAGCATCGTATTTCTCGCTGCTGCATCGGCCTTTGCGGATAACTTCGTGCCGATTGAGGTCCGAAAAGCAAGCTTGACCTACATAAAAATTATGTCATTTACGGTATTGAGCGGTGCGGTTGAAACGGCCGTGGCATTGGCGACGAGAGCTCTCGACAATCCCGACGTGCCACTCGTCATCAGTTCCATCAAGTTTGCCGTCAACATCATCCTGGACCTCCTCATCATCTCTCGCTTCCACGTGGGTTCCTTCAAGCCCACTGTAAACATGCAAGGCATCATCCAGCTGGTTTGCAACCTAGTAGCTGCCTTCGGAGGTCTTTGCTATTTTCTCTGGTCAAACACTTTACCAGTATGGCGCCAAACAAAACTCCGCCGCCCGTCGCATGACCATGGCTTCCGAGGCAGACACGAACTGTTGCCAACCTTAGAGGCATTAAGGATTCTTATTCGGCCTGGCGTCATTTTCTTTGCCGAGTCGGCCATCAGAAACGCCCTCTATCTTTGGCTCGTCGCCAACATTGTTTCCTTGGGCTCCGTGTACTCGACTGCCTGGGGTGTCTTCAACACTATCCGCTGGGGATTGGTCATGGTCCCTGTCCAAGCACTCGAGGCGACATCTCTTCAGTTTGTTGGCCACAATTGGGGCGAGTGGCGGCGGAGAATCGGAACAGAGACCAGGCGAGCGAGGGCAACCTGGAAAGACGTATATGGAATCGTCCGACCAGCTTTTCTGTCTCTGTCTCTCGCATTAGTTGTTGAGATTCCAGTAGCAATCTTTCTCTCACGGTTTGGGGCTCGGAGGTTCGCCAAATATCTCAGCAGCTCCGACGACGTGGCGGATGTCACTGAGTATATGTGGCGGACAATCGATTGGTGTTATATATTCTACGCCATGTCCACGCAGCTAGCAAGCGTGCTTCAGGCTACGAGGCCAAGTTGGTATTTGTACCAAAGCCTGGTCAGTAACATTTTCTATGTACTTCCATGGGCGATCGTTTGTCAGGTTGTCAAGTTGGATCAAGATAACGCTTGGTCGTATCATCGACTCGTGTTTGGGGGAAGCCTAGTGTTCAGTTTTGTTGACATCATCGTGGTTGATGCTATCTGGGCGTGGACACTGGTATTGGGCAAAGTAAGGCTGGAGGTATTCCGACCTTGAAATATCACGTAATAATCCTTCATTCACATCTCTATTCTGGGTGCGTACATATGGCTCGCGAAACTCGCAACGGCAATTTCGTCTTGGCTGTAGGGTAGGCTCCCACTCTGAGGCTGTGAGGCCACCACAACCAATACAATGTTATATGACAGGCTTGTACATCGAGCTATAATCTTTTCAGGTAAAAGGTGAATGAGCTAGCATTATCAAGTAGTTCGACGTTCGTGGCCATGATGATACCTGCCGTTGCTTGTTGGCCAACATTTTGTGTGCAAATTTCCGATGCCGTGGTCTCATTCGTGAACAGACGAGAATTCTCAAACTTCTTGTCATCTCTTCAAGTAGTCATGCCAATACATATTTTTAGCAACAAATTTTATCATACCGAACCCACCGTCCTCGCCCGATTCCGGACCGGTTTGGAAGCCAAAGGACTTGGCGTGGGATGCCTCCGAGTAAAAGAACAAGTGAAGCAAATGTTCCGCTGCCAAGACGCCATTTTTAAGAGCATCACTAATCCAGCCATGGTTCGTCTTGGCATTTAACCAACTTTTTATCTGATCTTGGCTAAAATGGGGGCCCACGTAAGTATTCCCACCCCGGTTCTCGAATGTAACCCGATCCTTCGGGAAATTAGCGGCCACAGGGCCATCTCTTATTTTGACGAACTAGAAACGATTTTCAAGTCACTTCTAGCACCGTTTTTCTAGAGTTGCATGCAGAAAATTCGTCAATGCTAGTCGACCATGGTCTGGCCGAGACTACGACGGAAGGAGAACATGTCCGATCTGTAGTGGGAGCATGCGTTGTCATCCTGGATATGAAGTGATCACATATTTGACAAGCCGTATTGGCATGAACCGACGACCTGGGACAGATCTGTCAACAACCGGTTGGTGACTCCTGGTTGCTGTTATCAAGGCTGGAATCAACCGATGTAGCGCCCCTACTGGTCACGGCCGGCCTCGGCTTCGGCGGTTTTGGTAGTCTCCGGCCAAGCAGAGACTCTCGCATCGACCGTTGATCCTCTTCAACAGTGAATGGAGCCTCGGCCATGATGCCAAGTTTCGCTAAACTTAGATTCAACGAGAAATGACACACCACCTGCTCAACCAAGGAACCTTGTGTCTGGGCAGTGGGGGGAGGACAAGGATATTCTTGCCGCCACACTTAAAATCCTGCCCCTGATAAATTATTAGTTTATTGTCATTATGATTTATGTTATTCAGGTTATCATCGTCTTTATTTATTCAATCTTGAGCTTATGCTTCTCCGGGACTGATCATCGATTGCATTCTGCTCTAAATCCGGGGTCGCTTGCCGTTGTTTGGAGGGTTGAGGAAGGCTCTGGCAACCTTAGACCCGATAGTGGTGAGCCAATTGGCCCACACGGTTGAACTCCTTGCCGCAAGATGTACATTGAAGAGGGCAGTAGGTGGGAGGGACCTCATCTGAGAACCACTAGTCTACCGAGAGAAGTGGCATGTCGATTGCTAGTATCTGCATCGGTGGTAATGGTGTAGTTGTCCGGTCCCAACCACCTGCCTAGGCTTCATTTCCAAAATCCGAATCCAGTCTCCAGAAGGGATAGTGTAGTGGTCTACTGCAGAGTGGCACGCATCTCAGGCCACAAGTCAGTGCTGTAGTTGTACATTGCGTAGTTTGTTACAACAGCGTCAAGCGTGGCTGTGCGTCTGGCGAAGTCGACATGCTGAACCAGGTCGAGTGTCCAGCCATCTGGGGCCGTGGCCTGGACCCTTGCACAATGAAGCCTTGAGCAAATGGCTCTTCCAAGGGACGAGGGGTAGCCCCCAGCGATTCAAGAGATGGAAGGGGATCTCTTCTTGGCCGACCCGGGGTTTGGTGGTTTTGATTTTATTGCTGAAGAATGCTGCAAGCCAGTAGATAAAAATCGTTCAATCTACGTCGGGTATCTGGGGACTAACTGTTTCCACAGGCTTATTATATACCGCATATATTATTGTAGTATTTTAACTGCAATTTTGGAAGGAGTGTTTTATTTCCAGTTCAATATAAAGTTTTTGTATTATATTTAATTGACCGCTGAGCTAAAAGTATCAACATGCTACTATTGTCAATACTATTGTTGGTGTTTTCTTTTTACTGTCGAGCTTCTAGTCCCCCCTCTGGGTATGTGTATTAGGGCACCCTAAGCTCTTGATTATTTTATTCTTATGATTTACTCCCCTTAGTTTATTTAAACTATTATTATCTTTATTTATTTAATCTTTAGTTTATTCTTATTTAGGACTTATTATTCCAAGAGATAGAATTCAATCTCCTCATCACTAGCCTGGGGTCGCAGTGCCTCGGTGGGTGGTCTTGATTTTGTCGCTGAAGAATGCCGCGAGCCAGCAGATATTAACCCTTGCATCTACCCCGGGCTCTCCGAGGCCAGCTTTTCGGCAGGCTTGTTGCAATCGGTGTGCATGATCCCTAGCATCTTGGTCGCAGCTCTGAGAAGTTCCTTGTCCCAGCCAATCGTCACTTCGTGGGGCCTCGACAAGATGTGATAAGGGTAAAATACCCGATCATCATCGCCATCATCGTCGCCATTACTCCGAGCACGTGGCGACGAGGTGGTACAATAGTACTCAAACTCCGAAGTTGTTAGAACGTATGATCTTCCAATCCTCAAAAGAGTTTGATACAATCTTCTGCATCCTCATGCTCTGTTTCTGACATTGGTCTGTCCTGGCCTGCTCCGATGATTTCTCCTAAGGTCTCCCCCGCGTTCTTCCCAGTGAGGACTTCATCAACATCTGGCAGTTCATATCGGTTCTCAGATTGTCCAGAACGCCCTTTTGTATGGGCAAGCCCAATTCCCCAAGGCCAAATTTTTCGGCAGGTTTATTGCATATTGCGCGCATTGTCCCAGCATCTTGACCACAGTTCTGAGGAGGGTCTCCCAGTTCCTTGTACTGAATCTGATGTCGTTGAGGGTTAGACCAAGTTGCAACACAATTTGCTTCCGCTCTTCATTTGCCCTCGCAATGCTTTCAGCCACGTGCGGGTTGATTGAGGATGGTAAGAACGGTCTCAGCCTCCGAATACTTGCGCCTCCCGTTTAGCCCCCAGGCGTCTACTGTCTTCTCGAGCTTCTGCAATGGCTCCTCCGCTCTGCGATGCTCGTCCGCTCCGTTATGCTCGTCTGCTGCTGTTCGCTCCTCCGCGGCTTTTCGCTCCTGCGCGATGTTATGCTACATATCGTTGAAGATGGGTCCAAAGTTGTGTGTAGCGAACCGGGCTGGGTGGACGTATCTTGTCAAGGATCGAACTTCGGTGAAGCGCAAAAGATGTGGGAAGTAGATGATGAAAACTCCGAGTGGTGGTGGACTGATGGTTGGAACCACCCCATCCTTCGGCTTTACAAAACCTTCCGACTTCCACCCCATATTCTTCAAATCAAAGAAGATTATCGTTGCAGCAATGGCCAAGTTGAGTGGCATGGGATCCAGTGGGTGAGCAGCCAAGAACCGTTCAAGGATCGTTTACATCTCTCTCGGCACCTCCATAACAGCTAGGGGTGGCCATTTGAGCATGAAGTGTGTGTCGGACCCGCGGCACACGTAGCGCTCCTTCATCGTCGGCTGGTTGGGTCCCTTGTCCGTAGGAGATTTGGAGCCGTAGGGCGTTGGTTGAATCCCATTCAAAGCGCGGGTATGCTCCCGGTCAAGAAACGCCCATGCGGCCAGCCTGGCATCCGAGCCGTCCTGTACATCCTCTGGAGTGTCGAAGTGTACAAGCTGCTTCAAAGTTTGAATCGCTCCGGGGACCAGGCATCTCTCATGCCAAATGAGATTCGCCCCAACCAACTTCGATCCGGGTTCCACCTTGCATTGGGTCCCTGCTGCGCTGTCGTCCAGGTCGATGTCTCGAGGTCGCGCAATCTGATCCTTTGTCCCCTCCACATCCTTCCCTTTGTTTGGTATGTTTCGCCCCGGAGTCATGTAAGTGTCGCCCATTGGATAGGCTGAGAAGCCCATGTAGGCTCGAGAAAAGGCGGTGCTGGTCGAAGCTGGCATGCCCACACCAAGCCGTTCCTTTACTGACGAGGATACCGTGTTGATGTTTGTTAATTGGCAGGCCCGAGTCGCTACGCCAAATGCAGCCATTGTTGTGGATGTGATCCGAATAGTCAAGTTTGGGACCAGGGGGGCGAGCGGAAAGTAGTCTTCGTAAAGGTCCTCGCGGATACCCAAGTTCCAGATGCTCATCTTATAGCTTCCCACTGTGCTTACTCCGATGGGATTGCCATTCTCTGTCGCATGGTCGTCGAGGCGAACGAATTTACCCACGCTGCCGGCCTTCCCTAGGGCGGCTGCGAGGTCCTGGATCGGGGAAGGCTCCTGGACGTCGTCGAGTTCGGCTGCGTCCCCGCACAAATGCTCTTCGCTGAGGCTGAGGGTGGGGTTGAATTCTCGGTCGCTATCTTTCGGCCTCTTTGGCTCAGGAGCATCTTCGTCTTCCGAGTCGGATGGGGAGTAGCTAAGTAGGTTCCAATCGCAAATGTTGCTGCTACGAGATTCTACTGTCAGACGTGCGATTCTGCATTTGGGAACACATATCTTCTGAAGATGCACCTCCAATCCAAGCTGCGTCTTTGCACAGTTGCTGCTGCCGCCCCCCGAGATGTGGAATGTGATCTCTCCTTGGCTCGCCTGGGGTTGTAGGGCCTTAGTTGTTTTCATTTTTTTTGGTAAATGCCGCCATATGGCAGGTGACAACTGTTGCCCTTTTGGGCGTATTGTGCAACATGTGGTCAGTAGTCTTGCGGAGGCTGCTATGTTTGAATTCTCTTTCAATGCTGGAAGCATGTAGTGTACCTTCTGAGGTTTCTTTAACTGCATCGAATAGATTAAAAAGAATGGAGCAACGAATCTCAGGGAACAGAAGAATGTTCTCGAAATTATGAGGACTAGTTGCAAGATATTAGATGCAGCCATCTAAAAAGGAATGGCTGGCAAGAGATACAGGGGTGTCTTCAATAAACACCAGTTTGAGAAATAATGTTTTATACTTTTATTTAGGCTTAGTATTTATTTACTAAAAATTATCTTTAGCATTCTTATTCTATAATAAGTATCTTTATTATTTTTATTATTTTTATTGTATTCGACTTATTAATAAAAGTAAACCTAAAGTCCAACAAAACATAAATTTGTGAGTTTACATTGTTCACCCGAGGTTTTGCTGTTCGCGAGTACTATACGCGCGGATAGTCACAATCGTGTTCTATTGGATAGAACATCGGTTTTCTGACTTGATGTAGCATCCTACCAATTAGCTACATTGACCAGCTGTGCGCACTTGGCAACAAAAACTTTGTTCCGGCTGCCCAGTTGGATTCTTTCTTCTTCTTTCTTCTTCTCTCTTCCTTGCAATTCTTCTTCCTCATACTTCTTCCACGATCCGTCACTTCGAGTTCGTGCATCGTGTGTACGAGTCTTCTTGGTCCTCGGCGCCAGCCCTTGATGCCTGCACTCATTGCTCCCTCCTGTATCGTTGGGCCGTCTACGAGGCCTCAACCCTGAAGTGTGGAGCGGTGCGTCTCGTCCTGTGTCCATTAGTTGTTCATCGAGTGGTCTAACCTTCTCTAGATTCCGACTGAGCTTGTGGCCGCCACCCGTTGGCACTAGAACTACCTGCATTGCCAGAACGTTTCGTGACTGGAACGATGAGCAAGAGTGTCCCTCCCCCCTGGGTCGTTAGAGGATTGTGCAAGCTGTGAAGGCAGACTCTTGGATTTCGTCAAGAATCCGGCGGATGCCCGAGGTCGTTCTCCCCATTCCCCTGGGCTCATCAAACGAAATTGGCGGAATCGACATGCCATACACCTGGAAGAATCTTTCTTCTTCTTAGGCTACTCAGCGTTGTCGTCAGGTCTCCCGCCAAACCCGTCGGACTCGGTTGGAACGAAGCCAACAAGCCTCCAGCATTCAACCTCTCATACGGCTCCGTTCACGACCGGCACGTGGGTATGTACAAGGAACTGATCGAGGAGGCTCAAGGTCACAAGTTCGCCCCATTCTGGAGCTTTGACGATGACAACGAGCATGTGGCTGCCCTAGTCCACTCTCAGGTCCAGGATGTCATGTGGCTAGACACGGCCGTTGAAGAGATCGCCAACATCCACGAGCAGCCCAACTCGGACCTGGTCACTGCCCATTCCCTCGACAAATACGACCTCGTCCTACATGTCATCCGCGCCCACTCGCACGAGAAGAAGAGATGTCCCGACTTCCAGTCTACGACGTCTGGGGACCGAACTTCTGCCAATCGTGCCCTGCAAGAGAGTGAGGAGCAATAGGATTGCACTCGTCTCAAGTTCGACGCTCAACTCTCCGACTATCGCCGCAAGGTCGAGGCCACCAGTGTTCAGGATACCACAGCACGCACGGCACAGCTCAGCCTCTCTCTCTACGAGCCCTGCCTACGTCCCTCCCAGATCTACCTGTGGTCAACCTGCTCAATCTCGATGAGCAATACGTCGTCTCTCGGATGGAAGAAGCCCTTGCAACCCTCGGCAAAGCCTACGCAAATGCTCCCACCCATGCCGCCGTGGGCAACTTCGCCAACCGCCTCAACCTCGTCACTGCTCGCGTCACCACTCGCCTCAACCAAGGCAAGCAGGATGCCGACCGAAGCCATCGCACGATCGTTTTCTGGGCCCACAAGCAGGATGAAGAGATCGCCGCGATCTTGCATCTCCTCCAGCATCCTCATGACGGTGATAACCCTTCGCCCAGCGTTGGCCGGATGGAGACCACGAAATGGAAGCTGCACCTCTCGCTTGTGTACTGGCTCCTCATATTGATCCGCTCCCCGGGGGTCTGCGAGCTCTGTCCAGATGATTGTCCTGCCCTCCACCAGATCCAGGCCCGCATCGATGCATTTTAAGACTTCGAAAGGCTCTGCCGATCTCGCCAAGGTCGTTATCATCACGCCCCACAAGGCTAACCTGGAGCTCATCACCCACCTGCGCAAAAAGCCCGACCATAGGGCTCTAGCCCCTATGCCACCTGCTGCAACCGCCGACTCCTTCCAGGGCCAAGGCGAAGAACGGGAAGGAAGTCAAGTTCCAGGTCGAGGGCTCCACCGGGGAGAAGCACTGGACTGTGACGAGGATTCTCCGCAACGTGTACTAGAAACTGTACGACGTTCGCCGCTTCATCTACCTAAACTTCACTCATTCTGAGATCTGGGGTGAGGCTTAGGACTTCCAGGGGCAGGTTTGATCAGAGTTAAAGAGGATATGGGATGGGTGGTTAGTTGAGGATGGAGGATCAAGAAGGCTTAGATGGCCAGCAGTATACCGTCCAGTCTAATCAAACAAGTGTTTAGTTCCAAAAGAAGTCCTCCATTCAGTGCTATGTGATACCTTTAAATAATTTGATCCCTGGGTCTGCAGGCGGTACGAGTCTGTCGCTGGGGAGTCTACGGGCGCAAGGATGCTACTCTTTCAGAGCATGAAATTGGAATGTTGCCAATGTGACTTGGAAGCTAGATGGCCGTTTTTGACTGTGTGATTCCACGCAAATTCACTGGGATGCCCATTTCCTAAGTTCCCCGAAGCCCCTCAAAAAAAACCTCACCTTCTCCATCGTGAACCTCGAGAACGATCACCAAGCGCCACAACTTTGACAACGTTGCAAACCAGCACAACGAGACTTGATACCTTGGCGAGTGAGATTCGTGATTATCACAACTCCTGGTATCTATTTGCAGTCTTCATTTCGTTGTCTGCTGCTTGATACGGTCAAACAGGTAAGCCCTTCGCAGAACGTTTGGAGGTTTCTCACCTTTGTATCGCGCCCACTCCACAACAACTGACTCCCTCGACGTCGACGACGACGGCCATATTGACCAAACATAACCTAAGATGGAAGACAAGGCTAATAAGCCTAATCACCTAGTCTTTATGACTTCTATAAAGACATTTAGGTTATTTATTTTATGAAATAAAATACTCACTTCGTCCCAGTGTGAACTAACTATTAATTGCACGTAGAGATTTAATTGAGATTCCGTCCGCAACCGAGTCGATGGCATCCCGGATTGGCACCGTGAGGTAGCCTGCGCTTGAATCCCCTTCACTGTAGACTTTAGGGAGTTCTGTGTCTTACCTAGGGGGTCCTTCACCGTGGTGACTACTACCCCGGTTGGACTACGTGGCGCAGTTGTGCTGAGCTATGATTCAATGAAACTCAACTGGGATACCAATTTCCTGCGTACGATGAGAAGAGACTCAAACTCAACTCCTGCATCCTCCATCGCGCACTCTGAGAACAACCACCAGTACGCGCTCACCTTGCGACGTCACAACCCACCGCTTTTGAGTCTGTCACCTTGGCGACTGAGATTCGATATAGCCACGACTATTACTTTCAAGTCCCAGTGTTCTTTCTTCGTCAGCCCTTTTGTTCCGTCACAAAGGTATGCCTCGCGCTGGCGGTTCGGAGTTTCTTCTCCCTCGCTCGCCGCTCCCATTCTGCCCCGACTTACGGCTTTACCTTTCTCTTCCCATACCCAAAAGTCGGGGTAGGAGACTTTCAGGTCGCTGATGGATGCATACAGATAGACCCCGGGTCTTGTGCGAAAGTTGAACCCGTTAGCAACTCGTGTTTGACCATCATCGGTGGGAAGAATCTGCAGCACTCGAAGCCAGCTCTCTTCGGGCTGCACTCAGAGGATCTTTCCGCACTCATTCATGACACAAACTCTGGTTCTTCAGCTCGACGGTAAAATTTCCCCTTGCGTTCGCATCCACGTCCACAGCCCTGTCTCCCAGCTCAGTAACTAATACCCGCTGAAGTAACCTTCGTTTATCGACATGCAGAACCCCGATCATGGAGAAAGAAGACAATCGACTACTTCCCACTTGTTCCCACACCAACGACCTGGCCTGGCATCTCAGACTGGATCGGCACCGGGGCCCAGATCAATCGCCAAGGAAGAACCAGAACAATCCCTGTCAAAACGTCAGCAACAGCGCAGAGATGACGTCCCCACCACTCAGCTGCCTATTTGTTCTCTGCAGGACTGGGGCCTCCCATTTTTCCTATAAAGTCTCCATCCTGGTTCCTCATCCATGTGATTATGTCTGTCAGTTTTGTCGTCCCCGCCCCGCCAGCTTTAATAACCCCCACCGTTGTGTTGTGAGCATATTTTCTTCGCCCCTCATCCTCGGGAACTATGCTGCTGGCCTCCAAGTCTCGATTTCGAACGCTCCATTTCACCCGTACGCATTATTTTCCCAATTTCTCAAGCACCCGCAGAACAGATTTACCATCATACCCCACTAGACGTCGACGACACGCGCGATTTGTCCTGGCTTCTAGGCGATTGAACGTCGGCAACAGAGACGGCAGTTCTGAGTCCTCATGGCGTCAGTCTTGGTCCTCATGGAAACAGTCTTGGGCTAATTGGCGATCGCCTGTCCCTGCTGAATTCATCGCCCTGGGTCTCTATGTGGTATATGACTTCGGCAGCGGCTATTACATTGGCTATTACAAGGGGAAAACGAGATTTTCAAGCAACAGTTATGCGTGGATGCCCTGGGACGGTCATGACATTACTGAAGAGGACCATGACGTAGCTTCTGATGAGCCTGACAAACACACGAACGAGCGCGGCTACGCACCATTGAAAACATCCTTCGAAATCAGACTTCTGGCAATACACCCAGGCATGGAAGACAGCCCTGTCGAGTGCAGCCTGCACCACCAAAAACTGCGGGGAGGACGCGGCTATGAAGCTGTCTCATACGTATGGGGAGACTCAAACAACATGCTTGAAATTGTTTGCAATGAAACACCGAGATCAGTGAGAAAGAATCTTCACGACGCATTGACCCAGCTTCGAAGACCCGACAAGGAGCGGTTTGTTTGGGTCGACATGCTCTGCGTTGATCAGGCCAACAATGCGGAAAAGACACAGCAAGTCCGGATCATGGGAGAAATCTATTCCAACGCCCGAGGAGTTCTCATATGGCTTGGAAACGAACCCCGCACGGAAAAAAGCCTGAACCTGCTCGTTGAGACTTTCAAGAATCGAGACAAGGTGCCTGTGAGAGAAGATCCCGATTGGGACACGGTTCTCCATCTGTTTTCCAACCAATGGTTCCGCAGAGTTTGGTGCATTCAAGAAGTGGTTTTGGCCAAGAAGCCTGTCGTTCTCAGCGGCAATTCATCAGTTGAATGGGAAACGTTTGTCAACGCTGGACGGTGGGTGAAAAACAATTCGTTACTTAGGACCACAAGCAGGGAGCATACGAAGACCCTTGAGCATCTGGACGTTCTGCAAAAGATGCGCGACACTCGAAAGAATACACACTGGTTGGAGAGGCACTCGTTGCTTCAGTTGGTATTTCTCACCCGAGGCTTCGAGGCTACTGATCCCCGAGACAAACTGTTTGCTCTCGTCGGGTTAGCCAGCGATGTCATGTCCTCAGACTGGGAAGTTACTCCTGATTACGACCTGTCATTGACGGAAGTCTACCGGAGATTTGCACTATGGCACCTCACTCGAAACCGACAAGTAGAGATCTTCTCCTTGGGCACCAACAGAGACCTTCCATCGTCAGAGGAACTCGAGGCTCTGCCCAGTTGGGTGCCAGACCTAAGAAGGCCAGACATGGCGGCGCCTCTGCCAAAGCTCGACTATCTTTCGCCCAATTACATCGACATACGATATGACATCTTGAAGGAGTTTCGAGCGCGGGCACACCACTTGAAAAATGCGATCCAGGTATATCATGCTGATCTCAATTTACCATGGTGGGGATTGGGTCGCCGCTCTCGTTTTGAACCACCTCGCATCGCGTTCACTGAAGGGACGAGTGTGATCCATCTTGTCGGGACAGAAATTGGCACGGTAAAGACTCTTGGAACGACACTGGATGATACAAATCCCGACATCTCACCTCTCGTCAGTCACGATCACACGCTGGATATGACTCGCATTGTGCAAACTGGGCGATGGCTCCGCGAATCATGGAGACTCGTCACGATAGATAATAGTGGAAACAACTATGTGTTGCCAAACAACGTCTTCGAATCAGCATGGAGGACAATGATTTGCGATATGACAAGCGATGGTCACAATGTCAAACCTGGAGTCTACAGGGATGTATCGCGGGAGATTTACAAATCTGTATGCGCCCAAATGATGGAAGAAGAAAGAAAAGAAGCAGAGAGCGTTACAGCTACGAAGGAATCGGCCATCTCAGATATTGCTGCCATCGGCAAATCATACGACCAGTCGAAGTCCAAAGCAACAGGCATGCAAGGTAATGATGACGATAAAGCGATTTTCAACGAAGACGAACTACTCGTGCACCTACCAATCAGAAAATGGTATGATTCTCGCAGGTTTGGCATTACTGAATCCGGTGATTTTGCCGCCGTTCCCAAGGCAACCCGCACAGGAGACGTCATCTGTATTTTCAACGGCGGGAGAGTCCCATATGTTCTCCGACCTGGCAAGAGAGGGTACTATCAGCTCGTGGGCGAGTGCTATGTGCGCGGGATGATGCGCGGAGAAGTCAAGGTCAAGTTTCCGAGCGCAGAGTATCAGAGAAACTTTGCCATTCGCTGAGTGTAGATTGATATTTGGAACGTGGCGAGTAGACTGCGTCCTAATACGTCCTCATTTATTGGGGCTTTGGATGCCAGCTTGACCTCCATCAATAACCGTGGAAATCAGCAGCCACGTCCATGTTCAAAGATGCGGCCACGTACTTGAGTAGCGTAGCGATGGGGGAAAATGGTTTTGTGGACCGATATATTGTAGCCGTGTTGAATCAGCTTGCACGCCAATGCTCGCTTCATTAAATCAATACCGTCATTTGCACTAGCCAGGGCCTTGTTTCTATTTTTACTCTTGATCCAACCTCGGGTTCGGATTCCTCGCGATAATTCGAAACGCGTATTCTAGCCATTTCAGGGAAGAAAGGTTGGCACTAATTAATTAGGATTGCTAAAGTCCGCTCCGATGCCCCACCCGGATCACACTTGCGGACTTTCAACAGACGCTCCGCAGATTGCGTCTCACGTATACTTGACAAACAGAATGATATAAAGGGATTGACCATCGCAACTGACTGCTGCTATTGTTCCAAAAATCATCTTCCAACGCTCCCACTTCTTACAATTTTCAGTTTTTCAGTCACAATGGCAGAAACCATGAAAGCCTGGCAGTACTCGACCATGAACGCCAAACTCGAGGATTGCATCTCACTCAAGGACATTCCGAAACCAATTCAGTCCTCTCTTTCCAACGGCCAAATTCTCGTCCAAATCATCAGCGCCTCTCTCAATCCAGTCGATTATAAGTTACCCGAGTCGGGAATGCTCGGACGAATGATGATTTCTCGCCCTGCCACCCCGGGATTGGACTTTTGTGGACGTGTCATCGCCAAGCACCCTTCCAGCAGCGCATTTGAGGAAGGACAACTCGTTTTTGGTGGATTTGCATCTTCCAAAGGCCCGGGGACTCTCTCTCAGTACACCGTGATCCCGGAAGCATTTTGTGCTGCCTTGCCTGCTGGTATTGATCCGGACGATGCATCAGCTGTTGGGACTGCCGCGACGACGGCTTATCAATCGCTCATGCCCGAAACCTTGAAGCCCGGTGCGAAGGTTCTGATCAACGGCGGTAGCGGCGGAGTGGGAACATGGGGGATTCAGTTCGCCAAGGCCATGGGTGTCGAGGTTGTGACCACTTGCTCGACTGAGAATGTAGAGCTGTGCCGTCAACTCGGAGCAGATGAGGTCCTGGACTACAAGAAAGTGGACATCTTTTCCAGCTTAAAGGAGAAGGCTTTTGATCTGGTTATCGACAATGTTGGCCGGAGTGATGAGCTCTATAACAACAGTCGCCGACTCTTGAAGCCTACTGGTACGTTTGTGCAAGTTGGTGTACCAGACATCATGACGATGTCAAACATCGGTTCAATAATGAAGAGGCAAATGTGGCCGTCCGCATTTGGAGGTGGAAATTTTTATTTTGTGAACATGAAAAACTCCACCGAGCTTTTCAGTCAAATCGGTCACTGGATGAAGGAAGGTAAGGCGAATGCTGTCATCGACACCACGTACAAGTGGGAAGAAGTCCCTTTGGCATTTGGCAAATTAAGGGGAGGACATCTTAAGGGAAAGATTGTTATCCACGTTGCAAATGATAGTTCATAATATGACTGTTAACAGCCTACTAAGATAGCAACTGGTATAGTTCAAGGGGGGATTTCGGTTGTCAACTATTTTTCATTTGATCAACTATTTTCAGAGAGAGCAAACTGGTAGGAGCATATAACTCATCAGAATCGAGAGTGTTATTTGTTCTCCCTCACCCTGACTTTATGCATGTTGAAGGTTATAAAATGCAATTGATAACTGGTGTTGCGGCTGAAGTGACGCGTCTGTTGACTATAGGACCACTCCCAACGTGAATATTGCGCACGCTCCCTCTAACCCTTTCGAAACTGCTACTAGAAGATGCTCCCATTTGTGTCATACTCCTTTCCAAGACAGGCGCGTTGGCGAGATCGCACCCACCACCAAGTGTCGTTAACTGCTGTCATTGTGAACAACAACAGACCCAAACACTGTCGTTTGATTGGCTTGTACCCTCTTCGCCAGTCCCAACACCAGTCCTATCCTGGCCACTACCAATGTGGTAAGAAACTAGTCCACCGGACAGTGTTATATACCGACTGAGGCATCTGTCGCAATGTTGTTAGGCTCAAGACAATCAAGCCCAACTTCGCCGCAAAGTAAACCAAAGTCCCCGCCATAGATAGCCCATTCAGAGCCCACCGATGCCAGAATGAATCTGTCCTAGTTGTACGTTTTTCCCATATCCAAAAAAGGGTAATCGTGTAGTTAAATCCCGGCCAAATCGATATCATGTCTATAATACCCCAGAAAAAGACTTCGAGAAGGATTGAAATAGAAAACGTTCTCCAAAGAATATTTTCTGCTTCGGTTGGGACCTCGATGTTCCACGCCGAGACCTGTATAGCCGCGTGTAGAAGGGTGAATAGCCAAACTATCAATGCCAAGCAGGGACCGGCGACTGGCACGGAGTCATTCGGAACTCTCCTAAGCGGCTGTTGTTTGAGGCCGAACGCGTTATTGAAACACTGTCGGCGATTCCAAGCCCTCAAACTCGTTCCTTCGACGAAATCCAGCGGCGTACATCTGTATGTCTCATCGGCTATGTCTGCCGCGGCAAGGATTGTGGAGATCGGAATATTCAAGTCGATATAAACTGGAAAGTCGCAATCGAGTGGTTTCTCGAGCCAGAAAATGTAAGTTGGTATTGTACAGCTGAGGAATGATAGTGTGAGAATCTCAAGGCTGGAGATTTCAAGACCTTGGATGTAACGGGCCACGACCTGGCAAACGAGGTAAAGGCTCTGCATGAGAGCCAAAGTCTTTCCTAGTTTGTTTGTTTTGCTTCTGTCCAGAATCTCCCTCCTTGTAACCTTTGGTACAGGTATATGATTTTGCGAGACGAGGTACATGATACCTCTAGCCTGGATGGGAAAAGGAGGATAATGTGGGCAGCGTAGTAGGAACCCACCGCTGTCAGCGAAGAAACTGTGGGCCATCTTCCAGTGCAGGTGGCCTTCGGCTTGCATCTCTTTCATGGACGCCCGAGCCGAGGACCATTGATAAGCTGCCCCTACCATGACTATCTCAGGTGAGAAGAGAGCCCATATGGCCCATCTTATCTTTCGGAGAGTGATGAGCTTGATGGACTCTCCTTCTTCGGGTAAATTGGTGTGTAACACAGTCCATGTGCAAGCGAATAGAACAAGTGAACATGACCAGATGATATCTATCGTTCCCCTGCTAGTTGGTGAGGGAACCCATCCCAGCTTCTCAGGACTTGTCGCAGTATGATTAAACATCTGGAGTACGATTTAAATGTTGGTCTCACTGCGTAATATTGTTAGGTTCAGAGGGGCATTCATGATTTAAAGGCTCGTTCTAAATACTTTCTTCGGTGGAAGACTGAGAGCTGCCACTTTACTTCACACTCAATGTCAAACGTGTTGTAATGTTCAAGCATAACCAACCAATATACAAGCCTTCAACAAATCCGGTTGGCTAAAGCAAGCGACAAGTATGCCGGTCATAAGTTGATTCAATCGGCAAGAACGCTTGATAGAGTATCTTCGCCGGTCACACTGAAGCCACTGCACCATTTGAGGGCCGGTTTCCGGCAAGCTAACTCGGATTGGAAGGAGAGCTTGATAGGGCGCTCCCTGCGAGCGGATGCACAGGAGACTACCGGTAGGCTTTCGCAAACAACTTTTAGTAGACTTTTCGTAAGCCTTTCGATGGGATCTTTACCGAATTCTCCCAGATGATCTTTTAGTAAGCGCCACAGAAAGTTGATACCAAGCAACTATCACATACCAACGGGTCGTCATCCATAATTAGTGGAACGGATGGAGTAAGAAACTTTCAGTTAATTCTATTTCAGGGACCCAGGCTCTTGAGTTTCTCTGGGGTCGTCAATCAGACCAGTTCGATAGGAACTAACCTTTATCTCTCTAGCTCTGTGATTATCCTAGTAATCCTCTTCTATAGTATTCCGCCATTACACGTGTTCAATGCAGTGTCCTCATGCAGAATGAAGATCTTAGGGAACGCTCATTTCCGATGTTCGAACTTATTTCCTCCCCCTTCAAAACCTACGCCCTACAAAAAGAAAACGCCTCACGAAATGAACACCTGCGAAATTTCAAGGAATACCGGTAACACCGTGGCGTTAGTGACGATGATGCACACAGGAAAGGGCCTTGCGACTAGCACACTGACACGTGGGTCGTCCAAAACGGGCCTCAATCAATGTAGCGGCGTTTTTTAAGCACCGCATCATCACGGTTCCACATCAAGCACAGCACTGCCCCAATAGGCCCTGCCAGCAGACAAAGACAAACAATTTCAAACATCAGAGTAGCCCAAGCCTTTTTGGTCATGGGAGTTATGCTCGCGTTCGCGTATAGAGTAATTGACCAGATCAAGCATGCTGCTGATCCGATGTACTGATCATAGTGGAGGAGTTGATGCATTGCAGAAGCCATGGATTCCATGGGCGTTGTCGGGCGGGGTGGCGACGGCACGAAGACACTTGAGATCGTCCAGCTATCCCGTAGATACGGAGAAAAGGCGCCAGGATATAGTGAGCAACTTCCGATGAGAATGAGGGGCCCCAAATGAGAGATGAAACAGGCCATGAAGGCGAAATAATAGACACGGGAGAAGTCTTGCCGTTGGCTGACGCTATCCCCTTGAGAGCATGGGACCGCTGAGGAAGATCGAGCTCTTTTCCCCTGAACTCCCCTGCATATTGGGATCCATTCAGTGAGAACATTCTGAAAAATCACTGTCCAAATGGGACATCCTTGCCAGAGGCCGCCAAACCATTGGTGAAGGCTGTTTGAGGAGAAGGGCCATGCCATCAAAATCGCTGGTAGGATGTAGCCGGCGGTAAGGGCTAAAGGCAAGGCTCGTACAGTCGCCAGTTCTGAAACTCGTATTGCTTTGTGAACTGCCGGGCTGATTCCCTGGGAAGTGGGCGATGTGATCAGGTGGACTATACAATAGACGGGCATGACGAAGCCGTATGCAGCCATCTGCATGGCACAACCCCACACCGAAGCACTATAATTCTTATTAGCACTATATTTCAGGGGGTCTTGTATCGAAATTTCCAGGGGGGTGACTTACAAACGAAGCGCATTACGCTGGTTGCCGCTTCGAAGGGATTCGAGAATAATTACGGCAAGAACGCCAAAAAATTGACCGCCGAATTGGACGGCGTACAGCGAAAGCTGAGGCCGAGAACCATCAGTGACATTAGCAAACATGACGGTAGCTAGGGTCAGTACTTTGTCCAAGGGCGGTATTCGAACGTAGCGGGTGAGAATGGGCGAGTACGATCCTGGGAGATAATGCGGCCCCTGGTCACGAAGTCGGATCAAAGCATGAAAGTAGCCATTTCGGTAAAGGAGGCCATACAGGGAATCTAGGCTAATCGCAACGAGCAAGCCCAATGCAACTAGTGCGACAACAGGAAGACGATTGGCCATAGTAGCGGGTGGCTTGGTTATGAGGGGGACCTTGCACTTGATTGCCCTGTCACGACCGACTTTTTCGTCCGAAGGTTGGTTACACTTGAGTTACTGTACTGTTGCCAGTTGCACAGTTACACTCGGCTCACGCGCCAACTTGGGTCGTGTAGCGGCTGTGGTCAGTTGGTTGCACTCGCTCGGATGTTGGTCGCGCTCGACTGTGTACTCGGATATCGCCTGCAATCGGTACGGTTCTGCCGGCAGAATGTTGCGATTGTTCGATTCCCTTAGCCGTATTATCCGATACAGCGACCGCGGTCGGATTTTATCGTTGGCCATTGCAATTCCATGCGGGGCATGTTCACGGGATTGTTTATGTGTTCTAGGGTACGATCGAATCTGTTTTGTGATTCTTTGTATTTGTGTGTGCCTTTGTACAAGGTGTGTGTGTGTGTAGACCCGTCCACGCAGTGTCAGAGCGCGGCACACAGGAAGATACCAGCTTTGCAGTGACATCTTCACCAAAAGTGTAAATAAAGTTTTGAACAGTACTCTGTATTCTGGAATAATTCTCAAATCAAACCTCCTCCAGTTCCCTTTGTTTTCATGACAGCTGGGCTGATTATGGTTGAGGCTTTGTCGTGTAGAGGTTTTCTGCCGGGTGGCTGAGCATACCATCCCGATATCTCTTTGTCAATGTGAACATTAGAGCTGTTCTCAGCCAAATATCTAGCGCATTGCCCCTCCGAGTTTCTTTCAACATCACTTGATACCTCTTACTCTGTTGCAGTCTGTTGGACAGCGACGACCCACATCATCAGGAGGACAGCTATGTCAGTGATGACAATGGTACCCTTCCTGAACCCATCCGGGGCATGTTTCAAACCCCGGTCAGGAGAGTTCTTCCGCACAAAGTTCAAGGAGCAATGGGCACGGCCACTGAGTAGTGTTGTGATATCCGACGATACGCAAGCTCTCGGGGCGAGCGTTCCACTTCTGTCAGTTTACAGAGCTTGTTGAAGTGTGGTCTAGAAGACAATCTAGCTTCACAAGTAGGGAAAAGAAAGGTCTCGGAATCCGCTCACGGCATTTATGTAGATTTTTCTTTTAGCCTTATGCGATATCATCAGGGGGATTAAAGCCATACAGTATTTGTAAATAATGGAGACATCCATTCACTACTACACCCAGCCCACTGTGTTAATGCGGGGATATTCCCTGAGCTTTCGCAATAGAAACCACGGATCCCTGGAAATTCCGACTTGAGGGCGATAGAGCTTTTGCCATTGGACGATACCAAACGGTGGAACGACAGCTAATTTCAGTAGTAAGGTACACTATAACCACCAGGCCGTTACTTTAGTTTGATAGGATTGGGACTTCTCATTTAGCATAGATAAGGACTCTAATCCTCATGCCACCAGACCAATATACGAGGAGTTGACCGGGAGGTTTGATGCGGGGTCCATGACGCATATTATACTTCTAGCGACACTAACCTCCTGCGGTAGGGTATCAAAAGGTTGCGTTATCCGTGTGGATACGGACTGGTGATCATCGGTATCTGACTCGTCATCCAGATAAACAATTGCTTGGCTCTCTGGAAAAGTCTTGACAACTCCATTCTTTCTTTGCAGCTGCTAAATCGGGCTTAGGACTGAGCGGGGGAATGGCCTTATGATCCTAGTATAGTTACATTTCCTACTATGCCACATTTTTCAACACGTAATATCTCTTTATTCATGTCATTCAACTTATCAGACGGTGAATCTAGTAGCGCGGATATCAAGGTAGTTAAATAGCTAATGTTCAAGCCGTTTCTGCTAAACACGTTCGTCACTGCACCAAGGGAAGGATACTCGTTAGGAATATCATGTCGATTTACAGGATTTTAACGGTCGGCTTGCTTCAGGCAGGCCTGGCCGTTGCGCTTCGGTATGCGGACAACCAGGTAAAGGTGGTCAAGGATAGTGATGCCGCCTCGGCTCATTTCAAAAGCCTCGATGAGATTGAGCTTTACTCTCCCGCTTTCGTTACGCCAAGCTCTGTTCCAGCTCAATTTGAAAACGGTGTGAGTGGGCCAACTAATGGTGCCACTATGGGTAAGTTGATTCCGTCTGAATACTCTCTACTATTGCTGACCAGCGCAGACTACTTCCTTCGCACCCTCGCAGAGAGGAATGATTGGATGACATACCACGACCCTGACTTCAAGTCCGAGGAAGGTCGCTCAATCCCATATGCTTTCCTGTCAACTTCCACCAAGCCAGAGTCGGCCAATTCTACCGCGCCGAAAAAGGTTCGCGTGTGGATGCAAGGTGGCGTCCATGGAAACGAGCCGGCTGGTGACCAAGCTCTTCTTGCGTTGCTGGGAAAGCTCGATGCCAACGCTACCTGGGCGACGTCATTGCTCGAGAAGCTTGACATCCTGATGCTACCGAGATACAATCCTGATGGAGTGGCGTACTTCCAGCGGTATCTCGCCACAAATCTAGATCCCAATCGAGACCACACCAAACTTGCGTCGCAACAGACGCGAGATATCAAGGAGCTAGTGATGGGATTTGCCCCACACGTCGGTATTGACTGTCACGAATACAGTGCCAATCGAGCGTATGGCGAAGATAGTAAATTGGTCATCGCAGCCACAGCGACATCCGAGATCTAGCAGAGGGTATATTGCTCCACGAATCGAGGCTGCTATGGAAAGCCGTGGATTGCGCTGGGCTCCTTACGTCGTTGGAACCCCTAGTGTTTCTCCTGTTGTCTTTACGGAGACTGGGAGCGAGGCACGGATCGGTGATACGTCTGTCGCTCTCAACCAGGCCGTCATGTTTCTGACAGAGACTCGAGGCATCATGTTGGCGGACCAGCACTTCCAACGACGCGTCGCTACCGGGCTGACAATGGTGGAGACTATTGTTCAGACGGCAGCTGACCTCGCCGAGGACGTATACGACATTGTTGAAGGCGCTCGTGCTAAGTTTATCTCCAGCGATGATGATATCGTCATTACCGACTACGCACGATCTACCAACATCACGTGGAATTTTCTCGACCTAGATTCTAACAAATTGGTTGATCTTCCAATCGAGTTCTTCAACACCACGCCCATGGTAGCCAACCTCACCCGCGCTCGGCCTGAAGCTTACCTTATCCCCCGCGCATGGTCAGGCGTTGTCTCTCGGCTGGAGGCGGCTGGTGTTGAGGTGGAGAGACTCAAGTCTGAGTTTCGTGGCGAGGTCGAAGCGCTGAACATCGCAGGCTCAATCTTGGCAGCTACTGGCTATGAGGGTGTGGCTCTGAATACGGTTACAACGGAGACCATCCTGAAGACAGTCAGAATGCCGGCAGGAAGCTTCTGGGTTAGCACAAGGCAGAAGAATGCCGCCCATGCCTTTGTCACGCTTGAGCCCGAGGGAGTTGATTCATATGCGTCGTTCGCTGTAATACCCGTTAGTACTGGCGATGAGTATCCGGTGTACCGGGTCATGGATTGAGCGTCACGGCTTAGCCTGCTTCTGTCCAACTGTCTCATTAGGCGACAGTATTAGTCTGGCCATATTCAATAATGAGAGAATTACGACCCGTGCTGAATGGTTTTAGTTGCGTCGAAATAAATGGCTAAGGTCCGGACGTCCCGGCTATACACAGTTGAGAGTAAATGTGCGTACGGCTTCGATTATATGATTCACGTTTGCTCCAATTACTGAGGGCGTTAGTTCAATTTTTGTTACTCAATTACCTCTATGGAACGCGGGACCAATACAAGCTAGGGAATACCTGATCCAAACCCCAGGTGCCGCAGATGCCGAATTCTCCTTACCGGCCTGTGCTTAAGAACGTACAGCCGATAGGCGACCTCCTGGACTCCCCTATGTAGCTGGACTTGTAGGACATAAATACGAATACACTGAGTCTGACAAATGTTCTCCAAGCTTTATTGACATTTCTGTCTCATCAACTCTTCATCGATTCAATTCTATGTCATGGACGCTATGAATCTTGAACACGATGAGGGGCTTACAGTCACCTCTGAAGAAGCCGCCACACTCCGTAGAGTGCTTTCTCGTTTTGAGAGTGGTCTGAACAGGGGAATCAGGAGCGAGGTAACGGAAGTCGCGCCACAGAAACCGCGATGTGGAAATGCCAGCTCACTGTAAGTAATTTGTCAGACTTCGTCATAGTTCCAGAAACACGCATGATGCGACTTTTCTGGTTGTTAACCGACTCTACAGCGGTATATCCGTATTTGCCGTTGCAAATACAGAGATTGCTCTTCATCTCATGCAAGTCCGCGGCCTACAACATACCAACGTCCTCTCTGGCATCCTCTGGTTTACCGGAGGCGTTGCGTCTTGGGTGTCTTGCATATTCGAGCTCCTGATGGGCAATACCTTTGCCTACTGCGTGTTTGGTTCCTTTGGTGGTTACTACTTCGCATATGCGGCAACTCTTACTCCCGCTTTCGCGATAGCCGCCGGATACAGCGATGCGGCTGAGTATGCAAACTCCATAGGAGTCTTCTTTTGCGTGTGAGAAGCAAGTACCAGCCCACCATGGAGCAAGCGAACAAGAGCCCTACACCAGCCTAAGTACGGATTAGAAACGAGTCAATGGCCCGGCGGCGCGGGATGAAATGAAATAGAACTCGCCTTGGCTAGTCGTACAGATGCATTTGTATCGCCCGCAGCTGCTTGAAAATTCGATGTTGCCAAACACCATGTAGTGGCGTCCACTGTAAGAAAAATCTAGACGAAGATGAGGTTTGTCCTAAGGCTGACCACGAGGAAGACGAGAAACAGACTGCAACTATTTGAGGGAGTCGACTTTCCGATCAAATTACCAGTGGGCTCCCTTACAGGAAACAGTCAACAGAAGAAGTTGAATGAGGCGTATTGGACATATTTCTGAGGCAATTTCTCATGGCGATGGGAGAACGGGATTTGTACATTTGAATTTACTGATCATAGTGTGGAAGTTGTCAGTAGAGTCAACTTAACGGGGCTTGTAGAAGGCCGTGATTGTTCAGCACTCTGTGTCGCCACATGTCTCAACTTGAACGAGGCCTTGTGATGTGGTGTATATACATGCCCTATTTAATTAAGTTATACAGCAATAGTGCCTCACTAATAATCGCGCGCGGCTGAGCTGACTGATTGATGGACATATCGACTCCGCTTGTGAATGATCTCGGCTTCGTACTTCTTGATCAGGGAAGCCTCGCGGTCGTTTCTATTCTGTGCGAGGACCCAGGGTCGTCCTAGAAATGGCTTCCAAACAAGGCGCCCCTGAGAACCACGTCTCTAGCGTTATCATCCATTCCAATGTTCAAGCGATCTGGGATCTGGACACCAAGAGACAACGCCAATCCGTACCGCCGTTAGCGTCTCTACGCGCCACCAGAGGTTGAAGAGGGAGGAGTGCACGAAGTCTAGTAATAGGCGCGTATGGAACTATATGCAACAAGACAATATCTAGAATTACTTTGAACGCGTGTTGATACTGTATCCACCTTACATAGGTAAATAACATAATGAGCCAGATGAGGAGGTAGTCTACCGCTATATAATAGCAGCAACATCAACCATGCGTGGACGTTCTCCTGAGAAAAAGTGCAAAGCCCAGCAACGTCATTGTATTAGTCCTCTTAACATTGACTCAACGCCAGGTTCTCTTGACTCCCCTACATGTCCATTCCGCCAGGGGTGGAATTGCCCAGCGGTGGTAAAGTGCTACCGAAGGCGTCAGCAGCATTCCAATCGAGGACTCCTCCCTCTCCAAAGGCAAAGTTGTTCTCTATCTGGGAGTATAAAAACTGGCTGGCTTCTTGCGTTGACCATGACCACGGCGCGTCAGATTCCAACAACGTATCGATCCCATCCATGTCGTTCAGCGGCACATTCTGGGATGGTGAGCCTGGCGCTGTCGGAATGCGCTGGAAAGATGTTCTTTCAGCATTCTCGTTTTCTGCGCCGATGTCGCTGTGTAGTTGTAGCCTTGCTGCGATTGACCGATCAAGGTATTGGAAGAATAACTGAAGGATCCAGTTTCGAACCTCCCACGTCTTTTGAAGCTCCTGTAGCCCCAGCAAACAAAGCTTAGCTCTGTATTCTGCTATAGATCGCCGACTGCCTTGTGACTCGCGCAAGCTGACGGTGTGGATGCAGAGGGTGTTGAAGACGTTGGTGATGACATGAATCTGCGCGTGGCACATGTTACCCTCCAAGAGCATGTCCTCGATGATGCGCGAATTGCGGGCAGCTGCTTGAAGTGCCAGCTGTCCGTCCACTTCGTCGTTGTCTTTCCTAGTGCCAACACAACCTGTCCTATAGAGGAGAATGAGGAGGTTGTTGTAAGCCAGGTGCAGCATGTTTGACTGAAACCCCAACTGTTGATCGAACCCATCCTTGCTTAGTTGCATGTTCAACGGTAGGGTCTTTCTCCAGCTCATAAGTTCGTCTTTTATTTGCTCCCTCTCGATGGAAGTGAGTGTTTTGGATGGTAGGAATCCACAATCCACGATCTGACCCATTGAGCGAGATAATTTAACCATTCCCACCATGTACGAAACACATTCCTGTATAGAAAGGTTAGGCGTCAGCGGGTCGAATGCGTTTTCAAAGTCTTGTTCAAGTAGAGGATCCACGTCGCAATCTTCGTCTCGGATTCGGTTAGGGAGACCCAGGGCGGCTGCACATTGTCTCTCGCGAACATATATCGACCACCATACCCTCTTCCTCACCCTCTCTAGTTTCGAATCAGCACTCTGAGATGAGCGATGCAAGGCCTTTGTTTGAGCTGAACTCAGAGCTGCGCCCAGCCAGTGGCGGCTATCTTTTTCCAAGAGAGCGCCTGCCCTCCAGAAGCTCATCAAGAAGAGTGCTTGGATGACGGAAAGTTTATTAGGCTCAAAGTCGGCATCATATAAGTCTTTGGCACGATTGTAAAAAACATATTTGGCTTTGTGGCGTGTGCCGAGCCCGACTTTGGGCAGATCATCCTCTTCACAATGAATGACGGCAATGAAGAGGATAGCCTGGAGCAGTAGCGGTGACAAGGTGCCCTCTCGGTATCGATTCCATGTGTCGGGCTCGTCTACAACAGCAAAACATGTATGGAACCATCTGAAGTAGACTTTGAGCAAGTCTTCCGTGACGGCCTGTGGAGGGAAGGACAAGGCACCCTCCGCCGTGAGTGCCCTGAGTCTGGCACGCCTCCGTTCAGCTTCCCATTGCGGAATGAGATTTTCGGCACGGACTGCGTCAGGAACAGAATAGAGAAATCTGAGGTTTTGAGGGGGAGAAGGTCCGGAGTGCGGAGGGGTGTTGTCGTGGAGATATCTCATCGAGGTGGATTCTCCCAGAAACACGGAACTTTCGTCTTCTTGCCTGCTGACTCTCGGTGGCTGAATATACTCAGATATCTCTTGTTGCGGTGGCAAAGGGGCATTTTGCTCGATAGCCTCGCGTGGCGGTGGTGGCGGCGGTATCTCGATGGCTTCCGTCTGCGCCAGGCCTGCGAGTACCTGAGATGCTGCTACATGCTCGTCTGGTGGGGAGTCACCAAAGATTTGTGTGGTATCAACATGAATTGATTCTGGCGATTGGTGCTCGGCATTCTGGATGAGATCCTTGGACGTCGATCCTCGAGATGGTCGGGGATGCTTCCCGCGTCTTGATTCCCGCACAGAACAACGGATATCGGCTGTTGCGCAGTTGGTACATGGTGAGTGCTCGGTTACATCGCACTTGACGCGCCTCGAATTGCAGGACAGACAGGCCTGTCTTGCGCGTTTGCGTTGATGAATCATAGCCGTGAACTGCACATGGCATAATGCAAGCCCACATCGGCAATCCCGTGGATCTAGCTGCCAGTTCGTCTTTGTCGGCAATGAAGTTTGCTCCACCAAGAGTGACGATCGAACGAGGGATGGGCCTTCGTAGCCAGCCAGCCAGAGGTAGCCAGACCCCTTCGAAGGGATTCGAGAGATGCTTGATATAGCCGAACCGTCCATGTCGCCGAAGCGGGGAAGCAAAGCTACCGGTGGGGACACGATTTCAGTACACCAATAATGTTGAGTGTTTAACATGCAGGTCGTTTAGCCGGCCCCAGTTTACTTGTTCTTATAACCGATCGTACCAGCGAAACCACGCAAGCAGTGTAATCACAAACCACAGCGCCCTTCGTAACAAAGATGAGGAAAGCCCCGTGAATCCCGTAATCCTTGGGGCATTCAGATCCTTGACTAGGCGTCGGACTACTTTGGCTCAAACGCACACAATGACTTCTTTGCAACCCCCAACTATCGCTTGGCGGCACATCCGCACAAGAGCTGCTACACGGAGTTTTTGTCATTCGGCTCCCCGGCGGAGCTCGTATGAAAGTTCGACCATAGTCAATCTAAGGATAGACAAGAACACCAGGGTGATCTACCAAGGTATGTTGCCCTAGACTGATTCAACCTTATTCCGGAGACTAATCAGACTCGTCAAAAGGGTTCACTGGAAAAGCTGTACGTCAAATTCCACCCTCCGGAAACAACGCCACTAAGGCAACTAGGCAACGATTAATGCTAGGGATACGATAGAGTATGGGACGAATATTGTCGGGGGCGTATCACCGGGTAAAGGGGGTCAGGAGCATCTCGGCTTGCCAGTCTTTGACACGGTGAAGGAGGTACGATTTCACCTGTCTCGACATCACTCACGGTCAAGTAATACGCTGAAGCTCATTATCGTTTCGTCAATTACAGGCAATGGAAAAGGTGAAACCACATGCAACTTCAGTATTTGTTCCCGCCCAATTCGCCGCAGCTGCAATCATCGAAGCTATCGAGGCCGAGGTACCTCTCATTGTGTCAATTTCAGAGCACATCCCAATTCATGACATGGTTCGAGTTCAGGAGGTGTTGAGAACACAGATCAAGTCTCGCCTGGTCGGGCCCAACTGCCCGGGAATTATTGCCCCAGAGCAGTGTCGAATTGGCATCATGCCGCACAAGCAATATTCCAAAGGAGTCGTTGGAATTGTTTCCAAGAGTGGCACGCTAAGTTATGAAGCTGTCGGTTCAACGACTAAGGCTGGATTGGGTCAGAGCCTTGTTGTTGGTATGGGTGGAGATATGATGCCAGGTCTGTCTACTCAATTACGGATGAACCATCGAACATATCCTAACCAGGAATCTGATAGGTACCACACTACTCGATGGCCTGAAACTCTTTTTCGATCACGAAGAGACCCGGGGTATCATCGTCATTGGCGAAATTGGAGGAGAGGCCGAATTAAGGGCATCCGAGGCAATTAAGGAATACAGAAGAACTACGGCAAATCCAAAACCCATCGTTGCAATGGTTGCAGGTAGGACTGCACCACTAGGTCGAACCATGGGCCACGCGGGTGCTCTGCTGTCTCCGGGAGATGTTTCAGCAGACAAAAAGGCCAAGGCATTGAGGGATAGCGGTGCAGTAGTGGTTCCTCATCCAGGTGTGATGGGCGACGTGATGCGTAAACTGCTACATCTATAGATTATGTGAACGGTTGCAATTTTGCAGCTATTCATGCACAATTTTGATATACTTGACTCATACTTCTACAGGAGCAATGCAGTGGAACTTGGGGTCCCGGAAGTGAACTTGAGGATGCAAAGTAGCGTCCAATTCGACCTCGCCAGTCACTACAGCATGCCATAAGCGCTTGGCAATAACTAATATTCTGACCTTTTGCCGGTTATACTGAGAATCGATTAAAACTAGTAGGGTAGTGACGGACTTATTCTACTCTATTACGGTCTGGTTATGGCCTATCTAACAGTCATCTCCCAGCCAATTCTACTGCCTTTGCCGCGGCCTTCCCAAAGTCAGACTCCACATGGAGGCCAAGGTCCGCGTCTTTAATCTACGCGAACTAGTCAGTACATTAACAGGGTATACAATAGTCTCTGAGGATTGACAAACCAGCTTAAGACCCTCCGCAGAGTTTGTTCCTTGTAGTCGGACCGCAAGAGGCACGCGTAATGGGCCTAATGCAGTAGCTGCACCGATGATCGACTCTGCAATCATGTCACATCGAATGATTCCTGTACTTTGGTCAGGGTGAGTATAAGACATGAGTACGATCATTCATACCTCCATAGACGTTGACCAAAATGGTCTTGACCCGCTCATCCCTCAGGATAATTTCAAATGCCTTCTGCATTGTCTCCTTTGTCGCCTGGCCGCCGGCGTCAAGAAAATTGGCACTCGTGCCACCATGATCGAAAATGGCATCATTTGTGGCCATCGCAAGCCCAGCACCATTGACAACATTGCCGATATTTCCGTCCATTTTGATGTAAATGAGACCGTGCTTCTCGGCTTCGAGCTCCTCCTCCACCTCTTTCTCACGGTCGCGCAGAGCAAACAATTCCTTCTGACGTTTCTCTGCTGCAGTGTCGAAAGTGAATTTCGCGTCCAAACAGGTAAACATGCCATTTGAGGATCGAGCCAGAGGGTTAATCTCAAGAAGTGTGGCATCCTTAGCGACAAAGAGGTTGTACAATCCAGTCAGAGTCTTTCTCAAGCTTTCCATCTCCTTCGGGGGCAACTTGAGACACTCAGAAATGCGAGAGACCAGTTCAGCTGTGATACCGCTGGTCAAGCTAAATTTGAAGCTGTGTAGTTCGTCCGGGTTCTCGTTAGCCAATGTCTCAATGTCGACACCGCCTTTCTTAGAGACAATGACGACGGGAGTATAGTTTTCTCGGTCGAGGGTCAAAGCCAGGTACCATTCGTCGTCGTGTTCGATAGACTCGGCAACGTAGATTTGATTGACTTTGATGCCGTCGGTTGTAGTCTGCTTTGTCTTCAACCATTGCCCGAACATTTTTGCTGCAATCTCTTGTCCCGCGACTGCCGTTTCGGCAACTTGGATGCCACCTTTCAAGCCATTATCGAATATACCATTTGCACGGCCACCTTTTAAGATCTGCGGTTTGAGGACGCATTTCTTATCTTTCAAACCATAAGCACGATTCGTGAATTTGTCAAGTTCTTGGAGTGTGTTACCCAGTCCTCTCATTATGTGTCCAACTTCGACAGGGGTATTCGCAACCTTTCCACGTGGGACAGGTACACCATACTGGATCAACATGTTAGGTAGGGGTTCTGGATAGCAGCTGTGTACGCACCTCCCTGAGCAACCGGTATGATTGATACTCATGCAAGCTGAGGTGCCGTACATGTTGCCTTGAAACCAACTATGAACAAACAATCAGTACAAGTTCGTAAAATGTCGCTCGATGATAAATTTTGATGACCTTTGCTTGACAATGCAAGAACCTCGGTGTAACATTCCAAGACGCCATAGCCACAACTGTTCAATGCTTGCTCCTGGATCTGGCGTTTTAGTGCAAACAGAGAGATGTCATGAAAACCAAGCACTTGCGGTATACCGAGAGAAGCAACACTACGTCGATGGAAGCCTAAATCCCTCGGTCGCACTGTCAGCTGTAGTACAAACCGAAAACAGAGCGTTGACGGCAATGTGATGTCGTCTCCACTTCGGCTATAAGGTCATAATAGCCGAACCCGGTCGGTTACATGCAAGGTCATGCAACCGATGATGTCATGAAAGTTAGCTTGTTGCTTTCAGATATTTCCAAAATACTCGACGTGTAGGGTAGCGCGACTCGACTGTCTTCTACCAACAAATTCCCCGACATTTCAGCACATTTCATAGTCTCCCATTGCATGTAAAATTTCAAATTAAAGTTAGAGTATTTGCAATCACACATAGGAACATTACTATTCGCACACAAGTGTTAAACTTCTTTACTAGAGCTGCAGGTAGATAAAGGATCGACTATCTCTACGATTAAGAGAATATATATAGCTATTTGTCTTGTTACATTGAATTTGGTAGGTTAAATTGGTATTATTATTAATACAAGGAATAAATACCACAAATAAGCTTAGTGCTCCGAAAAATTAACTTCTCAAAGTGATGATTATTATAATTGAGACACGTAGTTTTCATGCGAATACCAACACTCAAAAATAAAGAAAACTCATCACCTGTCACTCTCGATATAACGCGGAGATGGTCAATCTCTGGGTTCTTTTCAATACGTCATATCTGGGATCCCATAACATTAACTAAACAGCCCGTCCACCGTCCACCTCCAAATTGATTCCGGTTATGAATTGGCTTTCATCTGAAGCCAAAAATAAACACGCATTGGCTACATCCTCTGGTTCGCAAAGACGTTGCAGAGGAACGTTTGAAGTAAACTTCGCCCTGTTTTCTGGCGTGTCTGGCTCCCCACAAAATGCTTCAAAACTGCGGCCACGTTAGAGGAGGCGAGCTGGTGCAAAGTGAACAAAGACCTACAGTCCCGTCCCGCCTAGCAAAGGGCACACGGAATTGACACGGATTTGGTGAGGCCCATACTCGGCTGCAAGCCCCTTGGTGGCCTAGAATATTCAAGTTAGAACGAGATTTACCACGATCAATGTCTTGCTTACATTGCACACGGCACCCTTGGATGCGTTGTACCAAACGAGGCCGGGTCGAGGCCGGGTTGCTCCAACCGAAGCGATGTTGACCACTGTGCCTCCCTGACCTTGTTTGATCAGTTCGGGGATGAACGCACTGGCACCGAAGAAGACTCCTTTGACATTGACGTTGAAGCACTTATCAAAGTCTCTCTCCGTCACATTCACAGTTGGCTAGAGCATTCACATATTAGCGTTTCGGACCTGCGCTGTAAGTATTGACGGTCTAATTACCTTATTGCTGTACGTTGTGCCCGCATTATTTACGAGGCAGTCTAGGCGGCCATAGCGGGATTTCGCCGCCTCAATCAGCTTGTGCCAATCTCCTTCAACAGCTACGTCTGCTCTGATGAATGAGATGGAGTTGGGCATGTGTTGAGATACCGTCTTGCCGCCTCTTTCGTTGATATCCGCGATGAGAACCTTAGCCCCTTCCTGAGCAAATCTCTTGGTGATTCCTTCTCCGTAGCCAGAGCCACCGCCTGGAAATTGTCACAACTAAATCGGACAAACGCAGAGGGTTGACTGACCAGTGACGATGGCAACTTTGCCCGCGAGTCTTGAACTTGTCTTGAGAGCTAACATGGTTTGGTAGGCGCAGTGTTAGGTTATCAAAATAGCACTCCATTCAGTAGTGTGGTTAAATATCAACACACTTGGGGATACTGCCTTGATACCCATTTAGCCCTGCAAGGCCAACTAACCATTATTACCGACTTCGGCTCCAGTTATCGGCCTTTTACCGTGGGTGGAAGATTCACGACTGGAATTACGGGGTAGGCGGGGAAGGATGGAAATCGTTCGTGTGACTTGTTAACCGGCCGGCTATATGACCCAACTGGTATCAGGATTGAGGCTCAGGTAAGATGGCCCAACCCCTCATCAACGTCCCTGTACAACAGGATTTTGTCAGAAATCAATCACCATGTTTTCCCAATCTTGCCATATGGGTGTCCGATATTCAACTCCGTACAGATCCTTGCGTCGAGGAACTTGGAGCAAAGCCCTGCAGAGTCAGCATATTTTGGGACGCACAATGGCAACACAGGCCGCTAACTCGGTATGCCAACGGTTCTGAAATGCCACAGTCTCCTAAGATATACCACTAATACGAGTAGGTGAGGTCTCGCCTGCGTGATCCAACTTTGTTCCGTGAGCAGGCGTACATCGGAGGAGAGTGGACCGATGGAGGAGCCAAGAAGCAATTTCCTGTTTTTAACCCTTACTCTGCCGATCAAATTGGGATATGCCCAGAGATGTGAGTCAACAGAGCCAGCTCGATGCGAAATTTCGATGGAAAATGTTATCTCAACGAAATTACAGGGGCCACGAAGGAACATTGAGAGCGGTCGAAGCTGCTCAAAAGGCTTTCGATTCGTTCCAACACACGATGCCGCGCAAGCGCATGCTAATCTTGAAAAACTGGTTCGAGCTTATGCAGGAACACGAAGAAGACCTAGCGACCATCTTGAGTTTTGAGAATGGGCGGCCAATTGAAGCGGCACGCGCGGAGATCAAGTACGCAGCAAGTTTCTTCGAGTGGTTTCAAGGGGAGGCTGTCCGGTCATACGGGGAAACAATGCATTCCAGCACACCGAGTTCTCGGGCCTTGACTTTGAAGCAGCCCATTGGAGTTGTGGGAATCATCACGCCATGGAACTTCCCCTCTGCCATGATTACAAGAAAGGTCGGAGCGTCAGTTGCCGCTGGTTGCAGTGTTGTCGTCAAACCCGCCGCAGAGACGCCCTATTCTGCCTTGGCGCTGGCCGAGTTGGGTGAACGAGCAGGACTCCCCGCGGGGGTTTTCAACGTCGTGACGACTGATGAGAACATCGCCGAAGTTGGGAAGGTCCTGTGTGAACATCCTACAGTAAAGAAGTTATCCTTTACTGGCTCGACTGGAGTGGGGAAAATTCTCATGCAGCAATCGAGTTCTTCCTTGAAGAAACTGTCTATGGAACTTGGCGGAAACGCACCCTTCATTGGTGAGATTCAGAACTATATCTACTCAACTGGCACTAACTAGACAAAGTTTTCGATGATGCTGATTTTGACAATGCCATCGAAGGGTTGATGGCGGCCAAATTTCGTGCATCGGGGCAAACGTGTGTCTGCGCGAACCGCGTCTATGTTCAAGAAGGTATCTACGACAAATTTGTTGGTCAACTGGCCAAAGTTGTCGAAAACAGACTTATCCCTGGCGATCCAATGTCTGAGAGCACCACTATCGGGCCTCTTATCAATACCAAGGCCGTGAAAAAGGTAGAGCGGCTTGTCGAAGATGCCTGCAAACTCGGTGCAACAGTGGTGACTGGTGGATCGCGTTCGACCAGCGACCCTCAAACATTCTACCCGGCAACAATCTTGACGAACATGAATTCTTCGATGCAGGCCAGCAAGGAGGAGCTCTTTGGGCCGGTGGTTGCTTTCTACCCATTCAAGACCGAAGAAGATCTGCTGAAGCTAGCCAATGACTCTGAGGTTGGATTGGCTTCATATGTATACACGAAAGATCTCTCGAAAGCATGGCGAGCGGCCGAACTACTCCAAACTGGAATGGTTGGAGTCAACACTGGCGTGATATCCGATCCCGTAGCCCCTTTCGGAGGTATCAAGCATTCTGGATTCGGGCGGGAAGGAGGGCGACTTGGCATTGAGGAGTTCCAAATCATCAAGGTAAGTGCAAATCAACTCCTGGAGCTTTTATCTAATCCTTTCAAGACTGTAACGATTGGTGGCCTGGGTTTTCCAGAAAAGTCATCCCTGATTTAACTTCGCCGCGAGTGGTTTCTTTCTCGGCAGCGATGTAGTCGATATGAGTGATATAAGAAAGGATGGATTCATGAATATACGAAATTTATCAAGATAAAGCGTCTTTATTATAGTTACAACTACCTTCTACTCTCAAACGCATCCAAGACTTGATGCAGCTTCGACCTCCCATGCTCAACTACACGGCCTTCATTTCCATGCAGCGAGCTTCGAAATTCTCTGCATGATGCTCTCGGTCTTCACAGTGCTTGGTGCAGTGTAATCAGTAGTGTAAAGAGAGATAGATACTGCGCCGTTTTCCACAACATATGTCTCTCCCAGCATCGAGCAGTCTCCATTTACGCAGGTGTTTACTCCGGCAGCATAGGGCTTAATGTTTGCCCAGGTGAAAGTACCCTTGGTGGCATTAAGAACAGCCTCATTGACGTGTGCATTTCCGGTCATGCGAGTTTGCACAAACTTGAGTCCTTTGTTGTTTCCAGTGAGAGGCGGGATGTTGACGTTGACGCCATATCCCAATGGCAGAATGGGGCCACCAGCAGGGCTACTTTTGATAAAAGTATTGACAACCTTGAGAGACACCTCAGCAGCCCAAGTAGCGGGATTTGTCTTGTTCTTGACGTCAAAGTACGCAATCTCCGAGTTGCTCGCTGATAGGGCGATGGCCGGGATGCTTCGCTCGACTGCCGCATATCTGTAGATATATGTCAATAGCTGAACGAGAAAGGGAAAGAACGTCCTTACGCTGCACCTGCTGTACCACTTAATGTCCAGACGAACGGCCCGAGGTTGGTTCCGTAGTTGGGTCCAGTTAAGACAAGATCCGGGACCTTGAATTTTGCATATCGCGGGAGAACGTAGTCCAGGGCCACGAATGTGCATGCCGCCGGGGTACCATTATAATACCAAATGTGGCTATCGTGTGGGTCACTCCCAACCTTAAATAACATTAGCTTAACGTTGTTGAGTCCCTCTAATTTACGTACAGATGGTGCGCCGGCTGGGATCAGATTGTAGATCGAGGGAGCTGTCAGGTTGGCCTCCGTGGTGAAGTCAGATCGACCTCCTTGGCCAGACTGCTTAGTAGCCGGTGCTACGATCCACACTAAAAGAACGTTAGTCGTTGACAATTTCCTAAAATGAATTTTGCGTACCATCGTGGCCTTCGCCCTTCAGCAAGCGGTAAAGCTCGCGGAGGTTTCCCGACCCGAAACCATCGTCATTGTTCAATAAAATATTGAGAGCGTTTGAAGACGACGCGAGAAAGATCGAGGAAACGGCAAGGATATTAGACAGACGCATCTTGATTAATGGGCGCGGAACCAAAGTCGCTGAAGAGTGAAGATTTACGATATTACGGTTGACTTTATAGCACCAACATTCCCAGCCGGTTGGACGATCCTATCGCACTCTGTCAATGCTCCTTCCAAACTAGGTAACTGTCCGTGCCGATTCCAAGGACCCTCCGCGATAAGATCGACGTCGCGTCTTGGCGTGGAGCGGTGGCCTCCGACGTTTCCGGCTCTCCTCATTTTTCCTTGGTGTTCTGTCCTGGACTTGTCCGAATCCAGTAAGTGATCGCGTGCCATGGGTGAAGATAGCCGGCGGCCTCTGCAGCTTAATGACCTTATGTTATCTCCCTCCGCATAATCGCAATAAGGTCAGCGGCCGCGGTCCAATTAAGTGTGCTGATCTGGATTGAGCTCATGCAGGAGAGGTTCAGATGAACTTTTGAAGCCAGCCACAAAGTCTACACGCCGGAGTCGATTCCCAGGTAGGCCTAGATATTCCAGGTCCAACGGTGCCAAGCCCTGGGGTACTGCACTGCCCTTTGGAGTTCGGCCACTTCCGCGTGTCTTTGACTGGCCATGTGATGGGTATGGAAAATCATGCTTCCGAGGCATGTTCAGCCTGTGGCCTCTAGGGTGGCTCAATTTGGGAAAGAAATCAACTTTTCAATTAGACGATAGAAGCGAAGAGTCTGGCCATTTTCTCCTAAGAAGCTCCCCAATTCTAATGCTCTAATTATCGCAGCCGTCATCATCCGAGAGCGGGTCATCCGCTTGACCACTGGACGGCTTCCGTAGCTCAGTTGGTTAGAGCATCGTACTAATACTTCTATTGCCAGTGTTGGTGATGCGAGGGTCGCAGGTTCAAGCCCTGCCGGGAGCAATAGTCTCTTGATGCCATCCAGTTTTTTTTGATCTTTTTGCATCTGGTGACGATTCTTGCCTGTCTTTTTGCCAGTCAACTCTGGCTGGGGTGGATCGCGCAGTCGCGATGCGCATTCTCTGTTCAGCATCTGCACGGCGATATTTTGTCCTTTTATCTGCTTCCGGTGCACACTCGTTATTTGCACGGTACTGTCCAACAGTGAAAACTTTCAAAAATTCTGTCTGACCTGGAGTATTTTCTAATGAAACAAAATACTCCGAATATTGATGTTCATAACGCTCAAGACCGTTCAAAGCGGAGAGTTGAAAAAGAGGAATCAAGCCAGACCCCGACCGGTCAGTCGCGTCCATAACAAGTACTCAATATCTATCTGATCTCCCAAGTAGGATGCATTGGATCATATTTCATGCGAATTTGTCTGAGACATGGAATGAGAGTGTTCCACAGCCGAGACATTTCTTGGCAGCTGTGCAATCATTTAAGTAACCGAGAGCACATAATCGAAGCTACAATCGATATACCCGGAGATAAACCCCACACTTCACTTAGCTTGAATCCATCGTGTCTTATAATCAGAGAATGTATTCTGCTTCGGCTTATGATGCTTTTGTAATCCAAGTCTACCACCGATAGTCCAATAACATTCACAGGATGGCGTCTTTCAAGAGCTTGACGCGCCTCAGACACGCTGCCGCTATGTCGCCAGCTCAGCTTTCATGGCCCTTGAACCACATGCGCTTTGCCAGCACGGCATCGTCCAAGGTGGTCAGAATTGCTGGCCGCGAAGTCTCGAATCCGACGGGAATCCTCATCAACAATGAGTTCCGAAAATTCACTGGTGGTAATGCAATCGCCGCTGAGAACCCAGCTACAGGCAAAGAAATTATCCAAATTGAAGAGGGCCGTGAAGAAGACGTCGAGGCAGCAGTAAAGGCAGCGCGAGAGGCCTTCAAGACTCGATGTTGTGCTCCAGCAACGCCTTCTTCTCATGATAGAATTCCCGGCCATCTTTGGACACGAAGGCGCTGGAACTGTGCGTGCTATCGGCAACAAGGTAAAGAACGGTGACCTCGAAGTGGGCGATGCTATAACCCTTTCCTTAATACGTGCGGGGAATGTCAGCCTTGCACTACAGGTCATCCGGCCTTCTGCTACACTCACCCACAAGTCAATCACCATGCGGTTCGACTCAGTGATAGGAGCACTCTTGCGAGTCTTAAAACTAGCCTCTCCGTAAGGAGTCAATACTTTGGCTGGCCAATCGTCGTTTGCAAAAATGTCGGTTGTCAACGAGATGTGCGTTGTTAAATGTTCTAATCTAGATGCAATGCATCTCTACGGTCCCCTTGGATGTGACTTTCAAACGGGAGCGGGTACGGTGCTGAACATTCTGAAGCTAAAGAAAGAAGACTCGTTAGTCCTCTTTCGTCTCGGCAGCGTTGGGTTTACTGCTTTGATGGCCGCAAAGTACCTGAAAGTTAGTCGGATCATTGCTGTGGATGTCGTTCAATCCTGGCTAGATCTGGCAAAGGAACTTGGAGCAACCGACACGATAAACTCGATTGAGGAAAATGACGTCGTGAAAGCAATTAAAATCCTCACCGACGGCGGCTCTTCATTAGCCATTGACTGTACGGGAATCCCGAAGGTCATTGAGAGCGTCATTGCATCAATTCGTCCTCCCGGTATAGTTGTTTTAGTTGGTGTCCTAATAGCAGGTGCTAAGATTAAACTCAACGCGCTTGAATTTCTCCTTGAAAATAAGAAGTTTATTGGAGTTATCGAAGGGGAATCGAACCACACTGAGCTCATTCTTCACCTAATTGCCATGCATCAGGCAGGGGATTTTCCAATTGATAGGCTTTGCAAAGTCTATCCCTTTTCTGAGTTGCAGAAGGCAATTGATGATATGCATTCAGGCATAGTAAGCTCTCCATATCCCGCAGTTTTTCAATCTACTTCTGTAGTCAAGAGGCTAACACGTCCCCTCAAGGTCATAAAGCCCATCATTCAGTGGAGTTGAAATAAACTCAGACTTTGTGTTTGTGTCACGAGAAGGGATGCGTCCAAGTTGGCTGGTCGAATAGTTATGCATTTGCCGTTTTGAGAATTCTATCATTTGGTATCAAGTATTACTAGTCGCATTGGGAACCGAACGTGCGTCAAATACATTTGTCACTCCAGATCCCTTTGACTATATCTTCACGGATGGAACATAGCGCTCTCATTCCTATTTTACAACCCTCAAAGTATGCTACGTCACGACAGCTTAACAATAGACCATGAGGGCTCAGGATGCCTATTTTGTGATGATGAACATCGAAATATGCGCGGGTATCATCCGGGAGCCTGTTTCTTTCAGAATTGACAGTATCGTTCGTGTTAGCCGAAACACCATGTCCAGTTGCCGTAACCGAAACTGTAAATCCAAGCAGTTGTATTTCTCCCATCTCGAGTTATGTCCCTCATTGAAAATTAAAGGGTTAGGCCACCCACACAGCCCGAGAAATGAACAAATTGTTGCTTGATTTTATGGACCCAACAATCCCGTCGTGTCTTGGAAGCGTAGATCTGCAGATTCGGCCACCGTCTTGCTCCCTCGCGATAACGGGTGGCCTACAAGTGGGCCTTACCCTAGTCACCAAATCTCAGCTGTCGATGATTAAACCTGGAGGTGGGATATAACAAATACACATCCCGTTAGCTCATGGGGATTCCCAGTCTGATCCCTCGGAAAAGGCGTGCGTCCAGAATTTGGGTGAGTTTGCGGGGAGGATAGACCACCGAGTTGCAAATTCTTGTAAATCCGTCAGAATATTTGCAGCGTAGGGCGAAGTGTGTGAAAACTCGGAGAGGATCCGCGTTGTCGATCGAAGCGCTTTCAAAGATGACCTATACGTCACGATATCTGGGTCTAGAAGCAATACGAGATGGACGAGCGCAGCCGTGAAAGCCGCGTGGAGAACCATCGGGTCCGCTACAGATTCCTTAAAATGTCCGTAATAGGATTTCAACAATGTCGTAATTGTGGCGGCAGATTCGCGGCATCTCTGGTTAGACAGCTCTGCGCCTCTTCCAACCTCATTAAGAGAGGTGCGGTGCAGGAGAATGAGTCCTGCATGGAAACCGATGCTATTGCGGTGAATATGGGCTAGTAGCCGGCACGTAATGGACTTACTGAAATGATAGAAAACTTGGGTGAAACGGCTTCCCGTTGGATATGTCCTTCATAGTGTTCGGCAATGAAGAAAACCATGAAATATAGTTCAGGTGGCCTTCTGAAGTCGCATCTTCTTTCGTGGAAGCGTGTGAAAAGGCGTATCTACTCAAATTAGCCTTATCGGCAATAATGAGGAGAATTCCAAGCTCACAACTTGATCAAGGTCACATCTTGGAGATGGTAAAATTCGACTTGGCAAGCATACACAAGTTCTAGGGATAGCGGGAGGCCGGGATAATTGTCCTTTGCCTTCATCTGTTCTAAGGGCCGTGGGCTCGAGATGTCAACGTGATCGATATGACAAGCCCGTCCTTCAAGGATTGCGAGTCGTCTGTGTTTGTCAGCCATGTTTTTGTCAGACTAAGAATAAAAATACCTGTCAAACCAAAGGGTGGCCCAAAATATTGCCAGTCGCTCCCTCGTCTGTTGCGGAGAGGGAATAGATGCCTGTGCTTCAGCAGCAGTGCAATCTACGTGCAGCCCTAAACGTTTTGCCATGGCGCAAGCTATGCCTTCAATTGTGTAAGTTGATGTATTGCCAATGCATAGCGGTACTTACTGTTAAATATTGTGGCGGATTCTAATTTTCCCCGGAGAGCGTCCAGATACGCCCTCAGTAGGAATGCTTTAACGTTTTGAAAGCAGCAATTCTCTAGCTCTTTCCCGGCTTGGGCTCTGAACTTTTCTGTATAGACGTCTAGAACATCGGTTCTGGAATATCCCCATTGAGCAAAAGAGTCTTCCCCCGAAAAGAATGAGGCAGCACCGAGGATAGAGTAAAAGAGGAGTGAGTGTGACGCCGCTTGAGAGACCACTTGTGAAAGTTGTAGCACACACTGATCTCCTAAAATAGGGAATGTGGGGTGAATTTGCGTTCGGAAGATCTCCAGCAATTGATTCTCGTGAGCCCTGAGTGACTTGGGTTCTTCCAATATCCTCGCGGTTGGTAGAGTCGTCATTGTCGACACTTTGGAATCCACTGGACTATCGTTAAGCAGATGTAAATTGCTGGTTGGTCCAACATAAAATGTCTTGCCATTTTTCTGATCAGTTTGCAGTTGTGGGAGCTTTGTAGCAAGGTAGTCGCGAACGAGGGATATTTGATCTTTATCCCAAGAAGTCCAAAGCGGGTTCTCGTCCATCCATGCGTCCGTTGAATCCAAAGCATCCCATGGCGAGATTTCAAGGATGCCTGAGTGTTGGATCGAGGGCCCAGAATCTTCTGGCGACCGCATCCGCCCAGAGTTTTCGGTCGCTGAAGATGGATCGCAGAGCCTTCCATTTTGAACAACTTTGACAAGGTGGATGCTGGGTATACTGTCTAGGGCTGCATCGACACTCAAGGGACTGTCGAGGGCCTCCTCTTTCTGGGTTGTTTGAAGACTTTTTAGCTGCTGTTCAAGGTATGCGATACGATTGTTGAGAGCATTAAACTCGAGCGTCGTGTGCCTTGCCTTACGAAGATCAGTGCCTTCATAGCCACATTCGCGCGAGTTTTCCAGACAGCTTGAACACTGATCATAGTGAGGGGTTTAGTGATAAAACTTAGGCAGCGCCTGCAGAAAGGAGGATTTTTTCCATTCATACCTTTGGCCGGGTGCCGTCGCATTTGGAGCGACGCTGCTTGCAAGTACGACAGGCGCTTGTCACCCGAGGAGCAGATCGGCGAGTCCTCTGGGCGAGGCCCGTAGGATGCGCGTTTGAGCTCATTTCAAAGACGTCGATGTGGCCCTTCTTACACCCAGTGACCGCAGGGGATGAAGCATCGGCCTTCGATATAAGTGAGCAACCATGTCAATCCCCATTAACAAATGGGTGTAGAACGTACGTTACGACCTCGAAGACCAATACCAGATCAGCGAAGACGGCAGCGAAAACTCGGATATTTTGCAATAACCGGAATCAAGAGACTTTCACAACTTATGGCATGTCTTGAGACTTTTCGAAAACATGGCTCCGTCTGCCAGGCCGGGTATAAGTAGCTTGCCCCAAGTTAGGCCCTGATAAAATAAAGATAAGTGGCGTCCAATCACAGAGTGGGCCTTATCTATGCTCGACAATTAGTACCTAGGTATGCATGCCAGGTTGATGATAAGAGTTGGGCCGCCCATGGAAACATTCATGACAGACGAAATATTTGATGCCGAATTGCATTTTATACTACGGACTGTTTAACATCCCGATGAATCATGTCCAATACGCAACTTATTTAATGCAATATTATACTATCAACAATCTAGATACTGCAGCTTCAAGTCTATGACTAGTCGTATAGATGATCAATGTCTTCCAGCGTCTTGTTTGCTGTTTCCGGCAACCACAAGTAAGAAATAAGAGCGACGAGGAGACTCAAACCGCAGAATAAAAACATGGCTTTGTATCCGATCGCAGCAAAGATATAGGGCGAAATCATGTTGATAACGAAAGAGCCCAGACCTAAACCAACAATGCCAATGGAACTGCCTCTTGCTCTGGATCGTGCAGGGAAAATCTCAGAAGGATACGTAAAAGGCGCCCATACTACTGCATATTAGCGAGTTCCGTGTTTAGTGAGAGGGTACTTACACCAAGTCAATCCAAACTGAGCCGACCAGATCATCACCAAGGCAACGACTGCAGAGCTATAGCTCTTTGCTAGGGGCAAATCGGTATCCACGTTGTTTGCAACGAAGTGGCCGCACATGCCGATAAAGGCCAAAAGAACGGAACCAGCCAAGGCGCCGTATATGAAGGCATTTCGACGGCCAATCTTATCGGCGCAAAAAGCGCCGGGGAATCCGAAGGCAGCCTGGATAACAATACCGACGCCAGAGAGCAGGGCTGCGAGATCATTCGACCATCCACCAGTTTGGAAGATCTTGATGCCGTAGCCAGAGACCACACCAACGCCAACCATGGCCTGAGTGGCGAACTGAACAAAGAGTGCGGACCAAGTGCGACGGACAGTCTGGTACTCATCTTCGATGAAGAGCATGCTGAAGTAAGTGGCCGACGAGTTGTTTACCAGCTCTTGCTCCAATGTGCGCCGAATAGCGGCAACTTCATCGTCCACCTTCTCAGCGACTTCAACGGTACTGGCCCTATCAGCTTGCATCGCAACAAGAACCTCACGGGCTTCTTCAACCAGCCCCACTCGGACGAGCCATCGAGGGGATTCTGGGAGAAACCAAACAAGGAAAAGAACAAGCAACACGAAGAAACACTGGTAGGCAATCGGGAATCTCCACACAATTTCTCCGTCGGTTGCCTTCGAGATGCCGTAGACGAGAAAGTACGACTGGCTGGCACCCAGCGCTGCACAGCACATATGTAGGCCGATTGCGCGTCCGCGGTGGTTAGATGCTGAAGACTCGGCCGACCAATTCAGACCCACGGCATCAAAGGCACCCGTTGCTAATCCGTTCAAGAATCTGAGAGATAGAGCCCAAGCAAAGTTTTGGAGGCCAGCGAATATCGGGATGATGAACATGGCGTACACTCCAGCACAGACGAGGGCTCTTCTGCGGCCAATACTGTCGGAAATCGGACTGATGAGAAGAGCCCCGATTATGACGCCGACCCAGTAGATGGCGTTGACCACACCGATTAGCAGCTCGCTATGCTTCGTACCGTCGTCAAGGCCAATTCGAGCCAAGTAGGATGGGATGGAGGAAACGCTGCCCATAAGTGCAACATCTAAGAACGCGAGTCAGCTATGTCGTTTGAAGGAAGAGGTCTACTAACTAAGGCCAGAAAGCATCAAACAAGCACAACCGCAGGCGACAACACCGCTTCGAGACGTTCTGGGAGATAATCCCTTGTACCGGTAAGTAGGCGATGGCCCAGGAACATATCGAGCCCAGGAGACGGGTATATATGTCCCCACTCCCATGTCGATTTCCTCCGTGGGTGTCGATGCACCGGTTTTCGCTGTCTTGTATTCTTCCATTGGGTGGGAGTAGGTCACAATTTGTCTGATATGGTGAGTTTGAAGAGATGTCAGGCAATTAAATTCGGCGTCGATGCTCTTTAATGGCTCTCTTCAATCCTATTTAACTGGAATACTGCTCTGATTGAGGTGCGATCATGACTTCTCCTGATTAGCTTGATATGCATCGGAAGTTGATTTCCTCCCATCTGGACTCTTATCTATGGTTTCTGTGGGGTCAAATGGGGGCGCTAACTGTGAGCGAATTCCAAATCTGGTCCCTGATAAGATGGCCTGGACTGTTATCTGCTCTTAGACTGTGAGAAGCACATGCGGAAGCCAAATTCCGCCAGGTAAGTTATCGGTTATCAAGACGACGCGAGATCAAGGTCGACGCGATAGAAGGCGGCAGTTGATATACGCTCATCATAGTGGCATTGATAAGATAGAGAGAGCGCAACAGCACTCAAAACATATATATGCGGTGTCCCATAGCCAAAATGGACTTCAGCATCCCAGACACTGCTCTCCACATTCTCGACCTAAGAAAGCTCCCAGTTTAATTATCTCTCTTCACATTGAAACCCAAGAAACATGACCACTCCATCCGTTGATTTGGACCCGTCTCGCACCATTAAGGTTGCGGCAGTGCAAGCCGAGCCTTGCTGGTAAGACTCACCAAACCCCTACAAATACCATTTCAGAGGCGCTAATTAAGCATATTTAGGTTTGATGTTGAGGCCGCAGTCAAGAAAACGTGCGATCTCATCACCGAGGCTGGTAAAAATGGTGCAGAACTCATTGCCTTTCCTGAACTTTGGATTCCGGGATACCCTACCTTCATCTTTGCGCACACCACAAAGGTCGTCAACGACTACATGCTTCGCTACTATCAAAACTGCGTGTCAGTGGGTTCAACCCACATGGCAAGCATTCGGAAAGCGGCTCGGGCTGCGGGAATCATGGTTGTGATCGGAATTGCGGAGCGCGACGGAGGCAGCCTCTACATGGCTCAGACGTTCATTGGACCCCAGGGCGATGTCCTCTTGCATCGCAGGAAGTTCAAGCCAACGGGCCCTGAGCGTATCGTTTTTGGAGATGCGGTAAGTGGTCATGTTTCTACTCTGCCGTAGTGCTTTACCTCGTGGATTCTCGCTGACTTGTCCAGTCTGGGGATTGTGCCAAAAACGTTGTGCAAACTCCCATCGGCCGCATTGGTGGGCTTCAGTGTTTTGAACATCTGCAGCCTCTTCTCAAGTACAACACTTACTTCCAGCGCGAGCAAATTCACGTAGCTTCGTGGCCTTGCCTCTTCCCTCCTGTCGGAAACATGCCCTTCTTCAACACCGTGGAAGCCTGCCGCATGGCAACTCATACGCTTGCCATTGAGGGCGGAGTTTTCGTCCTCTTAGCGTCAATGACTCAATCCGAGAAGGGACTGAAGGCCAACGGTCTGGACAATGGCGTTGCCCCAGGAGAGGAGCTACCGCATACAGCTGTCAAGGGTGGTGGATTCACGGTTATCATTGCACCTGATGGACGAGCCCTAACGGAGCCGGTGCCGGCTGACTGGGAGGGCCTTGTGTACTGTGATCTGGCTTTTAATGAAATCTACAGGGCAAAGCAGTGGGTGGATCCAGTTGGTCACTATTCCAGACCGGATATCTTTAGCTTGGTGGTGAGGAACGATATCAAGCCTCACGTTGTAGCTGATAGCGTGGATGATGAGTATTGCCATGTTTCTCGTTTCCCACAGTTGGAGGAAGAGTAATATTTTACTATCAGAATAGATTTACAATTGAATAGTCACGGAATTAAAGAACGGACAACTTGGTTTAGACACGGAATCTGAGCTCAATCCCGGCTCGGCTCTTCGAGTCCAGCTAATCACCCAGGCTAATTAGCCTACCCTACACTGCGGGCGAAGCATCTCGCAGCGCCGAGCGAATTATAAGAACACAATCCATAGATAATACCTTTATATTCTTCCGGAATGGCTTTAAGTCTTAAAAAGAATGAGTAATTGTGGTGTCCATTCACGCTTTATTGAGCACTGGATTTAAAGCTGGACGACAAGCTGGTCCGCCTACAGTAACGGTGGTTCACTGAGCAAGATGTGAGGATCAAGAGTAGTTCGACGATACGTCCATTCCGCAAGGCCTGGGAATTTATCATAAGTTACATATAACACCAACAGCGGGATCTATGGTTTTCTTACTGTCTAGTGCGATTTAGAACCCATTAAATACTCCTCGACGATGATCGCTGTCGGTTATTCGCAAACAGTTTATTATTTACACAAATAGGTACACACGCTAATCATGAAGATTTGAGATAATTATACACGATATCAAGCTTTACGAATTAATCATAAAGGCCAAGCCTTAGCATGCGCATTTCATGTTATTAAATAAAATAATAAATATATGCCTTCAACCTGAGTGTTTGGTTGCCGATTAGTGGGTGTGGATCAGGTGTCTAACACTCCATGGCGTAGATCCAAATTTTTCGTGTGTGCATCGCATAGAGAACAAGAAGAGGAAATTGTATTGCATGCTAGCACTTCGGAACATTATACAACAACTCATGCTGGGTGGGGAGGGCGACAGCTAAGCGATTTGGAGAGGGACGCTACCTGGGCCGATGTTAGTAGCCGATAGCATTCCAGCTCAGTCCCAATGAATACATGCAGGCGATATAAAATTTCTTGCCAGAAGAGATTACGAGTGCGGACATTGTACTCAGGTAAATATATATCTGTGTATGTCTGGGAGACCTGCCCATCCCGCACTTGCACAACAAGAGTCAGAATAAACTTGAATGAGGGCCATGTTAGTGAATATTTACTATTTCGGAATGAGCTATAAAGTTCGGCCAAGTCGGGAATGCTAATCATGTTCGCGGCTTCTCAACATGGTCCATCAGAACCTCAGACTTATCACCATTAGCAGTGATATCCTCAGGTGCCAGTTTCCCCTGGTGATCAACGATCACATCACCAAACTGAGCTGCGACCTCTTCAAGAGTAAGGAAGCGAGTTTCCGGGAGGAAGAAGAAATAGATGGTTCCCGCAAACACGTTGCAGGCGATGAACACGAAATAGAATTTCCATGCGATGGCGTCGAAAGCATAAGATGCCGCGTAGGAAAGCCAGATTGCTGTGACGGCCTGCGTGAAAACCGAGAAACCGACACCGACTCCACGGAGGTCGAGCGGGAAGATTTCCGCAACGAGAACCCAGTTCACACTGTTGAAGTAGAATGAGTATGCAAACGCGAACAAGAAGATGAACGCAACTCCCGCGCGTGAGCCCGCAGGATTGTGATCGTCTTGGAAGTACTTTGACAGTGCTGTCAAAACTGAAAGTAGGAGAGCGAGGGAGTAGCTTCCTGCAATGACTGTAGTTCGTCGGGTCCAGTGGTCCGCAACGAAAAAGACATTGATGATTTGGCCAACAACAGCCATGAATCCGTAAAGGGCACCGATGAGAAGCACGGTCTGTCCTTCATAACCCAGAGAGTTGTACATGATGGACTGGTAGTTTTGGATAATGTTTGATCCAGAGAGCTTCATCATGTTGACGGTCAAGCAGGCCAGCAGGGTACGGCGGATGTACTTGCGAGTAAACAAGTTGGTGAACCTGGCCTGGCTCCTAGTGCTTGCTTCGAGCTGGATTTGGCTGCACATTTCAGCGAATTCGGCCTCGAGCACCTCGGAACCGCGGTGGGCGTGGAGCGAGTACATGACTTTCTTGGCTTCATCGTATCGCTCTTTTGACGCCACTAGAAAGAAATTGATTAGATCCTGGACTACTTTTTATGGTTCTAAAACAGACGGAAATCACTTACGCCAGCGTGGGGAGCATGGCAGGAAGATGGTCATGATGGCCAGCAATAGTGCAGGGGGGATTTGCGTCGCGAGCGGGATTCGCCATTGAAGGTCACCGACCGCAAAAGACCCTGCATAACCTACCCATCCAGCGACGAAGAACCCGAGGGTATTCATGAGACAGGAGTTTTGTTAGTCGGGGTGAGAATGGTGAGGTGTGGATAATTATCTTACCCCTTCAGACCGACAAGAAACCCGCGATTCTCGGGTGGTGAGAGCTCGGCCAGGTATACTGGGGCAGTCGGGTAAACCATGCCGGTTGAAAAGCCCGAGAAAGCGCGCCCAACAATCATCATAGCTGGGTTCTGAGCTGCGGTTTGTAGTATGGCGCCTATAACGCTGACAGTTGCGCCGAAAAGGAGGGTCCAGCGTCGCGACATCTTGTCCATGCAGTACGCAGCGCCACCGCTACCAAAGGCGTATCCAGCATAGTAACCAGAGACAATGCCACCTTTGACAGCGACATTTTCCAACGTCGGGCCATACATGTAGGATTTGAACGTGGCCTGGGCGATAGTCGAAGCAATGATTCCCGTGTCGATGCCGTACACGAATCTGCCCGGAACCCATATTAGACTTTCACCTTCAGATCCTGCAAATGCTAGACTTACCCTGCCAGACTGATGGCCAAGCCGATCAAAATCGACCTGGTCGAGTTGCCACGATGTCCCGCGGCTCGTTTCGTCATATTGTTGGTTGATTGACTCCGTGTCAAAGACGAAAGGGGCAATGCTGTATCGTTGTCCCAAGAATCTCCAAGGAATCAAGGACTTGGCCGGTGGAATTTATATCAGATCCGTCAACCCGCTGCAGGGCACTATGGACTTCTGTGACAACAGCAGACCAGGAGCATTCTTATATCGGGACGCCCCTGGAACGGATCCTGTTATCCCATGACACATTGGCTCAGGAGAACAAATCCGCCAACTAGAAGACTTCCCCGCATTTGGATGACACCGTACGATGAGAAGCTCCACCCCCGCATTCTAGTCTTTGGGACAGCCCGAAACCCCGGAGGTTGACCAACTTGGTGCGCTTGCAAGGTTCGGATTCTGTGGGGAAGCCTAGTTCCAGCTTAAGACATCCGACCCGATTCTCATCCGTGGCGGTCTAGTGATGGTCTATCCGAGCGGATCACTCGCGTCCGCGGCGGTCGGATGGGTGTTGGAGGTCCGATGCTTGGCCTCTCCGCTTTATGGCGTAGTATTATGCGTCTCCGTGAAGGTATGCCCGTGGCTAAGAAGAGGAATTGACATTTCCGTGTAAAGGCCAGATGGATCGTGATCAACATCACGGAAGGAATGCATATCCGTGGCCTGGGGTTGAGTTGCAGCCGTAAACCTGATGAGGCACTCAACTACCAGTCTGGTAGATGTATTATCTTTCTTGAGCATGAATAAGCCGTCCGATAACTCTCTTACCTGTGAATTGGCCAGTGATGGTCTTCTGCAACTTCCATCTGTCCGTACATGATGGATAATGGCGTAGGATAGTTACCTCTACTGTTTGGGACATTGCATAGCATATCATACTACGGCTAATTGATCCGGCATTTGGCAAACGGGAACAACTGGCACCTGTGTCTGAGCTGGCATTTCACAGAGTTCTGATAGACCCACGTCTTGATGCAGTTTCATATCTGTGCTGAGCTTATAATCTATAGCTAATAATGTAACACTGCCAGCCTTCTCTTTGATCTCACCACTTCGGGATTTTGGCGGAAAAGTCAGGCTGGAACTTTCTCATGTAGGTGGTATCATCTCGCTTCCGCAGCCCACAGTCAACATATTGTTGGTGAAGCCGTGCCAACTTCTCCCTGTCGAGCTCAACCCCCAGCCCCGGTGCAGTGGGCACATCCAGGCCGCCGTCGACCCACTTCAACGCGCCGTCGACAATGACATCCTCGTCGCGAGGCTTCCACGGCCAGTGCGTGTCGCAGGCGTAGTCGAGATTGACCGTGGCTGATGCCAGATGCGTCATGGCGGCCAGCGAGATGCCCAAGTGGCTGTTGGAATGCATCGAGAGTCCCACGCCCCAGGTTGCGCAGATGGCCCCTAGTGTTTGGGACTTGCGCAAGCCGCCCCAGAAATGGTGGTCGGAGAGAACCACCTGGACGGCGTTTTGTTGAATGGAAGGGGGGAGATGGGAGAAGGCGACGACGGCCATGTTCGTGGCCAGGGGCATCGCTGCCTCCTTTGCTACAGCAGCCATGCCTTCAATTTCGGGGGCTGGATCTTCCAAGTACTCGACAATTCCCTCCAGTTCCTTGGCGACCCATTTAGAGGTCTCGACAGTCCACGCAGCATTGGGATCCAGCCTCAGCGGCAGACCAGGGAATGCCTTGTGCAGTGCTTTGATAGCGGCAACCTCTTCAGCTGGCGGGAAAACACCACCCTTGAGCTTGATAGCCTTGAAGCCGTACTCGTCTATGATCTTCTGCGCTTGTTTCACCACGCCAGCCGCGTCAAGGGCCGCGCCATACTCGTCATCAGGCTCGCCTGGGTGGCCTGCCCACTTGTAAAACAGGTACGCTGAGTATTGGACATTGTCTCTCACGCGGCCGCCGAGCAATTCACTCACGGGCACGCCGGCCATCTTTCCCTGAATATCAAGGCAGGCAACCTCGAAAGGAGAAAAGACTTTGTCCGTGACAGACGCCGTGGTGACCATGCCGGCCATGCCATCGCCGCCAGTCCTGGAGTCGCCAGCCAGACAGTCGACGCATATCTTGTAAATGGAATTCGTGTCGTACACTGAGCGCCCTTTGATGCGGTCGGCTGCTAGTTGCAGGCGGCCCAGATGGGTCGAATCGCCGTAGGATTCGCCCAAGCCGTACGCATCGTCGGTGACGATCTCAATGATGCTGCGCAACGCGAACGGCTCATGCACACCGACGCTATTCAGCAGGGGCATATCGTGGAATGCCACAGGTGTGATGATGACATCCTTGATAACTCCACGGCGAGACATGATTCCTGATTGCAAGAGACAACTCGGTGGGACGCGCTAGGCTGCCGGTTTGCAGAGAGCTAAGAAACATTCAACGGAATTGACTGGTCTTTTTAACAACCCGGCAATGAGCTGATTCGGACGGCGGCAGTTTGCGCGGTATGTACAGAGTACGAATACTCGGCAAGTCAGCGCGAGCGAGTCATGGCCGTAAATCGCGGTTGCATTCGGAGTATTTTCCGTGTCATGCGACGCAATAGAGGGGTTTACAAGGATCGGCAGACTAACAACTCCCGCGGATGCCGGCGTCGGATCGGATGAGCTCCTCCGAGATTCAGGCCTCGCAACATTGCTCCTCTGCAGTTTCGTCGATGCCGCTGTTCCGAGTTGCCCCCAAGGACTATCGGATCACACAATGGACGACCCTTCAGCAAGGTCATATCCTCGGAGCAACGGCGCATCCGACCCCCGCGAAGACGGCCGCCCGGCGAAGCGGCCGAGAGAAGACCCTGTGCGGGCACGCGTAAGCAGAGCCTGCGATCGTTGCAAAGCGTGAGTTGTTCCCTGATCTCTTGTCATCTGCGAACCGGCTAATGCAATTGTACCAAGGCGGAAATCTCGATGTTCCGGCACTTGGCCGTGTGTCTTCTGTTCTCACCTGAAGCTCGACTGTCAATTCACTGCGGCCCATCGACGGGGTCAGCTTCTTCCTACGATCGATGGTGAGAGTGGCAACTCTCTGCAGAAACAACTGTCGGGACAAGTACGCCCGTCGTTGCCTATCGAGGCCACCCCCGAACGGGGGAGTAGCTCCAATGGCGGCGATCGCAGAGAATTATTCGCCGACATGGCATCCTCCCGGTTGACCCCGGCTGTTACTGCAGACTTAGACCTGGTATCAACAACAGCGACGCGGTCCGTAGCTGAGATACGGTCTGATGATAATCCGGATCACAATGCCACGCGCAAGGCCCAGACAAGTGACCATATTGTTCCCCATTCAATGCGCAACTCTCCCGAGCCGTCACAAACCGATGAGCAAGGCCACTATGTCGGTCCCGCGTCCGGTGTTTCGTTTCTTTTACGCGTTCAGCAGAAGCTACAGATCCAGTCTCCAGGGTACTTGAACTCCTCAGTCTTCAACTTTGGAGATCGACCGCTCCCCGGGCACGATATATCATTCGCCATCCTGCCACCAAAGCCTCTAGCGGAGTCTATGGTACGGCGGTATTTTGACTTTGCAGCCGCGACGCACCGTTTCTTACATCGTCCATCCATAGAGGCATGGCTCGAGGAATTATACGAGACGAACGGAGCTATGCTATATCAGGAGTCGGCTCGGAGTCGGACTGCCTTGCTCTTTATGGTGTTTGCGCAATCAAACAATTACCGGAGCCGATCGAAAACCGACACAAAAGATTGGACTGCAGAGTCGGCCGAAACAGGGTGAGTAATGCGTAACACCTTAGCAATAGACAATTTTCAAGGTGTTGATGACTCTTCGTCCAGCGCTCGGTTCTTTGCGGTTGCAGAACACCAACTATCCATGGAAAAAGGCCAGATACGACTGGCCAACGTTCAAGCACGGTTAACACAGTGCTTTTACCTACTAGCACAATCGCGCCTCAACCATTGCTGGACACTCTTCGGGATCACCGCACATCTCGTGTTGGCGCTGGGAATACATCGGAAATCTCGCGTCGATCTTGAGAGTTCGAGCCGGGTCGATTACATTGACCGAGAGTGTAGGAAGCGGACTTTCTGGTGCGCCTACAACCTCAATACATACCTGAGTGCCGCGCTGGGGAGGCCCATGACATTCCATGATGAATGGATCGACCAAGAGTTGCCTCTTTGCGTTGATGATGAACAACTTCGCCTAAGCCCTGGCCCGCCACCAGCGGTTCTTGGGCCGTCAATAACATCGGCTACGGTAGCTCAAATCAAGTAAGGTTCTTCTATTCTGTTTACGTCTTTCAGAATTCGAAGCGTTTCCGGTACTGTCATGCTAACCCGGACTGTCAGGTTGTCCAGAATACTCGCTGGAATTCTGCGAGCCCTCTACGGCATTCACGCTCCATCAACCGAAGAGCATTTCACGCTTGCTGCAAAGTTCAACGGGCAGCTATCAAAATGGCGAGAAGATATCGCATATCTCCTCGATACAGACGGAAGCTCTGCCATGTTTGTCAAGCTGGTCCTGCGACAGCGCGATGTTCTTAAACTCGCCTATTGGCATGCTCAAATCCTGGTTCACAGGCCATTCTTACTAAAGTCTTTCACAAGCCTGGCGAACTATGGGGTCCACGGCGAGTTGTTGTCATCTAGGCCACAGGAAATGCAACAAAATATTAAAATTTGTATCGATGCTGCAACGCAGATCACCGAGCACATTGATCGAATCAACGCCGCCGGCGAGTTTTATAGTACATTATTCGTGTGTGCGCCTGCATCAGTCTACTCTCCTACCATAAAATTCTTTCCAAAGAACTAACCATCAGCCTTACTAGTTCATCCCATATTATGGCTTCAGCGCCGTTGTTATCCTATACGTTTACGCCATCCAGCAACGGTCAGAGCTTCCCGAAAGCTACACGAGACATTTCCGCTTGGCCTCGAAATGTCATGCTCAACTTGAGAGCATTGCAGTAAAAGGATCGCTAATGCAACGATACGGAGTCGTCTTGCAGGAATTGCGCCTTGAAGTACTTCGAAACAATAGTTACCTCGCGTCGGTGTCGACCCCACGAGCTGGAGGATCCGCTGGGGATGAGAGTCGCTTGGGACAACCCGAGCGTGCACAAAGTTCTCAAGCGAACGAAACGGGTATAGGGCAACGGACTGTTGATGCAAGTTTGGCCGTAAATACCAGCGGCTTGGGGGTGCGAGATAATCGAGACTTTGACTGTCGAGGGGGAGGAACTGAACCTAGTGGAGATATGCCTGCAACTTCTACAAGTACGATAGATGTTGCAGATGGTGACTTAGCGCACATGACTAGTTGGGGCCAGTTTGATTCTCTGGTAAGTTGAACTTGCTTGCTTCACTCAAGGCAGCAGAATGACTGACTAGGTGTGCGGTGCAGGTCACAGGCGGCACGGGCACTTTGGATGCGATTCCTCAGGGCGACGTATGGGACACTATCAACGCTACGGGGTTTAATACTTGGTGAAAATTCTGTACGATAAGATTAGTAGCTGAGCGATATTATCATTATTGAACTTGTTTCGCTCGGCTCTGATGGGAAGCGTGAATTGTCAATCGCATTATAGATTGTAATGATGTGATGTACTCCATCATGGAGTGACAGTCATCACTCGGCAGCATAATATGGGCTTTACTATTCGCACATATTGTCCGAGTAAAGCAGTTGAGGAAACAAAGTTTCCTAACACTGATTATTGGAATTTATGCCTCGTAATGATTTATTTTATTGTATTTATCACGTCCGATTTAATACGACAAGTAAGCATCTAGTCTTGTCATATACCGTTTGACTACAAGTATGGTAGGTACCGTAGTCCAGCTCTGGCTTTGGTCAAGGGGCTTGTACCTGCATGGGAGTAGTAAATTATTGTATTTAACTCATTCTAAAGAGGTTTCTACTCCTTTGTACTCGTGAGCCGCTTGTTAACGGCTGTGAGGATGACGTACAGTGTCTCGATTGTGGCCACATTAATACCTAGCTCTCTACCCTTTCTTACAGGGTAACCTAGGATGATGTCCACCTCCATAGGGTTTCCGTTCTCGTAGTCCGCTCGCATACTGCTCCCAATAGGCGGCATACTCAAAATTCTCGCAAAAAGCCTGTCTATCAACTCATACTCAATCGGTACATCGAGAGCCCTGGCGACATCGATGACTTCCTTCATCACGTTTTTCGTCATCGGCGTCGAGTCTTCGGACGAACTGAGCCAAGAATGCGTGTCCATGAGCGTGAGCGTAGTCAATGGATTCCATGCAGCGTTCCACACTACCTTTTCCCACCGCTGCACTTGGATGTTGGGCACAATTTGGAATACTGTTTTCCCAGTAGTCAACAGCGACGCGAACTGGTCGAGGCGTGCAGTCTCCTGGGCTTGCTCAGCGGTTTCATTTGGGTATAATCCGATTTGCATATCCTCGGACTTGGTGTGCGTAATTATGCCAGGTTGTGGTTGGCGTGCGCCGACCCATGTCTGAACTGCGTTAGGGATGTTTGACACGGAGGAGGGAGGTAGACAAACCACGCATGATAAGATGGTTGTGGTGGGGAAGGTATTGCGAAATGGTTCCTCATTACCAACTCCATTCTGAATGATTACTATTGTTGTCCTCTTTTCATCAACACCAGGCTCAATCTGCGGAGGCACGCTGGACTGGTCGATGGCTTTGTGTGCGCAGACAATGTAGTCGAACTTATGGCCTGCCTCGGCAGCTGTTTTTACCACTATATCAACATGTCAGTGCGTTTTCACCCTTCTATTTTATAAGTACTAACCTTTGTGGGGGCGCGAATGGTGTACGCCATGGTTTTGGCTTGTGATCTTGATTCCATTCGCCTTGACGGCATCATAATTAGACCGGGCAACAACGGTGAGGCGGACGTTCTCGCTACGGCTCAATATGAATGCATAAAAGGAGCCGATTCTAGCCAATCATATCAGCATTGCTTCTTTTTGAAGATCCGGCTGCTTTGTGATCACATACGCTCCCAGCCCGTAGAGGAGCACTTCTAAAGGAGGGGCGCTCATTTTGATTCAGACTTTCGGGTGGTCAGTAGAGCTCCTGTCGTACGCCTCTGGATCAAGTCTCACAGCGTGCTAATAACCGGAGGATCTTCAGGCTCTGCGTCCAAGCTGGATGTCGTCTCGCATCCAGTTGAGGGGTTACTGCATCTGGAGTTGCAGTCGGATCGGACCACGGCAAGTCACCCGCCTTACTGTAGGATAACGGATGTTCTTCTTGACCCACCTCGATCCGACGTGCATATCCGTGCCGCGGAGACTCCAACCCCCCGCATTTAGCGATGGTGGGTGTTACTGTTCCATCCGCTGTCAAGGGTGTGGGATTCCGATATGTGACCGGTAAGAGCAACTTGAGTGTGCCGAGCTGGATGGTGTAACGCTGTAATCTAGTACATCTGAATTAGTCAACAAGTGGTTGGGATCTTACCGTGATGTCAGACTTGTTCCACCAACGTCGGGCCAACGGAGCATTTGAGCTGATGTACACACAAACTTAAGGTGGGAGCGCCGAGGGAATGTGCATGTACAACCAGACGTACAGCCAGATGGAGTAGCGTCGAAGTGTCTCGTCATAAATAGCTAAAATATCGAGCGTTGCTATTCATACACATACATTTTGCCATTCGCTCACACGAGTATATGTTCCAATCCTAAAGATGAATACCAATAATAGACGTAATGCAACATTTTAAAAGTATCTCTTTATGACCATTAGTCTTTTGGTCTTGGGTGTAGTGCTATATATATGCTTCCAGTGTTCACAACTACTACAATGAGGATGATTATTAGCAGCATTGAGGTCTGTACTTTCATATGCAGATAGTAATACTTATTTCTTAACTATAGACCAGCCTCTATGCTCACTAGACTCGCGATTCCCGCCTCAATAGCCTTCTTTTCGGCGTCATTAGGCGCAAGGTACGGCCGTCTGGGCTCCAGCTTCGCCACGGCTCCCTCAATCCCCGCGGCCTTGGCAGTGTTAAGCGCCGCCGCATACTTGACAGATGAAATACCGGCCTTGCAAGGCTGCTCCGCGAGCGCAGCTTTCTTGTGCAAGTCCATTGCCTCTTGGAACTTGCCCTCGTTGTATAGGTTGTAGATGTGCACGATCGTCTTGGGGAACACGTTGGCGAATCCCGCGATGGTTCCCATGGAGCCCGCAGCCAAGCCGCCGATCAGGAAATCCGACTGTCCTCCATACGTCGCGAACTCATCTGCTGGGAGCTCAGCCGCAAGACGGGTGATCTTGGCTACCGCACCGCAAGTCAGCTTCACACCGACGATTTTGCTATGCGTCTTGGCTAGTCTGGCAATAGTCGCCGAGTCTAGATCAATCCCGTTACAGACAGTCGGGAAGTTGTAGATGACGATAGGGAGCGCGCTCTCCGCGGCAACATCATTAAAGAAGTTGTCGATAACTGCCGGCGTCGTCTGCTTCCCGAAGTAGGCGGGGGGCAGAAGCAGGACATAATTTGCGCCGGCATCAGCTGCGTCGGCGATAAACTCCAAGACCTGCTTTGTTCCATGGCCACCTACGCCAGCCATGATGGGGTAGGATGGTCCGACTGCTTTCCGGGCTGTTTCGAGCAGAGTCTTCCGCTCCTCACGCGTCAGAAGAAAGGTCTCGGCATTGGTACCCAGCACAACCAGTCCCGCAAGACCAGTTTTTGACATGTACGAATAGTATTTGGCTTGGGATTCCGTGTCCAGCGAGTCAGTGCTGTGGTCGAAGAAGGTGATTGTGGGGGCCCAGACGCCGCTTGGTGGTACTTTGGGGAATGACATGATGGCTGATACTGGGTCAAGATGGACTGATGCTTTACGGGGAAGGGTAGATACTGGGGGTTAAGGTAGGCTGGGATACTTAAAGCTGGGTGGACGAGGGTTTCCGTGTATTCTTCCCCGCTCTGAGATACGTTTGTCAGTGCTCCATGATGAACCAACCGAACCGGCCAATCGAGTACAATTAACGGTCATCCCCGCGTCGTCCCGTCTGCGGGTTTAACTCGCGGTCTGGATCCGCCAGCAATGGCAAGACACCCGGCGGAAATGCCCTTGTCAAGGGTCAGGAGCATTTCCGACGGATAAATACAGCTATCTCTCGGACGGAAAAACTCCATCCGTCATGTCGCGCGCTCACCACCGAGGGGAAATCACTCACGTCACAAACGACGCGAAAGATAACCATCCCATCCGTGTTTTCGGAGCAAGGGCCAGCGGATCCAAATGGCGTCCAACGTCCAATCATTGCCAACGTCTACTGACGCCGAGAGCCCGCAGGTGTTGAAGAAGCGGAAAAGAAACATCGAGAGAGCGCGTGTTACTCGCGCGTGCGATAGGTGCAAAAAGTAACAACGTCCTTGGCGTCTATGCAGTCTGGATTGATGTGCTAACATGAGGTCTTTCAACCTAGACGGAAGATCAAATGCAATGGCGCTCAGCCGTGTGAGTTTTGTATCCGGGCCAAGGCGAGTTGTACATTCGATTCGGCCTATGCGAGAGGCCGGGTGCCTGCTATTCTCCCAGCCTCTGATGTTGACAGTGGAAGCAATTCAATACTAGTGGATGATGCTTTGACTCAGGCAACGCAACATCCTCTAAGATTACAGAGCCACCATGTCTCATCAAGCTATCTTGTTCCCTTGCCCTCAGCATCCGCGGCGCCCTCATCGCAAAGCTCACCAGAGCCTGTTCAGACTGATCTGCAAGGACATTACATCGGGCCCGCGTCAGGAGTCTCCTTTCTGCTCCGGGTTCAGAAGCGCTTACACCAAGCCATCTCATTCCACGATGCTAGCACCATCTTTACTTTTGGCGATGCCCCTCTGCAACTTCCCGAGTTCGACCCGTCCTTTTGCATGATGCTCCCCAGGGATGACGCGCAGCGTTTGGTAGACCGGTACTTTGACTTTGCCATGCCGACGTACCGGTTCCTCCATCGACCAACAGTTCAGGAATGGTTTGAAGAGTTTTATGACACCCTTGGCATTATGCGCGATGCACAGAGTGCGCCAGCCAAGGTCGCATTACTGTTCATGGTGTTTGCTCAAGCAAGGGTGTATATGCCTGACAGTGACAGGCCGGGTCCGCCAGATCTTAGGTTAGCAATACATTCCTTCCAAAATCGCAGATACCTGGCTAAAATTAACATTAACAGTACTCGATACTTCCTTGCAGCTGAACATCAACTCACAAAGGAACGGGGCTCGATTCGCTTGACCAGCGTTCAAGCTCGTTTAACACAATGCTTCTACCTTCTCACTCAATCCCGCATCAACCATTGCTGGAGTTTATTCGGCACGATGTCACATTTAGCACTGGCCATTGGCCTGAATCGGAATAGACGTCCTGGCCGAAGAAGCGGATTAAGCGTGGTTGAAGCCCAATGTCGCCGGCGAACCTTTTGGTGTGCTTACACTCTAGACGCCTATCTCAGCGTTGCCTTGGGTAGACCGCGGTCATTTCATGATGACGATATTGACACGGAGCTTCCGGCATGTGTTGACGATGACCAGCTAACGGCGGAAAATATTGCCACGTCGCCTGACAATAGGAGCCCATCAACCATGCTTGCTCCAATTGCGCATATCAAGTGAGATGAACCCACTGAGCCCCATGGTAGTGACTGACGAAACAGAGTCGCTCGGATAATCAGCAAGATCGTGCGCGACCTCTACGCCATAAAGCCAATATCAGCAAGTCGCCGATCGGTACTCACTGAGCGCATCTCGAGAGACCTGAGTGACTGGCAAGTCGAGTTCGCTCGGTTTCTCGACAGCGAGTTTTTCAGCACATCACTCGTCCCTCCAATCTTTCAGCGGCAACAGAATGTCCTCAACCTCACCTACTGGCATGCTATCATCCTCACTCATCGGCCGTTTGTACTGACCAACTTTGCGCGACTTTCTCGCAAGGACGGGAACTCTGGCATTGAAGACGCCCAGACGGCGGAGAGTGTGCAGCAGTGCTTGATGGCTGCGATGAAGACGGTCAAGAAGATTAACGATATTACACAAACACGGCAAATGTTCCACGCGTTCTGGGTTAGTGCTTTGCAGGGTGATTGGCGTCGGGAGAAGACTGACGGTCTACAGATTGCAGCGTACTTCGCCTTCACCGCAACCATTGTGCTCTACATCTACGTGATCCAGAGCCGAGCATCCCCACCAGAGCTGTACAGCAGCTATTTCGCAGCCGCCACCAAATGCCAGTCCCACATCTCAGCCATGGCCGAGAAAGGATCACTCCCGGAGCGATATTGCCTTGTCTTGGAGGAATTGCGCGTCGAAGCCCTACGCCAGGCGAAACGCATGCACCCGACGATGACGAATTTGGGGGGGTTGGAAGATCTCGCATACGGAAATGGATTCCCACAGAGTACGGCGTCGATGCCCTTGGATGACACCCCTAGCGATATTGCCAACTACACGGATGTGCTGGGGGAGAATGTGATTGACTTCAACGGTATGCCAAGTTCTGCGTTTTCAGATTCCTCGGGCTGGGGACAGTTCGCTTCGATGGTCTCGTCGGGGCTGGGCAATCTAGATTTGTTCCTCAACGATGACACATTTACAATTTAATCACGACATGTGCGATGGCATTTGTTAACGTAGAACCTGATTAGCTTCTTTAAATTTACCTGTGAAGCCTTTTCGTCATACCCAGGCAAGGAGTGACTTTCACCTCGTACACACCCATAGCACTAACTAGCACTAATTGACATAGAGGAACCTCAGAATCACAGTCGCTGTGTGGTTGCAGCTATCTGACGTAGATCGTCGCAGCACCGGGAACCGACGGAGCTTCTACTCCTCTGTATTTTGGGTGGATGCAGATGTACCTCTCAACTATTCTCATCATTATTCGTTACATCCCGACAAGTGCCGACTTAGAGGTTTCACACAGCCAACCGGATGCAAGAATCCAGCTGGGTATGGCAGCAGATTTGATCATATCAGTAGCAAAGCCCGCGTCCTCCGTTCCACCGTGATTGGTCTGCCAACACGGAAAAGCGCCATCGCGATCCGTCATCCGACGGAAAAGCCATCGCGGAACTGCGTGGCGGAACACATGGCGGGGTTCATGTTAAACTGCGGGGATCCATCTATGATGGTAGAGGTAGAGCAGCATACGCACTGGTAGATGACTTGCCTGCTTCGTATATCAATCAATCCTCTCTATTACAGCTTGGCCTTCTTGTAGACCCTCCATTTCCTCCCTCGCCAAAGCTTCATCGCTCAAGCCCCAGGCCCTCCTCCTCCTCTCCCACTCAATCAAACCTCACCATGGCGTCAGCAATGGCCAAGCGCCTCCAAGGCAAGACTGTGCTCATCACCGGCGCCTCATCTGGCATCGGGCGATCCACTGCCTTCGAGTTTGCCCGCACAAGCCCGAATGATTTGAAGCTGGTGTTGACGGCGCGCCGCATCGACACTCTCAAGCAGATTGCGGCGGATATCACCAAGGAAGTCGGCCCTGGCGTCAAGGTACTGCCTATTCAGCTGGACGTTAGCAATCCTGCTGAGGTGCGCGCTTTCCCGGATTCATTGCCGGCTGAGTTCAAGGAAATCGATGTGCTGGTCAACAATGCGTAAGTTTTCACCCCATGGGTTCAATCGGAACAGTACAACAGAACAAGTGACTAACGAGCTATAAACTGCAGCGGCCTGGTCAAAGGCGTAGCCAAGGCACCTGAGATTGCCGAAGACGACATGAACGTCATGTTCGCCACCAACGTGACAGGACTGATCAACATGACACAAGCAATCCTCCCTGGAATGTTGAAGCGTGGCAACGGCGATGGTGCCGGCGACATCATCAACATCGGGTCCATCGCAGGTCGTGAGCCCTACGTCGGTGGGAGCATATACTGCGCCACCAAGGCGGCCGTCCGGTCTTTCACCGACAGCCTGCGAAAGGAGCTGATTGCGAAGAGAATCCGAGTCATCTGCGTCGACCCTGGCCAAGTTGAGACTGAGTTCTCCGTGGTTCGATTTGGTGGTGATAAGGCCAAGGCTGATGCTGTCTATGCGTGCGTACTCTACCTGGCTATCACGCCGTTCGTCCTGGACAAATTGCTAATCTTGTTACAGGGGCTGTGAGCCATTGACGCCTGATGATATTGCTGAGGCGGTCGTATTCACTGCTGGCAGGAGGGAGAACGTCGTCATTGCTGATACTCTCATTTTCCCCAACCACCAAGCCGCTGCCACCATCATGCACAAGAAGTCCGCATAGAAAGCACGACAAAGAAGGTGCACGTCAGTCAAAAGCTCAGGTCGTCACGCTACACAACCTCATGAGGCCATCTATACAGTCTAGTCACGAATAGGAATCGCAGACTGGATCTCTTGCGCAGCGCGAGTCAAAAGATGTTTCTGTTCTGCGGGGGAAACAGGAGACCTGAGACTGAAAAGGGGCAGGGCGATAGATTGAATGTTATTTGGGCTTGAATAGAGCTGATGATCGAGGAATGGGCAATAATAATAAAACCGATTAAATGATTGTGTTCGTTGTTTGACACACGAACTCACCATCCCGAAATGGATTTCCACACCAAAGATCCTTAACCTGATCCTGAGCGCCCCAATCCACAACCCCCTCACTACACAGGCGCTACAGCACCTGTAATCTTCCGTAGTATAGTGGTCAGTATGCAAGCTTGTCACGCTTGAGACCCGGGTTCAATTCCCGGCGGGAGAGATCCAGCCACAGGTGTTACACCTGGTCATCTTTTTTCCATGTTGGAGAAAATATTTATATTTTTGTCCGGTGATATTCATCGAAATGGTCTTCGTTATATAGGTCCTATTTGCGACAGCTGTCTCCTAAGTTTCGGGATATTGAAATGACACGGCTAATTAAAAGATGAGGATGATTGTACAGAAGTGGCCTAGTCCAGCATTTAGAATATGCTGCTGGTTCTTTAAATGACTGTCCCCCATATTATTCCCTGGCCGCTCCCTTCCAGACTTGAACCTGTGCGGAATGTGGTTTCCTATCGCGCAGAGCGCGCCGGGAATCATTCCGTCGACAGCGTCAGCAATGGTGGGTCGGTGTCTCCGGAATATGCTAGCACCGTGACCAGCCTGCGGGATGGAGGCAATAATAGCGGAAAGCAGATCCCGCGAAATCCTTGTCTTTGCCGGCTTATTGCTGGTAATAACGGTCGGTGCTGCTGTTTATCAATAGCGTGGGGAATGAGAACTAACTCGAAAATTGATTTATATACTCAATGCCGAGCTACTACTTGATAAAGTACATCTACCTTAGGTTACTTTGACATTATCCAACATGGCTCCCTCCGTTACTTCTCTGTTGGCCGAAAGCAACACTATCATCCCCATCAAGACCAAAGCCAGCGTCGTGAATGACGACGTGGGCATATTTCTAGAGACAAACGCGGTTCAACCAACGGAAACTGTGTGCCAAGTGGAAGAAATGCCCTATCTGGAGAACACACCCGCCACCTCTGAAGACAACGACGACACAGTTGACCATGGCAAGAATGGATTCCAGTCGCCAGACATTGTCGACGAATTCGGCACCAATGCTGTCTCGACGCTACAAGAAATGCCCGGTGCATGCGTACCCTCGACACAGAAAGCCGTCGTGACCCCAGAGATGGGCGAGCAGCTCAATCTTCACCTCCGCACCGTTGCCGTCCGAGATCCATCCCCAGGCGAAGCTGTCGTCCGGATCCTATATAGCGGCATCTGTCGCAGTGTACGTGAACCTGTTGCGCCCTTCTATCCAAAACTGCCCTTCCCCGTCTAACATGTAATTAGGACGCTTGCTTCTCCGTCGGCCCTGAACCCGGCTTCCCTGAGCACAACCACATTGCCGGTCACGAAGGCCTCGGCCATATCGTCAAGGCCCACGATCCATCCCTCCTAGGCCGGCCAGTTGCCATCCGCTACCTGGGTACATCTTGCCAGACATGCACCTACTGCCTCCGCGGGCTCTTCACGTCGTGCCCGTTTCAACTGAACGCGCCCAAACATATCGCTGGCACATTTCAACAATATGCCACCGTCCCTACCTCATGCCTGATACCCTTGCCTAAATCAGTGCTTTCTGGGAGCGTCAACCCGGCTCTGTACGCTGCTGCGCTGTGTTCAGGGTCCACGGCATTAGTTGCGTTGCAAGCTGCAGAGATAAGCCCGGGCGATGTCGTGATGGTTGTCGGTGTTGCTGGTGCAATTGGCCATCTGACTGGCGCAATCGCGAAACAGGTCAAGGGGGCTAAGGTCATCGGCATCGACTTGGGATGGAAGATCGACAAGCTTCAGGCCAGATCAGAAGAGTTTGCCGACATCTTCTTGCACGCACCTACGGCTGACGATGGCGAAGCCTGGAGTGCATTTAAAGCCGAGTTACTGGGAGCCTGTTCACAACTGAGGGGCAGAAATGGCCTCACACGCGCTGCTGAGGCAGTTGTAGTCACTAGCAGTTCCATCGCTGCTTTTAAACGCCTAGATGAGTATGTCTGTGATGGCGGGAGGATCGTCTGCGTGGGGTAAGATTTCCCTTTGTTTCTTTTCTTCTCTCGACGTTGAAACTTGCTAACTTACCTCTTTGTTCCCAGTGTTCCCCAAGGACGGAATTCGGTTTCCGTGGATTTGAACGCCCTTATCGAGCGAAATCTGAAACTATCCGGCAATCTCATGGGTGGACATCGCGGGGCGGCGGAGGTCATGCACTATATTACGTCTGGGCAAATCAAGCCCCATATCACCGAAGTAGCTCTGGAAGATGTGCCCGAGCAGATGCATAATCTTGTAGATTGTAAAACCATGGGAAAGGTTGTTGTACGGGTCAACGAACCACTTCTAGCAGTTTAATAGTCCACACCAGCCGGTTCTTGATTCCAATCGCGCTCTTAATCTAGAATTTGTATCAGTTCCAGAAATCCTGCGTGTCGAAGTTCATATAGTCCTCCGGCAACGACTCAAGATTGGGGGCAAGACCTGACCAGAAAGGCATGTCGAAGTCGAGCATTAGCTCGTCCTGCTGCAGCTCCGTACCGAGGGTGAACAGACCGGCGTCCTGTTGAAGATGCTGACTCGTGTCTTCGGGGTTGTACAGTATGTTTGTCGCAGAGGTTAATCGTGCTTCGTCTTGGTGTCCATCGGTCTGAGCCTGTTGCGTGGCAATCACCGAGTCAGACGCTGAACTCTGTCGATTCCCAATCATCCGTACGAGGTTGCGCCAATATCGTCGCGGGGGCGTCCACGAGTCGGATAGCTCCTGTAGAGTCTTGATGCAGGAGTCGACACAGTCCATTTCTGGTCCTGTGGTTTTTCCGTCCTCTCGATTGTATCCATGCAGCATAACAAGTGCGGCAGAGAGAGTGCAGTGAGTGGCCGTGAGTGGACTTTTCCGGAAACTGCCAAAGTTCTCACGATACATGTCGCCAATGACGCAAATCTCTTTTGCCGCTTCAGTGCACAGAATTGCCGCCTTTTGTGATAATCCCTCGCATGTAAAATCATCCTGCTGTTGCGCGACCTCGGCACCAGCTTTGTGGCGTCCGGCAAGAAATGGCTTTGCAAGGAGAATGACGGATGTGTGATAGACCATGTTCAGAACATATGCGTGTGGGAATGTGTTTAATTCACCACTCCGCTTGACTTTCAATTCCGTGGGTAGTTCATAGAACCAGCTTTTTAGGCTGAGCAAGTACGAGTCGAAAAGGCTCTGCAATTGGACTCTCTGAGGCAAACGTTTGAGGGGGTATCTAAGATGTCGAGTTAGTTTCTGATGGGGTCAGAAACATGCAGGGTTTATTACAGGTTTCTGAGAATCTTCTCCAAGATTTGGCAGTGGGTGGTGAGGGCCCGGTGCAGATGCATAATGCTTCCGCTGTCGAAGGAGGTTGTGCTGAGCTGGGGATCGAGATCTATGACTGGGTCGGGTACAGATGGTAGGCTCACCATTCCTTGGGAATCCTGAATAATTAAGTAAATGACTCAAAATAAAAACTCCAAAGGCTTCACGAATCAAAGCCGCTTTGGGAATTCCCTTACCAACATGGTGCACACTCGGCCTGTATAGCTAGCCCAAAGCTTATCAGTACAGTAGAGAGTCCAATAGATTTGTCGTCGGAGGTTTACATCCTGAGGATGTATGCGGCTTGACCCAGCCAAAACTGAAGAGTCCAGGTTCAGTCCCATGTCCAAGGCCAGCCGAGTAGCCATTCCGTGATGCAGCCAACCGGCGGCATCTGACCCAATAGCCTGTTAAGTTAGAATGATGTAACGACAAAATGGGATATCTTGATCTTACCACATAATGGATAGCCATGATTTCCAGGGACTGGATAGTCGTAATACTAGGCCACTTGAGGTCGAAATGAAGTAGCACCTCGGCTGTATCAAGAAAGATGCGACCGGCCGTGTTTGGATCATCTGGATCAGACCGCACTTCAAGCCTGTCGCAATAACGGGATGCGATAGCAAGGATGCAATTCAAGAGCAGTGGGCTAAAGTACCGTCCATTCGTTTGCTTGCTCTGCCGGAAGAGACTCTCGTCGACTACTTGACACCAAGGCTGCTCCCACTTGAAGTAAAGATCAATAAGATGAGTCATGAGCTCTTCTGAAATATCACTCTCTGCGTCGAGCGCTTGTGAGTACAAGTTCAAGCGTTGGGAGTTTTCAGCCAGCGACGAGTAATCCTCGCTCTCGACAGCTGGACATGTGCATCAGTTTCTCCGCCATTATGATCGTAAAGATACAAAGGGAACGCAACTTACTTTGTGGAGACTGAAATTCAAGACGTCCACTGGTCGTGCCAAAGTACCGTGCCTCACCATCGCGGTCGAAGTTGGATGACTCGTCAAAGCACAGAGCGCCTTCAAAATCGGTGCATAGTTGATCAAATGTGGATGATGATGCCCCAGCGGCAGCGGATGCGTCAGTGACCGGCAAGGCATTCATGGCCATTAACTGAGCAATCGACTCATCGGCATCAATCGAGTGCAGCCGTAGAACCTGTTCTAGGACATTGATCCGAGCCTGGAGGAGGTGAACGTATGACTTGGGGGCGGTTCCTCGATTATCGCCCTCAGTGGCGTACACGCAGTTGATATCACGACCCAGACATCGCGAACATGCCGGCCGGGCTCCATCACACTACACCGACGACATGGTTAACATGTGCAGGTATCCTAGTGAAAGAGATCATCATCATGATCCGTACCTTTGCCCGCCGTCGACGGCATTCCTGGCACGCACGCCAGGCGTACTTGCTCCGTGTCGCCGATGCCTTCGACGAGAGACCTCGCCCTCTGGTCTCTGATGGGGACTCCATGACGCTCTACGACTGTCGCTTGGCGGCTGCTGGGTAATGAACGAAGCAGATACGTGAAGGTGACGACTTCCAGAGTGGAGTGAGAGCTTCTCCGCAGGCGATGTCCCGGTGATTGGCTGCCGGGCATGACACGTCCACAGTACGAGAATAATATCGAGACACAAGAGAAATGATAATTTAATACTGTACGAGCCACAGAGATGGCGAAACCTACGTAGTATGGCATGGATAAGTGGACCCTCGAGGAAGAGGAATTCAGATTCCGCTTGGGAAAAGTCGCTCATTTGTCAGCTGTCGTGTGTGAGTCAAGAACCTCATCACCATCGCTCTTCAATTGTGTTGAATGAGTCGAGTAACGAAGTATTTAATCCAGACATTGCTGTGAATTGGGGAATTCTGATCATCTCTTCATCCCAACTTCAAACACAGATCCACCAGCCTCAGTCCCAACACCAGAGCCGGAAACATGTCTCATCTGAAATACTACGCCTACGAGGGTCAGGGAGTTGAGAAGTTGCAGAAGTTCTCCTACAGCCAAGCAGTACGCCTCGGTGATCGTATTGAGTGCTCGGGTCAAGGTAAGCAGCATACATGCCTCCATTTTCCCCTCTCGCATTTAACAAAAAACTTAGGCGGCTGGCATCCCATCACCGGCGAGTTCGAAAAGGAAATCAATGCACAGATCGATCTCGCATTCGCCAATGTTGAGCGTAATCTGAAGGACGCCGGCGGCAAAGGATGGTCGCAAGTGTACAGCGTCAAATCGTATCACGTCCCCATCAACAACGAGGCTTTGGCCGCCATGGTTCGCAACTTCAGGGCATATATGCCAGACCATCAACCAATCTGGACTTGTATTGGTGTTCCTCGACTGGGCGAAGACGACATGCGCGTTGAGATTGATGTGGTTGCGCATGATCCCGAAGGGGCTAAGGTCGCAGGTAGCGCATAAGTTAGATGTAGAATATGAATCACAAATCAATCATACAACAAATTTCATCTTATATCATATCGTCAAAGTAGTCCCTTTCCGCATTTTCGGCTTCACGAAAATTGCACTCCACTCAGCTCGTCCAAGCTAACATCGTGGGGGGCTACCCTGGAGCTACCACACCGAGTCGAGGACGAGAGAAGAAATGATCAACCTCCTTTCGGATGTGCACGGTATTGATGCATGATAGGATTAGACTTGGGCAAAGTTGCGCGTGGAATATGCGTTTGAGATGGATCCTTCCCTAGTTTTGCCCTCACGATTGGTGAAAGACTGGTGTTGGTGTTTTGACCGCTCACCGCAAGTGACAACCTCGAATGATGATGAACCCGGGACCGTTGATTTGTCTACAGACTGATAAAATTTGCTCATGGACGTACTCATAACCCACAACTTCACGATTCATGGTTTTTCGTAAAGAATTTCTTGCAATCTTACTCGTCATCTTCTATCATCAATCTCGAATAAATTATATCTGCCTTCTGGAACTATTCGAGATAAATTTGGTGCAAAAAATCCCATTCTCAACCCTCTCCTCGCTCGATTTATGTTGGGCGATGTTTTATTTGTTTCGCTGGCGAATCGCAAAGTGCTCCTTCCAAGACAACACCGTCTGTCTATTGTCGTCTCTGTCGTGACTGGCATGTGGAAGCGTTCAAACTGCGAAATTACACTCACAAGTGTTGAGATCGTGAACATTGTGCATGAGCAAAGATACGCCAGTTTATTATCAATTAGCAAGGGGCGTAGCATCAGGTCAGCGCTAATCCCCTCCATCGTTAGGTATAAATATCCAGAGGCTCTCAGTTGGCTCTAAATTTTAACCTCGTTTCTGCGCGTTCTCGCCGTAAAACCGCCACAGTAGCAGAAACCGAACGAGGAAAATTGTCAAAACATTACTAGGCCAGCACCTAAATCTCCTCTCTACATCCCTCTAATACAATGAGCCAGCAACGGATCACTCTGTTCTTCGCCATCGAGTCGCGCAGGAAAAAGACTCCTCCACGCCGTGGCCAATTCCTTGCTCTTCCACCGAGCATAGTCACTGGTTACCTCATCACTTGTGGCGAGAGCTGGATGGATTTCGTCGGCTCCTGTTCTGTTTGAGGGCAGCCGACAGCTGGTATGCTTTTATTCCAAGAGCCACTTGGCCTTCAACTTTCGCTGCAAAAACTGCAAGTCTCTTGGATTCCCTCGCGCCTTTTTCCTCGTCAGTTGCGGCTTTCGGGATCTGGCTACTAAGGTCTTCTATGGGAAGAACGTATTTGCGGTATCAATTGTAGATGATACGTCTCCATGCTATTGCCCATCGGCAATAATAAATCGTTCCATTTCGATTGTACCTAATCTTACCCGGTTCCCAAACGGTGCTATTCAATTCCTCGCCTTACTGATATTCTCCTTCGAAGTGTGCGCGCTCCATCATATGCGGTCAAGTCGACTAGAGTGGAAGCATTGGTTGGATACGATTGAGCTACTGTCCAAGGAAGCCAACCTAGCCGTGCTTAGTCTCCAATTTCAGCTGAGAGAAAGTTGGTACTGCACAGCCTTTAATCTACAAATAGTATTCGAGGCTAGTTGGTGGGAACGCATGAGCGAGACATACCACGGGTTAGTACGGCCAATGGCTTATCTCAAATAGCTCCAGGACCTTTTTGTTCATATAAATCGGAGCTCAGGTTTCTGTGTGCTGGACCAGAGCGCAACGAATTGGTCGCAAGAGTTAGAGTACAGACTTGAGAGGATCGTTATGGGCCAGAAGTATGACGCTTGGAAACGTGGGAAGACTGTGGATACGGAATTGTGAACTCGTGTGTGATTCCCTTTTGTTTGGTTGGTATTGCTATGTAGTTTTAAAACATAGTAGGAATAAATCGTAAATGTACAGACTTGACACTGCACCTAAATACTTGAAGATTTGATATAGAAGCGAGTAGGATTGCATCATTAAACTTGCTTGAAATGATTCAGCCTTCTATTTTCATTCTTACTGCCCAAGAAATAAACATATTGTATGACATCAACAATTGTAGCCAAAGGAGACGTGGTAAATCCAGCGTTTCACATAATCCATTCTGCCTTCATTCTCATACTATACTAGTTTCTCGACTTTCTAACGTTCATCCACTTGTTGACAAAAGCATCCATCCCAAATAGCCATTTCTTCCATGCTTGACCTTCTCCCGTTGCCAGCATTCGCCTCATTTTTCCGTCAGATCGCTGAGACTCGTCTTTTTGCTCAGTCTTTACTATCTCTGTGCTGTTTAGTCCCCAGACCTTCCAGTGATTGTGAGACGTCTCCCATGGCACAAGGCCATAAGCAAACTCAATCCAGGCGGAAGCGAGGTTCTTCGCCATTACTTGCTCGTTCTTACAGTATGAACTGTTACAACATTCTTAGGAGACTTTCCGTCAGTATAATCTCAGTAGAGCGCAATTGCAAGCTCAAACGGCAACCGATCAGATGGACGTTTTTGTAAAACCATGCTGCTTCAGTGCTTCAGCGCTTTCGCTCTGGATATAATACATGATATCGGTGTTTAGGGTAAGCCTATGGACAGAAGTGGAGGGCTTTTGCTGTGGCGGAGGCGGTGTGGCTGATGAACAGTGCACTGTGTACTTAAGGAGAATCCACTGTAACCCACCTGTGGCTTGCATAATTAGTCATTGTTCAGACGCCTCCTCAGTAGAATCCACTCTGGAAGAAGGCGCATCTGCGGCTTGCACAACGCGAATACGAATACGCACACGCCCCCGGCAAGCCCGGATATTATTACCTGTGAGGTTCCGGTACCTCAGTCCTACCTGGGTACTTTGTACACTGGTCGACAGCATGCTGCTAACTCGACAGCCATAAATTTATTAGAGGCAGTCTGGAAGACATGTCAGGATACCACGTCCAGGAGGCCGAATCACACATCTGACCACTGTTATCGCGTAGATATGTATGTGGCTTCAAAGTCACTTGTACCTGTATTGTGAGCTTTGGCCCTCATTTACCTGCCCAGAATCCGAAACAAGGATGGGAGGCTGGAACGGATAACGGGATGAGGACAGATGATAAGGGGATGAAACGGATGATAAGGGACGGATGATAAGGGACGGATGATAAGGGACGGATGATAAGGGACGGATGATAAGGGACGGATGATAAGGGACGGATAAGGAACGGACAACAACGGAAACGGCCAGCTTACGAGGACATCTACTTGGAGAGCAAACACGACTGTGGTGATGGTGGCATTAACCGCCATAGACACATTGACTGCTCTGACGGTCTTTTATGCAACATGACTAACAACATACTCTAAACCTTACAGTATCCCTTTTCCACTCGGCTCAAAAAGGCTTCGACAATAGACAACATGGTTCTCGCCTGCGACGCCACGTCGTCCTCGTCCCGGCGCGCACGATTGCCTCGCAGCGTGGTCAAGTCCTTCTTCATTTCCTTCCTGTCCTTGTGCGCTGCCTTCCGTCGCGCCTCTTCTTTGTTAATTGTGTGCCGAGCGGTGGAGCAGATAATCGAAAAGGCCCCTTGTACCCCCCTGGCCTTGTCCGCCAGCGGCACAATGCGCCTGTTGAACTGGTCCTGCGCGCCGGCTAACCATCCGTACAGCACGAGATTGTCGTCCTCTTGGTCGACATCTAGATTTCTCTGGGGCTTGTCGATGATGGAGAGAACTCGTGTCACCTTGGGCCAGTTGACCGTTATGGCCCAGCATGCCCCCTCTGCTAAGTCTTGGAACAGCGTTACAAACGGAGTGGATTCTTCCATGGTTCCCGAATCATCTGGGAGGATGAGAGACCGATGATCAACCGCCCTCTGTAGGAAGTCAATGACGTCTTGCCTGAAACGACGAACTCTCCCCCGAGGAGTGTTTGAGGGCGGCGTAGCCCACGGCCACCACCGATACAAGGCAGACCAGTCGGACGGGGCGCTGTTCTGGCCTCCATTTGCCTGAGACGTGATGAGGCGCTGAAGACCCATCCGAAGGCACTCGGCTTCCTCCGTTTGCTGCCCGAGTTGTTCATCCCACTCGGCTTCAGGGCCTGAGTTGAGCGAGGCCAGACCCTTTCCCATGGCCTGTCTGTCTTGACGGAACGGAGCTCTGTGGACGCCAGCCACCTCGCTAATCTCGTCGTAGTCCTTGGAAACCTGCAAGAAGAGTTCCGACAGCTCGCTCGGTCTCTCCACCAGCTTGGTGGGTGTGGCAACGAGAAAGGGGGTGTAGGGCTCTTCGGTGTACGGCTTGGCTGTCGTGGTTGCTTCTCGGTCGCGTCCTGTTGCCTCGTACCAAAAGACGGCAGAGGTCCAAATGCCAACAAGGAAATCTTTGCCCCACTGAAAAGGGGACATGATCCAGTTGAACCAGCCGATGACTCCATACGTAGCCAGGACCACGACCAAGAAGATGAGGAAGCCAACGGCGAGACTCGAGGTGCCGAGGCTGGTAAATGAAGGGTAGGATCGGGTATTCGATGGCGTTTCTCCTCCGTGGTAGTTGTTATTCGTGTTCTTGGTCGTCGAGCTGTTGTTTGTCGTTGTGCTTGTGGTGCGATTGTCGTTGTACTGGAGGACGGTTGAGGCTGCCCCAGGTGGAACTGTACCGGGCGGGACCATGGCAGGCTCAACAGTTGTGAGGACATCCGAATTGACAGGCATCTCCTTGTTCTGGACAACGGAAAGCGCCCAAGAGATGTCCTTGATGCCTGCATCGTCTGCGGTCGAGGTGTTGGAGACGAAGGCTTTGGTAGAAGCAATATCCACCTGCTTGGGAGCAGTGCCGAGAGCTCTGGGCTTGGCGGCAGAGGAAGTGTCGTGTTGGGCAGAGGAAGTGTCGTGTTGGGCAGATGAGGTATGGGATCGAGAAGTACCGGTCTGGAGAGATTCCGTCTTGTTACCATCCCGAGTTGTTTTGTCTAGGGTATTGGGTTTGGTGACAGAGGTCGCGGTAGAGACGGAGGGAGGCTGAGCTGTGGTGATGCTCACGACAGGAACCGGCTTCGGAGTACGTGTCTTCGGTGGCTTGACAGAGCTGCTGGGTGCATGGCTGGTGCTAGTTGAAGCAGAGGACGCAGAAGGTTGAGCTGGAGTGGTAACCGATAGAGGAGGAGGTCTCTGTCGCCCCGTCTTTGGCAGTCGGATCGAGTTGTTGGCGAGGCCATCGGATGCTTCTTGGGGACGAGACGCACGACTTCTCTTTTCGTACAGTTCAAGAGTTCGGTACACCTCAGCCATGTCCATTCTGCCAGCAGCCGTGTCAGATCTCTGGGAATCATCCCGTTGAGCAACATGGTCTGAAGGTTCCATGGTAGAGCAAAGGTAGTGGAGAAGAATAGAGGAGCAAATGTGAAGAAGAATAACGAGATTGAACTGGCGGCTGTGGAAGTGTCGACGAGTGAAGCCTGAAGGATGCAGCACCACCCCACTACAAAGTACCCTCTCTGGAACAAACTGCGCCTAGACAAAGTCTTTACCTCATGTAACGTTGCCAACCGTGTCAACGGAAGGGAGGGGGCCGCCCAGTTGCCGACGGGCTCGGGTAGGTGTGTATCAGGTTCCCGTTAGTAAGGAGGGCAAATGAAGTACGGGAACAATACTACCATGGTTGCCTGATGGATGGCTCCCGGATGAATGGCTCCCTGATGAATGGCTCACCTAAACTGACGACCGCCACAAGTTGAACTAGACTGGGGTCATGGGAAAGCCAAGGGAGCTAGCTGAAAGGCGTTTCTCATTTCATTTCACAACGCCATCCGGGAGAACCGCAAGCAGAGGGACATGATCACTTGAGCATGGGATTTCTTTCTCCTGACACCAAAATTGCTCGTTGTTCCCTTTTCCACCTTTTCAGTCGCTGTATTCGCTCCAAGAGCCCACCCCTCTGTGGCTTCAACGTGGAAGAAACCAACCTCGACGTGGGATCGGGAATCTGTTTCATGTTCAATTTTTCTCTCCTCCTGTTACTGAAATTATGGCTCCCGTCAGACGCAACCCCAAGCGCGTGAAACCGTCGATGCGCGTGGAACCTGGCACCAAGTCTGTGGAACCAGTCATCCAGTCGGTCGAAGAGGTCGACGTGCTGGTTCGGTACGACAACAATCCCGTTTATCACGAAAAACCAAGTCGCACACGCACACTCGGAGCAAGCACCAAGCCGTTGGGTGAAATAAACAAGCCAAGCCGCGGCATCAGATGGCTTTTGTTCTGCATCATCCCAACTGCCTTTGTGTTGGCTGCGTTGGCGATGTTCAAAGTACACACGTCCGTGTCCAGGTCCAGGTCCATGTCGCCGTCTTACATTCCCCCAGGCATGTGGTCTATTTCGATTCTCGCCGTCATTCAAAGACTACATGAACTGTTTTGTCCGACTAACATGTTGCCAGCCTCTCTGACAGAAGCCCGAACCGAACGAATCTGCGACCTCTACCGGCGACTCTCTGCGCTCAACTCAGCCGTGGAACCGCCGACGCTGCTCGAGTTCCTCGGGCTCGACGAGACGATGGAAGAGTTCCAAGCCGGATCCAACAGCTTCTTCCCTACGGGCGAGGGAGCCTATGATACTGCCCGGGCGAAGATCGAGGAGGCTGGTCTACATCAGAGTTGGATTGCGACCCAGCGCAACGGCCCTGAATCGGCAGAATTCTACCTGGTGCTGGAGACGATAGGGCTGTTGATTGATCCGATGATGCGAGCCCATTACATCAAGACGGTGATGCCTCAGATCAGCGGCCAGGGCCTCTTGCCTACGTCTCGCCGCGCACAGTTGGAGGCGCTCTGCAAGGCATGGCGGTGAGGAGTCAATTTTTGTTTCAAGGGGGTCAGATACATCTACTGGTCCTTTTACCGTTTCAAATTACAAGTGAGCAGTGTCGCTTGAAACTTGGTGTTGTCATCAAGACTTCCTAGGTGAACAGGGCCAAGTTTGTTATTCGTGGGTGGGTGTGACTTGACAGCGGCCAAGTTGGGGCACTGCCATGTCTCGTCTTGAGGGATGAGTGGTTTCCCCCCCCTCTTGGATTTATTAGGACTAGTGAACAATTTATTTTCTTTATTATTTTGGGGCGTGTGACACCATCATTGCAAATTGTGGCTGTTTGAGAGGCAGGCTGAACGCTGGGACCCACGGGTGACGCCGGGGCAACGACGGGAACAAAGAAAAGACAATCCAAAAAAGATGAGAGATGAAGAGAAGAGAAGAGGAGAGAATTTTAGGCTTGGCCACTGCTTCTTGGATGGCAGAAACGTGACATTTGGTGTTGCTTTGGTGTTGCTTTGGTCTCCCCTGGGTGAAACTTGTCGGTCTTTTACCATCTCCGTCTTCTCCCTTTACTCTGGCCCAGTCAGATTTGGTCGAATTATTCACCATCCCCCCCGTTTTCTCTCAAGTTATTCACTATTCCTCCCCACAAGCTATGCCACCGAGACTTCGAAGCGACATGGAATCAACCCGTCAGCGGGAGGGCCGCCCTCTCGACCAAGGCGGCCATACTGAGTCGCCCCCAACAGCCTCTCGCCCAAGGGACACATCTCCCTTCGGTCCAACATCTTCCTCCGGTCCAACATCTTCCTCCAATCCAACATCTTCCTCCACTCCAACATCTTCCTCCAATCCAACATCTTCCTCCCGTGTGAGACACCGAGCCAAGGCAGCACAAAACACCACCGCGCAAGGGGGAAAGAAGGCAAAAGGGCAACAAAGGAAGAAACAAGACAACAACAGCACCTTTGCTCAACTCGACCTATCTGTCCGCTTACACGACAAGCCAACAGACCTCAATGCCCAAGACGATGGCATCTTACCCCTCCGCTTCTACTTCGACTACAGCCGTCCTCTCCATCCGGCGCCGCTGCACATCACATTTCCCAAGGACGGGTCCGTGGTTTCTTCGGAGCGAGATCCACGCGACGACGGCCGTCGGATTCGATTCACCCAAATCTGTACCGACGCCATCGACTTGCGGCCGGAAGCCGTCTCGGCTCCTTCAGAATCGGAGGCGTACTGGAATATTACCGTCCCGATGTTGGTATTTTTGGTCGGCGTTGGCATGTTCTTCTTGGTTCTCCTTACCTGGGCCGACTACCTCGCCAATGGCCAGCTCGTCGTCGTCACTATGAATGCGTTGGGACTCGCTCGATATAGCACGGCATCTGGCTGGAACTGGGAGGACTATCTGTCGGACGAATACTCCAGCCTCGATTCGCAAGCTCAGTCTCTCTTTTTCGACGGCGCTCGCATCCTCAACGACTACGGGAATATCGCCCACGTCATGCTTCTACAGCCTGCTGCTAGTCTCGACGACGACGACGACGAGAGCGTTCCAATGGACCTTCGCTACGAACGCCTCGACTACGAGGTGGCTGAACCGATGTTTGAAACGCTGCAGTTGGCGGCTGACGTGCTGGATTACATGAATTCGCGTCTTGGGTCCGAGGGCGACCCTCTCTCGGACGAAATCTTTTCGACGCACATCAGGTTTTCTCACGGCTACCAAGATTTCAAATTCGAGTACAAGCAAGTTCTGTATCAGGCCGGAGGCTGGCACGAGAGGGCCCTGTTCGATCTCGGGACTCTGGGTCACCTCATCGACCAGATATCAGAGTATGACGACTACCCGGCGTACAAGGTGATGAATGCCTTCGAAAATTCCATCGTCGACTCCAATAGGGAGGTTGGCATGCTAGAGCGTAGCGTTCGGGGCGCCTATATCCACGCCGGAAGGATCATCAAGAACCTCAACGCCATGGAAATGGCTACCAATGTCTCGATCCGGTTCGCTCGCGAGAAGCTCGGCGTTGACATTTCCCTCGATGAGCCTGGCCGGGATTTGGTAACAGCTCATGGCGAGGGTCAAGGAACCCACGACAAGGCGCTCATCCAGTTAGCCGAGCTCAGAGCCGAGGCGTGGCTGCAGCTACGAAGACATCATCACGAGTTTCAAGCCCTCGCCCAACAGACGCGCAGCCTGATGGACCGCACCCGCAGGCTGGCCTTTGACGTCGCAGTCAGGGCTCAAAAGGTTGGCAACTTGACGGACCTGCTGCAGCAGAGAAACAATATGGACTTCGACTGGGAGTTCGAGGTTGGACTGGCCGAGGACGACAGGACATGCGTAACCTCTCGCGTCTGCGTGCCTTCTCTCAACTCCTTCAAGCCCGTCATGGAACCCGTCAAACGACGCTTGGAGACGCAGCGTAATGAAACCCTCCAGCAGCTCGCGCTGATGGTTAAGCAGAGGAACCTATACTACACCCAACGACGAAAAGCTGACGAGAAGGAACGAGCGAGTCGGCCTCGGAAGACCGAGATATCCTCAGACGCTGACCCAGACGGGGTGGTTTGCCACGAAAAGCGCAAGGCGTGGGATGACGATCTCTCGCCCGTGCAATTCGAGTGCCTCAGCCGTCGGGAGTGGCACGAGCGAATACACAAGAATACGTTTGGCCACTGGGACGACGCGAGAAGGATCATGGACTTTGCCAAGGGCCTCTTCGGCATCCTGACCGAGGCTGATGGCATCGAGGGTGAGGGTGTGGCTGGTGAAGCTTCTGCTACTCCTGTGCTGGAACTGCCACCAAGTCCATAGACACCCGTCGGCTTTGTTAGCTTCTGTGGGCTAGAGCGTACAATTGATACTGGAATAAATGAATAACTCAATGCGTGAATGCTGGTCTACAACTTCTCTTCTGGCTTGTCTTCCCTGCCCCGAAGAAATCCACTTGCCAACGTACCAACTCAGAATAACGCCTGTCCTACCTCACCACCACGTCTACTCATTCCATCATCTATTTATAGCATCACAAGGGTATCTAACGTCTTCCATGGCCGGCAACCGTGGCCTCCGGGCTCGCCAGGTTCGCCGCTTCGAGCAACATCTACGAGGGACTTGCCCAGACCACAAATGTCTCGTCCACCTGACTCCCGAGCTGCTGGCCTTGGCCGACCTTCTCATCAGCCACTACGGCCACGGCGAACAAGACGAGGAAAAGTGGCTGCCGTCTCGGTCCAAAACGGCCAACGCAGTCTCGGGTACGATCCGAACCTTCCCGCAGTGGGCGGCTGAAGTCGAGGCGGCGCCACAACAAGATAAGAGAGTCGTGACAACCAGTCAGGGCATTGTAAATGGGCCGCCGGAGCCTGGTGAAGGTAGTGCATTGGACAGACCATCCCAAGAGAACCCACACTTTGCTAACATGACGCAGCAGCCTCCCCGACGCCTCCTCAGGGGGTTGCCCCTACTATGGCACAAGAGACTGCAGGCGAGGATGGACATGACGAAATAGTCCATGTTACTGCCGATCCCGTTGACGGTATTGCGTTGTCCACTTCACAGGCTCCCGCAGTGCCAGCTCTCTCTATGGGCTCCGTGCAGCTCGCCGACGCAGAGACAGGGGCAAACAAGACGGGTGCTGTTGTTAGACAGACCGGTCCGTATCCACCTGGTTATCTCAACCTTTTGGCCTTGAAGACGAAGGCAAAGCGTAGGGGGGGACAAGACGACTAGGGTGCAGGTATCGGGAGGAGTTGTGGCGCTGGTATTGTCTTGGATGAGAGCAGTCAACACCCCCGCAGACGGAATATGGAACGAGGTACCGGTAGACCGTGTCAATGAATAGAGACTACGCGAATGAATAGAAACCATGTCAATCAATACAGACCATGTCAATCAATAAAGCGGTATATCCACCGACCAAACACTCTTTTGGCCTGCCCTCGCCTTGCCACGTATGCCGACTACTGCAAATAGTGCGTGCGGGTTGGTGACACAACAGCTATCGCTGCAATTTGAACAGCCCAGGTAAGGTCCAGACTCCCAATCTAAATTGATCACGGGTTGTTGCCGCGGCTGCTCACTAATTCATGACTGCATGTTGCCTTCGTACCCGGGCGGCCGCTCCAAAAATACTCAAGTGTCTTCCAAGCCTCAAGCCTCAAGCCTCAAGCCCCTTGTGCCTCCTTACTATTGATTGACTCATCACGAGCTGTTACCTTGGTAGTTGGGCGGCCGCTCAAAAACCCTCAGTCATTGTCATGACAAGTCATATTGACTAGCCCAGCCACTGCTAGGCAGAATCCCAACTCTCAGCCCCTCAGGGATCGATCCTCTCCGCCGCTGCGGCTGTCTTTCTGCCAGCCGTCCAAGGTTACGTTACGTTACACCCCCCTTCATATTTCGCTCGCCGGAATTCGTAACGTACCTACCCAGTGACGGTATGTTGCTGTTCTAGATAAGACAGGCGGATGCTGCTTTCCGGATGAGACGAGCGGATGTTGCTGTTCTAGATAAGACAGGCGGATGCTGCTTTCCGGATGAGACGGGCGGATGCTGCTTTCTGGATGAGACAGGCGGATGGTGCATCCCCGTGGCAGATGCCGAGCTGATGGGCAGAAGAATCTACGGCATCAAGGCGTCATAGAATGACGTGGCATCCAGGAGGGGTTTAGGGTGCTTGTCTCTTGTGTAACTCTCATTACACGTTCCCAGATTGGCTGGCCATGGGAAGTACCCAAGTTTTATGCGTTGTGACACCAACATTCTGCATTCGGAGTGGGAATATAATCTCTATAAGGGACGTTAGTGTGACTGTTACCAGATATTATTCTAGATCCAGAGCACTAATATTTAAGGCATAATTAAAAAGTAAGCTATTTTTAAGTTATTTATAACTTAATATTAAGATTAAATACTGGTAACATACTTAATAAGCAAGTATCTCAAAAATCCCAACCCTTAAGATAGAAATCATAATAAAAATACCACAAACTATTTAATCAATTAAAACTAAGTTAGTCTTTTTAAGTTATGGAGAGTTTAGTACAGAGGGCTACAGCAGGCTTAGGAGTGGCTATAAGAGCTTGCTAAGCAGCTACAGGGGGCTTGCTACAGCAGCTACAGTGAGCTTGCTACAGCGGCTACAGTAGGCTTGCTACAGCGGCTACAGAGGGCTAGGCTTATCTGCACAACTAGCGATAAGAGGTACATCTGGTACGGTCGGCCGGGCATATTATGCAAGTCGGAAGTACCCCTAACGTCTCTGCGGATCAGGGCCTGAGGTACCTTGGTGGAACTGTTGATACCAGCAGTCGAAATGTTGGCATCGGGTGAGAAGTTATTGTTACCATGTAGAGGCTATCCATTCACTCAAGGTAAGCGAGTTGTTGGCATAAAGACCGAAAATACACAGCTTCACATCACACGATGCAAGAAGGGCTCATGCCATATCATTGCCAGAGACTAGAGTACTAAAGACATGTGTTCAACTCGAAGATGGCAGGTGACTATCGACTCGAGATGTGGCCAGAAGCGTACGCCGGCATGTTCTTGTTGCGTCGATGTCCACTTCGCGTCTCCTTGTCCGCTCCTACGGCTGCCGACTCCACGCCCGTATCCAAGTGCTTCCCTCTTCCTTGACCAGAGTCTACCTGCTCACCCCGCAAAAGAGCAATCCTGATCCGCAGGCGCATAGCCTCGGCCTCAAACGCGGCCGCCTTGGTGATAGAGCGGTTCCATCCCTGGAGGGCTTCGTCGTGCTGGGACTGAAGACGACTGAGCTGGGCTGCGGTTGTGTCGATGGGATTGACAGTGTCTTCACTTTCGGCACTGCTGGCTTCGTCGTCGTCGTCGTCGATGTAAGGATCGCGGTGAGGGTGCTTCGGAGCGGACATGTCGGCTGGAGCGGCGCCTAAAAGACAAAAGTGTCAGCATGGATCATTCTTGCCTTGGGTATCAAGAGACTCACTGTCTTCCGAACCCCATCTTCGCACGTCGAAGGGGATGCGTGGTGAGGGTGAGGGCGAGGGTACAGGACGCTCATATCTCGCGGCTGAATGCTGTTCAGAAGAAGGCGAGCCTTTTCCGCTGCTGTATCTTCCAGGCATCGAAGGTGGCATAGACCTACGTGCTGATCTGGAAGCAGAAGGAGAAGCCATACCTTGGTCTCGGGCCGCAGCAACTTGGGCCTGGAAATCGCGAAACGTCTGCGTCTTCTGAAAGGCCCCGTACGAGTCTTGATCCCGACCGCTCACCCATCGACTCTGAACCCGCTCTCCCATCGAAGGTGTCACACGAAGGTCGGATTCGATGGTCAAGTCGGTGCGGGTGGCGAATGAAGCTGCTGATGCTGGCCTCGATGAGATGGGCGCTGGATCTACGCGCGACCACAAGTCGAGGAGGCGACGAGCGTTTTCGTCTCTCAAGCCATCGTTGCCCTTGGTCCTAAATCGCCCGGAAAGATAGTAAAACTCTTCCCTTTCGGCTTCGGTGAGAGGATGGTGGGAGGGCGTTGTTGGACACATGAAGGGCGAGGAGAGGCGAAGAAGAGAGAGGGAGTCACGGTACGCTGTTGGGTTTGATGAGAGCAAGACAATCGGGGAGGCGTGAAAGTTGTGAGAAAGAGGGAAGAAGAGATGAAGAATTGCATCTCGCAAAATGGTCACAGTAAAACCGCTTTTGTTTCCGCCTCCCGTCTTCCCGTCTTGCCGTCTTGCCACGCGTTATATTGATGTCACCTTGCCTGCCTGTCTCTCTGCCTTCGGCTTTGAAGATGAAACGTTATAGATGAAGAGAGCGTGGGCACCCGTGTCTGTCACTCCGTGCCAATCACAACCTTGGCATACCCAGTGCGGGAAGCCGTCATGGTACAGCAAGAGTTATGCAAGCGTGAACAAGCATACATGATGTTGGGCCAAGTATTCTCCATCATCATGCCGCTTGGAAGGACAAAGAAGCTTTTCGTAGACAATGAAGCCGCAAAGAGTCATGGCCATTTGTGATGAGCAAACGACACTCCCCTTCTCTCTCTTTCTTTCTCTTTCCATCAACTAATTGGAGACTTCTTTCCCATGCCTCAATGCAACTCGATTGCATCTCAGCCCACAACCTATTGCCGTCGTTGTCCTTGCATTGCTCGTCGACCGACATTCGCATCCTCCGATCTCGCTTGAGGCCAGTGCTGCTCTCCTGGCCTCTACCCTTGGGGCAACCCCAATCAGCATGGCACCGAAGGCTCGGGATATTGCGCCCACCGTCGACGCAAGTCCAAAGCCCCCTACTCTTACACTACAGAAACACCACATCTAACTAATATACTGTTGTCCAGACATTTAACGGCAAGTCAGTCAAGGACGGCATCACGCAGATGATCACCTTTACCGTTCCACAGCAAAAACTTATGTGGGCACATATTGCTCGCCACGGCCTCGTCCCAGACACACGTTTGTCTCACATTGACGAGCTACAAAAGGCTATGGGGCTTGACGTGCTTGAGATGTCTGCCTGGCTCAGAGTGCTTCGCTCCGTGGATGACAGCCTCAAACGCAAGTGCGTGATGCTGAGTAAAGCCGGCGTGAGCCCGACGCTTGAGACGGTCGAGGGAGCCGCTATATGGAGATACGAGCCTTGGGTGCGCCGGTGGGCAGAGCCAGGGTGGAACGGCGATCGATTGAAGCCAAAAACACAAGGTGTGCAGGGGGGAGACGGGGGGACAGGGCAGGGGGATGAACTGGAACTGGACGAGCAGTCTGTTACTTCCCAGACATCTCCCAGGACCTTGGAGCATCAACAGTTTGTCAAAGACCAGGTTTCTTTCAGAGATGCCGAGTTCCCCATCGACAAGGAACCTGTTATAGATACAGCCACGCGAGATGGTGGTGGATGCAACATGGCAGACCGCACCCCAGAGCCGTCAAAAAACATCATGACGGGCTTCATCAGTCATTCTACCAACCATGAATCCAGAGCCAACAACTTTGCACCCCAGACTCCGCTCAATATGAGTTCTGGGGGTGTTGGCTATCCCCGCTTGAGGATGCCGACTGATTCCAGCAACCATGGTGTCCCGTTGGTAGACACCAGTTTCCCAAATGGCCCTCGGATCAACACATCTAATGCCGTCTCAACCTCCAGCGAGTCTCCGGACCCAATGGAGATCCATTCTTCCCAGAAAATGGCATCTCCCGCTGTGTCTTGGAGGGACTATACAAGAGCATACATGGCGTCGGGTGCCCTGTTCCATCCACAAGACGGCCTCTCTCGCCCACAAGCTCTCGAGCCAGCCGCCATCTCGCAATCTCGGCCAGAGGCCAGAAGCCATCAGCAGCTTCACATGGAACCTGAGATGAGGGAACGAACTCGATTTGCCAACCTAGCACGACCCGTGGCCGATACCAACGCTCGATCTACAGCGAGACGCTTGGAGGACTTGCTGCTGCAGCCAGGCACCAGGATCGAGCAGCAGATCCAAGGGATCAGCCCTTACCACGAGGCTCCAGCTCAGCGACCAGCCTGGATCGAACAGAGTGAGCGAGCCGAGGCACATGGAGAGGCACAGGGAGAGAAGCCGGCCGAACTGCCGACTCTTGAGCCAAAGACGGCCCGTCTCCAATCTCCATTCGAAGTCGAGGGAGGAGAGCAAGTCGGAGACATGGATGAAGCCCGACATGTTGACCTGGCTTGGGCCAACTACTACCTGCAGCCACCACCCCAGAGAAAGATGGACGAAACGAACAAGCTGAGAGACGAGGTGCTCCTGAACATGGATCGAAGCGAGGCTGCATCAAAGTCCAAGGTTGCTCGGGAGGAGGCTGAGGTGAGAGAAGGAGTGACACCGCACGAGGGCCATTTCAACGTCCCATCAGCAACCTCGAGCGACGCTTCTTCATCTCAAGAGGAATACCTTGCAGTGACAGACTGCGCTGAGGCTAGAGATACGACAGGTGACGGGGTGCCGACAACAAGTTGCCAGAGGACTTGCACATCTCAGCTTGGAGATGACCCAGCTGAAGCGGCGCCAACCAAAGGCCTAAAGATGGCCAGCAAGGGTCTGAGTTCATCTCACTTTACAACACAGCGAGCCACCTTTTTGAACCTTGGAAACGCTTCCAAGCATTCCGAGCCTCGAAGGGTTTCCAAGCATTCTGAGCTTCGAGAGGCTCCCAAGCATTCCGAGCCTTCAACCATAGCTCATCCTGAAGCAAGCCTGTCAACCCCAGCCCCGAAGACGCCAACGGGCTCCATGATGGACATGGCTTCCACCAAACAAAAGCCTGTAGCACCTCCCATGAGGCCCTCGACAAGGAACCACGGGAAACCGATGCTCTCTGTAGCTCCGGCAACGTCAAGCATGTCCCGGCTCGCGGTAACGAGCCCCTCCGTCGTCAACGTCCGAGGTAGCCCCCAGGCCGAAGTGGAATCTTTTCTCAAGTATGCTCTCCGCGCCAGAGACTTGACCATGCAGCTTTCGACGCTTGGTGGTGCTGGGGACGCGAGCGGTGAGTTGAAGGACCTCAGACGCCGCCATCAGCGGGCCTTAGAGAAGATGGTACAGGCCAAGGACAAAGTCAACACTTGGGTAGGAGAGGAGCTCGGCTGGGGAGCCCAGGCTGAGGGAATGGGTACGACGGCCTGGCTGCTTGGGTGGAGAGATCAGTGGTGAGGGATGGGGCCGTATTTATGTGATCTTGCGGCGAGTCAGGTCAAGAAGTCGCACAACCGTTTACGGTTATCGAGGATGGGCTGTACCTGCTACCCAACTGCAATCTCCTGTATTTGGGATACTTGATGGATCAAGTTCGATGACCGGAAGACCATACCGAGCCCCGTGATGACGTCTTACAGCATTTTCGGGGCAGCTTTTAGCATGTACTTTGGATTTGCTGGACCACGATAACTTGATTGCCGACGGCTTTAACTATTGCTCTCCAAAGGCCCAATTATCATGGTTGGGCCTTCAGTTCCCATAGTGCGTCATTGAATGAACCTTGCCCACTTGAAGCTACGGGGATAAAGGTTCAGCCAGGTTTATGAGCTGAAAGATCTTAAATCATAGCATAAGGAGTACAGTTCTTGAACCTGATATTTTACATACTAAGGCGTGAAGAAAAGTAAATGCGGCTACAGGAGCTACAGGTGAAGAACAGACCAAGCGTAAGTTTAAACCTTCTCTCCGCCATCCAATTTCTCACTCGCCACGGATGCCACCTTTTCGTTGGATCCAGACATCTCTACGGAGTGAAGAGTTCGCAGTTCCTTTTGCCAGGCCACTGATCTCCAGGCGGCCACTCGTCCCTCAAAGAGAAGATCAACCTATCAACGTCAGCATTGGTTTTCGATGAATGTAATGACGATGAAACAACCGTCGACGTAATGTATCAACTTACTTCAGATGTGGAGAGGCCAGCCAACTCCGGGACACACAGGTATGCCCAAATAATGGACAAGACACCCGCGCCGAACCAGATATATGCAACGTTGACCCCAAGATTACTAGCTGTCTCATCAACCATATACGGCGTAACGAAACCAACCATCCATGTCACGGTCCAGTACGAGGTCATGACTACCGCCGTCTGATAAACTCGCATTCGGTTCGAAAACGGCTCAGTCATCACGACCCATCCTAAACAAGTTAGCCTTGTGAGTAATGATCTGGGGATCTCGACAAGAACATACCTCCAATGCCCCAAGTCGGTGCATATGCCGCGATGAAAATAACGGCACCCACCACAAGCATGTTCTTATTAGTGTTGCTATTAGGGGCAACGGTGTGAATCACTCCTGTAAGAATTTGAGTCAATACCATGATAGCGCCTCCCCACAGCAAGGACTTTCTCCTTCCAAGGCGCTCAATCAGGTAAATGGATGGTGCCGTGAAGACACAGTTAACAATGGCCAGGATCAACGAAATCATGTAAGAATTGTTGACACCCGCAGCAATGAAGAATGTTGTCCCGTATCCGAACCAAAATGTGATGCCCGTAGCAATGGTAAAGAAGGACATGGCTATGCCGAGAAGGGTTCGTCGCAAGTTGGTTCCCTGGAAACATTCGAGGACACGCACGTTTCCATGGGAAGCTATTTCATCAACATATGCTTGCACCTCTTCCATAGCCTTGTCGACGTCTTGCGATTCGGGTTCGAGATTCTTCAGGATGCCAATTGCTTGCCGAGCTTCGACAAGTTTGTTGCGTTTCGTCAACACAAACGGTGATTCAGGGCATATTATGGCACCGAAAAAGATTGCTACCGCCAGGAACAACTGGAAACCAATCGTGACCCCTAAATCTCTTATTAGACGACGTGACATAACTGACAAGGAAAGCAAAACCTACGCCAACCTCGGGAATCGGCATATTTCGATGTGCCGTAACTGATACCACAAGCGATCACGTTTCCAGTGGTGAGGAATTGCAGATAGCAAGCCATGAGCATTCCTCGATTTGTCGGTGTGGAACACTCCATGAGGTAGGCCGGTACCTGTGATGAACGTTTAGCGGCAGATTTCAAGTGATGCAGTGAGCGCGAAGGGGAAACATACCGTGTTGGATATGAAGCCGAGAGCGCTGCCAAGTAGAATTCGACCAATTACAAAAGCTGCAGGTGGCAGTCCAATAGTCTGGAGTATAACACCTAGAGCATATGCAATTGAAGCCACAAAAAGACTGCCCTTACGACCAACTAGTCTCAATGTTAGACGAGCGGCTCGATACTCTCACAGCACCCATGAACTTACTCTTTTCAGTAACCAGTGGGTTGAGCAGGCATCCGATGACAGTTCCGACGACAAGAAGAGAAGAGAAGACGCTTCGAGTGTACGGTGTCAAATACATAGAGTCTCCACCATCATCGCTCACTCCGTAGCGACGTATGAAGTCTTCAGATCCAAGCACACCATTCAGGTATCCAGAGTCATACCCAATAGTAGTTGCTAGAATAATAAGTCAGTAAATCCCACGCGATGAATCAAAGGGGCACGCACCGGATGAGAATATCATCCCATAGACGAAGATCTGTCGAATAGATGGCATTGTGACCAGTTGGAATGAGAATTCCTGTGTATCTGAGTGGGAAAACTACTTGACTGTGATGTGTGCGAGGGATTTTGCTCATTTGGGAGGATTGCAGTAGACTTATGTATCCCTGAATGAGGTTGGATTTCTCAATCGTTATCATATTGACGTGGCTGAAGCTTGTTTGCAGTCTGTTGTAGACTAGCACCATTCTTATCGCAACGTATGCGCGAGTGGGGCAGATAGATAACGGTGTTGGCGGAAAGCAAATTCCACCGGAATGCAAATTCCACCTGAGGTAGTCTACTTTGACATCGATACGAAAGAGGACGATAAGAAGATACCGAACATTAAATAATCTCTTTTCAGAATCAAAATGGGAGATGAGTTCTTTCAATTTACCTGGTACTTAATGGACCTCTTCGCATTTCCTGTCAAATTCAGTTCACTCTTCGGCATGGGCTGGGAGATGGGAACAGAAGCCATTCTATCATCTGATCGTGGTACCATTTTACTAAGCCAAAAAGGTTAGACGACTTTCGTGAGCAATAGAGGTGTGTCTATTTGGATTTGGCTTAAAAGACGGCGGTTCTAATAGCCCGGACGAAGCCATTCTTGTAATCTGTTTCCTCCAGCTGCGTCTCGTGATAAAATCTTCGAGAGGCATCAAGATCGATCTCAGCTGTGTTGACCCATCTTCCTCCGCGATAATAGATCTTGGCACCGATGTAAAGTGCCAAAATAGCCAACGCAGAGACGTAGCTGGAGAAGAAATTAACCGCACTCGTCTCCCCGTTCAGTGGTGAAATAGCGAGGTAAAACAGAACGATCAGAAGGACAAAACACCAGGCCAAGCCCCAATATGCTGCCCATGGGAATACCCATGACTTCCAAGGGAGGTTGGCGTGGTCGCGACCTTGAATCTTCATGGCATGTCGCATGCGGATATGCGAGAGACAGATCATTGCCCAACCGAAGAGGGTGAAGAGGGAGGAGAGGTTCGACAGCCAAGTAAAGACTTCGGCACCACTATTGCTGATGTTGATGTACGAGAGACCACCGCCGATGACGAGAGTAGGTACCAGACCATACCATGGACGGCCCCAGCTGTCAGTCTTTTGGAGTACCTAGATTGCATGAGTTAACATGGGGATGGGGTTCGTTGGTAGAAGGGACATACCTTTGGAGCCATGCCAATCTGTGAAAGGCCAAGAAGAATTCTGGAGGCACCGTATCCAGAGATAGTTCCAGTGGATAACACCGAAATAAAGATGACAGCGTTCATGATGTGGGCCAGCGGCATCACACCACAATTGCGGTACATGATAACAAAGGGACTAGCATTTGTGCCGTTGCCTCCAAATAGATTGGGGTCCTTGGGGCTGACATTGATTGTGACAATCAAGCCTCCGACAATATAAAACAAGGCGAGTCGTACCCAAATGGAGGCCACTGCTTTGGGGACTGACCGGCGGGGATTGGTTGTCTCGCCTGCAACAAGGCTGGCATTTTCGGACCCGGCGAGAGCAAAGATGCAAGTCGGCATGATAGAAAAGAAACCTTTTGCCCCGTTGATAAACGGCATACTGTTCCAAAACTCGAATCCGATGGTGCCGCCTTTCACCGGTGGGTAACCTCCTTTCGGCCCACCGCCAGCGGAGAGGACGATGCCAGAAATGATGACAACGAAGATGAAGCCAAACTTGATGGCGGAGGCAACGACCTCAATTTCAGCAAACCATTTCACGGGCCCGATGTTGACGAGGATGATGATGGCCCAGAATATCGTAATCCAAGCTGCGACCGGGATAGCGGTGGTCCAAAATGACAGGACTGTGACAACGCCTTGGAGTTCATTGGCGATGGAGATCCAGTAGGCAAATGTATAAGCCCATCCCAGGGCAAAGCCTGCGGCTGGGTCGACAAACATATTTGTCCATTGAACGAACTAGAGTTGAGTTAGAAAAGGGTGGTTCTTGAAAGTCGAGGGATCCAAGATCATACCGCACTCGGAAGAGGATACATGACCGCCATTTCTCCGATACTATGGCTGACAGCCCAGATCATGGTCCCAGTGAGTATGTATCCCAGGAACAGACTGGCTGGCCCGGCTTTTGACAATGACGAACCCGATCCCAACCAGAGCCCCATGCCAATGGAGCCTCCGAGGCCAATCATTGCAAGATGGCGCGTGCCCAGGCGTCGATGGAGCTGGGATTCGGCTCCATGATCTGCAAGGGGAGCTTTTTCGGTGTCGGCTGTTGGTTCATGGTCATCTTGCGTCACGCCAACTGCGGGCTGTGACTTCTCAATGGGATCTGCCATGGTGGAACATGCAATGAAGTTCAGGGAGAATACACCGCAAAGGAGAAACGGTAGCTTTGCGAATATTTATTCGACAGCCGAGAAACCCATTCATGGAGAGAAGGGCTCGCCTTTAATAAAGCCGCGCAGCAACCACACAACAACTGATCGGCAGTTTCATTCTGTGCGGGGATTGCAAGTGGGGGATCTTTTTCAGCCGTTCAGCGATGCAGGATACTAAGTAAGCCTCATTTGTCAAATATCGCCCGATCGACAAGCAGACGTGGCGCTACGTTGCCCCCACGCCATATCCCCTCACAAATGGTCCAATTTATGCAGACGTAGTCCTTAATACGGAGCATGTTCGACTAAATCCGCCATCGATGATTTCACACGGGACGGACCGTCTGTGCCGGCAGCCATCTCCGTGTCTAGATGGTCTCAAAAAGGTTGGACCAGCGGTGAACTACGCCGTATATCGGTCCGTAAATGCCTCACGATCCTTGTTTTTACCGAGGTCATGGGGCATCCCACATTATCTTTAGTTCCTGGTTCGAGATGGCATTTAGTTGCATCCGTTTACGTGAGGCACAGTCCAGAATCGGCAGTTCGTCAGTCCCCTGCTCCTAACATCCCCCCACATTGCGGAGCCCTGTTCCGCGGCCGGAGAGAATAAGTGGATTTTATCTAATCAATCTGATCATGACATCTCGACCGAGCAGTTGCAGTATGCAATCTAACATATGCAAACCAACACAGCTCCACATTACCGGCCCGTCCACACACACATTTTGTTTCACCGGCAGTGTGCCGAAGCGTCAGGACAAGGAACATGCGGCAATTTCATACCACCTGAACAGCCCAAGTTAGGTATACAGATGCGCAAAAGAGCCGGGGAAATGCATATGCCCCAATAGGGATCGATGAAAATTTTCTTCCCTCGGTACAGAGCCCGAAAGGGTAGCCTAACAACCCTTGCCATGTACGCGATCCCGGCATCCTGTTCGCCCCTAAGGTTCAGCTCACAACAAGGGTTGTGTATTTCCACTCATGGTGGTTGACGCTGACGATGTGCCCCAGACGAGCAAGGGTCCCCCAAGTGTGCTCCCCAACTCCTGGATTGGGTTTGATTGCTGCTCGAAGTTCTTGTAACCTTGTGATGACTGGGGTGGCAGTCAGTGGTCTCAAACGCGGAATAACAGCGACTACACATAGGCTTCAAAGCAATGCCTGAAAGCAATATTGGTCGTGAAAGCGTTCTCTGGAGGCGCCTTAGCCGCCGTTGCGCAGCGGATAGAATCCAGATGGGAAAACTCGCTCTAGTCTGTGAATTGAACATCCTGGTTTAAGTGACGTATTTCCTGGGATTTCATCTGTAACACTGTCTGCCAAAATTGGCCGATGATATCTTGTCTTTCTTATGACTACCTAGATAGGCATTCGAGTTCAAGATAGAAGATAGGCATGTTTTATTAGATCCACTGCCGTTGTCTAAATCTTCAACGCCATAATCCAGGGAGGTCATGGTATTTGACCGAGTTGTCGGACGGGCGGCGTGATCCGCTTAGCCTATAGGGTAGTTGACCAATCAACCGCGCGTCCACTGATTGTGTGAGGACGATAAAGGTGGCTGCCAAGACACTATTCTAAGTGCCACTATAGCTAGCAGTATTCGAAGGGTATATACGTTGGTGGCTGCTCCTGGTTGTTCCATGACTGAGGTGTGCTTTGTTAGGATGGACAAAACAGGTCGTTTGCCTCCAATTCGATAGAGATGAGATTGGTCGGCCACCCATCGAGTCCTCTTCCATCCAATTTAGAGACCTGAAATGGACTTTTATGACAAGGGCTAGCACCCCCAGATATATATGGGATACGTGGGATACTGAAGGCAGTCAACTTTCGGACAGTGTGAATTTACGAACTGCAAGGCGGTGGTTCTCATGTGCTTTATTATCATCTGACTTGGTGGAACTACAGCCACGTTTGGCGCCGAATCGCGAGTAATTGAATAGGTGCGTTATTGCGCAGTTGCACTTTTTCCACCTGCTGTCATCACCCAATGGCCTTCCCACTCAGGCTGCCCCGAACCCATCCAGCGTAAGCAGCCAGCCTACTATGGTGGCTGTACGAAGAAAGGGGGGATGTGAGTGTGCAAGGGATAAATGTCTAACCAACCTTTATTCTGTAGAATGCTAGATTTTGATATCCTGGAAAGTAAAAGGCCCATGTTTCCACAAACTCCGCCCACTAAGTTATGCGCCTCACACAAAACGTACAGAAGTCTCAATGTTCAGCTTGCGAAGGGGGTAAATTTGATACCTATGCTACTAGCGGCAGGACAGGCCATATGACATCTTGGTATCCATGCTGAAAGATATTTTGCATGACCCTCGCAGGTATCCAGTCATCCGCACCTTTTCCTCCGTCCATGTCCATTTCCAGAACACCGCATGCTGTTTGGACAGGAAAAGATGCGGAAGCGATTCCAAAGTATTTCATCTTGTCTTGCATCAGAAACTCGACACTCAATAGGATCCATTTCGCCATGTCTCCCAGTTTCTGGGAGACGTGGTCACTCTCTGGGCTGTGGCCGTCCACCTCGATCAGCATATCCATCAAACTTGGATACATGGTTCTCAACTGCCTGATTTGAGTAACGCACAAGACCCAAAACGCCCAATAGTGTGTAAGACAATTGGCCATTGAGATGCTCGGGAACCAGAGACAATGTCCATCGCCTGTTTTGGACACTTGCCACCACGAACTCTGGTTGGAAGTGGCTAAGGTCCGATGATACCACCTATCGAGAACATCAATCATTCCAATGAATTGAAATAGTGAGTCTTGTGCAATTGCCTCCATTTGACTGAGCGATCCACCTTTCGAATTATCCAGTCTTTCGAGAAGTGATGGCAGTATGCTGGCATCATTCATAAGTGCTTGAAGAGGCGTTGTGGGGATGATGCGGAATGGCTCGTTTTTCCATTCATCGCCGGAGAGGAAGCTGGACGTCCGGGTTTGGAAGGAATCAATAATCTGCCGAATCCGTGAGAAGAAGTCATAGAAACAGGAAAGGACACGGACGAGAAGCGGGCGAAATCCGACAAAAAGCTTGTGGGAAATGCCTGATTTGTAAAATTGCGGTCCATGTAGCTGAATCAAGTCACTGATTCCTTTTCCATGCACGGCGTAGCCAGCATGTGCGCTAGGTACCATCATCTAGCGAGGATTAGCATGCACCCATATGTAGAATTAGATAAATAGGGGATAACCTCTGAGAGATATAAGCACATCATGGCTGCAGCGAGAGCGTTGAAAGATGAGGAGGTATAATGCCGGATTGTATCTCGTAAAGCGTGCAACGCTCCACATTGTGCTTCCAATGCATCGGACACTGGTGCCCGGCCATCAGATCCTCTGGCAACTATGGAGACGCCCAGGGCTTTGATAGCCAGCGAAAGCAGGTGCTGGTGTTCTTCTTTCTGGATCAAAGATGGCAGCACTTCGATCCAGGAGCCGCATATTCGTGATTGTGATACGGCTGGGTTGCTCGATGCGAACACAAGTTCGCATTCCGGGACAAAGTTCTGAGCGCACAAGGAGATGATGTCACTCAACGGCCAACTTAGCGTGCGGCTAATAGTGGTTGGGCTGTGGTTAAAGATGGGTTGAGTAGAAGCATGAGGTTTCTTGGCGGGCTTATTCCGTCTTTTAGTCTGGATTCCCTTCCGTTCTGAGGATGGCGGTCTTGGCGTTAGGGGATCACGAAAGATCAACTCGGTTTGATATCCCGGGCATTCGCGCCCTCGGAGGGAGCATTGGGAACAGGCCGGGCGTTTGCCATCGCACTTAGAAGCGTCAACACGGCAGATTCCAGTCGCGCAAATAGAAGCCCAATCGAGCAACAACTTACGCCAAGCTTCCGAGTCCTACAATTGTCACACACGGTCGTTTTTCGCACCTTCATTTTAATCTGGCGTTACCCTGATGGGAAAGAAATCCTGAACATCATCACCAGAGTCTGATTCAAGCGGGGTAAATACCGTGCAGGAGATTTGCGTGCTTATATCCGTCCTTCGCGAATCAGCTTTCAGGAGCGAAGCCGACGCTACCGAAGTCGCCTCACAGTGAGCCGCTTGACCGATTTAGGAATCATTAATCGCCAAGACTTGTTCGCTCCACATGAAGTGCGGGTGTTAGACTCAAAGCGGACTAATGGATTTCGCCTGAAAAACTCCAGAAGCCTGGATCTATTCATGAGGCAGAAACGCCTGGAGTTTAGAATAGCCGATCTCATTGTAGAGAATGGATCGTTTGAAAGAGGACATCAATCATAATTCCTCTCGTTTACCTGTTCAATGTTGAAGTGATTCGGTTGTGACATTCAACGTATCCGACATGCACATACAAGTGTCAAGAAGACGAGCTCTGTATTTCAGTGATTATGATGTTGTATCTAAACAATATCCTTGCTCTGAATGATGGTTCCAAATGCATCACCAATCTCTGCCATAACAACCTTGACAAGTTGCTCCGCGCTCGCGCCTGGGACATCTCTGTCGCCAATGGCATCCTCAACCAAAATGACATCGTACCCGAGCTGTGCACCATGTCGAGCAGTGGTAGACACACAAACATGTGCCTATAATTCGCTGATCAGTAAAAGCTATGTAGTGTTGAGGTAGATTATAGCTAACCATGTATCCCGTCAACACAATCTTCTTGGATGAGATGGACTGGAGATGCTGCTCGAGATCGGTGCTTGCAAACGAGCTGGGATAATTCTTCACGACGACTTTCTCGCCTGCTTGAGGAGTGAGCTCCTCAAACTCCTCAGCCAATTTCGTGTTGGGGGTGAACACTGGTGCTCCGTCGGGTGTCGCGTGAACAACGTGAACTACATTTCCGCCGCCCTGTCGATACTTTTCAAGGAGTGAAGCAATCACCTTTCGCGAGGTGGAGACATTTGACACCTGAAGTTTGCCCTCGGCGTACTCGTTCTGTGCGTCGATGATGATCAAGGTGCTGTCTTTCACGGATGCCGTAGACGGCGGAACGCCCAGCATCTGGCGGAACGAACTTGGGGAAGCCATGGTATAACGTTTGGAAAATCGTAATGAGTCTAAAAGTTGTTGTGCAGATTAGTCTCTACCGACTGGATGTCGCCGAGTATTATAGCCATGTTCTGATCAAAGTTGCGGAGAAGACAATTGCGTCATTGCTATCTACTTCCTGCAGCCATTTCTTGGCGGACAATGATACCTAATTCGGCTAGAGTGGATGCCCCTCTGGACCGCTTACATCACTCATCTCGGGACTTGCGACGGCTCGCGGCCGACTATCCTTTTGCCCGGATTACCAATGTGCCCTCATTACCAATACCAATCTCTGATTTATCTCTCATCATACCCTGTAGGCGCATAGGAACAACACAATGCGGGGATGAGGGGGTGGTTGATGAACTCTCCCCTACCAAAGCTCTCGCCCGTCTCGTAATTTAGCGGCAACATTTTATTCTGTGTGCTGTAGATTGGTCATGTTGTAATACTATCCACGGTTGTTTTCGTTATCAGTGGGTATGGAAGAGAAAAGCATCGACCCCTTGGCGGGTTATATGACCGGAGCTAGTTAGTTAAAATATTTTCTAACGACATATGCTGCTTCTGCTTCCTTCAGAACTGAGTTGATCACACAATACACCCACCACTGTAACCTGTTTCTGGTTCCCATATCAATTGCCATAAACATGGAATTCTCACCCTCCACTCTGTATTATACCGCAACCGTGTTGAACAATATTTCATAATTTAGACAACTCTGATTTAGGGCTCATATGCCGGTCTACGGTACTTCACATATCCAGGCCTCGGTTGCTTATGGGCGGCGCATTGGCTGACTGCAGCCGCCACCATGCTGCCATAAGGGAGCATCACATTGCAAGCTCTTGGCGGATAATGATACTGAGAATAGTTTAGTGTTGCTTGGGTAATCAATCGCCTCTGGACTCCACCTTGGGCGACACCTTGACGAGTTCACTTGTGGCTACGGAGTACATAGTCGAGAAGCATGATTCATCAAGACTCAGGTACCCTCCGAAGTGCCATGGCTTCTTGCAGGCGGGCGCCAGACACAGCATAGAAATCTAGATTCCGAGATATTTCTATTTACATAGTTTCGTCCATCCTTGCATGATACAATTGAAGCAACCACTTTTAAGTTTTTCCGGGACATGGAGAAGTGTACTTGGAGCTCGGTGCGGACCTCGTGACACACCCTTGCACCAAGAGGGATAGTGTGTTCGATACACCGAAAACTGGCCGGATGAATTTAATGGGAAATGGCACCACAACAATTAGTGGCGAGGTTCTATATACATACTACCCGACAGATAAAACAAGCACTCGTTCACTGGCCTCTGGGATGTGAGAACGATAACCACGAACATGATACGGAGACAATCGGCGTAACCATTCCTCCGAGCTTCGGCGCAACTGTCCCCCCGACAGCACATCTACTATTTTATACAAGGATAAGTACCTGCAGAAAGGAGCTTCGGTATAATCGCTCGCCCGTTTACACTCCATTTGACTATCGACCAACAAGCATACAGGAGCCTCGGTGCAACCACTCGTCCCGTAAACCCAACTGGGATATTTCAACTTGTCCGCTAATCCCAACTCTCGGAATCCATTGGATACCGTACGACCGTATCAATATAGCTCGGGCTTCCCTTGCACTCATGCCACCTACGCATGCGGTGGCAATTTGGGATTGATGACAATTGGAACTCCGCAAGGTTTTAGGCGATGTAGCTCCGCAACCTTGAATGTTGATACTCCGCAAGCCAGTCAATAGCGATAGGCTATAAATGCCCAGGTCGTAGTTTTTGACGGTTCTAGATACTCGTAACACATATCATCGATCTTAAACTAAGGCACCAACACAGCAATGGCAGGGAAGAGAACAATTCTAATAACGGGCTGCTCCGACGGCAGTCTCGGGTCTGCGCTAGCCTTGGCCTTGCATCAAGTCGGATGGCGCGTCTTTGCGTCTGCACGCAACCTATCAAAGCTATCGGCTGTCAAAGCTGTGGGCATCGAATGCGTGCAGATGGACGTGGGGTCCGACGAGTCCGTCTCCGCCGCCGTTGAGCAGGTCAAGCAGCTGACTGGTGGCTCGCTGGATTGCCTCATCAACAACGCCGGTGGCGGGTACAGCACGCCGGTTATCCACATCGATATCGACAAAATCCACGAGCTGTTTGAGCTCAATGTCTTCTCCATCATCAGAGCCACACGGGCGTTTCTGCCACTGCTTCTCAAGTCGGAACGCGGCGCCATTGTTGTCAACAACACCTCGGGCTCGGGCCTGCTCGGTGCCGGAATGCCTTTCCAAGGGGCCTACAATTCCTCCAAGGCAGCTGCTTCAAGCATAACTGAGGCCCTTCGCATGGAACTGGCGCCCTTCGGTATCCGGGTCATCAACCTTGTAACTGGCGCTGTCAAGTCGACCTTCTTTAAGAACACGCCGGATTGCGAGCTGCCGGCAGACTCCATCTACAACCTGGCCAAGGAGGCGATTGAGGGACCGATGTCTGGTATTCAACCTGAGATGAAACACACCGATTCGGCAACGTGGGCCAAGCAAGTGGCTGGCGATCTCAGCCAACGCAACCCATCGCACTTGGTGTTCAGGGGATCCATGGCGGGCACGGGGAGACTCGTCACGTTGCTGCCGATTGGCACTATGGATGGAACCTTCAAGAAGATGGCTGGTATAACCGTGTTGGAACGTAAGATACGAGAGCAGGGTGGATTGGAGAAACTGCAGCATTCGTGAACACGGGACTCCAATGGGACTCGGAGATATTGATGTACGTTTAGATCATCCAACTTGGAATCTTGGGAGAAATATTAAAAACCTATCGAGTGGTAGAGTAGCAGTACTCATATTAAGCTTGAAATTCCCTGTGAATGACAAATAACCAATGCCTGGACTCGAAATGGTCTTATCACGCTGATTCAGCCACCAGCGAACGAAATCGATTCCAAATCTAGTGATGGATTTGCAGGGCGGTATGACAAGCCTGAACAACCATTCCATCCCTCGGAAAACTTATATAAAAATAGTTGCGACAAATCTTTATTACCGGTTCGTCTCGGAATACAGACACAATGTCGTTTGTCTTGGCGGGCAATGAATCCTAGAACGGTTAGTGCTGCGTCATCTCTGATGTCACCAAGTCGTATGTGGACACCCCAACTAAACTTCTCGACGGGTAAGTGGCTTCCTGATGATGAATTGATCAGGTCTTGATTTGTCCGTGCTTACAAAAGGCAATTGCATACGGATTATTCCGTGCTCTGGTTGTCAAAATAGATCTATGATTGGTTAGCGGCTACTACGTATATGGCGCGCTCACAACTTGATGAGAACGATTTAATGGAAAGTTTCTAGATAAATGGTATTATCTCCTACCTTTCTGAACCTTCATCATCCACTACTCAAACGCATCTAATTTCTAAAGCTAAATCCTGTTCGAATTGTCTTCTCCCCACATCTTCGCAGACGATACCATCAGCATTAACGACAAACGGCACAATGGCTCCCTCAGGCTTCAAAAGCAACATCGGCATCACCCACATCGGAACCGCCACAGCAATTCTGCACATCGATGGAGTAAATTTCCTCACTGATCCCTTCTTCTCCCCAGCAGGGACCGTCTTCGAAGTAGGCCCAGATGCTGTTCTCAAGAACACTGAGGATCCGGCCATGCGGTTGGAAGACCTCCCTCACATCGATGCCATTTTGCTCAGTCATGAGGACCATCCGGACAATCTCGATGAGTTAGGCCGTCAGCTTCTCAATGGTCGTCATGTCTTGACTACGTCGGACGGAGCTTCCAAGTTGGCTCCCCGCCCCGACGTCAAGGGAATGAAGCCATGGGACAAGGTCGAGCTTCAGCTGGGCGGCAAAACGTTCGAGATTACCGCTACTCCATGCCAGCATCTGCCCGGCGGCGAGTGCATCGGCTTCATCATAACCACCGACGATTTCGGGGTCAGTCCTGATGGTCGCCCCAACGCCATCTACTTCTCCGGTGATACTGTCTACATCGATGAACTTGCCAGAGTCGGCAACATGTTCAACATCACCATCGCCATGTTCAATATCGGACGCGCATCTGTCACTCTACCTACCGGCCCACTTCAGATCACCATGGACGGCAAGCAGGCAGCCCAACTCTTCCGCGACATCAAGGCCGATGTCCTTGTACCTATGCACTACGAATCCTGGGGTCACTTCACACAGTTTGGTGCTGAATTAGCCAAGTCCTTCGAGGAGGAGGGGGTGTCGGATCAGGTCCGCTGGCTTGTCCCGGGTAAGCTCGTTTCCAATATTATGGGAGTTGGAGCTGGTATTTGAGACCACAGTGTTGTGTTCATAAAGGGTTAGAGACTGCAAAGTTGAGTATCTATATGGTCCAATCACAGAACTATTTTGTATCACAAATGGGGTTATTCCTTCTTGTTAATGTGAAAGCAATATGCTTGATTCTGCAAATTCTGTGTTCCAGCAACAATGCCAAGTCATCTAAGTAACTTCAATGCTTTTGAGAAAGTATTGAAAATCAGATCAAATTGGTTACTCTAATATTACTGCGTCTTGCCTGGCGTCTTCCGGCATAATCTGGAATGACACCTGGTTTAACATCCTACAACCATTATTTCTCCGCCGGACTAAAAACAGCAGACCAAACATCCATTGTCCGGGCGTTTTTAATGTTCCCATTCGTCGCTACAGAGGACAAAACAGCGTCTCTTGCGGCACGTAGATATACTTTGGCTCTCTTGTCCGGTACGAAAGAGTCGACTTTCTCGAGGAACCTGGGCGAAGCTACCGTGTTTGTTTCCCAGAACCCGTCCTGAAGCTCTGGTTCGGGAACCAGTACGGTTTCATGCTCCATCTTCCAACCCGCGCTTGTGCAAGTGTCCTTGATGCCAGTTGGGCTCAGAATATTTTGAATATTTTCGTTGCTATCCTTTCTGTAACTCTCGAGACCCGCGCGGGCCAAGGCGGCGAGAACGTGGGCCGATGCAGCGGGGTGCGTTGCATGGAGAGCATACTCTGCGATACAAACGGTATCGGTTCGATTCTTCAAGGCCCGGAGAATGGCCTCGAGTGTGTCGGGAGACTTGAAATACCAGATGCAATGTGACAGAATCGCAACATCCCATGTCTGGCCTTTCTTCAATGTCTCTTCGAGAAACTCTTCCGGAGAAGCTTGGTGCCATCTGATCCTAGGGCCTAAAGGGCCATTTGAAAGCTCGGCTTGAGCTTCTCCGAGAGTGGTAGGCGCTCCATAGTCTAGTGGAGCTGGGTCGACAGCGTCGATGATGCCGGATGGGCCGATGGCCTCAGCAAGAACTGTCGTGCATTCTCCCTGGCCACAGCCAAGTTCGAGAATACGAGAGCCGGGTTTGATAACGGCCCAACCGCTTATAAGACGGTTTCTGTGTTCGGCCTGAGACATAGTGGCTTTGAGGTGCCTTTCAAGTTGCAATTAATGCGATGGAATGTGAAGGGGCCTGGAAGGCAGATTGTGATTGTTTGCGTCTCAGTGCGTGAACAGGACATCTCCCTTTTCTCGGGAATTCCCAGGCGTCTTTTATGTTTCTACTTGGTCCTCGTATTATTCCTCGCGCTGTTCCTCATGAAATCAATCCAAGCATAAGCAGATGGTTTGTGAGTCACAAAATCTGAGTAGAGTCATAACCAAAGCGCTCCTGCCTGATTAGGACTTGTTCGGTTATCTCGGATGCAGTTACAAGTGGGGTGTGTTGTGTGACTAACTAGTTTCCTCGGCTCAGCGTTTTCTTAGTCCAAACAAGGAAGCAGTTGAGATGGCACGGCGATTGGCCGTTCTGTATTATGCTCTAACCATCCGAGAGAAGTCGAAATATTGAACTCGAAGTTGAAGGGCTTGATGGCCTCATGGACTCAATTTATTGTGTTGGAATGTTTCGTTCAATTAAAATCTAGATTTTGGCTTACGTGAGCGTGGCAGCCTGACCTGGGTGCGTACCGCGAAATTAGGCATCCTTGCATCTGTTAATCAAGGCCTTATTCGATCCGATGCCAACCTCTCTAATCTTTGAGAAAACACACTGAAAGCACCATTACTCTATTCTTTGTCACCAGGCTCTTGCTACCCAGAAACTTCGCGATGCATAATGCTTTTTGCAGGGAACTGTGATCCATAATGCCAGATCCCATGAGGCGGACACGATCCGCTAAACATCAATCCCCAAAGCGCCGCGCGGTGCAAAAGAAGGTATGTGATCTCCAAAGTCCTTTGCATTAGAAAAAAAGTACTCGATCTTTTGGCGTATCATGACACGAAGTAACAATTCATACAGTGTCAGATTTGTCAGAAGTTACTCGATTTACTCCAATCTCCAGCTGAAATCCGAGGGCAATTGGAAAATCACGTCACTATCAGCGACTGGAAAGACCTAGTGGAATCCAAATGCCCGTTTCATCCACAGTTTATTGCGTCAGCTCTTAGACTTGATCTCACACCTAGTGCGGTTGAGGAAATCAGCATCTCCTTACTTGGATATGGCGGGCACGACCACGTCCAGATTCAAGGCAGCATCAAGGTTCTTGGAAAGTCCAAACTAATTGAATCCGGGGAGCTTTACATACTTCGTAAAGGTCCGAATTCTCAACAACAGGGCAGTGCAAGGCTGGTGAATCCCCTCTGGGTTGATCATGGTCTCCTCAGAAAATGGAAAGAAAAATGCCTCTCTTCACACGGCGATGTGTGTGGTGTTGCACACAAGCAAACACAATACAACGATCATATCCGGCCTACATGGGTCATTGATATATGGCGTCAATGTCTCGTACACCCACCGCAATTTCAACCATACGTCGCTCTTAGCTACGTTTGGGGAGGGACTCCCAGCTTCATGGCTCGACTGAGTAATATCGCACAGTTACAGAACTCATTAGCACTATCGAATGGAAAGACTGAAGTACCAATTCCCCGGACAATCCGAGATGCAATGAGTTGCGTTGAACGACTTGGTGAACGATACCTCTGGGTAGATTCTTTATGCATCGTCCAAGATGATCCGGTACACAAGGAGACAGAAATCGGCAGGATGGCGTCTATTTATGCAAATGCGCTTCTAACAATCATTGCTTCAGATGGCACTGATGCAAATGACGGCCTTCCAGGACTTAGTGGCCTTACCGGGCCAAGGTCTGCAACCCAAGTGGTCCATACTCTACGACCCGGCATACAGGTTGTCGAAAACATAAGTCATGCAGAGAGTACAAAGTGGAAGACACGTGGATGGACATACCAAGAAAGCGTGTTCTCTCGAAGGCAGCTATTTTTTGAGGGTAATTGGGTGCGTTGGATTTGCCAAGGCGCTATTTGGCGTGAAGTTGGTGAAAAGCATGGTCGACAAGGAGACATGCAACTGGCACTGTCAAGGGCTATCCCAGATCCATCACTGGTGCTGAATATGATTGTCCAGTACAACATGAGAGACTTGACATATCCCGAGGATGCGCTTAATGGGTTCGCCGGTATCCTCAATACCTTCACAACTAGCTTTGATGGAGGCTTCATCTCAGGACTGCCTGCTGCCATGTTTTACCTGGCACTCCTCTGGGAACCCTTCGACATTCTCACTCGCCGAGAAGCAAAAGGGCCCAGTGCAGACGTTTGCCTCCCTAGTTGGAGTTGGATTGGTTGGAAAGGTGCACTGTCGGGATTTGCGTGGTCTTCGGCAATGGATTTTGTCAGATCTAGTTCATCCATGAAGGGATCCCCATTCTTCGACAGAGTCACGCCTCTTGTCAAGTGGCACTGGAGAAGTGTCTTGAAGGCACCCGAAGTTCCGATCCAAGACACCTGGTTTCGGTATAAGCAAAATTATGGTATCGGGGGTCCGCGGAAACCGTGTCCCACTGGCTGGACTCGATACAGCGCCGAAGTCGAACCAACCTCCCCAGGAAAATTCATTTTCTCAGGACCAGAGCCCACTAACTCACCAACATGCTTTTATAAGCATGATTCCGAGCCTGAGTCGGAGTTTTGGTATCCCGTTCCCCTACCGGATCCGTTGCAAGTTTCCAGCAGGCAAATAGCTGCACCATTTATCTCATGTCGAACGAGACGAGCATGTGTGTATGGAGGCGAAGTCATCACACCACTGTATAGAAGAGGTGGCATAGTCATTTCAGTTCGAGGCAACAAATCAGAATGGATTGGCGCCATTCGACTTCAAGAGCGGCTCCCAGGGCCTGATGAAGACAACGTCAAAAGCCTTGTGGGCCAAAAGATGGAGTTGGTTGAAGTTGCCTTAGGTCGCGTGCCAAGGGACGCTCGTACATGGCTAGAACATCAAGTGCTGGACGAATGGGATCACGAAGAGAGGCCAGGTCAGAATGAGATATATGAGTACTACCATGTGTTTTGGATTGAGTGGGAGGACGGTATTGCGTATAGAAAAGCTATGGGCCGTGTTGAAAAGAATTTGTGGGAGGCTCAGGCACGCGAGAACATTGACTTGATTCTTGGATGAGGAATAAAAGTACATCAAACCCTTGACTGCTATCCCCGAACATCCTTCACCTCCTTTGTCCTTTCTGAATCAGGTTGATCTCCAGTGTTGACTGTTGTTTCGTGTTCGATCATCATGATGGACGCATTTTCCGCGACAGGTCGGTGTCTTATCCCTTTAAGGACCGTATACATGTCTCCAACTTCCATCACAACATCGTCTTGGCCCTCAATCTCCATCCGCAACTTGCCGCTCAGGAGATAGAAGATTTCGTCTGAGTTTGGGTGGGCGTGCCAGATGAATGCACCGTCGATTTTGGCGACTTTGACGTGGTGGTCATTTATTGTGGCGACAAGTCGTGGGGACCATGTCTCGGTGAAGGAATCGAGAAGTGTGGGAATAGAGGCCGGTTTAGACATGGCGACGAATTGGGTGGCTTAGAAGGAAAGGTGGAAATTAGGCGTGATCGGATATGCAAAAATTGTCATAGGTTGGAATAGCACTCGGATCATTTATATTAGTGCCACAGAATAATTATGGTTCCAGTGAATGTCAATCCCAAGGCGTGGAAAAGCGGTAACGCACGCCCTTGGAGTGGGGCGTTCTCAGCTAACATGCACTTGCTAGTGACAAGCGGGTTTTGGGTATTGTGTGTTAGCTCACCTTTTATTCGAAAGGCATTTAATTTTCCCTCTTGCCTATAAGTGAAATCGAATGGGAGTACTTCTCGGTGTGTTTTCTCTATCGGACTACGTCAAATTTCGAAGAGAAATTGCCTACCTAGATTGAGAAGGTAGGTACTACTTATCATCCCAAGCACTATAGTCAGGGCCGATACTCAACCAAAATAACCGTCCTGCGAAATGATTAATCGTAAAAGTTCTACTCGGAAGAGAAAGAATGGCGCCATTCAGGGCTTGAGACGTAAGTAAATAAGCAACCACCTGCTAAACGTAACATTTCTATCTTGAGCTACAGTGTACACAGTTCAATCCGTATCACGTGGTGGCTCTCAGCCTGATTCTTCCATTTATTCTCTTATTCGCTGGGCAGCATTGATTACCCCGCTCTTAGGCATCATTGATAAATCCCGCTCCTAGGCATCCGTCAACCCCGCAGCAGGATCGACCGGAAACTTCGATTGTGACATCCTGACCCGTCAAACAAGATTCAACAGTCAACCCACTTTTTGCCGACTATCTCGCTTATAGCGAACATTGAAGTCAACCTGCGACTTGAATTGTACGCCCTTCGAAACATTTGATTCACCCTCTCCCCGACTACAGCAGACGTGGACTTCCGAGTCAGATCCTTGACCATCAGAGCGCCAACCTCCCGCTTCGTGGTTCCAGATGCCACCGGACCAGGCCGAATCGAGCATAGAGTTACATCTGACCTTGTTTGTCTCTGCCTATATTTGTGAGACTGCGGTTGGTCTCTGTGGACACGATGATCCCTCGGCCATCGAGCAGAGACGATTTTCAAATCGCTATTATTTGTGCCCTGCCGGCTGAATATGACGCCGTTTATGACAGTTTCGATGATCGGTGGGATGAGATGGGGAAGGACCTCGGAAAAGCTCCAGGTGACCCTAACCGCTATGTTACTGGCCTCATGGGTGATCTAGCCGTCGTTCTCGTCCTCTTGCCGGGAATGGGTAAGGCCAATGCTGCTAGTGCCGCGGCTAGTCTCCGCTCCAGCTACAGCAACTTGAAGTGGGCTCTTCTGGTTGGTATCTGCGGCGCCGTGCCACAGGTAGATGGCGCTGAGGTCTTACTTGGAGACGTTATTATCAGCAGATATGTGGTCCAATACGACTTCGGCCGACAGTACTCCGATGAGTTCGTGCCGAAGAAGACCATCGAAGACACCCTCGGCAGGCCAAACAAAGAGATTCGAGTTTTGAACGCATTGCTGGAAACCCGGTCTGGCCGTGATGAATTGGAGAAAAGAACGGCAGAATTTCTCCAACGGCTACAGGCCAAGGTTGCAAAGACGAAGTATCGAGGCGTCTACGACTATCCCGGGACAACAAATGACAAGCTCTTCAAGAAAGGCTACCGCCATAAGCACCAAGACCCAAATGACTGCAATATCTGCGGGGCCTGTTCCAGTCATGTTGATCCAGTATGCCTGAAAGCGCTGGAACACACCTGCGCGGAGCTCAAATGTTCAGATGTGGGGGTTGATGCTCGGGGGGAGCGGTTCCAAGAGAGAAAGCAACTGGAGCAACAGGACAGTGTTGCCGCTCAGGCGCCGGTTGTATTCATGGGAGGGATTGCCTCAGGAGACAAGGTCATGAAGTCTGCCCAACACCGAGATAGCATCTCACAGTTTCACAAAGTCATTGCGTTCGAGATGGAAGGCGCCGGGATGTGGGATGAGATGTCCTGCATTGTGGTCAAGGGAGTCTGTGATTATGCAGATTCACACAAGCAAAAGAACTGGCAAAACTTTGCGGCATCTACAGCAGCCTCCGCGTCAAAGGCTCTTTTGGCGGGCTACTTCCAGGTGAATAAAGTCAAAGGGCAGAACTCTGGTTAGTATAATTCCTCATGTTAATGGCACTATGATTGGCCCTCTAATTCTATCTACACGCAACAATTTCAATGAATTCAGTTTGACTAATAATACATACTAGGCCTACGGAGCTACTACATTCCACCTGCTAAAAATGACATGTTTGTGGGGCGCGAGGATGTGATCAGTTCACTCACAGAACTGCTTTTCAATAAAGGAACCAAACGGGTCGCCTTGGTCGGATTGGGTGGGATTGGGAAGACCCAAGTGGCTTTGCAAGTCGCATTCTGGGCAAAAGAGAACATGCCCGACTACTCTGTCTTCTGGATGTCTGCTCTGAGTAGCGCAAGTTTCGAGCAGGCATGTGGTGACATGGCAAAGAACCTTGGCATTTCTACGACTGATGAGGACATCAAAGAGACAATTCGAACATATCTCAGTTCGGGAAAGGCAGGGAAATGGCTTCTTGTCCTTGATAATGCAGACGATGAGACTATTGTGTATCAGTCCTCGGACCGATCTCGCAGGATCCTCGACTTCATTCCACAGAGCGATGACGGGCGCCTTCTACTTACAACACGCTCACGAAAGGTTGCCGTCAAGATTGCAAGAAACAAGGTGATCAAGTTGCCTCCGATGAGTTTTCACGAAGCTAGGGATCTACTGGAGGAGACTTTGAGCGACACAGACCAATTGGAGGACCAGGAACTAGTCACTAAGCTTCTGGAAAAGCTCACTTACCTCCCTCTGGCGATTGCGCAGTCGACAGCCTATATGGAGATTCATAAGGTGTCAGTCGCAGAATATCTCAGACTCTGTGAGAGCACAAGTCTAGACATGATCCAGTTGATGAGCGAGGCTTTCCTTGACGATGCTCACTATACTGAAAGCCAAGGTGCGGTCGCGACTACTTGGTTCATATCATTCAAGCACATCCATGAGACGAATGCCTCTGCTGCACATCTTCTGTCGTTTATCACATGGATTGAGCCAAAGGCGATTCCCCGGTCAATGCTGCCCAGCCTCGGGTCCGAGCAAGAAAAGACGCAGGCAATCGGCACACTCCGCGGATATGGTTTCCTTAGCGAAAGAGAGGAGGAAGGCGTATTCGACATGCATAGTTTGGTGCACTTGGTCATGCAGTCATGGACCTATAAGCAGGGAGCCGACGACAAAACGAAGACGGATGTGCTTATGCACCTTACTGACGTTTTCCCATCCCCTGATTGGGAGAATCGAGAGTTGTGGCGGCAATACATGCCACATGCCCTCAGTATATTTCGGGCATACGAAGGAGTTGATGCATCAAAAGGCACTAAATTGGGTCGTCAGCTAGGGTGCTGCTTGTATGAGGATGGTCGGATAAGGGAGTCAGTCCAGGTGCTCAAGTGGGTCACGGAGATGGATGAGATATCATTAGCAGATGACGACCCTGATCGACTTACCTCACAGCATGAGCTTGCAAGGGCATATCAATCTAACGGGCAAGTCAAAGAGGCACTCGAGCTACTGCAGCATGTAGTAGCGATACGGGCGATATCGCTAGCAGAGGATCACCCTGATCGCCTTGCCTCACAGCATGAGCTTGCAATGGCATATCAAGCCAACGGGCAAGTCAAAGAGGCACTCAAGCTACTGCAGCATGTAGTAGCAATACAGGCGATATCGCTAGCAGAGGATCACCCTAATCGCCTTGCCTCACAGCATGAGCTTGCAACAGCATATCAATCTAACGGACAAGTCAAAGAGGCACTCGAGCTACTACAGCATATAGTAGCAATAGAGGCGATATCGCTAGCAGAAGATCACCCTAATCGCCTTGCCTCACAGCATGAGCTTGCAACAGCATATCAAGCCAACGGACAAGTCAAAGAGGCACTCGAGCTACTGCAGCATGTAGTAGCAATACAGGCGATATCGCTAGCAGAGGATCACCCTGATCGCCTTGTGTCAGAAAAATTTCTGCAATCGATGTTGTGATGTTTCTGTCAGTCACATGGTAGTTTTGGTATAGTCAGGGTCTTCGCCTACTAGGTTAGTTCTTGGGGTGGCAGATGGGCCCAAGCCTCACGCCCATCCTTTCCCTTTCTTCAATTTGGGCGCCCTTTATCTTGTCCTTTTCTACTGCCCAATTTGTCCCAGTAGCTCCTGACGCTCTTCGTCCTCATTAAGTGTTTGCATTTCAATGCGCCATGTCAAGTATTTCTAGGAGCTACTTTAACTCTCCCATCCCTTGGCCCCGCATAACTGAGCGTTCCGTTAACTTCGGTCTTGGCGACAATTTCTTCTTTCTCTTGAGCCCGGTCTACACTAAGTGCATCTCCCAACAACGAAATTCTACATTTTTGCGTAAGACGAGAACCAATAAATAGGTGTTATTTCATAATAGGCAAGATTTTATACCCTTCGCACATACGACTTTGACGTAACAGGCTCCCATGAAAGACAACACATTTAAGGATGTTCGTCCTGTACTTTACTCCCCTGTATTGACTATTGATCCATAGAAACTGCATCACACCATATGAGTTAAATATTACTGTTTAGGCTTCACTAAAAGAAACATACGGTCAGCAGGTAGTGAATCCTTTTGCAACAGTAACAGAGAACAGTTTAGGGAGAAGAGTAAACTTTCATTTCTCCCAAGAGATCTAGTGCTTTATATCTGTTAAGAGGTCAACGATGTGTGCATTGATGATTATCACTAGCTAGCTAGGCGAGGGAATTGGAGCCTGTGTGAGGTCCCGGCTGCCTGAGGCCATAGCCGCCGTAGGCGGCCGTGGGCTTCCTTCAACAATATCAATTATCATACAGTCTAGTTACTATTACGTGACTCTTTGGACTCTTTATGTACCAAAAGCAAACTGTCGGTGTCTTCAAATGCGGTAATGTCCGGAATGCCAAACACCCTCAGCCAATCCTATCTATTCAGATGTACCCAATAGTACTACTAGATACTGATAATCTATGCTCCAAATGGCGATAGTCTACAAGAGAGAAACCCAATGTCGCCGGTATTAATATCAATTCCAAGACCTTTAATTGAGGGTTTATAGTCCTCCAGAGAATCCATCATTTCATCACCGATCTTCGCTTTAGATATCTACAACGTCAATATTACAATCCCATAGCTAAGCTTAACGTTCCCTTGAGCGCTTTACAGCCAATGAACTTATAGATTTTGTATCAATGGACTGGCAGTGTTATACCAAATTGCACAGTCAAAACCACTGAGATTTGCTCATATTGGTTCAAATTACTATGGTGTTTTACTCGCGACGACCGCCAGCGACCCTACCAAAGTGATCAGATAAAACCCAACCTTGATCACTAAATGTAGGGAGACCAGGCGGCCTCTGTGAATTATCCGTAGCAGCCCAAGACATCGCTTCGGGGTGAAAACCAGCACCGGTATCAGTCCATGTGAATCCCACGTCATCACAGCCGCCCAGCCCATTTGCTGGGGTAAACAACGGGTAATAATCACCCATACCTGTCACATTACCCATATGTGAAAACTGGGGACTGGAGGGGGGGATGTTGCTTGGATCTGACTCTCGGAATTCTTGCCCTCCTTGATTTGGCTGCTGGACATCGGATTCCCGGTTTCCCGCTGGGGCGCCCGCTTGCTGCTGTCTGTCAACGGCTCTCTGTATGGAATATCCTTCAGCGTTTTCAGACACATTCACGGCCAGGTTTTGCCATACACAGAGCAATCGCCGAATTGTATCAAGACTCCTACCAATCCCAGGGGTGTGTGATGCCTCATCTTGGAGGACTCTAACCGCAGCTCCGAGTCTCGTTGCGGCCTCATCTCTCCTGAACTGGGTCGAAGCCGTTCTCAATTCCTGTACCTCGATGGTTGCGGCAATGAAGATGCAGTAACTCACTTGGTACGTCATGGGGCGGTGAGGGAACGTGCGTGTGTACAGCCCGTGAATAGCGTACATCTATTGTGAGTGTCTAGTACAAACACTCATGTGCTGGTCTCTCTGACGTACATCGGGTGAGATCAAATATGGTCGTCGAAGGAGTATCCGCAGAGTGTGGTAAAGAAGGCTACATCATATTAGATATGAAACCTTTGACAGGAGAAGGGGCCTCTTACTTGAGCGATACGATATGGGGTGGGGGGCTTTGAGGCATTGCAGCAGGCTCGCTGATTTTAAGACCATTGGGAAGTTCATCATACCACTGCTGAAATCTCGCATCGAGATCACCAACTTGTGTTGTGAAATGCTCGTGACTCGGAATTCTTGAAAACAACAGCATCATGTCCGTTGTGATCTCGTGGATGCGGCAGAAGGCGCAAAACGCGGAGCTATTCAAAGACGGCGAAGGAGAAAACGTCTCCAGTACCTCGAGGGCGTGGACGGGTCGCCACGGGCGGTCGTCATCAAACTTGTCCAAGATGTCCTGGGTGAAAAATGGCGGCCTTGTCAAAGACGGTGGGCGGCCCAGGGCAAGACTCAGCGTCTTGTCCCAGATGTAAGCCGAGTTGTAGAGGCGCTTTCGAGTCTCTATTTCAGCCGGTGTCCAACGTTCTAGTTTCGCGAGCTTGGTTGTGTCGAGGTGAAGTCCGATGTCTGTCATCATCCGAAGGGCCATGCCGGTGTACAGCCAGCCCTCGGAGCTGTTTCCCATGGCACCCTGTCGCCCGCCGAGTATCAGGAGCCCCTGGATGGTAGTAATGGACAGCCTGGGCGCAGCCATCTCTTCTAACAGCAGCATCTTGGCCTGGGCAATGTACTGGTCTCCTCTGCCAACGCCCTGAAAATTTGGATGCTGCTTGGGCAAGTGTCTCGCCACCAGCCCAAAAATACACATCAACAAGAAGTTGGAGCAATACGGCCCTCCGAGAGCCAAGTCCATGATCATAGCCGGTCGATAGACTCAGTTGTGCAGAGGGTGCAGCCAGGTCCAATAGATATCTAGAAGAGCCATACCAGTCTCCGTAGCAACTCCAGTGCCCCTGATGAAAGGTTGCGTAGTGATCAACGGTGTCCAAACCGAGTCCATTAATGCATACTGGGACCGCAAGGTATCAATATGGGGTGAGTTTGGCTCGTGTCCGTCCGCACCACCCCCTTCCTTCAATGATCCAGCGTGAAAACGGCTTGTAGGGCCATTGTAAGTAATGGTTCCATCGTCACCTATGCCGGCTTGGAACCAGAGAGACGAAGCAGGATTCAGGAGCGAGCGGCTGGTGGATGGCGACGCCGTGTCATTTGCCGCCACTGGGCTCAGATCTGACGCTGGTTGTGCCACTGTCACGGGCACGACAGACTCAGGACGTCGCGATGTGTCTGGTGCCTGTTGGTCTTGGGAAGAGCTGCGTATGGATGCCTCCAAGTCTCTGATGCGAGCATTGGCATTCCGTAGCCGACTCTCTGTCGAGTTCTGAGACGGCCAGACGCATTCTTCGCCCGAGCGGCCACAGCCACGACAGAGGGGCTGATCGCCACTGCACTTCACTTTGCGCGATTTGCAGGTGGTGCAAGCGAAGCCGTATCGTCGGACTCTTCGGGTGGATCGTCTCGTCGCTGAAGAACGGGGTGGTAAATTGGTAAACTCGAGCTTTCACCAGCGGATCCAGCTTCATCCCCATCCGAGATTTCAGATACCATGTCATCGGCCATGGGGAGTTTTTAAGCACATAAAGCCTCACAGGAATCGTAAAAAGTTGCAATCAACAACATCTGATGCTCGCCCTACTAGAGAAGACGCGGTCTCAGTGAGGTGTTGGGATAAATTTGGCGCGAGTCTCAGGTGGCCCACCAATCGCTCCAGTCAGCAATTCGACCTGGTCCTAGTTGTCCCATTTTTCTTGGAGTTATTTGATGTCACCGTCGATAATTTATTTCAATTTTCATGAATCTGCTGCGAGTTGTGCACTTCACGGAGGCCGAGGAAGACGGAATCCCGTTCGCGCAGGGTTGATACTTGCTGACCACTGACCTAATCAGCCTAGCGACTACCCTACACAATACCAATTTTATCCATTCTATGCTATTATGGAAACGCTGGAATCTGACAGAATAGAAGAAGGGAGACAGATAAAGCATTGAATAAATAAAAATCGAACTTGTAGAGTATTTCCTCTCATGTGTCCAAGGGTAAAAGGACAAAAACTGAATTGCCCCCTCCAACCATCTATCCAATCCCCGGGCAGAAAGCAACAGCTTTGCAAATTTACATATTGTCAACATTCTGTTAGTTCATACCCGGCCTATATGGTGCTCTGCAGAAGTGTACTTTTATGTCTCATTAAGCAGCTCGCAAGCATAATTCTATAATCCCAGTGACAACGAAGAGCGGATCCAGCTTCGGTTGCAAGGTCATGCACTACTTCGGTACCACGGCATAACTGGACTAGCCTCAGCATTAATTTCAATGACGGACTAATGTTGGATGATTCCTGACTCAGATGTGTAGCAATCTACAGAACGTATCCGTACAGAAGGTGAGCATCGCCGATATCCGCGATGTGCTCTGGAATATGATCAATGCCACTCTTCAAGTCATGCTGTCTGTTCCGCCACCGCAGGCTCAGACTAAGAATAGCGAATGCACAAGCGAACAGCAGAACACCGCGCCGCAAACCCACATGCCCATGGGCTCAAGGGAGCGTAGGCGAGCGAGACACCCTCGACACTCAACAACACGCACTGCTCCTGGATATTCTCGTGCCAGCTGCTAGCCGCGCAGTCGATGGGATAAATGGGACAAATTGCCGCGCCTCTGTGCGGAAAGACTTTGGCTTCTGATGGAGCCGACGTTGTGCCACTATGTTCCCCGGACATATGCGTTGATGACATCATGGCGGGCGGCATCCTCCTCTTCAATATTCCTCAGTTCTCCCTCCCCCAGGCTTCAATGATGCCCATTTCACGACATCTTTTGAATCAGACAACCACGAGCCATGCGAGGGCCGTCGGCCGGCACAGTGCGATGGCTGCTCCTCAGCGACCTCCACTTCAAGCACCATGACTTGGACCGGGTGCGGCAGACGGCGCAGTGGATCGTCGCGGAGGCGGAGCGAAACCAGGTCGCGCGGGCAGTGATATGCGGTGATCTACTGACGAGCCGCACGATGCAGCCAGCGCATGTGCTATCTGCGTGTTACCGCTTCATCGGCCTCCTGAGCGACGCCGTGCCGCGAGTCCACATCGTGCTTGGGAACCATGATCTCGCCTACCGTCGTGACTACCAGACTACAGCCCTTGACGCCCTCAACATCAACCGCCTGACCCCGTACATATCGTTACATAGCAACGTCGCCCACCACGAGTGGGACCGCCGCCGCGTCTTGCTGCTGCCGTTCAGAGAGGAGCAGAACGAGCTGACCGAAGCCGTGGCTGCTCTGGGTCCCGACAAGGCAATCCAGACGGTTGCCTTTGCCCACCTCGCAATCAACAAGGCCATCACGCAGCGGTATGTGGTCGGGGCTGGCGTAGACAATCCCCGCGGTGCAAACTCCATTACACACCGCGGTATGATGGGCCCGGATCGGTTTGCCTCGCTGGCCAGGACGTTCACAGGGCATTTCCACAGTCACCAGACCATCGCCTAGGAACAATCCGGCCGCAGTGAGGTCGATCTGCGGGGGAGCGTCACGTATCTGGGCTCGCCCTTGCAGCTGAGCTGGGCCGACCTCTATGACGAGCAGCGGGGTGTCGTCTTATTCGATCCGGAAACACTCGAGCATGAAATGCTCATCAATCCGCATGCCGTCGGTTACACAACAGCTGACCTGCGGCAAGTTCTTGACGGCCAGATTGACGAGAGTGCCGTGACGGACAAGCATGTCATGCTCCTCGGCGAACTGACTCATATTAAGTACGTCACGGCTCGCGACAAGCTTCTCTCGCTAGGTGTGCGGAGCGTGCGGAGCTGGACTCCCATGGGGTTTGCATTTCACGCCAACCGCCCGTTATTCGGCCTCGGCGCATCGGTACCAGCAAGCGATGCCGCTATCCAGCCCTTAGAGGAGTCGGCTGAAGATGCGAAGGGTCCAGATATATCTAGCGACGGCGTTTCGAGTTCTGACCCTGGGACTGAACCTCGGGCTGCAAGGCTCGATCTCGCTACGGAAGCTCGTGAGTATGTCGAGTCACTAGAGCTAGACGAGTCTCTTCTCTTGCGACGAGACGAGTTGGTGCGGGTTGGCCAGCGAATGATCCAAGTCTCCCGCGATGTCGCAGATCAGGATGACGAGGCCAAGATTAATCACCAAGACTTCCTCGATAGGTCATATCAAGCTGTCGGTACAAGGACTGCCACTGAGATGGCAGGGCCCTCTACCCACGTCTTCGTCGCCGAGCCGCGCAAGCTCACAGTCACCAACTTCCTTGGCGTGCAGAGCACCATCACCATCGACTTCCGACAGGACCTCCCGCGCGGATTGACCTTCCTGGTCGGCGACAATGGCTCCGGCAAGAGTACGCTCGTCGAGGCCATAGTTTGGTGCCAGTTCGGGCGGTGCATTCGCAGCGGGCTGGCGGTCAACGACGTCGTCAACGACAAAGTGGGCAAGAACTGCTCCGTGATACTGGAGTTCGCCAATGGATACACCATCGCGCGGCATCGCAAGTACAAGGACTACGGCAACTCCGTCTCCATCTCGCTTCACGGCGAGCAGCAGCTGCAGCTCGAGCACCCGAACGCGCGCACAACGCAGGCGGCCATCGACGAGCTGCTGGGCACTGACTACGAGACATACGTTAGAACGGTCGTACTGGGCCACGAGAGCGGAGCGAGCTTTCTGAACTCGACACCAGCGCAGCGGCGCAACTTGATCGAGGCTTTGCTCGGACTGTCCGTGCTGGATCAGTGCGGGCAAGTGTCGAAGCTTTTGCTCAGGAACGTCAACAACGGCGTGGATGAGGTGAAGAGCAAACTAGAAATCTTGCTCCGGACGATGGAGCACGTCGAATGGAAGCTGGAAGATGTGAACCGGACAAAGAAGCGACTGGAGGAGGAGGCCAATGAGGCTGTCGCATCTTTGCAGGCGGCTATTGGAGAGCATGCCGCTGCCGAATTACGAATGGATAAACAAGGACCTTCCAACGGAGAGGATACACAGTTTGGACACGAACATCCCGAATTCGACACAGAAATCGCAAGTCGTGAGCTGCAAATCTCGGTCGCAAACGAGGGGCCCGAGTCCGGTGAGCTCAATATAGAGTTCCGCGTTCAAATTTCGACGTTGCAGGATCAAATCCACCATGAGCAGGAGAACCTTCAACGGCTGGAGACCTCATATGCCCGGATACAGGAACAGAAGAATCCCGAGCCGACGTCATGGCTTGGCCGCCTACAGCAGCGTCTAAGTCAAAGGTTTGAGGCTATGGCTGTTGCTCACCCCGTAGGCTTGCGCAAGCTCCTACATGCTGCGAAGATGTCCATCCTCCGCTTCCGATTGATGGCTGTCGGCGGCCTGTTGCGCATATTCGGGTTTCCAAGGGACGGGACCAATGTCCAAGACCACATCCAAGACGCAGCCATCAACAAGCTCCGCGACGATATCAAGAACAGCACGTCGCGGCTGCAGAGTCTAAAACACGAGGCGACCAGAGTCATTGCCCTAGAAAAACTCGCAATCGCTACGAACAACACCGTAATGATGAACGAGAAGCTCGCGCAGGCCTTCCAGACTCAAAAGACATGCGCAGCCCTACAGCAGCAGGTCACGCTCAAGCAGGGTGAGGTAGCCACGTACACGCACCTAGTCGAAACCGAGCAGTCGTCTCTACACCTGCTACGCTCCGAACATGACGCGCTGGCCACCAGACTTCAAGAGCTCGCTGCTGATCGCGAGCTCTTCGCCTTTTGGTCCTCCGCCCTGGCGAAGCGCACCCGGCAAGCCTCTTCGTATTCCTCGACCAGATACACGGCGAAAGAAACGAGCAACTTCCGCGAGTACGTCCTCATGAAGTCGTTATCAGAACTCAATGCGCTTCTAGCGCAGGTCCTTACGGTGCTGTACGATGACACGCGGCACCCGCGTGCTTTAGCAACGGGGATGGTGCATTCGCTATTCGACGATGAATCTGTCGACACCAGGATCAATACATCCTTACCATTCTCGGGGTCTGTCTTCGATCGCACGCTTACTTTCCACCCCTCGCTCGCCTACGGCAAGCGCTCGGGCGGCGAGCGTAAGCGCGTCGATCTCGCGCTCTTCTTCGCACTACTGCAGCTGGCGTGGGCGAGGAGCGCGCACCACGCGCACTACGTGCTCATCGACGAGGTATTTGATAGTCTGGACGAGGCGGGCCAGGCGGCCGTAGTCAGGTGGTGCGGGCTCATGTCGCAGACGGTAGCCAGCTGGATCGTGGTGATCACCCACAGCCGGTTCTTGGTCGAGCGAGATTGGGAGCAAGACATAGGTAAGGCTTTGGTTGTGAGGGCAAGGATGGGACAGGGGGGTACTGAGCTGGTTGTCGATGGACGGAGGATTGGAGTTCAAGACGAGGCTTGAGCAGCCTGATGAGGATTGCTACATCGTTGGTTTCCAGGGAAGGGGACACTGTTCAAGCTTGTACCCGGCCACTTTCCCCATCAATAATATATAATATTAAGGCCGCAGCACCGGCCGCTGCGGCCCCGTAGGGATGCCCCCCTACAGCTCCTCTAAGACCCAGAGGCAGCTGCGGCCGGGATGAAGGGCAAATGCACAACCTGCAATCCTGGACAAGGCTGGTGACGAGCTCACTAGTACGGACTTGATGTCGACAACAAGCCGTTGAGGTAGCAGAGCGAAATCGCAGCGGGGTTTTTATCCTACAGCTAGTGAGCTCAAAGTTTTTTCCTTTCTGATTTAGTTAAAGAAGTTCTATAGGCTTAGATATAGGTAAATTAGCGTATACTGAATACATAAATATATAATATTAATAGTGCCGGAGTCCTAATCAAGACTGCTTCTTTTGTAAGCCAGATTTTATGACAGATGCAGCTTTTTAAAAAGAATATCTACTACCTTAAATACTATCAGAAAAGTATATACAACC